CCGTCCTGATTAATACACTCCGCGCCAGTCAGCCCTGGAGTCCTGCAGTGCATAGAGAGGATGAGCGAGAGCGCCCGTCGCGTCTGGGCGCCCCCGTCCGGTACCGTGGTCGCCCGTTCCACCCGGGGGACAGAGACGCGCGTAGTCCCTGACAATTCCTACGTATTCGGTGGTTCAAACCTCTCCACACACGCTACCCGGAGCATTTCTGGCCGCCGTCGAGGCGTTACACACAATCCCTGGCTCGGGACCAGACATCAACAAAGAAGATTTAGCGGCCGTTTCCGCTTAGGAGCCCGTCATGCCGATCACCTGGCGTGGTTGGTCGTGGACAAAGGAATGCGTGCCAATCTGGACGCGGAAACCCAGCCCTCGAACCCCGAAGCAGCAAACTCACCCCTTTTTAGGCCATGTTTCCGCGCGTTCTTCCCGGGTTCCGGGATAGACATGAACCCAGGCTAATAAAGTGCTCACCCCATCCGGGATGGGAGGAGGCAGGCAAATGATAGAAGACGAAGAATAAAAAGAAGGTTCGTACTTCTGAAACAGGAACACGACGCTGTGCAGGGCTGTTGATGTGAGCGGGCGAGGGAGGAACGGCAGATTATAGAGAGCAGCCCCCGGTCCATTGACACTCGCTCGCTCAAATCACTTGTCACATTTTTGTCCGGCGCCTCGTGACAGCCGTTGAGAAGAAGTTGCGTTGCGGCCCTCGGCCTCGGCAGCCTTGACATTGCCGGCGACACACGCAGCGCAGAACGGCGGCGGTTTCGGCGCGGCCCACCCAGCCCTCAACGACGCTGCCAAGTGCAGGACAGGCCGGACCCCTACCTGGGTAGAGACGTGGGCAAAGCATGCGGATGTTGTCTCCCAGACGACCCCTGGCGGCTGGCAGATGTGTGCGCCGCAGCGTAGCGTCCATCGTGGTGCGCCCTTTTTTTGTTGTTGTTTCGTCGCTGCGTGCTGTGATGTGCGGTACGGCTGGCATGTGCTGCGCTTCCCCGCGAAAGAGTGAGGGCGTTCGAAAACGCGCAATGGCCTTCAGTTCCTTGGTACGCACGCCCGGTCGGGCGGCAGCGAGGCCTCTCCCGTCCGAAAAAGTTTCAACTCGAAAAAAAAAAAAATGGCGATAATAATGAACCAGTATTAAGACCCACGGACAAAAAAAAACGGCTGAGCCAAAAGAACACCTAACCTACCTGATTCCCTGTCCCCAGACGTTTGAACAGGCGTTCAATGCGACCTGTCATCCGGCGCCAGCAGGTGGGTTGGAGGGGTGGGTTAGGGGGGTGGGAGGCGAACTTCAGACCCGGGGAACCCTAACGTGCAACTTTTTGTTTCGACTGATGAACCCCATCAGAGGATCGATCTTGGGGGTCTCGTCTGGTGTGTGTTGTGTGGGTGTGTTGGGGGGGGTCCTGGGGTCCTTGGCCGCGAATTGAAACCTTAAAAAAGCAAAGAACGAGAAATTACCATGCTAGGAAGGTCAAGGGCGCAACCGTGTCAGATGATTGGCCGTACCGCCATCTGCAGGCTCGCGACCTCGACTTTTAAAGGTATCGGATGCTGCCCCTGGGCCCAGAACCCACCCACCCCCGCTGTGCAGGAGAGCAGGGCACTCCCCACCCGCGACCCGGCTGGGGGGGGGGGGCAGTGCTTGCTTGCTTGCTTGCAGCTCCCCCGTCCAACGGCTGGGTTTGGTGGTGGCATCATTACAACCGCGTCAGAAACCCTATCTGGGTGCGACCTTTACCTGTATTGTATTCCACGGTCCTTTTTTTTTCTTTTCTTTCGCTCTTTCAGACGAGGTGATGTCATCCCATTGTTCGTACCAGAGAAAATCCAGTCCCCACCCACTTATCCTGAGACGAGGTATGGGGGGGACCTGGGCGGGCGAGGAGGGAAAAACACAGCCAGTCCTGTTCCGTCTCTTTGCAGCCCGAGCCTGGACGGAAACGGTGCAATACGTTGGTCGTGCGGGCTGGGGCGGGGGGTGGGGGACCGTGAGACGGTAGGTTAGAGAGAGAGGGCACGGAGAGGAAAAGGTGATTGCCCAACTGGGCAACCAGCTCTGCCAGGTCCCACTCCGTGCAGACCCTCCCCCCCTGTTCCGCCCTCCCGCGCACCACAGGCCTGCTCGTGGTACCTACAACTGCAATCCGCACGCGCACAGAACCAAACCCACCCGCCTGCCTGCATCAGCGCATCGTGTTGACATGACAGCCTCATCAAACTGACAGATCTCGCATAATCCTGTTCTTCTTTTCCTTTTTTTTTTTTTTTTGATGTTTTCTTTTTGTGTTATTTTGGTCCAGAACCTCTCCTGTCAGTTCCCGGCCGGGCCTGCAGCCACGTCGCCGACATCCAGGGTAGATGCGGGCATGCCATGCATGCATGCCATGAGGACAGACAGGACAGACAGACAGACAACGCCCTCGCAGCACAACGTCCGGGGGTGGTGGGGGGGGGAGGGAGCAGCGGGCGGCTGGGCCTGCCAGCCAGTCAGACCTCCGTCCCCCCAGAGGGCGTCAGGGCCTGTCTGTCGGTCATCATTGGCTGACAGGCAGGCGGCTTTTCAACACAATGCTCTTCTGTCTGTTTCTCCCTCTTTGCCTCTGCACATGATGACGGGATCTGGTTATGGGAGGAATCTGTCTGGTGCGGCCGGGTTTCACGGACATCCGCCCCGCGGGGAAACGAAACGGGACGATGGGGGCGCCACCGCTGCGCTGGCATCTGGAGCTGGCGGGTGGCTGGCTGGCTGACTGGCTGGCAGGAGGAGGGAGACGCGCTGCTGCAGCATATGTCCTCTCTGGCACGCACGGTGGTCTTGGGGATCGGCATGAGTGACAGGTAGGTTGTCTGTTGTTTTGTCTGGGGGTCTTGGCGGGCTGAGTGCTGGCTGTATGTATGTGTGTGTGTGTGTGTGTGTGTGTGTGTATGTAAGTATGTATGTGGCTTGGTGATCTATCTGCCGTGGAGGTGGTGGCCGGTGGTGTTGTGTGTTCCCCTGATGACTCGGCGATTACGGCGCCTCCCAAGCATATAGTCGTCGCCATCTCATCTGATGGGCACAACAACAACAACAACAACGATGAACAGACAGGTATCGGCATTGCTTGCTGCTCACCGGTCCTACACCCGGACAAACACGTGGCTACGGTACGGGGCCCCGGCATCATGGGGACAAAGTCGTTGCCAGCAGTGAGTGGCTTTCCTGTTCCCATGCTGAGTGAGTCCTTGGATTGATACCACCCCTTTCCATCCCCCCTTCTCCCTGACAGGCACGTATGTACACGTACCAAGTCCCACAAGACTGACCAGTATCGGGCCAGTGGACATCCCCTCAACATCAATCACATGCCGAGAGAGAGAGAGAGAGAATCATGTACCCACCGACTATATCTCGCCAAGTGGATTCGAGCCAAGGGCAAGGCGCAGCATGATGCGTCCGTGAACAGGACCAGCAAAATCATCAACACACACACGAGCAAACACGCAGTCACAGCCCCCCCCCCCCCGGGCGGACAGGCTGTCCTCTCGAAAGCGAGTGGTTCCCAAGCCTCACTCAAGCTCGACTCGACGCCGGTCCGGATCGGCTCACACAGCCTCCCAAGACCCACCCTCCATCGTGTTGCCTATGTGGTAAGTAGGCTGGATCCGCCCCAGATGTGAAGGGATAGGTGGCTAGGTGGGTCCGTCTACACGTACATTTACAGGTCCGTTGCTGACCAGACGGTACAAGAAACAAACACACAGCCCCCGCAATGACCTCCAGAAGGAGCCAAAGACGAGAAAAAAAGAAAGGCTCCGAAATATCGTGTTGGCCGCCCTCCCAAGTGCCCGGCGGTCTCACCTTGGCTCTCGCCTCAACCCCCCGGCCCAGACCGCGACCACCAGGCCCGCCAACCGGGCAATGGCCCGCCCCGACGCCGTTGACGTGACCGGAGTCTCCCCGACAAGCAGGCATTGGGTACATTGCGCCGCTGCTGTCTTAGAGGTGGCCTGGATGGGTACGCCTTGGTACGGCACGGCGATGTGTGCGCCAGCCGTCAGTCAGTCTAGCATGCCCCCGCCGTCCTGACCTCAATCTCTGCTTAGGTAGTAGTTGGAGTCAACAAATGCTTAGGCTGCCACCTGGCCCGTCCACCGCCTCAGCCTCTAGACGCCTGGCGGCTGTGTAACATTCGCAAGGCGGCAGCAGTGGCCTGCCTACTACACAGTAGGTGCCAGACTTCTCAACAGCGGTCTCGTTCCTCTAGCTTAGTTACCCCGGGGTAGGTAGTTAGTTACCCAAGTGAGTCGGGCCGGACAACATTTGAAGCCTCCCGCGAGTGCGACGCACACATGACGTTCCGGCTGGAGGCACGCGGCGGCTCGCCCTGGACCTATCTGATATTTTTTCCCTTCTCCTACGGCAGTGCTCGCCCGGGGGCTGACTGTCAGACTTTTCTCGCATGACACGCGGCCACCTCGCTCTAAGCCTTTGTACGTAGAGACATGCCGGGCCATGCTTCATGTGGGGGCTGCTAAGGGCTGCCTTGGAAGGTTCGCGATACACTCCATTGTCGAGGCTTGATACATGTGAAGACAAGGATCTTTAGGTTGATTAATTCTCATTGTACCCACGGTACTCACATACGTACCCGTGATGCTGAGAATTCAGCCTGCGCCGTCGCTCACGGCACAAGGAGAAAATGATCCGTAGTCCGGGTCTTGTGGCCATTTGTCTTTTTTGAAAAGATAGTATCAGTCCGGGATAGTTACCGTATACGTAAGCTTAAGGTACCTTCCCTTGATCACTGAAAAGCGGTACGCCGTCGTTCGTCGCGCAGAACGCGCATGTCATCTTCGATAATATCGAAAATTGATATTGGAAACCCGCTCATTTTTGCGTCATAAAAACGGGCAAAAAGCCACTTACTGACCCGAGTACTCGCAGAAAACTTGTGACAGTTGCAATTAAACCACCTCAGGACAAGGTGCCCGTTTTCGGGCGTCGATGCTCACGCCTATCTCCCCGGTGGGAATGCCTAGGCGTCCACCCGTCGACACAACACCATAAGATGGGCAGCATATTTAGTCTCATTGTATTAGTATTAACTGCAGCGTCTACTGTGTATAGCGCGCCGCCTTTCAATTATTATTACACTGCCCGCATGGCACGTTGCTTAGCGCGAGCTGTCACACGCTGCGGTCCGTCGATCCGTCGACAACAAGCATAGCCTCCCGCGGTCCTAGAGCCGCGCTTGCTCTGGCGCGACCAAGCCCGTCCGTGATGGTCTGATACTGACGGCAGCTGGCCCTACGAGGCTCTTCAGTCCGTGAATGGCGACCGACGAATCCCCTAGCTAACATCTCCCTGAGCCACTTATGCGCCCAAATCGGTCCGACAACGTGCAGAAATCGGTCTCGCCCAAAGCCTTGACGGCGTCGAGCCTCATGAGCCAACACCACGGGCGCTCGCCTTGTTTCTGAGATTCAAAAGTTTGTATCTCATAAAATACTTCTCACTTGCATCAACTAGGTCCCAGCCGGGGCTGCCTAGGAAGCCTCATCCTGTGACTCATTCTGGCCATCCTGTCCAGATGTCGGCCTCCGGAGCTCTTTTCCTGCAGCGACTGTGGCATCTTGGTCATAGAAAACATCATCAGTCTGCGCACGTCCCCGAGCACGTTGACCGCCGGCTGGACGGTTGTTGATCAAGGCCAGCGCCTCACTAATAATGGGTGCGCGGCTCTGAGGCCGGTCGAGGTGCTCAGCTCTGGGTACATGATTTGCGCGTGGTACCCGCGCTCCTTGTACCGGTCCCCTTCTCAACGGACTGGGCACGCTCCTCTCTCTAGCCATTTCAATTATCATTGGCGAGCAGATGGCGGCCTCTTCAAGTCTCCTGCGCCTCTCAGCAGCGACTTGCCTCTCGTGGACCGCGACGGCATGATTGAACGCCATCGATCCGAGAGCAGATGCATTGCTGCGGTGCTGTGATATGTCGCTCGAAGATGAGGATGAGCTGAACTCCAGATTCACTGAAGTATTTGACGAGACCTCGTTTGGGCGCTGGGGTCCTCCGTCGATCTGAGAGTCAAGACGTTGCTCGTGCACTACTGGTGATGGCACGGGCTCTTGTGAGCTCGAGCCGACGTTGCCAACGTTCGTGGGGATCTCAATGGTCGAATCAATTTCGACTTCTGGCACAACCTCGTCGTCACCATCCGAGAAAGAGAATGGTCGGTGGCTTGTGGGATCAATGGCTGGCGAAAAGCACATGCTGCCATCGAGGACAGCGTCATCTGGCAAGCCGCCATTCTCCTCCGCCAATTGCCGTATCGTTTCCAGAGGATCATCGCATATCTCTTCCTCTTTCACGGCCGACTGACCATAAAGGTTCTCGTCCTTGGAAGGGCTCGTGCGTGGTGTACTCTTAGCCTGTGCAAGCTTAGCGAAGCCTTGCGTGATGAGCGAGGAGCTACTACTAGAGCTGGCATTGCCGCTGGATGACTGTGATGAAGAATCCTTCAGTTTTGGGGGTTGAGGAACCGGCTTCCCAGTAGTCTGAGGCATAACTTGCTGGTCTTCCTTGCGGCCAGGCCTAGCGGCTCCCCCGCGGAGCTGCTCGCTCAGATGGGTGTCGCAGTTGAGGTTGAAGAGGCCAGGCGTGGATCCTGAGATAATTGTTAGCTGGGTACTTTCGCCCTACGTTTTAGGGTGGTCTGTATGAATAACTCACCCAGGACTTCGTACGGAGCTGTGTTGCCTTGCTTGAAGGCCATATCGCGGGGAAACGAAATACGCGGAGCACGTGCGTCCTCCTCAACGGCAGTTCCATCTCCTGCACGGCTCGAGTCAGTACATTCTCTATGCTTGCTGGTAATTCCAAATCGAGGGCGTTGCTCACCTGAATCACTTCTGCTCAACCGGTTCAGTTTGGCTCTGAAGGCTCTGCTGTCATTGCGGTCGACGACGCTTCCAGCCCTCGCCAACATGACAGACTCAGCGCCCTGCTGAGTATCGGAGATGATGTGCTCCAAACGATTGATCTCGGCCTTGAAGCCCTTCTCGCGCTGTGACCACTCTTCTGTGACTTTGGCGAATTCAATGACTTCTTGCTCCCGAGTTGCCTTCAGCTCTTCGATCTGGCCACGCAGAAAGTCCAGTTGGCGAGTTTGGTGAGAGGCCTCCTCCAGGATGCCAGCGATCCAGCCGTTGAGGTGGCGTGGAATGGGCGCAGATGAGCCATTCTTCATCATGGTGCACATCACAGTCTCCATCATCTGTTTAAGGCTGGGGTTGTGCCATGTCAGATCGTCGGGGTTGTAGAAGGAACAATTGTCCTGGTTTCTAGGCGCGGGCTTCCAGTCGCCAATGGGACCACCGCCGTCAATAGAGGTGACGTGGTAGCCGGCCGCGCCAGGCTCCATCGATTCACTCCGCTCCATGATGAGTTCAGGGTACATCGTGGCTGTCGGAGATTGTGCTTTTGCGAGGCTGCCGAGGCCGATGTAGCTTGAGATCTTGGCCAGTCTAGGGGGCTTGGGTTGGTGGTGGTTGGGCTGCTGCATTTGGAGTTGAGTGAAGGAGCGGTAGAGCGCCGTGTGATGAGCTTGAGTTCCATCTTCGCCCTGATGATCCAGTGATACATTTTGCTGCGGTTGCTGCTGCGCATTATGCGCAGAGCGCGCGCGACCGAAGAAGGCTCGGTCGGCCATGGCAGGTTGATTTGTAGGAAGAGACTCGCCTGTGGTTGTCGCGGTTGTAGTGAAGAGTCGCGAGCCACGAGTGACGAGCGACGAGCGACGAGCGGCAAGCGGCAAGCGAATCAGTGCATTAGTGATCCCGCTGATACAAAGTGGATTTGCTAGATTGTCGATGCGACGCAGAAATACCGACAGTTGCGAAAGAGAATCGCAGGTGGACGGAGGCGTCGATGTTTGAGGGCAAACGGGCTTCAGGAAGGGCCAGGGCGACGAGTCGACCAACGCACACACAGAACGGCGCCGAGTGTCTGCTTGCCTGTGAAATGGTGAAGGGAAACTGTGCGACAAAGATACTTGGGCTTGGAATCAGTGTCGCTGGGACTGGGAGTGCCAAAGTGCAAGTAGGGCGTCGCCTGGTCGCGTTGTCCACCCTCAACTTGTGGCGCGAGAGTAGTAAACTGCAGTCGAAGAGTGATAGGTACGCCTCGAAAGGAGGAAGAGTGAAGTGTCAATTCAAGTTGGGGTATTGCTCGACCAGAAAGGTGTTTGCCAGAGAAGGTTGTCAAAAGGATCAAGACGATAACAGGAAGGGCGGCTGTGGGTTGGGTTCGAAGGAGGTTGGACCTCGAGCGTAGGATACCGTAAGTGAAGTGATGATGTTTTTGGGAAACCAGTGAAAGTACGGGGCTGGAGGCGCAACACCAGTCACCACAACACACTGAATCTCGCAAAGAACTGGTTATGTTTGCTGGGACTGGGACAAGTGAAAGGGCTGCTGTGGGTCTTCGGTGAGAAGTCGCAGAACCAACTGCGACAACAGCTTCAGTCATGCGTATACCTTCTTGCCGTTACAGGATGGATGAAGCTGATAGCACGGAGCTTTTGCTCCTTGGTTAAGAGACTATGTCGTCGACGCGGTGGCATCCACGAGCACCTGGCAGCCGCGCTCCCGCCCAGCGCCTTCCTTCTACAGGGTGAATTACTGACTGGTGTCAACCAACACCATTGGCACGACCTGGGAACTCAGGCGGGACGTTCTCCAAGGCTGCAGGTTACATTCTACAAGACAACACGTCAACACTTGATAATCCAACCAAAGCACGGCCGCGGGGCGGGAGGGGGGGGGCCTCCAGCGATGCATGACTTACAGCCTTGTACTCACGAGTCTTGACCAAGCGGCCCATCAAGCTGTGCAACTGCTGCCGAAGAGAAAGCCGACATATTTGGTGGTTGAAGAACGCCCAGGAGCATCTACCGTTGGAATTGTATCTATCAAGAGCCCGAGCCATTCCCTCCACATAGAAGCGGCACTATAGCAATTGTAAATGTGTTTACCGCCATTGCCTCCTCATACTGCCTCCCACCGGGTCGACTTTCGAACGGGCTGGTAGTCGTTGTTCCATGCCCAGACTTGAGGAGTACTAGAGCGTGGTGTTCTGTAAGGACGACGCGTGTGAGCTTTTCTGCTCTTCGGCAATCAACCGTGCGGTTGGTGGTGGGTGAAATAGCGTCTTACCAGTGCTCCAAGACACACAGGCAACTCGATCAATCTGAGTTGCCCTATGGGTCTCCCTGCCCAGAACCGCCAGGCCCCTTGAGCCTCGCGGCAAGCGACCAGCATCTGTGCCTCGCGCCGCAAACCCCCCACCCCCCCGGGTGTATCCCGGCCTGCCCAGCCAGCCACGCCTCCTCTTCATTGCGCGGTGAACAGCGCGCGGGGAATCGCCATGAGCTCTCCAACAACCCCAGACATGGGAGGGCATACTCACCATATCTCTTGGGATATGTTCTCGTCAAGCGTGCACTCAGAAGTACAAGTCTTCAGCCTTCTGGCGCCTGCGCCCCCGGCCCTCGAGCTTACCAGCAAACAGCTCCTTCCCGGCGTTGCCGCCGCCGAGCTTCTCCGGGAACAGTTCCTTCTTGCCCGCGGCGCCCTTGATCGAGATGCCCTGCGACGCGGCCATGCCCTTGATCGAGATGCCGTTGCTGGGGTCTGTTACGCGATCTGCAAATTGAAAGGTTACCCTCTTGAATTCCTGGCGGATATCGGGGGTTTGCTGAGAACGAAACGCAGAGGAAGGAGAAGGAGAAGAGGGGAAGTCGGCACTGCCGTCGTAGGAAAGTCGTAGCATACCAGCTAGCAGATCTGAGGGCACTTGGTCCATCTGTGCCTTGCTCCCACTTGATGCCCTGTTGGGGAACAGTTCTCTGGCGCCGCTGGTGGGCCTGGAGATGCGCTCCTTGAGTGACTGCGCCATTTCACGATTGCGCTGGACCTCCCTGTCCTTTGCGAGATCATCCATCATCGCGTCCCGCTCGTCACGCGCCGGAGACCGGGATCGATCGCGAGAAGATGCTCCCCGCTCTGAACGGAGAGAATCGCGAGGCTTGTGGTTGGGGAAGAGCTCCTTCCCGACCTTGTTGGGGAATAGCTCCTTGCCGGCCTTGTTGGGGAACAGCTCCTTACCGGCCCTGTTGGGGAAGAGCTCCTTGCCGGCGTTGAGCGGTCTGCGCCGGTCTGAGTCTTCTGGGTCTGACGGTGATCGTGAATCGCGCCGTCGGCCTCCCCTCGGGGTCACACGTCGAGCGAGCGCCCCCGTATCGTCATCGTAGAGGTTGACGTCGAACGTCTCAGGCTCCTCCTCGTTGCGGTCGTCGTACCTGCCCCTGCCGTTTCGTCGGTACCCTCCCCTGTCCTCCCGGTCGCGGTATCTCCTGTCCCTACCCTCGCGCCTGCGCTTGCCCTCCTCGGTCTCCGGGTCCCACTCCGGGTGGAAGAGGTAGAACCTGCTCCTCTGCGCCGCGCCCTTGACCTTCCTATCGGACTCCACGGCGAAGCGCACCTGCAGCGCGACCTCTGGCCTCTCGGCGACTGGCTTGGCGGGCAGGACCTCGAGGGGCGGGAGCTGGGTCACGTCCAGGATGTCGACGGCCGCGAGGAGCTTCAGTGCGTCCTGGGCGGCGGATTCGGAGTTGAAGACGAGGTTGGCTGAGGAGTCGTCCACCCACTCGATGCGATCGGCGCCCTTGCCTCCGACGTTTGCGGAGACGTACTGCTTAAGTTGCGTCTCGTCTAGCACCTCGAGGCCACGGATGTGAATCTTGTTTGGTTGAACGGTTGGGGAATCGTCGCCCGTCGGCCCGTTCGCGACGGGCTCCTCGACCTCGCCGTCCTCCTGAACGATGCGTGATCAGTCTTCGCTCAGCTTCCTCCGTTTTCCCGACGTCTGACGAACCTGTTGATCGTCGCCGACCAATATGTCTGCGACCTCGTGCTCCTCCATTGGCACGTCGACGGCGTCGCCCATCTCAATGTCAAAGTCATCCATGTTCGCGACGGGAGCCTGCAGGCGACTGGTTCCTCGATCCGATCTAACGAGTATGCGGGCGAGGAAAGAGGAGGCGAAGTCGTTTCGCGGAGGAAGGTGTGTTCTAGTTGGAAAACGTGAGGTATGTATGCTCTGAAGAAATCTGTGTTTGCTGGTAAGAGTTCGGTGGCTGAGCATGGAGCGGAAAGAGAAGCAAGGCTGAAGTAGCAAGTGGTTCGTGGGTGATTTGGAGCGGCTGGTCGAATTAAGGTTGCAGGAACGGGAACGGGTTCCAATGCAGCTGGCTTATCGATAAGTTGACCGGTTGCAGGGATCCAGCAGCTTGGAGCAGTTCAGGGCCCTGGTTGGCGACCTGTGGATCCCGGCTCGGGAAGACACAATAGGCCAACTTTAGACAAATGGGCAACGATCCTCACAATGCCTTCCTTGTCAGCGTGCCCACTTGCTGCAGGCAAGGTAGAAATCAGGAGAGCGTAAGCTGCGAATAAGAAGACATGGTTACACTGTGTCTCAGATGCTGCCCCAGCTTTTCAGAGTGCCGAAGTGCAAATGACGTTCGGTCTTATGGCTCAGCAAACAGACGTTAACCAGGCCTCCTTTCCCACCCCTCCTCTCTCGACTGTCTTTGCCGTCCGCGACTCCTTATTTTGTTTCCCATCCCATGTAGGGTGAAACCAGACTTCTACTCACTGGTACGCATCAAGCGCTTCGTGCTCCGAGTGACACCAAACAACGCATGTAAATCACATTGGCAACATCACTGGCCTGCCGCCTCCTCTTAGTCTGATCTGGTCAGCAGCCGACGGTCTTCTGATTCCTTCTCGTATAAATATATTCTGGTCAGACAGCCGAAAACAGGGAACAGCTTTCACTTCATACAAGATGACCGGCTGACTCTCCCACTCGCTTTCACGGTATATCTAACAATTCCTCAGTCACACCCAAGTTCACGCTGTGCTTCAGAGCCCATGCGGCGTTCATACAGGCTCGCCTGCCTTGAACCACAACGCACTGGATCAGTTGATCTTCCCAGCGACATACAAGCTCTACCAATGCCTACAGACAAGGGAGTCTCTTTTTTCCTCACGTCAGTTCTAGTACATTCGACAAAGAAAGTCTCGGAATTCTGTACAATCTATCCTCCTATCCCGCTTCTCAGGATTCTGTTGCAGAATCTCTGAACAAAACATTTCTATGCTGTCACTTTGACTGTTTGGCTGAGAAATACACTCATATAAAAGTCAAAAGTTGGTATCATCGCAGCACCCAAGAAAAGTCACCCTACATGAACACCTGCAAGCGCCTCCCAGGGGATAACAATACACAAGAAATGCACTAGGCGGTCTCGACCCTCTGCCTCCTGACCAAGGGAGGCGGACAGGTCGTCCGCGCAACTTTTTTGGGGGGCCGTCCCTCAGCCCCATCCACCACCGTCGTCGTCGTCGTTGCGGACGACCTCGACATCTCCGAGGCCGCCCTCTTGAAGTTTGGGAGGCCCCCGACCAAGTCCCCCGCCGACGGCCGTTCATCCTCGTCGACGCTCTCGTCGTTGTCAAAGGGGTCGCCCGAGTCCAGGATGGGGTCGTATTCCCAGCATGCCTCGAGGCCCTGCAGGAACACGGGCGAGTGCCTCAGTGCGTGCCACGAGAGCGACGAGTGCCGCATCGCGATGTACAACGAGTCCATGTTCCCGTGGATGTCGAGCACGGCACAGTGGGCGCGGAGGAAGTCGACGTCGAACTTGGCATTCGCAAGTGATGAGTCCAAGGGGCGCAGCATCGGCAGGCCTTGGAGCGTATCCGCGTCACACAATTTTGCCTGGAGGGGTACCCAAGGCCTATCCTTCAGGACACCGTTGAAAGCTCGCGTCACGGCGGACACAAAAGCCTCAGCCGACGTCCCATTCACGGCAACCATCTGGTGCAGGCCCCTTGAAAGACATCGCTTATAAGCACTGGTATCCCGTTCGAAAGGGAAAGGTAACGAGCTGCTCGGGAGCAGAGAGACGTGGACCGTCCATAAATTTGAGACGGCCGACTCATGGCCCCTGGCAGGCGCACCCCGTGACCGAGTGGGCACCACTGTCGTCTTCGGGGAGCTGTTTGATGTTGACGCTGGTGCTGGTGCTGGTGCTGGCGCTGGCGTAGGATCCGACGTGGTCTTGTGTCGTTGCCTTCCCCTGTGCGGAGGCATATCGGAGGCCGTCTCAATGCTCTCCACTACCTCCAAGAGCTGCTCCTCTAGACTAAGGTCGGCGTCGTTGAGCTCGCATTGCCTCTGGTGCAGTCTCTGCAGCTCGCCGTCGACATTCTTGAGATGAACGCCCATGGCTTGGAACCGGCCGTCCACGTCCCCGCCCCGCCTCTCGAGTTCTCCGATGGAGTGCCAGGCTCGGTTCAGGTTACCATACGTCTTCTTGATCTCCTGGCCGATCTCGTCTGTCCTCGAGTCGACAATACCCTCAAGCTCGCTCACTCTCTGGACCAGCTCATTGCTCCTGCTGTTGCCCTGTACCAAGAGCTCCTCAAGCTGCTGAACCCTCTGCCTGAGAAGCTCCAGCTCGCGCCTGTCCGCTGGGGGCTCGTCTGTCTTGTGGTGGAAGCAGGCGAGGTGCCCGCATTCACAGGAGGAGCCGGGCAAGGCCGTGTTCAGGGTGAAGTTGACACAGGCGCAGCGGGTGCCCTTGACTTCAGTGTTCATCATGATATAACGACAGTTGCCATGGGGCAACTTGGCCTCATCGACATCGGTCGCTGGACCCAGTAGGGGCGATGGCGTTGATAAAGCAGACATGTTCGGGGTGTTGGCGACGCCGCAGTCATAGAGCTAATACCCGTTTCCGAAAGGATGCTGTGTCGCCAGCAAGGACTCGGCTTCCCTGACGGACAGCCTGTGGGGATTCGACGGTGATGAGTCTTCTCACTCGTGGTTCACAGCATTCTCTACCATAGCTAGGAGAGAGAAGAAAGCAGGCTTGGGCCAGTGTTGAAGTGTGAAGGGCGGATGGCTATGTTGGCGTCACTAGGCGGTGCTCATGAGGCTCCGTACCAGAGAAGAATATGACAAGTGCTGTGACAGGTGCCGAGGGCGGATGGGAGGCTCTTATAAGACGCAACAGGAGCGGGTCGTCACATTTCCACCCGAACAGGGGGTCTAAGGCTGTCGAGCTGTCAGTGCAGCAGAGCGAACGACATGTACCACAGTATGATGTGGATGCAGGCTCGGCCACTCGTCCGGCGGCAAGGATTTATCGAGACTGGATGTGGGAGCGCGCGGTCTGAGCCGCGACCTGACAAGAACATGCGGCAGGGCACGAGTAGTTGTGCAAAATCGCGGTCTGGAGCGGTGGAGCTTGGAAACCGGGGAAGAGGAGCCGGTGGGCTCGAGGCGGAGGTGGATACCAGTTCCAAGTGATTGCCGACAGTAGAGAGCCAAAGCAAGGGCAGGCTGTGGGGGAGAGATGGCGCAATGATAGATATCTTGATAACAGCACAGCAGGATATCTACTGTGTACTGTAGCATGCGCGGTGAAAGCCAGATTCCGACGGGGGTCCTGGGTATGGGCGGATAAGTGCAGGTTGGCGGCTGGCAGCTGAGGCCGTTGAACGGGGCCAAGACCGCCAGATATGTGTCGAGATACTGCCGAGGAACCACCGCGATAAGACACAGCAAAGAGACACGTCTCGTGCGAGCCCTCTGGTTTCGAACCACTCTGTGCTGGGCGACGAGCGGTAGTGAGGTTGAAGAAGAATGAAGTCGCTGGCGAGGGAGGGGGGTGGGACAGACTTGAAAGAAGCAGAGGACCCCGTGGGTTGGGATGGGATGGGATGGATGGTGGTGGGGGGGGCACGACGGTTGCGGGTTGTGGAGGGGTGGGAACAGGAAAAAGTCAGGAGTCGAGCAGCGATGATCAGTGAGTGCACACACACAGCATACAGCACGCAAGAGACAGCTCACAGAATCAGGGGCCGTATGGCCCTGGCCGATCCATCCCACCCGTCGAGCAACCCATTCATCCTTGAGATGTCGCGTTCCGCTGGCTGCGAAGCGACTGGCCAGCGGGTGCTGCTGATAAGGACTATGGCGGGATTTGATGCAAGCCGAGCGACGGGGGGGACTGGGGGACAGACAAAGTCAAAGAGAATGGCACAATGGCCAAGTCTATCGGTCTGGCCCGACCTGGCCTGGTTGGTCGGTACCTGGGTACCTGGGCCATTGTCATTGTTGGGCCCTTGGGCCCTTGGGGAAGGAAGTGTGGGCCCTCCGAGGTTGGAGGTTGGCCAGACGGGTGAGAGACCTCACCCTTGTCAATCTCGCAGTCTCGCCCTTCCTGCCAGCCTGCCCAGGTCGTCCTGCACTTTGGGGGTAATCTGTACCTAATAATCCCAAGCGGGCGGGATGTTATCATGGGCCGCTGCAGCTTCTGGTGGGGCACAGGGCAATCCTACCTAAGTACACCACAGCTGAATGTATGCGTGTGTGTACTCCGTACCTGGGTATGCTGGTACCTGGATCGTCTGCTCACCCAGTCGCCCACGCCCTCAACCTCGTCCAAAAGCCGAGACCACACGGAAAGATCCTCTCCCTCCCGTCCCCTCGCCCATCTGCCCATGTCGACATGGCTCATGGCTGATCTGCTCTTCATTTTGCCTTTTACACAGTATTATCTCTGTGACGTCGGCGACGTCCACATGTACCACCATCCAAGGGCTTGTGTCTGACTGATACCACACAACCATTGTCGTCTTCTGTCGCGAAAACGGCGGTAAATCTCGTCACTGACAATCCAACCCCCAAAGTCAATCTTGGGGCTGCCCCTTGCTCGATATGCCCGGGTGTGTCACCCAGTACCACCCACCTCGACTGCTACTGCGATAAGTCGTGGGCGTGCAGGCAGGACGGCGCTGGGCCGAAGCATGGCAAAAAAGGGGGTCCTCGGGTCCTCGGGTCCTTGAGTCCTAGAGCACGCCTTGGTAACTCTGCTCACAAGGCAAGAAAGACACAGGCATGCGGATGCACCCTGACTGAGAACAAATACCGGGCCAACCAGACCACCCACCCACCCATTGTCACAGAACATCGTCGTTGACGTTTCGACGTCTCTTTTCTTGGCCGACCAAGGCTGCCAGGAAGGACCATCGCGGCCTCCCGCAGGGCTTAGTTCGCTGACTCTATTCTCGGGGCACAGGCACAACGCCACACAACATGACTGGACGGTGGGGGAAAGATAAGGGCAGAAAAGAAGCTCAACCTAGGACCCTTGGATGGGCGCAAATCCCACCCTGCAGTCTCAAGCCCCGGCCTGCTGCTTCACCGTGGCCCATCCCGTGGCGGCGCGGGCCAGAGATAATAAAATGCAAACAACAGAGACAACTCAGCCGGCCCGCCCAGCATTGTTGTACGCTCCACGAGTGCGGAAAGGGCCTGCAACACGATCCGATTTGCACAAACCTGGAACGCCCATGCCGCCAGACCCGCGCAGGCCCTACCGTCTGCAATATCCAGCTCAACCCTCTTTGCACCTCGGTCGTCCCACGGTCGTCCCACGGTCTGACATCGGCATGGACAATCGTGCAGATACCGCACCACTACCATCGTCCCGTCAGCAAAACGTATGCCGGCGAGGCGCCCGTCAGCACGCTCGACGTGTATCAGATTAGGCATCGTCCTTCTTTCAACGCCTGTGCAACGCAAGGCATTGCTCGGGTACCTGCAAGCCACCTCGCAGGGGACTGACCGTGGCCACCTGCTTCTGATTCCGCTGCTGCGGACCCCCACGGAACCTACATTGTCTTACCACATCCTGTGTCCCTCGCGTGTAATCAATCACCCACGTACCAGCCGGCCCGTACTACTACTCATCGCCACATCTCTGCAGGCATCTGCTGCACCTGCCACTGCCGCCATGCCGCAGAACTGGCAGACCGGCAGACTACACCCGCGACCGGTCGAGAGGTGAAGCGACAGTAGTGGAAGTGATGATCGCACTATCGCGGCATACACACCTGTGCCGCCTGTGCCCCAGCCACGGGGTGTGGTTGCTCCCGTCGAGGTAGGGAGGGCTATGAATTCCCTGTTCCTGCAAGGGTACCATGGTCGGCGCAACACGTTGATATGCGAGTCCACAGCCCGGACCTCTTGCCGGTCGAGCTTGTCACCACCGCCCTCAACTCGACGACATCCTTGGTCAGATTGCGCCAGCACGCCAGCCGGCTGCCTGCGAGATACCGACACGGTCAGCAAACTGCATTTTAGCCGAGGGAGGACCACGGCGGTACTGCCGAGCATCGCTGCGTCACTGCTACTTGAGAAGTCATATTTCATGCCAGGAGTCACTCATTAGCCGAATCGAGGCCACGTCTGCTGGATCGATGAAGCGAGAGCTGCTTCTCGGTGCAGGTTTCTGTCCCCCGTCACCGATCTTGGCAGGGACTCTTGCACCTTGGTGGTCGGGTTTCGGGCGGCGTCTTGCGTTGCGCAGCATTCGGGCTGGGTGCCGAGCATTTCTCGCATTTGTTGATTGATTTGCGTTATCAAGTGAAGCCTCTCAGCAGCCACGACGTGAGCCTGGGTGCACGGGGAATCACAATACATCCTTGACAGCCTGCATAATCCTCCAAGGAATCAGATAACGGTGCCTCGCATCCTGGCCTGTCGATGCGCACACTGTATCTGTGTCCCCCTGCCACGAAGCAAGCTTATCCTGTAAGATTTTTGCTTCTGATAACTCCTCCGGGCTGGCATCACCTACGGGGGCTACGGCCCAGCCCAGAGTCAACCTGATGCTCGAGTCTGGCCTCGGACCATCGATCTGGTTTGGCTTTTCCAAATGCGAAATATTGCACACTCTCTTGGCAAATTCTAGGCTGCACAGCCGGAGTGGGTGTGATGCAGCTGGGAGGCGACAGACGTTCAAATCGGTTTATTGAGCACATTTCTCCGTTTTTGCCCAGATGGGGCGGAGACTTTTACCTAATTTCGATCCACCTACCCCGTGGGCAGAAAATGTGGGAAGCCCGCCACGCAGATCGCAAACCAGAATCCGACAAGCCGGAACGTGCCCAGCCCTCGCGGGTGACTGGACCCCCACTGCTCCCGCGGGCATGTTTTTTAAAACCGAGGTAGTATCACGGTCAACGGCGGCCAAGTTTAATAGCTGACACTGCTTCGGAGGGAAACGAATCCTCGACCGTTGTCCTCCACAACTATGAGCAAACGATTAAGCATCAAGCCGGCCTGGGCGCACTACACTAATACGGGACCCGCTGACAGAACCTAAATCCGTGGCCTAGGGTTGCCGGGCCGGATCCAGGGACGTGATGTTATGAGAACTGGGTAAGATGTCCCTCGTCTCTGTGAAGGAATCGCCACTCTCGAATTGTTCTGCCCACTGCAGACTTCAAATAGGGCATATGCTCGTTATGTATGTCTGCAACGCATAGACTGGCCACGCGAATGGCACAATAATCCTTACAGCGCGAGAGCTCGGGGACCTATCAGTTGATTGCCGTTAGCCGCCGACTGCAACAACGGCCCCGCACGCGCGCAGCGTCAAGGTGAGCTCTGTGAGTCGAATGGTATCTTGCACGGCTAGACTCATGTCTTCTTGACCTGGCTTCTATCGCGATATCGAGACACCCTGTGTCTTGTTCTTCTCATGCCTCACATATGTCATTGTCCAAGTGACATGTAAGTAATGCTGCGTCCCAGCCCTATCCAAAGATGGGTCTCGGCACAAGCGTCTCATCCCTCCTCGAGACGTACGACAACTGCATATCGCTCCTAAAGGCTTTCAAAAGGCGGGACAAGCAAGATGGCAGCAGCCGCAAAGGCACAAAGTCGAGCGACCAACAGGCGCTTCTGAAGCGCTCGCTGAAGACGGACCGCAAGAAGGTCGAGCGCGCCTACTCGTCTCGGGTATCTGCGTCGGGGGACCGCTTCGAGAAGGGCGACACCAAGGCGCTCTCGTCCCTGGGCAGGGTCATCCAGAAGCTCAACGCAGCCATCGCCAGCCTGATACGGACGGCGAGCAAGGGCCGCGGCGCGGGCCTGGACTACCAGTCGCTGATGTCGCTGTCCAACTCGTCGAGGTCACAGGCCATCAAGGCCTTCGACCAGCTCTCGCGCCGCCTCGACAGCAGCAGGTCGTCCCGCAGCTCGGCCGCCTCGACCACATCGTCCTCCAAGTCGGCGCGGACGTCAAAGTCCTCCAGCAGCAAGGCCTCCAAGACGACAACAAGCTCGTCATCCTCCTCCAAGCCGAGCGACGGCGGGAAGCACAAGAGGAAGTCGTCCAAGGCGTCCAAAAGGCACAACCATAACACCGGCCATAAGGAGCCGAGGAGACAACAACAACAACACCAAGAGGCGGAGCGGCCAGGAGAGAGACTGCCGCCCCTGCGCATGGACATGAGCAGCAGCATCGCGACGCCGCTGCTGGACGCGATGGACCACAGCCCCGAGCACAGCGCCCGCAGCTCGCTGCGGCGGCGGCCCAGCTTCGCGAACCGGTTCTCGCTCATATCCATGTCCTCGGACAGCACGCGGCTGGGCGAGATCCCGGAGAGGAAGTGGCACCGTGGAGGTGGTGGTGGAGGCGGTGGCTTCGGCTTGGATGAATATAACACGCCCGTCATGTACCCGGTGCGGCCTTACCAGCCGCAGGTGAGGGAGAGGAGGTTCCTGGGCTTGTTCAGGCGCGGCCCGGCGCCGGGCGGGCATTGAGTTGTGACGGGGGCGTGGCGGGTATCCGTGGACATGCATGCATGTCATGTGTGGTCCTCGTCAAGGTGGGATCTTGTATGACCGGCGGAGGAACCCGTCTGGAGCCTGTTGCATATCACCCAGCGAGCTGACACGTGTGGCGGAGAGGCCTGACACATTGTCCAGAGGTTAATCTGTATAGTGACAAGACGGATGCGAGGTATCGTGTGACCTACGGCCTCGCTTCTGGGCAGCTTGCGTGGGAAAGGTCGTGAAGGAATGTCTGTTGGCACAAGAGCCAGAAGTATGAGATGCCATCGTTCCAGCTGTGTGACGAGAATTATCATGTCCCGGTACTTGCTTCCTGAGCTCTAGCCGGAGAGTCCATGCGGGAGACAGAACGCAAGGTATAATCGACGCAGAACGGGGAGGGGGGGACAAAATAGACCATTTATGCGCCTCGGTAGAGTGACCTGGTATCTGATCTGAAGTTTCACTGCTGTAGAGAGAGACTTTGAGCAAAGCTTAGGTGTCCGCTGCACGACATGGCATATATTCCCCTGGTCTCATACAGGACAGGATCATATGGGAATATCTCTTATAGGATAACCTCCCAAGGTCGACCTCCAGGGCTCCCAAGGCCAACCTCGTGCAGAATAATCTCTCATAAGACAACATCTTAAGCTCCTATGGTACATATGGGAGACATTCCTACAAGCTAACACGTGAAGTAGCCGAGCCAGCCAGAGGGGATCTCGTATGATAATATTATATTAATTTTCACCAGTGTGGAGGTGTTTTCGTAGTTGGAGGCTCGTCCGGGGTCACCCCTTCCCCACAGATCAAGGTGCTCCGTGCTGTGGAAATTTCAAGTGGGCAAGTGGGGAAAGAACACCTCGCAAGCTCCCAAGCTTCGCTGCGAGAGCACACACACCAACTCCAGAAGTGCCCCTCCATTTCTCCATCCCGCCCACGACGTCGCGTGCCCTGCACACCGCACCACCACGCAACACACGTACGCCCGAAGCTTGGGAGAAGGGAGAAGCTCAGCACACCCTCGCCCTGCCATTGGACATCGTGTCACCGCGTCCCAAGGCCATGCGCACGACATAGCCCGCCTTCTGGTCACCGACTTCGCATCGCCACTATTTACCTTCCTCCCACCCTCCCACCATGGCCGCCTCCCTGGCCTCCCTCCTCGCGCGCGCCAGCATAGACGACCCCTCCGAGGCCCTCTCGATCGCCGATGCCGCCCTCGCATCGTCCAAGTCCGACCTGACCGCCCAGCACACCAAGGTCGTCGCCCTCCTGCGCCTGGACCAGTACGAAGATGCCCTCCGCGTCATCGCCGCCGCCGGCACCGCCCTCGAGGAGCGCTGCATCCTCGAGAAGACATATGCCCTGTACAAGACCGGCGCCCTCGACGAGGCCGCCGCCCTGCTCGAGGGCCGCGAGATCGCCAGCGCCGACCGCCCGCTGAAGCACGTCGCCGCCCAGATCGCATACAGGACCGAGCGCTTCAGCCAGGCCGCCGAGCTGTACTCGCTGCTGATGGACGACGACAGCACCGCCGTGCTCGGCGAGGACACCGACCTCGTCATCAACCAGCTGGCCACGCACGCGCAGCTCGAGTGGCAGGGGCGGGGCGACCTGGTGCCCGACAAGAGCAAGCAGCCCAGGAGGGAGGACATGGAGGCCTTCGAGACCGCGTACAATGCCGGCTGTGGCTGCGTCGCGAGGGGAGACCTGGCCAAGGCATCCATCCTGCTCAAGAGGGCTGCGGATCTCTGCGACGCCGCCGAGGACCTGAGCGACGAGGAGAAGAAGGTCGAGCTGCTTCCCATCCGCCTGCAGCAGGCCTACGTCTTCACGCTACTAGGCAAGACTGAAGAGGCGACGGCCCTGCAGAAGGAGACGGAGAGCTACGAGTGAGTCCTTGAGGTGTTTTCAAAAGCTGGGAGGGTGTGCTAACCGCTCTGGCAGGACCTCTGATGTCTCAATCAAGGCGGCAGCCGGTTGGAACTCGCTGATCGCCAAATCCCTCGCCAACCAGTACATGGTTCAGAGACTCTCTGAACTGATACCCGAAGCAAAAGTCGGCAACAATCGACTCTTCAACCACCAAGCCGTGGGCGTGACCCGCAACCTGCACGCAAACGCCTTACAGTGCTACAAGCAGAAAGAGGTCAAGAACAAGACAGCCGGCCTCCTGAAAGAGGACCCCGTACCTTCCACAGATCTCGAACGGGTATATGCTGGTTACTTCAACGCCGCGGCGCAACTCAAGACCCAGACCGACAAAGGCCAAACCGACAAGGCGGCGTTGAAGAAGATCCTTGCGGTTCTCGAGAAGAGGCCGTATGACGTCGGCCTTCTGCTTACGGTGATACACCTGTACATCCAGGCCAAGAACTACGATAGCGCGATCGATGTGCTCCAAAAGTTCTTCAAGTACGTCGAGTCGGCAGGGGCTAGCGACCATGAGGACGTGCGGTACGCGCCGGGGCTTGTCGCCCTGGCCGTGGCGCTCTACCGCACGCAGAACCGACGGAAGGACATCCGGGACGAGCTGGGCCGGGCCGCAGCATACTGGCAGAAGATACCCAAGAACTCGTCCACGACGCTGCTGCGGGAGGCAGGAATAGAGCTCCTGCACTCGTCCAAGCCGTCCGACCTCGCGACCGCCGGCGCCGCCTTCGAGCGCATGGTCGACCAGGACCCCGAGGACAGGATCGCGCAGGCCGGGGTCGTCGCCTCCTTCGCGACCACCGACTACGCCAAGGCCGAGCCACACCTCCCGTCGCTCACCTCGGTCGAGGAGCTCACAGACGGGATCGACGTCTCTGCCCTCCTCGACGCGGGCGTGCCCGCCTTCGCCGCCCCCCAACAAGCAGCCGGGAAGCGCAAGGCCGACGAAGCCGCGGCCGGGGCCGGGGCCGGGGCCGGGGCACAACCATCATCGTCGTCGGCGGACAACAACAACAACAACAAGCCCAAGAAGAGGACCCGCCTGGGCAAGAACTACGACCCCAACGTCAAGCCGGACCCGGAGCGGTGGCTGCCCATGCGCGACCGGTCGTACTACAAGCCCAAGGGCCGCAAGAACAAGAAGAGGGCCGCCGACTCGACGCAGGGCGGCGCGGTGGCCGAGTCCGAGACGCTCAGCCTCGCCGGCGGCGCCGGGCAGATCAAGGTCGAGAAGGCGCCGCAGGGGGGCGGCGGCGGCGGGAAGAAGGGCAAGAAGGGGAGGAAGTGAGCGGTTGTTGTCGGAGGGGGGAAGGGGAAGACAGGGGTTAAGAGTACCTACCTAGTTGTGTAGCTAGTTAGCCGTGAGATGCCGGCCCGCGGGCATGTTTCAATCGAGACTACATACAGGCCGGGCGGTAGATACCCGACGGTTAAAGGTTGTCTCCTGATTGATTTGGACTTGATGCGCCTCGTGCGAGGGTGAACCTCCCCCAGCCTGAGGTGAACAACCCCCTATCGAACAGTCAGTCTCCTGGCGGACAACATTCATCCCATGCGATACCCATCTACAGGATGACCCTCCCTCCCTCCCTCCCTCACTCTACGGGACAGTCTCCTACAACGAAGAGACCCTCTTCCCAGCCGCACGAGGTTATCCCCCCATCCCATGCCCATCACCATACCAGCCCTCACCCTTCCCCCCCCTCTGTAAAGGAAGTGGCAGCTAGCTAGCTGCTGCTGGGGTAGAAGCAGTCGTGGTGGTGGGAGTAGCAGCAACCACCCCATCGGCCGACCAGCAATATCCATCCCGCCGCCCCGGGGGCCCGGGTGGCCGGTCCATTTTACAAACGCCCCTCACCTGCGTAGATGAGCAAAAGAGAGAGAGAGAGAGAGAGAGAGAAATCACATATCTGAGCAAGATCAAACCACCAGAAAGCAAGAAGGGAAGGGGGAAAACCAAAAAAGGAACAATTCTAACATGGCCCCCCCTGCCCTGGCCGGGGCTCTCGCCCCTCCCCCACCCAATATCTCCCCTTCGCCCGCCGACTTACACCAAGTGGTACCATAAATTTTTTGTCTTCTCCCAGGATATGGGGGAAAACAGCGATCAGGCACGCACACGTAGGTAGGTATGCATATATGCATCAATATATGTATATATGCGAGGGCGGATACAGAATCAATATCCCCTACCCTACCCTACCCTACCCATCCCATCCCATCCCATCCCACCCCATCCCATCCCTCGTCCCTTCGAGAAACAAACAGCTGCATACCTAACTAGCCAGCTCACCGCAGCCGCTGGTCCGCAGCGCCCGCCCGCCCGCCGCCCGCCGCGTGCACACACACACAAAAAAGAGAAGAGGACAAAAACAAAGAGAAGAACAAATAGTCTTGTTGAAGATATGCGGTGGTTATGGTTATGGTTGTTGTGATGGCGTTGGTGCTGGGTGGTGGTGGTGGTGGTGGTATCAAGTTTTTTCGCCCTTTATTCCGTTTTTGCCCCCCTTTCATGCCCCTTTGTCTATGTACATAAATACAGATGATGTCTGTCATCGGATTGAGAGAGAGAAAAAAAAAAACAGAACCAAGAAAAAAGGGGGCTGCTGAAGAAGAAGCCCGGCCGGGTCGGGGTCGGGTGGGTCACGCCAGTAGCGGGGTGGCCTCCTGCCTCCCCAGTCTCTCTCTCTCTCTCTCTCTCTCTCTCTCTCTGTCCTTCGGTGTTGTGGAAGTTTGATTATTAACTAAGTATCGTAGACAGAATGAAATCGTTTCATCATGACCTCCCACACACCAATGCCGCGATCATTTTTCCTTCTTGTTTCTTTTTCACCCCGCTCGCTGTTCGACGGAGTAGGTACGGGGATGCGACCCGCTGTCAAGTCGGTCCGGTCCGGGTTCAAACAAGCACGGGAACAGCAGCGTTCGCCTCCTCCTGGCCGCCTCCCTCCTTGGCGGTGGTGGCAGCGGTGGGGGTGGCGTCGTCCAGCAGCTCCCCGCCCGCGCCGCCGTCCTTGACGCTGCCGGCGGACGGCGGGGTCGCCGGCCCGGGCTCCGGGGTGAAGAACAGCGTCTCCCTGGTCTTGTTCATCGTCGCGCTCTTGAACTCCGAGTCCTCGTCGTCGTCGTCAAGCGCGTCTGCCAGGCTGCTGCTACCCTGCTCCTCCTCCTCCTTGAGCGCCTCGACGTGCTCCGGCAGCAGCGGGCTGCGCCGGCCGTCGGAGAAGCTGAGGGCCGGGTCGCTCTCGCCGTCCGAGGGGACGGTGAGGTTCCCGCCCGAGGACGACGCCTTGGCCGCCTGAGCCGTGCTGTACTTCCTGTGCAGGTCCCTGAAGCTCCGGGCCGTCGCCGTGCTGGCGCTTGCCGCCGAGGACCGCCGCTTGGTGGCGCTCTTCGGGCCCGAGAGCAGGAAGACGCGATAGTCCCCCTCGCCGCTCCCGCTGCCGCTGCCGCTGCCGGTGCCGGCGGCCACGCTCGTGGCCTCGGCGCTGTCGCTGTGCGCAGCACTGCCTTCCACGTTCGACGCCTTACGTGCGCGGAGGTGCTCGTCGGGCGACAGGCTGCTCTGGAGCTCGGACCCGAAGGTGATGACCGAGGCTTTCTTTCCGTGCACGACGAAAGAGCCGGACCCGCGAGTGAGCATCTCGGACTCGTTATCGTCCGTTGAGCCGCTCGTGGCGGGCTCTTTGCCTTTGCGGCTTCGAGCATGGGACAGATGGCCCGCGCCCTCTCTGAGGGTGCGCTGCAGGCTGCGGCGGATTTTGTTCTTGTCGGCTTTGTCCATCGAACCACTCTGGGTGGCGTGCTCCGGCCGCTCAGGAGTGGCATCGGGATCGATGGGTTTCGCCTGTTCGATAGGCTCGGGGCTTCGCGTGACCTCCGCACCGAGCAGGCCTGCTTCTTCCAGGAGCTCACGCTCGCGTGCGTCTGGCTCATGGTGATCCTCGCCATTGTCAGCGGCAGCGGCCTCATCAACTGTGGAGCTGGTTTTTATGGCTGTCCGGGGTGGCGTAGTAGGGGTAGACACGTGGGATGAGACCGCGCTCGACACAGAGGCTTTTCTCATGCTGGTTCGGTCAAAGTTCAGTGCGGGCAACTCCCAAGAGTTTTGATGCTTGTGGAATGAAGATGGGGCTGCGGTTGATGGCGGTGTCTGGAACGCCTCGCCCTGTCCTGATTCAGCATCCGACCCGGCGCCTTCTGCGTGGCTGCGCTGCGAGTTGGTCGGCACGGGGACCAGGGGACTCGGCATCACCGTGCCGCTGCTGGCCTTTGAGATCTCACGACCCAGGGCGGGCTTCTCAGGGCTGCTGATGGCTTCCGACATTGGCCCTGCTGGAAGCCCCAGCATTTGCCGCTCTTCTTCGAGATCCATGAGGAGGATGTCTCGATGGCACTTGATCTTACAGATCTCGACCCTCATCCATTTGAGCTGCGCTGCCATACGCCCAGCTGCCATGAGCATCTGGTCCCGAGTCTTTGGTTGCACCGGCGCCAGCAGTTGAAGGTGCCGAGCATTCCTGAGCGCCTGCTCGAGTTTCTTTTCCTCGTGCTGGAGCTTCTCGTTGGCTTCAGCGACCTTGTGGAAGATGATTTCGCGGCGTGCAAACAGGATGTCGTGAGCCATCTGCTGGTCTACTTTCGACCGCGCGATCGTCACCTCTCCACTCGGTGTTTGTACGGCATCCGTTTCCAACCTCCTGAATGCTCTTCGGCCCTGGCCATCGTAGTTGCTGCCCAGGACGCCTCTCATGCGAACGCCGTTCGTCTTGAAAGCCGCCGCATAATTCAATTTCGCCAACCAGTCGTTCATCTCCTCTTCGTTGTCGGCAAGCAGGACCTCTTCAAGTCCTCCTTGTCTCACGTACACGAATGCATGCTTATGCTTCTTGTATGTCGCATCCAACAGGGAGACGGCGCCGTCAGTGGACATCAGGGCGTCTGGTTTAAAAGTCTCCAGCGGTGGCTTGAATATGATCGGCATGGCATCGTGGCCTTGCTTGACATGTGACTCGTACTGGTGCATGAGATTCTTGACCCAGGCAGTGTTGCGAAAGAAGTACAGCTGCGCGCCGGTAAGGATGGCCCCCCATTCTTGCCAGGGTGACCTCGTCTTTTTCTTCTTCACGTCCTTGCGCCACAGGAGGCCGACTTTCGTGACCTTTATGTCAACGACGCCAGGTTGTGCCTCCTGGGGATTCGTAACAGTCTTCTCGGTCATGAAGGCATCAGGACGAGACCTTGCTGAAACGATCTGTAGAATACCCGTTCTGAAGAAGGTTCTCTGCAGTTCCTTGAGGTTCAAGCTCTGAGCCGTCCCAAGGTAGCTGAAGTGTTCGTCCAGTTGCATCACGTCCTTCAGATTTGGCCGCAGTATGTCAAGTCTGTTATCCAAAATGATGGTATATGGATCAATGGGCTCCTTGGAAGCTCGTTTGCTTGCGGGGTCTGGCACGTTGGCATTGGGCAATATTGACTTCTTCTTGGAGGTCTTGCTGGCAATTATCCGGTCTCCATTCATGTCCAGATCATCCTCGACGTGGATGAAGGGCGTGTAGGTGATATTGTCGTAGAAAACCTCGAGTATCTCGTCGAAGATTCCTTCCCCCTTAGTATTCTTGATGTAGTCGGGTTTCTGCATTTTGTGCTTGTTGTTTTTGTTGAACACGTCGGTATGCAGAATCAGGATCGAGAAGGCTATGAAATATGCCTGATCCGGGTTCGCGTAGATTCCAGGGTTGCATTCATGATAGCGGTTGGCGAAAGCTTGTAGAAAACGATCAATGTGCTGCGTCTCCTTGGGTAGCTCCGCGGACATCAACAGCTTCCTTATAGCCATGTCCATGGGGTCGCCGAAGAAGCCAAATCTCCGCATGTAGCTCCTAAGAACAGCGAGAGAGAAGGCGTCTGAGCTCTTTGAGATCGCTGCAGCTATGACGCTGCGACTTGCGACTTCCTCGAGGCGCTCGAGGTATCTCCCTGGATTCTCATCCTCCCGTCGCTCGGGCAGGACGACCGACTCTCTTTGTATATTCAGAGAGTTATCCTTGGAGGTATTGGATCCCGGGGTGGCTGGTGTACCGGTTCCCTGACGCAGAGACTCGGGGTTGTTCCGCAACCTGCTGATCCCCAAGAGGTCACCAAAGCTTTTTCGGCCCGTCGAAGTAGATGCTCGTGGGACTGATGGTGCCAGACGCTCGTCGACGGACTCCCGGCCGAGAGAACTCATTGTCGACGACCTACCCCGCAAATTGACATGTGATCTTGTTGGCGACGAGGCACCACTGTTAGTAGATCTCGGCCGGAAGAGAGCTGTTGCTGGTGAGGCATGTGATTTCTGAAACAAAGCCCGCGCAGGCGATGGCCCTGGGGGTGTGGTTACGCCGTTGCCCCCACTGGGACCTCGGGCGACAGGAGTTTGCTGGGGTCCAAATCCAGAGGCGGCGGACGAAGTGCTCGCGCGCACGGGAGTCGAGGGTGCCAGAGACGGGTTCGAGTTGGCGTTGTTTTCATGGCTGCGATTCTTCTGCAGATGCGCAATGGGAAACATAGGCTCGGGCTGTTTTGGCTTCCGCCGTGGGAGTCGGAAGAAGTTGCTCGTGTTCGAACTAGCAGACGAGTTGGGTGCCGTACTCCCGCGCATGCGTTCCGAGCTGTCTTCGGACCTTGAGGACTCGGACAACCTGGTCGCGGGAAATGGAAGCGGGGGGTGCTGAACGGCGCCATTGCTTGAAGGGGCGTTCGATGACTTGGGCCGCTTTGGTTCCTCTATGCTTATAGACATTTTTCCGTTGGAGCTGCCGGGTAGGAAGGACTTGCGCCTGTCCTTTTTGCTGAGCCCCTGGGTTGAAGGCCGTTGCTGAAGCTGTGGATGTTGTTGTTGTTGCTGTTGTTGTTGCTGCTGCTGCTGCTGTTGCTGGTCGGCCCGCATCTCCTCTCCAGAACGCCGTAGACGACCAAACATGCGGGATGGTTTCCTGGGAACAGTACCGAAATCCACCGTGGGCGCGGTGGTTATGATATCTGGGGGAGCTGTGACGTTTCTGTTAGCCAGAGTCTGTTGGCCCCGGTCAGGGCGCGCAGGGTTGTTGAGGAGCAACGTACGGCGCGGCACAGGTGGCGCGGAGTCGTCAACATGGGCCTGCTTCTTGGCCCTGGCCGACAGCTGGGAGTCGGAGGCATTGCGAAACCTCAACATGGAGAAGCGGCGGTGTTTTGGCGTCTCGTCTTGGATGGGCGGCGAGTCGGGGCGTTCGATGGCGTCTCGATTGGGGACAGCCAGGGCATTGTCGGCGGGGGCGGAAGTCGAGGGACTGTCGTGGGGAGGAGTGACGGGGGGAGCTGGTATTGCAGGAGTCGAGCCATTGGCAGGAGCGGCGTCGGCGTCAGCGTCAGCTGAGGCGTGGGAGTCGAAGCGCAACAACTGCAGTTGAGGCAGGTCGTTGTGTGAGGTGGAGGACCTCAAGGGCGGCGGTTCTTTGGGGTCGTGGACCTGGTCTTCTGGGTCCAGAGCTGAGCGGCGCAACTCAGACTCGCTGGCCGGAGTTCCACGCTTGGTGCGAAGAAAGGGCATAATGTGAGTTGGCGGGGATCACCATAGCTTCAGTCCTGGAGAAACGAGTCGACGGCAGGGGTACTATTCCGTTCTGTCAGCCATACCGGTTGGACAGGAGTGGTTGGTTCGGGGATTGCGGCGACGGCGGCACACGAGGTTCGGTCTGGTGGAGGTTGTGGTTTTGGTGGTGGTGGGCGGCCGAGAGAGGCAGTGCAGTGCAGGATGGCCAGGGCAGTTGGCTGCACAGGGCGGGCAAGGCTCGAAGGATTGGGATGGAGCGGCGTGGTGTCGTCGAGAAGAGTCGTGGGCTGCAGGGCTGCAGGGCTGCAGGTTGGGAGGACTGACGAGAGGATTACGCCAGAGCTGTTGTCCCGTGGCTCCCGTGGCTCCGCGGCTCCGACCAAGACAGAGAGGCCAGGCCAAGGCTCTAGGTATAGTCCGACGGGATGGGCGGCGATGGAGAGGTTGGGAGGATGGGATGTCGGAGTTGGCTGGAGGCCGGGAGGCTGGACGTCGGAAGGCTGGACGTTGGATTTGGACGCTGGAGGGGTTTGTCCTGCGCGCCCCAAGACGCAACTGCAGGAGGCAGGCAGGCAGGCAGGCAGGGTAGGTTCCTTGCAAGTTGGCGTGGCAGGTGTGGTAGCTTGCGAGGCGGGCAGGTTCGGCAGGGCTGGCTCCTGGAAGCAAGGGCTCCCGCGGGATGCTTTGGGAGATCAATCAATGCTCGAGTGGCCGGTGTGCCGTGACAGCCTTCCTGCCTTCCTATTCCTGGGTGGCAGGAGACAGACGGGCCTGATGACAGGGAATAGGGGATACACCCTGGACCACCAGGGCCACCAGGGCCACCAGGGCCAAAAGACAGTAATGTGCCTGGCTCCTGGCAGTTGTGATGGGCGCCAAAGTAACGGGAAGCGGGTCGGCTTGTGCCAATTCCCTTCTCTCCACTTTGGAGCCACGAGAGATGACGGGCATGGGCTTCCAATCCCCACACTCTTCTCTTGCTTCCCTTTCAGCTGCAGCCATTCCGACCTGCCCCAGCACCAGCGTAACGCTGGAAATTTCCCGTTGCGGTCGGCCCTGCCCCAGACGCATGCACGCAAAATCCACGCAGACCACACAACCACAAGACACGCGCGCAGGCGCACGGGACGCTGGATGCTCCCTCGTGCCAGCCCCAACCAGGCCCAGGCGACAGGGACCGAGATGAGCGCCTGATGATCAAGCTCTTGTCCTACTTGTTCCTACTTGCCGTCTCTCCGGCATTGCAGAGGCTGCATGCTGCTTACCACATTACTTGGGACGAGTTTGATATTGCAACTCGGATCCTACGGCGGTGGACTCGCCAGTGCGGCTGCAGCACAACAAGCTCAGAGTCAATTGTCTTGACCACATGCTGACGGAACCTAATTGATTGTGCTGCCACGGTAGTCTGGGTACTCGGCACTCGACTTTATACGGCAACCATGTACTGTGTTGTGTCGGTAAGGGGGCCTACCTGCTGGTCTGTCCGTATCTTTAATTGGCCAATCACACAGATATCGTATACAGCACTTGGTAGGGCTATTTTCCCCCCTGGGCCCTTGGGTGTGGCTACCTAGGTACTTAGGTTTTCGAGCCTCAACTGTCGGCCGGTTGACGCCAAGCTCCCAAAACGGGTGCCTAGCTACCTCAATGCTATCTGAGTGGCTATCTATCTACCTATCTGTTTATCTATCGCAGGTTGGAGGGACAAATAATACTTGGCCCAAGGACCATGATCACGGCCTGTTTGCAAGCAACAACAACAACATCATCATCCCTTGCATCCTTTGCCATAACCTAAGCAGACCCGAGGACCGAACGCTCTTCGGATGCTGGGCCGCCCTGCACGGTGGTAGCCGCTACGAGGCCGCGACGCAATCGGCCGCCACTTCTATCTAACCGGTCCCGAGTTTCGATTCCCAACCTCCCGCACCTGCACCGTCAGTTCCGACGTGCATACAGAATAGCCCTCGCCCGGCGTATGCCTCGCCCCGCCCTGCCACGATAAGATGCAGCTCCCATCCACCCTCCTCCTCCCCGTCCTCCTCGCCTCCTCCGCCCCCGGCATCGCCGCCGCCGCCGCAGCAGCACACGGCCTCCACAACCACCACCACCACCCGGAACGGTCCGTCTTCCCATGGCTGACATGGCTGCGGGATAGCGCGGTGGAGATGGTCTTTGGCCACCCGCCCTCGAGGAAGTTTGAGCACTATGAGCCAAGCCTGGGCCGGAGATATCAGAATGACATTGTCCTCCGCTTCAACGTCTCCACCGCCGAGGAGGAGACCGCCCTGGCAAAGGCCACGGAGCGTATGTTCCTGGACATATGGTCGTGGGATGGCACCGGCACCGTCGACCTGATGGTACAGAAGAAGAGCCTCAAATCGCTGCTGGAGCTGCTGCCGCCGTCCCTGGGCAGGTCGTACTCGGTCATGGTCGACAACCTGCCCTCCGCCATCTATGCGTCCTATCCCTCCCCACCGAAACCAAAGGAGCCGTCCCCCCAGCTCGAGCGCAAGTTCAGCGTCGACCTGATGAACCCGCCCCGGTCCCCCAACGGCGGCGGCGGCGGCGGCGGCGACGAGGGCCTGTACTTCTTCCGCAACTACCAGCCCCACAGGGTCGTCATGCGGTGGATGCGCCTGATCGAGGCCATGTTCCCCTCCTTTGTGCGCTACACCACCATCGGCCAGTCCTACGAGGGCCGCGACATCCCCGCCCTCGTCGTCGGCCCCGGGTTCACCGGCGAGGGCCAGCCCCGCCGCACCCTCGTCGTCATGGGCGGCTCCCACGCCCGCGAGTGGATCTCCACCACCACCGTCAACTACCTCGCCTGGGCCCTCGTGACCAGCTACGGCAAGGACCCGCTCGTCACCAGGTTCCTCGACAAGTTCGACGTCGTCTTCATCCCCGAGCTCAACCCGGACGGCATCGAGTACACCTGGACCGCCGACCGCCTGTGGCGCAAGTCCCGCCAGCACACCAGCGGCATGTACTGCCACGGGCTCGACCTCGACCACGCGTTTGGGTATCAGTGGGACGGGTCTGGGCTGCACGACAGCGACCCCTGTTCAGAGAGCGTATGTTGCCCTGAATCTCCTCCCCTTAGACACAGTTTGCATTTCATGAACGGGCTGGCCCATGTCTCCTCCCCAGCAGGACGCTGCAACGAACAATTCACCCCGGGTGGTCTGCTAACAAGTCAAACCGGACAGTTCGGCGGCGACGAGCCCTGGGAGTCCGTCGAGGTCTCGGCCCTGCGCGACTGGGCCAAGCACCAGGCCGAGGCCAACAACGTCGACTTTGTCGGCCTGGTGGACCTGCACTCGTACTCGCAGCAGATCCTGTTCCCCTACGCCTACACCTGCGGCGTCGAGCCGCCCAACATCGAGAAGATGGAGGAGCTGGCCCTGGGGCTGTCAAAGTCCATCCGGCTCTTCTCGGGCGAGAGCTACTCCGTCAAGGCCGCGTGCAGGGGCGCCGTGGCCGGCTCCGGCTCCGGCTCCGGCGGGGCGGCCCCCCTGCGCGTCGAGCCCACGGGCGGCTCGGCCATCGACTGGTTCTACCACGAGCTCGGCGCCCACTACAGCTACCAGATCAAGCTGCGGGACACCGGTAGTTATGGCTTCCTGCTGCCTAGCGACCAGATCATCCCGACTGGGGTATGTACCGATACCAACCTACTAACGCTTTCACCTGTAGACTACTAGTAGCTGACAAACACCGCCAACAGGAGGAGATCCTGCACTCGATCAAGTACCTCGGCGACTTCCTCCTCGGGAACGACGGCATCGAGAACCTGCAGGCCGGCGGCGGCCCCGGCGAGGAGGCTCTCGACGACGAAATCGCGGAGCTCAAGAGGCTACGCCGCAGGATATAGGTGCTCGTGCGTTCTGCCGGGCTGAGGATGGCTGGGCTCCCCTTGCAAATGGTAATCTTGTCTGTGTTTTGTTGGCTTCTTGCATAGGGCGTTCTCGGGGACTTGGGCGGGACCAAGAAACAAAACAAAAAGAAAGGAAAAAACAGCGACGTTGGGGCTCTAGGTTGTTTGCCCCCCGGTGCCGCAGCGGTGTTATGATTGAATGTGAAAAAGTCAGGCATGGTCTCTTCATTTTGTGTAGCAAGCATAGGGAAATGGTAATATCCAATTTGTCCTGCGTGTGTGTCTCTTACGCGGTCATGGTATATCCCCCCCGACTTCATAGGGGACTCTTTCCTTGGGGACTCGCTGTTACGGGGCCTCCTCCTACGAGACAACATTACATGATCTAGTAGGATAATTGCATAAACGCTTATGGAACAACTTCCTATATGAATACCATCCTATAAGACACCCTTGTGGGAATTCTCCTGTATATAAGATTCCCTCTTATGGAATGACCTACAGAGGAACCTTTTATAGAAGACAATCAAGTAAATATATATAAAAAGTTTAACCCACAAGAACTCCGCTTCCAAGTATTTTTAGTCTTGAAGATGTGCCGGATGTACGGTAACAGTACATGTGACAGTCATTGATTTTCGCTCGTGGGTTTACCTATCGCCTGTCAGCCATTGAGATGTCTGTCTTTCATGACATGTGCTCTAAACCCAACAGAGGCCCGGCACTTGCCCAAATTGGAATTGCTCACCGGGGCCTCGTGGGGACCTCAAATGTGATGCTCTCCACTGAGCGGCACAACACAGTGATATCAATTCTTAAAATAGTTGCGCACCCAGGAAATCACGTGTAGAACATAATAATATATGCCGTTGGTACCTAAGTAAGACGGCGATCGAGGAGATGAAATGTGATTTAGGGACACACTGTGGCTTTCAGTATTGAATTATACAGCCCCAAAAAAAAAAGACAAACCCAGCCTCCCTCCGTCTAGTCCTCACAAAACCCCCCAACACCCAGCGCCAGCCAGGGAGAAGTGCCCCCCCCCCCCCTCAGACCCCCCTGATCATCTGCACGCCGTTGTAGCACGCAGTAAGCACGAGGCCCAGGCCAAACAGGTAGTGTCCCAGAGCACCACTGGACAGATCGGTTAGTTTAAGTCCCCAGCGCCTCAAGAACCCAAAAAAAGAACGCGGACAAGAGATTCTCGGAGGGAATTGTCACTTACGTCACCCGCCCCTGAGGACCGCCGCTTGTGTCTGACAGGCGAACGAGATACAAATGTCAGTCAAGAGCGTCCCATCTGGGATGGGAGGACAGCCGCAGCCAGTCAAGTCACTTACAGCCGATGGTATACACGACGCGCGACACGAGCCAGCCGGCCCCCATGACGGCGGCCGGGACGGGGAACCGCGTGCCGGCGATGAGCATCGAGGTCAGGTAGGGCGTCAGGTTCTCGGTGAAGTTGGCGTGGGCGCGCTGGGCTGTTTGTTTGTCCACGGCGGCCGGCTGGTCAGCAAGGCTGTGGCCCCGAGGAGGCAGGGATGGATGGATAGATCCATAATCGCCCCCTGGCCTCTCGCCGGTGGTGGTGATTGATGGTGCTGGGGACTCACCGCAGTTCAGCTGGAACGCGGCAGGGTTCTTCTCCGCCTGCTCGGCCGTCGCGTACGTGTTGGGGTACCCGATGCCCTTTTTAGGTCCCGAGATGTCAGCGGTGCGGTGTTGGTGGCTCCCGTCTAGTGCTCACGCTCCGCCGGTGGGCGCCAAGGTGATGGATGGATGGACCATCAGCGCCGGCCAGCCAGACAGACAGGCAGGCCGTTGGCTAGCTAGGTAGGTAGGTAGCTAGGGACGGCCCGCCGGGGGCTGGGGCGCATTGCTCGGCGCCGTTTTGAGCGGAGCGGATGGGTGGGTGGGTGATGACGATGCTGTCTAGGTAATTTACGTACACTGGCCTTCCTGGCCTTGGTGGTCTGGACGCCGTGCCAGATGTTGACGAAGACGGTCGACGCCGCGGCGAGGAGGACGTATCTTTTTTTGGGCGCAGGGTTAGAATAGAGTTTCTCACGGATTCTTCTTCACTTCACTCTTCCTCCGGATCTCTCGGGCCTGTCTGTCTCGACTCACCCGTAGTCGTTGGAGATCTCGAGCAGGACCATTTTTGCTTTGGCAGACGTTCACTTGGATTAAAGTTTCTGAGGCTTTGCTTCCCGAGGCGAGGACGGAGGATGATTAAAAAAAAAGCAAAAGATTATGCTTAAACAACCAGGCTTTTATTTCTTCTCGCCGGTTAAAAGTAGTCTTCTGTCCCAAGGGATGATGTCCAGCCGAGCGGGACGGATGACATAATTCACAATCGGCGCCGCTGTAAACCCCAGGGTGCCGCCTTCCACCTCTTTCCACGCACCATGGGGAGACGAAACCCCTGGCGGCGGGCGTTTGGACCCGTCTCGGGCAGGTGTTTCGCCCGGTTGCGAGCTCCGCAGCTCCGCAAGGAAAAGCCAGGTTCGCCCTCGCGGTGGACAGGTAGCAGAGAGCTTGGGCCGCCCCTCCAGGCTGACAAAGTCTCCGGGGGACGACTCGTGCAAATCTGCCCGGTTTTGTGGTACCTCTCGTTGGCACCCCTTGGCTGATGTGAGCCAGCCTGTGTGAGTGGCACCGAGTGCCGACGGGGTTTAGGCGGGGTTTGCCGCGACGGGGTTCGAGGTCAGGGACCCCGTTTCTGTTGACTCGGGGGCCTCATCTTGATGGAAGGGCTTGCAGCAAGAGATGGCTGTCTTGGTTCATTTTTGCATCGTCAGGATGGTGGTTGGTGTTTAGGGAAAGAGGTTGGAAGCGACAGCCGCGGTATTTATTAACGGTCTGAACCTCTCGCTTTATTACCGGGGCTTCCGCTCGGCGCAACCAACAGGTTAGCTGAAGGCACGTCAATTCTCCAAGCAAAGGCGTGACTTTTTACCACGCAGTTGAGTGGCTTCTAGAGATAGTACGCTAGCCACTGTCAAGTCTGTCACGAAACCTGCCAGTGCTGTCTGAATGGGTACCTCACAGGCGGATTCCGTGTACTTGAAGCCTCCGGGACAGCGTTTCATCCGGTACACCTCTCGCGTGGGGCCCTGAATACGAGTCCCAGGCCCTCAAATACCCTCTTCTCTGCCTCCTCCATCGTCGGTGCAGGCCCCTTGCCGCCGTCTTCCAGGTCCACCCAGTCGTACGGAGGCTGGCGCGACCTGATACCGCTGCTGTCGAACTTGAGGTTCCTCTCATACTTGCAGTAGAGACGGAGGTCGCGCTGGAACGTTGTCTCAGAGCTCCAGCCCAACACCGCGCAGCCGACCGTCTTCCACGGGCTGATGAGGATGTCTACCCTGCGGTGAGGGTTTGGATTCTTTGGCTCAGCTTCACCGGGTTCGAACACGGGGTCCTGCCAGACCACGAGGGCCTTGTCGAGGGTGTCAAACCCTGTGCCCCCGGGTGCTGATGATTTGAAACTTGTTGGCCTCTGGTTTCGCTCACTATTGTGAGCGCTCATGGTAAGAGTGTGGGCTGGGAGTCCATGCGTGGTCAGAGGTAGACACAGATGCTTCGGGGTGAACTAGCCACTCACTGATGTACTTTTCATTTTCAAGGCTGATGACTAACTTGTTGATGAAGTTGTGCGTGGCGTCTTCATCGCGATGGCTCAACATGATGTCAACGTCACCGCTCATTGACTTTCCTCTGCGGTATCCTCCAACCACCGTCATCCGGAAGCCTTCTCGTATGCTGTTCGCATGCTGCAGAACTGTTGCCGCAATGGAGTCGGTCTCCGGCCTCGGTATCTTCATCAGAAATTCCTCGTAGTATTTGACACCGATTTGCTGTGACCTAGTGATGGTGTTCCAACCGTATTCAACTATGTCGTCGAGGTCTCGCCAGCCTCTCCTGTAGAAGCTTTCGGCCGTGACGGCGGAGACTCCAAAGACATCGGTGAAGGTCTTTATCGCCGTCAGCTTCACGTCTGAGGCTGCATTGCGGATCTCGGGCAGCTCGCCAGAGTCTTGGAATTCCGAGAACAGGAAGGCGAACTTATCGCCACAGCCCGGTAGCCTTCGCACTTCTGGAACCATAGCGTAAGCAGTTGATATCGATGGTGGCCAGAATGAGAGGGTCTTACCAGCAGGGCTTTGCAATCGATAGGGGTAGGCTGACAAGGACGCAATCGCAGTAGAATATGCTCTTACGCCAACCACGTTTCCTTTGATAGACCTGAGTTCCCTGACCTCCTTTAGCTTTTCGATGAATGCTTCGTTTGGTGGATGGACGACTGTTGCTCGTTGGCACGAGTACTTTGTGTGCAAGTACTCAGGAACTGGTGGCAATTCAGCAACGGCATTTTCTTCTGTTGTGGACTGAGCCAGTAGAGGCGGGGCCTTGTGGTGGTGACCCGTGCCTTCCCGCCGTCGAGACAGCGAGTATGAAGAAGCTGAGGCCTGAGATCCTGCTGCAGATTGCTGGGATCGTTGCGGTAAACCGAATGTCGTAGGGGACTCGACTGCCTTGTACAGTTCTGGCGCTGGGGGTGCTGGCGCTCTGCGGGCCGTATATACCAAATAGTCCCTGCAGTCTACCAAGCTGCCCTTCGCCAGTGAGTCTTGCAGCCAGTCAAGACGAACAACCGACCTCGCAGCCGTGGTGGATGACTCCTGAGGCTGTATGTGCTCATCGCCGGAGTCTTCGAGCGAGCTGCTGCGGAATGCATAATCCTCGAGACAGGAAATCTTTCGTCTCTTTGCCCTGGGACTCGAATCTGGCTTGCCGGCTGAAGATGATGCCTCTTCGGCGGATAATTTCAACTTCCGCAGCTCAAACTGGGCCCGCAGTCTTTGGGTGACTGATAATCTTGATGTCAATCATCTTGTTCGAGTGCAAAGGATATGCTGTGCGCCTGGACCCGAACGTGTGACTGCCATGATGCTTGTGTGACGCCTTTTCGATCTCGTCCATCGGGAAGATATGCGATCGAGCTCGAACAAGGATGGGTGAACATACCCTTTCCAACAATGAAATCTGCTTCACTGGCGACCTGGGTCAGCTGGACGATACTTGCTGCCCTGTCTGCCAACAGGCGCAGCTCATCAGAACTCAAGCGTGTTGGTAAGAGATATACCACTGGCGTTGGAGGATCCATCGAACGTGGTGTGAAAGGTAGATTTAAAGCTGTGGTGGAGGGGTCAAGGATGTGTGTAGAATGCAGCAAGGGAAGCCCGCTAAATTGTCACAGCCAGCACTCTTTCTTTTGCCTGGGGTGACGCCATCATTACCGGAAGTTGACCATGGTCTCATTTTATATCGCAGGGACTTTGTGTAGATAAATTCCGTAGAACCTCACATTTCAGGATATCACTTGGACAATGAGACCCTGAGCATGGCTCGCACGCTGTGGCAGAAGCAGTGTCACCTCGTCTGTGACGTTCTTATTTTAACAACCTCCCATAGGATAACCTGCCAACCTACTATAGTACAACTGCCTATAAGACAAGACACCAGTGATGGGCAAGCCGCAGAGGCTCTGCTACGACATCGTACAACTTTTCGAAGATGTGGTGGTGTTACGGCCATAGTGCATGTGGTTTTATGTCCTCTGGAAGGTACGGAGTAGTCTACCTACCCAAGGTACCCAGGTACTCTGCTTATTAGTGAGTCGGGATCCCACCTGCAGCCTTACTGCACTAACAGGGGGCCAATTCCTGTTACCTGATTGTGGGGCAAGGCTTTCAATATTCCATTGTCAACCTTGCAGTCTGTCTGCATCGTCCGTGCCTCGGACGACCTTCCTTTCGCATCACCAACCCACCTGGCGAGCCTCAAGTTCGTTCTTGAAGCACGCCCGCCGGTCCTAATCCCACAGCGCACCAGCGGAGCCGTTCGTTTCCTCGAAGCAATCGCATCATCAACATGCACCCGTCCTGATGGATTTGGCAAAGCAGCTGGTGCGCTCCTGCGTGCGCGCATTCTACCAGCAGCCCAACTTTGACGTCCGCCACATCCTCGTCATTGACGCCCTGGTAATCCACTCGGCGTACGTCTCGTGCCAGGTCAAAGAAAGGAGACGGGAGGTGCCAGGCTTGCTAAAACACTGCTCCCAGGCTGCGCGACGATGATCTTGCATACCTCCTTAGCATGACGGCGTTGAAGGATCTCCACAAGCTCTGCGCGAAGCTCAGGGATGACCGTTTCCTGGCCATGTACGTTTGGCCATCCTCATCGCCTCCCATCGTCTTTGCGCTCCCACGACTGACTTGGCATGTCCGTCTAGACACGTACGATCAGAGCTCAAGGAGGGATCCGTCCGCCCCGTCAACCGAACCTACTACTACATCGACTACAGACAGACGATAGACTTCATCAAGTGGAGAGTCTACAAGCTAGGGAAGGACATGCAGGTGCCCACAGTACCCGCTAACGAGCGCAAAGAGTACGTCTGTCCGAGGTGCAAGGCAGATTACACCCAGCTTGAGGTCCTCGACAACGTGAGCGCCCAGGGCTTCCTCTGCCAGCGATGCAATCACGTCCTCAATCACGAAGCGGAGAGGACCTCGGCCGGACACGAGAAGGTCACCCGGCTCAACAACCAGTTGAAGTTCATCACCGACTTGCTGCTCCGCATCGACAGTGTCGTTGTCCCAGACAACAACTTTGACTTTGCGATCCAGGCCGCCCTGCCAGTCGTCAGAGATGCCCAACACCAGGTCGTAAAGAGCACAGTCGTGGAACAAGCGAGACCTACCAGCGTCAAGGGCCTGGCTGATACGGGCCCCAAAAAGATCGACATCAACATCTCCAACTCAGAGGGCCCCTCGGAGGAGGAGAAGGAGGCCGAGCGGTTACGCAAGGAGAAGCTGGCGAAGCAGAACGAACTGCCAGAGTGGATGTCAAGCAGCACGGTCAACGGGGCCTCATTCTCCACCGCCGGAGCTGGAGGTGCCGCGGTCTCGAACGCCGACACGGACAAGGAGACGCTCAAACGGCCACAGGCGCTCGACGAGACAGAAGCCCAGAAGCTGAGCAGCTACATGGAGAACCTCAAGCGGGAGCAGCAGGCAGCCCTCGCCGCGCAGCAGGACGAGTCATCCGACGAGGAGGACGAGGGGGACTTTGAGGACGTGGTCGCGACACCACCGCTGATCCCCGCTGGGACCGCGATAAAACCTGCGCCTTCGCCCCTCCGACAGTCCAGTGTCCCGGTGGCCGTCAAGCGCGAGGCCGACACGAATGGGTCGGGGATCAAGCGCGAGAGCCCCGGGGACGACAGGCCCGTGAAGAAGGTCAAGGTCGAGGAGCCTGCAGACGATGGGGACGACGATGAGGAGGACATGGAGTTCGAGGATGTGTGAGATGGGCTTACCCAGCAGGACGAAAGTACCCCAGGATTGCTCAATCACATACACTCCAATCGCATGCACTATTTCCATAACCATAAATTTAAAAAATGGTAAGATGTCATGTGGCTTGCCTGCCTCTGGTGTCTTTACAGGAGTCTGTCCATGGGAAATCGGTCTCGAGGAGGCTGACCCATAGGGAAATTGGTCTGGAAGGGGAGGTGGTAGAGATACAGTGGCTGTGTAGCGGACACCGGAGCAATTGTTGGAAATGGGGGGTTCTTCGGCGGCGGTGGTCACACCCTGGTGGCGGTTAAACGGAACGCCATGGCTATCGACCGTTGAATCACTTCACTACGAAGGGTATGGATCAATCTTGATTGTGTCGTCTTTCCATATTTGGGTTCATAGTCGTGAATAGTTGATAGATCGGTGGGGCATCCAAGGGCACAGGCACACTGCATAGATCAACGTCGACGCAGATTGACATTCCATATGCGGATAATTATCCTCTTACCCCAAAAACAGGACGAGTAATAAGAGAGCATTTGTTACCATGGCGGCCAGTCAAACCGAAGCGAATTAATAGTGCTGTAAACGAGCAGTAGTCTTCAACAGGGTGAAAGCGACCCCTGCCAAGACTGCAGCATGCCAGTGGTCCAAGCTTACTCATAAACCTGCGCGGAAATCTTATCAGATCTCTCAAGTCGACCCGAACCATTTTTAAAACGTCTGCCCTCGCGAGAACAAGCCGACGGAGAATGATATTGGGACTTGGCGCGCGGCCTGTCCTACGGGGCCTGCGCCCTCAAGGCCTGCGCCCTCGCGTGGCCCATCACTCCTACAGCAGCAGCACGCCGGGCGGCATCGCCACGGTGCCTCTGGTCTACGACCTCCACCAGCCAGCCAAGCCGGTCTCGGCCAACCCGGACCGCACGTCGCCCATCCTGTTCCTGCACGGGCTGTTTGGGTCCAAGAAGAACAACCGCAGCATCTGCAAGTGAGTATTTTTGGTCCGGCGGGTGATGAACACGGCAGACACAGACAGGGCCGGGGCTAAATACCGTGTGTCACTGCCGTAGAGCACTTGCCCGGGATCTTGGCCGCTCGATATATGCCCTTGTAAGTCGTCGACAGACAGACAGACAGCCTTCCATTTTCAACGAAAAAGAAACTAATGTGTCCCGGAGGATCTCCGCAACCACGGCGACTCGCCCCACGCCCCGCGCCATGACTACACGGCCATGGCGGAGGACGTCGGCGCCTTCATAGAGGAGCACGGGATAGAGGAGCCGACCATCATAGGCCACTCGATGTGAGCAAGGCCCCTTCTTTCTTTGAGGTCTCTGGGCGGAAATGCTGACTGCTACCACCCACGCGAAAAGGGGGGCCAAGACAGCCATGACGCTAGCGCTGCGCTCGCCGGCCATGGTCAGGGACATCGTCTCCGTAGACAACGCGCCCATCGACGCGGTCCTGTCCACCGACTTTGCCAAGTACGTCCGGGGCATGAAGAAGATCGAGGACGCGGGCGTGACCTCGCAGAAGGCGGCCGATGCCATCCTGGCAGAGTACGAGGAGGTAGGTTTTGCTCCCATTGACGCCTCAGAGAGGATGATCGGCCGGGTAAAAAAAAAAAAAGAAAACACTCACTCACTAACAAATAACAAAAACATAAAGTCCCTGCCCATCCGCCAGTTCCTCCTGACCAACCTCTTCACCCCGGAGGGCAGCAGCACCAAGAAGTTCCGCGTGCCCCTCGACGTGCTGGGCAGGGCGCTGGCCAACATGGGCGACTTCCCCTACAAGGACCCGGCAGCGGCGCGTTTCGAGCGGCCGGCGCTGTTCGTCCGCGGCACGCGGAGCAGGTACGTGCCGGACGAGGTGCTGCCGGCCGTGGGCGAGTTCTTCCCGCGCTTCGAGGTCGCCGACGTCGAGGCGGGCCACTGGCTGATCTCGGAGAACCCCGAGGCGTTCAGGCAGGGTGAGTGTTCCTGGGTTTCCTTTCCCCTCCCCCCCCCCCCCATGAGGGCCGTCCCGGCGTTGAGACGCCCCCATTGGGGCAATATTGTGTGTTGTTCTCACTGACCTCCCCCTGTACACAGCTGTTGTGCCGTTCCTGAGCCCTAAGGAGTAGCGTTTCATGGGGGATGAATAGAGGTGTATAGAAAATAGAAGTCGAGGCAGCATGGAAATAAGCCCCCACGGGCCAACTGCTCGCATGTGCATCATCACTACCCTAGTGTACTCGGTCTGAGAATATAATGAATTTGTTACAACCTCAAGGGTGAAAAGTGAAGATGAAGCACAGAAAACAACTGGTTTGCGCCTCCCGTTATCCATCGCCCGTCTAATTTTTCGCACGCTTTACTATGTATGTATGCCACTCATGTCCTCGATGCCCACGCATCCATCCCGTCTATCCGTCATCCAGTCATTCATTAAGTGAGCCTTCAACCCCGCGGGAGAAAACAACAATCAACATGCCAGGGGGCGAAGGGTGTTCCCCAGTCTCAAAACAACCCAAGATACCGAAAAGGGGAAAAAAAAAAAATCAGCAGGCACACCCCGACGCAGCGCCCTCCTCACCCCCAACCTTGACCGTCCCCCTCCCGCCGTCAGCGGCGCTCATGACGTCGGGCTTGCTGACGATGGCGTCGACGATGTCGACAAACGGCCTGCGGACGCCGTCCCCCGTCTTGGCGCTGACCTCGCAGAAGCTGGCGCCGTGCGCCTCGGCGAGCGCGCGGCCCTCGGCGGCGGGCACCGCGCGCGCCCGGTCGGCCTTGGCGCCCACGAGGTACAGCGCCACCCCGGGCACCGTGTTGAGCTCGACCTCGTCGAACCAGCGGTCCATCGAGGCGAAGGACGTCCGCGACGACGCGTCGTAGACGAGGATCACGCCGTGCGCGCCGCGGTAGTAGGACGTCGAGAGGGTGCGGAAGCGTTCCTGGCCGGCCTTTTTTGGGGGAGGGGGGTTTGAGTGTCAGTCATGTATGTGTGTATGTATGTATATATGTATGTATGGGAGCCAATCCATCCCGCCCCGACGCTGCGTTGTCGTGTCCCGGGGGGGGGGGTGCTGTCCATGCATGGGAGACGCAGGGTCCAGGGGGTAGGTATGTGAAGCGTTGGCCGGGCCGGGCTAATACTCACGGTATCAAAGAGCGTCAGGCGGTACGCCTTCCCCCTGACTGAGAGTTTCTTAATCTGAGGACAACACAGCGCTGGTCAGAACCCTTCCGTACGAGACGACCAAGTCGCGCCCTCCCCGTGAGGTGACACGTGACCACCGCCTCATGAGTCGGCGGGAAGGGAGTGACATACTTTGAAGTCTATCCCGATGGTCGCCGTTGCTGATTCGGGCTCAAAGACATCCTCACAATATCTCATCAACACTAAGCGCGGGGTCAGCTACTAAGCAACATCTCCCGTTGAGCACCACCACCACCCTCGCTCAGAGCCAGCCATGAGCGGAGGGGAGGACAGACAGACAGACAGACAGCTCGCGGCTGCGTGAGGCGGTGAAAGAGGCCCGGGTGGATAAGTAGCTTACACGCGGATTTCCCAGCGCTGGACGGGCCGATGAGGAGCACCTTCAGGGTCGGCAGGGAATCGTCGGAAGCCATGATCACGGAGGTATGGGTTTCGAAATTTCAAGACAAGAAGAAGGTCTGCAGCAGAAAATTAGGTGGCCATAGTTGAGTTCCCTAGGTGAGTCTTGTTGGCACTGTAGGTATGTAGGTGGGCGCGCGTATTTTGAGCAGGGGAGGTGATGTAGGTAAGTGGGCTGGGCACTTAGCTAGGCACGACACGACAAGTGCTCAGTGAGTGAGGTCAGAGCCAGTCGAAAGCTTGTTTGCCCCTCCAGAAAACCGAACCCCATGACCACCACCACCATAACGGGCCGGGATTTCAGAAACACGGGTAGGACCCTTATTGAACCGCACCAACTGCCTCACATCAGGAGGAACAGTTTCCGGTTGGGTTATAGGTATGCTGGTTTTACTGACATGGTGGAGTGGCACGTAAATATCTGGCTGCACATGGCTACAACACCTAACCAAGCACATCAAAAACGACGGACGGGTAATTTGAATTGCCTCTCTGTATTTGGCCCTTTTACGGGCCGACCTCTACGTCCACAACACCACCCTCCGATGCTTTGCGTATCCGAACCCGAAGTACGCCATCCTCGCACCGTCGTCCAGGACGACTCCCCAAAGGGCTGAACCGAAAATGACAGGGCGGACATCTCACAGGCTTGTAAATGGCGTGGCGCTCGCCGCCTTCCTTTTTTGTGTGTTCGATTTCCCTTTTTGATTCATTCCGGCCTGGACTCGTAAAGGCACAGATATCCATGACTACTCTGTACCGGTCGCCACGCCAAAAGTAACGAATAAGCAAGACCCACGCCCCTGAGAGGTATTGCCTGAAGAAACCGTGTCCATGCCGCGCTCCAAGTCAGTTTTGTCGTCGCCTCAAATTTACACCTCCTCGAGAACGCGCTCCTTGAACTCCCGCTCAACCTTCTGGCCCTGCTCGTCCGTGGACGACTCGCCGTGGAGGGCCAGGAGGGTACCGAGGTCGAACTTGGGCTGCTTCAGCAGCTTGACCTTGCGGATGTGCACCTGCGATACAGTCAGTCTCCCGTCTTTCGTGATGGTCCGGCCGTGGGCGCCCGGCCGGATTTGGGGGGTCCACGTACGTTCTGGAGGGGGTAGATGCCCTGGGTGGCCTTCTCGATCTCACGGCCGATGACCTCGGGGATCAGCTTGTTGGTCAACTGCTGCAGGGTGCAGCTGCCGGCCTCACGGGTGATGATCTCGGTCATCTTTCGTCGGATGGCACGGATCTGGGAAGAAGCGGCGTAGGTGGTCTTCTTGATCTGGTTGGGGCGGCGCTTGGTGAAAGCGATGGCGAACAGGCGGAGGAGGTAGTCGTCGGTGGTCTTGACCGTGACGTTGGCCTCGATCAGGGATTGCCACTTGCGGACGAGCGACCGCAGCTTGTCGGATGTGAAGTCGAGACCGTGGAAGTTGGTCAGGCAGTTCTTGCCCTGAACCTCGTCGATGCGGAGCTTGATCTTGCGGAAGGCGTGGTCCTCATCCTTCTGCAGGTCGGCGAGGGAGACCTCGACGATACGGCCCTTCAGGGAGTCGTTGGCGTTCTTGAGACCGGTGGTGCGGTTGACAAGAGTCTTGCCGACACTGTAGCAGGAGCTGTCAGATCCAGTTCCTCACCCTCTCAAGTGCTCGGTGCGATTCGTATATCGGGTTGCTTACTCTCGGACGTTGAAAGGCGCGGGGGCCTGTTCGCGATGTCTGTCAGTCGGGGTGCTCGTGTGCAGTGGCGATTGTGGGCATTTTGAAATCGTACCTTGATGCCGTACCAGTCCTTGCGGGAGAAGGGGTCGACGGTCTTCTTCTTGAGACCCTTCTTGCCCTTGGACAATCTCTTGTTCCTGTTCAAAGCACACCCATCAGCGATATGTTCGTCTTCGCCGCCGGCTTTTTCGAATTTGGCAATCGTGCATCGTCGCTGGGATTGGAGAATTCGACGTACTTGCCAACAGCCATCTTTGCGAGGTTCGGATCTCAAAGACGGGCAATGGTTCGTTAGGTGGGTGGAATTGAGAGATCGCGAGATTCGGTATTCTGGGCGGAGACAGGCGTCAAATCGACAATGCGAATTTTCTGAAGAGACCTGGGCCGGTGGTGCGGATTCGCGCGTGGTCCGAGCGCCTCGGAGGCTGGAGGGACCTATTTCCGGTGAGCGTACCTCCGTACCGATTTGCAGACCCTAACCCTCTATGCCTCCCCGCTAACCCGGTAATTTGGACACTGTGATATCGCCCCCATGGATGAGTGCTGAGTCAGGATATGCATTCAGAGCCAAAAATCAAGTTATCCGTGCTGGTTCCTGAAAATCCCCGACATGGGTGTGTGCCTGCCGCCAACTGACAGCTGTTGACTTTTGATGCCAATCGCGACGAGCCACATGCTCCCCACGGTACGCCGGCCCAGCCCAACTTGCCCAAAAGCTTACTGTGGCACACTGAGTCGCTCATGTGCTCTAATAACAGCAGCGGAGGAATGCCCAACGGTTCCTGGCCCGCCAGCGGGGCTGCGTCTCAGCCCGAGCGAGACCTCGTCCAGGTGGCCAGCAGGATTTCCAACCGAACCATGAACCCAGGGTGGTTCGCCTCATGTTTGCCGTGGCAGCATCTACCAGAAACAGAGAGCCACGTTGGTCCTCAGGGGCAGTAATCTATGGGCATATCGGTCTCTATGCTGGGGAAAACCGGTTGATGAAGAGAAGATGACAACGACAAAAGGACAGCGAAAGACAGCTTCCTATAGGACAGCATCCCAACCTCCTCTGAAGCAACATCCTGTAGGACAATTTCCTATGAAACGATTTCCTATACTTAGACAACTATAGAACAAACTCCCTTGCAAAGACTTACCGGAGGAACCTTGGAAACCCCGGGACAGGATCAAGTTGCCTTCAATCTCGATCCATCCATGGCTAAGATGAGATCGGCACCGGGAATAGGAGGCATCGGGCTCAAGTCCCCTCGGGAACCCAAACAACGTGGTGATGGATGAGTCGGTTCACGGCGCACGCGGATGCAAAAGGGTCCCCACCCACACCCACGCACGAAAGAACAACACGTTTTCGCTTCGGCGAGCTTCTGAAGCAGCGAGCCAGCCCCAGCCAGCCCTTCCTCCATGCAAACTCAAAACCAACCCAACACAGCAGAGCCGTCAGCGGCGCGATCCACCCCGTCCGTCGTCAGCCCGTCTCGGCACAGGAGGGGGGGGGCAATTTGATAATGCCGCAGCGCATCCGCAGTGTCGCATGTTCCCATCCTGCCGCGGCCGCGGCCAGCTTAATCAACCCCCCCCCCCACGGCACAGATTACTACCTGCTGGTCAGTCAGTCAGCCAGTCTCACCTGCCTGCTTGTATGGTGAATGACAGGTCAGAGAGATTAAATCCCACACTCGCACAAGAAAAAGCTATGGGCAATGACCTCACCTCACCTAGCTGAGCACGGAGCACGGAGCTGGGAAACCGGGCTCACCGCTTCGTCACCGCCCATCCCTGTTCCCGCTCACACTACGCACTCACACGAGCCCCGGCCCGGGGAGGAAAAACACACAGCACAGAGAGAGGGTAGCATGCTTTCATGTCACCTCGACTAGGAAGCTTGCCGTGCGGCGGTCTGCCCCACAGAAGCTTCGGTCTGTTCCGCGGTTGGACCGGATCCTGTCAGGCACGAGGTCAGGAGGAGCCGCTGGGCTTGGGGACGGGGCCCAGGCACGCCCACGCGCCCTCCCCTCCCTCACCCCTACCCGAGAAGTCACAAGTATTTGTGTGTTGCTACCCAGGAGTGCGGACGGGCTCGGCGGGCAGAGCAACCCTGCATGGGGATGCCGGGGCTCCATCCACGGGATCGCGATCCCCTCGTGTCTGTGTGGATGTGGATGTCTTTTGTTTTACACGGTGCCCTCGAAATGAAAAAACGGTCGGTCGGTTTAATGATCGCGATTGATTTGTGGGGCTATGCAAATGGGTATCGTGGGGAACTCAGAAAAGAAAACATGATGCTATGCTGTGTGCTACCAACAAGAGTAAGGCGGAGCTTTCCATTCTCTGTGGTGGTCCATCTCCCCATTCCCGTTCCCTTTCTCCTGAAGAACTGGGTCCGTCTTTTCCGGCCAGACAAGCGGGCCAGCTTCCGGCTGCCTGCATCTCCTAGCCTTCTTCTTCTTCTTCTTCGGGGCTTGGTCAGGTTCTAGACTCCTCCCCTGAAAGGGGAGCCTTGTCTGGAAACCGTCATATCCTGTTCTGGGCGGCCACTGTATGTGCGCCATCGCTGAAGGAAAGGTGACCAGCCCTATGACCTCATCCTGAGCCCATGTCTCTCCCCTTGCCCAATGATCGGCCCCATGGTCTACCGACCGCCCGGGGCCGAGACTCTTTCCTCTCCTTCCCCTGCCAGGCTGGCTGTCAGACCGTGGCAGCTGCGTGGCTGGCCTGACAACCCCAGCGAGCAGCGGCATTTGCTCGGCTGCGTTGTCGTTGGAACCCCAAGGTGGTATCGAGACACACGCGCCGGGCGACAGGGGGGGTGGGTGGTGAGGGATGCTGCTGAGTCCGGGCGGGTTCCAGATGCTGCTGTGTGCCCGCCGCCTTATCAATAGGACGGGCATGCCTGGATCCAAATTCCTCGTAGTTGCCACTGCCGTTCCATCCAGGAGGTCCAGGATGGCGGCAGCCCTCGCTGCTGGAGTCAGGGCGACTGCATCTGCACCTGCATCTGGGGCTCCCGCTCCTCCTCAGGGAGGTCAGGCTGCCAGGTGTCGAAGCTAGGGAAACTGAAATAGCGCCCCGAGTCTGCTGTGAAACCCAAAACCCGCACAGTCAGCACCGATGACGTTTTTGAAACAGGCCAGGAGGGAGACGCGGGTTGGGAAAGGAAGAAGAAAGATGATGACATACCCAGGTGGGGGCGGAACGCATCGAGATCAGCATGATGATGGTGATGATGATGATCCCTGGCGATCCTGGCCGGGCTGTCGTACATGGTCGGGCTCTGGGAGAGGGGAGATGACGAGTTTGGTGGTGAGGTTGAGATGGCGACCTGGTTCAGCAGGTCTGTCGCGCGGCGGCTGGTGCCGGGGGCGGCCAGGGCGTTCCGGCTCGCGGTCGACGGGGTGATGGAGGGCTCTGTCGCGCTGGAGCGTAGCAGCCTTGGGCGGCGGCTGCTCGACCTGGACGAGTCCCTCCTCTGGGAGGTGCCGCGGCGGGATTCTGTGGGTGAGGCCATGTCGTCGTCCGAATCTGACACGTAGTGAAAGAGACTGGGGATGTAGATGGCGAGGTTGTTGATGTTGTCGAGCATTGGGGTTGGTGTATGCCGACTTGGTTGTTCGGTAAGGCTGAGTGTGAGTTGCTGGGAGGGTGATAAGTGTGTAAGACAGGGCGGCGTTGTTGTTGTTGTTGTTGTTAGTGAGGTGAGAGAGTGTGTGTGTTGGGATGCGGGTGGTGGGAGACGGGGGCAGGGAGGTTATTTCAATTGCTGTCAGTCAAGAGAGAGCCCAAGCAGAATATAGAAGCAGAGGGACTATTGTTGGATTGCAGCAGTGAAACGAACGGTCATCACAACGAAGGTGTGAGCGAGAGGGTGGGTGCTGGGTGTGGGTGTTATGTATTTGCGCCGACTTTCCATGTTCGCATGCAAGGAGCCCGACATGCCGTTGTACAGTAACTAAACTTACACTACGACCGCAGGCAGGGTGAGCAGACACTTTGTCTGGGGACAGTACGGAGTACAAACGTACAGTACACACGTACCTCCGTACCACCGTACAAGGTACCGTCCCCGGTACAGTGCACGGCATAGTGACGAACCCTCGGTCGCTCGCTCCTAGCTCCCTCCCTTCCCTTTGTCCTTGTCATTGCCGCTGGCCGCAGCCCACTTGGGCTGAAATGCTGGCCGCGGCACACAAGCCCAGCGAGCCAGCGAGCCAGGGAGCCAGCTGCCCGAGCCCACCACAGCCGGTCGGTACGGTACAGTAAATAAATAGAAACTGGGCGGGCCTGTGTACTGTGGTGTGATACTGTACGGGGCAAGTAGTACCGTGCAGCAGCAGCATGTGCAAATGGGTCGGTGCTGCGTGCGGTACGGAGTACGGAGTACGTACCCCAGAGTTCCCAGAGTTCCCAGACAGTTGCAGTCGTGACAGCCGTGACAGTCGGTGGCCCGCAACTCCCTGAACCACACACCTTGCACACCCACCTGGCTGTGCACTCCGACCCGTCGACCCCGTCGTGGCAGCGTGGGCAGCGTGGGACCACACGGTCTCGACGCGGTCTTTCCCACCTGCCTGCCTGCAACCCCTCTCTCCCTCGTCCTCGGACGCAGGGGTAAGACTGCTACTAGTACTGCTACAATACCTGAATACGTACTCAAGTAGTGCACACTTGCATGCCACACAGTGAGGGACTAAAAAAAAAAACAAGAGACAAAAAAGAGAGAGAAAAAAACCAAAACCATGGGGCATGTCATCATGCCACTAGTCAAGACAGTTACGAGATGGAGTGCTCACACAGAAGCAGCGAGAAGGCGAGAAACGAGGGCAAAAAAAAAAAAAGACGAGGCAAAGACTAAGACCGCGGCATTTCTCGGCCTTTACCAGACTCTGGCTGGGTGTCTATCTATGTCTAGACCGTCGAGTGCTGTACTGCGAAGCTCTGATTGAGCCTTCGCCACCTGGCGCGTGCTACCACACCCACTCACCCACCCGTACGGTGTCCTGGGCTGCCTGGCTGCCTGGGTTGTAGGTGCCCTCGTCTTGGAGCATAAGCGTCTCCTCACATCACCCCAAGGTTGGGTAATAGCTTGGACTGGCCTCGAGCCGTTACGAGGCTTGCGGGCCGCTGCTGGTGGTGTCCGACTGGGCAGCACATGCTGGGGGTCTGGACGGGAGGGAGGGGAACAGAGTTCTGGGCTCGGCCCTAGTTCCAGGCACCACGGGGGGATGGGGGAGGGGGGGGGGTTGGCGGAGCATGGGTCTATTGGGAGTCGGGCACTGATACATGTTTTTACTGTAGTACCCTCCTGCCTCCATACAAGGGGTCCTAGACGGTGGTCCAGACACACACACAGACACACACACACACACAACACACACCAACCAGCACACCAGAGTACAGCACAGCACAGCACAGCACAGCACGGCACAGCTGCACGGTTGTTGTCTTCGTGGTCCATCTCTACGCGACAAGACACTTTTGGCGTCTGCCAACCGGCTGTCAGATACCACCTCCTTGGTTTGCTGGCCCCTTGGTATCCCGCCCAGGGTGCCCAGGTTGCCAGGTCGGCACGCGTTGGGGCAGCATTTCGCCTGGGGTCACCCACGCTCGCCAGCAGCCTTGTCTTCCCCATGCTTTCGTTGCTGTGGTGCTTCGCCTGCTTGCGTACACAGTACTGTGGTACAACACCTGCCTGCCTGGCCGCCTGCCTGGCCTGCCTGCCTGCTTGACAGCTTGACAGCTTGCCTGCTTGCTTGCCTGCTTGCTTCCTCCGGCCGTGGCTTGTGGGACTGTGGACTGTGGCCTGTGGCCTGTGGCCCGGCCAACAAGCGCGGCCAGATCTGCATTCTGGACTCTCTTGTCTGCCAGTTTATGCGGCCGTCAGTCGTAACACCCAGGACGCCGAGGGCAGGATCGATCGGGAAACAGGATGGGGAATGGAGGTAGCCAAGCTGCCAGGCTCCAGATCGCGACGCCTCACTCGTCAACGGCGGCCACCGCCAATGGGCCCAGGCCCTGCTGCTCCTCGTTGCTGGGTGTCCATTCCTGCAGCAACCAACACCTTTTGGTCCAGTGGCCCTGCACGCGCTCTACTAATGGCCTGCCCGCTGGATTCGGTGGTTGGTCCGGCTGCAGGAGTCAGTGACCGCTCGAGGCCCGAGTCTCCCCCGTCGGGAGCACCTGGGCAGCTACTGTGTAAGGGGAGGAGCACGAGACCGCGCCCGTCTCGCCCATGACGGGTGGATGATGGATTATCCCGCGCTATTAGGACTCCGGGGACGAAACCCGAGCCCGTCGTCGGCCTGCCTCACCTTTTTTCTCCCTTAACCCCATAGGTATTATGCGCGAGCTCGAACCGGTGCGAGAACCACACAGCACGCGCCCACACCCACACCCACACCCACACGGGCTCGTCTCGAGCTCACTGGCCCGGCCTGAAGCCCCATCCCACCGGCCTCGTCGAATCCAAGCCCTCATGTCAGCTCACAGCTGCAGCCGGTCAACCTCCCGGTAGCTAAGGGCCTGCGACGCTCCACCATGCACCCCGAGTGCCAGAGCAAGCCCGCACACGACCAATCGAGGCATCCCAGGCGCGGGTCCCGCTCCATTGGGTCCCATCTGGCTGCCAGAACAGGCACGGGCACGGCCGCCTTTCACCCTATCAGTCATGAGGATATCCTAATCCTTTCCCCCTCGGGAAGGAAGAAGACAGAGATTTCGCCGTCTCCTCACTGTCTTGTCTGGCGGCCCTCGTGGGAGTTCTCTTCTCCGCCTCCGCTCCCCCCAAGGCTGCCGCGCACCCAAAACCCTTCCCCCGCCCGTTGTGTCGGTGGAGCACGTCGTGCAAGGGGTGCTGGTCAAGGCCCCCCTTCTTTCCACGTGTCGCCCGCTCGATGTTCCGACGGCACTGCATGGGATTCGCGATCTGGGCTGATTCGCTTCGGAGCGAGACCCAGCAGACACAACTCTCACACGCAGCACTTCCCTGCCAATAGCAAGAGAGCAAAGTAACTCCTTGCAGTGAGCGAACCGGCTATTCTCAGGATTGTGCTGAGATGACCGGATCGGGCCCCTTCGCGTCGCACAATTCCATCATTCGGAGCCACTGCCGTAAGACTTGTGTGTTCGATGTGAGAAAAGTGTGTTGTCAGGAAGGGACGCCTGGACACACATTCTGTGGCCCCCGGTACTCTATTTAGGCTTCGTGTGCTTGCTACGTTGCTGCTGCAGACATACCGTACACACACGCACAGTATCCATTTTCGTACGTAGGAGGGAGAAGAAACAACCGAGAGTTAACTCGCGCTCGTCTTGCAAGGTTCACAAGCCCGGGGGAGGCTCCCCTCTGTCACCCGTCATCTGCCCGCCGTCCTCCCCTTGGCGAGGAGCTCCCGCCACTGATTGATCGTGACCTGGGGTACAGCAGAGGTCGGACTACTGTGAGACTACTGCCCACGCTCGTTGGCGTTGTCGATCGAGCGTCAGCCCAACGACAAGGGTGATCAGTAGTATACACTACATTTATTATTGCATGACACTTGCCATCCCGGCAGAGAGCATCTGCAGATGCTACGCAACCTTGTCTTCTTTCCTTGTGACGGACAACTGCTACTTGCTGCTTGCACCGACTCAAGCCGGTCCATCTTGTGGAAGGCAAACCCGATCAGAAAGAGACATCGGCCGTGATGGAGCAAGCAGCATGGCAATCAGCAAGTGCCATTGCAGCGAAGCACTTGAACTGTATTTTCCAGTCTAACAATAAGCTCCTTGTCCCCTGCCTGCCTGCCAGTTTGCCATCTACCTACCCACACGCCCTTGTGTGTACCATCCGATTTACCTCCATCTGATCTACCTACCTACACCTCGCCCCAGGCCCATGGGGACACAAAAAACCACCCAGGCTCTTTGCATACAACACGGCTGGTTCCGGGGTTGCGGTTCCTCAGATACTGTGGCACTACAAACGTGGCGGGCGGGACCCATCATCCTCGGCCGGCACACTCGGCCCCACGCATTTTTGTCTAGTGGTCGACGCTGCACGACGAGAAAACGCTCATGTCAGCCCGAGATGCCCTCCTTGCCATGCCGGCCGTGGTTTCGACCAAGGCCGGGGGGATTGGGGGGTTTCTTGTGTGGATGGATGGGTGGACTTACTCTTCCCACAGCCGGCCCTGAACAGCCTTGAGCTCGTCGGCCGTCATCCTGTGCCCGGTCGTGAAATAACCTGCAGAAGAAGACATCCGTCCTTGTCAGCCTTCTTTCTCGTCTGCCTGTGGGGCGCTGACTAAACGCCCCTCCACTCCCTGTTGCGTGAGTGTTTCTCATCTGCCTCTTGATGACACTTACCGGCCGTGATCTTGGCGTCAATCTCGACCCGCGAGTCCGCGGGTATCCAGGATTCGGGGAGCTCGACACGCTCGTGGATCGGGATCCTGTATGTGGGGAGGAGATGGGTTTCACCCGTCAGTAAGACCGGCCTGCTGGGAACTGGGGGCACGCCACACTACACCACACACTACACCACACACCACACCACACCCTCCCCTTCCCCCTTCTTCATATCCAAGCCGCCCGCCCTCGTGCGACCCAGACAGACAGAAAACCCGTGCTGCACTCACCCTTGGCCGACAATAGCGTCGTGTTTCATGCTGCAAGTTCACGACCGCGTTAGTAAGTTACTCAAAAATACAATACATGCCTGATCGAATATGCGGGCCGTGTACAGGATCGTGGGGTTTGGAGAGAGGGGGGGGAGGCGAGTGTTGGGGAGGGGGAGGAGGAGGGGGACGCAGCGGCGCGCCGCTGTGCGACACCGGCCGACAACAACACACACGATGTTACGTACTTGCTCATGCTTAGCATCCTGTCGATCTTGGTGATACCGAGCCAGTGCAAGATGTCCGGCATTAGGGCCTGGAAGCGCATGTCCTTGACGCCCGCGACGTTCTCCGTCCGCTTGAAGTAGTCCGATGCCCGGTCCTCGCCGCGCTTGCGCGCGTTGTAGACGACTGTTGTGTGGCGAGATCTTTGTCAGTCAAGCAAAGTCACGGGGGCCGGGATCTGGAACAGCTTTTCTTTTTGTTGTGGAGGTGGTGATAACTCCTCGCGGTGCTGTGCTCCCCCTCCCGCTGGATATGCACCTCTCCCCCCGTCCCGCCCAGCGGGCCTGGCCGGGCAGGAAGATCTCGGGGCAACGGTGACACTTACGGTACTGCGGCACCATGTTAGCCTGGTCACACACTGAAGCTGTGGGGGACATTACACGTTGCACGTACCTTGGTGACTTCGCCGAGGGCCCTGCCCTCCTTTCTGAAGTAGATGACGACGCCGCTGCCTCCGTTCTGGGCCTCCTTGACGGCCTCCTCGATTCCAAAGATTACTAGCAGGCAACAAGTAGAGTTAGCTAGACACTTGGGCCGAGCGGCGAAATGTGGCGTGGGGCGCATGTGGTCCCGGGGCGCATGTGATCACAGGGTGACACTTCTTTTCGCCGCTGCTTGCTCCGAAGCGCCGAAACCTGTCTCGCCCATTGCCCGGAGAAACTTACGGTACGGCCGGCAGGTGCAAATATCAGAGCCGAAGACATCGCTCCCGTTACACTGTGTTGATGCCTCGTTAGTAGTGATATCGCGCACACACGCTCGTGATGATGGTCTCACCTCGTCGTGGATCCGGAGCGCGAGCTTCTTGCTGGGGTCGGACATGTTGGCGGGGTCGCCGAAGCAGTAGACCGTCAGGCCGCCTGCGAGCCTCTGTTAGGTAGACATTCGCGGTGATATATATCCCCGCGGGCTCGGCGGGTTGTTGTTGTACATACCGATGGGCGGCAGGAACACTTTGATGTCCCCACGGGTGATGAGCTGTTATTATTCTTGTGTGTCAGAAACCCCATCGGGCGTGGTATTCTGGCGTTTGTTTGGCGAGGGGCGCATTTTTACCTCAGGATAGCTGCCGCCGGTGTACTCGAAGAGCGACCTTCGGAGGGTGCCCTCGTCTGCGCTTCGTCAGCAAGAGCGCCGGGAGGGAGGAGGCTCACACGCGCCCGCGGGGAGGACTCACCAATGCCAAACCTCTCGGCGACCCCGGGCAGATACCACACCGGCTCGACTGCGAACTTGGTCACGGCCAGCTCGCCCGAGGCGTTCTTGCAGATCTTGCCGTCCGGTACACTATCCAGTCGGTCGTCAGTGGGTTTGCTGTCATGGTTTGGTCGCAGGTTGGAGAGATTGGCTGTTTCCTCTCGCTCGCAGTGATAATGGAAGTAAGGGGCACCCACAGTCTTCCCTTGCGCACGCTGTCCTCAAGCTCGGGAAGCTAACTCTTGATCAGCACCATTCCTCGCCGGCCTCAAACCTCACGGGTCTGTCTACCTTCATGTGTGCCTTTGTGATGGCAATACTCGGCCGGATATCAACTGCGCCACGTCAGGATCTTCCCCCACGAGGACTGACCAGGTCCGACTTACTATCCTCTCCCTGGACCATGTCCTTGAACAGCCACGGGGCCTCATGGCCCCAGGGGTCCATGGCCACGATCTTCTTCTTGTCGCCCCACTGTGGGAAGGGCCCTATCGAGGCTACTGGCTCCGTGTTGGTGAAGTCAGGCCTGCGCGCACAATATTCTTAGCCATGCTTGAGCTGGTATGCTCAACTCCTGTGGGCGATTATGTACCTGTGATCGGCCTTGAGCTCCTTGCTGGCGAGGGCCAGGGCATAGTAAATAGAATAAGAGCCTCCGTGAGCTGGACAGAGCCTATGGGTCAGTCCGAGTTGCTGGATCGGCTACTTGGGCTGTACTAACCGCCAATCGCTACTCAAAGTCAGCACATGTACATGATCCCAACATTATAGGGTGCCTGACATACCATTTCGCTTCCTGATAGTACTGGCGTAGCGGGAGACCACAATTGGGCCTCGTTCCGCAGGGTCGGCAGCGCCCCAGTTCAGGGGGATCGGCTTGATACCCGTCTGCTTGGGGTATGTCCTGTGATTGATACGTTAGGACCGCGTATCCGCTCGCGGGTGTGTAGGGGCTCGGAACAACACAACTCACGTCAGGATGATCCGGGAGGAGAAGCCAGAAGCAGCCTGCGTCGGCGACGAGCTGCCGGCCGGCGATTCGGGGACATCAGCGGGACGCAGAGGGGGTGTCGCCGTGGACTTGGCGGCCAGGGCAGCAGCCGACGACGCCGCGGCCTCCTCGACCTCGTGCTCGTTCTGTTGCTGCAGGAGCGAGGGCTGCAGGCCCGGTGCTGCTGCTGACGACTGGCCGGCGCCGCGGGACATGGAGTCCACGACGGAGAGGAGCTCATCCTGCTTCTGCTGGATCGCCCTCAGCTGGCTAAGCACGTCCTCCAGGCTGGCGCCGGAAGCTACACTGTTGGAAGCCATTGGAGGAGAAGGATGGAGGTTACGACGGACGGCCTACACAATTCCCGTGGCGTATATGCTGACGGCTCTGTGCTGATTCGAGCTCAATGGGGCAGTAGTTGACAACAATGCTTCTTCAACAGGTCAACATTCACGGGTCCCGTGGGCGGGGAATCTCTCTCTGTCTTGTCTCTCTAGAAGTGTTCACGAGGGGACCCAAATCCAAGCCAGGGCTGACCCTCAAAGCCTTCTGAGCTTGGCCTGTCTATCACGGTCTGGTAAGACGGACGATTGGGCACAGAGTACGGATAACTGTAGGGGGCAAAGAACAGGGAAGGAGAAAGAGGGAGAGAGAGACCAAAGGGAGGAACGGGCATTGTCCAAGGGGAACGAGGAGCTATGCTATTATACCTCGATACCTGCCGACTACAAAACGTTGCTCCAGCCACGTCGCCGGCCGAGCGAACCGACAGGTGCCGGTTGGAATCAGATCGTTATCACCTGGGCAAGCCTGGCAGGCGGAGGATGGCACGGGAATGCAAGCATGCCTAGTTCTGGACGCACGGCCAAGGATGCTACCTACGGCGAGACGGCGAGATCGAGCTTCTGAAAGAAGGGCAGCTGGCCGGTTCGGTTGACTCACAGTCTGGGGCCTTGTTAGTGAGCTGGCGGGGATAGCTGCTCCCTGCCACCAGCCCGCGTAGTATGTACCTGTATAGGAAGGCAGCACAGGCGGGTAGCGGGGTTGATCACCTTAGTACATAGTAGTTGCCGGGCACGGGGACCACTGTGGGGCCCTGGGACCTGACCCGCTTGGCGGGAGCCCCATCTGATTGCATCTAGGCTGCTTCTGCTGCTGGGCTAGAAGCTACGAAACGTAAAACCCCAAGAGCACCTGGGCTGATAGATAGAGGGATAATACCTAGTTCACGAGTGCAACGTTTTGCTGGAACAAGTACGTAATAGGCTGCTCACATGCAGCAGCCGACATCAAGAGCACGGCGTCTGCGAGGTCCCTCCTCATCACGAGAAATAACGACGAAAGAACATACACAGTAAACATCGGTCTGGTTCTCGAGGTGGATGCTTGAGTATGACCATCCCATCTGGAGTCAGCCCAAATAATAAACAAAGGAAGTAACTGCCCCTCTGCCTCGGTAAGTCCTGCGGGCAGGCGGGCAGTTGTGCTGGTATCACAGCACTCAAAGGCAGCCTGCCTTTCAGCGGCCCCACAACCAAGTGCTGCGTGACGTACTGATAAGCCGCCGCCCGCCGCCCTCCGGCCGTCAGGCCCAGAAACGTGGATGGGAATTGGCACGGACCATAAGAGAACGGTCCGGCCTGGGTCTAGCTGGACTGGATTGTGGTCAATAGGTTTGAGCGTGGATGACAGTGCACGATGGAACACTCCATATTGACATGACAGCAGTAGTAGGTTTGCTGGGAAAAGGTTCATGTGCAAATTACCCTAGGTAGATGAGAAAGTACGCATCATATCCAATGGTTCGCACAACCTTGCTTGGTCGGCACTGCAGTCTTCAGCCTCGACGCCAGGCCCAGCCGCTAACCGCATGTCCGTTTTTTAAGTGCAGCCAGAAACGGCGGCTCGATCAGCTGCGCTTGTCGAGCACCTGTATTTTCCATTTTCAGCCCACTTCCGAGTTGCGCCAGCCTCTCCCACAACAATCCCAACTCCACCACGGCGCACCCTGCATCCGGTTTTGAACCATCCGCGGCTGATTCAAGACCGAAGGAAACATGGGGAAGCGCAAGAAGAGCTCTCGTGCGCCCCAGGGCAAGAAGAGGGTTGGTCCGCCCCGTGCCGTTCCCGCCGTGATTCCCCTGCGCAAACGACCCAACTCTAACCTGCCATCGCTTTCCAGGGCGACCCTCTCCCTACCGTCTTCACATGCCTCTTTTGCAACCATGAGAACTCTGTGACCGTCAAGATCGACAAGAAAATCGGTATCGGCTCGCTGGAGTGCAAGGTCTGCGGACAGCGCTTCCAGTGCACCGTCAACTGTACGCCCAAATCCAACCGCCTCCCCCCCCCCGCGCGCGCTCGCGGTATCGAGGCACAATACGGGACATGGCTAACCAGTGCGTGCGCAACAGACCTGTCGGCCGCGGTGGACGTCTACGGTGAATGGGTCGATGCGGCAGAGGAGGTTGCGAAGGACGGGGGAAGTGCCACCGTGCGTGACTACGCCCAGGCGAGTCGCGACACGCGCAAGGACAGAGACACAGCCAACAACAGCGACGATGGCCATCAATACAGCGGGGACGGAATCGTGCCAGATGACGAATATTAAATGGGACGCAACCTGAACAGGCTTCCCAGCTGGCGCATGCTGGCCAGCAGGAAGCCTGCCATCACTAATGTGGTCTGCGGCGTTCGGCTTGGGCACGCATACTGAATCACGGTCCGCCAAGGCGATGATGCCGTTCTGCTACGATAGTGAAGCGTGACGAAGAGATGGTTGCATCCTATCCATCAAGATAACAACACGACCTGGGGCCACCAAAGGAGGATTGCCGGAAGCAGACCAGTCTGCGTGCGAAGATTCGGCTTTTCGAGCACCAACGCCTAGCCCATGGGTCGGTGGGCTGTGAGACGATGTCAGCGGGCTCAACCTCGTCGAGTGGGTTGCGGAGAGAGGAGAGGCATGGGCATTTTTTACCGGAGAGTGGTATGGCGGCGCAGCTCTACATGGTGAAGAATCTGTCGCCGAAGTCGCCGAGCCCGGGGACGATATAGCTGCGTCGAGTTAGCAAGACAAGCAGAACAAGTTTTGGGAGTCAATTACGGACTTCTTCTCGTCGAGTCCCTATTTTGCAGTGTCAGCTTCCAGATCCCAGTTGTACAACTGACTGACTCCCTTGTCTGGGCCGAGCTTACCTGGTCAATAAATGCGGTGATAACGTGCAGTTTAGGGAACTTGGCCGAGAACCTCTCAGTGCCCTCGGGGCTGGAGATGAGATTGAGGAACAAGATCCTGTCCTCGGGGACGCCGCGCTCCTTGAGCACCTCGACGGCCATTGTCGCGGAGCCGCCTGCCGCCGATCAGCACTCTCCATCACACGCCTGCGCAGCCAATTGCGCCGGCTGCCATGCCTCGGTGACTCACCTGTCGCAAACATGGGGTCCAGGAGCAGCACCCATCGCTCGGCAATGTCCTCGGGCAGCTTGGAGTAGAACAGCTTCGGCTGGGCCGTCTCCTCGTCGCGCTGGATCAGGATCTTGCCGATGCGGACCGAGCGGCAGCACTCCCGCAGCCCCTGCTCCATGGACTCGCCAGCCCGCATGATGGACACGCCGCAGATCTTGCCCTGGAACGCGAGGCCGTCATAGTGCTGGTTGGTGGGCGTCACGACGGTGTGCTGCGTGGTGGGCAGGTGGTTCAGCCCCTCCTCGACCAGCAGCCTGATGATGCGGTTCGAGTAGAAGATGAAGTCGCCCCGGTCGGTGGACTTGTCACGGATCTTGCTGCGGGCGGTTCAGCGCTCGGGGGGCTCCCCTCGGCCGGGGGGGGGGGGCGGGAGCGACTCACGTGAGCAGGGCAATGAGCTGAGGCGTCTGGTTCAGGACGGTCACGTTCTTCTGGGTGGGCTCCTTGGACACTGTGGCCTTGGGCTTCTGGCTGTCTGGCCTGTAGTCCGGGCCCACGGTCTGCGTGGGTGCTGCAGCCGACCTGCCTGCCTCGTCGCCTGTCTTGGTCGACATCGTGTTGGTGGTGTTCAGGTATGCCGGTCAGGTGGGTGTGGGGTTCGTGATATTGGACTTGTTCATGCGCTTGGAAGACTATAGTAGGATAATCCTCAGGGTATGTCAGATAAAACTCCGTCCTCTTTCTCCGCGGCCTGTTCACCTTCTTCCTGACAGGAGCAAAGGATGTTTTAACTTTCGAGAAACTTTACTTGCTTTAAATGAGAGCCGAGGGGTGTTCGGGTGGAATACAGACCCTTTTTGAAGCTGACTCTACGCCGACTTAGCTTGGGCCGGTTAACCCTGAAGGGTGTGATAAGGCCGTCCGACTACAGTGCCTATCGCTGGCAAGCGGGGCTCAAGCGTGCTGTGCTAAGGGTTCGCGGCAGTACCTGCCAACCTATCAACCCAGCAATGGGTACCTACCGAGCAGTAGCTCCTTGGCTGCTGCTGGTCCTCACAGCACCACCTACTGCATGTGTACTTCGTACTCCGTACTACGTAGCGATGTCGCTTTTATCGTGCCTGCCGGCCTATCTTCCTCTGTCCTAGTCCCCTCTGTCCCCTCTGGGATTGGGGAATGACGACCCCCTCCCCGTTGGACAGTCGTTGCATCCTTAGCGTCGAGGACCCCTGACCGGCGAAACAGCCCAGGACTGCCAGGACTGCAGGACTGTCGGCCCAGCCTTTGTTTTTGGTCGCATCCATCAACAGACAAAACCTGGTTGCAACCGCTTCCGCCCATTAAACTCATTCCACGACCTCCACCCAGCAGACGCGAACAGACCACACGGATCCATTCACAACAAAAGGCCGACAAGGCGGAACAAGCAGGCCCAGGTTCCTCCTTCCGCATCCCCTGCCAGTCGCGTCAGCGGTGTACTGTAATCCCATTGAGTCGCTCGTTGATGCGGCACCTGCATAAACTGCCCACAGCCGAATGAGCTCGGTTCCCATCAAATGTCGATTCCTGCTCCGCACACGCTCTACTGCATCCAAGCACCTACCCGACCACAAACACCATCGCGAGCGAACGCTGCCGCCTGAAATCGATCACGATGATGGCCACTCCGAAGGGCACGGGCTTCTCCCGCAATAGGCGCGTCACAACATACAGCAAGGCCTTTGGGCGAAGGTCGCGGCCGGAGGAAAAGGGGAAGGATGGACGCAGTGTCACTGCCCCGCTCGAATCCAGCAGCGTTTGGGACTTCCATGACGACGACGAGATTAGCAGCCCGGTCGTCACGTTGGCCAAGTCCTCCAAGTCAAAACAGTATGGGATCAGCCGCAAGTTGGATCAACACAAGGCACGCCGCGCTGCTGAGCCGGCCCCGAGACCAGCGCCCGTCGCGAAGGCAAAGGTCTTGCCTGATCCAAAGAGGAGGAGGACGTCGCCCAGCCAGGGGGAGTCTCGAGGCTTTCGCGCGCGCGCTTACTCGACGCCGCCGTCGCCGCCTCCATCCCTCCCATCACCACCCCATGAGGCTATGCCGCCACCAAAAACTGTGCCCAAAACATCAAAACCACCAAGATCAATCTTGCGGGTCTCTTCAGCTGGCTCGACGAAAACGGCAACAAAGGAGACGGCAATCAAAGACGCCCCTGCCCCTGCCAGAAGTGCACCCGCACCTTTTTCGCCAGCGATCCCCAAGAACCTCAAGACTTTGAATATCAACAGAATCAGGAAGGAGCCCGTGCAGACGCAAACGCAGATCCCCTTTCGCCCAGGACAAATCCCGCGCAGTTTCTCAGGAAGTCGCCAAGAAAAGCCATCAACTTCCAAAATGCCGGCCCCCACTATTGGTGACTCACAGCGCCAGCACGGGTCTGGTACGCGAAAGCGAAAGAGGCTGATCGATGAGCTGGCGGCTCAGGCGGATGACAGCTCGGACGAGGGCGACGATACCATTGATTTGACTCAAGACTCGCGCCAGACCCCAGAGCCACAGGATCTGCCGACTTTCCCGAGTACGCCTGAGCCAAAGATTCCCAAGGGCTTTGGGCGTCCAGAGTCTGCAAAGAAGAGATCGGGGCCAAAAGTGACCTACAGTGCCCGGAGAACGCTTCTTGCGGAAGGTAGTTCAGTCGGTGGTTTGGAGACTGTGGACGAGGATGCATGGCTAAAAGAGCCTCTCCTTCCCACTGCTGGGTCCCAGTTTGATATGGATGACGATGATGACGACGAACCTTTCACCAAGGGTGCCGTGCGTAGCATACACGAGCTCAGGCAGGCCGGCGCGAACAGCAGGTTTGCAGACGAAATCGAAGACTTGCTTACGCGGATTGGTCGACCAAGCGGCAAGACCACTACCGGCAGACGAAATGCCCTGGTGGAACTCTCCCAGAAGTTGTCAGACAAGAGCTTTGTGCGCAAGTTTCGCGACCACAACGGTGACAGAAGCCTGTTTGAGCAGGTCGGAAAAGAGACAGACATCATTGCAGGTTATGCGCTTGTGGCTATCTTGACGACACTGCTCGCATCAACAGCGTCAACGCACATCATGAGCCAGCTCCAAGGCCAGGGCTTCTCGTTGCTTCTCAGACGGCTCCTCGCCATCCCGCAGGACATTCAACCGATTTCTAAGGACAGGGCCAACAACCTATCGAGGAATGGACAGCAAGCCATGTCGAAGCTGAAGGCATCCCTTCTCATCCTCCCGATCTGGGAACCGACCACACCTTTCATGCTGTCGCCCAGAAGGTTGGCTCTCAAGGCGTTGGAACTTGTTGTTAAGCACTCTGGGCCGGTCGAGGGCGAACTCTTCTCTCCCGAAGTGACAGACCAACTATTCTCGCTGCTGGCCGATGCTGAGCCCGACGCTTGGAAGTACCCGCGCACAGATGAATCCATAGACTTCCATCTGGCACTTTCTCTGTTGGAGTCCTACTCAGTTCAGGCCATGCAGACGGAGTCCAAGGACAGGTGGACTTTCAAGCACCTCCCGATCATTGCGGACACGCTCGGCACTACGCTCCGTCGTGGAAATGGCCGTCTTGGTGAGGTTGGTCTCCTTGTTCTGAAGCTGACCCTCAACACCGCAAACAACAATCACGATGCTGCGACTGCATTCATAGAGAAGGGAACGGTGCACACGCTCGCCAACGCGCTGTGTGACACCTTCCAGACGGCGACTGCCGCGATTGAGGATACGGATCTCTTCAACAGCCACCTCGAGTCACTACTGCTGATGTTAGGCGTCATGATAAACTTCTCCGAGCACGACCGTAACACAGGTGGAGCTCTTCTGAATGCCCAAGACGACAACCAGGCCCCACTTGACAGGCTTATCCGGCTCTTCCTTAATCACCATGCAGCCACATCCGAGGTAAGCTTCCTCTTCAGGGCCTGATGGCTTGATTCGAAATTTGAACTGACATCTATTGCAGGCGGACTCGGTGGAGAAGAGCCAGCTGAACGTTGCCTTCGGGTACCTGTCTCTGCTGCTTGGGTACATGTCCCTGTACGAACCAGTGCGCAAGCGTTTCAGCTCTATGCACAAAGCAGGAAACCTTGCGCCCTTGTTGGTGTCGATACGCGAGTTTATTGCATATCACCGCATGACAGACGACGCGATCGCACAGGCCGGTGATGGCCAGGCACCACTGTATTCGAGCTTCACCACGAAGCTGCAGGGCCTCGTGGAGCGACTGGAGAGCTATGCATGAGTGAGGCTGAAGGAGGGATACTTATGCGAACACTGGGCTTTGCAGGCCCAATGTGTCATTGAGTATCTTTGTAGGTTAGGATGGGGAGGTTTTCCGGCAACAATGCCTAAAGGCATTGTGACCTGACCTTCACCTAACCGGAATGCAATTTTGGTGGAGTGGGCTTGTTGAATTGAAAGAATAATACCCCGTTGGAGGATCAGGAGGCCGTTCAGTAGATTAAGAGGTGTTGGTCGCTGGAGCGGTGTACGATGTCACGATGTTTATGATACACAGAAAAATGGTCTCTGGATAGCCAGGGACACCGTTGATTGATAGAACACCAGAATATACACCCAGAGCCAGACATAGGCTATGACTAAGAGCGTGGGGGGTTCACTACATGTCTGCATGTTTGGATCATGTAGTTTCTGACTGTTGAAAGTGATAGTCCAGACGTGGTCTTGACTTGAATAAGTTGTAGTGGCAAAAGTTGCATATATATGCGGGTACCGTAAGAATGCTCACATCCCGTGGAGGTGCAGAATGACTTTGGTTGGGTTAAAGCTGCCCAGGCAGCCAGGTGGGACTGGGGGAAGGTTGAGCACCTGCAGGTGGTGGGACAGTGACTTGTGCCAAAAGCCCCTTTCCCCTACAGCCTGCAGCCTGCAGCCTGCCAGCCTGCCAGCCCTGCCTACATACAGCCCATTCCAAGCACTGCCCACCTGCCAGCCTGCGTACCTAGATCTGTGATCCCTACCCGTGCCCTTCGACACGCTAGGTGGGACCCAGTTGTCCCAAGCGGCTAGTTGTTCTAGAAGCTCTCAACCCATGCCTTGCCAGGCTTGTGTGCCTGCCCGTTGTCCCCCCACTGTAGCATTGAATCGACGTAAGGTGCATTTTGGGGGGGCAGCAATCCTGCCGCCGCCCTTCCCTCTACCTTCGCGCCATCTTCCACACCCTCCCCTCCTCCAGCAGCACCTCACCTCGTCCCAATATTCCTACCTGCTTGTCTGAACCGGGCCTCGTACCCTTTTCAGGCCACCAATTCATTTCTAGATAAGGTCTAGAGGTGAAGAAGATCACTGCAAGTATAGGACTGTCAGGTGTGGCGTCGAGGACTGGAAAGACCTGAGTTACCTCCCTCTAGGAGCCATGGCACCGTCAAAGTCGAGGAAGGTTGCTATTGTCGGCAGCCGATCTGTGGGTAAGTTTTTCTGTCCCCAGGTTTCGCACTGCTTTCCTCCAGGCTTTTCTACTCGGTTATCGCCAATTCCTCGAGATTTGGCCCACGGCGCGCCCTTCGCAGTCGGTTGTCGCATGCCCGTTGCTGGCTGTCACATGCTTGCAACTCTCGATTGGAGAACTGACCCGACATCACAGGCAAGTCATCGCTTGCGGTGCAGTTTGTCGACGGCCACTTTGTGGAGAGCTACTACCCTACAATTGAAAACACCTTCAGCAAGATCATCAAGTACAAAGGCCAGGAGTTCTCCACTGAGATCATCGACACCGCTGGACAAGTAAGTCTTGCCGACTGCCTTTGACCACCTCCAATGCGCGCGCCCTGGTTGCTGACCCGAGCCTTTACTGCGGCACATAGGATGAGTACAGCATAATGAACAGCAAGCACTTTATCGGCATCCATGGCTACATGCTTGTCTATTCGGTTGCATCCCTCCAGTCCTTCGAGATGGTCCAGGTCATCCGGGAGAAGCTGCTGAATCACCTGGTAGGCCTGCACCCACCCCCAGGGCATCCCAAACAAGCCCTCTCTCAAAGCAGGTCACGCCTGATGATTGCAAACCACATACTGACTGATCGTCACCACCTTTTTGCAGGGCGTCGAGTGGGTCCCCATTGTCATTGTGGGCAACAAGAGCGACCTGCGCCCCGAGCAGCGCCAGGTCACCACAGATGACGGGAAGAAGCTGTCTGAGAAGTACAACTGCGCCTGGACGGAAGCCAGCGCTCGCTATAACGAGAACGTTGGCCGGGGCTTTGACCTTCTCATCGCACAGATCGAAAAGGCGCAGAACCCTAATGAGCCTCCCGCTGGCGGCAAGTGCATACTGATGTGAAGGAAAGCTGTGGTTGCAGAGATTTGTGTGTGTGTCTGTCTACCTACCACGACGGCAAACCCAGAGAGAGAGAGTGTGTGTGTGGGTTGGCCCTTGGGGTGCACCAGCAGAGCACAATTCAGGATGCAAAAGGCTCTTTGCCATGGTTTCAAACATGGTGAAGCCGGTTGGTAATGATTGGAGGGATACCGGTTGCCGTGCATGAGCATGGCTTGAATACGTTTCTTGGGGGGGGGGGGAACCAAGTGGGTTTGGGGGGCTGACGTGGCTGACGACAATGATACCTACGAGGCTTGGCTTGAATTGACAGGCCTGAAGATGTTTCAATTCTCACTGTACAATGTGATGTGCAAAATACTGTCCAATGCATGGACCAAGGTGTTGTCCTGCCTTCTAAGGCCAGCTTGGGGAGGCAAGACTTCGGCTGCTATCAAGAGTAGCCATGAATCATCACTACTTGACATTGAGGCAGAATTCAAGGCCCAATCTACTGTACTTTTGCCCAGTAGTTCCAATATGAGAGGTTTCCTCTCTGTTTTTCGGGCAAAGAGTCAACGCTCGGCTAGTCATCACGGCCTGCTGCTGCCCAATTGGCAGCCTCGGATGGCTGTGTGGAATTGGGCACCTAGTCCCATGGGTGTGGTGATTCCAGCATTTTCAGACTTGATCAAGGCATATTCAAAGAGCATACTCAGTAGTAGCCAGGAACATAGGCAGATTTGTATCCAAGTCTGGCCGAGTTAGTCACATCTATTTCCACCTTGCTGGCCAGGAGTCATCTTCAGATTTACATAAAGAATGAAGAAGCTCTCTCCTGCCTGCAATTAAATTGACTGACCCCTCATGCCCCTCCAAGATTACAGACAGGTACCGAGGTACCTAAACATTCAAGGATCAAAGTGCTGCTTGCCCACTCTGACTCAACAGAGATCAACCAATGCTTTACCCTGCTAATCGATAACACCCCGCCCACCACAGGTACCCCGGTACCTCCTGTGCTGCTGAGAGCCAAAAGACCAGATCCAGAACAAAACTTCAACTCGAGGACGAGAAGCGACACACACAGCAAACGGGGCAGCACCACAAAGTCAGCATGCTCGACGTTACCGACTTCATTGCCGACCGTGGCGGAAACCCGGAGAAGATCAAGTGTGTTTTGCCCAGGGCTCTGAGCTGAGCGTCGCTGTCGTCCAGGAAAACGTGCGATTAACCAAGCGTTCGCAGGGAGTCGCAGCGACGCCGTGGCGCGCCTGTCGAGATTGTGGACGAGATCATCGCACTGTGGGAGGACCACCGCAAGACCCTATATGCTGCGACACAGGTCAAGAGCAAGGTCAACGAGACCCAGAAGGCAATTGGTCTGAAGAAGAAGGTGCGCAGGCCCCCTGGGCCAGCCCCCGCTTGCCCAACGCGTCGAGAGAGCCACCACGACTGACCGTTCCCGGGGCAGAACAAGGAGAACGCAGACGAGCTGCTCCAGGAGAAGACTGCTCTCGAGAAGTCCCACAAGGAGCTCCTCGACTCTGCCGCCGCGAAGGATGCCGACCTGAAGGCGAAACTGAACACGATCGGCAACATCGTGCACGACTCCGTCCCCGTTTCCAACGACGAGGCGAACAACGAGGTCATCCGGACGTGGGCCCCCGAGGGCGTCGCCGTCGAGAAGAAGGATGTCCTGTCCCACCACGAGGTCCTCACCCGGATAGACGGCTACGACCCGGAGCGCGGGACCAAGGTCGTGGGCCACCGCGGCTACTTCCTCAAGAACTGGGGCACGTTCCTCAACCAGGCCCTGATCAACTACGGCCTGGAGTTCCTGATGAACCGGGGGTACACGGCGCTGCAGGCGCCCCAGTTCATGCTGAAGGGCATGATGGCCAAGACCGCCCAGCTCTCCGACTTTGACGAGGAGCTCTACAAGGTCGTCGACGGGGAGCCCCAGAACGACAAGTACCTGATCGCCACCTCGGAGCAGCCGATCTCGGCCTTCCACGCGGACGAGTGGCTGCAGAAGTCGGAGCTGCCCATCAAGTACGGCGGATACTCCAGCTGCTACAGGAGGGAGGCGGGAGCACACGGCCGCGACGCCTGGGGCATCTTCCGCGTGCACGAGTTCACAAAGGTCGAGCAGTTCGTGCTGACCGACCCCGAGAAGTCGTGGGAGATGTTCGACGAGATGATCGGCGCCTCGGAGGACTTCTACAAGTCGCTCGGCCTGCCGTACCAGATCGTCGCGATCGTCTCGGGGGCCCTGAACAACGCCGCCGCCAAGAAGTACGACCTGGAGGCGTGGTTCCCCTTCCAGGGCGAGTACAAGGAGCTCGTCTCGTGCTCCAACTGCACTGACTACCAGTCCCGCGGCCTGGAGATCAGGTTCGGCAACAAGAAGCAGACGGACATCAAGAAGTCGTACGTCCACTGTCTCAACTCGACGCTGTGTGCCACCACCCGTGCGATGTGCTGCATCCTTGAGAACTACCAGACCGAAGATGTACGTCCTGGCTTCCCCCCCCCCCCCAAACTGACCGTGGAAGGCTGGATCTAACCTGTGTTTCAATAGGGTCTGAGGGTGCCCGAGCCACTGCGGAAATACATGCCCGGTGCCCCCGAGTTCATCCCGTTTACTAAGGAACTGCCCAAGGACACCACTTCTCAGAAGCAGAAGGCGAAGGAGAACAAGGGCTCCAAGCCCAAGGAGGCCGCGAAGGGCGCAGCCAGCGCAGCAGCCGGTGCCGTGGAGAAGGTGGCCGAGAAGCTGAAGGAGGCCTCTGTCTAATGTCGTCTTACGTGTGCAAGCGACCAAATTTGCATCTATCTGTAGGGCTGACTGGTCGGCATGACGGAAAGTCTCGAAGATATTCATGACGGGGTAGAGCAAAACGGTCCAGCCTATTGCTATGGTGTGAGCATCTGTTTGCTGTCTAGAGATACCTTCCTCGCATGAAAATTAAAGAGGGTGCGCAAGAGACAAAACCCGAATTGCAAAATGTTGTTCCGAAGATTCATCAAGATAGTTTGGCCATAAACTTGTGGCAGTCACTCAGTCCAGCACCAGGTGGAGTGGACTCAGGGGGTGTGTTTCCATTTTCGGAGTTGCCGCCCGTCGCACCTCCCCTTTCCAGTACGCAGTCACAGAACCGGGCTTGGTGACTGCTTGGAATCCCAGCCCATTTGAGTTTACTGATGAGTTGTAACAAACCACCCAAGCCCTGCTTTCATGTCTTCATCGCCCGGGCGATAAACTCCACCAAAACAAGCCTGTCCACGGTGGTCATGTGGCTGTGAACCTGTCAGAGTCGGACATGAATGCCTGACACTAATGGCCCCAATCACACTCCAACACACACACCCCCGGGCTTGTTTTGTTATTTGAGCACCCTCCCACAGCCCATCATCCTTGTTCTTTGGCGCAATGGAGGCAAAGAAGGACACAGATATGGAGCAGTCATTATCATCCATGGAGTGCCCATTCTGCGGGTGGACAAGCGAGTGGCGGGAACATTATGAGATGTTGATGGTACGTAACCAGCGCCCGGACATTCCAACATCCTTTGTGCCCTCTGCGAGTGGCGCTGACCTCAGACACACCACCAGCACATGGAGCTTTACCACCCTGAGGACGGAAAGAAGTCTCCTTTTGTTCCGGATGAGGGCCTTCCAAATCCAGCCAACACGGCAGAGGATTCTGACGGAGCCGGCAATGGTTATGTGCAATGCCCTCTTGACGAATGTGATGAGGTCCTTGTTAGGGACGAGCTGGACTACCACCTGGAGCTGCACTCGGAAGAGGCAGAGGAGAACAATGTGGCCTCTCGCACACCAACACCAAACCCATCCGCGCCGCAGGTGGCGGCTGCGGCACCAGCAGGACGGGGCTACCTGCCAGAACCTGAGCTTGTGCCGAGCAGCGACCCCCCATCCGAGGAATCCTACGTCGAGATCCCAAAGTCTAAGCAGCAGCGGGCCATCGCCGCCTGGAGGAACATGTTGGCCATGCCGAGCAAGCGGCGCCCTAAGAAGGCGGACAGCAGCAGCAGCAGCAGCACGCCGCCGGGGGGCACGCCGCCCTCCTCCAGGCCAGCCAACGGCGGCATCACCAAGAAGGGCCCCGTCAAGCTGGGCAGGGCCGAGCTGGGCCGCTACCACAGCGAGCAGCGCATGCCGGACTGGCTCGTCGCGCACCTTAAAAAGTACGGGCAGGCCGTCGGGCGGGACGTGATCCCCGTCATCGCCCAGCTGCTGGAGCAGTCGCCCACCACCGAGTACGCCTACCTGTGCCACCCGTGCACGTGGCACGTGTCCAAGCTGCGGCGCGAGGGCGGCTTCTGCGGCTACAGGAACATCCAGACGGTCAGCTCGTACGTCATCGGGGCCGGCTTCGGGGGCGCGCACCACTTTGGCGGCAAGCTGCCCTCCGTCTTTGACATCCAGGACTACGTCGAGGCCGCGTGGGACAAGGGCATCAACAGGCAGGGCCGCATCGAGACGGGCGGAATCCTGGGGACGCGCAAGTACATCGGCACCCCCGAGGCGCAGGCCATGTTCGTCTCGCTGGGGATCGCGTGCGAGGCGCAGGGCTTCAAGAACAAGGAGGAGGCCGGCAGGGCCGAGGCGCAGATGCTGGCGTCGGTGGAGCGCTACTTCCAGCAGGGCGTGTCCGACCCGGCGGAGCGCGTGCGGCGCACCTCGCTGCCGCCCATCTACTTCCAGCACGCGGGCCACTCGATGACCATCGTCGGGATCGAGCAGCTGCGGGACGGCGGCGGCGTCAACCTGCTCGTCTTCGACCCCATGTTCCGCGACTCGTCCGTCATCCTCGAGCGGGTGGGCCAGACCTTCACGTACAAGCACCCCGACCACGCCCTCAAGGCGTACCGGCGCGGGCACAGGTACCTCCGGCGGTACAGGGAGTTTGAGCTGCTGAGGTTGGTCACCAGGGAGACGCGGCCCGTGGGCGGGCCTGTGCCTGTGGCGGGTGGTGGTGCTGGAGTGGCAGGGTCGATGGTGGCACCGAGCTAGAAGAAGCGGCCGCCTGGTTTAGATGGAGCTGCGCGAGCAGGAAGGACGGGGGGATGAATGTGCAGGGGCTTTCTGGTGCCCATGGGTAGGAGCGCGAGCATGAGAATGAGCATGAGCATGAGCCTGGGAGTTCGTTTTTGCGCGGGGGAGAGAGGGACGGGCTGGCTTGTTATAGCACTCACACAGCACCGGCGTTTTTTGTTAAGAGCACTGTAGATCGTCATACTTAGAGAGAGCTCTCCTGTTGTATTCTTCACCCGCGTGGGCGGACGAGTAGAGTAGTCTATGCTCGCACTGAATGGACCACCACGTGTTCAATGTGACACCCGTCTTTTGTGTCATTTGATTCCTTCTCTCGTGGTGCCTGTACACTGACTGTATGTATGTATGTACGTATGTGTTTTGCTCATCTCATTTTTGCTTTTGTGGTCGGGTCTGATCAACCCCCGCCCCCCCCCAGATGCCCCCCTTTCGCGAATAGGGGTTGAGAGGGCCGTCGTGGTCTGGTTTTCCTTCTTCTAGTTGCGTACCTGGGTTCGCCTGATGCCCTCCTCTATGATCGCGCGTCTTCACCCAATGGCTGTGATCCCGGTAGCCGTCATGTCCTGTCCTGTCCCCTCTGTCCCCTCTGCCCCCTCACGCGGACGCCTGCTCGGCGAACCAGGCCTGGAGCTTCTCCAGGGCGCGGCCGCGGTGCGAGATCTTGTTCTTGGCGGCCTTGTCCATCTCGGCGTACCTTTTTGAGGTCAGCGGAACGAGCCGGTTGGATTCTGCAGGTGGGGGTTCCATGTAAGGTCGAGATTACAGGCAGTAAGAGCGGGAGTGGGAGTGGGAGGGACATCGAGGCCATCACCTCTCCCTCCCTCCCTCTCACCAGCTGTACCCACCCGGATCTCCCTTTCAAAAAGAAAAAAAGAAAAAAAAAACACTCACGTCTGCCCCTCGTACTCAAAGATGGGGTCCCAGCCGAAGTTGGCCGGCCCCCGCGCGGGGACGACCCTCCCCTGCGTGACGCCCTGGAACAGGATGGGCTCGTGGCCCGGCCCCCGGGAGAAGCCGAAGGTGCAGACGGCCTTGGCGCCCTTGTCCTCGTAGGCGGCGAGGAGGTTGTTGAGGCCCGCGTGGCCCAGGTCCTTCATGAACCACTTGCTGTGCGGAAGGGGGGTTCAGGTCAGCCGGGTGGGTTCGGCCAGGTGGGAGTTCTCCCCCGTTTCCCGCCTTTTCTTTTTGTTCTTCTCATGGATTGTAGGGTGAGTGAGTGTGTGTGTGGGTGGGTGAATCGGCAAGGGAGGATAAGTAAGTGAGTAAGTGTGAGGGGAGGAAAAAGAAAAAAACATACATGTATGGGCCCGGCAGGCCCTTGAGCGCATCGAAGCAGAGGCATGTGTCCTCGACAAGAACTGGGCCGCCGATCTGAGGAGGGAGTCAGTGAGCCCGTCTGCCTGTCTATCTCCCCACGGGGCAAAGGGGGAGGAGGACGCATGGGATTGATTCCCTTGGCTGCGTTCGCAGGCACGCACCTGTTCCGCAGCGCTCTTGCACTTTGCAATCGTGACCTCCTCGAGCGTCCCCTGCACCTCCACCAGGTCCAGCGCCTGGCTGCGGACCTCGATCGTGGGCTCCAGGATGGCCTTGACCTCGCCGAGCTTGTTGGCGTTGCCCGTGATGAAGTTCACCACGTGGGCAGTCGGCTTTTCGGCGGTGGCCATGATAGACTCTTTTTTTTAATTTTTTTTTATCTGATTGACTTCGTAGAAAGACGTGTACTTCTTTTCTGTCTGTAAGTAAATCCGGTGCTTGGGAATCGGACGAGGTTGTCAAAGGTGCGACAGATATCTTTGGGCTTTCCGTTTATGTAGGTATTAATCTGTGTAAATGGGCTTGTCCTCGCCGACTGAGTCAAAGCTGCTGCCGGGACTGGGGTCAGGGCCTAAACGGTGGGACATGTTTTCACGCTTAATCGCATAATACCACTCATCACCAGGACACCCAGCTCGGCCCTGAATGAGAGAAAACATCAATTGGATCATTGGCTCGTTTCTTCATGCATATCAAGTTTTTAGAATTGGGTTTTTGGCATCCTGAGTGTAGAGTGTGTCACCGAGCACGTGAAATAAAATGGCTGCGAGAAGGACATCCGAGGAAAACCAAATCCAACCACAGTTTCTTTAAGTCGGGATGGATCTTTGTTTGATCATGGGTATCATTCATTGCATTTGTAAACCTCTCGCCGCCGCCCACGAGAATAGTCAGTCAGGTCAAGCTCAAGACGGCGCAGCAACACCCCCTCACCGGCCCGCATTGTCCTCCTTCCACTGCCTCAGCCAGCCCTCGATGCGCTCGATGTTGGTCTCCATCTCCTCGGCCGTGTTGCTCTGCAGCTCCACGACAATCTCCTCGTCGTACGACTCCCGCGCCTCCTGCGACAGCACCTCCATGATCTCCGAGTCGATATTCTCCTGCATCTTGGCCTCGGGGTAGTTCCTAAGACGGCCATGCCATGTCAGCCTGGACGCTTCACAGTCCGCGACACGTCACCCAGACCCCCCTCTTCCTTCCTTCCGCTGAGCCTCACGGGATTGGGGGGGGGGGGGGCGGCCTCCCTCACGCGTGTCTGCACCACCCGTGGGGTTTTCATTTCCTCCCCCAGAAGCAGAAGCGGGACTCACCTCGCCTTCAGCCGGTCATAATGCACCGCCGAGTCCACCCTCAGCACGACGACCAGGTCGATCCAGCTCCGCGGGAACAGGTCGCACGCGTGCCAGTCGATGATGCACCCGCCGGCCTTGCACTCCTCCTCGATCGAGTCCAAGAGCTATATATCAAACAACCCAGTAGTCAGCCAGATTGATTTCCCCCCCTGAATGATGAAAAAGACGGGATGGTCTCTCAACCCAGCACAGCGCTGGCTCTTGGGGGGTTAGGGGGGGGGGGTTGCTGCCCTCTCGCCAGACCCACCTTGTCCTCGTCGACGATCCAGCTCTGGTACTCGTCGTCCCAGCCCTCGTGGCACTCCCTCTCCTTGACCACCTGGTTCACGCTGAGGTGCCGCAGCCCAGTCTTCTCGGCCAGCACCTCGCAGTGTGTCGTCTTGCCCGTGCCGGGCGTGCCCGTGACGATGATGTTGGGGAGCGTCCTTGCCATGCTTGCTTCCGCTCGGGGTTTTGGGTGGTGGGAGGAGACTCAGCTAGGCTGGCCCGGGCGTGTGAGTTTTAACACCTATGGGCTCAGATGGAATTGAAAAGTGAGATGAAAATGTGGGGATGCAGTCTTGTGAAGTGAGGTTCTCTCATGTAAAAAAACAGAAAATGCTGAGAAATTGAGAGAGTTTCCCGTGTTGTGCTGTGAATAGGCTATTTACTTGTGGATCTGCAGCGAGTTCGGTTTGTTGCAAATTATTTCTTATATCCTCAATGTCTCACTGTGGAAATTTTCGGACAGGAATTTGGCCACCCCATGCTTTGGGGCGTAAGGGGGGAGGGTAGGCAGGTAGTCTAAAGGCGTCAAGGGTAAGGGTATGGAGCGTTTTGCCCTCCGTTTGCTTGGTGCTTACTCCGTTCTCAGTTCCTCAACGAATCGTCGATGGGGCAGCGACTCGGGCAAGAGATAGCTCGTTGACCCGGTGCCAAAGATGCTCCACTCTGTTTCCAAGCTTCGCGCTTTTACAGTACAAGGTTGGGGCTATTGCACACTTCACATGTCGGACCGATCATGCTGGATAACACGAGGCCGGCGGTTTGGGACTCGTAATGCCCAGACTTCAGACCTGCCGAGACGGGCCCCTGACATCATTTTATAGACACTTGCACAGGAGAGGCTGTGTTCCGAATAATGACTTGTTTCCGGGATGAGCGGTCGACTAACTGGCAACGTACTCTGTCAACGCCTTGCCCCGAATAGCGCCGCCCGGGGGACACTTGTCTACCCACAATGCGGCCGGTGTATGCTGGTGATGATCGTATTGGGACCTCGAAACAGCCAAAATAAAAGCCTGGCATCCTCCTCTACCTCAAAGCGATCGGAGTGTAAGATATTTTTCACATCAGTGTCCTCCTCTGTATTCTTCACAGCCCATCCACCTCCCTGCACTTTTGGCGCATCAACAGGCAGAATTCACCAAGCCCACCCCCCTTTGCGAATTATGGTCTAGAGGCGTAACTGATAGGCAAAACCGTAGTGATCAACAAGGAAACTGCATATGTCGTCGAGGATCTGAGATCAAGTCAAACTGCTGTAGCGATAATGCGCCAACAAGACAATTTCCCATCGACTGAGCCTAACGATGAGGTGATTCGATCCAAGAATGCGAAGCAGATTCTAGGCGACAAGCATCGAGACGCTTAGCTCTGCTTGCACTCCGCAGCCTCCTGTTTGGGCTTTGATCCATCATCCTGTTGAGTCACGTTAGAGAGTGGTCTACAGGCATAGGCATGTTCTGAAGGGGGCTTACATCATCCTCGTCGGACTCCTCGTCCTCGTCACGGTCCTCGCTGAGGTCATCCTCATCATCGTCATCCTCGAAGTCGTCCTCGTCGAAGTCTTCCTCGTCCATCTCCTCGAAGGCCAGAGCCTCGCCGGTGAACCAGTCGATGGCGCGGGGAATCAGCTTCTCCTTGATGTCCTCACCAAGCTGGTAGTCGAGCTCGAGACGCTCCTCGATGTCGGAGGCGGCGTCGTCGTCCTCCTCGCTGGGCGCGTTGGGTGGGGAGAAGAAGTTGAAGAAGGACTCGGTTGGGACGGTCTTCTTGACGATACGAGTTTGTTTTGTGTCTGGGATGAACCGGTCAGCTGCTGCCTGTACTCATGTCCAGCACGCGGTGGCGAGGAACCCAGGAGAAATGACTTACTCTTGTTGCGCTGCTTCTTCTGCTCGACCCTGACAGTGAGGTCCTTACCCTCCTTCCAGTTGATCTTGTCGCCCTCGGCGTGGTCGTAGATAAAGTCACCGCCATAGCCGGACTCATTCTGGTAGAAGTAGGTCTTGGTGATGGTCTTGTTTGTGAAGAACTCGTTCTCGTCAAACTCGAAGATCAGGCGGAAACCAGGCTTGTCCAGGTACTCCATGCGGATGTCGGTCAGGTGCTTCAGGGCACCCTCATCACGGTCGGTGATCATCTCGGCGAGGGAGATCTGGTTCTTCATGGCGGACAGCCAGAACTCTGGGATACCCTTGACGGCGTCACTCGACTCGGCGGGCTTCTCGGTCTTGTCAGCAGCGCCGGTCTCCTCGTCGTCATCCTCCTCATCGTCCTCCTCGCCGGCCTCGATCTCCTGCTGGGTGGGCTCGGTGGTGCCGTTGACGACGGCAGCACGCTTCTCGTACAGCGGGGTGAACTTGGCAAAGTACTTCTTCTCGAGCTGGAGGACCTCCTCTTGGAACTCAGCCTCGAGCTTGGAGTGCTCCTTCTGGATGCCCTTGAGGCCGGCGACGCGCTTCTTGACCGGGGTGGGTAAGGACTCGATGTAACCGGATGACCGGCCGACGAGACCACCGAGACGTCCCTCGATCAGCTGGACGAGCTTTGGGTTCTGCGCGAAGATAGAGGCAGCGGCCGCACGGTCCAGGTCCTCTGTTTGGAGGTTGATATCAGCACTTTTTGGGTTCATGACGGCCAGCAGGGTTTCATGGGGGCGGAGCGCGGGGTACTAACCCTCCTTGATACTATCAACGCCGGGTTGCTGGGCGTGCGATGTGATGGGAGCATTGTTGGCGGGGGTGTTCTGTGGTGTACTGCAAAACCGAGAGATAATTCTGTCAGCGGCGTCCTCAGAGGTGGTGATTATTTTTTTTTTTTTCGTTGCAGCGGTTGTCCGCCGTGTTGACGGGGGACGCGGGGAGAGAGCAGGCAAAGGGCCTGTGGCAAGTGGGACTGGGCGCCTAGGACGGGGAACTGGGGGCTTTGGGAATGCTGCAGCAACTTACGGGGCGACGGCGGGCTCAGGCCGCTTGTTCTTGATGGGCTCAGCCATTTTTTGATGTGGTTGCGATCTGGGAAACGAAGGGATGGGTATCTCTGGGAGACAAAGTGGTGATGGCAGAGGGAAAATATGGAGGGGGGAAGGAGAAAAGCGGTGATCGATCGTAGCGCGAGGGAAGGGATTGAGGGAAGGAGGTGGAGGGCCCGAGGGATGGGATGGTCGATTGCAAATTTTTGGAGACAGAGGGAAGGCGCTCCACCCCACTCTTTGGTTCTGGGCGGCTCTAATCGTTGGGCGGCGAATGGCTCGTTGAACACGTTTTTGTTGGCGAGCGAGACGGCGAGGGAGTGAGAGTGACTGGAGTGGCCGAGTGCGTGCGTGCGTGCAGCCCAGCAGCCCAGCCAGTAGTAGCCCAGCAAGCAGGCCTGCCGTGCCTTGCCTTGCCTTGACTTGCTCTCTCGCCTTGCCTTCACGACCACACGCACTACAAGATGCTGCTCGCTCGCTTCCTTTTCGTTTGTTTGTCCTTCCCGCTCGCCCGCCCGTTCGACTAACCAACTAACTCTGACGAGTTTTTGAAAAAAGTCTAGCCCCTGGCGCCCGTCCTATCGCCGCCGTTCATGATCAGTGGGTGATTGACGCCACTAACAGCAAGTTCACCATCTTTCACCATCCTCCACCATATTTGATCAGTCATCAGATAGCCCACCGTTTGTGTCTGTTGTGCACGCATCTGTCTCTTTCTCTTTTCCGAGCACCCCAGTCCTCGGCCCTCGCTCCCTGCCGTCGTGTGCACTCCGTCAGTCCGTCTGCACAGGTAACTTTTGTTTGCTGTAACTGTAACCCGGCCCAAGATGTCGGAAAGTATAGCCCAGTGGATCAACTAAGTGCTGCATCCTGGGACCGTCGTACTATCGGGCGTCTCACATCATGCCGACTTTATGCTCCGTATCCGTAGCCCCGGAACGGCTGGCTACCAGCACCACAACCATCGCAGGCCAACAACTATTGCATGCTGCTGGCAGACTGCTGGCAGAGTCGGAACAGAGTCCAGTCATGCAAGGGCGGGTGGGCAGGCCGGTGGATGACCCTCCTCAGACAGCACTCCACGTTTTCATGCAGCGACACACTCTCACACCATGACTGTGACCGTGTTGGTGACCGTTTCCAAACTGGCAAAACTGGATGCGACCGGGGCCTCACTTACTCAGAAGTCAGAACACTGGTGAGTGCCACCCACAATCGTGAGTGGCGGCTGCCCGCAGGTTCTGCCCACAGGTTCTGCACACAGGTTCTACCAACTTGTTCTCGGCGGGTGTTGCGCCGGGGTAAGCGACACGGCGGCCGACGCTTGGTCCTGGCCCATCCTGGCCGCGTGTAAAAAAGCTCTTCCAGGGACTTGGACTTTGTGCACTCATGCGTAGGCCCGTCCGTCATGGTCGACATACGGAGTACCGTCTCTCGATGTCGGCTCAAGGGAAAGCACAGCTCTGCCCTTTCATAAAGTCGACTTGCATGCATGCATGCGATGCAGGGACGAACGGCTGTGCGCAAGCCGAGGTTGTACGGGCCTCTGTCCTGGCTTCGAGACAACTTCCATCCGGTCCGGGCTTTGATGATTCGGCCTTGGACTGGACGTGGACCCGGACTTGTCTTGGACTTGACTTGGACTTGGACTTGGACTTGGACTTGGACTTACATGGGGCCAGTACACAATTCAGGGTCGCCGGCTTTCGATTTTCACAACTGACATGGTAATTAATGTACGTACTACGTACTTGGGCGGCCCACCAGGAGCTCAAGCACAGTACTTATATGTAGGGCTCGGAGCACCTCACAGAGGCAGCAGATGACGCCCCATGGGATTTGGAATTCGGGGTGGCTAGTCCCAATGATGAAATACTCCGCAAGCACGCCTGCACACGCATCGTTTGCTCGTGGAAGGTGCTTCGGCGATTGACGTAGCACGCCCTCCGCGATACCGCACGAGGCGTGGAAGGCTTGTCCCACTGCAAGTGTCCTGTCGTCTCAGCCTGTTTGTACCCCACACTATCTAGGTAGGTATCTACTAACAAGCTTGGAAGTATGCTGCTTGTTATCTGATGTGCGGCTGCATGCGTGTGGGCGTATGCTGCAAGGCGATATCTTGTCTTGGGTGACATCTGGACATCTGCTGCTTGCTGCCACCTGCCATGGGTGTTCAAGGGCAGCATCCTGAGCAACCGTCCTTCTCCATGGGGTTATGGAGAGGCGCGTGGATAGCAAAGAGACCTTCCGAAGTCGTCGAGAATTTTTCATGTCACAGCACAGCGAGCACGGCATGCGTGGGGGCAACTACCACAGTACAGAAGCCACCAATGAGTCAGGCCCCACCATTTCCGAGTCCTCTCTCCTGAATGGAACAGTCATCATGCTGTCGTTAGAGCGAGGTGGTCTGTCAAAGGAATCGGTATTTAACCGCCTTTGGTCCTCCTAGTTGCACTCCGGCTCTCGCAAGTGTCTGTTTAAACAAATAGCGTCAGGTGAATCTCTGTGTTTCGCTGCCAATATCTTAGCATCTTTCCCCTTGGCCTTGTGGTCCGAGAAATCCTTTGCTACTACTGCAAATAGTCACTCCCGAGGTCTACTACAGTACTACGCCGCCCGCCGTCGACGTTTCACCCCACCAAAGCCTTGCAAGCCTGTCATACCATTCGCTTCCCGAAAACTCACACCCTACAAAAAAGCAAACCAACCACACTCACACTCGCACTCGCACAACCATGGCTCCTCAGGCTCAAAACATTGCCGTCCGCGGGTCGGCACCCTCGCACCCTGAGCTCAGCGTTTCCCCCTCTGCCACCTTCCACAGCCCCTCCAGCTTCCCACAGAGCTTTGGCGCATTAAACTCACACCAGCCCGGCGCAAGGGACCTGAAGCCCTTTGAGACAACAGACATCAAGATCCTGCTCCTGGAAAATGTCAACCAGAGTGGCCAGGACATCCTCCGCAACCAGGGCTACCAGGTCGAGGCTCTCAAGACTTCCCTCCCTGAGGAGCAACTCATCGAGAAGATCCGGTAAGTCCTCCCGAGGGACTGGGCCGCATCGCATGCCCAATACGGGGTCCATGCCGACCCAGCCCAGCCCTGGTCTGATGCAACATACACATGCACATTCACATACACAGAAACTAACATCACCACAGCGATGTCCATGTCATTGGCATTCGTTCAAAGACAAAGCTGACCGAGAAGGTCCTGAAAGAGGCAAAGAACCTTCTCGTCATTGGTTGCTTCTGCATTGGCACCAACCAGGTGGACCTCGACTACGCGGCCAAGCATGGCATCGCCGTCTTCAACTCGCCCTTTGCCAACTCGCGCAGTGTCGCCGAGCTCATCATCGGCGAGATCATCGTGCTGGCCCGCCAGCTGGGCGACCGCTCCAACGAGCTGCACCACGGCACCTGGAACAAGGTCAGCTCCAAGTGCTGGGAGATCCGCGGCAAGACGCTGGGCATCATCGGCTACGGCCACATCGGCGCCCAGCTGTCGGTGCTGGCCGAGTCCATGGGCATGAACGTCATCTACTACGACATCGTCACCATCATGGGCCTGGGCACCGCCCGCCAGACGCCCACCCTCGACGCCCTGCTCGAGGAGGCCGACTTTGTCACCCTGCACGTCCCCGCCACCCCGGAGACCAAGAACATGATCTCCACCGCCCAGCTGGCCAAGATGAAGGACGGCGCGTACCTCCTCAACGCGTCGCGCGGCACCGTCGTCGACATCCCGGCCCTCATCAACGCCATGCGCGCCGGCAAGATCGCCGGCGCCGCCCTCGACGTCTACCCCAACGAGCCCGCCGCCAACGGCGACTACTTCACCAGCGAGCTCAACGCGTGGGGCGAGGACCTGCGCAGCCTCAAGAACCTCATCCTCACCCCGCACATCGGCGGCAGCACCGAGGAGGCCCAGCGCGCCATCGGCATCGAGGTCGCCGACGCCCTGGTCAAGTACATCAACCAGGGCCTGACCGTCGGCTCCGTCAACCTGCCCGAGGTGACGGTGCGCTCGCTGACCCTCGACGAGAGCGACCACGCCCGCGTCAGCTTCATCCACAGGAACGTCCCCGGCGCCCTCAAGCAGTGCTACGACATCCTGATGCCCCACAACATCGACAAGGCCACCAGCGACAGCAAGGGCGACATCGCCTACATGATTGCGGACATTAGCGGCGTCCAGATCAGCGACCTGAGGAACATCTCGGACGAGCTGAACTCGCTCAGCTCGAGGATCATGACGCGCATCCTGTTCTAGGGGCGTGCGTGGTTCTTCCTGTTGTCGGGTGATTGTGTGATCGTGGTTTTCTGGTTTTCATTAGGTGGCAAAAAAACAAAAGTTCAACATTGAGTGTGGCGTTTACTGGGTTCAATTAGATGACAGGCGAGAAGGGCTATAGATCATCTGGGCGTTCAACAGCACCCTGGCATCGTACTGATGTGTGGCCTAGGAGCTTCCAAGGAATAAAAAAAATGGTCCCAACTTATAAATCATCCCGGGGCTCCCGACTGCTCTGAGCATGGGAGCTTTGACGTGTGCCCACGACAGGCTCTTACCAGGGTTCCCACACAATATTAGCTGACGACACTATAACTGTTGTTTGCTGTCCCAGAGACTTCTGATGGCATAATAATTCCTGCTCAATGTGTGGTAGGCACTTAGTAGTTCCTGCTTGGCACGACCGGCGTGCCATACAACTCCAACGCGGAGACGCACCAGATACATGGTCGAAGGCAACCTTGCCAGCTTGCGTGACACGCCTGATGAATCCAAGCCTCCGGACATCCGAACACATCGACCGTGCGGGAGGGATATGCTTTGGCCAGATTAGCCCCGACACACAGAGACAACCCGCAGCGAGATGGGAGGATCAGCCGCCCGGACGTCGGGGTAGCAATGTCGGCGCTGGGACCCGTCGCACCCATCTCGGTTGCATCGCGGGGCCGACTGGCGATCATCAAGTTTCGTTCCAAGGTCAGTCCAGTGATGGATTGATAGTTCCGCATATTGTCTGCCGTGCATCTCTCAGTAGTGTGTACATGGCCGTCTTCAAAAAGACACACACACACACGCGAAGCCAAGCCAAGCCATGGGGGGAGGGGCATCTGTCGCGCGTGGTGGAGCTTGCCCTCCCAGCTCCCTGCCCCGCGGCCTGTCCTATCGGTCCCGCCATCGGAGATGATATTCATGCAGGTATGCGCTCAGAGTGTGTGGTGCGGGTTATAATACACGTGTTGGCACAGAGGCTCTCACTTCTCACTTCCCACCTCTTTTGAGCTTTTACGTTTGTCTGCCTGTTTGTTGCGAGGGTGTAGAGTATAGTCATAGCAAGGTGTAAGTAGTACTTTAATAAGCTGATGCGGCGTGTTGCATCCAGTGCCACGCTATCATATTTTTATTTACTTCCCGTACCTATTTTATTTGCCGCGGTACGTGTAACCCTGAGTGTTAACCCAGGTACTAAGGGCATGCAAGCTGTTCTCGCGCTGCAGATCCTCAGGGGCTCGCTGGCCCAGCACCCAGCTGGCCCTTCTCGTGCATTCCAGCGGGAAGGCCCCCCCTCGTCCACGCCTGGGGTAAGCGGAGATTGCTCTTCACCTTGGGACAGGGCGAGCGAGCAGATTGCTGGTAGGTAGCTTGCTGGACGGCATGGATTTGAACCACGCATGGACGCGACGGAGACGAGTACTGCGCCGTCTGATCATGCTACTACAAGAAATGTTGCATTGGCTCAGTGCTGATTGGGGAAAGAAAGCATGGGCTCTGGGTTAGGGAAGCTGTTGGGGTGGCTCTTCGCTTGGCTGGATCTTAGGGGCCGTTCTCTAGCGCGGGGCGCTCTTGTCTTTGCCCCGGCAGGCCAATACCATGTACATACTGTAGATTACTGTGTATGTGTGTACGTACTACCCATCTCAGATATGTGTAGGGACTCACGGTGTGGCTGCACGCGTTGGACACAGGAGTCGGAAGGCCTGTGCAGCTCTCCCACCCGCGACGAGTCTGTCCAATGGAGCCCGTTCCGGCGTCGTGGGCTTGACTTGACAGCTCTGGAGCTGAAGCAGGGCTGGGCTGTTGTTTCGGTGTCCCAACAGGACACTGCCAGAGAGGTACCCAGGGTACCACAGTACCGCGTATGCATCCCTAGGGGCTCGAGTAAGGTACCTCCCCCAGCTGGTGGTACAGCATATGACCATGGCGTACCCACCCTGCTGCACGTCTGTACCATACGGAGTACAAGAAGCCCAGTACAGTATGTCGGCAAGACCTATGTACCTACAGCGGTAGCTGCATGCAGGAGCTTGCATTGGCCCAGTCGGGAGCACGTTGACTGGGCGAGCCCCACAAAGCGCAACCTTCACACCGCGACTTGCTAACCTCTGACACGCCTCTCTCTCCCTATGCGCCAGCGCCAACCCCGTCTGCGCTGTGGCCCCTTTTCACCGTTGCGACCAGGTCTGCCAGACCGCATGATGGACCGACAGTAGAGTACAGCAAAGCACCAAATTTGTTTTAGCTCAGCACGAAACGGACCACAGCCACGACCCTTTCTTTGGACGACAGCCCTCCAACCACCGAGCATCGCGTCCGGATCTTTGAACCTGCATCTGGAACTTGGCCCTTCTTTCAGCTTCTCGCACCGGCACCTCACATCACCGGCATCGTCCTCGACGCTGGCACCCATCCTCCTATCAGTGCCCGTCCTCTCCTGGTCAATGTCCCTCCCGCAGCCTTGAACAACTGGCTTGTCCGTTTCTGACTGATACCCTCCGGTCCCCACCTGCTTCTTTGGCATCCTCCACGAATGTCTCTTTCGACAAGGACTCGCCAACCTTGCTCCCGGTAGTGTCTGTTACGAACTGCCTCCCCTACGCCGCCGACCTCCCTTTTGATACACGCTCAATGCGGCCAGCCTCTTCTCCATAGAACCCCCGACGCAGATCCTGTAATATGTCCTCGAATTACGATGTTGGCACCCGGGCGTGGCAGCCCGATGCCGCAGAGGGCTGGGTTGCTTCCGAGGTGACAAAGAAGCAAGTAGATGGCGATAAAGTCATCCTGACCTTTAAGCTGGAAAATGGCGAGGTAAGCAGCTCCCCGAGACTGCCTGAGGCCCCTCCCCAACACGCAGTCACTGACACACCGAGCTGCAGGAGAAAGAGCTCAAGATTCCCCTCGCCACCCTCGAGAAGGGCAGCGACGATGCCCTGCCTCCGCTGATGAACCCGACGGTGCTCGAGGCCAGTGATGACCTGACGAACCTTTCTCATCTTAACGAACCAGCAGGTATGCACGAAGCCCCTGTGCCCCGAGCTTCAGCTTGTTATCTATCTTCTTCTAACACGACACTCGTGCCCCAGTCTTACAAGCAATCAAGCTCCGCTACCTCCAAAAAGAAATCTACACATACTCCGGTATCGTGCTAATAGCTACAAACCCCTTCGCCCGTGTCGACTCCCTCTACGTCCCAGGCATGGTTCAGGTATACGCGGGCAAACAAAGAGCAACTCAGGCACCCCATCTTTTTGCCATCGCCGAGGAAGCATTTATAGACATGTTGCGAGATAAAAAGAACCAGACCATTGTGGTATCTGGCGAGTCCGGTGCCGGAAAGACCGTGAGTGCTAAGTACATCATGAGATATTTCGCAACCAGAGAATCGCCAGACAGCCCCGGGGCAAAGGCCAAGAAAGGCTCCGACGCGCTGAGCGAGACCGAGGAGCAAATTCTTGCTACCAACCCTATCATGGAATCCTTTGGTAACGCCAAGACGACTCGAAATGACAACTCGTCCCGGTTCGGAAAATACATCGAGATCATGTTCAACAGCAACACGGACATCATCGGCGCAAAGATCCGCACATATCTGCTGGAGCGGTCAAGATTGGTGTTCCAGCCCATGAAGGAGCGCAACTACCACATTTTCTACCAGATGCTCGCGGGTGTTTCCGAGCAACAGCGACAGGAGTGGAACCTGCTCCCGGTCGAGCAGTTCGAGTACCTTAATCAGGGAAACACCCCGACCATCGACGGAGTGGACGACAAGGCTGAGTTCAAGGCGACCATGAACTCTCTGTCGACAGTCGGCGTCGACGAATCCACGCAGACCGAGATCTTGAAGATGCTCTCCGGTCTTCTGCACATGGGCAACGTTAAGATCGGTGCCTCGCGGAACGACAGTGTGCTCCCGCCTGAGGAGCCCTCTCTGGAGAAGGCTTGTGCCCTCCTTGGAATCGATGCTGCCGAGTTCGCCAAGTGGATCGTGAAGAAGCAACTTGTCACTAGAGGCGAGAAGATCACGTCCAACTTGAGCCAGGCCCAGGCCATCGTCGTCCGAGACTCTGTTGCCAAGTATATTTACTCAAGCCTCTTCGACTGGCTGGTCGAGGTCACCAACCGCAGTCTGGCCACAGATGAGGTCCTGAGCCAGGTCCAGTCCTTCATTGGTGTTCTGGATATCTACGGTTTCGAACACTTCGCAAAGAACTCTTTCGAGCAGTTCTGTATCAACTACGCCAACGAGAAGTTGCAGCAGGAGTTCAACCAGCACGTGTTCAAGCTTGAGCAGGAAGAGTATCTCAGGGAGAAGATCGACTGGACATTCATTGATTTCTCAGACAACCAGCCCTGTATCGATCTGATCGAGGGCAAGCTGGGTATCCTGTCCCTGCTTGACGAAGAGTCAAGACTTCCGATGGGCTCGGACGACCAGTTCGTTACCAAGTTGCACCATAACTACGCCGCCGACAAGAACCAGTTCTACAAGAAGCCTCGGTTCGGCAAGTCTGCTTTCACGGTGTGCCATTATGCCGTCGACGTGACATACGAGTCGGAAGGTTTCATAGAGAAGAACCGTGACACCGTCCCAGATGAGCATATGGCCGTCCTGAGGTCAAGTAAGAACGCGTTCCTGGTCTCAGTGCTCGACGCTGCCGCGTCTGTTCGCGAGAAGGACGTGGCATCAGCAACCACGAGCTCAGTCAAGCCGGCAGCCGGCCGGAAGATCGGTGTGGCTGTTAACCGCAAGCCCACCCTCGGCGGTATCTTCCGATCTTCGTTGATCGAGCTCATGAGCACCATCAACAACACGGATGTGCACTATATCCGTTGTATCAAGCCGAACGAGGCTAAGGAGGCTTGGAAGTTTGAGGGACCCATGGTGTTGAGCCAGCTCCGAGCTTGTGGTGTCCTCGAGACAGTCCGCATTAGTTGCGCTGGATACCCTACGAGATGGACATACGAAGAGTTTGCTCTCCGTTACTACATGCTGACGCCGTCGACCCAATGGACGGCGGAGATCCGGCAGATGGCCAACGCCATCCTGGTGAAGGCCTTGGGAGAAAGTACTGGCGGAGGTCAGGACAAGTACCAGCTTGGTCTGACCAAGATCTTCTTCCGGGCAGGCATGCTTGCCTTCCTCGAGAATCTGCGTACCAACAGACTCAACGCGTGTGCCATCATGATCCAGAAGAACCTGAGGGCCAAGTACTACCGCCGCAGGTATCTTGACGCCAGGGAATCCGTCATCCAGACCCAGGCCATTGCCAGGGCCTACATGGCAAGGCAGAAGGCCCAGGAGTTGCGGACGGTTAAGGCTGCCACTACCATTCAAAGGGTCTGGCGTGGACAGAAGGAGAGGAAGAAGTTCCTTCGCATCAAGGCCGACCTTGTTCTTGCTCAGGCTGCCATCAAGGGTTACCTGCGCAGGAAGGAGATCATGGAGACACGCATCGGCAATGCTGTCTTGCTCATCCAGAGGGTATGGCGGTCAAGGCGGTCGGTGCGGGCCTGGAGGCTGTACCGCAAGAGGGTCATCCTCATCCAGAGCTTGTGGCGTGGTAGGAAGGCGCGGAAGGAGTATAAGGGTCTCCGTGAGGAAGCCCGCGATCTCAAGCAGATTTCCTACAAGCTTGAGAACAAGGTGGTTGAGCTCACCCAGTCTCTTGGCACGATGAAGTCGCAGAACAAGGAGCTCAAGGCACAGGTTGAGAACTACCAGAGCCAGATCAAGTCCTGGCAGACAAGGCACAACGCACTCGAGGCTAGGACGAAGGACCTCCAGGCTGAGGCCAACCAGGCAGGTATCGCTGGAGCACGTCTGCAGGTCATGGAGGAGGAGATGAAGGAGCTGCAGGCTCGTTTTGAAGAATCTGCCGCCAACCTCAAGCGCATGCAGGATGAGGAGAAGCAGTTGCGAGAATCCCTGCGGGCAACCAACACAGAACTCGAGGTCTCCAAGCAAGAAGCCACTCGCCACGACAACGAGAAGAACTCGCTGCGTCAACAGCTGGCCGAGCTTCAAGACGCACTGGAGCTTGCCCGACGTGAGGTGCCTGTTGGAGCCGAGGTCAACGGCAACGGCGTGACGCCTGCTATGAGTGGCCTCATTAACCTGGTTTCCTCCAAGAAGCCAACTAAGAGGCGGAGCGCTGGAGACCCCGGGGTTGCCGACCGCTTCAGTGCAGCATACAACCCTCGCCCGGTCTCGATGGCTGTCACTGGCCGCCAAGCCGTCATGTCAGGATCTACTCTTATTCCTGGCGTTGACAGCATCGAGATGGAGCTCGAGGCTCTCCTTGCCGACGAGGAGGGTCTCAACGAGGAGGTCACCATGGGTCTTATCCGCAACCTGAAGATCCCCTCGCCCAACACCAACCCACCTCCTTCCGACAAGGAAGTCCTCTTCCCGTCGTACCTCATCAACCTCGTTACTTCCGAGATGTGGAACAACGGATTCGTCAAGGAGTCCGAGCGCTTCCTTGCCAACGTCATGCAGTCCATCCAGCAGGAGGTCATGCAGCACGACGGCGAAGAGGCCATCAACCCAGGTGCCTTCTGGCTCTCCAACGTCCACGAGATGCTCTCCTTTGTCTTCCTCGCTGAGGACTGGTACGAGGCACAGAAGACCGACAACTACGAGTACGATCGACTCCTGGAGATCGTTAAGCACGACCTGGAGAGCTTGGAGTTCAACATCTACCACACCTGGATGAAGGTCCTGAAGAAGAAGCTCAACAAGATGATCATTCCCGCCATCATCGAGTCCCAGTCGCTGCCCGGCTTCGTCACGAACGAGAATAACAGGTTCCTCGGCAAGCTGTTACAGACGAACTCGCAGCCCGCGTACAGCATGGACAACCTGCTCAGTCTCCTGAACAGTGTGTTCCGCGCCATGAAGGCGTACTACCTCGAGGACTCCATCATCACCCAGACGATCACGGAGCTGCTCCGCCTGGTCGGCGTGACTGCCTTTAATGATCTGCTGATGCGCCGCAACTTCCTCTCCTGGAAGCGAGGCCTGCAGATCAACTACAACATCACTCGTATCGAGGAGTGGTGCAAGAGCCACGATATGCCCGAGGGCACCCTCCAACTCGAGCACTTGATGGTAAGTCATATTGCAGACTCCAGCTTCTGCATACACCTGCTAACGACCAGTACAGCAAGCAACCAAGCTCCTGCAGCTCAAGAAGGCCACTCTCAACGACATCGAGATTATCCAGGATATCTGCTGGATGTAAGTAGTTTTGAAGCAAGATCCGAGACGTGACGTGATGCTAACCGGGTGTAGGCTCTCTCCCAACCAAATCCAGAAGCTCCTGAACCAGTACCTCGTCGCCGACTACGAGCAGCCCATCAACGGCGAGATCATGAAGGCCGTGGCGTCACGAGTCACTGAGAAGAGCGACGTCCTCCTCCTGCAGGCCGTCGACATGGACGACAGCGGGCCTTATGAAATCGCTGAGCCGAGAGTGATCACTGCTCTCGAGACCTACACGCCTTCCTGTAAGCAAACCCTCACATCGTTGGCCGCTCTCGAAACCCGCATCTAACATCAAGGATATAGGGCTGCAAACCCCCAGGCTCAAGCGCCTAGCTGAGATTGTCTCTGCGCAGGCGATCGCCCAGCAGGAGAAGATGGAGTATGGCTCCCAGGGCGGGTACGAGAACGGCGACATCGAGGAGATGGACGAGACACCAGAGGCCATCGAGGCCAGCGCATAGAGTGCGCCGCCGCGCCCGGGACTCCGGTTGTCGTCCGAGTGTTTCCCGCAGCAGTCGCCGAGGTCGTACCTGCTGTCCCCGTTTAAGAAGGCAGGTGCTGGCAGCAGGAAGCCCGAGGGGAGCCTCTTGCGCGACCGCGCAAACGGGCGGCAGCAGCAGGGCCAGCAAGAGGGCGGTGGTGATGACTGAGCACAGCATGCTGCCTTCCTCTACCACCTTGCTGGGACGACAGGGAAAGGGATGGGTGTATGGATGGGATGGGATGGATGGGAGAGAAATGAAATGAGGCCATGGTTGTACGTCATGTATGATTGCTTAGATGTGTATGTATGTGTATGTGCAAAAAGGTTTGGCGCGTGCGCGTCTTTGGTGGTGGGGGCTTGGCTGGCTGGTGGTGCTGGTGCAACTATGAACAATTTCATCATCCCTTCCTTGATCCACTCACTACATCTGGAATCACTTGCATGGGGGTTTGTTTTCTTGTCTTAGGGGATCCTGGGAGAACGGGGCCGGCGGGCTGGCTGGCAGTGCTGAGGAGGGGTGGTGCGTGGCTGATTGATGTATGGGAGAGAAGGCTGGCAGCGCAGGCAGTGCAGAGGGAGGAAAAGAAAGTGGCCATGATGGGGGGCAGACGATCATATATATCAAGCAGCGAGGACTTTTGGCGTTCTAATGCATATCACCGGGGCAAGTTTTATTTGAGGTACTGCATGGTAAATCGTCATCCTGGCACCATCCCACCTTAAGCTACCTCTAAGGAGGTTTCTCCTTAGAAGGCTGCCTTATAGAAAGGTATATCCTATCAGAGATTATCCCTTGGGAAGATTGCCCCTGGGGGGGCTGTTTACTCAAGAGGTCAACCTATGAGAGGCTTATTCTTTGCGAGCTTGTCCCATAGGATTGACTGTCCCATAGGACCCTAGAAGGTTGGTCTGGCATAGATGCCGTTGGCATAGCGGACATCCTGACGAGAGTAAGACGCGGAGGTCTTGAGGGGCAATATTACCGCTGGGGCCGATTATCAACAGACTATTCAGAACCAACCGCATTTGGATGGTCTCTGTGACACTGCATTTACATGACCACCTCTACTGACCTGCCCCAGGGTTTTCGTTTATCGAAGAATTGCTTTACTACGGCGGCAGAAACGTGGTCTTGCTTACATTGCAAGGAATTAGATGGCCAAAAGTTAGCGACAATGGATGGTCTTGGTCTATCTGCCAGTACTATGTAGTAGTAAATACTATTGCGTTTGTTAGTTGAGGGTCCAACCCGAGACCACCCCACCAATGACGTCGCAGCCAGCCAGGCCCAACCTAGCCTTAGCCGCCTAAAAATAATTGCTAGATTTCGCACGCTCCCGTGAGTGATAGATAAGTGCACGAGGTCCCTCTCACGCGCTCCCTCCTCCCCCACCAAACTGCACATTGCTTGAAACCCGGCCACTGCAACCAGACGGTAAAGGTAGCCTGCAATGTGCTAGCCTCAGATGCGAAAATTAAAGTAGCACCCCCCATCTTTGACCTCGTTGTGGCTCACCTCCAGGAAAACCCCCACTCATACATGGCCGACGACCGAGGAAGAGACACGCCCGAGGGCGCAGAAAACAGAGAAAATGGCAACGGCAACGGCAACGGCCATGGGAATGGCCATGGCTATCCCTACCAAGATCCGCAGGACGGCCGCAGGAGCACGCCCCAGACGCCCAGGCTGTACCGGCTGAACTCGAACACGAGCTCGGTCAGCATCTTCGAGGACGTGGAGATGGCACACGACGAGGTGAGTCTGTCACGGGGTGGCCACGCGGAGGGGCGCACGCGCCCGGCTCCGGCTGAGACACTGTCTGTACCCTGCCTGACACCAGCATGCATCCAGCTTTATTCCGGGCCCATGGCCGAGTCACTCCCGACCAGCGTGAATGCATTCGCCCACCGACGCCGGAGCCGTGCCGACTCCACCACCAGCTTCGCCTTCTACCCCGACTCCCCAGAGGGCGAGACCAGGGGAGACATACTGGACGACATGAGGATCGAGGACCTGGACGACGTCCCCTTTGCGGTGGACATAGGCGATGATGAGGGCGGCGCAGAAGAAGGAGTAGGAGAGGAAGGGCGCGACACGGCTGGGGTCATCCTCCCGAACGGCGGCGGCGAGTTCGAGGAGAGCAGCGAGGCCAACGGGGAGGACGGGGAGGACGGGGAGGAGACCTCGATGCTCCGCCGGTCGTCCACGCTCTCGCACCACTCTGTGCACTCGCGGCTCCTGCGGCGCGACAGCAACATGACCGAGACGAGCGCCTACGGCGGCGGCCGCTTCTCCCAGAAGATCTACATGACCAACGAGGACCTGGTCATCGTGCTCGCCGGGTTCCGGACCAGCGGCGTCGGCCTGGCCGCGTACGCCCTCATCTGCGTCGCGACCCTCGGGCTGGGCTGGCTGCTCTTCCGGTGGATGCCGCGCTGGCACGTCTGGCTGACGGGGAAGCAGGCGCCCCTGCGGGAGGCGTCGTGGCTCGTCGTCGAGAACCAGTGGAACGAGATGGCCATCCTCAACGTCGACGCGAAGCCCTACGGCCGGGTCCTGTCGACGGTGTTCGGGGCGCCGAGCAAGAAGGGCTCCTCGTCCTACGTCTTCGAGTTCGACGACGATCCGATCCTGGACGAGCTGAGGGTCGTCAACTACCGTTATGTGCGCTTCTACTACCACCCCCTGTGGGACAAGTTCCGCCTTGTAAGCGGCTGGAAGGATCCCCTGTGGCAGGATGTGAGGTCGGTGAGGGACGGCATCGACAGCGACGAGAAGAACCACCGCGAGCTGGTGTTCGGGTCGAACCTGATCGACATTGAGCAAAAGTCGGTCTTCCGCCTCCTGGTCGATGAGGTGTTCCACCCTTTCTACGTCTTCCAGATCGCAAGCCTGATTCTCTGGTCGATGGACCAGTATTACTACTACGCGATAGCCATCTTCGCCATGTCGGTGGTCAGCATAGCCACCACGCTCTTCGAGACCATCTCGACCATGAAGCGGCTGCGCGAGATCTCCCGCTTCGAGTGCGAGGTGCGGGTCCTGAGGGACGGGTTCTGGCAGCACATCTCGTCGGGGGAGCTCGTGCCCGGCGACATCTACGAGATCACGGACCCGAGCCTGACCCAGTTCCCGAGCGACAGCCTCCTCCTCAGCGGGGACTGCATCGTCAACGAGAGCATGCTCACCGGGGAGTCGGTCCCCGTCTCGAAGGTCCCGGCCACGGACAACACCCTGTGGGAGATGGGCCTCAGCGCCTCGGCGGTCACGCCCGAGGTCGCGAAGCACTTCCTCTTCTGCGGCACCAAGATCATCCGCGCCCGGCGGCCCCAGGACGACCGGAACCAAGAGGCAGTCGGCCTGGCCATGGTCGTCAGGACCGGCTTCGACACCACAAAGGGCGCCCTGGTGCGGTCCATGCTGTTCCCCAAGCCGTCCGGCTTCAAGTTCTACCGCGACTCCTTCCGATACATCTCCGTCATGGCGTGCGTCGCCATGTTTGGCTTCATCGCTACTTTTATCAACTTCATCCGCCTTGGTATAGCTTGGCACCTCATCATCGTGCGGGCCCTGGACCTGATCACGATTGTCGTGCCGCCCGCACTGCCAGCCACGCTGACCATCGGCATAAACTTTGCGATAAACCGGCTCAAGAAAAAACACATCTTCTGTATCAGCCCGCAGAGGGTCAACGTGGGCGGCAAGATCGACATTATGTGCTTCGACAAGACGGGCACACTCACCGAGGACGGCCTGGATATACTCGGAGTACGGGTGGTGAACCAGTCAGCACACCGGTTCGAGGATCTCCTCACCAATCCGACCGAAATAGCCAGGAAGGACAGCGCATCGGCGGACCAGGGCCAGCCCTATGTGGCTAGCAAGGCTTTGCTATATACCATGGCAACATGCCACTCTCTGAGGTCCATTGACAATGAGCTTGTTGGGGACCCACTGGACGTGAAGATGTTCGAGTTTACAAACTGGTCCTACGAAGAAGGGCAGCAGGGTAGCGGAGGCGACGAGGAGGAGGAGAACAGAGGGCTCTCGCCCTCGATTGCTCGACCACCCGCAGCGATGAGCCTCGATCTCTACGACAGCAGCAGCAATGGCACGTGGGTGCCACTTGAGCTGGGCGTCCTCAAACTATTTGAATTCGTGTCCCAGCTCCGCAGGATGAGCGTCATTGTCCGGACGTTTGGCCAGGCGAGTGGTGACATCTACGTTAAAGGCGCGCCCGAGTGCATGAGGGAGATCTGTCGACCTGAGAGCTTCCCTTCCGACTACGAGGAGCAACTCTCATACTATACGCACAAGGGCTACAGAGTTATCGCATGTGCCACGAAGCACCTGAAGAAGCTGACCTGGGTCAAGGCGCAAAAGATGACCCGCGCGGACGTGGAGTCTGACCTGGACTTTGTTGGGTTCATCATCTTTGAGAACAAGCTGAAGCGCACGACCGCATCTGTTTTGGACGAGCTCCTGCGGTCCAACATTGGCTGTGTGATGTGCACCGGGGACAACATCTTGACCGCCATCAGCGTCGCAAGAGAATGCAACATGATCAACAAGACAGCACACTGCTTCGTGCCTCGGTTCGTAGAAGGGCACTCGAGAGATCCCGAAGCGAAACTCCAGTGGGAGAGCATCGACAACAACCTCCTCACACTGGACGAGAAGACGCTGGTGCCGCTTCCTCCCCCGGCCGAGGTGGACGCGTCACTGCCTTACGACATCTCAGACCTGCGCAACTACTCCATCGCGGTCAGCGGCGACGTCTTCCGCTGGGTGGTCGACTTCGCGCCCGCGGAGGTGCTGCAGAGGATGCTCGTCACGGGCAAGATCTACGCGCGCATGTCCCCGGACGAGAAGCACGAGCTGGTGGAGAAGCTGCAGAGCATCGACTACTGCGCCGGGTTCTGCGGGGACGGCGCCAACGACTGCGGGGCGCTCAAGGCGGCGGACGTGGGGATCTCGCTGTCCGAGGCGGAGGCGTCGGTGGCGGCGCCGTTCACGAGCCGGGTGTTTGACATTGGCTGCGTGCCGGACGTGATCCGCGAGGGCCGGGCGGCGCTGGTGACGAGCTTCAGCTGCTTCAAGTACATGAGCCTGTACTCGGCGATCCAGTTCACGTCGGTGTCGTTCCTGTACGCGTCGGCGGGCAACCTGGGCGACTTCCAGTTCCTCTTCATCGACCTGGCGCTCATCCTGCCCATCGCCGTGTTCATGTCGTGGGCGGGGCCCTCCCCGGGGCTCTGCAGGAAGCGGCCGACGGCGGACCTGGTGTCGCGCAAGGTGCTGACGCCGCTTCTGGGCCAGATCTGCGTGTGCATCGCCGTCCAGGCCGCGGCGTTCGTGGTGGTCAGGAGGCAGCCGTGGTTCATCCCGCCCAGGGTGGACACGGAGAAGTCCAACATCAAGAACTCGGAGAACACGGCGCTCTTCCTGGTCAGCTGCTTCGAGTACATCCTGGCGGGGGTGGTGCTCAACGCGGGCCCGCCCTTCAGGGTCGGCGCCTGGAGGAACTGGCCGTTTGTGGCGACCATTGGCGTCGCGCTGGGGGTCACCGTCTACATGGTGATGGGCCCGGCGCACTGGGTGAAGAAGCTGATGCAGCTCACCAAGATGAGCTGGGACTTCAAGCTGTTCCTGATCACGTTGGGCCTGGTGTATGTCGGCCTGGCGTGGTTCAGCGAGTACCACGTGTTCCAGAGGCTCGCCGCCGTGGTGGGCAAGGTGAAGTCCGCGGTGACGGGGAGCAAGAAGAAGAGGAAGCAATACAAGGTCATCCGCGAAGAGATGATGGAGCTTATGTGAGTGGTGGATGCTAATGACACGTCAAATAGTGGGATGGTGGAGGAAGCTCAGAAGCATCTGTGGAAATATACTACATACATACAGGATCTAGTTGAGAACCAATACTAAACAACAGTCTAGTCCAAGACCCATGGGTTGCATTCCAGGGCCTGTTTGGTCCAAAGTTCGCACCCGCGAGTGTTTCAAAAGGCCTGGCAGAGGCAGTGCCCGGCTCGTTCCTTCCCGCGTTGCAATGTATGACCGCATCACTTCAGGCTGGTGGGGAACTGCCGTCCGAGGCACCCATGCCTGTCACCAACGTACCAACGTAGTATTTACCTAGCTGCCCCTTAGCCCGAACCATAGCTCTCGTGAAATCTCACGAGCTGTCTGTCTAGTTGTTTTTGACGAGCTGTTGTTGCTTTGCTATCAGGCTGGGCTCATCTCCAGCCACCATTTAATTGTTATCCTGTACTACACCCTCCTCGCATGTGTTATTAGTGACTATCCCTGAAAACTAATAGACCCCAACCCAACATTTTCAATCCACGATGAATTACGGTAAGGCTCACCTATCGAACAAATCCCACCAACCTTCTCACCATGCCCTTCATACATTATACTGACACAGTCACCCCCACCCCCAGTACTCTCAGACCAGCTCCTGGACACGGTCCTGGACAGCGGGTACCTCCCGCACGCCGTAATCCGCGTGGGCATACGCCGGCAGCTGCGGCAGCGCCTGGACGAGATCGCCTCGTCGTCGCTGGCCGACGCGCAGGCGCGCAAGATGGGCTACATCAGCGAATCAAAGGCCCGGCCCATCGCCATCGAGACCGCGTCGGCCAACAAGCAGCACTACGAGGTCGGCACGGGCGTCTACCTCGGCACCCTGGGCCCGCGCATGAAGTACTCGTCCTGCCTGTACCCCAAGGGCTCCGAGACCCTGGGCGAGGCCGAGGTCGCCATGCTCCGGGCTTATGTTGAGAGGGCCGAGCTGAAGGACGGGATGAGGATCCTGGACCTGGGGTGGGTTGGATCTCCTTTCCTTTTCTTTTTGCCTTTTGGTCATCAATTGGCTTCCCACCCACGGCGTGTGATGTCTTGTGCCTTGTGGTTTTGATCTGGGCTGTGGCTGACGGCTCATCCAATCCAGCTGTGGCTGGGGCTCAGGCGCGCTGTTCTTCGCCGAGATGCTGCCAAATGCCCAGGTGACGGCGTTTTCCAACTCAAAGACGCAGAAGCAGTACATCGACTCCAAGGCGGAGGAGAAGGGCCTCAAGAACCTGAAAGTAATCACGGGAAATGTGGTTGATTATGAGTTTGAGCCCGAGTCTTTTGACAGGGTCGTCTCAGTCGAGGTGAGCCCGGACTTGACGTTGGACAGGTGTCCAGCGGCCTGTCGTATAACCGACTAACTATTCCAGATGTTCGAGCACATGAAGAACCACGAGAAGCTCATGGCCAAGGTCTCGAGGGCTCTGAAGCCAGGCGGGAAGCTCTTTTTGCACATCTTTTGTCACAAGGACACCCCCTATGATTATGAGGATGGCTGGATGACCACGCACTTCTTTACCGGAGGCACGATGATGTCCTTCGACCTGCTGCTGTACCACCAAAAGGACTTAAAAATCCAGAAGCAGTGGTGGGTGAACGGCAAGCACTACTCCAAGACCTGCGAGGTGAGACTGCCCTCTTATACCCACCATGTGAGCATACCGCGACTAACCTCGGGCCAGGACTGGCTCACAACGATGATCAAGAACCGGAAGAAGTTGTGGCCGCATTTTGAAGAGACCTACGGCAAGGAGAATGCGTACACGTGGTATAGCCGATGGCAGATCTTCTACATGGCTTGCTCTGAACTGTTCGCATTCGATGGAGGCGACACTTGGGGCGTTGCGCATTACCTGTTCGAGAAGCCCCAGTAATCATAGACTTGAGAATACCGCTCCCTCGGGTAGATTCATATGAGGATGCCCTCCTCCGTGTTATTTGTTAATTGATATCCATTGCACTTCAGCCAATTGTAAGAGGCCTCTTGGATACGGTATCGGATTTGCCGTCTGTACCTCCTGTTCCCACAGTGCCAGCCGGTCAAATCGCTCGCTCGGCCAACATGTAATGCAAATCCGTCTAGCCACACCTCTTTCTCTCCGCCATCTAGTGGTCCCAAGGGTGCTTCCAGCCCATCAATACCGGACCTGTATGCGTGCGTCAGCTAGTCAATATCGAATCGGTCTCGGGTTCGGGCTCCTCCTAAGCCCAGGGCTCTGGTCGTCACGAACCATCCTTCTTTGCGCGGTACATCAGCTGCGTCAGAGTGTTAGCAGGCGTTCTCCGGTATCAATTGGGCATTTGAGAGCTCGAACTCACAAAAAACCACATGCTGGCGCCCAGACCTGTCGCGCAGAAGCGGTAGAAGGGTGGCACATGTGGCCGAAAGTTGCCGGGGAAGCCCCTGGGTGGTTGGGGAGCCATCGTGAAGGGTCGATCAATCGTTCGATTGGGTTGGCAGCTCGCAGGAGAAGGTGGGTGTCTGCCGCGAGTCTGGAGTCGCGGGGCCGTGGTCGTTTCCAAGTCAGAGTGTCGTCCGTCGTCTCCTTGCAGGTCATGTCGTAGTGCCCAGGCGAGCCGGCGTCCCCACGTATTTCCATAGGATGGCCCGTGCACCACTTCCCGGCCGGCTCGCTCCCCCCAGTGCTTGTACTGCTGCACTCTAATCACGAAAGGAGCGCCAAGCTCAACAATAGCGCAACTGGGCTATTATTCTTCGCCCTGTCCATCTCCAAACCCCTCCATTGTCCGCAAGAAACCTCTTCCAAACACCTCTTCCCAGGTGGGATCCCTGGAGGCATGTCTGCGAGTCTCTCTCCGATGGACCATCTTCAAGCGCTCCACAGATGAACTCTGTTCGAAAGCGACCGCCGAACAGCCACTGATCGACCGCATCAACCTGCCCGAACCTGCGCTCCACAGCCTCGACAGGAGTGCGCCATCTAATCCACCAGCCTTCCGTCCGCGAGGCACACGCCTCCATTCGGCGCCAGACCGCCAACGATCAGCCCCAGATTCCTCGGGAGGGAGTAACGCCAGCACGACCTCACCATGAGCGCACCGTCCGTGGGAGCGGGCGCGGCCAGCTCGCCGCGACACTTTGCCGTCGAGCACATGCGCCCCAAGCACAGCTTCGTCGGGTGCTCTCGGATAGGAGACTTCGAGGTCCTGGGTAAGCTGGGAGAGGGCACATTCGGCGAAGTCCACCGCGCCAGATCCAGGAAGACCGGCGCCCTCGTGGCCCTGAAGAAGATCATAATGCACAACGAGAAGGATGGGGTGAGTCGGAGAGGAGAGGAGCGAGACCCGTCGACGAGGTTCTGCCAGGCAAGGGTCGCTGACACGCACACAACAACAGTTCCCCATCACGGCACTGCGGGAGATCAAGCTCCTCAAGCTCCTATCACACAAGAACGTCCTCAGGCTGGAAGACATGGCTGTTGAGCACCCAGCGAGGAGCAGTGGGTTCAGACCCTACCCCAGCCACAGCAGTGGTCCACTGACACCCCATGTGCTAGCCGACAAGCGCAAGAAACCCGTCGTCTACATGGCCACCCCGTACATGGACCACGACCTGTCGGGCCTGCTCGACAACCCCTCCATCACCTTCACCGAGGCACAGATCAAGTGCTACCTGGTGCAGCTTCTCGAGGGCCTCAAGTACCTGCACGAGAACAAGATCCTGCACCGAGACATGAAGGCAGCCAACCTCCTCATCAACAACAAGGGCATCCTGCAGATCGCGGATTTCGGTCTCGCCAGGCTCTACGACGAACCGCCCCCGGTCAAGGGACGGGGTGGTGGTGAAGGTCGGCGCGACTACACTAGCCTGGTGGTCACGCGCTGGTACCGGCCCCCGGAGCTTCTGCTACATCTTAAGAAGTACACCACGGCTATCGATATGTGGGGAGTTGGGTGAGTGCTTCCTGATTTAAGAACACAGTACGTGAGGCTGATTAGTTGTCAGCTGCGTCTTTGGAGAAATGCTCTGGGGGAAGCCAATCCTGGCTGGTGAGAGCGATCACCACCAACTCGAGATCATCTTCGACCTGTGCGGCACACCAACCGACGACAACATGCCCGGCTTTCGACATCTGCCCGGGGCCGAGGCGATCAAGCCTCGGGCGCGACCCGGCGACCTCGGCCATCGCTTCGCCAAGTAAGTGAACCCCCGGGTCTGTCCCCAAATCTCGGAGGACATCGCGTCTGACGCCGGTATAGGTACGGAGCTGGCGCGGTCGCCCTCCTCAGGGAACTCCTGCGGCTCGACTGGAAGAGGCGCATCAACGCGATCGACGCCCTCGAGCACCCGTACCTGCACACGGCCCCGCTGCCGGCGCAGCCCGGCGAGCTGCCCGTCATGGAGGAAAGCCACGAGCTCGACAGGAGAAAGTTCCACGACCGCAAGGCGGCGCTGCCCCCCGCTCCCAAGGGGGGTACGGTCGGCCGCGGGCCGCAGCCGCACGACGGGGCCGGAAACCCCAGCTTCAACGGTAACGACTACGGCGGTGGGCGCAACGGCGGCATGAACGGCGGCCGGTATCCCCCTCCGCCACACCGGAACGGCCCCGGACAGGGCGAGAGGATGCCGGCGTGGGGGCGGGGCCCGCACGCGCTCCCACCACGACCGCCGCCCCCGGTGGATAGCTACGGCAGCGGCGGGCCGGAGGGGTATCTGGACGGTCACCGAGACCGCGACCGCGACCGCGACCGCGACCGAGCGCCGAGAAACAGACCGCCCGTCGCCGGCAGGAGCGACGTCGACACCTACATCCCACCTTATCGCGAGCGTGAGCGCGAGCGCGATCGGGATAGGGACCGGGACCGCGATAGGGACCGCGATCGAGACCGCGATCGACCGCCGCGTGACCGCCGGTATCGCAGCCGATCGCCCGGTGGTGGTGGTGGACGGGGGCCTGACAGAGACTGGGACTACTCGAGAGATCGCAGATAGCGTCGCGGCTTTCAGGGTGTGCCCGCGGCCAACAGGGCGTGGAGGTTCTGGGCATGACTCAAAAGTGAAGCTGGGGAAGGCATCATCGAGGGCAGGGTGTTGAGGATTGCTGGCTGTCAGTGGGCGCCCGTGGGGCTACCGCGTCGGGGAGGTTCAAGAGATGAACATTGACAGGCATTGTCGGATGATGCAGAAGAAGCGGAGGCTTCGAAAAGGAGGCGGCATATTGTTCACACGAATCGAAAAAGGAGGGCGTTGAGTGGGCGCGCCCGGACTGGCTGACTGACCTGACTGACTACAGTCGATTTGCACCAGGCACCAGGCACCCCCAAGCCGGTGAAATACGTGTTTATACAGCAGCAGCAGGCGTAGCTTGTCATTGGTTGGTTTTGCCTTCGGAGTAGGGGCGAACAACGGGGAGGGGACCATAGTTTTGATACCAAATATGCACAGAGCCTTTCCTTACCGACGGGGGCAGGCCTGCCTGCCTGCAGGCAGCAGCCACACACACAGACGTGAAAAGCAAGCAACCAAGCAAGCAAGCCCCCTCCCTAGAACGAGTCGTCGTCCTCCTCCAGGATGGTCCCGATGCGCGACGCGGCGGCCGACCTCCGCTTCCTCTTGACGTTGGGGCCGTCCCGCCAGCCGCCGCCGCCGCCGCCGCCGCCCTGCAGCGCCCCGCCCAGGTCCGACTCGGGCGAGCTGATGTTGGCCAGCAGGGCCTCGAGCTTCTCCTGCTCGCTGCCCGACAGCAGCGGGGTGGTCGGCCTCTGCTGGCGGTGGCGGTGCAGGCCGGCCTCCTCCTCGTCCCCGCCGTGGTACCGCCGCAGCTGCTGCCCGCCGCCGCGGCGGGGGAGGGGCTTGGCCTCCTCCCCGTCCGGGCTGTCGTAGAGCCCCAGCACGGCGAAGATGCTGCTGGACGTGAGCGTGAGGACCAGGCCGAACGCGAGCCCCACGAAGGCGGCGGAGCCGAACTGTTTTGGGGGTGGGTGGGATGTTAGATTTGTGTTGTTGTTGGTCTTGGCTGTTTTTGTTGTGGTTTGGAAGTATTGATTACATTGGGGGATGTTGATGGGTGAATGAGTATGGAAGGAATCTGACGGAAGACACGGAGATAAAGATACAGGGTGAGAGGATGAACGTACATAGATGTAGAGTGGCTATACAAGATGAATTAGCAGGGCTTCTTCTCACCACCCATCGGTCGCGTGGGGATGGATGGATGGGAATAAAAACTCACCTCGAGCCTCGGGAGCCTGTCGAAAACGTAGAAGAAGGGGGAGAGGATGAATCTTATGGGATCACGATCAGTCACTTGGTTCACTGGGGCGAGAGAGCAAACCACACAGCCCAGGGGCTCGCCGACCCACCTTGTGGTGTATATGGCCGGCGCAAACACGAAAAGCAGGGTGTTATAAAAGGCCGAGACGGGCCATGACGCGAGGCGCAGGAGGAACAGGCCGAGCTGGCCGGCCGCGGCGAGTGAGGCGGTGAATGCTGCGTAGACGGCGTGGGAGATGAGGAAGACGACGGAGAGGACTGACACGGCGGCGTCGTGCCAGGCCATCATCTCATCTGGGGAGAGACGAGCGGTGGACTGATTGATTGATTAATGAATTATTATTGACGCATTGGTCCGGTTGTTATCCTGACGGCTGGACCATCAGAGAGGACATCCAGCTGGCTGGGGCTGGACGTGGTTGTTCGGCATGTCTCGAGGAGTCGTCCGGGGTAGTAGCTTACTTGTGTACATTCCAATAACGTTCCAGCTGGGGATTAATGTTGATGGGAGGTTGACCTAGCCCCCTTGCCCCCGTCAGTAAGGGGCCGGGGTCAAGGGTGGCAGGTCGTACCTGCAGGGGTCCCTGTAGGTCCCATACCATTATCGATAAGGCTGCCACACCATTACCTCTCGCCTTCATTTCTTGTCTTTTTCCTCAGGCAACCCTACTCGTTAAATCCACACTATCTGGTGCAGACTTCGAGCCCTCGTGCCGTGAAGCCCAAGTGACGTCTTGGATTCCTACTTTCGTACTGATGACCTTCTTGTACTTTTCCTGTATCAATTATTAGGACCATTAATATAGAGATTTTGCCATTTGGAAAAAGGAAGAAGTTACACAAAGTTCAAGGATCAAACTAGTGTATATGAACCAATAATTTTCCTTATGATCAGGCCTTCAGTGGAGATTTTAATGTCGCACTTTTTAGGGATAGAATCAAACTCTAATCATGAGCAATCCAGCATTTTGAGCAAAGTTTTCGTACATATTATGTACGAGCTATAGATATTATGGGGTCAGGCAGTAGGAAATCCAACAATCTGATCTTTGAGAACCTATTTAAGAACCTAGTCTAAAATTCCTAATAACCCCTGCAAGAGTCCTCAAGTATGTGGGACACAAATTAACCAGTGACCTCAGGCATTATGATCTGATACAAAGGCCTTCAGCGAGCCTTTGGCTCTGGTGCCAAGTGAGAACTGGTCACTCACGCACAAGAAATCCTCAGCTGTCGCGTCCTCGAACTGAAAGTCAAAACGCTGAGCAAGCCCGGCCACCACCATGTACATTACGGCCCATGCAAGACTAAAGATGATCACCTAGTGTCAGCAAGTTGATCAAGAGGCCAAGCCGCATGGGGAATTCAGATTGGCATCCTGGAACGTACTTCATTCCCAAACAGATCCTCGTGCCCCGAGAGAAGGGGGCGAACGACCTCTCAGCCTTGATGCGCAGCTCAGGATCCATCCACCGGTCAGGCTTGAAGCTCCAAGGGTCAGGGAAGACCGTCCCATCGGTGTGCATCAGTATGACCGTCATGCCGACAGGTGTTCCGGCGGGTATCTGCCACCCGCCGTAGCGGAGGGTCCTGTCCGGGGAGACGCGCGCCATGCGCGTGCCAAGGGCCGGGCTGAGACGCAGCCCCTCCATGAGGACCGAGGTCAGATACGGCAGGCGCTTTAGCTCCTGGAGGCTCGGCCCCCCTCCTGACTGGGGGTTTATGATTGAGAGCTCGGCCCTGAGCCGTTGGAGGATTTCGGCGTTGCTGAAGAGGTTGATGAAGATCAGCCGCAGGGCGCTGGCGGTTGTTTCGAATCCTGCCCCGGTCACGGTGGATACTTCTTCAAAGACGCGCACAAAGGCCTTCTCGTGCGGCGGGAGCCTGGACTCGAGGATCTCGTGGACCACTGTGCGTTTCTGTGTGTTGATACTGGGGGCCGAAGAGCCGTGTTGGGCCGCCGTCATGAGAGTTTCCGTATCCTTTATGTTTTCCTGAGAACAAGACAGTTAGCCACCATAATCCAATTTGGCGAGATGTTGTTCTTACTTTTAACTGGCCAAAGAAAGCCTTCATCCCTTCATCACCAAATCTTATCATCCAATTGATAGGTACCGATCTCATTGTGGGTGCAACCCATCGTAGGTGCTTCGACAAGCGCCACATGGATCCAGCCCCATGGCTTGCAATGAGCTGGGCAAAATCGAAATCATCTCGGTCGAGGCTGTTATAGCTTTTGCCAAGAACGAAATCATTCGCCACATCTCGGGTTAAGGCGGTAGTAGCAGCCCCAAGGTTGACTGTCTCCCCGGATATGGTGAATCCTGCCAAGCGGTTCTGAAGCTTTTGGACATGTTTCCGGATTAACGACTGCTGAGCGGCTACTTTGGACGTGGAGAAGAAAGGGCTTAGAGGGTGACGGCGGGCTTTGTGAAGTTCGTGGTCTGCCGTAAAGATTGTGGCATATTTAGCTGCCCATGCATTGACTGCCCAGTCGTACTTGTGCCACCTCCCTTCATAAGAATAGAGTGTCTCGAAGAAGGCAGGGTCGCTCACATGGAGCTCGTGGGGGCTGATGCGGAGGATTGGTCCTGTAGTAGTTCTTGTTATTGTCGGATGCCCTCAAGCACCGGGTCAGTGATGATGACTGGGCCGTACCGTATTGCCTGTGCATTTGCTCGATCTTGAAAGTGTATTGACCATCCTTGACAATGTCGTAGTAGGCTTCGTACCAACGCGTGACTGCTGCCAGCTTTGGGCCGGGAAATCGGGATAGGGGATGAAGAAACAGGCGATAGAACCCCAGGCTCACGAAATACAGGACAACCGTCACGCCGACTCGCCACCAAGACCACGTCAAGATAGCGACGATGGCCTCCATTCTGTTTTCAGGTTGGTGTACGGCAGTTGACCGAGAAATGGGGAGGGGCCGGCCTTGGCGAGCTCTGGTGTTGGCTCTGGTGTCGAGCTGCGAAGTGGGGAGAAATAGCCTGCTGACTGTGCTGTTGGTGGTATAGGTTTTCTCGGTTGGATGGAGTGACTGGGATACACACGGCAAGGCTGCGTATTTGTGAGTCAGACACTTTCTTTTTGTCAACGGCCAAAGGAGTAATATCTCGATCTCTTAAAATAGCTTAAATTTAAATAGCTTTAGCCATACTATAATTTCCCTGTATACTATGTGGTTTCGCTTCTATTCCGTATATGTCCGAGGACATATATGGCGCCTTCATTTCTATGGATTAAATATCTAAAAACTAGAACACAAGAGGTTGAAGCAGAGCTTTCCCAATGAAGCCAATATTATTCTGTATAACCCACTATAATCAAACAGTTTAGTCACAGGGCCAAGATCAAGCCATCCAGAACAGACTGTTTTCCTATGCATATGCGTGTCGCTACACCAGTTCGCCGCAATTCGCCGCAAAGTCACTGTTCGCGGCGACTGCGTTACGCTGCCTAGCATTACCAATGAGCAGGCGGTATCGAGTCTTCGCAAACGTATTCATACTATTTCTGCCTAAATTCCAGACCTCTTCCCCACACCACACAGTATCTAATATTCTTTTTTAAGAATTATTCTTTTTTTTAATCATATATTATACATATCAATGTGTTTCTCTTTCTAGTCTTTGACGGCATGGCTACAACTCGGGCCCAAATAGCCGCCAAACGAGGCCGCAACCTCGAAGACCATGATATGTTTTGTCAAGCGCAGACAGTCAACGACTGACAATGAACAGACCGAGACGCTCCAACGCGCATGCGCCAATGCTTAAAGACACACAAGTCGCCGAAGCATTCAGCTATCCCCGGCAAGGGCCGACAGCGAGCTTTCGAGGACAACCGCAATCTTGATTCCGAAATCCCTACAAAGCGACGGCAACCATCACGATCATTGCTCCTTATTTGATACATCCCGCACCCCCGGTGGAGACGGCGACGATCCCGATAACCCGCTCGATTTCTGGAAAAGAGAAGGACGCTGGCCAAGTCAACCCTTCGAGCCCGATATGGAGCGACTGCTTGCACGAAAGCGGTCCTCATCTGCCCTCGGTGGATGTAAGCGATCGAATTCTGCGTCTTCCACAACGCCCAGCGATCAGAAAGCCACGCGAGGAGAAAAAGCGCCCAGCAATGGGTACCCTCGCTATGAAACACTACTTGCCACCAAAGGCGTCCATTTGTCTAAATCGAAGCTGGGCGTCACCAGTGAAAGCAAAACCCTGGGCACGGATCTGCTTGAGGGGAAACAAGGCTTTCCGGAGAACTCACTCTTCCGGGACGATCTCTTCGATTCGACCTGCCAGAAGATTCATAACAGAAACGAGGCTCGGGTCGTCCAAGATATCTCTCGGTTCATCGTCCCTTCGGCCGACTCTCTTACTAAATATGTTGCTGAGCACCTTGGTGTCCTAACAGAGAGTGTCAATGAAGGCTGGAATGACTCGTATCCTTTCACTAGAGCGCGTCTGCGACTAGACTATTCCTTAAGGTTCCAACGAGAAGTATTTACCAAGGAACAGCTTCAGAAGCTGTCACTATTTATCGGCGACTTTATTACTGGCGACTTATTCATTTTTATAATAATAGTAGGTATAATAGTATAGAAGTGACTATTTAAGAGTAGAAAGAGAAGGTTTAATCAGTCTATTAAGGTTGCATTTCTTCATGGGTGAAGTCCCTGAGTGACAAAGTTTAGGGGTGAATCCTGTACACCTCGGATCCTAACTAAGATTACCCCGCAATCTGCCCTCTGCATACATACTGTCTGTATACACATAGAACACCTTCTGCCTCAGCTGGCTTTTTCTACGAGTCCAATGGCATGGGGAGATGGGAGCTAGTCTCTTTGATCAGAAGCCATGGGCCTCTGGGGTCTCTGGTCATGGGTGCTGCTTCATTAGAAAGTGCGATGATGCACCTAGAGTTCGGAGTCCAGTCGTATATGGTCCCAACATCCTAACCGCCTGCTGCCTCCGCTCACCCTCGTCCATCGTGACCCTCCTGGTCCTCGCTGCCAGGCGATGTCTTCTCACTTTTTTTGACCTGAATCAAGCACGCCAGCAGTCTCCTTTCCTTGACCAATTTCATACCTTCGTCGTAATCGATGTTCCCATTCTCCACCCCTCCCTCCCCATGGATGCATATTGGTAAACGTGTTCCCGTTTATCTGGCACTCCTCGAAGATTCTACGTTGGTGTCAGATACTGGTTGATAATCTGATTGCTGCAACTTACGCTGATTCCCCGTTGTATTTAACTTTCCAAAATTCTACTGGGATGTCATGAACTTCAGAGCGTAGCTCGCGAATACTGAAGTCGCATAATATCCAAACACGCTTTGGGACATCGCTGTCGAAATCTGTGGACAAATGAACGAAGTCCAGATCCTCGCTGAAAGATCTGGACAGCTTCCAAGTCGCGAGATCGTTAGCAATCGTTGTTGCCCGATGATCTGGCAGGCCAGGAATGCCAACAGTTGTAAATCGGCTTGCAAACTCCTTCATACGGTGGTAAGCGAAAGGTAGAATGGCCTCAAATGATCCCTGGGTATCTGTTTGACAAGACTATTTGGAATTGCTGATAGTAGTTGTCTTTCAGCCTTTTAATGGGGGCTTAGGGTCGTATCTGGAATCCCAATTTGCTGTGGTATTGGGCCTTGCCTATGTACGGTACCGTTTGGCCTGTGCAATGGTAGAATGGCAGGCAATGAGGTAGGATGTGGGGAAGACCCATGCCAGGTGAATTATGTAAAGGCACCCACCGGGCCAGAGGAGATTAGTTTGACGGGGGGTCCTTATCGATAAGGTACCTGGCGGCAGCCGAAGGCTCGTTGGCGAGGGAGCTTGGACAATTTGTGGGCGGGGGGACCCATCCACAGCGAGTCTACTGAAGTCTACCTGGGCATCTTTGGAGCAGTCGACCTCAACAGTACTAGAGCTGTCAAGTACACAACGTTTCTCTTGCTTGACTCTTTTCGTTTACTGTCAGCTTTAATGGTCGTGTGCTAAACCCCAAGCAGGCTGCCCAAACTGAGTGGCAGACGCCACCGTTCTCTGCAGGTCACTAGCTCGGACTGGCCCAGGGCGGGTGTTGCTTTCTACGGAGTACCTAGGTATTGCCTTGGTTGAGCCGGGTCAAGCCAAGTCAAGAGGTCAGATCAGGTCAGGTCTAATCTGCCGCAACCCGCCAGCCTCGGCCACTCACCTTTGCACCACTTGCACCTTCCCTCTCACCGTCCTTGTCATCACCCTCGTTGGACTTGAGCTTCGCCTCGCCACGCCCTCACGCCTTGTCGCCTGGTACCCGGTACTGTACCCTGGCCCATTACACACACACCAAGCATCCCCCAACCCCCAGCCAGCCTAGCCTGCCTGCGTCGTGCCTGACTCGGCAGCCCCAAACAATATCCTATCCAGCTCAGCTGACCCGTCGACATATGGACTAAATACCATCATCTGATCGAGGTCTGATCCAAGAGTGGCCCGCGCCCTTCCTTGTGCCTGTCGTGCCTGTCGTGCCTGTCCTATCCGACCCCCGTCTTTCCTTTTTTCCTCCCACGCTGCCCTGCCGCATCCCACGCCCACGACCATCTCCTCTCACCCACCATGGGGAACAACCCCTCCACATCCAAGCAGGGGACCCCCACTCCCTCCGCTTCTGGCCACGGCCACGCTCACGATTCCCCGAGGCGCCACCACCACTCGCTCTCGCAGTCCTCGCAGCCCCAGTCGCAGTCGCAGTCGCAGTCGCACTCACAGTCGCACTCACAGCCAGCAAGGGACCGTGACCATAACCAGAGGGCCGGCAACGCCGCGAGGCTGCCCATCTCCGTCCGCAACACCCGCGAGGCCGTGCCCGCCCAAGCCTCGCTAGCACAGGCCCATGGCTCGACCGACATCAAAAATTCCCAGGCCCTCCCCATCACCTCCCTAGCAGCCTCGCCAGCCGGCTCTACAAAGTCCAGCACAGCCGCCACCAGGGCCTCAGATCCCTCAAAGCCCGTCCCTGCCAAGCCAGCCCCCGACGCCGAGCCCACCAGGCCTGTCGACGTGCCCGCCGCGAGGGACATTGCCCCGCCAGAGCCGACCTCACCCGTCTCCCCCCTCGACGCCGCCGAGGCCGCCCTCCACGCCCACGGCAGCATCTCCGACATGTCCTTCATCGGGCGCCCGCCGCGCATGCCCCTCCCCATCGAGGAGGAGGTACACACCCCCGGCTCGCCCATCACCGCCCCGGACGATGACGGGGAGCCCGTCGAGTCGCTCGACCTGACCGGCGTGGACGGCGACATCGTGCGCAAGTCGTCCAACCTGAGCACCACCACCGTGGACGAGGACGACGCCGAGGAGCTGCGCGTGGACAAGACCAGGCCGACCGTGCCCACCCGCCTGGAATGGCTCCGGGGAGGTGAAAGGGTCTACGTGACCGGTACCATTTTTCAATGGAACCGCAAGCAAAGGCTCCATCCTGTGTAGGTTCTCTCCATCTAGGTGGGGCCCAAATGTCGCGCGGGTTCCAGAACAGACCGCGCGTTTTAATCTCAAGGGACCCCTCGCGCATATGCATGCATCGTATCACGTCACAAATTTTCAGAATGGCCTGGCTGACTGGGTTTGTTATAGCGAGGGCTGCCCCGGCGTCTTTGCCACCACCATCAACATCCTGCCCGGCACGCATCACATCCGCTTCCTTGTGGACAACAACATGCAGACGTCGCCGGACCTGCCCACCACTGTCGATTTTGGCAACAACCTGGTCAACTACATCGAGGTCAGCCCCGACGATGTACCCGCGCCCACACAGGAGGCGGCCCGCACCCCCCAAGAGAGGGAGGACAAGCAGCTCGCCGAGGCCGAGGAGCAGAAGGCCCGCGCGCCCAAGGACAAGCAGGTGCTCCCTGTCGAGGCCTTCTCCCGGGTATATCCACAGTACCTGCTCGACTACGACAATGAGCCCGAGGACTCGCCCATCTCCCAGGCCGCGGCCGCGGCCATCGAGAAGCTCCCCACCCCACCGAGCCTGCCTGGCTTCCTCTCGAAGCCGATCCTGAACGCTGCCACCCTACTGAAGGATGACAACAGCGTCCTCAACATGCCCAACCACACCACCCTGAACCACCTGGCCACGAGTAGTATCAAGAACGGGACCCTGGCGGTGTCGGCGACCACGAGGTACAGAGACAAGGTAAGAAGCCCACTGCACTGTCGCAATCCATACCCGGCCGAAGTTGCTGATGTCCAAGTAGTACGTGACCACCATCATGTATAAGCCGGTCCCCGGGCACGAATAGGCCGTCTTTTGCGTTGATATTTAATGGCCATCTCCTTTGGGTTGGAGTTGGGGAACTGGCAGGCTAAGCAAGGGTTGATACCCTCATCGGGGGTCCGGAATGGCATTTTATGGCGGCTTTGGACATGGGATAGTAAAAGTCGTCGGTAGCGGTTGTACATTCCTAGGCGTGGAAGCTGAGCGTTGGCAAATCAGCCGAGCGCCGTAAATGTATCTCGGGTCAAGGGAGGAAACCCTGGCGTCATCAGACCATCTTGTGCGTCGAACCGCCGTCGCCTCAGACCCTCCACTTGACATGTACCTCGTCCGTCCGGAAGCGCTGGGTGACGGTGGTGTCCTTGAGAGGGGTGCGGAAGCCGCTCTCGTAGGCCAGCAGGCCGGCATGGGCGATCATGATGCCGTTGTCGATGCAGAACCTCTCGTCGGTCGCGTAGACGCTGCCGCCCCGGTCGCGCGCCATGGCGCCCATCATCTCCTGCAGCCGGACGTTGGACCCGACGCCGCCGACGATCAGGACCTGCTGGCTCCCGACGTGGGCCATGGCGCGCTCCGTGATCTCGACGAGCATTGAGAAGACGGTCTCCTGCAGGCTGAAGCACAGGTCCTCCTTGGTGATGTCGACGAGCCGCCCCTCGGCGGTGGTGACCTTTTTCCCCGCGGCCATCTGCGCGGCGAGGTCGTCCACGCGCGCCAGGATCCCGCTGAAGGAGCAGTCCATGCCCTTGACGGCGTACGGCAGGTCGTGCAGCACGTCCCCGCTCGCCTTCTTGGCGAGCTGCTCGATGTTGTACCCCGGCGCCGGGTCGTTGGGGATCATGATGGTGCGCGCGAACCGGTCGAGGCAGTTGCCGACGGCGATGTCGAGCGCCTCGCCGAAGATGCGGTACCGCTGCTCCGCGTACGCGATGACCTGCGTGTTGCCCCCGCTCACGTACAGCACCACCGGGTCCGCGGCGCCCGTGATGCTGCGGCCCATCTCGATGTGGCCCACGCAGTGGTTCACGGCGACCATGGCGTCCTCCTTGCCCCAGAGCAGCGCGAGGGTGCGCGCCCCGACCGCGACGCTCGTCAGCGGCGCGCCCATCCCCGGCCCGCCCGTGAAGGTCACGCAGTCGATCTCGTCCCTGGGGCTGGTGACGCCCGCGGCGCGCAGGGCCTCGAGGGTTACGGTGCAGAACTGCGCGCGGTGGTGCGCCGCCGTGTCCTTGGGGAGGAAGCCCGCCCCCGGCGGCGCGTTGTACGTGTGCCGGATGTTGGAGAGGACTGTTGCTGTCGGCTGCGTCGTGCTTGGGATGGGCGGGAGCGGGAGGGCGTGGCTTATCACGCCCACGCCTAGCTTGTTGGCGCTGCCTTCGCACCCTAGGGCTAGGAGGCGGGTGCGCTTGGTGGGTGCCGCGGGGGCTGGGGCCGCGGGAGTCATGGTGATGTGTGCCTGTGTGTTGTGTGTGTGTGTTGTGGGAGGTGGGTTGGGCGCGCCGCGGGGCACGGATGAGCTCTCCGGTGAGAGGGGGCAGCTTCTTTTTTTTTTTTTTTCTGGCCTGTGCCTGGTTTCCTTGGAGAGTCGGTCGTTCGTTCGGTGCCAATTTCGCTTGGGGACAGCGTGCCGACACGGTTGCTGCGACGGTTCTGTGCGGGCTCAGGGGCAGAGTGGCAGCGTGCTCGTCGACGACGTCTGGTGTGGGCGTGTGAAGCAAGTAGCAAGTAGCAGTGGTCGTTGAAAAGTGGACGCGGGGTTCACGTCACCGGATCGGCGACAGGCATTTGTGCAGTCCCCATCCGCTCGGCGCCGGAAATCAGGGGTCCACAGCAGCTTGGACAGGGGCGGCCCTGGCCTTCCTTCTGCAACGGGCATTCCTTGGCGGGCCGGACTGATGCTACCTTACCCCTGCAGCTGCACGTTCAGCCGGGTCGGTTTCCTATTCTTACATACGACGACTCTAACCCCATCCATGTCGCCCATCTCAATCCGGTTTCTTTTGGCCCTCGCAACGTGCAGGCCTGGGGACTAAGACCAGACGGTTGGTCGTTCTTCGTCTTGAATTCATCCGTCTTGATCTTGTTCATCTTTACTTCCTTCGTCTGGATCCCCTTCGCCTTCTCCTTCGTCCAGACCTATGGAAGTGTCCTTCACAACAAGCCGGCCGTCCCGCATCTGCCGGCCGTGGAAGTCCCTCACAATCTGCTCCACCAGCGCCCTGGTCGGGACCGAGACCCAGATACAAGCCCCACAGCCACCCTCACACCCGCCGAGCCAGTCCGCCCAGCTGCTCCTCTTATGGCAGATCCTCCTGCCCACGGCGGCGGGCTCGTACGCGGCAAAGACATCCCAGAGGTCCACCTCGCACCCTCGGTACTCGCGCGGCGTCGGGCAGCAGCCCGTTTCCATCTTGATGTTGGCGACGAACGGGAACAGCCTCGCAGGCTGTGGCCGCCTGTTCCATACTTTCCTCCTCCTCGGGGTTCTCATGTGCTCCTGTACCGTGAGTTTCTCACCGGCCCTGAGCTTCCTTGCGATGGCCACTGCCACCACGAGGGTGCGGGCTGCATCATGTGAGGATTTGTGTTGAGAGCGAGGATTCGCACCCGCTAAAACGGAGGAAAAACCCGTAAATACCCTTTTTAAAAGTTTTTAAAGTTATATATTAATTTATATATATAAATATGCTATTTTTCTATTATTTTGATTTTTAAAGTATTTAAAGGTATGAAAGATAGATTTATTATAAATTATATATATATTTTTATTTAAAGTTTAAGTTAATAAATAATATTAACTTTAAGACTTTTTAACTTAATTTCTAATAAAGTTAGAATTATAAAAGAAATATATTTAAATACTTTATTTTATATAGTATAACTTAATTATAAAACTTATACTTAGAAAAAAATCTAGTTTAAAGTAAAATAAAAAGTTCTAATATAAAGCTTTTTTATTAAATTTAAAATATATTACTATTTACTAAATATATATTTAATAATAATTATTAAAAATCTAAATTTTATCTAAGAATATAATAGAAGTTTTAAGGATAATTAATATATATAATCTATATAATATTTATAATAATTAAGTCTATAATTAAATTATATACTTATTTTAATAGCGGGTTTTTCCTCCGTTTTAGCGGGTGCGAATCCTCGCTCTCTTTGTGTTTTGGGAGACGTTTGGAAGTACCGCCTTGGCATAAAGCCTTGTGTCCAAGGGCCACTAATATCTCGCCAAGGGAGTAATAACTACTTCTGCGAGAATTCTCATCTGTGCCCCCGACAGTGAGAGTGATCTTTGTGGCAATGACCTGGATGTCAGTCCACCAGGCAAATAGCGGGATGACTTTTGGGAACAACCGTGAAATAGTCTTCAGGTCCCCACCAGCACAGAATAGGATCAAGGCTAGCTTGTTTCCTAATTTGTCTGCCTCCCTTTTCGTCTGTTATAATATCTTGACAAGTCTCTCTTCAATCTTGTCAGCCTCGAGAGTCTCCTCGGATCCGAACCGTAAAGGCTCAAAATCTCTAACTGGTGATGAACCTTGAGTTGGGGTACAAAAGTTGTGGATATAAGCACCACATTTCGAAAGGCTAGCAACACCTTCTTCTAGAGTTATGTCGAGGTCGGGAAAGGTAGATAGGATGGCAATGCCAACATCAACAGCAGTTTCTGACCCATGATTGCCAATATCAATAGCAACCAAGGTTGATTTGCTGACTTGGCTGACAAAATTCTCAGGAGTGCAGTCCTGGGAGTACCAGAACTTCTTAAGCTCGGGGCTTTTATGGAAGGACTCGACCAGTCTCGTCTGCTTGCCGGAATTGAACCAGACCCCGGCCCTTTTCCCTTCTCCAATCGTGAAGTACGACAGGTCCTGCCCAGCTTTCGCCTTTTCCAGCCTCTGCTGGAAATCATCCATCGTGGGTGGTGCCAGTGCGCTGGGCTTCCGGGCGTATGCTCGAGGGCAGCGTAGTTGGTGTTGGAATCTGGTTGCTTTGCTTATAACTGGTGAGTCTCAAGGTTGTGAATTACGCAAAGTAGGGTTCAAAGTGCTGTGTCTGTGAGTGGTACAAGAGACGGCAGAAGGCAAACCAGTGTGGTGAAACTGGGGCAATCGGGCCTGGAAGTTTTGATGGCGTGGTTGGTTCGACGGTCTGTCGTCGGTGCGAGACGGCTCTCTGATGGTGTCAACCGGTGCGTTGAGCCAGGCCGCCAGGCTCACTACCGTGTGAGTCGGTTCTGATTCTGGTGTCCTTATGCCTGAGGACACACTCTCTTGTTCCGGGTCCCATCAGGAGCCCATCCCATGTGATCTCAAGTGCTCCCGGAATGGTCTTAGGACTTTCTACTGCATGGGGGGTGTGTGTATTCAGCTCGGTCCCTCGACATTTCTGCGCAAAACAGACGTAACTGGCAAGGTTCAAAAGTCAAGTAGTATCTATCTTGTATGAAGCAGAAATGCTCAAGGGGAAGAGCAAAAAGAAAAACGAAAAACATGTGGTCGCGGCTGGACTTGAACCAGCAGCCCGAGTTATATTAGTAAGATCCTCGGATGTTTCTTTCCATTACACCACACGACCACATACATACCTTTCTACGTAGGGTACATATGGCTAGCAAGGTCAAAAATTAGCTAGCAAATAGTGTGTGTTGGGGGCAAAAAGGTTGGTCGCGGCTAGACTTGAACCAGCAGCCCAGGTTAGGATAGTGAGATCCCTGGATGTTACCATTACACCACACAACCACATATATACCTTTCTACTTATAATACATATAGCCACTATAAAGACACCATATATATCTTTAAGCATATGCGGAATAGAAGCACAACTAGATAATACATGTGGCTAGCAAGGTCGAAAAGCCTAAGTAGTATTATAGATAAAGTAGAAAGTACTTAAGGGGAGGAGCAAAAAGATTTGGTCGCGGCTGGAATTGAACCAGCGGCCCGGCTAGCATAGTAAGACACCGGATGTTACCATTACACCACACGACCACACTTTACCTTTGGAAAAAAGATATACAAGACCCTCTCGATTCAGAAGTTTGATAACCACTTTAGTCACACTCTGCTAAGCTGTCAGGATACCGCTTTTCCTCATACAGTCTTAAATCTTCATTTACTAACATTTATATATTTTTATAATAGATGTAAGTGAGTCCACAAAGAGTTTAATTAAAAGTAGGAGATCAAGGGGAAAGAAAATGGACAGAGTGAAGACATGTGAACACATAGAAGTGCAAGGTGGCAGACTAGCCAGTTTATATACAAGACCAGGCTTGCCGCTGCAGGGGTCTGCAGCGGGGCAGCGGGGATCCCCTCCCCGGGGAGGACAAATGCGGGCACTGCCCGCGAATAAGGGCATCGTGTGGGTGAGGCTACTGTGTAAAGGTGGGTCTACTCGAAATCGGTTAAACTTGCCCTGCGATGTACTCGGTACCGGCAGCCTGGATCCTATATTTTTGATAATGTTTGATCACTCCTCACTGCCTCTACAGACACTTTCTTTGCTGGCCACCTCACGCCCAGGTCACTTGAAAGTTTACGACTGACGTCCCCTGTTGGACACCCATCATTCAAGCTAAGCAGCTTCATGGTCTTGGAGGAATTGTGTCTCTGGTTGCGGGCTTGTATGCGTTTTGCGGGTTCAGGCCACCGTCGAGGTAGGCATCGGTTTCGTTGGTATGTGCTTCCTCCATTGCGTCAAAGTTCACAACCTTGGAAGGTCGCTTAGGCTGACAGGTTGGTTGATTCGGCGAGGACTCATGATCCGCAGAAGGCGGATTCTCCTGCAAAAGGGGTTACAGTCATGGCCAGCAGGTTTTGGTAATTCCAAAAAGAATGCTTACCTCGAGAGCTGCGGCCCTGAATCTAGGTACCTACTTAAGTACCTAGGTAGGTAGCAAGCTCATTGCGGCTAGGAAGCATGGTTGATGGGTGCTGCTAATGGGTAAGTCACTGATAAAGGAAACATTGCAATGCTAGTATCCTTATGAGAACCAGGAGACTTAGCTGAACGCGTCTAAGAAAGGAGATCTTGAGAGACAGGGCGTTGCGGACTGCGATAGGCAAGAGGCTCAAAACATCACCCTGGCCAAGGTGATGCGGCAGCCGTTTGCATCGAATGTGGCCAAAATACATGAGGTAGAGATGCTTGGTGGCCCAAATTCCCAAAGTTGCTACTCAGCCGTCACGTTGCTGTGCACAGGTAGGGACAAGGAGAAGGAGACGGACAGCAGGAGGATTTCTTCTTTGCATCGCTGGACCAGCTAACGAGTGCAATGAAAAAAAAAGGATTGAGGTCAGCCATGGGCAAGCCCAGAGGACTGGCCTTTGAATGTCTGCCTCCAACTAATAAGTACACAAGGCGAATGGATAACCATGACGCCCATGTCTCTTCGAGGCAGTCGGCATGGTCAGGAAAATCCATCGTCCCAAGACTTGGTCAGGAAGATCCATCGTCCCAAGACTCGGTCAGGAAGATCCATCGTCCCAATATGCCGATTAATCTACGAGGGTTCTTAACTCGAACGGCATATCTCCCGCCAAGCCGTCGAGTATGCTACCCCTCGCGAGCCTAGCAAAATGCTTAAAGACCCAGCCTCCAAGCGGCTTCCGGTCCGGCCTGGGGGAGAAGAGAACATGATCATGGGAAGGGCAAGGGGGCGCGAGGCCTTTTATAATAAATGCAGCGGCAGAATCCAGTGCAGCCGTTTTTTGACCGCCTGCTGTTTTGCCTGGCAGTTGCTCAGGTGGTGTTGGCAGCTGCGCAGGTGGTGTTGACACCCATGGGCAGCTCGTGGAGGAAGGTGCGCTCCTTCCCTGGGCACTTATCGGCAGGTGTGCGGTGCACGAGCCCAGTACCGGGCATGTCACCCGAGGTGGAGCGCCAGGTGGTCGTCTACATTCTTGTCAGGTGCGCTTCCATGTCGGCTGATAAGAGCCAGCGGCTCACGGCACATCCTGGATGTTGTGTTGTCGCGGTGGTGAGGCTGTGGGAGGAAGCCCCATACTGCATGTCAAGGAGGCCGGCCATTTGCACAGGCCGACAGCGGCTGACCCATTGAAGTGTACGGCTGTCATGCCTTTGAAGGGCAAGCTACGGCAGAAGTTGAATACCAGACCTTCACAATTGAAAACAGAAGTTCTGGTTGATTGTACCAGCTACGGCAGTGCTCCTTCCAACCGTAGCTGCTCTATGTAGTCAACCGTACCTGAAGCGATCGTTGAGCTCTAGTTGGCGCCTTTTCTTTCTGACATCTACAATATCGTGCAGTCAGGCTATCATTGTCCTGAAATTTACATTCCTGTGGAAGCAAATAGTGGTGTTGGTCTTCTTGTCTCTGTATGTGTTGCAGGAGAAGAATCTAGGTCGACTACTTAGTACCTAGGTACCTACTATCTGAGGGCATCTCTTAGGATAGTGCCTAGCGTTCCCGCTGCAACAATTCCCAGCACAGCCTAAGTTCTGTCTTTAGATTCATACGTGTGGTAGGTTTTGGATTCTAAACAGGAATGGGGCCACCAGACACCAATCCATGAGGCGAGATCCTCACCACACACACAAAACTAGATATGAATAACAATTGTTTCGCTCATCAAGGTCGTCAAAAAGTAAACACCGCTCGAGGAGAGCCATTAGAATGGTTCCGTTAGGGCCATGCCCAAACGCCGCCTGCTACATCTGACCCCTTTCCATCCCTTTCAGTCCTATCGGACCCACGGGTGCCGATAAAGAGAGTGCTAGGTGTCGGTTGGTGATTTGGCATACCCACGCACAAAGTCTCTCAGAGACCAGGTTGGTGATAGTTCATCGAACCTAGGGAAAGACACGACCCTCAGCCCCTTGAATATGTGAAAACGTCGCGGGCCCCAGCTGAGCGGTCTAATCATGGAGCGCTTGTCTGTTCGCCGAGCCGGAATGCAGGCTTCTTTTATTGTTACTATGTGCAATCGATTACTTGCTTCTACACCACCCACATGAGCACTCACTTTTATTATAGAAGGTCACTCTATGGGGGGATACTGTATGAATGCACAATGTATGTCTTCGGACGTCTGCGGAATAGAAGCGAAACCAGTTAGAGCCTAGCAACAATAGTAACAAGACACGAATACAACAACAATTAGCAGAACATGCGTTTGAGAGTCCTGTCGAGAATTTTATAGTAGCTAGTTAGAAGGGTCAACTGGCATCTTGTGGGTCAACCTAGGGAAGGCTGCCTTGTGAACATTAAATTAGAGGAGGTTGAATAGTAAGACGCGTAGATGGTTCCATGAGCAAGTGCTTATCCATCATGAGTTTGCGTCGTGGATATGGAGCAAATCTTATGAGATCGGACATTTGCACCCAAGAAAACAGAGGATACTCCCAGAGGAGATCTCCCCATAGGATCTTATCCTATAGAAGGTCATCCTATAAGAGGTTATCCCGTAGGAGGCTGTCTTGTAGGAGGATATCCTAAAGAGGTTGGCCTATAAGAGGTTATCCTACAGGAGGTTCTCCCGTAGGAGGTTGTCTTTTGGGAGGTTGTCCTATAGGAGGTATCTCACAATGGGTTGTCCTATAGGAGGTCGTCCTGTAGGAGGTTATCCCTAGGAGGTAATCTCCTGTTGCCAAGGAGGTTGTCCCGTAGGACCTGGTACTATGAGAGCTTATACTATAGGACTTGTAGGTGATGAGGAAGTCTATTTTTATTCTCTCTTCTCGCTATATGAGCCTATTTAAACTACTTGGTAGTTTAGTCCAGGAACGTAAATAGACTTGTATGGAGTACGTTCATTGCTCTGTTGGCGTCCTTAGCGTCAATGACGCACGAAATATTAATCTCACTCGCTCCTGCATGAATCAAGTTAGCAACACTTTCTCCATCCCTAAATATACAGCCTGAGAAGAAGGGGGGGGGGGGAGGAGAGGAGGAAGCAGGACGGGAGGGAGCAGGAGGATGGGAAGGAGGATGGGAGAAGGAGGAGGAAGACCCGCCTTGTGAGATCATCTCAATATTGATCCTGTGCTCCCCCAACGTCGTAAACATCTTGCCAGCAACGCCAATCATGTTCTTCATGTCGGCGCCGACCAGGCTCAGGATGGCCATGTCGTGCAGGACGCTCACGTCGCCGCAGTCCTCGAGCTCCTGCCTGGCCCGGTCGAACATGGCGTCGCCGGGGTCGGGCAGGTGCACGGCCATGGAGACGTGCACCTCGCTGGTGGAGATGAGGTCGACCGAGATCTTGTAGCTGTTGAGGATGGAGAAGACGCGCGCGAAGAAGCCGTGCGCGATCGACCGCTTGTTGGAGTGCACGTTGATGACCGAGATCTTGTCCTTGATGGTCACGGCCGTGGGCCGCTTGGGCGTCTGCCGCAGCAGGTGCAGCTGCGACGGCCGCGACCTCTTCAGCTGCGTGCCCGGCGCCAGCACCCGGTCCGGGACGACGATGGTGCCCTGCCCGCGCGGGTTCTTGACGTTCTTGATGCGCACCGGGATCGGCGGGTCCGCCTTGATCACCTGGTCCATGGTGAGGTGGTGGATGACCTCGGACCCGTAGAAGGTCAGCTCTGCCGCCTCGGACGGCGTGATGGACGACAGGAGCCTGGCCGTGGGCACCTTGGTGGGGTCGGCCGTGAAGATGCCGTCCACCTCCTTCCACACCTGGAGCTCGTCCGCCTTCATCCCCACTGCCACCAGGGCCGCGCAGAGATCTGTGTATCCACGCCCGACATCGCCGTCCATAAGACTTCCCGGGACGTTGCCGAAGAAGCCAGTGATGACAGGCACCCGGTCCTCACAAGCCTCGATCTTGCTCCGGAATGCGGCCGCGGCGTCTCGGTAGAAAGCGGCGTCCAGGCGTGTCGCGCTGTCGTTGTGAAGCACGTCTGCCAGGTCCACATACTCAGCCGCCACACCCTACCCATGTAGTTAGCATGAAGGCACCTCATACTGGGCCACGCCAGTCCCAGTAGGCACGTACCCGGTCCTTTAGCACATATGCCATAAACCTGCAGCTCAGACGCTCGCCAAAGCTCACGACCCGGTCCTTGGATCTTGAGTTGACCTCCAGTTTGAACCGCTTCGAGGCGTGTATGTACTCAATGAGCTCTTGGCACTCATTTTTGATGTCTTCCTTCAGGGCCTCCTTGAGATCGGGCGTATTGAGGACGGCCTCGGCGGCAAACAGATGATCATCGCAGATGTCTTGGATGACGCTCTTGGCCTCCCCCAGCAGCTCTGTCTGCGTGTCCTCTATGCCGACGGCGGCATCAATATGCCTGAGCCTCTTGTAGACCTCAAGTAGTCTTCATAGCCAGGAATTAGTCAGCCACACCAAGTCGACAGGCCCAATTGCGATCACAGAGCCCAAGACGGGCGGCACCTTGGGGGCATGACTCACCGACTGGTGGTGCCGGTGACCTTTTTCCCTGAGCTTCGCGCTGAGCAGACCACGGCGATTTTGTTGTTGGGCAGGGAGGCCCTACAGATGGATCAGCGAACCTGAGGCTGAACGAGCCGGGGCTAACGTGAGACATACCTGATGATATCCTCTGCTATCTGGTTCCAACGGCTGTCAGCTGGCCCTTGTCCGCCGGGAGGGTATTGATCTGAGGTCGCACCTTGTCTGGGAACTTCCCAATGCTTGTGCCACCGAACTTCTGCACGACCCAACCACTGGGACTGTCATTCTTGACCGTGTCTTTCATGATAGAGACTGGGACGACGTCGAATAAGTACCTAGGTAGGTGCCGAGGGTTGTAACTGGAGCGTGCGTAAGTTTGCCAACCTTGGCTGAGAGGCGTACTCCGTACTGTTAGCAGTGTCGTCCTGTAGTATGATGTTGGCAAGTGAGTGAGTGTAGTGGAGCCAATGGCCAGAAAAATGGGAGGGTTATGTTGCAGGATTGAGTCAACCGTTGTGGAGCAGACTGGTGACTCCTCCGTACCACGATACGTCAGAATGTACCTATGTATCTACGCTGCAGTGCATGTGGAAGGATGGAACTCAATGGCCCGTTGTCCAGTTTGGTGTCCCAGAGCCCTATTCCTAGGCTACGTACTCCATACATAATTAGGGCAGTTGGGCAGATACATTGCTCTGGCGTAGCGCATTGCAAAAATCGGAGCGGCCGGTGGGGCTGGCGGGTTTTCCAATGTTGCTTAAGTGCTCTGCGTGGCTATAAGTGGGGTCCCCTGCCGACCCCGGAGTTCGGTACCCAGGTACCCTGGGCCACACTGCTTGACCCCTGCCCGAGCCGCACCCCTCCACTGGTTCTTGAACCAACATAGGTCACTGCTGCAACCCCATCAGCAACAACCACATTATTGCCAAAGAGATCTTGTACTGAAAGTACGTGCAGGTTTCAGATAACAATGTAGATAAATAACTTCATATGCGATCGAGCGGACATGAACACCTCGTGACTGTTATAAAGCGGCATCTCGTAGAAATGCATTGCTATTAATGGTTTGAGCGCCGTCGGAAGATGGTCTAGATTCGCCCAGCCTATACTGTATGCAGGCTATACTACTAAAGTACTTATGTACAGGTGCCACGACCCCAAGCGTTACAACCGTATTCCGAGCCTACTGTTCTCACTTCATCTGTCTCACACCGAGTCACTACATAGGTACCTATAGCCCTACTTAAGTATAGGGGCACATATACCAAAGAACGCACACCCCTCTATGGTTGTATCATTTTAAGTTATATCAGTAGATATGATATCTTGGCAAACCCCCTCGATATGTCAGATGACTATACACAGAAAAGCCGGGTCCCATATACAGTCGTGACTCGAGTGTTGCCGTATCTCGTCCAACTCTCTTATCACCGCAACATGTTCTCCTGCGGACCCTCTCCTCATATCACAATGACCGATTCAATGTTTCAACTCAACAATCTATATGAGATCGGATATTCGCACCTGCAAAAATGGAGGGTACACCCAAGCCCCAAGTCATAAACTTCTATAGGACAACCTCCTAGGACAACCTCCTATAGAATAGCCTCTATATTTATTCAGCCTCCCCCCCCTCAAAAAACTTATTTCCAGCGAATGTCGCCTTTCGGATCATGAGGCAGTAAGTAGGCGTGGCACGTGATGATGCCCCCTCCCTTCATTCCTTTGTCCGCGCCGCCCTCGGCGTCATGTACACGTACAGCGGGGACTTTTCCCACAGCAGGTAGATCTTCTGCCGGCCCAGCCAGTTCCTGCTCTCGTCGGCCAGCCTGATGTCGAAATTCCACAGCACGCGCGCGAGGATGATGCGCATCTCGATGTAAGCGAGGCTGCACGTGTGTGTGTGTTGCACACCCCGCGTCAGCACTAGTGTGACCAGCCAACCACCAACCACATACAGATAAAGATAAGCGCGGAGGCAGCGCGCGCGTTTATATGAGAACGCCACGCCCTAGGAATGCAGAGAGGGAGAGAGGGAGGGAGGGAGGACGGGAGAGAGGGAAGGAGGAAGAGGGTGAGGGAGGGAGGGGGAGGGGGGGAGGGAATATCCACTCACTTCTTCCCGATGCAATTTCTCGGTCCGACATGGAACGGCTGGAAGACGTCCCGGTCGTCAGTCGCGAACTCCGGGTCCCCGAGCCACCTCTCCGGACGGTATTCCTCGGGCTTCTTGAAGAACTTCTCGTTGTGGTACAAGGCGTAGTGGTATTGCGAAACCACCGTCTGCAGAGAGGATGAGAGGCATTTGTCAACAAAACTCCAGTCCCCAGAACCTGGTGCAGCCGGGGGGAATCAATACTCACGTCTTCTGGCACATGGTGGCCGGCGATGGTTGCGCCGCCCTTGGGTGTCTGGCGGGGAAGGCCGAGCGGCGCCGGCGGGTACATCCGGAGGGCCTCGTCCAGGCACGCGAGCATGTACGGCAGGGTGCTGACGGACGTGAAGTCGATCTCCCCCTCGGTCTTGAACGTCGACCGGACCTCCTCCGTGAGCCTGCGCAGGGCCTCCGGGTTCGTCGTGAGGAGGTACGTCGCCCCCGAGAGCAAGGTCGCCGTCGTCTCAGACCCGGCGATGATCAGGATGCTTGCGTTCAGCTGCAGCTTGTCGACTGGGTTTTTTTTTTTTGTGGTTAGCAACATGGCGTCGGGGCTGGACTCATGGGATGTCGGGGGCAGTCGGCCCAAGTGAGCCACTCACCGTCGAGGTTCAGCTCGTCCTTCTTCTTCAGCAGGCCCTCGATCAGGTCATTCCGCTCAGACCCCAGGTCCATGCGCTTCAGGAGCTTCTCCTTTGTCAACTTCAGGCTGATGGGGACGTGTTAGCCAGGACTTCTGTGCTGAGTCCACGCAGAAGCAGGGAGCCCAGCATGGCATCCTCTCAGCAGACCACTTACTGCTCGTTCCTCTTCTTCATCATGGACTTCGGGATCATCTTCATCAGGGCCGTCTGGATCCACGGGAAGAACCCGGCCGACTGGAACAGCGTCCCGATCTTGATGCTCTGGAAGATCATGGCGATCCAGGGGTGGTACTCGCCGGACCGGAGGCACCCGAAGGGCTCGCCAAAGGCCAGGTCGCCGATCACGTCGAAGGTGGTGTAGTTGTACCAGGCCACGGCGTCAAGCGCCCGCTTGCCATCGTCACACCTCGCGTGCAGCTGCCGGATGAGGAGGTTGATGTAGTCGATGATGATCGGCTGCTGGTCTCTCACTGTGCCCCGTTCGTTAGTTTGCACCGAGGGGGAGGGATACAGAGCAGACCGAAGGGATATATATATATCAAAGGCCGCAACTTACTACTCCGGTCGCTAAAGCCATGAGCAAGCTGGCGACGGAGCCGTCCATGCTCCTCACGAGGGGCATTGATAATAGTCTTGGGCTCTGCGCGAGTTTCCGGTCAGCACCAGCACCAGCACCAGCCACCCCAGGAACGACCCAAAAGAGTTTCACCGGAGGGTCATTCATCAACCAAGCCATGTCAGGCCAGGTCAGGGGGAGGAACAAAACACACGGCTCTTAACAACACTATACATCTGCGGCGCCTTGGACATCTCAGGCTCCCCGGGGCCCCGGTGGCCCATGATGTCCCTCCACGCCCGCGCGCTGGCAAACACGAGCTCGTCGGGCGCGATGCGCACGACCTCGCCGTACCGCCTGTGCAGCGCGAGGACGTCAAAGGGCAGCCGGCCCGTCACGAGGCGGTAGCAGTACGGGATGCGCGACGCGGCCATCCACCTCGGGCCGGGGTACCCGCGCAGCGGGTGGAGGAGGAGGTTGTAGGCGACGTGGCCCAGGAGGTAGGCCACGAGCTTTGGACCGGAGGGGGGGGGCCGGGAGGTTAGCTGCTGGCGGGCGCGGGGTGTGATGGTTTCCGGCCGGGGCTTCTACCCGGCGCGGGCGTGGGCTGACTGACTCACCGAGAGCGAGGCTATCGCGAACAGGGTGCCGAGGCTCAGGCCCGGGGCGGTTAGGCCTGTGACTGCCATGGTGGCGTCACGATATATGCTTCTGCTCGTGTCAAATATGCTTTCGCTGGAGCCGTTGGGCTTGGGGCAAAATCGACATCAACAGGACACAAGAGTGAGTGGATTTGGGTTTGACAATGTTTCCCCGCATCAAAATAGACAGCAGGTTTCTCTCTCTCCTTTTCTCTTATGTATCGAGTGATGATGCTGTCCCAGACGGATTTCACGGACACAACTCGACCGGGTTTCGTATTCGCTATATACCATACCACCTAGCTTAGTACATGACGAAACAGGCCAATATCGTGCATCAACAGGGATGCCATAGTGCAGACCACCACCTGCTGGGCGAAACAGAGACCGGGTTGATGGAGGTCGCATCGCAGCAGGACCGGGCCCGCACACGCTAAATAACGTTGGCTCCCCTCGCTGCCTCGGGAGGAGATAAACTACACAGACGATCTGCTATTTACTTGTGGAGGCCGGGAAAGGGGGGGGGGTTTTCGGCGGACAAATCCCGGGAATCCCGCGAACCCCCAACAAGGCGTGTGGGTGAACAGCAGCTCGTAGGCTTGAATAAATCAACCGGCCAAGGAGGCGTGGTGGTGTTGACGTCTATTACGAATCTCTGCATGTCCCTGCATAACAAGGCGGGCGGTGCTGGGCCGGGACGAGATCTCGCCGCCCGGCCCCCGCCCTGCCCGTGCGATCTGCATAACTCCCCCCGGCTTTTTGCATAACTTCCTGTGCACTTCGGACGGCATGTCTACGGTCTTCGGTCTGCCGACGCCCATCTCACGCCGCCTGTCGCTGCCATGGTCATGTCCACCACAGCCGCATTTGGACTGTGCTGCTCAGCCTTGAGTGTTTTTAGGCGGCTTCTGTACTTCTTGGGCTTTTGTACTCTTCTTGGACCTCGGTACTTTTATCCATCGCCGTGTCAAAGTGCACAGGGCGGAACCGGTCTGGGGCCCGAGGTTATACATGCAGCTTTATCAGCAGCAGAGCCGTTGTTCAATCACCGACGATGACTGTGCGAGTTCAACCTGGATTACCGGTGAAGCTTGAGTGGACAACCAGATGTCGTCAACTCCGACATTGGGGGCAATGCTCCGGTGTGATCCATTACGCACGAGGTCCTGCACAGGTGGGTGGGTAGGACGGGACTGCGCGCACGGTGTGGTTCAGGTCTTGTTATTGGGGAGGGCCAAATTAGGCCGGCAGGGTAATGTAAGTAGGCGCTGGGATGAAAATCTCAGTCGCATCTGTGCAACCTCCAACCAGTCCTCCAACCAGGATCGGGAAACCGCGCTCGGGAGCCTCATCCTTTACAGGTGCGATACACCTCACAGCGACAGCCCGGTGACACTCCGGCGACATTCCCAGCCATCCCGCCGAAGGTAGGCCCAGAGGGGTGTGTTTGAGCACAAGTGTGTCCCATGGCTTCAGATCATTATATATCCATCTTTGCAATTATCAAACCATTGCATATCATGTCGCTTAGAATTGGTCTGCGCGCCCAGGACAGTCAGCCACATCCCCCAGCACGGACGAACAGGGACAACAGGGGCCACTCACCAAGGGTCATGCTCATGCTGACGTCCGTGTTCTCGACCATCTTGGAGAACTCCTCAAACGATATCTTGCCGTCCTTGTCCAGGTCCGCCTCCATGATGGTCTTGTCGACGATCTGCTGCAGCTGCTGGTCCTTGAGGTTGGAGCCGACCATCATCTTGAGCACGATGAACAGCTCGCCGTTGCTGATGTACCCGTCGCGGTCGATGTCGTAGACCTTGAAGGCGAAGCGGAGCTTCTGCTCCTTGTTGCCCTTGGAGCTGAAGGCCGACAGGCCCGAGACGAACTCCTGGAAGTCGACGTTACCACCCCCATCCTCGTCGAAGATGGCAATCATTCTGTGTGAAGACAGGACATCAGCGCTTTTTGTTCCGCACGTGAGCGGGCCGGGGTTTGGACGCCTGGACGTCCTCGCAGGCATGAGGAGCTCGGTGCATACCGTGTCGCAAGCGGGTTGGAGTTGATCTGGGGAAGGCTGAGGAACTCCTCGCGCTCGATGGTGCCAGAGTTGTCCTAGAATAGTTGCACGGCGACGTCAGTGGCTGGGTCGTTGAACAACAGCATGGGTTGCCGTATTGATTGTAGTATCTAACTCACCTTGTCGAGCTTCATGAACCGCTTCCTAAGGCGGTCCACTTCCTCTCGATCGACTGCAAGCGAGGAGCTCGGTCAGCAGTGGCCCGTGGCTTACACCGTCCCATGAATCATCATCACCCGCGGTCCGGACGGCACGACGGATGTGTGCTTCGGTCAGATGCACGTACAGTTGGTGCCCTGGGCAATGTTGTCCAGGACCGAGCTGGGTGTGTTGCCCATCTTGTCGGACTCGAGCGGCGCGGCGGCGAGGGGGTCAGGGGTATTGTCACCGAAGCTGTTGGTCCGGTCGAGGCGTCTGGTCTCGAGGCGGCTTCCACTGGCGCTCGCGCTCGCACTCGAACGGGGGGCCTGGTCGGTTCCGAGGAGGTCTTGTTGTCCGACTCGCCGGTTTGCAAGGTTGAAAGGGCCTGTTTCGAGAAAGGAGGGCGGAAAGGGAGCGGAAGTACGGGTTCAATAAGCAAGCGGTGGTTCAGCCCAAGAGGCATGGATAAGGAGACATGCCTCTGGTGGGGGGTGTCCCTATGTCTGTTATCTTATCGCATGGCGCCTCACCGGTTCACGTTAGCGTGCCAGCTGAGGCTCTTGGTATTACCGCGTACAGAGTCATTTGTACCCATTCAGCCTTAGTCCTGCATCAGCACGGGAAATAATCAGATGCACACTGGTCACTAATCTGCAGTGATATTTAGATGCATCCAAGTATAAGTATAGGACGTCTCTGGGAATCATACAGAGACTTTGCTGCAACACGTTACTGCACCATGATGAAGCTTGCATGTGATGCCAATAAGCAGAAATACTAGAAGTCACCAGCACTCCAGGTGCAGCAGGATTCAAGAACTCTAACCCAGAACCGTGTTGGGACAGATTATCTGCTTTCTGATGCATATAACTGAGTTGACTGCAAAAAGTGGTACAGATGTGTTAGGGGGGCAGGGTCATGGTCATGCCACTCAGGATCCATCCAGTCATGCCTCTGGCCAGACAGTCCCGAACGCAACAAGCTGTAAGAATAGGTTGATGCACCTAACAAAAGTTACATGGAATGATGCCCAACTTGAATGTTGGTAGCTTTTCTGGATGGACGGACGCGGTCGCTAGGGAGATTAATTGGAAGACGAGAGATGAATCCGTCGCGTTCTAGTCACAAACGGGCAACTAGCCCCAGGGGTCTTTGTCCTGACATTGCCTCTCCTGCTCACTGCTTAGGGTACCCATCACTGCGGCACAGCCCCTAAGGGAGGCGCGGTAGTTACCTAGGAGGTGCTAGCAGTGCTAGTGGTGCTTACGTGGGGGGACGCATCCTCTCCCAAAACATTCAATTTCCAGCACCATAGGGAAGCAGCGCAAGGGTCCAAGCCAACTGGCCCTTACCCCGTTTTTTCTCCGGCAAAGCCTAGACAAGCAACAAACAGGCAAAGTTTTCACATCGGTACAGCGTCAGCAAAGCGCAGCACCAGCCCGAGTTTACCACCATCAAAGCAGCCCCACGACTGTGGTTTTTCATCGAAAAAAATCGTTAGGCCATTTTTGCATGATTCAGGCTATCGCATGGTCGATTTTTTTTGGCCAATATCCCCCATGGTTGATGGCTTTTTGAGCGATCCAACCCCCGCCTCGTCACTCCCAACTCTCCGCCCTCACCCCACTCTTTAGCGATGAACTCCCGCAAGATTCGCATCAAGAAGCTCAACGTCAAACAGCCACTTTCCATCCTCAAAGAGGATGAGATTGATGCAACCGAATATGAGTCCCTTACGCAGGAACTCCAAGTTGCCACTGGAGTCGAGGCCGGAGAGGAAAATGTATGTATCACGTGACGTCACCACACTGTCGTATCACGTGACACCCCTGGCAACTACCTCCTCGCCTCGTCCATCCTCCAACCCCTGCCCATGCCCCTAGTCTCACTTTCTGTCGCCAAACAGGCTGGCCACGCATGAGAGTTGCCTACTGACTTACCTGTGACAGGAATACCATCTACAAGTACTCTTGAAGACCGCAGGTTCAAAGGTTGACAATGAAATCCCTGTGCCCCCTCCGCAGGAGAGCACAACCTCGTACGAGGAGCTCTATACCCGGCCTTATTCGGAACCAGCTAGCTACGTTCGTTTTAGCCAGACGGTTGAGGAGTGCAATGGCTGCAACTATGACATGACCGAGGAGGATGATGCCTTCCTCAAGGAGTACAACGCGAAAAGGCCCGCTGCTCAGCGGCTGTCTGAAGATGACTTCGAAAGGGTTATGGATTCTTTTGAGGAGCAATCACTTAATCAGACGCCTTACGCAGCCGTCGATAAGACAATCCTCGAGTATGAGCAGATGGCCCATGAGCTCAACGTGCTCTTCACTGCTAAGGTGGTGTCGCACTCGAAAGCCGTGTATGACTACTGGAAGTCGCGCAAGGAATCTGTGGGCAATGGTTCGATCCTGCCGAGTCTCAAATTCGAGAGGTCCCAGGAGAGCGATGACCTGGACCCGTATGTCTGCTTCCGGAGGAGAGAGGTTCGACAAACCCGCAAGACGCGGGCGAGAGACGTGCAGAGTGCCGACAAGCTCAAACGCCTGAGGAGAGAGCTCGAGGAGGGCCGACATCTTATTATGTTGTGTAGGGATCGTGAACTTTTGAAGAGCGAGCTGCTCCGGACCGATCGGCAGATATTCGAAAAGAGGGCCAAGGTGAAGGAAATGAAAGTCCGTTTGGGTATCAAGGGCGACGACGATGACCTTATCAACCAGAAGGTTAGTGAAAATCGCAAATGCCCTTTGGTCTCACCTGCTAACATCATCCAGGCACCACCCAAGAAGAAGCACTCAGAAACGCCAGCCGCTCAGAAGGCAGCAGGTTCTGGGGCTATTCGCCTGCAGCAACCAAGATCGCTTGGCCCAGTCGAAGTCGAGCTGCCTCTGCTTGAGACCAAGCTCAACAAGCAGAATGAGGAGCTTCGTAGTGATATCATGACCAAGATCCAGAATCACCAGAACTGGAACAGGAATCATGTGGACCTCACAAAGAGCCCGCTCCCGCCAGTCGAAAACAATCAGCCAAGCTTCAGGAAAGCCCAGGCTCACTATCTCCTGACACCTCCCGCAAGTAGCGCTTCAGGGGAGTCAGCCGGAGAGCCAACCCCGATGGATCTGGACGACGGCATCCCTTCGGCCATGTTTCAATTCAAGGGTGCTCCTGTCGATGAGAACAGCCCGCCGCAGTTGCTGTCGTACCGTCGGCGCGTGGGCCGGCTGAACAGGATGTGGATTGACAGGCGGTTGGAAAAGTCAGCACGGTCCCCCCAGCCCAGTCCAGACACCGACCGATGGAAGTATGACCAAGACGAGAGCGACGACGAACAGCCCGTGTATGAGATCGACCCATACGACACGACTAGCATCAGGTTCAGGGCGACGATACCGCTGTCCTTCCAAGATCCGCGGCGTCAACAACGGCAGCTCGAAGCTGCCGCCCAAGCCCAGGCCGCTGCAATACAAGCTGCCACAAATGGACAGCCGCAGCCGCAGCCGCAGCCGCAGCCGCAGCCGCAGCAACAGCAACAGGCAGCGCCCAAACCACCCCCCGCAGCCGTTGCGGTCAAACAGGACAGTTGAGCAGTGCGGCTGCTGCTCATGATTTCCTTTCTCGTCTCCAACTCCCATGGAAGTGATCCTTGGCATTGTATACCCCCTGTCTTTTTGGCTGAAGAGCATTGGCGTTGTGGGCATTGGAGGTTTTTTTTTCAGTGGATGGCCGGTCGTGGTGGTGTGTATGAGCATAGTTATAGCATAGAATTGCATGATCGTGTAGATCGGGGTCGGAGGCGACAAGGGACGCGGGATGGCAGGCCGGAACGAAGCTCGCCGCAACGGTGGGAGCCCAAATTACTAGACCAATGAAAGCTCAGGCGGCATCCAGTAATGCACACCTGCCTGTCAAAAGGTCCATCTTCGCAGCCGTGTCTGTCCGCTTGTGACTTGTAGTTGCTTGAATACCCTGGAGAGCTGGTGGTTAGAATTCGGTCTTCGTACGGTGTAGGGGCGAGCTTACCCCGTGAGGGCACACACCCCGGTCCTCTGCGGCACGTAGGCCCTCGGGCCAGGTTCACCGTGGCTGACAACGCTCAAAGGCCTGGCGCAGAGGGTAGAAGATAGGCTGAGACAACAATCCAGCGTCCATGGACAGGACTGGCCGAGGCAGACGTGGCCGCGTGTTGCGTGCGGAGCTCGTCACCGAATACCGAGGCCTCGACCCCGGCGGTGCCAGGCGTGCGGCGGCGAGTCGGCCAGGGCGGAGAAGCTGGGGTGAAGCATTGCTGTGGGTAGAAATAGGAGACGAGCTTCGGGCAGTAGATCAGAGCGGTCTCGCAGCTGCCGCAAGGGGCGCCGCTCTGTGTTCTGCCGTCACCACCGGTGGGGGACGGACGCTGAAAGGACTGCGGCGGAAGGGGGATGGAGACAGAAGTAATTGTAAGCGAGGAGGACCCATGCTAGTAGAGTTGACGACGGTGTGTGGGCTAGGATGGGCCCGGCGGCCCAGGAAAGGCCGGGGCTTGTGTAAGTGCGGATTGGCGTTGGCGGCGGCAGACGGGCCACTGCACTCATTCACTGGCCTGACCCGCTCAGGCATTTCTCAGGGTCCTAGGCACAGCTCCAAACTCCTCCCAGCCCGGTTAGTCAGCAACCCGGCCTTGATCGATCCACGCCTCACCCGCGGTCAGTGACATTCAGTGTATAATCACCTCGACCACCCACCCCTCCGGCCCCTACGCACACCAGAGCCAGCTCGTCCTCCTTCGATATCGATAAAATTTACGCGATCGTCACCACGCGCCAGGATTCGGTCACCCCTACCAGAGCAATGGACTGGACACGGGCGGGTGGAGTGGGGAGGCCTGGTTCCTGGCACCCGGACAGCCTCTGGCCCAATAACTGGCTGCTGGTCGCCCGTTTGCCAGATTCTTGCAGCTCGCTGGCTTGATCCGTTGGCCCCCCCCCTTCTCTCTTCTACCGGGCCGCGGTTGCTCGTCCTGTTCCCCCTTCCTACTTCCTACTCCCAACCTCCCAACAACCGTGCCTGTTATTCACGGCAACCTGTTACACATTACTACACCTTACTCACCTAACCTATTCTAACAATCCTAATTATATGACTATATAAAATAGTGAAAGATAATAAAGAACTTCCTTTATAATAAGATATTTATTTAATATTAAGAAGTATTAATAGTTTTGTATACCAAAAAACTTACCTGTTTATTTTACTCGCCATAGAATACTTGATTCTAAAAAAAGACCATCATCAGCCGTAACTGTTGGTTGAAGACATGTGTGTGTTGGTTGTAGCCTGCGTCCTGAACGCGGGCCTAGGCCCCCAGCAACCCTGGCACGCCTGTGGTCAACTTGACAGTGATAACTACACAAACTCCGCCTCCCACACCTCTCTCTGGACACTATACAACACTTTTCACACGAAAGCAAATCAGAATCGACTATCCGAGCGTCCAAATTTCAAAACCTCTCACAATTTGTCTCTCTCGAGAAAAAAAGCAGCACCAAATGTCTTCAGACGATAACATTCAATGGCCATCCGGCTTCAGCTTGAAAGACTTGGTGGGATGGGGAGGCAGCGGTCTAGTTGTTCACGACGAGTCGAATGATACCATCATTAAGACTCCCTTCTCCGAAAGGAGCGCAGATCACATTGCAAGGGAGAAGCAGGTCTACGAGCGGTTCACGGAACGTGGGGGACACAAGGGGATCTTACGTTACCACGGCCCCTACGAAACAGGGATCCGCCTCGACTACGCTTCGAACCACAACCTCAGGGGGCTCATCGATGAGGAAACTACTCAACAGCAACGACTGGACTGGGCCAACCAGATCGCGGAGGCAGTCGAATTCATCCATGCATCCGGTGTAATACATGGAGACATGACATGTGCGAACATTTTCGTGGATGAGGGCCTTAATGCCAAGGTTGCCGACTTTGCTGGGTCATCACTCGACGGCTCGGAGCTCCTCGTTGTGGTGACGGCTAGCCATGAATATCCAGGGGAGCTCCAATCCGTCCGTGCCGACCTTTTCGCACTTGGAGGCATACTCTACGAAATCATGACTGGACAGCCACCTTACGACGGCAAGGAAGATAAGGAAATAGAAGAGCTGTACAAGAGTCATGTCTTCCCCGACACCGAGTCTTTGGGGTCAGTTGGCCGCATTATCACGAAATGCTGGCAAGGGGGCTACGCCGATTGCAAGCAAATTGTAAAAGATTTGAAAGATACTATTTAATATTAACTTAAGAATATATAATAACTATTATTAAAATAGCAGCCTAGTAATAAGATGAGTCCACCATCTAACTAGTGTCCTTAGATATTATTATTTATTAGTACCATGAATTTATATTTAATATAATTAGTATTAAAACTAAAAGAATTTAGTCTAAGCATGATACCTCTCTTCCGAATCGTGCTGGGCCCTGTGTGACTAACCTTAACCATGGCTGGGTGGAAGTTGGTGAATCCTATCCTGTAGCCAGGGAACCCCGCTAGGAGCGGACGCCACCTAACTACCTAGTAGGTACCTAGGTACCTAGATACCTAGATTGGGGTGGACCAAGCCTATGGGCTCCTTAGCTCGACAGGAGGGGTGACTATAGAGGTAGGTACCTGGGGAAGTGGGGCAGACACCATATGCGAACCCCGGCTCTTGCATATTTCTCAGTTTACACTTCAAATCGTCGCAATCAACCTGGACGCAGTAGCGCATCTCCTTACTGCTTGCGCCGCCCTTGCTCAGGATTACAACTTCCCTCGCGAATATCAACTCCTGGTTACCCAACAACCTCTGAAGACTACATACGAGGAAGACTACGACAAAACGTCAACATCCGACCCCGAACAGCGATCCTTCTCCCACCAGCCACCACTGTCTGACGACTCAAGATGGGCCGCGCCGAAGTAGGCAGCACAAAATGGGTCTCGAACCAGGCCAAGTCGAAGGGCCTCGGGCGACTGCGGTGGTACTGCCAGGTCTGCGAGCGCCAGATGCGGGACGAGAACGGCTTCAAGATGCACGTGCAGTCCGAGTCGCACGTGCGACAGATGCTGGTGGTGGGCGAGGACCCCAAGAAGGCCATCAACGAGTTCTCGGCGCAGTTCAACAACGACTTCCTGCAGCAGCTGCGCACGTCGCACGGCACCAAGGCCGTGCTCATCAACCACTTCTACCAGGAGTACATCGCCAACAAGCAGCACACCCACATGAACGCCACCCGCTGGCCCAGCCTGACCGAGTACGCCAAGTACCTGGGCCGCGAGGGCATCTGCCGGGTCGAGGAGACGGACAAGGGCCTGCAGGTCGCGTGGATCGACAACAGCCCCGAGGCGCTCAAGCGCGCCGAGGCCATCAGGAGGAAGGAGATGCAGGACAAGGGCGACGAGGAGCGCGAGCTGAGGATGATACGGGAGCAGCAGAAGCGGGCCGAGAGGGCGGCGGAGGAGCGGAGGAGGGGGAAGGGCCCGGGGGCGGACGAGGATGACGGGCCCGGGGAGAAGCCGGACCTGCAGATCAAGGACGGCGAGAAGATCCAGCTGTCGTTTGGCGTGCCGAAGCAGGACAAGAAGCAGGAGGACAAGAAGACGACGCCGGACAAGGGCACCGAATCGCCAAAACCGGAGGGGGCGGCCGCCGCGGCAGAGACCGAGCCTGCCAGGTCAGAGCCTACGAAACCGGCCGGGTTCTCGTTCGGCGCCAAACCACCACAAGCAAAGAATGTGTTTGCGCAAGCAAAGAAGAACGCACTGGCTGGCGGGGCGAAGAAAGCAGTCAAGATCGAACAGCCAAAGAAGATGAGCGAGGCCGAGAGAATAATGAGGGAAGAGTTAGACAGGAAACGGTCACGAGAGTCTTCTGGAGGCGGAGGTTTCCACAAGAAACCACGTCTTGGTTAGACAAGAGCCTTTCGAAGCAACCATGATACCCATTTTTAATTTTCCGCACGCCAGACCCTCACCATATGACAGGTCTTCCAAAAAGTCCACGATCAAAAATTATCAGTACTTGAATATCAGCCCAGCGTCCGCCTGAGATCCTGACAAACGGCCCTCTCCAATACCTCTCAGCAGATGGCGTTCAACAGCAGCTCCTGCCAGAGATCAAGACATCACAAGCGAAATGCGGACACGAGGACACCTAAGTACGTCTACCCGTTCACTCACACGGTGTATCAAGGCGTCAATCCCATCGTCGGGACGGGTCCCTAGACGTTGAAGCCCCGATACATGTTGACCCCAAGAGAATTCTTGCCGTATGCTTGGAACATGGCGAGTCCGCTCCCAACAGGGGTACCGCAGTTGGGTTTGTGGCGCCTCCACTGGGCTCTCTGACAGTCCTAAAGGAACAACCACAATGTCAACGACGTTCGAGTAGACAGAAGAAGTGTGCCGCCGGCCATACGCACCTTGTCACAGAACCACGCGGCGGCGATCTGGTTCTTGCATCCGCCGCACTTCATCAGGGTCTTGCCCTCCGCCTTGATGTCGGCATTGATCTTTCCACAGCAGTGGCAGCTCGGCTCCACGAAGCTCCTGGGCTTGCCGGCCTGGTAGTGGTCCAGGGCGGCGAGGACCTGCCGCTGTCCGGCGCCGCGGATGCCCATGTCGTCGAGGGCCATGGTCGCATGCTCGTTGCACTGCATCTTCGAGACGAGGTCGCGGAGGTATGCCACGTCGGCCTGTCTGATAGTGGCTCCGAACTCCATCATGATAGCGGCAAGGACGATCGGGCGGTACTGAGAATCGCCGAAGATATCAGGGAAGTCCTGCCTGGCAGTGCGGCACTTGTCAAACAGCTCGTCTCCCTTGCCTGAATCAAGCTTCTGACGGATGACCTCGTCCTGGTGGAAGACTGTCAGGACACTGCCTGGTTTGAGGAGAAAGATGAATATCCCTGCGATGCTTACTATGGCCTCTTCTCCGTCACTCTGAAGCTGATCGATGAGATCGTACTCTTGGGCGTAGTAACTGCCGACGGGAAGCGGGCTTGCGGTGAGCACTTTGTCCAGAATGTGGGCAAAATGACGGTTGTTTCCCTGCGTGATACCCTTGGTGATCTCGATGGCATGACGAATGGCATCGTCGTGGCCAAAGAGGGCTGTGGGGAGGTTGAAAGCACGTTCAGCTTTCTAGCGTCCGATACAGTCATGGTTGCTTGTCAAGGACGGTGAATTACTTACTGTGTCCCCAGCGACCCATGATGATGGAGGTTGAGGTGGTTGTGGTGGGGGGACTTTCTGGTAGTCAATCGATGTGCCGTTTGCACAGCTTGAGCATCACACGCAGGTGAGGATGGACTCGGATCGCGGCTGAGATGAATCCAGTGCTTCTGGGTTGGTGGTCTCCAACAGGAGCATTCAAGAGAAGATACAAGTTGGAAGAGATCAAGTTCGAACGACTTTGATCAAGGTTGTGGGAAGAACACCACAAACGGTGCTACTCCTGCTTGGGCCTGAGGCTGCTTTGCTTGCCTTCCTCTTTCGTTTGAAGTCAGGTACCCATGCACGTACCCGCCTGACTGACCATCTATGATAGCAACTGGCCCATAATTCCAGTGACCAATGCTCTGTACCAGTGGAAAACCAATGCAAAAGTGGTATTGGGTTTGGCCTTGTCCTACTTCCTTTGGTGCTGACCCGACGACCTTGGAAGTGAAATAGAAGCAAGCATCTGACACCGAATGCCTTCCTACCCAGACACTCTTTCCCCCATCTTGCTTCCCAATCGAAATCGCTGAATTCATTGCGGGAAAAGCTCCGTTGCATCTGATAGCCCCTTGGATTGGCTTAGGTGATGGCTCAAGTTTCATGCCAATCCTAAGTAGGATCTTTGAGAATGTTCACGTTATATTGGTGGTGTAGACCTCTAACTTCGAAGCCCTCTTTCTTACCCGAGCCAGTCTCCTTGTTCCCTCATGCAACTCCAAAACGCCATGCTTTCCTAAACCAACGACGACCAGATGTCGAGGATAGGCTTTGCCCTAGCCAAAGAGCCCGGTCGCATCAGAGAGCGCACCTTCTTTCCTGAAGCTAAAAAAGCATTTTCTTTTTCCCCTAAGATTTCCGTGAAAAGTCACATTGCACTTTCCTCGCCGGCAGAGCGAATAGGAAGTCCGTCCTTCAGCTCCTCCATCACATCAGAAGACAGAGCGGAACCCTAGTCCGCCTCCGTTGCACTTCCGTCGCGTCTGTGGTTGCCAAAGTTTTAGCCAATGCCCACCAAAAAACTTCTTTCAAAACCCGAGGGTCTTGCATCGAAAGCCCCCTCGATCTCCAGGCTGCCTGCCGGTTGTATGACAAACTTACGGTATGTACCGGACCTTGTACTGCTCCTCCATCTGCGAGACCAGGTCCTCGGGCAGCTGGCCCATGACCTTTGTGGCGTAGACGCCCTTGACGTAGCCGTCCAGCCGCTGCCACTTTGCCACCCAGCTCTTGCTCGGCTCGGCCAGCGTGATGAGGCCCTCGAAGACGGACGAGGTGCAGTTGTCGACCTGTTCGTCGCTGCCCGCGAGGCCGAGGAACTCTTCGCAGTTGGGGCATCCTTCCCTCTTGAAGCGCTGTGCGGGGGGAATACAGTCAGTACGGGGTTTTCAGGCGCGGGATGGATAGGTGGGCGAGGACGTTTGATCGTAAACTGCATTCGTTCAGAGGGCTTGGGGAGGAGGTCGAGGTGGACGTACGGTTCGCACCATCACAATCGAGCAGACCATGCATGCGCGCAGCTGGCGCATCTGGTTTGGCTGGACATAGCTTCGCGACATCTTGCCGTTGCGATGGGCTCCAGGAGTGGTAGGGTGGCTTGCTTTCTTGGACGTTGGAAGAAGAGAGGGCTCGATGGAGGCCACTGCGTTGGGACCTGGCCATCAGCGACCGACAAAGGGTTGCGCCGGCAGGCACCCCGGCTTATCACTCACTTATCGGGGCCTCCTTAAGTGAATATTCATTTTCTTAACTGATATCAACGCACCATCTCTCCCACCAATCCGCTCGACACCATCTAAAGGTTCTAAATGGGAGAATTAAGCCGGGACCAGCACAACATGGAAGCTGAAACGATGGACGTCGATAAGCCAGCCCAAGAGGCGACGGCCAAATCCTCGGGCAAGAAGTCAAAGTCTCACGAGATCTATTATTCCACAACCATCAGGAGCCCCACCTACGCATACGCTCACTTGGAACTCATCACCACCGCCAGCTCGGATTTGGATGACCTCCAGCTACGCTCTTACCTGACTGCCGCACTAAAGCAGTTCCTCGGCGCCACGGGCTCAGGCATGCCCATCGACATCCTCAAGGTGCAAGGAAAAGAATCTTGGGTGCGGGTCCCCCGTCAAGATCTAGGAGCCTTCGCCGCCGCTCTGACCGCATGGTCGGGGTCGGGAAACTCAACGGGGTTCATCATCCGAGCAGCTGGGGACTGGCTCGGCGCACTGGTGGGACGGCATGAGCAGAGGAAGCTCTGGGGAGAATCATAAGTCTTTGCTTGCTGTGCGAGAAGAGGTATCTTTTTCTTGCCTGGGGATCCCCAAGGATACAAGCTACTATCCTGGTGGTGCCTCCCACACCTGGGCCATGTCATCACACCAGGCCAACCGAATTCTGACGCTCTGCTGCGCGTCCGTGACCGGTCTTCGCCTCGAGGCACAAAGCTTTTCAAACCCGCCATTTTTGACGGACACGAACGCGAGCGCATTTCCCACCGGAACCGAACGCCACCCACAACCAATCAATCCAACTCCCGAGCATGCTCTGTAGTTTGCTTCTATATCCAGGTCTACGCCCGATATGATCTAGAGATTTCTGGCTCACATCAGAGACGACATGATAGAGCTGTTGGCATAGGCCTGTATTGTGTCAGCAGTGGTTGGCAATGTGGGGTGGCAACGTCTGCCGGAACACCTACCATCGGCCGAATATTGGGGTGAGGGACAGCGTCGAACTTCTTGAATTCGAGCTTGTAGTCGGGGCCGATATTGATGTAAGCGCCCTTGTTCTCCGTCATGTCGCAATACTTGGGAGCCGAGAACACTAGAGCTAAAGTCAGCATCTTGATAGCGCAGCAATGGAGCACAGCACCTACCAGTGATACACTTTCCGTCATGCTCTTCCTCGTAGCCTTCCATGCGAACTTCGTGGCTTCTGATGATGGCCTCCAGACCGTTCTTTTCGCAGAACCGTTTTGTGACGTCAGGTCCGAACTGCATGCCAACACCTCGCTTGCTGGGTCCGCGGCCAGGCTCCGTCTGGGGGTCTGTCCACAACATCTCCATCATCAGGCCGGCCTGTCCGGGCTGCTTTTGCTTGTGGCGGTTCAGTTTTCGAATGTCATCCAAGGTGACGTTGTCATCGGAGAAGAGGCCGCCGTGAAGCACAAAGTACTTCTCGCCAATCAGCGTGGCCAAGGGGAGCGCTGAGAAACTTTCGGAGAAGAGCTTGAAGATGCGCTCGTTGTACTTGGCCTTGCATTCGCCCTCGAAACCATAGACCTTGTTCATGTCATCTGTCTCGTGGTTTCCGCGGTTCAGGAAGAAGGCATTTGGCCTGAGCCACTTGTTTGCGTAGAGCAACAATGCAATCTCGGTCGACCAGGAACCACGGTCAACAAAGTCGCCGTTGAAAAGGTACCAGTGCTTTTCGCTAGGAGTTCCGTTTAACCTGAAAAGCTCCATAAGGTCGAAGTATTGGCCTGGTATACTATCAGTTGCGGTTTCCCAATAAAGACATGAGCACGAGAGCTTGACTTACCGTGGGTGTCGCCGCAAACTGTGAGCTGCACATCATCAGGAATCTTGACCTCCACCATCGTCGGCTCATCATAAACCAGCTTTCTGACGGCCAATATGATCTGGTAGACATATTTCCTGTGTATCTTCTTGCCGTTCTTGAATCGCTCCGTCATGTCATCAATAAACTCCTGGGTCATCTCGTCGCCGAGCCTCACGCCGTCGTAGTCTGGCTCCACGGCGATGGAGGCGACATCGAGGCCTTCCGCAGCCGACGGCGCATCCGTAACCTCGATAGCCGCGAAGAAGTCGTACTGGCGCACGATCTTCTGACACTCAACAAGCTTGAGCTTGGCATCTTTGTTCCCTGGGTCGATCTGCGTGCACGTCTTGAAATCCTTGAGGGCATCCTTCGGTCGGAGAACGGCGGCATGGGCGAGAGCACGGCGGTAATAAGCCTGTACAGTAAAGCGCTGTTAGCCAAGGGAGCTCTGGCAGGCGCGTGGCGTCTTGGAGCCCTGCAAACCTTGACAAAGCCTGGGTTCAGCTCGACAGCCTTGGTCGCATCCTGGATTGCGTAACCGTACGCTTCTGTCTTGAGGTAGGCCTGTCATTGGGAACATCATGTTAGTCACGCGAGCACCAAAGGGAGCCAACTCCGGGACGAGTCCTGTCGTGGGATCCGCACCTGCGCTCGATTCGCGAAATACGTGGGCTCTGTGTCGTCAATGTCGATCGCCTGGGTGTAGAAGTCTATGGCGGTGGGCCAGTCGTGCTTCTTGAAGGCATCGTTGCCCTGGTTCTTCAGGGCAACGGCTTTTGCCTTGTCGTCCTCTGACACTGCCATGGTATATGTCTTCGTGGCCGGCGCTTAGTAGAGATATGCCTCTTGCTCTGAAGGAGGGGCAAGGATTGACAGGGATGGAGAGATGGGCTGAGAGGTTGGACAAGTTCCAACAAGGTAGGAGGACAGGAATTTAAGCAGCGCGTGTGGCGTTCTTTGGAGAAGGGGAAAGGGAAGTTCAGGCTCAATCCAGCCAGGCAGCGCTCCTTTTGCAAGCTGCACGAGGCGAATTTCGTCCACCTATAGGTAAGCTTGCAGTCGAAACTCGGAGACGTGCAGACTGCAAATACCTATTGCAGGGGTCCTTCGGCACCGATCCCCGGCGTTCGAGGCACTTCTACCGAGTACAATCTGTTTGTCCACAGGGATTCCCCGCGATGACGCTAGCCTGGAGCACTACCTGAGCAAACCCAACGCTAATAGATTGCCTGGTCGGTGCCTGGGCCGCTACATATGACAGGTACCTTCAAAAAGTATCCGCCTCCCGAGGTCTGGCCGCCACACAACACGACCTGCCCACCCACTCTTTGTGATCTGTCTTCCGCAGAACAACAACCACCCCTCCTCCCGCCAGACACCCCTCGCATCGATCAGCGGCGCACCTGCAAGCATGGCGAGTCCAGGCTCGACGTCCTCTGCCCTCGTGCGCAAAAGGGCCGCGGCGGAGATGGCGCTGATGCCTCCGCCTCCGCCAACAAAGAAGATAAAGAGGCCCAAACAGGTTCTGGACGAGGAAACCTACACAGACGCCCTGTCGAAGATCATCGCGCGCGACTTTTTCCCAGGGCTCCTGGAGAGCGAGACTCAGCAAGAATACCTCGACGCATTAAACTCGAACGATCCGCAATGGATTCAGAGCGCCGGGCGCCGCCTCAAACATGTCATGACCCCTGGTCGACAAAGGCTGAGACGACCGGTGCAGGCTCAGCCAGGAGGTCAGACACCAGTAGGTGTTGGAGGCGACACGCCCATGTCCACGATGTCCTCTGCAACTGCAGCTTCACAAGCCCCCGCGACCCCCGAGATCGATACGAACATGAGCCTCGGCGCATTCCAAGGCAAATACACCAGCGAGGACAACGAGAGTTTCTACAAACTTCTGGACAAGCAGAACCAGAAGAGGGCTGGGAAATATGGCTGGCTGTGGAGAGGGAACAAACTGCCGTCGAAGCAAGAGTTGAAACAAATGGAAATCAAGGCAAAGCTGGCGGCCAGCGGGCGGAGCTTGGTGGATGATGGCTTCAGGAAAGACAGGCTTGCCATCCAAGGCAAAGACGACCGGCCCGCTGTTCCTGAGACATGGAAGTCCGACCCCAAAAACGGTCTAATGTTCAACCCGGAGAGCTTCGACGAGGACAGGTCAGACACAGTAGCCTTGCGCTTGCAGGAGATTTCTCGCGCAGGCCCTAAAACGATCGTGTACGAGAATACGAGGATGCCGGGACCGGCCATTGCGAAGGATACCACGAGGCCGCCGTCTCCGACCCTCTCCGCCGTCAGAGACGCAATCGCAGGCCGGAGGAGGCCGGGATATCAGGACTCAACTGCCGCCGGGGGAGACGAGACGCCACGAGTCAATGGATACGCCTTTGTGGATGACGAGGAGCCCGAGCCCGAGCCGTCATCCTCGGCAATGCCTGTCATCAATTTGGGTCCCGGAGATGATACGAAGAATCCCTTCCAGATTCAGGAGCAGGGCAAGCGGGAGAGTCTGCACCACCGCATGGTGGACCGGATAGCCCAGTCCAAGCGCACATCCGCGAGGGTCGGCTTTGTAGGAAAGGTTGAGAAGACACCGGTCCCAAAGTTTCCCAACAGCCCTCGAGTCTCGGGGGGCGGCTTGACGCCCGCTGCTCAACGTCTTTGGAGCCAAGTTGGTGGAGCCAGCCGGGCCTCGAACAGAACCCCATTTCCAGGGACTGTCACGCCCAAGACCAAGTCTTCGGGACTGAAGAACATGACAAAGGGTTGAGAGACCTACAAGAGGCCTATTTTTGAAATAATTTTAGCGTATGATACCCAATAGAATAGAGAGACCGTGAGAACGGAGCTCAGCTGTCGACAAGATCTCAAAAGCCAGAGTCAATATAGAATGTATTCAAGAAGATAACAAACGAAACCGCCTAGACTAAATAATAGGCACTGGTATAGGTTAGCGAAGTTGGCTTGTTCATGCAATTAAGCAGCACAAGCCTCTTAGGACCCCTGGCGATCCCTTGCCTGCCGAGGCCCATAGGGCTGAGGCAAGGATTAATTGCATCATGGATGAGAGCTCCATTAATTTCAGCGCCGAACCTTAGGCACTCACTTCGCGACGACTCCCCCAGGATTTTGGGGTCAAACTGTTTTGACAGTGGCGACTATGGCAGTGATCCCGTCAATCTAGGTACCTCTGTGGCTCAGATGGGGTTCGTGGACTTCGCAATCGACCTGGCAGCGGTGCTGAATGCGTCCCGCTCAGTCGCATCCAAGCACATCGCCCTCAGGGCTCGCCAGGTCGATCGCTATGGGAAGACTTCAAGCATAGTCGCCGCCGTGAGGGGCCAGCAGCGGATACGGCCTCACGATGGGTCTAGGGTCACTCCTTCAAGCACTGGTGGAAACCAGACCTCAACCCCAGTGTCAGAGGTTTCCAAAGAGACTACTCAGCCCTTGGATGCGGACGACGACAGAGGAATGCCGGTCGAGAACTCGTCAAATAACAGCATACTATCGGGTGATGTGTCAGACTCGACAACGACACAGCAAGATCCACTCACTACATTGTTTCCCGGGAGCCAGTACTCCGGACGTCCAGAAGCGCAGCAAGCCCAGGCCGACTCTTCAGGATCTAACACACCGCCGGTGCAGTCACCTGTGAAAACCCTAAAAGTCGATGGGATTGCTTCGGAGGATACTCAGCAAGGGCTGGGAAAGAACCCATCTGCACAGGCCGAAGAACCCAAGCTACCCGAGGGCGTGAATTTTGATGGACTGTTCCGAACCAGCCGCGGGAAAAGGCTCGATCCTCTCTGGAAAGGCACCAAGAGAGATGAGCGGCCCAGGCAGCCTATACCTGGTGCTGTGGATTTCGGACACAGGTCTGGCAACCAGGGGTCAGCCATTCTCCAAGAATTGAGGAACCGAAAGAATGAGGCCGAAACGACCTCGTCGCAAGAAGCGGGAGAGTCACAACCGGAGGCCTCGGCAACGCCAACCCAGCCTGCTGAGGTCGTCCTGCCAGTGGACACCGTTGAGACGCAAGAGCCCAAGGTCGAGGCGAACGCTGCGGCGGCGGTATCAGAAAGTCAACATGCGCCTCAAACGAGTGTCCCAGGCGCCGAATCGTCAACTCTTCAGGAGCAGGGCATTAATCAGTCCAGCCAGCGGGTGACTAAAGAGGACGCTTCAGCCATGGGAGAGCTGCTCGGTACCGCCACAACCGAGTCAAAATACGAACTCAGGGAATCCAAGGTTCCCTCGTCTCGGTTCGGACGTATCTGGAACTACAGCGGGCTGGCCGCTGGCATGTTCGCCGGAGCTGTCAGCGAGAGCTTCAGCAGGGTCACCGGAGGCGGCGGGCAAGGTTCCCTGATGTTGAGCCCGGCGAACATGGAAAGGTTGGTCTCTAAGCTGTCGAAGATGAGGGGCGCAGCTCTCAAGCTGGGCCAGATGATGAGTTTTCAGGACTCGAAGATGCTGCCAGCCCCCATCCAGGAGGTTCTGCAGAGGGTGCAGGACAGAGCAGACTACATGCCGTCGTGGCAAAGGGACCGAGTTTTGGTGTCGAACCTTGGCTCCGAGTGGCGTGACCTGTTCGACGAATTCGAGGAGAAGCCCATTGCAGCCGCATCTATCGGACAGGTCCACCGTGCGACACTGAAGAATGGTGCCAAAGTCGCCGTCAAGATCCAGTTCCCAGGAGTCGCCGAGTCCATCAACTCAGACCTCGACAACCTGGGAATCCTACTAGCAGCTACGAAGTTGCTGCCCAAGGGCCTCTACCTCAACAAGACCATCGACAACGCGCGGACAGAGCTCGGCTGGGAGTGCGACTACGAGAGAGAGGCCAAGTGCGCAGAGAGATACAGAAGCCTGCTGGCCACCGAGGACGACGTCTTCTCCGTCCCCAAGATCTACCACGAGGCCAGCGGGAGACAGGTCCTGACCATGGAGTTCATGGAGGGCGTGGGCGTGACCAGGGTCAAGTCCTTTACGCAGGAGCAGAGGGACTGGATCGGCACGCAGATCCTGCGCCTGTGCCTGCGGGAGATCACCGAGTTCCGCTTCATGCAGACGGACCCGAACTGGACCAACTTCCTCTACGACGCCGGGCGGGACAGGCTCGTCCTGCTCGACTTTGGCGCGTCGAGGGAGTACCCGGACAGGTTCATCGCGCAGTACGTGCGGCTCCTCGCGGCCGCGTCGCGGACGGACCGCGAGGGCGTGCGCGCCCTGAGCGAGCAGCTGGGGTACCTGACCGGCCACGAGAGCAGGACGATGCTGGACGCGCACATCGCCTCGGTGCTGACGCTGGCCGAGCCGTTCCTCGAGTCCGCGCCCGAGGTCTACGACTTCAGGGACCAGACGATCACGGAGAGGGTCAAGGAGCAGATACCCGTCATGGTCAGGGAGAGGCTGGCGCCGCCGCCGGAGGAGACGTACAGCCTGCACCGGAAGCTGAGCGGAGCGTTCTTGCTCTGCGCCAGGCTGGGCAGTAGGGTACGGTGCAGGGAGATGTTCGAGCAGAGCCTGGCTAAATCGGGTTTGCAAGAGAAGCAGGTGTGAAAAAGAAAAAGCTTGCTCCACATCAACAAAATTGAAGCGATAAGGCCCTCTTGTCCTGTCTCTGAAAATAGGGTGGCTAGTATAGACTACGGTAATAAGAAATTCCCGCTCATCAGCCAATCTTGACCATGCGAACTGCTTCCTACGAAAGAATAATGAAAGCAACAGGACAGGGATGCTATGTTGCCAAAGGGTATCAGTGCCTCGCAAACCTGAAGCTCGGCGCCTACTCTCGCGCCCTCCTCTCCATAGGCATTGCCTTTTTCTCCTTGCCCGCAATCTTCTTCCTCTTCTTCTCGATCGCCTTCTCCCTCTGCTTCTCGGACAGGGAGGAGAACTGCTCCGTCAGCAGCTGCTTCTTCTGCTCCGACTTCTTGAGGTAGAAGGGCCTCGACTTGACGCCCTCCCTGACGAGCTCCTTCTCGCGGCGGCGGTGCTCCTCCACGACCGCCCTCTCCTTGTCCTTCCTCTCCCTGGCCTTCTTCCTGCTCTCCATCGACATGTAGGCGCGCTGCAGCTGCTCCTTCTCGGCGGGCGTCTTGGCCTTCTTGATCGCCCCCTTGAGCTTGCGCAGCTCGTCCTCGCGGTACTCGTCCAGGAAGGCGTACGCCCTGCGCACGTGGTCCTCGTCCGCCTTGGTCTTGACCGAGCGCCCCGTCACCGCCGGGTCGAAGCGCGGGTCCCGGTACTGGACCTTCTTCACGGGGATGATCTCGCGCTTGCGGGAGACGGGCCGCTTGGACGACACCTCCTGCGGCGCGTGCTTGCTGCTGCGGGAGGGCGGCTTCTCCTTCTTTGGGCCCTGCTCCCTCGGCCTGGGACCGTCTTCTTCCTCTGCTGCTGCTGCTGCTGCTTCGTCATTGCCGGGCTTTTCACCTTTCTTCTTCCGGCGGCCTGACTGGCCAAGCTTGGCTTGCACTTTGGCCAGGGTCCCAAATGAAATTTTCGAGGCGTCCACAGCAGCGCCTTGCTCCTCATCCTCATCCTCCCCCGATGAGCCGTTGTCGTCCTGAATCCTGGTGAGCACGAGAATTAAGAGAAAAAGGGGACAGGTTCACTGACAGGGCCTTCGGACCCCTCGCTATCCGACCCAGATGCAGACTCCAAATCGTTTCCTTCGACTTCTTCTTCGCTTGGTGCACTGTCGCTCGTCTCAACGCCACCGTCCAGGTCAGGTTCCGGCTCAGCTCTTGCCCGGACTCGCCTTTGCAGCCCGGCCTGAGGAAGCTTGCGTTTCCTTGACTCCATGTTGCCAATTGTGAGCCTTTGAAACTTGGCAGGTGATTTCTGTTTGTGGTTGTAATCGGGGCGGTTTGAGATGAGAGGCAAGATTTTGGCGGGTTGAGGTCAAGGGATAAGTCCATATACCCGCAAACAGGCTCACTTAGCGCTGTCCGCGAAGTACTTCTACTACTATTAGCTTATCGATAAGGCAGCCAACCAGTCCTGAATTTCAGCAGCACCGGACTCTCTCACACGCTCGAGTCGTGCCGACTTCGACTTGCATTCTCTTCCTTCATCACTATCTTGAAACGTCGCCTTTGGAAGCCTTGCGTCGTGTCAATATTGCAATATCCAGACTCATTCATTGATTCTTGCAAATACGACCTATTTTCAATCCACACTTCTAGGCCATCACTCGCTCCTTTTTGAAAGTCCAGGACACTTTGCAGTGGGGCCGACCGGAAAGGGGACTGGAGTTGGAGGTGCACATCTCGAGCCTTTGAGCAAATGTCATCGAGGTGGGATGTCTTAGTCCATAGGCTGCCTCTGACGACTTCACTCACCAAGCGTTTTCCTCGCTCACTTCCTGAGGGCCACCACTTTCAATCATCAGAGCATCACACATTGCAACCACTGCGCGCTTCATCAAGAGCAACACAGTCTCGCAGACAGTTGGCTTCACACTCGCCACCTTCTCTCTCAGTCATCAGTCATACAGCAAATGTCATAAGACCAGCCATGGGCAAGAAGAAGGATAAGAAACGCGCCCGAGAAGCTGCCGCTGCGGCTGCCGCCGCTGCCAATGGCGCAGCCCAAGGGTCGACAGCGAAGGGCGTCGTCTCACAACAACAACGACAACAGACCATGGCTCCTATCCCCGATTCCACACCACAAGGTCACAATCCATTTTCAGCCGAAAGCTCTTCTGGCCCCCCACCTTTCATTCCGCCGTGGTCTGCGGTGAACATGATGACCATGGCCGCAAATGGTCTCAATGGTGGTGCAGGTTACCCAATGCCTCAGATGATGAACGGACTCCAGAACTTCAGCATGCCATTCTTACAACCAAACATGTTTACAAGTCAGCAATTTCCTAACATGTTTGGGATGGGCATGGGAAGCATGGCTTTCAGCACAATGCCGCCGAACATGTTCCCCGGCCAGCCGCCATCACCCGCACAGGGCCAGTACGATGCCGCCCACCCGCCCGACACCAACGGCAGGAGCGGGCGCGCAGCCTCGCCCAGCAGCAACAAGAACGGGCGCGCGGCCATCACGCCGCCGAGCAAGGCGTCAGGCGGCATACCGGACCCGACCCCGCTGTACCTGGCGCGGGCGTCCTTCCTGCCCAAGCGGCGGGCGGAGCCGGGCCCCCTGCTGGTGGTGATCGACCTGAACGGGACGATCCTGTACCGGCCGGACCGGCGCAAGTCGCAGAACTTCCGGCGGCGGCCCCACGCCGACGCGTTCGTGCGGTACTGCGTCGAGACCTTCTGGGTCGTCTTCTGGAGCTCCGCGCGGCCCGAGAACGTGCGGCGCATGGTCGAGGGCCTCGTCGGGCCCGACCTGCTGCCCAACGTCGTCGCCGTCTGGGGCCGCGACCGCTTCGGCCTCACGCCCGAGGACTACAGCGCGCGCACGCAGTGCTACAAGCGGCTCACGACGCTGTGGGCCGACCCCGTCGTCAGGGCGAGCTTCCCCGCCGACAGGCCCGGGTATGAGGGCAGGTGCTGGGACCAGGGCAACACGGTCCTCATCGACGACTCGGTGGAGAAGGCCCGGAGCGAGCCGCACAATGCGATCACCATCCCCGAGTTCACGGGCGACATGAACGAGTCGCTTGATATTCTGCCCAGGGTACACGACTATTTGAACGAATTGTGCTTTCAGGAGGATGTTAGCACATACGGTCGGGCTCATCCATTCAAGATGGCATAGCACCTGCTTGGTAGAAGCATTGATACCCATGGGAGCTGGCATGAATCTTGCCTATGCGAATGAATGTACATCTTTCGGCGGTGCGGCGGGTGCATCTATTACGCGCGTCTGAAACGCATATGGGGGACTGGTATTTGCTTTCAATTCATGTACTTTCTATCCGTGGGGAGCTAGCTTGGTGCGTGTCAAGGCGGAGACGATCAATAGACTATAGAGTCTAGAAGAGCTCGAGGCCCCGTGGCGATGGTATCTCGATCCCGAAGTCATGGTAATTAATCGTACGGCACCCCCTCCATGTTTTCCTAACGTCAAATCGTAAAAAGGCAACGAGTTTACTTGAAGACCTTGCCATCAGCGTGCTTGTACTCCTTGCCGTTGTGCACAACGGGCTTGTCCCAGGTCCACTGAGCCTCGACGTAGGCGCGGTGCTCGGGGTTGGTGGGGTCGAGCTTCTCAAACTCGTAGCTCTCGTAGTCGGGAGCGACGTCGAAGACGGGCAGGTGCTCGTCGCCACGGATGACAAAGGCACCCTCAATAACGGAGTCGTTGTTCTCTCCGTAGACGGAAGCGCAGCCGAACAGGTACTTGCGGGAGGCCTCCAGACGGGTGTTGAAGCCACCAACCAGGTTGTTGGACATGAAGACGAGGGTGAGCTCGTCGTTGTACTTGTACTTGACCTTCCAGATGGAGTACTCCTCGAACTTGCAGTTCTCCCAGAACCACTTCATGGAGTCGGCCTCGTCGTGGTTGGAGTAGTAGCGCTTCCACTCGTCAAGAGCGAAGGTGGCGCGAGGCAGGGCCTCGAGAGGGTGCTTGGGCTTGGGAGCGGGGGCATCCTCCTCGGGGGCGGCCTTGGGCGCCTCCTTCTTGGGAGCGGCCTCCTTCTTGGGCTGCTCAGGCTTCTTGGGGGCGACGTTGGTGAGCTTGGGGGTGTCGAGAAGCTCGAACTTGGGCGCAACGGCCGAGTAGATGGGCTGGTTGTAGACGGTCTCGTACCAACGGGAGACGTTGGGGTTCTGCTGGCGCCACTGCTTGTCGAAGAAGAACTCGAAACCGCGGGCAATGGTACCGACGGCGAACAGGTCAGCCAGCGTGATACGCTCGCCAACGAGGTAGGTGTTGTGCTTGAGGTGCTCCTCAACAGTGGCGATAGCCTTGGCGGCAGCCTTGGAGGCGTCGTCGACGGACTTCTTGTTGTAGGGGTCACGGCCGATCAGAGGGCGGTACCACTTGCCCAGGGAGGGGAGAACCTCGGTCTGATCATGTGCTAGTTAGCAAATAGGCCGAGTAGAGGTTGAAGGATATATGCTTACGTTGAAGTAGCTGGTCCACTTCAGGATGGAGGCATAGTCCTGCTTGGTCTTGCCCAGCAGGGTGGTCTTCTCGTTCTGAGACTGTTTGAAGGGGTCAGCAATTTTGTCCAGGGGGCTGGCGGGGAGGCAGGGGCTCCGGCGGGGTAGCAGCGTACTGTGACTGCGCAGAGTTAGCCAACATGTCTTTTCGCAGAATTGTGAAAATTTAACAGATGAATGGCGGGAATTGCAATCAGATATTGTGTATCAACAGTGAGGTTATCCTTCTTCAGCCAGGGATAACTGTTTGATTTTGAAGGTGTGTTCATCATTGTGCATGTGGGAGAAATCTGCCGTGGGTGGCAAGCGGGGTCAGAGGGCTCGACTTACTGTAGATGGCGATGGCAACGCACTCGTAGAGGACGTAACCGTCGGCGCCCTCGAAGGTAGGGACCTTGCCCAGCTTGTTGAGCTTCAGGTACTCTGGGGTGGGCTTGGCGGTGTCGACGTCGACGATCTCAAGCTCGAGGTCGTTGGCCTTCGCAACGGCGCGGATGGCCGTGCTCCGGGGGTTGTTCTGCGAGAATGTGTCAATTTGGAATCCAGGGTGGAATGCAGCGACATGTTAGAGGGAATCATACCTCGTATGTGTAGAGCTTGCCGAAAGCCATTGTTGCGAATTCTGTCGTCTTCACAAGTCCGAGTTGGTGGTTGAGTCAAAAGAAGGAGGGGTTCTCCTTCCCTCTTTTAAAATTTCATTGCGGGCTTTCAGGCAGGAACGCCTTTGGGCCATGGTGCGGGTGGCTGATTGGCTGGGCGGTTGATGTGGGTCCAAGCTCCCAAACACTGGGCAGGCAGTGATGTCTGAAAATGCTTCCGCTCCGTCGAGCACATGCGCCCAAGGAAAGCACGTGGCAACCAACGACACAGGGGTCATGAGGAGGTAGCAGCACCTCGACAATGGCATCTTTACGACCGGCCCTCGCGCTGAGGAGTCGGTGTCAGTCCTCGGCGCCTCAATGGCAGCAACTTCGGCGGATGATACAGGGCCTGCACCTCAGCCCCCAGGCCAGCAGTGCGAGGAGGCAGCTATCCACAACGACCCCGGGCCCCGATAACACCTTCACCGCCGATGAATTCACAGAAATGAGCATGGGACGCGCCCGCGCTGCTATGGAAGAAATGGGCGAGGGGAACAAGATGTCGGACGGCGGGGGGCTGCTGAAGATGCCTCGACACGCCCGAGCCGTACCGATATCGCCAGCGTACTTCTCGCGACAATCCGAATTCAACGACAACTACCTCACACTCATGAAGTTGATGCGGAATTACGCGCATCTGCCGACCATACCGGCAGACCAGGTGGAAAAGGCGTCCTTCAGGACCTTAAAGGACCTCCGCCTGTCGACTGGCGAACAGGTCAAGGCGGCCGAGTATGCGAAGGCTATGAATCTGGTCAGGCGGCTGCACAAGATCCACCCGTCACTGGCACCTCAGAGCGTCAAGGACGCTGTTGAGAAGTGGAAGCGGAACCTCAACCCCAACTTCAATGCCGCGAAGCCAGTCGAAATCGACAAGTTCGGCAGGGCACTGGGCGTGGGACGGAGGAAGACGTCGACGGCACGCGCGTGGGTGGTAGAAGGCACTGGCGAGGTCCTCATCAATGGAAAGTCGCTGGCAGATGCATTTGGCCGCGTGCACGACCGAGAGAGCGCCATGTGGCCACTCAAGGCTGCGCAGCGCGTGGACAAATACAACGTGTGGGCGCTCGTCGATGGCGGCGGCACGACCGGGCAAGCAGAAGCCCTCACGCTCGCCGTCGCCAAAGCCCTACTCGTGCACGAGCCGGCGCTCAAGCCGGTGCTTCGCCGAGGTAAGTCAATCAGCGCGAACCCTCTGTTTCTAGATGGCAATGATGCTGACACATCTTGTAGCCGGCGTCGTCACTCGGGATCGCAGGACCGTGGAGAGGAAGAAGCACGGCCACCTCAAGGCCAGGAAGAGGCCTGCCTGGGTCAAGCGTTAAACAAGCCAAATGTTCATCTGGGATATGCAATGCGCCTTATTCGCCGAGCCCTGACATTGACATATCTATTCTTGGAGATTCGGCTTGGCTGGAAGGCGGCATCCCATGTGTTCGCATAATGTGAGCCACGGAGGCTGTCCACCCCCATTGACATGGCTGGGCTGTAGCTTCGGGGCGCGCGGCCTTCACCTTGTACATACCGAGCTGTACCACCACGTTTGTAGGGGACTATTCGCATGACGATATCTAGTGCTACTCTAGACTCACCAGGCGGCTAACGACTGGAGTATGTGAGATGATTCAACACGCCGCGCTGCCTAAATCACACCGGAAACGCGAGGCAAGAACTTGGGGTCCCCCTCTCCCAATCTCAGCAGACACGGGCGCTCCCGCTCTTATCAGCCCGAAATATCGTGCTATGCTGTCCAACAGGAAGATAATCTCCGTCCGAGGTTGGGCGCCGTTGGTGCTAACCTGCCCAAACCCATCTCCCTAAACTGGGGCCGTGGCCAGCGTCGCAGTGATCGGACGATCGAGGCATCCCGTCAACCCGTATCGGATAGGCCCCAAGGCCACAAGGTACCATCCCTCGAGGAAAACGTGGTAAGGCGGACGTCTCAGCAAGGAGACCCAGGCCCGCAAAGCGTCCCGTCAACAGCGATCGAGCATACAGAGACATGGGCACAAATAGGGTCGCTGCTTTGTTTGGGGGCAGTTCTAGAAACGCTATGTTTCACAAGGGGCGAGGGCGAGAGAACTGGGCAGTCATGGCCGGCCAAGCGGCCGGGGTAGGTAGGACGTTGACAAATTCCACGAGCCCCAGCAACGACTTGCACATCCCGCTGATATGCACCACCAACTGTCGCAAACTGTCCAGGTCCTGTCTCCGGCCAGAGGCTGGCCAAAGGCCGGCCAAGGCTCAGGCTGAAGGTTCTGCCCAACCACTGCTTGCATGATTCGCCTCCGAAGCCGAGGCCCCCGTCCGTCTCCAGCATTCATGCCGAATTAAAGCAGTGTTAGTCCTGTTTCGACTTTGATACCCGAGTACGTTTCTCGGGGGCTGAGGGAGCGATGCCCGCCGGCTCTGCCAAAAGTGCGCGGAAGCTTAAACGTGTGTCCTGTGGGCCGGGTTTCGTTCCTACAGGTCCCACGAGGGGGCTCAAACAATGCCCCGGGGATTGGAGCGGGAGGTCTGTCGCGCAGGGCCGGCGGCGCACGTGAACAAGCCAGGGACTCCGTATTCGAGCAGATGTGCAATAAGAGTGTCGCAGTACAGATGGGTCCCAGGGCGCAAAACGAGCTGCGAGGGCAATCCGCAAACCCGTCGCAGGCCATGACTTGGTAATAACTAGCAGCTTGTTTGGGACGTGGCATGAATTTGTTCATGCCCGTGCTGGACTAGTCGGGGCGTGTTTGGATGCCAATTGTCCCGATGCAATGTAGTCGGTCCCACGTCTTGCGGCCCATTTGAGGATCATCATCATGCCAGAACCCATGCCGACCTAGCTGCCTAGCCACCGCTACCGAATCCGACCTATCACATTAGGCCGGCGTCCCTGAATATCGCAAGCCGCTCGCTCCTTCATCGCGAATGGATTTGCTGTCAGCCCTGCCTCCACAACCTGGTCTAGCCCTAGCGGTCGTCGGTCGTTCCGTCTGGCGATAGCTTCTTCCCCTCCCTGCAGCCTGCAGCCTGCAGCCTGCAGCCGTGGTTGCGTTCGACGTAGCATGAACTGCTTGCTCTGCGTCCAGACCCCCTCTGCGGTTTTGATTTTTGGGTTTTCTGGTTTTGGTTTTGGATTTGAGCCTTGATCTATAACGGGCAATTTTCAATGGAGACGTCGCCCGCCTCATCCAAGGCGATCAGCCAGTGGTCGCCTCGCCGAGGCTGAAGACGTGGCCGGAGCAACGAACCTGAGACTGATTCGCTGTGGGAAAGTCTGAGCCGGGCAGGCTGGGATCGGTCATTTGCGACAAGTCCACATGCTAAATTTGACGATGCAGCCATTGACGAATCGTGACTCTGGGAATTGCTGCAACTTGGGGGAAGCTACATGCAGCCCACAGCGTCACTTGCGTGCGCAATTGGGAGAAGGCGCGAGTGGGCAGGCAGGTCCCTGCAGCAGCCCAGGCCTGTGACTACCTGGGCATTTTTTTGGTCCCTCTCGTGAACGACGCTGCATTGGCAAAGCGACCCTACGAGCCATCTCTAGCTGCCCATTGGACATGGCATCAGACGAACTTTTCTCCGACTTACTCGTCATCCCCAAGGGCTCCAGCAGATGATAGCTCGTGTCCACAACCAGTGGCCACCATCAACGAAGCCGTTCCTCTGCCCGCACTCTCACCGCATAATTGTGGCCATCTATCTACCAGTACCTAGGCAGTCAATTGGTCCAGAGGACCGACCGCCTGGACTACGTCACTGGTGATGGGCACCGACTCAAGACCCATTGGGATTGATTACCTGCCTGCCTGCCTGCCTGACCGTGCGTGCCGATTGTCACATTGCATGTGCTCGTCAAGTGTCAAGCTCGTCCGAGGAGGTTCTAATGCAGAGATTGCAACGCGCCCGGCCCTTGGCTGGGCAAAAGAACTGCCGCGTCAAATCATGCCGTGGGGCGAGCACTGATGATGCCGTTGTCGCGTCCACACAGGTCATGTACGCCATAGGTCACCGCGCGCTGGAAAGGCTCCTACAGGCCAATGGGGCAACGCGTCTCCATAGCGCCTCTCCCCCGAGCTTCACAAGCTTCGAAGCTCGTGCCTTCAGGCGGTACCTACACAGTACAGACTTTCTCCGGGGGGGGGGGAGGTGGTGGGCTCTGCTCGGCTGGGCTGGATCCTCGACAGGTCCATCCACACAACCCACCTTTCCCGCATTGAGTGGCAGCCAGCCCCATGCCCCAGCCCCAGCCGGCCTCGAGCGTGGCCTCCTGAAGGCCCCGACCACAGCACAGCTCCAGATCCCTTCCCTCCGGAGATCTCAGTGGTTACGTGGGGATTGAAACGAGCAGAAGAAACGCATCGACGTCCACTCTGCCCGACACAACAGCCTCGATGTTGTGTTGCACGCACACCACCTCCAAAACATGCGAGTCAGCCAGCTGAAACAAGGAAGATCCACGATGCTCAAGTACCTGTACCACCCTGGCTCGGCAAATCTGCCACCAGCGGAGCCCTGGGCCTCTGTCGTGATTTGCTGTGCAGGAAAAGGGGTGTGGGCACCTGGGACAGGACCCCTGGCCACGGCGACCCGCCATGCACGGACGTGGATCTGCCTCTCGCAGGCTCTTGACGACATGCCATCCTCCAAAGTCTCTCCCAGCCTTTTCCTCCTCCGTCTCGGATGACATGGTGCAGGGTTTCTCCGGCTGGGCCGTCGACAAAAACTAACAAGAGTACTCGGCTACTTGCCATCCGCTACCTCCCTCGTCCTTTGTTCCGAGCCCACCGCCGTTGTACGCCTCGCCCTAGGGCCATGTCCCCCGTGCTTGTGCGCAGTGCGCAGCACGGGCAACAGCAGCCCCCCGCGAGGACACGCAGCATGACAGCAGAATTTTCAGTACCCAAGACAAGAGACAGCTTCTCCCACCAGGACTTGGGCAATTGGTTGGGCACCGATCGTTGCATACAAGTGTGCCGGAAGCCTCGAATTACAACAAGATTTGTCTAGCGCAGATCTCCGCTGAGGACTATGCTTCTGCTGCCGGGTCCCCGAGCGCCGGAACGCAACTCCATTTCTTCCAGCCCCCGACAACCCAAGACACGCTACCCAACGGTGCTTCTAGCTGGGGCCGGACGCGGTGCAGGTCCTTCTGAGGGCTGTGGCTGGTTAGGCTCCCCTTCCAACCCTCATCAAACCCCAAGGGTTACTTCCTGTCGCGCATCACCGGCGCGGTCCAGGCAGGCACACTGGCACACTGAGCCTTGTCCACGGTCTCGATGGCGCGAGCCCATGTCGCCGTCGCGAGATAGCGTGCCCAGCACATACCTGCGCTCACATCCGCCATGACTTCAACTGATCAAGAGCCGCCCTCCCCAACACGACTAACATGCAGACATGCCACACGCTGGGTCGGTAAGTGCAACACTGCGTGACTAGCAATTGTTGTAGCACCCGATAGCTGTTAGGTCAGCTTGGGCCGGACGGCCACGGGCTCGTGAGCAGCCCCCCAGGGGGCAGGTGGCTGGGGTGATCAGAGCGCCGCTCGAATACACGCAGGACACACTGGGAGAAGTTAAATATAAAACGTGCCAAAGACACTAGCAACTGGGTCTTGACTCAAGGGGGCAACACGCAAGACAGGATCTAGCCAACTCAGCTGATTTAAACTTTATGCTCCGACAAGATTTTTGGTCGTGTACGACCGCCCTCGACGCGGTACGTTCTGCCTTCACCATCCACACCAGGTACTGTCAAGTACTTACTGGCCTGCCTGCTCTCCCTTGCGCTGTTCGACATGGCCCAAATGCCCATGGCTGTCGTACTCCAATAGTCTCGGGGCAGTCAGTATGCTGATGACAGGCCCTTATGATGGAACAGGTCTTGTTGTTCGCCCAAGACTGACTGATCAACCCCACAAGTGCCGGTTGCAAGCGTGAAGCCAGCTCTCGCTGATGGTCAAAGATTGCGCCGAGGCCAATGCTGCTTCTGGTTCGGGCAGACCCCCATCTTCGCGGGCCTTCACAATTGCCATGAACCAAAAGGATGACAGACCCGCGGAGGGTGAGACGTCGCGCTTACCAGAAGCGCCGGAGTGACAAGCCCTGGGGTTTCGGTTTGATGAGCACATAGAACTTTTGCTTTTCCATTCTGATGGATTTGATTGACCAGCATCACCCAGCAAGGTTTGCAACAGGCGCAAGCATGCCATTGGGGACAGGGTAACTCCAGACCACTCAATCGCTCAGTCGCTCACTCACCCTCAACGAGATGCAACTCGTCGACCTCGGATCTAGATCATATCTCGCAGCAGACATATGCCAGGACAAAACCAGGAAATCTTCCCAATCCAACACTGTTTCTGGGTACCCGATACCGTACTTGCCCAGCCTTCTGTGGATGCCCTGCCTCCGCATGAATGAGACTTCACAAGCTCGCAACCGTAGCCCGATTTGTGAGCAAAGCTTCCGGGGATTTGGCGCGCTCCCGACGTGCGCGGGCGGGAAACTCTCACTCTCGTGTATCTTACTTTGGGGCTTGTTGATGACGAAGACAGTGGTAACACGAAAGTTCTATCAGATGGAGCAAACCTTCGATTTCCAGAATGTGTGGCTTGATCTTCCCGAGCCCGACGGGGAGTCAGCGTCTACCTAGTCGATCTTGTCTGCATCATCCCTTCAGAGTGAGCATCTGGCATGTTGGCATCCCCTGCAAAGCAATCGTCCAACCAACTCCCCTGACTGGAAACAGAAATGGCAATAGGCACTGGCTGCAGACTGCGGACCACAATAGTGTCTGTACGGAGTACACAGTACACAACGACTCGGAGAACCGACAATCAAGACACGCAAACATATCGCGATGATTTTCTGATTTGTTTCTTTCCTTTCCAGCCGTCCAGCGCAGCAACATGCCATTACTCCAGCCGGCAAGACCAATTGCTGTCTACAGATACTGCCGAGTGGACGGGGAGACAACGGGTGATTGTTCATGCTGACAGCAGCCTTCACACCGCTACCAAGCGGAGATTACTGCAGCCCAGCTGCATGCCAAAGTGCCCTTCCGTCCATCTACTTATGGAGTAGTTGGCATGTATACAACGTTAATCACTTCCTTCCCCCCTGGAGTGAGGAGCTGCTGGGCGGCCGGGGACTCGCCATCCTCGACCATGGCCCACCCTCGGTCGGGTCGGTGTTGGTCACCCTCGGTCCGGCTGGAAGGACGATGGGAGAGAAGAAAAGCTGTGTCCGTGGCCATGCCCATGCACGCGCACCCCGTACAACCACCAAAGTTCATCCAAAATGATTAGCCAAATGCCCTGCATCATCAACGAGACTGCCGAGCATGCATCTGATGCCGCACAGTGATAATGGAGAAGCTTGGTAAGGTTGGCCGCAACTGTTCGTCACCACCACACATCCCCCCCCCCTTTTCTCCTTCTCCTCCTTCGGCCCCGGACATCCCTTGGCCTCCATTCTTGTCTGGTCTTAGTCGACCAACTTCACCTCACTTCACCTCCTGTTGCAAAGTACCCAGCATCTCCTTTACCACCCAGACCTCCTATACTCTCTCCGTCTGGGTGTCTCGGGCTTTCTTTGTCTGGTTGCATGGACGACAGCTCAGCACAGCCCTCGCCCTCGCCTGCCCATTGGTTTCACGCCGCGGCTCTCCAAACTCCAGCCTCGATCTTCCTTTTCTGTGCCCTCTTCACGTTGACCCCCCTCCCCCTCCCCCTCCCCCTGCCCCAGACGCCGAGACAGGCCGTACATCGTTGACCCAAGTACATTGGTACTTCGGTACACGGGCGCCCACTCTGAGCCGATCGCCACGGGTGGATACTCGCCCAGTACCGGTACCTGAGGTCGCCCACTCTCACACTTGTGACTTGCACCGGCACCCGCACCTGCACTTACTGTATTGCTCCTGCCCCGGCCCCTGCTCACTCGATCGAGCCCTGCTCGAGCTTGCCTCTTGCAGGAGGGCCGAAGTTGGAAACTATACCCCATCACTCTCCTAAGCATACCCTACCCTCCCTGCCTCGACCTCACTTGCCCTCACCCGTACCCATACCTACCTCATCACACGCGGAGACACACACCGTACCCATCACCATCACCATCACCATCACCACATCCAGCTCCACCTCCACCTCCACCTCCTCCCTGCCCCATCTCAACCACCAGCACCTGACCGCGCACCTCATCCCATCTCGACACCCGTCTTTCCTTTTGCCAGGCGTGGCTGGCTGTAGGCGGCCTAGTGCCAGTTCCAGTTCCAGTTTCTGTTTCCTGCTCTGCGTCGTTTGGGCGGCGCCTGGGGCCTCAGTCGTCTTAAGACACGCGCGACTTGTTGGGCCGCGGCCTGGAGGGGGAGGTATCTGCATGACTGAAGCTACTCGCCCGGTGTCCGTGTCCATGTCCATCCATCCATGTGCCTGATCTAGCTGGAAGGCTCTTACGCAGCAGGTCAGGTATCCAGGCGTCTCCGCCTCCAACATCCGGAAACATCTCGCCAGGACTGTTCCCTTGGTGTGCCATTAAGACTCGGCCCAACCACACTACTTGAAGCCGGCCTCTCCCTGCCAGAAAATATTCTGTCAACCCTTCTAGGGCCACACCAAATCTTGCTCCCTCATCTCCCACTGACGCGACCACAACCCCCCCAGGCCGCACAAAGATTAGACGCGGGCAGACAAGGACGCTGTGGCGCATCAACCAGGGCGGATCGGGCTCCAGGGCCATCCGAACTTGTGAACTTGCGACTCTCCTGTGAGACCCTGGTGCGGCTTTCCCACCCAGGAGATCTTCTCAAGTCAGAGCTTGTCATGCGAGGAGATCGATGCGTGGGCCTCCAGGATCCTCCCAGTACAAGACCGCCAGCCGTTTGACAAGTCATCCCCAGCATTTACGCAATTTGCTGCCCGTGTTTTCCTGCAAGCTTGCGGCTCTCCCGCGCCTTTCGCGACATCGTCGTCCCACTTGAACGAGGCATGGTCTTTGCTCCCTCCCCCCCTAGCGCATCCCGACCTCACTGCCTGACCGCGTACTAAACTTCGGGTCGACCCCTCCTACTTGCTGGCCGGGTCTCCATCGAGTCTTTCCCGCCTCTACGACACGAAAGCACACCTGTCATCTGTTGCACCACGGCAACAGAATCGGACAGCACGTATCGTGTCCCAAAATCTGCGTGTCCCGCAGAACACACCGAAGCCCTGTGCGACAGAGGCTCAGCAGGCAGCCCCCCTCCACCGCATTGCGAGAGGAGAGAAAGAGAGAAAAAGGACGTTCCTGGGAGAGACGACGACTGTTAGCCCTGTCCTGTACTCGGCGCGCTTGATCAGGGTCCTCCCTCGTCTGAAAGACCCGCGAAACTCAACCTCCACCGCCCCTCACCGCGGTGCTCTGACTGCAGGCAAACACGTCTCGCAAAACCCCTCACCGTTGCCAGATTCCCGAAGCGACGGTCGCGTGACCGGATCGCGTTCCAAACTGGCCCTGCTGTACTCGTCAGCTCCGTTGCCGGCGCAGCATCGGGAGGGCTCGCCAATCAAGGCATCAAGTACCGACGCGCTCCATCGGGGCATGGACGACAACAACCGCCGCAGGAGGCAGAATGAACCGCCCCTCCAACACACAAACACGAGGTACCACCAGACTGTACAAAACCCGACGCAGCAGGCACACCGCACCATGGCCGGCACCACGACGGAGAGGTACCGACCGGCCCCTCTAAACACGTCTCCCCAGGGCGGCGGTGCCAGGGCGGGCATCGGCGGAGGGTCAACCGGATATGGCGCCTACTACCAAGAGCCCTCGGCGACGGGATTCTCGACTGCCGCTGGTATACACCAGAACACAATGGGCTACCAGCAGTCGGCTGGGAGCTACGGCCAGGACGGCCGGCAAACGCAAAACTTTGCCGGCTCGTATAACCCCACGATGATGTACAATGTACCCCAGGCTACAACGCAGAATCCCGTCTATGATACGCCGGGAAGCTCGTTTGACCTGCGGCAACCCGCAGCTCCTCAGATGATGCCGGCGGATACCACAATGACAGCCCAGTACTTCTCGAACGAGCCAACCAACGCGGCGGCCGCCTCGGCTATGCAACAGCAGCAACCCTCGAGCGCACAGGCGGCGGCGGTCTACCAGCAGGGCCCTTCTGATAGAAATACCATGATGAACTACCCCAGCAATATCGCCGGCATGCAGACCATGGGGGCTCAGGCGACTCCAACTGCGCCGCCTGACGTGAGCATGGAAGACTCGTCGGAATACCCAGGGGGAGCCGACCTCAACCAGGCGTATACCCAGTATCAGGACGCTCTCAAGGAGATTTTCAAGAACATCAGGGATGGGGCGCTGGTGACAGCCAGTGAATCACTACTGAGTGTTTCCGAGTGGCTGCTTTCCCACGTCCACGAGCTCGGTAAGGATGACATGCGCCTTGCGACCCATTTGGGCGAAACCTGCCCCACACTCCTCTTTCTGGCCTATTTGGGGGCACTTGCGATACACCCCTGACCTGACGCTTGGCTGACTGACCGTTTTTATCGCACTTTGCAGGTCTCACGTCTGACGATCAAAACCTGCACAGTGACAGGATCAAGCTGTGGAACGACTTCAACCACGCCTGGCTGGCTACTTTTCAGGCACAGAAGGAACTCATGGAATCGGGCCGCTCGCTCGGGAGGGGACAGACTCTGATCACATTGGAAGGGCTCAAGAAGCTGGGCGATGAACTTATCCGGCTTTGCGATAGCATTGAAAGGCACGGTCTTGTTGACTACCAATATGGAGTCTGGGAGGAACAGATCACAGAGAGTAGGTCAACCACGCCCCCGGTGGAGCTCGGAATCTCCCACGCGCTGACACTGGAGTAAACAGTCATGCTCGAGTGTCACGATCTCTACTCGCCCGACGATGCGGCTGGGGCGCCGGCCGCGGCCGGGTCCAGTCGATAAACCTGCAAACGTACATATACCACTCCATGTCTAGCGCCAATACACGGAGTTGCGCTGCCACATATCATGGGCTTCCCAACATTGGTTGTTATTCGCGCGTCTTGGTTTTCTTTAATTCTCAGTGACTGGTCGACTGAGAACTCGTCCTCTGGGACTGGGCGGACGCATGGGGTGGGCTCTACTCGTTCTGATATTTGTGGGACCAGGACTTGTTTTCGGCGAAGGGTTCGGACTGGGGCGAGGTGGGCGGCCAAAGGTTGGAAATGGTTTCCCTATTTAGAAGGCGTCCGGCAGCTGGCATGGTCAACAGGACTTGTTCGGGGTGTGGAACAATGGGTACGACAGAGAACAACACTCCGACGACAAAACGCGAAAAACCAGAAAAGCGACAAAACAGGCCTCAAACAGAAATCGCGCATAGATTGTCGAGGGCCCCCACGGGCGGTAACATCACGGTTGCCAAGTGTACGAATACTGTCTCTTCTCTTTTCACTGCCTTGTCTCATGCTACTGGAAAACAAAAATTGATGGGGGGTTGGGCGGGAAATCGTGGCCAGGGCGACCACGTAGATGGATGGACCAAGGCGAGAGCTGTGGGACCGGCATGATATTCTTTTTTTGCTTTTTTTTTTTTACGTCTGTTGTTCTGGTCTTTTGGTGCGACTTGTTTTGGGGGACACCCTGCCTCCAGAAAAGGAGGCAAGCTGGGGGACGGGGGGCATTCTGTGACGTTGTTCCTGTACATAGATTTGTACTTTGTACTTCTGTTTGTCCCTGGCCTACCCCTCGTGTATCTGTGATGCCGGGGGAAGTGGAGGAGCTGCCAGGCTGCAATGGTCATGGGACATGGTCAGGCGGGTGGAGGGGAGGTCACAGCCAAGGGCGCGCTGTCGAGCATGCTGTAAGGAGCGCGGATGGGGGTCGACTGCAAAATTACAAATTGTACTATGATCGCCTCTACCAGAACCTGGATGATTACGAGCGCAGACGCGAAATTGGGGGGCCCCCACACCCCATATCTCTCCCAGCCTAGCAGGGAGCCAAAGGAGCCAGCCTATCGTGGTGATAGATATGTCTGCCTAGGGCTGAGGCGGGCGTGTCTGGCTGGCGAAGGACCCCTTGACCTGGGTTGGGTGATGGGTGGTTGTGGCCGCGATCAGGCGATCAGACGATCCGCCCGCCTCGCATGCTGATCCCTCCCTCGAGACCCGGGCTGGGAGAGGGAGAGGGGCCGCAAAAGGTTCGGCACGAACCACGAGCCCACGAACCACCACCAACACACGGACGTTTTGATAAGGGGCCGGGGTTGTAAACCACATCACCCCCGACCCCCTACCCCATGTTTGAGGAGGAGACCTTGTTTCTCTCCCTCACGCGATTGTATGTATGTATATATATATATATGTATGTATAGATCACAAGATAGAAATATATATATATACATATATATATCACCTGGACACGGAATGACTACTATATATATATAGATGGAGGCTCTGAGCCCTGAGACAGGACAATAACGGGTGGGGGCCCGTGACGAGAGACCCTGCAGGATCCGCGATCATGAGGCACGCGCGGCAGACTTGCAAGGGGACGTTGTTAGGAATTGCTATGGACCGGGTGAGGGGTGTTTGGGCTGGGAAGGAAGGGCAGGGAGGTTGGGCGTGTGTGTATTGAAGCAAGGAAGGTGAGAAAAGAAAGAGAGAAAAAAAGCAATCTGGACGAGCAGATGGCACTGCATTGTTGGCTGAGGTTATTGCCGAGACAGACAGACAGACAGCCAGCCCTTGACTAGCAGCAGCAGCAGCACCGGCAGCAGCGTACATGTATGTACATATGTCGTACCTTGGGTAGGGGGGGACAGGGAAGTGCCCTACCAGCGTGCTGGGACACGGAGAGGGAGGGTAAAGGGGGGGAGGGGTGGGTGGTGGTGGTGGGGAGCAGCTCGAAGGGTCGGCCGGTGGATGGCCAGGGCTGGATCTGGATGTGGAGCTGGAGCTGGAGCTGGAGCTGTTTTATGCAGGAGCTGGGGCAGCTGGGTCCCTTCCTTGTCTTGTGGCGGCCGGCCGTGTCGATAAGCGAGCGAGGGAGGCTCACTTGCTCACTTGGGTTTTTTTCCCTTCTAAACTTGTCTTGTCTCGTCGCCGTGTGAGGAGGGCTCTGGATGTGGCGGGGAGGGTCTCAGCTTGGCGAGCAGCAGCGGCAGTAGTAGTTGTAGTAGCAGTGTTTGTGCTGTGCTGTGCTGTGCTGTGTTGTGTTGTGCATCTGCTGGTTGCCGTGGCTGTTTGTTCCCGAGCGTACGTTTCGTTTGCTCTCTCTCTCTCTCTCTTACACACCCACATAGGTCAGGTCTCTCTAGTGTACCAGGCATGCGACTGCCATCTTGCAGGCTGCACGCTACACGATGCTGTAGTCAGTCCCCATTTGTACACCGTACCGCGGAACCCAAGGTACCCAGGTTCACCAGGGGCTGCACTGACCTGAGTGCCAGACCGGCCGGCCTCGTGTCCAGGTCCTGCAAGACATGGATATCTTGTCTACAGCCCGGGCGTGCTGAACCCTTGGCCGTCCAGACCGCGGGAGCTAACGCGGGCAGGAGCGACCACTGAGGGCCCGGGTGGAGAGACAATTGAATTGTCAATGCGACGTGTGGTTTTGACGACATGCCATGCCCCAATGACCCCCATGACTATGACCCCCATGCCCCAGGTGCCTCAGAGAGATCATAGCAGACATCACCTGGCCCTCCTCGCCGGCCCTGGGCTGACCACGATGGGCTTCACCGGTCCCCACTCTTCAAGGTTTCCACTTGCCAGATCATGATACATGGTCCATGTACTGTGTCGTACCCTACCTACCCTACATCCAGCCTCAGCGTCGCTATCCTCACGTCAAGACACGACACAAGTACGCTGCCTACCTGCCTACCTGCCTAGGCTGGCGGTAGTCCAGCCCAGTCGACAGCAAAGGGGCGACGCCCAGGGACGCAGGAGTCGAGTCAATTGGCTGCCCCTTGCCCTTGCCCTTCCTTCCCCTTTCCATGTGAAGGGGTGCTGTTGTACCAGATACCGGGCGATCGGTCCCATCCTTTGCGCTGGTCACGAATCGAATCGGACAACACAAACCCGCAGCTCAGCATCTGGGAAGCCCTGGCCTGCCACATGCCTCGCAGCCCCAACCAGAGACGGCATGGCTCCAGCATGGCGTCCGGCATCGCTATCATTGGAGCCCTCGCATACAACATGGGGGCGGCAGGCTGGAGGGTGCCCTGCAGCTGCAGCCGCCCGCTTTCTGGCTCCTCCCAGTCCCAGGCCTGGCATGGGCTGGCACCTGGCACCTGGCAGCCCCGAGACTGGGGGACACTGCGACTCTGCGGCCGCACGCTTCGCTCCGCCAGGCTGGCAGGCTGGCTGGCTGGCAGGCTGGGGCAACCAGACCACGGCCCGGCCAAGCCAGCAGGGAGAACCAAGCAACCAAGATCCCATCTGCAGCTGGCCCTGCCGTCGATCTCGGGACTTTCCTTCTTGATGATCCTGCTCGCCCTCAGCCCAGTCGCAAGGACAGGGGACCTTTGGGGACACCACTTTTCTCCTGCCACAGTACCGAGTACCACAGTACAGCACTTGTTTCTCCATCCAAGCTTTGTCGGGCAGGGATGGGTCTGGGGCAAGCGCTTTCTGCTGGGTCTACTACCACACACGACGTGCACTCGCTCATAGCCGTCTTCTCGCTACCTGCCTTCAAACCATGCCGCAACTTGTCCCGAAATCCGGGGCTAGATTCAGTAGGAGGGTCCAACTAACTGCCAAAAGCCAAGCCACAATCTCTCGTTGTCGCTGGAAAGTCCCTTGCGCCCTCGCTGTAAGCCAGGGTCGGACGACTGTGGATCTCTGAATGAGGGTGTTGGGGCAGAATCATGGCATGACGCTGTCGAGCAGCCCCTGTCTCGCTAAACTTCCCTCCGCAGAAAAAAAAAACCCACTCTGGAAGTCGGTGTGTGTCCCTGTCACATCACTCACGACGCAAACAAGCCTCACCGGTCAAGAAAGCCTTAACTTTACCAGCGCTCTGGTCACCGACGGGGCGGCCACTGCACGCGCTCCACAAGGTACATGATCATCAGTTGACCTGCCTCCGAATTGGAGACTTGTCAGAGCTCGCCGACCCGATCCGCTGGGGCCAACGCCACAGGTGAAAGCGAGGTTCTTTTCTCGAGTCTTTCTCGCGCTGGGGCAGGGGCCACCGCACATGTACCCCGTAAGTATTCAAGGGGGGGTCTGGCGCTGTTGAATTGTCACATTCTCCTTCTCACATCCTCTCTCTCTGACCCCAGCGTGTGGCTTGAGGCGCGGCGCCCTGTGGCTTTCCACGCATCTTATTAGCTGCCGGCGTTCAAGGGCTTCAAATGCAACCAGCAGACGTGATGAGTCCTGCCTGCTGCTGCGGCGAAGTCCTCTTTCCTCAGACGACTATGCAAAGCCAAGTCTTTCAGTATTGATCTGGCACCCCTAAGCCTGCGATACCGGTTTTCGCGCGCAACATCAGGTCATGATATGGCGTTTCTCAGCAGTATTATGCGATGAAGACCCAGCCTGGGCCGCCACAAGCGATCGTGCAAACACGGAACATGCCGCCCTACTTCGCGGCAACCGGGAGGATTTTCTGAAGCACATTACCTTGTGGCAGGGACATCCACAGGCTTACAGCGCCTTGGGTGGAGTCTGTTGGATTTGTACAAACCCTTCATGAAGGGCCGGCTCCTGTAACTGCCCCGGAGGCAGCGTGGTCGGCCCTGAATGAAGACTGGTCTTCAAAGAACACCACCACCACCACCCCGGCCAGCATCAGTTTCTTCAGCAAGTTACTGCTCCCCATGTCTCACGAGAGGGACAGCTTGCTCACCGGCTTCGAATGCCTGAAACGGCCCAACTCCTGCGCTGCAGCAATCCTCTTCCATGGACGGGGGGGCATCACAACGTCCCGACCGGTTTTCGTACACGCTGTAGAGGCATGTGGGCTCTAGACCCCCACGCTCTCAGTCCTGGTCTTGTCACAGTACTTCGACGGTGGACCTGCAGCCTCATCTGCCCCGTTTTCACAAGTCAGATGTACCGGTACGGTAGTATTCCTTCTCATCCAACCCACCTGCCAGGGGGAGGGCACGCCCAGGGGACATGCACGCTCCCGTGGAGAGACCTACATGAGACCCAGTTCGCTTGCGTCTTGCATGCGTCGCATGCGATTCCTCGCAGCAATCACAGCGGGAATCTTCGAGGGCCCCTCCTGCCCGAGCGGAGGCTGTCCACGAGACCCAATCTTGGCTCTCGCCCTGCCTCCGACCATGGCTCGGCCCGTTTAGATTCAGATCTGGCATGGTCCAGGTCGTTGCGCCCCTCGCGGATCTGGGGAAAAGGGTGGATGTGTCCCTCCCTGTCAGCGGTTGGCCGATCGACGCTGCAAAGCCCCAGGCTGCCCAATACCCTGGGATCAACCAGCTGGTGGGTGTCTACTCTGCAGATGCAATGTTGCATTGATCCCTTGACTCTCTGCATGGCTCGTCGTGGCTGCGCTCACATCTGTGGCAAGAGCAACGTTCAGATGGTCCTTGTGAGTGCCCACCCACCCCCCTTACATTGCGGTCTCAGGGGGCGATCAATTCTACTGCCTGGTCGCCCACACCCACGGTGTGCAAGGTAAGCCGCAGCGTCCACCACAGCAACCCTGGCAGGAGACCCAGCCTTTCCGCATAGAGAGAGCATGGCCTGATGGGCACGCCTGGACGCCTTCCTTCCTCAGCTGGCGCCGACGCGGCGAGGCTCTGGGGTTGGGCTCCAAGCTGCCACACTCCACGATGGCGTCGGAGCACCCGCCAGCACCCTCATGTTTTGGTGTTGATGTTCATACCGTGGGCCCCTTGCTGCAGGTGGGTAGTTGGGCAGAAACCATGGCCAGGCCCCCATGGATCCATCTTACCGTGTGCGTCTCGCACATGAATTCGTCCAATCTCCCGTGTACTATTGACAGACAGACACACTACTTCCTGAGAGACCAGTGATTGAGCTATTCCTCTGGATCTTGAACAGGAGGATTCTCGAGGATTTCATAAACACAAACGGACCGGTGGAGCAAAGGGGTATAGTGTAAGTAAGGGACTGGATCCCAAAGTCCACCACCGGTAACCCCCTGACTCGATCGAACTCACTCGTCCCGTTGTGTATGATGCTTTTGTCTTCATGTCTGCATTCCCCATGAACCAGATAACGCAGGCAATTAAAGCCAGAGGCACCCAGGTGATCCACATTAGCGAGGCCGAATACAAACACGTCCGAACATGTCTAAACGCAGGGCCTTTTTGGGGGGCTGACTGCCACACTGATGAAGAGTGCTCAACCCCCTGAAGTGGAGACACTGTGCAGAAAAAGCATGGCCTGCGTTGCGCCCAACACACCCACATGCCCCCCGAGAGGGTATATCAGAGGCCACGGATCCCCCTCGCATGGCGTTTTGGAAATATCCCGACTCTAGCCATGCACTGCCGACGGCCGCATGTATGGTAACACAGGCAAAAACAAAAAGGGGGGGACTGACTGTACAACTGAGATGGGCACTCACTCACTCACTCAAACCTGTGGCATGGCATGATGGCATGGGTGTCCGAAAGTTGCGATTGGCAGGTAGGTATTTCGCTTGCTCCGCCCACCTCATCAACCCCCCAGCTCCAGCTGTGCGCCGGACCCTCTACTCCTGCCGACAGACAGCCCGCCTGGCTCGACGGCCGCCGCGGGCGCGCGTGCTTCAGCTGCTTCTCAAACATACGAGAGACTATTATTTCTCTCATGGGGTCAGTAGCCGAGCCCGCAAACCTGCGACACGGCTGGCTAGCAGAGGTCTTGGGGTGGGAAATAGCTGAGATAGATGTAGGGAGGTTTCTTGACGAGACGAGACAGCCCAGCCAGCAGGCGAGGGACCTAAGACGCTTGATCCATCCTGTTGCAATGCTGTTTGTCCTTTGGGCGGACGGGCGTGCCGGGTCTTTCGGGATTGTCTTTTTTCATCATTCTACCTCTTCTCAGACTCTTAGAGAAGCGCTGCTATCTAGGGGCTTTATGGCCGTGGTGCTCGTCGTGCTGAGCAGCAGCTGCAACAACTACTGGTCTGGCTGCTGCGTGAGTGGTAGGTAGGTGGGTGGGTGGGTCTCCCACCGCGATCGGTAATAAGCAAGTAAGTCACTGCTGCTACGAGAACCACACGACGCCGAGGTGGTGTCGCCACGTGGATAGACAATTGAACATACATCATTACCTGAGCGGCCCTCATGATGGGTCACCAACTATTCATGATCCTCTCTTGCCTGATTCCTCGTACCTGCTTGTGTCTGTCAACTGGACAATGTCGCCCTCTGGGGCTGCAAGAGTAACTAACTATAACTAACCAACTAACTAACATAGAATACGAACGACCCAGGGGCGTTTTAAACTAACCCCTGTACCAACATCATCCATCGCCAAAGCTCCCAAGGAGCTCATCCATAACCACCCTCGCTCGACAGGTGAGTGGCAGCTGTGTCACATTGCCATCCCCGTTACGTGCTCTCGTCTCGACGCAGGTAGGCCTCGACTCGCCATGGAGGGAAAACCGCGGGTCATTCTGATACACACCCACCCACACAGCCACAACCGAGGCCGGCGCGGCGGGTTTGCATATACACACCGCCTGCCTGCCGTCGTCTGCTGCTGCGGGTCGCGATATCCCCGCGTGCCTTGGGTATGGAGGAGGCGGTTGTTGGTTTTGTCGTGTTTACATCGGGCTTGATGAGCCCGCCCGCCCGCCATCTTGAGGCTGGATGACTTACTGACTGACTCTTCGTCGTTCGTGGGGAGGCAGGCGTCGGAACTAACTAACTAACGCGATGACGGAGACGCACACGTCCTGCTCATCACAGGTGACGACCATGCCGGCTAGAACCTGCGCGGTGAACGGCGCAGGGCTGCTGGCGGGGGCTTTTTCGCTGCGGTCTTGGTTCGGGAGGCTAAGATAAACAACCTCCTCATCCTCCCGTTTATCACCGTGTGGGTGAGTGTCGTGCGCCGTGCGCCGAGGTCCCCTCCCTCCCTCCCTCCCCGGCGCGCACCACCTAGCTGTCGAAGGGACGGGGAGATGGATGCGTGACATGACCAGCCAGCCCCCATCGTGACGTGAACCAGACAGGCGGTCTTGGGAACCTTGATGCGCGAGAGCGCCGGTGCTGTTCACACCCGCGCGCCCGCTTGCTGGCTGGCTGGCTGCTTTCTGGCTGCTGGTCCCGACTTCCATCCCGCAGCCAGGAGCGAGGAGGCAGGTGGTCGTGGGCGCCATCGGGGTCCGGACTATCTCGCCGCCTGGTGGCGAAGAGGTCCTCGCTGGCATTGTCGTGCGCTTTGCCGTTCTAGACTCGAGACCGGAGCGAGTATACTTGATCTCTCACATACACGCATCTATCTATCTGTCCGCCCCCCCCTCCCCCTTCATCCAGGCTCCGCCGCGTAGTTTCGTAAGGTGCTGCACACAAAAGTATCACCATCGCTTGCACATGTCCCAGCAATGGTAAACCAGTCGAGCAAGCTACAGACCGGGGGAGGCTCCCGCCTCACAATGTCCTCGGTTCCCTCAACGTATGTATAAACACTGATTTATGTATTCATCACCCAACGCATCATCCATCTGTTCTCCTGCAAGCTTCCAACCAACAAACAAGTCAGCACGTGAGTGAATAATGTCGCTTTATTATATACACCCCAGTGGCGACTATTGCCACAGGCGGTGCCGGAGTGGGATGTTGTCCACTTGTATAGATGAGTTAATGTTACAACGCGCTGATGTGGTATTGACACTGCCCTGTTTTCTGTGGTTTCCAAGCTGAGATTTCTTCGTGGCCCAGCGTATTCTATTTCAAAGCAAGAGCCCTTCCCCCCCCCTCCTGCTTCTCCGGCATCACAGCCTGCTTACTCGCTCACTCCCTCTTCTGCTTCTCCTCCGCCTTGTCCTCGCCCGCCCCACGGACATCATCCTCCTCCTCCTCCAGGTCCCGCTCGATCTCCTCGGCCTCGGTGAGGTGCCCGTCGTCGATCCTGGGCGGGCGGAACCCCCCCGCGGGCGGCTCGCCGCCGCTCATCTGGTACTCCATGAGCCTGCTGAAGGCGCTCTCCGGGTCGGCGCTCAGCGTGCTGTAGCTGCCGATCTCGGCGACGGTGCCCTCGCTCGACAGGACGATGATCTGGTCGGACCGCTTGATGGTCGACAGGCGGTGCGCGATCGAGATGGTCGTGTTGCGGCCCTTGAGCAGCTCCCCGAGCGCCGCGTTCACGAGCGTCTCCGACTCGGCGTCCAGCGCGCTCGTCGCCTCGTCCAGGATCAGGATGTCCGGGTCCTTGAGCAGGGCGCGCTGGTTTTTTTTTTGTCAGCAGGCCGGCCTTTTTTTACTACTATTGCGGGAAGGGGGGGGTGGTGGTGGAGGGTTGAGAGGGCGGTGTTGCGGGAGGTGCTTTCGCTGACGGTTCGGAGCCGTCCCACAAGTGTGATTGGGAGAATTTGAAAAAAATAAAATAAAACTGGAATAATGAGAACTTACAGCAATCGCGAGTCTCTGCTTCTGACCTCCAGAAAGCTGGGCACCCCGAGCGCCCACCTGCGTCTCGAGGCCGTCTGGGAAGTCGCTGATGAAGCCGCAGTTGGCCTTCCTCGCGGCAGCGACAATCTCGGCGCGCGTCGCCTGGGGCTTCCCGTACGCGATGTTCTCGGCCACGGTGCCGGAGAACAGGACGGGCTCCTGGGCGACCATGCCTATGCGCCGCCGCAGGGACTTGACGTTGAGGTCGTTGATGTTCTCGCCGTTGATGGTGATGGCGCCCTCGGTGGGGTTGTAGAAGCGGAGGAGGAGGGAGGCCACGGTCGACTTGCCACCTCCCGACGGGCCCACGATACACACGTTGGAGCCGGACGGGATGTCGAAGTTCAGGCCCCTGAAGATGGTGACTGCCGGCCTGGTGGGGTAGGCGAAGCTGACGTTGTGGAACCTGATGGGTCCTTGTGCTGAGATGACCTTCTTTCCCACGGTGGCTGGGATCGTGGGGTGTCTGTCTTGCAGCTCGAAGAGCCGCGAGGCCGCCCCGACCCCTTTCATGAGCTCCGAGTAGAACCCTGACACTCCGAACAGGCTGGATCCTGCGAAGACGGTGTACATCATGAATGATGTCAAGTCACCCAGTGACATTGCCCCGGATCTCACGAGGTTGCCGCCGACAATAAGCAAGGCGAGAATTGTCATGTTCCCCGCCCAGCCCGTTGAGCCGTAGAAAGTAGCCGCTATTATCGACTCGCGGCGACCAAGGGCAAATATCTTGCGCACCTGACGGTTGTAGCGGCCAATCTCCTGGATCTCGCCAGCAAAGGCTTGGCTGGTCTTGATGTTGCCCAATCTCTCCTCTGCGATCTTTGTCAGGGTTCCCAGGTTCTTCTGGATCTGCCGGCTGATGTTGCGTATGGTACGCCCGTAGAAGAAGGCCCCAACAGCGATCGGGGGGAACATGAGCAGTATGACCGAGGTCAGTTGAGGGCTCAACCACGCCATGGCACAGAAACCGGTTGCGCCACTCACAATGGCCCGCAGGCCATCGGAGATGTTCTGGGTGATGCTCTTGCCGACGATGACGGTGTCGGAGCTCAGGCGGGATATCAGGTCGCCCACGCGGTTGGCATCGAAGAACTCTGCGTCCTGGACATATGTTCTCCGGTACAGCTGGGTCCTGAGCCGCGCGACGACCCTCTCGCCGACAATGCGGAGGAGGACGACACGCCCAAAGTTGGCCAGAGCGCCGAGGGTCATGAAAGCGGCGAAGCCCAGAAAGAACTGGTTCAGGGTGAGGCCCAGGACAGTGGGGGCGTCCTTGCTTGAGGTAGCGATATCCAGGATGCGGCCGACCGAGAAGGGGATGGACATGGTGACGGCCGAAGAGATGAGGAGGAAGACGCAGGATATTCCTAGCCATTTCACCTCGGGCCTGGCGATCTTGACGAGCCGAACGATCTCAGCCCAGCCGCCCTGGCCCGAGCTCTTGCCCTCCTTAGAGAGGCGCGCTCTCATGTTGAGCTGGGCGGCCTGTTTGGCACGCTCGCTCTGTTGGAAGCCATGTTGTTCGGGGCTGTCTTCCTGTTCCTGGTGGGAGAGCTGCTTCCCCTGCTCGCCCTCGCCCTCGCCCTCGCCCTCGCCCTCCTTCTCTGCGGCATCCTGCTTCAGCTGCGTCGTCACGCTGGCCCTCTCGCGGGATTGCTGCCATAACACTGTCGCCGTGGAGAAACCGCGAGGGGTTGCCCACGACGAGAATCCTTGGGGAGGCTGGGTCGCTGGACGTGCGAATGCGCTGCTGAAGACCTGCGCCGCGATGCCCGAGGCTGCGGGCGCAGGTGCTGCTGACGAGGCGAGGAGGGATCGGCCGGACGAGAAGGGGCGGGCGGGGGTGGTCAAGACGTGTGGTCGGCGTGAACACGGAGGGGAGAGGTTCGGTATGGGTGCGGCGAGCACCGACGGGGCACAGACAGGGTCCAGACGGGGGCGGGCGCAGGCCAAGGTTCGTGGTGGGAGCAGCTCAAGAGCGTGGTAAGCTCTGCGAGCTGCTGCTCCCGAAACCATTGCGACGGGATGGCTCGGGGGGGTCGGGGACTAGCTGTCGGTAGTTGTGCTTGTGATGCGACTCATGATCATTGCTGTGTGTGCTGAGGAAGGCCGCCCATGGTCCCGAGGGGTGTCGGGACTGTTTTCAACGTTGACGTTGACGTTGACGTTGACGTTGGATTAAGTAAGAAAGACCGCGCCGGTTCGGACACGGTCGATTGCCTAAAGTTTTGCCCGCGCTTCGGCTCATTAACGCTCGTCATTGAGTGGGGCTCCGCTACGGTGCAGTACAATTACTGCCAACCATGCCCGGAACCAGCCGCTAGTCCGCTCGCCTGTGACCACCGTGCCTTACTCCCGAGGTCCGTACAGTTGGTTATTTTACCGTGGAGAATCCGTGCTCATATATAGACGTGAAGTCATGGGGGGCAGCAAGGCAAAAGAACACTAATAAACACGATGGCGCGCAGTTCTATTAGCAGAGTTGAGTAGCTCAAGGAGATTATTGTCACCCTGCTACACAGGTGTGCTTGTCGAGCCTGCTTAAGTGTCTGCCACAGCCAGATGCAATCCCAACATCTCTCTTCACATCATGATAAGTATGGGCTCGGGGCGCAATACAACCTTCCAATTAGCACATTCAACTAAGTTATCCTGATATGGAGAAGTTCGATTCTTCTGGCCTTTCTTGTCAAAATAACTGCGGGTTTGCCACCCCCTGGAAGCTTTGCAAAAGTCTCCAGGAAGACAGCATATTATGCTAATTTCGAACTATCAAGCGGCATCCTGATCTCGCTCAGTATATCAATTTGCACAACCTTGCAACTGATCGACATCTCTCTTCCAAGAAACAGTCCGAGTGGGATGTGGGAACTGTCATGTGCTATATACTGCACCATTCCAGATCCTCCCAACAACTGTGGGTGATTTGAGCATTTTTTTGATGGCTTGCCTGAAGTAGACTGGAGAAGCATTCTATCATCTTCAAGGAGATGAAATCCCACATGTGCACATGTGCTGACCTACACCTCGCCCATTAGTCTCTGCAAAGCTGGTCCTCCTTGCCGAAGCTGATGCAAAATGATTCCACGACAGGCACCTTCTGGTAGTTGGTGCTCCGTGGGTGATAAAAGGTCTCCTCGATGATGATGATGATGATTAATCATGGTGGATATGGGTGATTCCAACTGGCTCAAGTAACAAGTTCGAAAATGCTGTGTTGCCCCTTGCAACAGCAAAAATGATGTTCCAGGAGTACCTCGCCATCTGGAACATTTCCACCCAATGCCTTCGATATCCGAGAAGCTCATGGTAAGGGGAAAAGTGCAGGTGATTTTGGTCTCATGGCCTATTCGCATCCTAGGCTCGGTTTGGCCCCGCGTGAAGCCTCACTGACGGATCATGTCGTCAATGTTCGGGTCTATGCCGTCCTCGCCGAGATCTGGGATTTCGTCGGCGGAATCGATCTTGCGTCTCTTGTTGGCACCGCTCGTCCCGTTCGTGGCAACCGGCACAGCCGAATACTGCGAGGCCAGACTCGAGAGCGTCTCGAGACCTGTGGGCTGCGGGGCTGGGGCAACGGCGGGCTCCCGTGCTGGGACCGGCTCTTGCGCCGGCACAGGCTCGAATGAATCCGTCTCCTGAGCGTTGTACATGTCGGCGTCATCCTCGATGGGTGGGGGTGTCAAGGCCTCAACCTCGGGCCTGTCGGGCTCAGGAACAGGACTGGCTGATTGGCCATCACGGTTGGTAGGTGTCTGGTCTGCCAGGCCTCGCATGATGGCCATCTCAACATCGGCCTTCTTCTGCTCGATGCTCGACTTCTTTTCTCCGAGGTCCGCCAACTGCTTCTCCTCGGCTTCGAGGCTGGCCTTGTTCGTCTCGAGAAGCTTCTCCAGGGCCCCGATGAGCTCACCCCTCGCCTTGACGCACTCGGCAACAGCACCCTCGGCCGTGGCAAGGCTCTTGAGCAACCCGTTCAGGCGGGCCGCATAAACCGGCGCAGATGGGGTTGGTTGGTTGGGGTCTGTGTTTTTGGTGTATTCCTGCTCGGCTGTGGTAGTCTTGGCCTTCAGGGAAAGTGCCAGCTTGGAAACATTCTGTGCTGCTGTGACAAGAGGTGCGAGCTCAGATGGCACGGCTGGGCCGCCGCCTATGCTGGAGTTACCCAGTCCGGTCTTACCAACGCCTCTGGCCTTGTCAAGGTCTGCAAGCTACGTCAGAAATATTTTAAAAGGCAACGGAGAGACCTGGTCATGACTCACCGTCGATGCGAGCTTCAATAGCACTCTGAATTGGCGGCTCGAAGACTGCCCGATCCCTCCACACCTCAACGACACGACGGACTTTGTTCTGCACGTCAGGAGTCGCTCCCTTATACGCAACTGCGGCGGCCTCTGCGATTATTGGCGCAAATGCCAACGGGAAATCGACCTTGTTTCGCGCTTTTGACTGCTGGGTGACCTCTGTGAGAAGAATGGTTAGTCGGGTGAACACACCCTCGTGATGACCTTATGTGGGTTGAACACAGAGGTTCACTATTGGTTGAAACCTACCATTGGCAAGGTAGATCAAATTGAGTCGTCGGGTGCTGGGAGACTCCTTCAACTTCTGAAGCCAAATTTGGACAGTGCGGTCGGCATGTCGCCTGGGTGGGAGAAATAGGTCAGAACGCTGCAGGCTATGTGGAGAAAAAGACTGTGGCTTCATACTTATGGAACATGATCCATTGCGCTGCTGTGGCAATGCTGTCATGGCTCTCATTGAGGGCAGACAGGCGAGCCAGAACGGCATCATCGTTGTAAGCCATCACCGCTGCTTGTTCTTGCTGGACGCGCGCTAGGTGTGTGGGTTCAAATAGGGCGGTGGCAAGCAGGCCTATGTTTTGCTGGATTTGTTGATTGGTGCTTGTGGTTGTTGTGGGTTTTACCGGACTCAGTTTGCTGTGAGTTGTTGAAATATCACGAGTCTCTCTTCTTTGTCGGTCGATGCCTGTGGGGGGAGAAATGCGATGGCAAGCTCAAGCGTGCAGGCAGGGCGTTCAGGTGAGGACAGGGCGAGATGAAATCAATAAGAGGCGCCTGCTTGATGTGGCTTGCAGGCCGACTACTCAGTGTCCGAAGATCAAGAAGCTCAATCCCAGAGATCCTGGCCCTTTACCAATCCCTCTCAGTCCTGAAGATGCTGCTTCTACGGAAATGTTGGCTTGCTGCTTCTGATGATGAAGTTTGTAGGGACGATTCAGAGCATGAAGGAGAGGGTTTGTATTTGCAAGTCAAGCAAGCGACTGAGAGCTCCATGTTTGTCGAATCCAGTCCCGCAGCTTGCAGCGCTAATCCTGAAGAGGCAAGGCGTACTTTTGGTAGCGGTCCTCCATGCTTCCCTGCTACAGTAACTCAAGGAGCGTCAGCGCCAGCGCCCAGACCTACGTGAGAACAGTGGGCCAAGAGCACTTTAGGCCAGCTAGGAAAGTGCCATCCACACCTAAGCACATGTCTCTGAGGGCAGCACATCGAGTTGAGCCTCCTATCCATTGAGTCCTTATCCATCCCGTCATTTCACCACCACCACCAAGACCACAATTCAGAGCTGGCTTCCACTCCTAGCTAATTACGTTTTCTGCTGCCAACCACCCTCCTTTCAACTTCACACCAACCTTCCCTCCTCAGATCAACGTCACCATGGCGGACCGATTCCCGTCCCTCGACGACTTCGACTCCGGAGGTCAGTTGCGCACACACCGTCTTCTCTCCAGCCATACCTCCAGTCCGATGGCCCTGCTGACATTGGGCTGCATGTAGTACAAACGGACGTTCAGGACCCTTCAGTTGACCCTTCCGCCGATGATTTCCTTGCTAGAGAAAAGGCAATCCTTGGTGACGATGCCGACAAGTTCGCATCCGTAGAGGACGGCGATGCTTTCGACGACGATCTCCTTGGCGGCGGTGGCGGCGAGACAGCCCAATTTGAGCAGCAGTTTCCCGATCTCTCAGGTTCGAACGAGGTTCGTCCACCCTTTTCCCGTTCCTGAAAGCCCCCAAAACTGACAGCCCCTTGCGATTCCTTAGGCAGTAGCCCCTGGCGGCAACATCACCTCGACCGGCCCGTCTGTCAGCTACAACTCGGGCTTCGCCGCCTACGCCGAGGAGGAGGAGGAGCCAGAGGTGGTCAAGGAGTGGCGGGAGAAGCGCGACGCCGGCAACGCCAAGCGGGCAGAGCAGTTTGCGCGACAGCGCGAGGAGACCATCGCCGAGGCACAGCGCAACATCGATGACTTCTACGAGAACTACAACAACAAGAAGGAGAAGCAGATCGCCGCGACCCGCAAGGACGCCGAGCAGTTCCTGGCCTCTCGCGAGGATACGACGTCCGGGGGCACCAGCTGGGAGCGCGTCGCCAAGATCGTGGACGTCAGCGGGAAGGGCGCAAAGGGCGGTGCTTCCGGCTCCGGCAAGGAGCGCTTCCGCGAGTTGTTGATGAGCCTGCGCAAGGACGAGAAGGCCCCAGGTGCCACGGGCGTAAGTGCAAACACCCATCCATGGCAACGACCTTGCCACTCTGTCTCGTACGACTGCTCTTGGGCATCAAACGTGTCCCAGAAGCTGGCAGCAGCTGAGACGACTGCGCCGACCGCTTCCTTTCCAATCGCGCTTGAGATAATAAATAACTGACATGGGTTTATTACAGTACTAGTCGTGCTGCTCGTCATTGTCCGCTTCTATGTCATTTCCGCCACGCTCACCAACAATTCTGCACGTTCAGGAGGACTCCAATGGCAGCCTTATTTGAACGAATGCTCATGAGCATCAGTCTTCAGACGAAGTCAACGACACACTGTTATTTACTGTAGTACAAAAAGCCACTGGCCCGAAGAACGATGGGAGGAAGTCCGGCATCTCGGAGACACGGCACAACTGATGAACAGCTCCCCTTATCTCGGCCGGATAGATTACTCCAGAGTGTCAGGGAAGCATTTGCAGCTCAGAGTGGAATTAATGAAAGGCAATGCCAGGGGGCGTTACCACCACGTTTAATTGACGCTTTGCGGCGCTTCTTTGTAATTCTCTCGTGCTGAGCTCCATTCTATTGACAAGTGCCCTACTGGTCCCCCAATTTCCCAGGATAGACTGGCTTAGTCCTTTCCGAACCAGGTGTTGTGGCCCATGACCTTGCGGCCCATCGCGTACATCGAAGCTGCGCCGACCTCGTCAGTGAAAATGGCCTCGGGGTGTGAAGTGTAGGCTTCGACGTACCGGCAGTGGTTCCCCACATGATCCACACGAAAGGCACGTACAGGACAGTGCTTCGGGGGTTCTGCGAGACACGTCATGTCAGCGAGCGCTCCTGCCAATGGTGTAGTGTCCCAGCGTCCTCTCTCCCATCTCGATCTCCATCCTGTCTATGTATGTCCGTTGGGGAGCCTCACGATTCGCCAGATGCGGGTGTGTGCCCGGTAGGCAGCCTGGTAGGTGCGCTGGTGCTCGGGCACCTTGTTCGGGGCGTTGACGAAACCGCTGTGTGAGGAAAGGAGTCAGCCTGGGGGTCGCTCGGCAGGAAGCTTCACGACGCAATTGAAATGTCGGATCGAGTCTGAATGGGCCATTGATCGTTGCGCGGGCCGCCTTTCGGCTCAGCCGGCGGCGATATGTACACGTTTGGGGCCCTGGGGGACGACGTACGCCATTTTGGATGCTTTCGTTGCGGGTTGAGGGGAGAGTTGCTGATGAAGTTGTCGTCAGAGCGTTGGTGGTACGATTGTGAGTTGGGGATCAGAGGCGGGAGGTTCCTTTGCCGTGGGCCGAATGCCCCTAACCCTACCAATGGCATTGCTCCCAAAACTCATCCTGGCTTTCCTGCTATCAAAATCTTGTGTGGTGAGATGCTCCTGATGAATATACGATCGATTTTATCTCGCTCCTTTAAGTATCACCACAACCTTCTCACGCCAATCATGGTCAGATTGTCCATTGCGACCGTCCAATCTGCCAGGCGTTGAAATGCTGTGCCCGTTGCGAGCGAGATAGAGCAGGCACAAGGAGTTATGCCGCGAGTCTTACTCAGCACTCGACAGTCGCATCAAGGCATCTCAAGACTCATCTGGAACCCGCGGCTACATCTCAGAGGCGTTTTTCAGCATGATGGATCCCGTGTGGCCCTCGCGCTCGTCAGGCGAGCCACGTCGGTCGCGTTCACATCCCCGGCTTACTCGCAATCCCCGGCCTCGGCAAAAAAGGCAAACAAGGCTGCGCAGGTGATAGCTGTGGAGGACCACGCGGGCGTGCCTGCGGACGAGGTCACCTCATTTTCCAAGGAACTTAAGGAGGGCATCGCCGAGACGATTTCCAGAAAGCGCGCGCAGTCCGCGACGAAGCCACCCACTGTTCTTCACTACCCAACTCTAGGTTCACCCCTCTACGGCAAATGGCAATCTTTGTCAGTGGACCACGAGCGACTGCTCATCGAGTCCGACGTCAACGTCTCGGACAGTCGGCTTGTGAGACTGGTCGATCAGCCCGGCAACGAGAACGACATCGAGCTGTGGAGCTGCCTCCTGGAGTTCTGCCAGCGATTGATGGGTCGAGACGGCGTCGTAATGATATGGCAGTCTCTTTCGAAGCGGCGAAACCTCTATCAAGTGGACGGCCCCTTGGCCCAGGCATTCTGGGGCACCATCATCAACGCAGCTGTGACCAACGACACCTTGCTGCGGGAGGTGGTTGCATACGGAGAGTGGCTCCTTGAGAACCACGAAGCACACTGGCCCCAGCTGTACACAACGGTCATGTCTCACATGCTGTTGAACCGCCCCAAGGCCGAGACTCTACGTTGGCACATGACTTTGAGTTCTTCGTTCGCGCCCACAGAGGTCGAGTTCGTGGGCTTGTTGAAGAGGTTCATCATGGATCCCGCGCCCGAGATGCAGGAGACGCTGCAGCTGCTCTATTCGTGGAGCCCGCACCGCAAACTCTACGACATCATAATACCGCACCTGTACGCAGAAGGCCATGCTTACCTGGCCAGCCAGTGGCGACGACTCCTCGTTGACCATGGGGATAACCCGGCGAGCCTCGCCGCCCGGCCGTTCCTGCGGTATGTGGGTGCATACTACCCGCAAACATGGTTGTCCGAGGAAGAGCTCTCTATTGCTGGGCTTGTGCTCCATGATCGAGCAGGTTCTGAAGGAGGGACAGTCAGCGACGGCCTGCCAGTTGAGGCAGCTATAAATGGCCAGAACCTCAGCTACCTCGTCAATCGGGTGCATGGGGAGACGTTTGGCATCCGCGAGAAGACCTACAATGACAAGCTAGGGTCGAAATGGTTTGCGAGCACTTGGGTTTCGCTCGACTTTGCCATTAGCGTCGTCTACACGATGGGCATCACCAGGATAGGGCCGTTATCCTTGCAGTCCATCGCACTGCGAGAGGGCAACGCGGAGGGTGTTCTCCATCGATTGGATCAACTACGGCAGTATAGGATTCGGTTGCCTAACACTGACTACGTGTCTGCCATCCGGTACTACGCCAGGATCGGCGATGATGAAGCTCTTCAGGAGCTGCTCCACTGCGACATCCACCCGGACATCTTCGAAGACGAGCTGGCACAGCAAGAACTCCTCAACCATTGCCTAAACGCAGGAGAATGGGGAACCTACCAACTGATCCTCAAAACCAAATTCGCAGTGGCATCGTATTCGGTAGCTATCTCAAGCGATAAGGTCCTCCATTCATGTGCAAGCCAGGGTAACGGCCCCATGGCTTTGGCACTCCTCCAGGGGCTGTGCTCGCGCAACCTCCACCCGGCGCCGATGACAAGCCACCTGCTCTCAAGCTTCGTCATACAGAACCTGTCGCCACACGCCGACGTGCAGTACCCGCGGCCGCACGTCGACCTCCAGGTCTCGCTGTGCCGAGAGCTGTCCAGGACCCGTTTCCCGCCGGCGGTCGAGGCCTGGCGGGTGCTGCTGTCCCGGCTCGGGCGGGACCATAGGCTCGCCGAGCTCGAGCGGCTCTCCGCCGACATAGTGAGGCTGTTCGTGGAGTATACCAGGTCCGACACGCCCATGTGGATCTCCCACATGGCGGACGTGCCGGAGCTCCTCCGCTCCGAGTCGCCCTACCCGCACTTCCAAAAGCTCCCGCGCGACCTCCCCCTGCACCTCGAGGGCCACCCGCTCCGCCAGATCTTCGACCCCAAGCTCCAGGGCGCCATCGTGAGGTGGGGCTTCACCAATACCAGCTACACCCCCGCGGCCGAGGAGGCCGCGCACGCCCTCCTCCTGCAGGACGAGGAGGGCGGCGGCGGCGGCGGCGGCGGGTCCACGGAGCCGGCCGACTTCCACTTCGCCCGGGGGATCCGGCTCCTCGCCATGCTGCGCGACCAGGGGCTGCACGTGTACGACAAGCGGGTGCTGAATCAGGCACTCCTCCGCCTCACGGACCTGTACCGCGGCGGCGGCGACGCACGGTATGAGTGGATCGGAGGGAGCGTGGACGAGAAGCGGAGGCGGCTGAGCAACCAGCTCAGCTTGGCACAGGCGAAGAGGCTCTGTGACCTGGCCTGGGGCAGGGAATTGTTGCCCGACCTGCCCGAGCTCATGTCTGTCATGGAGGACGCGATGAGGCGGGACAAGCTGAAAGAGATTCAAGCACGAGTGGACGAAATCAAACGGAGCTCGTGGTAGAGGAGGTGGATAAAGCGCGGGTCGAAGATATCCTCGGATGATAATGTTGGACACTGTAAATACTTAGAAACAGAATACCCCTTTCAGATGAAATACTTGGCCATAATCGAGAAGTGACAACGGCTCATTCCAGTCAGTCATATGCAGCCAAGGCCATACTGCAGAGCATGGCGATGTGATCGCACTATTAAGTTAAGGTCATATTTGCCCGGCCGTATTGAGGCCAGCCTATCTATATATCAAATGATCTAACACGGCCCTCGCGAGAAACGGGCTGCCCCCTCCACCACCCAGCAGCGCATCCCGCTCTATCGACTGCTCCTCCTCGCCCGGGCTGCCGCCGCCGCCGCCGCTGTCGCCCCTGCTCTTGGGCTTGATGACCAGCAGGATGATCATGCCCACGATGATCAAGATCAGCAACAGTATGATCTTCCTCTTGGTGGTCTTCTTCTGGTACCCGCTCGCGACGTTGAGCTCCTTGTCCGCCTCCTTGACGTCGACGGCCATGCGCTCGACGTTGTAGTCGATGCGGTCCAGCATGGTGCCCTGGTCGATGACGATGCTCTGCAGGTCGCGGAACAGGTCGGACAGGTCGATGATGCCCTGGGCGATGTCCTCGATCTCGCGCTCGCGCTGGACGATGGCCGCGTCGTCCGAGTGCAGCTGCTTCTGCGCCATCGAGGACTGCAGCGTGGACTGGGAGAAGGACTTGTCGGTCTCCGAGTCGAGCAGCGAGGGGTCCATGTAGTTGGAGGGCGTGGAGGCGCGCTCGGGGTTCGGCGAGAGCATGCCGCTGGGCTGGCTGAGGCCACGCAGTTCTGTTTGGATGGGATGTTAGTTTTAGTCAGTCAGTCAGTCAGCCATGCCCGTTGGCGCCAGGTGTGACGAGTGGGTACGCAGGCAAGGGCTGGGGGGGACAACACGCACTCTTCAAGTAGGTACTCTGCTTCTTCCTGAAGCCGGCGCTCGCCTCCTGGACCCTGGCGGCAAGCGATATCTGTATGTTCTTGGCCATGACCTCCTCGGCCCTCGTCATGGTGCCGGAGTCCTTGGACTCGCGCACCATGGCCTCGATGCGCTGGATGCAGCGGTGGCAGTCGTGGAAGCCCTTGGTGATGTCCTGGGTCAGCTTCTCGATGTCCCTCTCCTCGGCCTTCTTGGTCCCTTCGTCGTCGAAGCCCGGGAGGACGTGCTTCTGGTGCAGCCTCTCGAGCTTCTGCGACTTCTTGGCGATGTCGGCCAGCAGGTCCGTCACCTCGTCCGTGATGTCGGCCCAGCGCGGCGGCAGCAGGTCCATCTCGATGACGGCGTCGCCGTCGTCGTGGTAGTCGCCGCCGGCGAGCAGGCCGCGCCGGTCCGAGGACTCGTCGGCCGAGAAGAGCACGGAGGCGGCGCCGGTGGAGGAGCCGAAGCGCTCGGCGCTGCCCAGGTTGTTGCTCCCGCCATACTTGTTCCGGTGGGTGGGGTGGTGAGCGTACGACTGCCGGTAGGAGAGGTAGCTGGCCGGGGGCGGTTAGTACGAGTACGGGGAGTCTTGGGCGCGCGTGCGAGAGATGGTCTGGCGAGAGAGAGAGGCTGGCTCACAGGTTGGTCCGGTCTCGCCACATGGCGGACGGCGAGGGAGGAGGGACGACTGCTTTCCGGGTCAGTTGCCTCTCGGCGGGTAGTTGGTCGGCCGGGTCTCTGTTATGGGGTCGCGTCCAGTCCAGTCCAGCAGGTGCATGACATGGCCAGCTGTGTATCGCAGATCATGCAAGCTGGACGGTCTTGGAGTGCCGTCTAGGATGACGAATCGGGGCTCGAGAGGTGGTAGCAAGGGCTGAGCATGGTGATTGGAGAGCTCGCCCGCCTCAGCCTCCCTGTGCTGTGCCTAGGTATGTACCTGTCAGGCCTGTAGTATGTGTGGACTGACGTCGCTTGAAAGCTAGGGTGAGGTAATGTCGCAATTATTAGATGTCTAGGGCGGCGGGTTGGCAGATTGGAAGCTACGGAGCACTTTAGATAGGGGCGGCGGGTTGCCAGGGTTGATGAGAGAAAGGCTGGAGACTTGATGGAGACTTGATGTCCTGCAGGCAGGCTGTCTGGCCTTGAGACAAAACCGGACAGCAGCAGGCGATGTTCAGCTGCTGCTGCTGCTGCTGCTGGAGATCACGGCAAGTCGGCAAGGCTGGCTGGCGCTAGAAATGCAAGTGACGGACAATAAGGCTCCCGCCTTGATTTGGACTTTCAACTGATGTATTTTCTGTGATGCTGCACTGCAGACTTGTACTTGTAGCAGATGTATACAAGGGGGCACGGCACCCTACCGAATAGTAACACGTATCACTTCCTTACAACCTGGGAGTTGTCTGCCTGCTTTCAGCTGGGGCCGTTTATTAGAGAAAAGTCCTAGCCACCTGGGCACACCGTCGGACCGTTGGGGGTTGGAGGGGTCGGTCAGGCCCCGGGTAGGCCTAGCCCTCAGGCTGCTGGGCTCCCTCGCAGCCCGCTAGGGACCTAGCACCCAGGTAGGCGGTAGGGTGACCCCAGAAGCCTGGGTGACGCACCCAAGGCTTGAGCTCTCAGGTCAACCCCAATTAGTCCTAAATTCAACATCCAGCACCCTACCTCCCCCCTTTTTAGCTGAACCTGGACACGCTCCCCTTCTTGATCTTTCCACCACCCGGACGACACATCTTGAACTTCTGGTGCTCCACCCTCTGCTTGACAACGGCAATATAGCAAATACCCTCTCGAACCTTAAGCCGAACACACTCCAACAGTCAACATGGTTGGTGCCGTCCTCCCTCCTAGCTGTCCTACTATCCTGTCCATGCGCTGGCAGCCCCGCCTTGTCCTTCTGAGGGGCATCAAAGGACGAGAATGCGTTCATGCAAAAATCCCATGACATGTTGGCTAACCCCCAGCGCCATAACAGGCCGACTCTCTGACCGAGGAACAAGTCTCCGAATTCAAGGAGGCATTCTCCCTCTTTGTAAGTTATCTTCAGCCTTGAGCTTCCCCGCCGTTCTCTTCCGTTGCGCACGATGCTAACCGACCGTTTTCGGCATGTAGGATAAGGATGGCGATGGTTAGTGCGGTCACCGCTTCCTCCCCTCTTTCTCAGCTACGCACGCGTCATACTCGATCCTCCGCGACGGTCTGCGCGTGCAGTATACTGCGAGCGACCGATCACCGAATCTATCACGAGAAATCTACTAAGACGGCCCGGTGTAGGACAAATCACCACCAAGGAGCTCGGCACAGTCATGCGGTCCCTTGGTCAGAACCCTTCCGAGTCCGAGCTGCAGGACATGATCAACGAGGTCGACGCCGACAACAATGGCACCATTGACTTCCCTGGTAAGTCTGGATTCCCACACACTGGGTATCGGGCGGTGGCGGGCTATGCGCCGGTGCCGGTGCTTGTCCTATGCCGCATGCTGGCTGCACTTTACTGACGCGTCCCACCCAGAGTTCCTGACCATGATGGCAAGGAAGATGAAGGACACCGACTCCGAGGAGGAAATCCGCGAGGCCTTCAAGGTTCGTCCCCCCCCCCCCCCTTACTTTACCCCGCCACCATAGCAACGGGACAGTCGCCTAACATTATATCCAGGTCTTCGACCGCGACAACAACGGCTTCATCTCCGCGGCTGAGCTGCGCCACGTCATGACCTCCATCGGCGAGAAGCTCACGGACGACGAGGTTGACGAGATGATCCGCGAGGCTGACCAGGACGGCGATGGAAGAATCGACTGTATGTCTCCGCTGCCCCCCACACTGATACCACGACCACGGCCATGGGACTAATCCTTGTGATCACCAGACAACGAGTTCGTCCAACTTATGATGCAGAAGTAGAGGGCCGCGTGGTCTTCGGGCCAGCAGTCCCCTACTACGAATGATTCCCTAGATGATGAGAAGAATGGACCCGCATATCTGAGCAGTTCCGGTCTACCTGCCCCGGCACGGCGTCTACACTGCTGCAGAGCCGCACGGCTGGGCTTGCTGGGGTAATGATGGATAGGTCGATGTATAGCGTGTAGCAGCAAGGTGGATAAATGGCGTCTGTAGCCTTGTCTTTCTCAACTGAGCCAATTGCCAGACTCAGATTTTCCTTTGCCGGAATATTGCTTTTTGCCGTTGAATCATGTGCCGCGGAAGTATCTGTGATGGATTGAGAGGAATCCTTTTCTGTCTTGAATCCACTTGCGGAGTTGGGTCAGTGGCTCAGGCATGCATACACTCCTCAGCCTCACGAGCACCGGGCTGAGCAATGGCGGTCTGGCCCGACCTGACACACATCACTACTGGTTATTAATTCCGGCTATCTAGAGTAGAGAGAGGCACCACTTGTGCCAATGACTGGTAGAAGCCATTATTGTTTTGAACTGTCCTACTGGCAGCGTTCTTCGCACACCCAGAGCACCCACTCCAAGGCCCAAATCTACGGAGTACCACAGACAAATCGACAAGAATTGACACCTCCAGATGAAATTTCTGGGACACCGCCATGCCGGACGGCCTCCAATCCACCATACCTTTTGAGTGCGCAGTAGTGTGGTCGTTCCAGGGGCACGATGCACGCCGAATGTGGCAGTGTCCTGCCTAGCGCGGGTGCAGCAGTCCCTCAGGGCCAAGTGTTTGCTCGCGACAAGCTTCTTGCTAAACTTCAGCCCTACAGGTCGGGCACATTTCCCGGGGCGTTGTCGTGCGGTGGTCGCAACCAGGGCACGCTGGTCAGGTACTAAAAAATGCCACCTGCTGCGGACCTGCATTGTCATGGCTGCAGCTTTGCCTACCGAATGGCACTCAACGGTGATTGTCGCCATATCTTATTTGGCTTGGCCACTCAGACAAGCTGACATGACTGACAGGACAGCCTTATCCCCGCGTTTTCAGCAGGGCTTCTTGCTGTGGCGGACTTGCAGGCTTGCTGTTGATAAGAGGGGCGTCAGGGATGGAGGGCAACCCTTGCCCCTTTTTCTCAAACGACAGCCAGCTACAGGGGTTGGTCAACATCCGAGTGAGAGTCCACACTTGCTTTTGAAGACTTGAACTGGCGATTTGGGATCACGGATTCACTTTCCACTTTCCCCGGCCATAGAACTGCCGTCGTCGTGCATGCATGAGACTGCCGCCATCAGCTCATCCTGCTTTCTGCGGCGTTCCACCTCATCACACGCTTGCGGCACCCGCTCTCTTCAAATGGTGACTGTGAAACCAGCCTCAACGTCATTTCCCCTTGGTCGGTCTGGGTGTCGCAAATCGCACCGCGAACCCGGATGAAGTTCTGCGTGCTCAAACCGTTCCGAACAGGCCCTCTTCGACCGGCGACACAAGCTTGACTTAAAAAGCCGACTTCTCCTTTCCCTTTGCGGGTGCCAGCTCAGCCACAGGATGCCTCCCTTGCGACGATGGCGCCCCCTCCTCCTCCTCGTGGCCTTCTGGCTCCTGGGCATGTACTGGATGTTTGGCGTGGACGACGAGGCGCCCATCGCACACGCCCCGGGCTCCAACACGGTCCCCGGCCAGCAGCAGCAGCCCCAGACGGGCCACCATGACGTGGCGCCCGTGAGTGACACCCATGGCCGCGGCGGCGCGCAGAACGGCGGCGACATGAATGCCAGGCGCTGGCGGAAGCTGCCCGACCTGTTCCCGGTCACGGGCGCGCTGCGGGAGCTGCCGGCGGCGGGGGCCGGCGGGAGCGGCATCCCCAAGATCCAGGCCGCGGCGCCGCGCGAGTCGGACGCCGCGCGGGAGCAGAGGCTCAAGAGGCAGAAGGCCGTGAAGGACGCCTTCCGGCACAGCTGGGCGGGCTACAAGAAGCACGCGTGGCTGCAGGACGAGGTGACCCCGCTGGGCGGCAAGCCCAAGAATCCCTTTGGCGGCTGGGCGGCGACGCTGGTCGACGCGCTCGACACGCTGTGGATCATGGGCCTCGAGGACGAGTTCCGGGCCGCCGTGGAGGCGGCGGAGACTATTGACTTTGCCACGTCTGATTCCGACCTGGTGAATGTTTTTGAGACCACGATCAGATACCTCGGCGGCTTCCTGGCCGCGTATGAGCTCAGTGGGAAGAAGCACGAGGGCCTTTTGAGGAAGGCGGTGGAGGTTGGCGAGCTGCTGATGTCCGCCTTCGACACGGACAACAGGATGCCCATCGCGAGATGGGACTGGAAACTGCAAGTTTTCCCCACACTGACTTCCCGGCTTGGGAAACCCTCCGCTGACTGGATGACAGATACATGACTGGCCACGTGCAGAAGCACCCTAGGACTGTGCTTGTGTCGGAGCTGGGGTCTTTGTCGCTCGAGTTCACCAAACTCTCCCAGCTGACTGGAGACATGAAGTACTACGACGCTGTCCAGAGGATCTCGGATGAGTTTGAAAAGGGCCAGGATGGCACGAAACTGCCAGGCATGTGGCCGGTCCAGGTCGACTCATCCGGGCCGTTTTTCACGACCGACAATGCCTTTACCCTGGGGGGGATGTCAGACTCGCTCTACGAGTATTTCCCCAAGCAGTACCTCATCCTCGGCGGCGCGCTCGAGCAGCCCAGGAAGATGTACGAGAAGTTCATTGACGTGGCAAAGAAGGCCCTTATGCGCCGTGCCATCAACCCAGACAATATCCCGATCGTCATTCCGGGCGACGCCCGGGTGAGAACTGTAGATGGTGAGATAAGCGTCTTTAACAGCCCGAAGGGTCAACACCTGACATGCTTTGTCGGCGGGATGGTCGGCATCGCCTCCAAGATCTTCGACAGGCCCGGCGAGCTGGACCTCGCCGCGCAGCTCACCGACGGATGCGTCTGGGCGTACGGGGCCACTGCCACCGGAATCATGCCCGAGATATTCGGGTTCGTCCCCTGCGGGGGCGTCGAGGACAGCCAGGCCGGCCCGGAGTGCAGCTGGAGCGACCTGAAATGGCGCACCGCTGTCAGGGACCAGTACCTGGGGGTCAAGAGCGGCAAGGACCCGATGGGGGACGAGATCGACAAGACGATCAGCACCCAGAGGCTGACGCCCGGGATGCTGCAGTACTACGACAAGAAGTACATACTCCGGCCGGAGGCCATCGAGAGCGTCTTCATCATGTACCGGCTCACGGGGGACAGCTCGTGGATGGACAAGGCGTGGAAGATGTTCGGCAACATTGAGCGGCTCACGAGGACCCAGATAGGGGCCGCCAGCCTCAGGGACGTGTCGAGGAAGGACCCTGGCCAGTTCGACTCGATGGAGAGCTTCTGGCTCGCAGAGACGCTCAAGTACTTCTACCTGGTGTTCTCCGACTTCGACGCCGTTGACCTCGACACGTGGGTGCTGAACACCGAGGCGCATCCTTTGCACCGACCGGATGTGAAATGATGCTATTTTTTAAATGCAAATACAAGTTCAAATCCATGATCCCGAAATGTAAAGTTCTCTGGGCCTCGGTTTTATACTACAATAGTAGGGCTGTTATTGTCTTGACAGTCAGTCAACAGGTAGTGGTAGGGAGCTACAGCACTGGCCACCGTCAGGACTGGCAGGGGTCAGAAAAGGGGCCAACGGTTCCAAGCTGACGTGACAGTTGGCTTCACCAGGAACCAAAGGCACACCGTCCAACAGATAAGGTAAGCATGCTCCGTACCTACCTTGGTGGGCCCTGCTAGCACGGCAGGAAGCCACTTGGCGGTCTTTCTTGGCCCGCCGTCGCAATCGACATCGCATCCCAAGCTGCTAACCTTATTATTGCTTGCCAGGGTGCAGTTCGCTTTAGGCTGGCAGACCGGGCGCGGCAGCAAACATCACTCCAACAGACGTTACTTGTTTGGTGTCTCAGTCCGAGCACACTGGCACTCCCACACGCCAGCACGCCCACCACTGCCGACACCTCACACGCACCAGTACCAGTGCCGCTCCCATTCCAGCTCCGGTGCGACTCTGCTACCCGAGAAGCCCTTTGACGGCCCCAAGGTCCCCTCGTGGGGTTGAACCTTAGCATCATGGCCTCCCGTGAGAAGGACCCCATTCAACACCACACCCACCACACCCACCACACCCACGCCCTGCCCGCATCCCAGCAGCCACGAGGGCAGCCAACATGGATCTGAAGTCGCTGACACTAGACGGCCACATCTCAGTCAAGCAGTTCATTCGAAACGTCCGCGCCGCAAAGACCATCGCAGACGAGCGTGCCGTCATCCAGAAGGAGAGTGCATCCATACGAGCCAGCTTCCGCGAGGAAAGCCACGACCACCAAGTCCGGTGTGTGCTCCCCCTGCACCTCCCTGCCTCCTGCCTGATCTCAGCACCCCGCCGTCCCGCCCAATGCGACAGGTCACCGTAGAGGACCACAAGCTGATGATGACTGCTGCACCCTCTGACACAGGCGCAACAATGTTGCCAAGTTGCTCTACCTCTTCACCCTGGGCGAGAGGACCCATTTCGGCCAGATCGAGTGTCTCAAGCTCCTCGCCTCGCCACGCTTCGCCGACAAGCGTCTAGGCCACCTGGCCACGAGTCTGCTGCTGGATGAGAACCAGGAGGTGCTTACACTAGTGACGAACTCGCTCCAGAAGTACGCCGAGCTCCTACGAAGCAAATCCCCGGTGATAACCTCCGCTCACATTGTCCTAGTGACCTCGCCCACTCGAACCAATATGTCGTCGGCCTTGCCCTCTGCACCCTCGGCAACATTGCCTCCATCGAAATGTCCCGAGATCTGTTCTCCGAGATCGAGAAGCTCGTCTCGACCGCGAACCCGTATATTCGAAGAAAAGCCGCCCTCTGCGCCATGAGGATATGTCGAAAGGTACCAGATCTGCAGGAACACTTTGTCGAGAAGGCCACGGCCTTGCTTCAGGATAGGAATCACGGTGTGCTCCTGTGTGGGCTGACACTGGTAACGAGTCTCTGTGAGGCAGACGAGGAGGAGGGCGGCGAGGAGGGCATTGTCGAGAAGTTCAGGCAGTTCGTGCCCATACTGGTCAGGACACTGAAGGGACTGGCATCCTCTGGCTACGCCCCTGAACATGATGTCATGGGGATTACCGACCCTTTTATACAGGTCAAGATCTTACATCTGCTCCGAGTTCTGGCTAGGGGCGATGCCCAGATCAGCGAGCAGATCAACGACATCCTCGCGCAGGTTGCGACCAACACCGACTCTTCCAAGAACGTCGGCAACTCGATCCTGTACGAGGCGGTACGAACGATCCTCGATATCGAGGCCGACTCTGGTCTGAGGGTGCTCGGTGTCAACATTCTTGGCAAGTTCCTCACCAACAGGGACAACAATATCCGATACGTCGCGCTCAATACCCTGATCAAGGTCGTCGCAATCGAGCCGAACGCTGTGCAGAGACATCGAAACACGATCCTCGAGTGTCTGCGAGACCCAGACATCAGCATAAGGCGGCGTGCCCTCGACCTCAGTTTCACGCTCATCAACGAGAGCAACGTCAGGGTGCTGATCAGGGAGCTCCTGGCCTTCTTGGAAGTTGCGGATAACGAGTTCAAGCCTACCCTGACGACCCAAATTGGCATCGCCGCCGACCGATATGCGCCGAACAAAAGGTGGCACGTTGATACCATGCTGAGGGTCTTGGCACTAGCCGGAAACTACGTCAAGGAACCCATCATGTCTTCTGTCATCCGACTGATCGCGACGACCCCGGAGCTCCAGACATACGCGGTCCAGAAGCTGTACACAAGTCTTAAGAAAGATATCACCCAGGAGAGCTTGGCACAGGCGGGAGCATGGTGTATCGGGGAGTACGGTGATGTGCTGCTCAGGGGTGGGCAATACGAGGAGGAGGAGCTCGTGAAGGAGGTCAAGGAGCACGAGATTATCGACCTCTTCTCCACCATCCTGAACAGCAACTACGCCACCCAGGTCACCACGGAGTATATCGTCAACGCGTTGATCAAACTGACAACGAGGCTGACAGACGGAACGCAAATCCAAAGAGTAAAGAAACTGCTCGAGAACCACCAGACAAGCTTGGACGTCGAGGTTCAACAGCGCGCCGTCGAGTACCTGAACCTGTTTGGTCACGACCAGCTCCGCCGCGGTGTCCTCGAGAAGATGCCGCCGCCGCAGATCAAGGAGGAGAACCGCGTGCTCGGCGAGAAGTCCGCCAAGGAGAAGAAGAAGTCGAACAGGAGGTCGAAGCCCATCAAGGTCTCAGAACAGGACCTGCTCATGGATATCATGGGCGACAGCGCCCCGTCCCCGGCCCCCTCAAACGGTAACTCCCAGAACAACGCAGACCTCCTGGCCGACATCCTCGGCGGCACGACCTCACCACCGCCAACATCATCAAACTCGGGCACGCCGGCACCACAGTCCAACATGTCCGCCATCATGGACCTCTTCGGGTCCGGCCCCGCACAGGCCACGCCGCCCCCCCAGGCCGCCGCCGCGGCGCCGCCGCCGGCGTCGTCGTCGTCGGGTCTGGACCTGCTCGGCCAGATGGGAGGCGCGGCCTCCCCCGCGCCGCAGGCAGCAGCGGCGCCGGCGGGCTTCCCCTGCTACAACAACAACGGCGTGGTGGTGACCATCGCCACGCAGCGCAACGCCGAGGGCATGGTGCAGGCCGTCGCGCGGTTCCGCAACGCGTCGGGGGGCCCGCTGTCCAACGTCGGGGTGCAGGCGGCCGTGCCCAAGAGCCAGAAGCTGCAGCTCAACAGCATATCGAACTCGGAGCTGGCGCCCGGGACCGAGGCCACGCAGGCCATGAGGATCCAGGGGGTCAAGGGTGTAAGTTTTTTGCCCAGTCACAGTCACAATCACAATCACAATACTTGCCCCTGGTGTTTATGGGAAGTCTTTTTTTACTTGATCCTTTTTTTTTTTACTGACAAGTTTCTTATCTTAGCCTTTACGTCTGCGTCTAAGGGTCCAGTACGCACACCCCTCGGCCGGGCAGGTGATGGACCAGGTGAACTGGTCGGAGCCGTCCTGAGTGAGCGGCGGGGGGCTCGGCGGCGGATGAGAGCAACGAATGGGAAACTCGAAACAATCGAATATAGTAAGAAGGTTCGATGCGTGAGAGAACGATCGAGGTATTGGTGGGGGAGGGGGGTGTTGCTGTAAAGAGAGAGGGCTGGGTGGCTAACGCAGAGGCGTCTTGATTGGGCGGGGGATGGGGCTTCGAGGATGGATGGTCGTCCGTCATCAAAAGCAAGCAAGTGAAGCAAGCAAGTGAAGCAAGCGGTCAATACATATCTACGTACAAGCAGTCGGTCCCGCCATGACTGACTGGTGTTCATCCATTTGGCCTCTCTGTGTGTGTGTCTGGCAGGCCTCTCTCTCTCTCTCTCTCTCTCTGGCGGCCTGGGGCTTTTCATCACCATGAGTGGCTGGCTGGCTGGCTGGCTGGTTGTTCCCATCTTGCTTGAGATCGGCACGGCGGTTCCTGCGGGCGGGTGGTTGTGGTGGTGGTGGTGGGTTTCGGCGCCGTCTTATTGGTGTTGTGGGAACAGGCAAGCCTTCTTTGCCGCCTGCCTGCCTTTCTACGGGCGAGAGGGAGGTTTGCCTCACCGCACGTAGTACAATAGAATGCCGGTGGCATATGCATATGGACAGTCCTGCGGCCGGGCGAGCCATGTGTCCTTCTGGTTGGTCAGGGTTGGCCTGCGTAAGGGATTGGACGGGTACGTAGTGTACATATCATATGTGGCAAGAAAGAAAAAAAAAAAAACAGAGAACCAAGAACCGAGAATCAAGAACCAAGTTGAACGTGCATGGGTGGGTGGTGCAATTCTGCCCCATCCGTCTCTGTAACTACGTACCTACCTACCCAGTGGCCCAGTCCAATTGGTCAAGACGAGTTCGTCTCGTTCCGTTTCTACGTACGCAGGCACGTTGTGGACGAGAGAGAGAGCCGGGAGGGAGTTTGATTGATTGAGTAAATGAGTGAGTGAGTGATCGCTGGCAGGGGGTAGCCGAGCGGGTGTGTGTGTGGGTGTGGAAGAAGATCATCAGACCCGGGATCTATCTCCATCTACATATCATTTGTGGAGCGAGCGAGCGAGCGAGCGGGCGCTGGGGAACCCCAAGCAAGCAGACCCGGGCCCGGACGGGAGGCCACTCTGCGCTGCCGTATTGCGGTTCCCCCGGGCTGGCGCTTCGCTTCTGCACCCGGATCTCTATGTGTGTATCTGCCAGCCAAGGCCAAGAGATGCGTTTCTGCTTGGTGCTGCGTGGCCGGCTGCGAATCAGGTGCCGTGGGAGCGCCGAGGTTTCTGCGTTGTACGTACGTACCCATGACTGACTGACTGTCTGTCTGTCTGTCTGCAGTGCCAGTGCAGAGCAGATGCCCAGGCCAGGGAGGGAACAACAGCCTGCTTACCACAACATGTGATGCCGCCTAAGCGGTGTGTGTGTGTGTGTGTGTGTGTGTGTGTCTGCTAGATACCACGGGTGTACATAGTATGTGTTTTGTCAGTAGTCAGTCAGGCAGTCAGTCAGTCATTCACTTCCGAGTCCCGTCGTGTGTGCGTGTTGCCCGCCCAGGGCTTTTCGACGGTCTGATTCCATATGCCCGGGCTGGGCCAGCCGAGGGAGGGGGTGGAGGAAGCGAGGTAGGTACTTAAGTAGGTAGAGGTAGGTCATGGGCAACCAAGTCCAACGCGTCGAGGGCTTACAATTTCGCCGCATCAGGACGCTGCTCATGGGCTGGGTCTGGCTCGTCTCGTGGTACTTTGTTCGTGCGAGCAAGCCGACTGCAGAAGTTCTCGGGTCTTTTTGGTATATGGGGTTTTCCCCCTTGGTCTTGTTCTGCCATTGCTAAATAAGCGCAGGCGAGCGCGGCGTTGTGGTTGGCCAGCCGAGAGCGAGAGGAGAGGAGATGGTGGGTGAGTGTGCCGGGGTGGCTGAGAGAAGAATAACCTTGGAAGGGCTATAAGAGGGCTGGCTTCCTTTTCGTCCGGGGCCGGAGGGGCGGGTATGTAGGTCATCTTTTGGCTAGCTGCGAAAAGTTGCGAAAAGCTGGAGAGGAGGAATCGGAAGGATTGGATCTTGGGTGGTTGGCCCGTTGGCGCCAACTGGCAGGCACATCATCTCTAATAAACCCACCCCCCGGTCTCTCTGGGCACGACGGGACCACCAATTGGCTCCCAGGGAAGCAGGAAAGATGATCTCCAGTTTCTGCATGAACATGTGGACAGACAGACAGCGGTAGGTGTCGCCGACGGCTGGCAGGCTGGCAGGCTGGCGGACGGGGGAGAGTGGGTGTCTACGGTCTACGATATACTTGAATAGAACAAGATGCTGGTGAGCCATGTAACCCAACGCTCATTCCCCATGTGTGTGTGTGTGTGTATGACAGGCGGCAGATCAGCCCCGACTAGCATCTTGGCTCGACTTGTCAGAAAGAGGAGAAATCTTGGGACCGAGATCTGAGGAACCACACAGATGGGGGGGAGGGAAGGGCAGCGAACAAGTGGATAAGTCTTGTGTGTCGCCGAAGATCTTTGAGTGGGGTTGATGGATATGTAGGCGATCATCAAAACATCAAACTGTATGTAAACTCGGATCTCCACATACTAATTGGATCTCCCTATCTATGTATACGGCTTTTCTTTCGCCGTTTGCTTCTGGAAGCCGCTCTCACCGGGACGGCCAAGGACCGAGCAAATAAATAGACCACATCTATCAATAAGAAGAGGTGAGAGGGGGGATGAGATGAGATGAGCGGGGCAGCAAAGCGCTGACCAGAGACAAAATAGACGCTGGCCCGTTGAGGCGGCCAGGTGTGGCCTCGCATGTGTTTTTTTTCCCTGCTTGAGGGTTGAGAGTGTACGTGCAGTAAGTACCCAGCAGCGGTAGTAGCGTCGGTACTACGGCAATGTAAAAGTAGATGCGGCCAGGTCAGTCAGGCCGTAAGCTTATTAGACAGGACAGTAGCAGCTGGCTGTGTGGCTGGGCCCGGGTTGCCGGGGTAGGGGAATGGGAAATTCCCACGTTGCACGGCGAGCCGCCGGCGAACTCATCCTTGGGTGCAGCAGTAGGCTATCAGGCCGACTGGCCTTGCTAGCACCCAGGTCGACGGTGTGTGTTGCCCAAAGTGGACACCAGTCGGCCGGGAGGCGCGCCGCCATTGGCCCGTGGACGCGCTCCCGCCTGCACCACCCCGGCTCAGGGTATCTTTTATTGCCGGCCCTCGGTGCGGAAGACGGGAAGACGGTGGTGGCCATAGCTGGCGGGTGTCTATTTCTAGATCTTGTTAGGGCCTGCCCTGCCCTTGTTTTTTTTTCTTGTTAACCGCCGGGTGGGGCATTGGCACTGGGGACTGGGGCAATTGGCGCAACTGGGGCAGGACTGCAGGCGAGAGGCGGGACTCGGCATCTTGTGTTGAATCTGCATGCTATGTTTACCATTTCCCACTAATAAATTGGGTCTGCATTTCTGATGTTTAATAGTGCTACTGTCAATGAGGTTACTGTCAAAACGTTGTGGCACTGGATCTGGGCAAAAGTCTGGCTGACAGGCAGTTGGGTTTGAACACCAGATGAAGAACACTGCAGCTGCACCCCCCAGCCATGTCTGTCATGAACAGAGAAGAGTGTCTGTCTGTCTGCCTCGTGCTGCCTCGCACCAACCTTCCCGTGTTTCTGTCTCGCACCAGTTCAACCCAGTGTGTGCCCTTGACACCTCTCTCGTTTTGTCGCTGCACCCCTTCTCCTTCGCTGCTCAAGCGCCTGCAGCACATGGAACAGGGGGGGAAGCGACAGGCCGACATGCTCCTTCCCTGGACATGCCCCCTGCCCTACATGAGCCGCTCCGTCCACTCATCTTTCACCGTTGCTTCCCATCCCACCTGCACCTCACATGGGCTACTGCATCCGTATGTACGTGCTACCCACGGGCTGCTACCCTCGCTGCCCACGCTCTATTCTGGGTAACCGTCGCTGCTGCGTGTACTTTTGCGTGCCGCCCACCTGCCTGCCTGCCTTGCAATGTGTGGGAATTCGTGCAGTCCTGCACTTCTGCAGGTGAGGTGGGAGGTATCTAGTATACAGATAAAAGCATGTCCCCTCCCACACTCATACACTTTCTCAACGCCATGTTCGGTCTGTGAAACTCATTCCATTTCATATAGTCTCGATTTCCTCGTTGTTCCTTCTTATTTCCTCTCTTTCCTTTCCTTCAGTGTCTCTCTGTTGGGTTTTCTTTCCTAGTCTGTGGGTTTTCCTGTTTCTGTGTCCGCGTCTCGTCTGTCTCTTCTTCGACGTCCGCCACACCACCACGAGTGAAAAGAAAACAAACGAAAAGGGGAATTCATTCGAATTCAGGATTCAGGCAAAACAACCACCATACCTACCACCACTCTCGAGCCACCACAAACACACACAACCCATCAGCCACAACGGGTCAAACAACCACACACCAGCCAAGATGCGCGCTTCATCCATCTTCCTCCCGGCATTCTGTGCCTCGGTCTTTGCCGCCCCAGCCTACCCAGACCTCAACCTCAAGGCAGCCCTGCCAGATGATGCCATGAAGGACCTGTCCCAATACTTCAACATGTTGGCGCAGAAGACCCAGCAGGGCAAGCAGATGTCCTGGGCACCCACCTGCGACATGAGCGCCGCCAAGCTTCCACTCGGTAAGTCCCCACACTTCACTCACACACAGGTGAGAGAGGATGCTAACATAGACCCCACAGCACCCCAGGCCCTCCCCGACGTCACCTCAGGCCTGATCCTCAAGCACGTCGCCGTCGGCCGCGGCACCCAGAACTACACCTGCGACACCACCAACGCGACCGCGGCCCCGACCGCCGCGGGCGCCGTCGCGACCCTCTTCAACGCCAGCTGCATCGCCGGCACCTACCCGGACCTGCTCAACATGCTGCCGCGCGTCTCCCTGGCCTTCAACCTGACGTCGGGCCCGTACACCAAGAACCTTCTCCCCACCTCGGGCGGCGCCCGCCTCGCCCCCGGCAACTGCGCCATCAGCGGCCACCACTTCTTCACCGACAACACCACGCCCTTCTTCACCCTCGACACCGACACCCTCAAGCTGGGCACCATCCCGTGCGCCAAGGTCGCCGCCGTCCCGGCCCCCGATGACGCACCAAAGGGACAGCTCGGCGAGAAGGCCGTCCCCTGGCTCAAGCTCTCGGCCAAGAGCGGCGCCACCGGCCGCCTGCAGGAGGTCTACCGCGTCGAGACGGCCGGCGGCAGCGCCCCCGCCACGTGCTCCGGCATGCCCGCCGCCTTCCAGGTCGAGTACAGCGCACAGTGAGTTCTTACCCGTCCAACCTACTCATTTCACCAATCATTTCAGTCTTCTAACAAGCACGTCCTTCAGGTACTGGTTCTTCGAGACCGCCTCGTGAAACAAGTGAGGCCATAGTGCCGTGGGCCAACAATAACCATACATATTGTTGCTTTTCCCTTCTATTCTCTTTCTTCTTCTCCAACAAAGTGCGATACCATAGTCGAGGCGTCAGGGCGTTTCTCGGGTTTCTTTTCTTCTTCCAGGGGGAGGGAAGGGGGGCCCATTTCTCACTTCCCGGCCCGGCTCGCTCCCACCCAGAGGGTGTGCTGATGACTGCGGCGGCGGAAGGATCGAGGGGCCGGCGTACGTAGGAACTGGGCTTGAGACATAGCAGCACGCCAACACCACAATACAACCTTCTAATTCCCTCTCTGCACATATCATTACTCTACAACCATACCGTGATTCTGCTTGTTCTTTCTGGTGGCGTGCTCGTGAATTGTGCATGTTGTCCGCGTGCTGTCCATTCAGCCCTAACAAACCGGGCCTGTTGTGAACACACACACACACATACATACACACCTACATACCTTCTGCCGTGCGACCGACCCCCCACGATCGCATGCACGTACATTAGCAGAACTCAACCCAACTCAAGCTCTCATGCAAAACACCAGTCTCATCATCCAACCAAGTGGTTCCTGGCGAAGGAAGCTGTGAACCACCGCTCGCTCGATCATCCAGTCTCAGCTGCCAACCTTAACCCAAAGTGGTGAGATGGGATGCTTAGGTACCTATAGTACCTCCTCCTGCCTAGACAACCAACTGCCACACCGAACCTGCCAGGGTGTTCGCGGCTGGGGGCCGCGGGGGCCCCGAGCGGACGAACACACACACACACACACGCACATAAGCTTCGGCGCACGAACATGCGGCTGAAGGTTAACTTGCGTCTGGGAAACGAACACAAGAGAAGGTCGCCTTCGTTCCTGGACAACCGAACTAGGTTTATCTTCGGTCTTGTTCTGTCTGTCTGTCTGCCTGTCACACATAAAATTACTTCAGTAACAAAACCAACCCAAACCCTCTATCTCTCTCCTCCTCAACACGCACGTTGGGTTTTGGTTTTGTGTGTCTTGGCCAGGAGGTCAACTAGATAGATGACGCCTCGGGAAGTACTCCGTACACACACATCACACACATATTCACACACGCACAAAAAGAGTGCCCCCCAAACCCCCAGACCAACCCAGCAAAAAAAAAAAAGAGAAAAGAAAACACGAAACACAGGGTCCGATCTGAGGCTGAGGATGGATGCGAAGCCAAGATGTACATACATACTTGTCACCTCGCACCAGCCAACCCAAACCGTTCGACATGGTCTGCATGTCATGTCATGTCATCCACTCACACTCACGCTCACACCCAGCCAGTTGCACCCACCCACCATCCCTCATCTCCCTTCCCAGATCCATCCATCCCTCCGAGGGAAAGGAAGCCAGATACATACATCTTTGGCCCCCCCCCACATTACCACCATTAGCCCCCATGTGCACACACACGCACACACACGCACACACACACACACACATGCAGGGGAAAAATAGGCGTGGTTACAGCAGAGTCAGATCCCTTTGGGGGTCGGTTCCTGATCCCCCTTGGTGGGTTACATCCAATGTCACCACAGCGGGCCAGGGTGTGTGATGCTCATGGATGCCATCTTATAGGTCAGATCTTCCTTCACTCAGCTCTGCGGAGTATCTCCATCTGCCATTGATGTCTCAACAAACAACGGTGCACGCACTCGAAACCAATCTTCTTGTACAAGTGTTGACCCCAATGGGCCACGGACACACACACTTATCGATATATACCCGTCTAGATGTCGACATGCGATCATTAATTACCTCTACAGCACTGCGATGGAATCGTATGGAGCAGATCTGATCAGGAACCGGGCAAGAGGTTTGTTTCTATGTCCGAAGACCGATTATTATGCATTATCCTGGCACCAGCGCCCTATTTGGCGCACTGGCCACAGAAAGTTCTAATGCCAATATGTGACAGCGAAGTCGTGAAAATGGCAACGCAGCTTCTCGGCGCCTCGAAAGAAGGGTTGAGGCGGAGAGAGCCCCGCTGCGTTGCCTTGGTCGTCAATGAGCCTCGCCCGAGCCCTTCCGTGTCCCAGTGTCTTGTCTTGTCTTGTCTTGTCTTGTCCCAAACAGCCGCCCCGGACCGATGAATCATTTCGCATGTCCCAACACTCATTTCACTTCAAGTAACCCACACCCAAGCTTTTCGACCGCGCCTGTGCCCAGGACCACAAAGCCGCCAACCCAGTTCCGTGATTCCCGTGGCGCTGGCGGGTACATAACATATTCAAAAAATACTACATTACAGCTGAAGAACCCAATACTCCTGGTGCCGTGGCATGAATCTTTAGCTGCTGTATTCTGGCGCCGATTGAACGCTCAGACCCCGGACGTGTCTGAACGATGGCGGCTGCGGGTCGCCGATCGCGCGAAACGCTTCTTGGATGTTGGTCTCTAATTGCTGCCATTCGTTCGAGATCCGGTGGGACCCCTACGCCTTTCGGGATCGCGTGGTAGTGCCGTTGGGCTTCGCCGCACCAGTGGTCTTGACATCTCCGTTCAGGATGCCGTTGTTGCCGGACATGCCGTGCACGAGGTCATGGGGGTCGGGCAGAGGAGCCTGAGACATGCGGCGGAGCGACTTGCGGTGGTTGGGCTTGGAATCCTTCTTATAAGTGGCGATGTAGAAAGAGATGAAGAGGACCAGGTAGGACGTGAGAACGCCGATACCAGCAAAGGCGGCGAACTCCTCGCCGGCGCACTTGCCATGGTTGGGCATCCAGGTGAAGTAGGTGGAAGTAAAGTAGGTGTAGGACGCGAAGTAGACGAAACCTGCGATTGGTTAGACAAGATCACATTCGGCTGTAATATGACTGGGGAGCACTCACCAAGATCAATGATGAACTGGATGATCTGGAGCCTGGTAACCCACTCCTTCCACCAGATACGAACACCACGTGCGCTCTGGAAGTAGTACCAGTACATGAGAACGTGGACAGTCAAGTTGAGGGAGATGACAACCCAGGACACGGAGGTGCTTCCAAGCAGTTGAGTGTAGCACAGGACAGCGGTGGCGCCATGGTGGTAGCAATGAAGGAAAGCTGCGCATTATTGTTAGCAAGGCAGACAAATCAGGGGCGCACGTGACCCGGGGCCTTGTGATGGACGCACTCAATGGCTTCTTCTTGAGGAAGAGGAAGACGGTGTCCAGCAGCTCGAGATATTTGGTGAGGTAGTTCAGCTGTGAGGAATGGACGTCAGCGTTGCGGACTGGAGCAGCACGAGCAGGTAGCACGTGGACATACGTAGTAGAGCACAACGAGAGGCTGTGTCCAGCCACCATCATGGTCGCAGATGGCATAGAAGACGCCCCTTCGGACAACGGTGGGCAGCAGTTGCTCAATGAAGAGGGCCAGCAGTATACCGGAGATGGCGGTAAGGTAGAAGTTGTGAACCAGGAAAAAGGCCTTGAGCTTGAAGGGCTCGCGGCCGCGCATGATCTCGCGTCCGCCGAAGATGATGATGTAGTAGAGGACGACGAAGATGCCCGTCTCCTTAAGGGTGGACATGGGCGTCTCCCCGGCGACGAAGCGGAACTCGCTGACTGGGTAGCCGGTGAAGAAGGTCCATGCTTTATCGAAAATAGGCCATAGCTGGATCCCGAAGGGCCGGTCAATGGTCGGGAGCGGCAGGCGCTCATAAAAGGTAGCGGATGCTGGGTTGTCCATGGTGGCTCGGGTTGTCCGGCGAGCGCGGATGCGACGGCCCTCACTGCTGGGGAGAAAGTTATCAGCCAGGAATTCACATGCAGGGAGAGCTGCCTGTCTTGAGAGCAGCGCGTTGGAGTCGGGCGGTTGGGCGGTTGGGCGGCTGGGCGTCGGGTAAAACGTACGTAGCTAAAGTGTATGGTCGCGAGCACCTCTCTGCCCCAAAGCTGAGCTTAGCTGAGCTTAGCTGATGCAGCGGGCGGGACGAAAGGAAGGACTAGAAAGTAATTGACTCTCTCAACTTCGAGTCCCTAAGCAAACCACCGTCCGCAACGAAGCAAAGACAGCACGGCGCCGAACCACGGGGAAGGAGAAAAAGGCAGGGTCGGGATATGGGGGAGACGGGGTGGGAAGAGAAGAAAGGCAGACGGTGATGATATGGGGAAACGGGAAAAGTTTATCAATTCGGATTGGGGGTCTGTCTAGCCTTGCACTACGAGCAGGCCCAGCAAAAAAGGAGATGTGTTTAATCTGCCAGGTGCGCAGGGGTCGGGCGGACTGGGGGAGTGGCAGTTGCCATCCAGGCAAGCCAGGCCAGGCCAGACTAGCAGCCAGGTTGCAGGCAGGCGCCCTTGTACTCCGTACCTACTTGCTACTGCGGTGCAAGACGCGCCTCCTCGCCGCCCTCGCACCCGCACAGGCACCCGTCCGTCGCCAGGGTGCAGGCTCTCTCCCCCCTAGCGGCTGCACCTTCCCGGGGCCGGCTCTGAACTGCAGAGCATGAGGCATGGTGACAGCAGCCGTCCGAAACTGCCTAACAACGCAGCATACTAGGTGGTACCCGCCTCACGACGAACAAGTGGACGAATTGGACCGGTTGAACCAAATCCTCATGCCCCGCTCAGCGTGTCGTACGGAGTACATCCTGCAGACAAGTGCCTCGGGACAGAAGACTACAGCCAGGCCCTGGGCAGTCTGGGCAGTGAGTGCCTCGGGCCAAGACACCGGGGCCGATGCTAGGGTGCCGGTTTTTGATCCCATCTAATCTCAACGCGTCCCGACTCATTTCAGCACCCACCACAACCAACCCTCTCGGCCTCTTGACATCACCCCGTCGGCCTCCCAACCGCCGGCAGGTCGGCTCATCACATGTCGACGCTGTATTTGTGGGTGCGGCTCCTCTGTTCTCGTGTTGACGGCCAAGTCCGTCATCCCAAACCTTGCTGCCACGCCCAGGACGCCAGGGGACGACCGTCATTGAGCCGGATGGGCAGACGGGCTGGACGGAGCAGAAGCGGGTGATGCACCGCTCGCCCGCCGGACCCGGACTATGTGTCACTCGTGTCCATACATGGCCTTGATGTCATTCCGCGACAGTCTGGCAGCTGTCTGGATGGTCGAGGGAAGCGTTCCTGCAGCTAGGAACGTTGCTTCTTCCGCATCGGTTCGGCAGGCCTGGCAGGACGAACCCTGTGGCCCCAGCCTCGGGACACGAGCCGGGCGGGCATTGCTTCCTGTTCGCTCTTCGCTGCTCGCTGACCTCTATCCATCCTGCGAGCCAGTGCCTTGGGTCAGCAGGTAACCAACCGGCTTGAAAGAGCCAAGACAGCCGCGTGGAGCATGCCGAGGGCCTTTTCTATATTCCCCGTTCCGATCTTTAAATGTGTAGTGCACTCCATGGGCAGACCGGGAGCCCGGCAAGCAGGCAAGGTCCTGTTGATTGAGATGAGCAATGCGTGCATATGACTGATGTGTTGGGAAACCGAACCATGAGCCTGGGACTGAGTGGATAGTTCGGAATGCGTGTACTGTGGTACACAATATCAGCCCACCACCAGCACATGCCCACGGAAAGATAGTGGTGAAATGCTTCCTGCTCACCAAAGCACCCAGGCCAATTGGCCAGTCGTGGGGTGGGTGGAGCTGCAACAAGAGGGCCACCCAGGCCAGCGGCCCAATCACAGCCCTCGAAAAAGGTGGCCCCGACAACTTCCTTTCCTCCCAACCGGCACGGTAGGGCACCTGAGGCTGGCAGGAGACTGGCTCTTGGCTCCCTGGCTTACCCGCAGCTCTGGTCGAAGCGCAGAGTGGTCCGATCTGATAGGCACCCTGCTCTGACGGAAAACTGCTCTCCTGCCCGTCAAACCACCACGCACAGCACACAACGCCCACGACCGCTCGCACCACTCCACTCTCCACTCACTTTGCGATTTGTGAGGTCAGCTCTTCCGCCCTCCCATCACCGCCGCCCGACCCGTAGTCACCCTGCCCGTGGACGAGTGCAGCACAAGGGACCTCCCCGAAAAAACATAACCATGTCTTTCCTCCGTATCGCCGCCCGTGGCCCCACGGCCTCGACCTTCTTCCGTGCGACCACCCTGCGCACCGCCGCCCGCCCTCTGGCCGCCGCCCGCCCCAGCTTCAGCACCTCCTCGCGCCTGCGGGCCGAGCACCACGAGGAGTCGTTTGAGGAGTTCAGCGACAGGTGAGGACGCCCCCCCGCAGACGCCCACGCGAAGACCCACGGGGCCGATGACGAGCAGAGACGGCGGCGGCAACAACACGTCACGTCATAGCTCAGCCCGAGGGTCAATCGGGGTCAATTGGGCCGTGGGACGGCGCCGAGATGGATCAATGGCTGATGGAAGCTCCCCCGATACAGATATGAGAAGGAATTCGACAGCGTCCAGGATGTTTTCGAGCTCCAGGTGAGTTGTGCCCCCCCCCCCGGCCAGCCCGGACGGGCGGACGGACGGAGCTTGGTTGCTGACCCTTCGCGAACCCCGACGCAGCGCAACCTGAACAACGCCTTCGCCTACGATCTGGTCCCCTCCCCCTCCGTCTGCACGGCCGCCCTGAGGGCCGCCCGGAGGGTCAACGACTTCCCCACCGCCGTGCGCATCTTCGAGGGTATGGCAGACGAACCCACCACAAAGCTCTGACCCCGTCGCTGATGATACAAGTACCGGTTGGCTGACCCCCCACAAACAGGCATCAAGTCCAAGGTCGAGAACAAGGAGCAGTACCAGCAGTACCTCACCGAGCTCGAGCCCCTGCGCAAGGAGCTCGGCGTCCTGCTCAAGGAGGACCTGTACCCCGAGGGCCAGGCCGAGCACTAAATCCAGAGAGACGGGAGGAGGGGAGAGAGATACCCGCGGCCGAGCGAACACCGCCTTAGCCTAAAGTACCACACGAGAGGTGCGGGCCAGACCCTGTTGGCCCTTTGCCCCTCGCGCGGGGACGAAAAAAAGGAGGCCGTTCAAATTCTTCTGAATCCAAGTTGCGAGGCGAGACTAAGCAAGGCCCGGAAATCTGTGTATATGTGTCCTACCACCCACAAACGAACCCAACAAGAAAAACCCAAACTTAGACAAAAAAGCAGCCAGCTTGGGACTAGTACCATTTTATCATAGAAGGCGGGAGGGGGAATCCTGACGTTGTTCACCGTTCTCATGATGGCCGGGTCAAAGTGATTATTTCTAGTGACGGCGGCGGCGATGTCTTCTATATCTATCTACCCTGCTATCTCTGACAGCAGGCGATGTACCAACGACAGCAGAGGAGAAAGACTATTGGGGGGGGCCTTTCAATCCTCTACTCTTTCCATCTCTACTCGCACATCCGACCCGGCAGCTCTGTATCCCCACGAAGTGAACCCGAGGTAGGGTGGATTTGGCATTGGCCCCCTCATACCCCCCCCCAGAATCGACGAAGACAAGGAGGAAAGCAACAGCGTAGCATCTGTTTCCGATACGGGACCACGGACACAACAAAGAACGAGTCAGCCACGGCGGGGGAGGGGGATGAACTGCCACCGGCTGCCCGCTCTCCAGCCCATCCACGACTCTCAAAACAACGGTTATGAGATGGAAGCTGCTCGTCCAAGGTTCCCTCCCTATGACAAAGAAAAAAAGGGGGGCTGTAGGCGGCCGGCTGTGTGGTCTCCCGGCAGCAAGTAACATATGTATTGTGCGGCGGGTGCGAACCTTATCTGTTAAATAGCGGCATGGCGCAGGTCAACACCCAACATACCCTCCTTCCAACATCACAGCCCTTCTGTAAGGAGGACATATTGGAACTCGTCAGCAAGCAGGACATGTGAGCCAGCTCAGCTCTAGAATAAGCGGGAACCAGTCAGGTGCTTGCGTCCTAGCTGGGACTCGACCGATGGGGAGGGGAAAATACTCGAGATGACTGCCAAATACAAGTTATATTAACTTAGGAAGAGAGAGAAAGTGCCACAACTCCCCAAAGCGGCCTTGGCCCCTAGCCCTCGTTGAGACGAGCGTTTCTCGCTCTATATATAAATAACACCGAAGACTGCCCTGCCTAGTCACTGCTAAAGTAGTAGCTGCTCGGCGACATGTCGACATCGTACTATCACACCCGCGACCCGAGGGAATGGTCCAATCTCACAAAGCCTCGAACCCCAAACAACACGCCCAGAAATCCTCCCCTCGCGTACCCAGTCTGATCAACGACCCCGTCCTGCTCGCTCAGAAGTTCTCCTTCAGGTGCGTACTCCTCGGCCCAAAGACACCAGAGATGGGGCCGGGCCCTCCCCCGCCGCCGACCCCCCCTCCATTCCCTCCGTTCCCACCGTTCCCGTTGTCGCCGACCGGGCTCGTGTTGCGGCTGGACATCTGGCGCACGCGCGGGCTGCGGGGCACGCTGCTCCCCCGGGTCTCGCGGCCGCCGAACCGGCTCTTGAGCCCGCGCAGCTCGTCGTTCTTGCGCTCGAGCTCGCGCTCCGCGCTCTGCCGCCGCTCCCGCTCCTCCTTAAGCAGCCGGAGCGCGTCGCTGCGCGCCGCGTCCACGCTGAGCCCGCGCAGCTTGACCGCGTTGTCCGAGGCCTTCACCTCCAGCTCCGCGACCCGGCTCTTGAGCGTCTTGTTGTCCTCCACCAGCATCGCCGCCTGGTCCGAGGCGTCCTGGTACCGGCCGCGCGCGTACTCGACGTCCTTCCTGAGGAAGGCGAGCTGCTTCTCGAAGCCCGCCGCCATTTCTCGCGAGGACGCGATGTCGAGCTCCCGCTGAGCGGCTGCCGCCGTGTCGGGGTTATCCAGGTTTGCCAGCTCCTGTAGCTTTGCTGCAAGCTCTTGCTTTTCTTCTGAGAGCTTGGTCGCCTTGGCTTGGCTGAGTTCGAGCGCCTTCTGGACCCTTTCCTTTTCCTTGAACATTTTGTCGCGCTCCTCCTCGAAGATGTTCCTATCTCTAATGGCTTGTTGGTACTTGGGATGGAAGGTTCTCACGGTCTTCACCCAGCCCCTCAGCTCTGCGCCTTTCTTGTCTAAGGCGGCCTTCAAATCTTTTGCCTGGAATCCGTTAGCACAGCTTTCAGAGACAGAGGCCGAGATGCGGTAGCCTACCTGAAGGACAAGATCCTCGAGTTTCTCAATTGAGACTTGGGCCGTATCACCACTGAAGGTGGCGTCTTTTCCGAGAAATCTCCTCAGATCGTCGCTGATTTCCGGTGGCGACTCGATGCGAGCCCGTTTTGGAGTGTCGGGGACGTCATCGCCCTCACTCAACCGCCGCTTGCGACTGCCAGCGGAGAAATATCGAGCCCTAAATGCCTTATACCTATCGAAGATATCCTCGGGGACCGTCTGGTGTCGCCATGTTTCCCATCTCGTCTCAGGATGGGTGAACCGTCCCTCACCATCCACGAGGTAGCGAATCAGGTCCTGCGCCATCTCGTATGGTTGCGGGATCCGCTCGTACATCCACTCGTCTTCAAAATTTGTAGACAGAAAAGCCAAGCAGATGGTTTGTGCCCGCTGTCGCTCGAATAGGCCCATTGCTGGGGACAGACGCCGGTTGATGTGCTCGAGTGTGTAGACCTCGACAAGCGAGAACACCAACGGCTGTTGTTTGTCCAGGCTGTCGGTCTTGTATTGGTGGAGCAGACCCGAATGCTCAGCAGTCTGATCGTATGCCAGCACAATGTTCGCTGTGTGTACAAATTGCGCATCTTCGATAGATGTGTCTATCAGCACCACCCTGCACGCCGAGTGCTGACCAGTCGGTGCCTGGGGCCAGCTCCCGTGGAGATGCCGATAGACAAAGCCACCTTGTGACACTATTGCTTCCAACTGCTCCAAGACTGTTCCACCCTGGGCAAGGACGGCGATCTCCACGGCGACATCACGCAAGCCTTGCAGTAACTCGTATACGAACGACAGCTTGCTGCTGGTATCCCGGGCATACCTCACCATTTCTTCCTGTGATAGATCGGGGAGGTCTTTGTGGTAGGGTGGTAAGTTGCTTAATTCAGTAAGATGCTGGAGAATTCCATCGATCTTGGCCGCATTCTTGTGGTCTGTCGACTGCGCGTTGCCATAAATATTTGTGGAGAATTCGTGTATCTCTTGACGATGCTGATTGATGTAGTCCAGGACTTCAGCGCGGATCCTGGCTGCAGGGGGAATAGGAATGATGTATTCGTTAGGTGCACTATCCTCGGCAGGAAGAATTTCGAGGTCGTCAAGCATGGCACTATCATCTTGCACCTCACTGGATGCAACCACTGGTTCCGCCTCTTCATGCAATCCGCCGTCTGGTCGAAGTGACAGATCCGGGGGGACATTGAGATCCATGGAAGTGAACAGGGCTGATGGAGTCACTGTGGCAGGAACATCGCTGCCCTCTTCAAGACTTGCTCCCATAACCTGTTTCAGGGCATTGGAAGGCAAGTCCAGCTCCTCTATCTCACCCAAGGCCGTTGCTGGTGGCTTCAAAGGTGTAACTGTAGTGTTCATCATCGACGAATCATGCTGAGGTCCAATACCATCCGAGAATAATTCCGATGATGCTCCGTGGACCCATGATGCTGGGTCCATAGGTGGGAGACTAGGATCGGAATGGTGCAGGTTCTCGACAGAGTCTTGTTCTACGCTGTTCAGGATCGCAGATGGCGAAACTGGCGAAGGGGGCGCATTTGGATCTGATCCTCCTACCGTGTTGTCGACTCCGGTACTATTTTGATAGCCAGGTATGAAGGCCTCCTGGATTGCTCTCAACTCCTCAATCGCCGAGCGTTCCGGCGGGGCAACCTGCGATTCATCCATGGTTGCGTTCTGAATCTTTCCTCAGAGTCTCTGGAACAATCTCGTAATTATCTTCTGATGCAGTGAAGAAATCTTCTTCGTTTTGCGTGTGGAAAACGGGGGCTCTTGGTGCTAGAGGCGACACAATCTGGGCAGCTTGCTGAGAGTCCTCGGTCGGAGTGGCCTCGGCCAGGGTATTTGAAGGCTGCTGGCTTTGGGAAGCGGTGTTGTTGAATGAGAATTGTGATCCAGAGCCGCCTGGCATGTAGTAATTGCCACTTTGGGAGTCTCCTTGAGTCAAGAATCCCTCGAGACTAGACACCGGCCTGCGCGAGACTTCGCCCTCTACTTGCGAGTACTCAGGCTGAGCTGCGTGCTGGTCGTCTTCCACCGAAGAATCCTCTTCCTCCCAACCGGGAATGGAATGTGTTCCAAAGGAGCCCAAAACGGTGCCTGGCTGGCGGGATGGTATCGACGAGGCAAATGATGGGTGCTGTGCGGCAGCTCTTCTCACGTGAGCAACCGAAGGCGGGTTGCTGACTTGGCCCGTGAAGCTGACACTGTTGTGATGGTGCGACAAGTCGGTGGAGAAGTCTTGAGAGTCCGGGATAGTTGTTTGGCTGAAGTTGCGGTGCTTGTTGGTGGCTTGTGTTTGCTGGGACTCGACAATAACCGGGTCTACGGGCTGGGAGTCTGCGATCAAGTCGAGAGATGGGTGAGATGAGGCGATGAAGAACTGAGAGGGTGGCAGTTCAATCTGAGAGCCGGAGTCAGGGAAGTGAGAGAGCTGGGATGATGGGATAAAGACAACGTCGGAAGGGTTGAAATCCGGCCTTGATCTCAAGAAGTCCGACTTGGACTGCAGCTCGACGAATATTCCTTGAGCAGGGGTGTCACCAGGTGTCGAGGCCTCGGATGCCTCAAGGTCGGTGATGTCCTCTGAACAGGTGCTGAGCCGGGTGCGACGCTGCTTGCGCTTCTCCCAGTCCGTGACTGCGTCCTCGCTTGCGTTCTCAGCAGGCTCCTACAATGGTGGTCAGTCCAGGGTTTGAATTGATGAGGCGAGGGCTGGCAAACCCAGGTTGGCAAGAATGATCCGCCAGTTCTGGGGTCGTCTTCCCAGTCGATCCTGTAGTGAAGCCTTCCGCGGATAAACTTCTCATCAATTATATCCTTGATAGCAAAGACGTCGTCCTGGAGGATCTCATGGCGTGGCCTTGGTCGTTTCGGGGTCTGAGGACACTGGGCCTTGGCCTGACTACGCGTGCGCATACGTGTCGATCCTGCCCGGCTTCGAGATACTCGAGTGCCACTGTTGATATTGTTGCTGCGACTACCGCTGCTGCGGGCGGTGGTGGTGCTGGGGGTGCTGGGGGTGCTGGTGGTCGCCTTCCGCTTGAAGCTACTCATCGACGCCTAACCAAGTCTGCAGGGGGCGCGTGTCAGGACCTTGGCCCGTCACGGTGCGCAGCAATGGTGTGAGGGGCACCGCGGAGATGAGTGAAGGCGTCTCCTGAGGATGTACTAGAGACTGTGTCTGGCCCAGGTTTGCGAGTGCCCTATCACGGCAGCAAGTCGATGCGCGCTCGTTCATATGCTGGAAGGTGCAAGTGCAGGTTGAGCTAAGGTGAGCATGAGCGGCGCTGCGGCTGCAGGGCAGGGAGGGCAGGCGTACAAGGCTGGCCTTGGCCAAACTACCCAAAACGGCAGCTACGGGCTCCACCTTATTATTGGCGTTTCTTCACCCACAAGGCTCAGGCGGCCCAAGGGGTCAGTCAGTATTTGTACAATAATTCCCCTCTGGCTCAGTCAACATCAGCTCATATCCCACTCCTCTGAGAGGTACCCAGACACTTAAGGATCCCCAGGCTTGGTCATTTGATTTGGCCCAAATTAAATATCAACATTAAGTACTGGTCAACTCCTGTCATTCATTTATCAAGAGAGCTCATAGGTGGGTAAAACACGTCGCGTGACAAGACCTACTGGCAGCCTCAACTCCCACCCCAAAGCCCATAGAACAAATGACGACGAAGCCCGGTATGTCGGGCCGAGTGGTGCCACTCAGAGCCTGCAGCAAGACCTGCAGAGCAGCGGCTTTGCGATCTGCAAAAAGGAAACAAACCTAGGTATGTATCTAAGCAGACGCCATGTCGCCTACTCACAGCCCTTCAAGCAAGCAGCCCTATCAAAGGGCATATCATATCATCTTGTCCTTTGTACTATTCATGACAAAATAATATCAATGATCCTCTTTTTCGCGGTGCTTTATCACACAAGCTACCACTGTCCTGGGTACACGTGCTGCGAAACTGATCATCAGCCATGCCTGCATTTCCTGCAGGTCCGTATCGCCGTCTCCGGGCCGGAACTGAAATCCAATGAATCTAGCACGTTTTCCTATCGGCCTATACAGATATCCTTTTACGGCTAAACCCGCCCCTCATAGAATCCATGCATGTTAGTAAATGCCCCATTGGACACCAGAACAGCTTTCCGTGTCACTAGTCAGCCCGTGGCTCATTTTCTAAATATTGACGAGAATATAAATTGCCAAGATATGCCGGGCTACCTTAAGCTTCCCCAAGATTTGTATGCCATTCGCTGTAGCACGTCTAAGCGACTCTGAAATAGAGCAGCTTGTGCATGCACAAATTGAGTCTCCCTCGGGCTCAAGTCTTTACCCGGGATGCGGGCTCAATATCCGCTTCTCGCGGTGGTTGGTGCCACCAAGGCCGCCCTGCCGGGAGATGCTTCTTATGTTGTCCCCACCGCATTTCCCACCTCGGTATACTCATCCTACTATGGTAAGACCATTCTGCCGGGTATTCACAGCGAGTGGCCGAAGATCTATATCCTGACAATGAGAAAGTCCAACCGGGACCAACACAGGAGCCTCAACCAGCCATATATGATCCTGTGTTGAATATCACATTTCCTCTGAATCTCACAGATCCCTCAACTATACCGACGACAGACCCGGACCCTGTACTATATCCCGTGGCTGCTGCCAACCTCTCTGATGCCTCCGGCGCTGCCATTATATCGGCAGCAGTGAGCGACATCCTCGATATAATCTCAGCCAACCACAGCGGGCTGGCCAGCAATTGTTCGAGATGCGTGGCAGCACTATCCGTTGCGAAGCTGGCGGCCAACCTGGCACCTGCCCATGTGCCGGACGCCATGGTTGCCCTCTGCCAGGCCACCGGGTTCAGTTCCAACTCCTCGTGCCAGACCACCTACGAAGCGGGCAGCTTTGGGGCCATCTGGACGCAGGTGTTGTCCAAGGCTGATGTGGCGGGCCTGGATGGGCAGTACATCTGCTCTTCTTTGAGCACGACTTTCTGCAGTGCGCCGCCTGTGATCCCTGTCAAGGTCGAATTCCCAAAGGAAAGGCCAGCCGATACAAGCGTGCCTACGAGAAGCGGGAAGAGGGCAAAGGTCTTCCATCTATCGGACATGCACTTGGGTGAGCACCCAAATCCTGGCAAAGGGGAGAATCAGGACTGACTCCGATGCCAAGATCCAAGATACCAGGTTGGCACAGAAGGGAACTGTAAGAGCAGCCCTTGTTGTCGGCCGAGCGGGTCTCTTTCGAATGGAAGCATGCCGGCTGTTGAGCTCGCGGCTCCTCTGTACGGATGGTATAAGTGCGACTCGCCGTATTACTTGGCACTCGCGGCCCTGCAGTCCATAGGACCGTTGACGGGAACATCTCTGGAGGATCCCCCGGCGATGACCTTCTACACGGGAGACATGGTCACGCACGCGCCCTCCCAGGCCCAGCTCTCGCGGGCCTTTGTCGAAAACGTCGAGGATTCTCTCCTCCAGATGTTCAAGGCCTACATCGGCGGGCCCATCTACGCCGCCCTGGGCAACCACGACAGCAACCCCGAGAATAACGATGCCCCCCACAACATTGACAACAACGGACCACTGGGCAAGCAGTTCTCCTGGAACTACGACCACATCTCGCAGCTTTGGGAACACTACGGCTGGATCAACAGCAGTACTCAGGCCGAGGCGGCCTTACATTACGGAGCATATGCGGTCACACATCCATTGGGGGTTAGGATCATCACCCTCAATACTGATTTCTACTACAAAAGCAACTATTACACTTTCCTGCACGCCGCGGATCCGGACTACTCAGGGATATTCACCTTCCTGATCGATGAGTTGCAGAATGCCGAAGACGCTGGTCAGCGTGCATATATCATAGGTCATGTCCTTACTGGCTGTAAGTGCTTTAAGAAGAGCTCACATGTGACCCGAACGGTCTGGGCGTGTGCAATGTTTTACCGCCCGGGACCTTGGGTCATACCCAGTGACGGTCTTCAACACTTCTTGCCCTTTCGATAAACATCAATGGAAATCATCACTGACAGTGCTTCAGGGGACGGTACAAATCCCACGCCTGGTGGGGCTGATTACTTCTATCAGATTGTAGAGCGATACTCTCCCCACGTCATTGCCGGAGTGTTCTTCGGCCACACCCATGAAGACCAAGCCTTCATCTATTACAACAACAATGGCACGAACCAAACCGCCGAGAATGCCATCGCCAACGCCTGGGTCGGCCCCTCACTCACCCCACTCACAAATCTCAACTCCGGGTAAGTGGCATACTTCCTTGTATCCTACGAAGGGCTGGGGCCCGCGTGACTGACCCTCCGCTGTGCAGATACAGGATGTACGAGATAGACACCGGCTCCTTCGAGGTGATGGACGCGTTCACGTTCTACTCGGACGTCTCCCAGTTCTCCACGCTCGAGGGGTCCGGGCCGACCTGGGAATTCGAGTACTCAACGCGTGAGGCGTACGGAGCAGCGGCTGGGTGGGACGCGGGCGAGCCCCTGAATGCGACGTTTTGGCACCGTGTCACCGAGGCGATGGAGAGGGATAGAAGCCTGGTGTCGCTGCAGAACACTTACCAGGGCAAGAGCAGCTCCCTGAGCCCCAACTGCACCAGCCAGGCGTGCGCCGAGGCGCGGGTCTGCTACATGAGAAGCGGTAGTGTTGGGCTTGGGAGGCAGTGTCCTCAGGGGTTCGGCAGTGTCCAGAGCCCGTTTACTGGCAAAGACTTCTAGGGTGGTAGAGGTAGATCGGGGCAAGAGGTAATTAAAGTAGATATACTTAGACGTACTTGAGCCTTTGGGCGATATTCTCAATCAAATGTTAATCAGGGTGCGACTTCTATTCAAGACCCATGTCAGGGCTGCTTGGGTCATTGACAGGCTGTATTGCATATAGAGTTGTGTCGCTCAGTTGCTGGAGATTTGTCGAATTTCAATGCCTCGTACAAGGACATCAACATATGCAAGATCTGTGCCAACTTGGCAACTCATCTTATAAGGGCAGGGGTTTCAGAATGGTTCCGTATAATTAAGCTCGATACAGAATTCAAGAAGATCCTAGCCGAAAATAGCTGCTATCGAACTCTTGAAATGGAAGGGATAAATGATCCAATGTGGAAAGCCCCCTGAAATCGGTGATGTTGTGCATAGACAAACAGACAAAGGTACTTGTCGAGGACACTACTGTATGAAGATGTTGGAGACGGAGTTGCACATGAACTCCGCAAACTCCCCTCTCCATGCAACTTGATGCTCCTCTCCCCGTAGCAATAGATTGCCACCAGAATTGCTCATTCTTTCCTCAGCGCAGCCACATGAAAGAAGAGGATCGATCGCATTGTGCTGCCTGCCTCTTTGTTCCTGTCAGATTTCCAGCTGCAGGATGAGATGACGCCGCCGCCGCCGCCGCCTCCTCTTACAGAACACAGCATCACCCGCCCCTGTGAGCTAGCTTTACAGCGGATGACACGGGAGACCGGGAGCCTGGCCTGGGAGCTTCAGGTGCGCTTGGGCGGGGATTGCCGGTTTGAGGGTGACCATTAATCGGCCCAAAGAAAGCAAACGCTCCGCAATGCCACAACAGGCTGGGAGATGGTGAGTTGACCATTTTTCTTGATGAGGATAGGCTCCAGAGCTGTTTGCGGCCCCTCCCCGCCTGTCTCCTTTCTCACACTTGCACCTTCTTTCGCCCGCCGGTCCGCTGCGCTAGGTAGGCACTTACAGTGGTCGTTCGCTGCCTGTGGGTTGACATCAGTCCTCGGTGCTCTCAGCTGCCTGCCCACCGTCCCCGCCTAACCCGCCCCAGGTGCTTTCCAAGGCAAGTGGGGCCACCCGACAGGGATGGTGGATGCAGGTGCGCAACTCGAGGTCGATCACAACGGCTCCCAAAAACTCTCCCCAGGACGACCGAGGGTACGCTCGACTTGCCCGCTTGTTTTGGCGTATTTGCCTCTTGTGCCCCCGGCGTGTTCATCCCGTGTATCTGCTGATCCTATTGGTACCCTCAAGAGATCCCCACGGCAACTTCGATCCTTTGTACAGGCCGGCGACTCGATCGGGCGACCGCAAAAGGCAGGCAGGACGGATCACGCTGTGGAACAAGGGTCTGCGTGAGTCTTGGCTCTTTTCAAGATGTGGACCTATACTCTGTACAAGTAGAGGAGCCTGACACACGTATCTGGCATAGACAAGAGCCTCCAACGACCGAAGCCAACAGGGGAACTGGTTACAGCAAGACTCCTGCCACGGCTGCGGATGGTCTCGTCGCCGCCGCGAAGATTCCTCCATGGTAGCTTGCAAGACCCAATACGACACACCATGGAGCTGAAGCTGAGATCATGACAGGGACCCGATCAAGAGGTACTGGTCTGACAGAAATTCTTTTCCCGACTATGGGTAAGTCTTTCGGTATCATCTCTCGGCTCCGTTGCTGAAGCTCTACAGGACACCAGGAGGAGCAACCATGGGCCGTTTCAATTTTGGGCAGTCTTTCTTATTTGGCAACTTCCTGAACAATCGACCAGAAGCATCTTCTACGACCCCAAAACGCGTAAACGAATCCCCACTCGAGAACCCACCGAAACGACTGTGCGTCGATGATGATGCGGCACACGACGTCCTCTCTATGCCGAGCGGCTCCGGACTGCCCGGGAAATCCATTCCTTCCAGCAGCTCTCAGAGGAAAGGCGCCCGTGAAGCTCCGAGCCTCCGGTCGAGCGATAGATCTGCGAACGGCGTGGGCCTCGACGAATATCGCAGCACGGAGCAGAGGGTAGTCGTTGGGAAACACACACGACAGAGGAGGAGGGACAAAGCACGGCGTTGCTCCGGCAGTCTTGGAGGTGATGGTGCTGATGAATATTTGCCCAAGGCAAACTCGACAGCGCCGTACAAGTCGCGGAATCACCTTGTGCACCGTCAAATGACCTCGGACGACCCTATACAAGACGACGAAGAAGACATACAAGAGATTCGTGCTCCAGTATCTCGGAAAGCAGTCACCAATGGCCGCTCAAATGCGAAGGCAGCTGGAGGAAATTCCATGTTTACATCCTCGGCTTTTGAGGTCTCTGTCGAGAGCGAAGACGAATTAGGTGAAGACCAGCGTACCCAAACAAATTCAAGGCCCCAGAGACAGACTGGGTCGGCGAGCCAAGTTCGCAATGGCAGAAAGCGACCTGCGAGTAGCGAAGTTGACGATGAGACACAAGTCATGAACCGGGCCAAACGGCAGACCCAGGGTGCAGACCGCGCCGATATGCATAGAACGACCTTCGGCTGTACAGCTGCACAACCTGGAGATCAAAGTGGCAGGATTCGCGTCATTAAGGCTGTCTGCGGTCCCACCCGCGTGTATTCGGCCGAGGAAAGTGTTCCTGGCTGTGTTCTTGTCCCAAGCACGAAGGCGGATCTGCCTTTTGAAGCTGTCAATGCTGCCACAGGAAAACCGATAGCCGAGCTTTGGTGGTTGACGCCTAAGGCTTCCAAGGTCACACAAATCACGCAACCTCGGAATTCGATGACAGTCAAGATATCGAAGCGATTAGAACCGAGCAGGGACCACAATGTAGGGGCGACTTTGTACTTGCAACTTGGAAATGCTCATGAGGCAGACCAATTTGTGAGCCGATTCTGCAATGTCACTGGTATTCCTGTTAAGGACAACTTGGAAAGGTGAGTTTTAACGGGCTCTGGTGTTCTCAGCACAAGACTGACCTAGCACAGCAAAACTCTTGAGGATGAGATGACACGCAAGTTATTGGAAATCCTCAAATTCAACGAGCAGAAGACAAAGAAAGCCACCGAGGCAGATGTGCAATACTTGGAGCATAAGGAGAGCGTGGCCAATCGCAGCAATTCCAAATCAGCGGGCCGGTCGGCGGTAATAGCCACACCGTATTCACAGCCAGCCGCGGACAAGAGGCCCATCCGGGCGCAGATGAGAGTTGATGATTCAGGCTCAGCAAAGAGGAGCCCTTACTCCAAGGTCTCCGGAAATGGACCGACATCTATGACACCCGAGCAAAGGAAGCAACTCCAAGAGGTTGTTGGTGAAGACAGTCTGTCAGATTCCCCACCACGACGATCTGTGCGCAACGAGAAATTGTCGCAGACGCCTTCTCGGTTGGGTACTACTCAGACTCAGCTGCGACCCCAGCGAAGTCTTCGGTCCGCGGGCCCTAAGCCAAAGAGTCCCTCTCCGGAGGTCGAAAGATGGACAGAAAAGAACCCCACCTGGGCCGATAGTTGGAAAATTGATCTCGTCTACGAACGAACAGTCGTTGGCAAAAGCGACGTCGAACGGCTTGACGAGGGCCAGCTGCTGAATGATGAAATCATCACATTCTATCTCAAATATCTCCACAAGCAACTGGAGGAGAGAGATGCGCAGCTGGCTCAGAGGGTTTACTTCTTCAACTCTTTCTTTTGGGAGAAGCTGAAGCCAAAACGAGCGTCGGTGAACTACGACGGGGTCAAGAATTGGACAGCCAAAGTTGACCTACTTTCATTCGACTACATCATCGTGCCAATCAATGAACACGCGCACTGGTATGTCGCAATTGTTTGCAACGCAAAACAGCTGCTTTCATCCCACGACACCTCGTCAGAGACAGACGAGCCTGGCTCGAAGAAGGCTCAAGATCAGGCAGGAGATGTCGCAGAGGATGCGGTTTCCGAAAGCAATGACACAATCAAGAAGATAGCCGTCGATGTCAGCCACATCTCGATCGATGACGACCAAGCTGAGACTACGTCAAATCAGCAGGAGGAGGAGAGGGTTCCAGCTGCTGCGAAGAAGACCAAAGTCCAGAGGAAAGGCATTCCAAGGAAGTACGACCCTAAAGCAGTCAAGTTGATCAGTCTTGATTCACTAGGTGGCGCACACCCAGGGGTCAGTACCGCGATGAAAGTTTATCTGCAGCATGAAATCGAGGCCAAAAAGGGGCTACACGTCGAGGTTCCTGCTTCCTTCGGCATGAGCGCACGCAATATCCCAACACAGCCCAACTTCACGGATTGTGGTGTATATCTCCTGGGTTACATGCGAGAATTCATGAAGGACCCGGACAAGTTTGCCACCAATATCCTTCAGCGGGAGGAACGAACCTGGGACTTTGACGCCCCCACATTGCGGAACGAAATCCGTGACCTTATTTTCACGCTACAGAAAGACTATCAGCGAGACCAGATACAACAAAAGCGGGAGAGGCTACTAGCCAGGCGCCAAATGCCGAAGTCGCAAGAGTCGGCCAAGGCTTCAGTGTCTCCTTTTCGGTATTCCGATGAACCAGCCGTGCGAGGATCGCCCGCTCCTCAACGAAACTCGGCAGATAATTCTCGTCAGGCGACACCCAGAGCAGCTGAAGCGGTCATTCCGCGAGCACCCATCGATGAAGATGTTCGCAGAGCTGATACAGAGCCACCATCGGCCGGCGACACTCCTGCCAACATCCACAACGAAAGCATGATTGTGAATGTCGACGAGAGCATCGAGCATATCAAAGCACCTAGCACTTCGGGCACGTCGGCTTCAAAGCCCGTGGAGTCAATTGAGCTAGATGATGAAGATGCTCCGCCCCCAGCAGCGAAGAGGACACCATCGACTCAGAAAATGGTTCAAGGTTCAAGTGCCAAGGGGGCGGCCTCTCCTTACTTCGAATTTGTGCCGCAGCTGCCATCATCGTCACCTCAAGGTTCACCCACGAGGGCTGAATCTCTCCAGCGCAATGCGACACAGCAAGGTTCTGACCCACTGGTCAAGACTCCAGGCTCTTATACGGACAAAACATTTGCTCCCAAATCTGGTGTCAAGAAACACCGATTGGAAAAGACCGAGGTTATCCCTTCTTCGAGTGAAGAAGAAACTACAGGCAAGGAGTCCAGAAGGAAGAAGGGTCATCCCACGATCGACCTCACCAAGGATGGATGAGGTGTCATGGGTGTCCAACCCGAGGCACGACTTCGTGTACAGAATTGTTTTGGGGGGCATGCAATTGAATGGACCTGGCTTTCCTCATAGACTAGCGGAGACGAGGATCACTTGGCTCATCGGTGTACCTGTGCTGAGACAGCAGCAAGAAATAGTAGTTTACATCGTCGCTTTACAACGCGAATGGCGTTGTCTTCTATCATCAGCCTGAGATATAGTCAGAGCTTTGCTCGACAGAGTAGCAATGCAGCGTCTCTGGTTAGGGCGTCAACATGAGATTGAAGCTTGGACTCTTCGCAATTGAATGTGGTGTAGGATAGTCCTCACAACCCAGTCCGAGGACAGCTGGTGGGATGGGCACTTGGAACTCTGTACCTAGGCACCTTAATTATAGCCCCGTACCATAGTCATCATGTATATAGATATCCTTTCAAGCGGGCTTCATGCACAAGCAAGTCGACTACGCAAAGATCACGGTTCAAAGATCCAATATACTTGTGAAAAGGGCGGGGTTTTTGTCATTTTTCCCTGACTGACTCCTTTTTCCCCTGAAGTTGCGCCTGCGTCGACCAACAAATGCTATGCAAGACTATCATATCATGCTCGAGTCCTAGTCCTCCTCCCCCTCCGCCTCGGACTCGTGATCATCACCGTTGGCCCGGGGGACCACCTCCTTGCGCACCCTCGGCACCTCAAACACCATGGCGCCGTTCCGCCCGCCCTGCAGCTTCTTCCACCGCCCGAGGCGGTGCTCCTTGCCCAGCGCGATGACGACGCACAGCCCGTCCCTGCCGCGGTCGCCGCGCTCGAACGTGGAGATGTCGTTGATGACGCCCTTGACGAGGCCCAGGGCCGAGTCCGGGCCGGGCGAGGCCGGCTTTTCTTTTTCCTCCCCTCCTTCTTCTTCTGTTTTCCGCGCGACGACCTCCCGGCTGCCGTCCGCCTCGGGCTCCTCCCCCGCATTTTCGCCGTTTGTCAGCGCCTGCCCGGGCGGGAACTGGGGCTGCGGGTTGTGCGCCAGGACGTTGCCGTCCGCGTCGGACGTGGCGCCGAGGACGCCCACGCGCTCGAGCCGCCGCTTGTCCTCGCTCAGCCTCCACACGCGGACGTAGCCGTCCCAGCTGCCCGAGAGGATGACGTCCGAGTACGGGATCGTCCTCAGGGCCGTGATCCACCGCGGCTGGGGAGGGGGCACCACCGACGGGTCCGGGTCGACCTCGCCCGACGACCGCTCGGGCGGCAGGGCCGGCTCGATGCCGTGGGCGTGGGGCAGGACGAAGACGGGCTTCTTCTTCTGCAGGCTCCACAGGGCTATGGAGCCGTTGTCGCTGCCCGTGACGAACATCTCGTCGTCGATCATGGCGATCCGGTCCATGCTCCCCTCGTGGGCCATGGAGAGGGGGTCGATGCTGCCGCCGGCGGCGGTGGGCGCTGTTGCTGCTTCCTTCTTCTTGTCCGAGACGCCGGAGCCGCCGCCGCGGAAGACCAGCTGTGTCTCCTCGACGACCTTCCACAGCCGCGCGGTCCTGTCCCGCGCGCCCGCGCTGACGCAGCGCTCCTGGGCGAGCGCGTCGATGTCCACGACGTGGTCCTGGTGGCCGAACAGCGTCTCCACGTAGGCCATCTCGTCGAGCGACCACACCTTGACGGTCCGGTCCTTGGAGCTCGAGTACAGCTGGTTCGTGCCCCTGCGGAAGGCCAGCCCCGTGACGGCGTCGCGGTGCTGGGTGAACGCCCTCAGGGGCTTCAGCGTCTCGGCGTCGTGGACCACCATCCTCCTGTCCGCGCCTGCTGTTACCACGTATTTGCCGTCCTGTGATGCTGCCACCTTGAGTATTGGGCCGGTGTGGCCTTGGTAGTTCTTGTCTTTTGATTTTCTGGAATCGCCCCGGCTCGATGCCACCCGCTGTGGTTTCTTCTTGGGTGGTGCGGGTGGTTTCTTGGGCTTCTTCTTCGTCGTCTGCGGCCACTGGTGCTGGGGCAGGTCCTGGAGCTTCCACTTGACCAGGAACATGTCCTTGGAGACCGTGTAGGCGTAGGGGGCACAGGTCGCTATCGAGTTCACGTTTTGCGAGTTCCACCTGAAAATCGTATGTGATGCCTGCTCAAACAGCAGCTCGCCGGCAAGTTGCCTGTAGACTTTGCCCTTTGTCTCGGCGACATCTTCTTGCATTCGCTCGGCGATGAGGTCGCGGTCAATTTCTTCGGCGTCGAATCCGTACTCGTCCTGGACTTCGCCTTTAACGTTGTCGAGATAGCGCTCCGCCAGTTTTAACCGCCGCTCTGCCGCGGTCTCCCCCTCTGCCTCTGACGCCGAGTCGTCATCGTCGATCCCATTGAACTCGTCTTCGTCGTCCGGAAGGTCGTCGTCCTCCGAGTCGCTGCCTGATATCGAAGAGTCACGCTCGACTATCTGTTTCTTTGGCGCGGGGTTGCCTGGCCTCCTCGTCGCCTTGCCGGCCGACTTGTGCACGGGAATCGAGTTGGAGGACGTTGCCAGTCTCTTTTTCGGACCGTCTGCTGCTGAAGCCTGCCTCTTGCGCTTGTTTGCAGCCCCAGGGGCCGTAAAGAAGGACGACATGGTTGTGGTGTGGTGGTGGCAGGTGCAAGTCTTCGCCAAAACTATGGCTGCCTCGACCTTTCGCCTAGGTAGATTGGAAATATTTTTTTTTGGCCAGGGACCGTCATCCCTGTCATAGGTACCTGGGGACTTGTGTTAGTGCCGGGCAACTCTGGCTTGCCTGCCGGCGAGCGAAGCGGCCCAGTGCCCCAGGCAAGCGCGGGCCGCGTTCGTATGCTCGCTACCTGGAGGGAGTCCTGACGACAGGCAGGCTGGAAGCTCACGCAAGCTGCTATCCGGGGGAGCTTGATACACCAACAACTCTCCCTCATCAACGCAACTCCTCTCCCCTCCCAAGTCGACCACACGCATAAAATACACAATGTGAGTCTGCATGGACACTGCACTCCGATCCAAGTTCATGTTCTGACGATGTGTTCGCAGGGAGGTTCTGCTGGGAATTACGGGCAAGGACTTCACCCTGATCGCGGCCTCTAAGGCTGCGATGCGAGGTGCAACCATTCTGAAGGCCGCCGACGACAAGACCCGAGCACTGAACAAGCACACCCTGATCGCATATTCTGGAGAGGCGGGCGACACTGGTATGGTCATTTCCAGGGAGCTTCACGTGCCCTGCGGTCTAGCTGACCATTCTCGCAGTCCAATTTGCCGAGTACCTTCAGGCCAATGCTCAGCTCTACTCGATGCGCAACGAGACCGACCTTTCGCCATCAGCACTGGCTCACTTTGTCCGCGGCGAGCTTGCATCGAGCCTTCGGTCACGGAAACCATACAATGTCAACCTGCTCCTCGGCGGAGTTGACCCCATCACACAGAAGCCCAGCCTGTACTGGCTGGACTACCTCGCGTCACTGGCAGAAGTGCCTTACGCTGCCCACGGCTACGCACAGTATGTTTTCAATTACTGAAATAACATTCACAAGGACGTAAGGGCTGACATGAGCAACAACGCAGATACTACTGCCTCTCCATCCTCGACAAGCACCACCACCCCGACATCACGCTCCACCAGGGTTTCAAGATCCTGAACATGTGCACGGACGAGCTGAAGAGGAGGATGCCCGTTGACTTCAAGGGCATGACGGTGAAGGCGGTTACGAAGGATGGGATTACCTTGATGGAATTCGATGATTACAAGGTGGTGAAGAGTGCTTGAGCGGGCAGCAGGGCGCAACACGGATGGGCTCGGTTCTGGAGCAAAAGACAGTGTATTATACCACGGAATTACACCCAAGGCATAGAGATAGCCAATGGAAATGATCACGATGCACAGAGCCGTCAGTGAAGACCTTTGAGTCAGCTCACCAGTTCCCCTGCGGCGGCGGCGTAATGACGTTGCGTGGGTGGCGAAGAGGTCAGAGATTCTCAGCAAGGTGCAAGGGGCAAATAGAAAACTTGAAGAACCTTAAAATTCTTATTAAGACCTCTGCAAACAAGTTGCAAGTGGATTATGCTCGGATAGAATTTCACATGACCTCTTCTAAACTTCTAGAAGAACAGTGCTGAATTGCGGCATTGCCGTAGACCGGCCCAGGCCGGTCAGGGTCTATGGGTCGGTGGTCCAGGCATGTGAAATCATGATAGCGTGACAACGAGAGCCAAGGGACATCTATCAGCCGCAACTAGTAAGACCGCGGAGCAGTGGTATTCAGTCTCGGCAACTCAGGCACGCTGAACGAGCGTGAAAGGAGTGGTGGACTGAAGGTGGATGGGAAGCAAAGTGAACCGTGAAGGTGTGTTGCAAGTTGCAGCCAGCCTGGGCCGGGGTTTGCTGCAAAGAGAACCAAGGGCTGTACCTGGTCTCTCGTCACACTCGACGTTGCAGAAACGGATTTCCCTGTCTGAGAAGCGCCTGAGAAGGAGGATCAGCCCACAGCCGCGATCTGATGCAGTAGCCGTGCCTTGCTGGGCAGCTGCTGGGGTGGCTTTCAGGCTGTCAGGATTGAGTGTGATGCTAAGAAGCGGATGGTTATTCCTGTCTGTCAGACTGCACACTCACTGCATTGCGTGTGCTGATGTTGGTAGCAGTGGCGTAGTATTCCGTAGTGGAACACACGCACGCAGCGCAGGTCGGCTAGGCAGTACTCCCAGTTGCTTTGTTGGCCCGCTGAAAGAACTTGCAGCCGGCGTGTCAGCCTGGCGGTGAGGTCTTAAGAGCCTAGCGTTTGCTGCGTAATAGGTATGACGAGCCTTCGGCAATCTTGAGTGGTGAGGCCGCTCTCGTCTCTTTCCTCGCTGCGCCTTTGGCCCCTGTGGAACATTTACGACCAATGTGGCGGGGTTCGCGAGGCGAAGAAAGGACAGGCGCTCGATTGCAAACTACCAACTGCCTGCCCGGTCTGGATACATCCAAACTGCTTCAGGTCGATACATAGTACAGACGGTGGAAACACACAGGCAAGAACCAAGGTTGTGAAACCGGTGTCATGACCAGTCAACAGGCTGGCGAAAAGCTGCCCGAGTGCCCTGCCAGCTGCCTGCCTGAAAACAAGACAAGAGAAGAGACATAGATCTATTGACGGAAAAGGCATGTGGCTTGTACCATCACTGGGGCCATTGCTAAAAGGATACATCTTATCCATCAGATAACGTCGTTTGTCAACAAGTATCTACTTAATGCTGGTCTTGGTGTCATCGTGGCAAGGATGGAGGGTGCCCTTTCAGGGTTCTACAGCCAGCCCACCCTATCGGTGGCGCTTTCCCCTACGTACGTGACCTAGCCTGCGCATGCTTGGATACTAGCCAACAAGCCAGTGAGCCAGCCAGCCAGCGGTTGCCGCTTCTGATGACTGCCTGCCTTCTGCCTTCTGCCCTGGGCCCTGCCCGCTCAAAAACTTGACAATTTTTTCAGCAGCCAACACTCTTCTCTCCTATCCTCTTTCCTCCCTCCCTTTTCCCCCCAACACTCACCCACCCAAAAACCCTTTTGACCTCACCCAACCTCGACTGTGTGTTCAGTTTTCCTTTCCTTTTTGAAGAAGTCATCGTTGTTTCTTCGAGAAGGCCACCTGCGAGGCTTTTCATTTCGGGCCACGCTTAATCGACAAAACACACCCCGTCGCGAAACGTAATAGACGAGCGAAGAGACAAGAAACATCTTCTTTTCTCTCTGCCCCGTGTTTTTGCACCTTTGCGACTTCGTCAAATAGACACTTGCACTTTACATTCGTCATTCATTCCTTGATCGGAGTCACCTTTGCGTTCTCTTCTCAGGCTGAATGACACTTGTCGGCGACTCTTGAGCCCCCCGACATATTGAACAACAATCAACAACCACTTTTCACAACACCAACCGCGTCAACACGATCTGTCAGCAACCTCGACCGCAATCATGGCTGATCAACTCAACATGGGAGGCCTTTCTCTCGGCCCCACCCCCCAGGAGCAGCACCCTCCTACCAAGCGATCTTACATCCCGCCTCATATGAGAGGTAGTCAGGGTCCCGGTCCCATGAACGGTCCTCCCGCTGGTGGCCCTGGACCTATGGCCGGACTGAACAGCAGCGCCTGGGCCAAGTAAGCAGTCTCATCCCTTCAACCCTCAAATCGCACTGCCTGGCGCGTGACAGCGCTGGCTCGCTCGTACAAATGCTCTGATACTGACTGACTCGTCAACAGCAACAACTCCTACGACAACCGTCCCCAGTGGAACGGCCCCCCTCCTCGTAACAACGGGTTCAGGGGAGGTCCTCAGTCCTTCGACCCCAACGCGTACTCTGGTGCCGGTGGGCACGGTGGAGGCGGCGGCGGCGGCGGCGGTGGTGGCGGCCAAGCCAGGGGCTCTGGGGATGGTCGCTGGCAGGACGGAAAACACGTTCCTGGCCCCGCCAACCCTCGTCTTGAGCGCGAGCTCTTCGGTACCCAAGACGACCCTTCCAAGCAACACACTGGTATCAACTTTGAGAAGTACGACGACATCCCCGTTGAGGCCTCGGGTCAGGACGTGCCTGAGCCTGTCCTTACCTTCTGCAACCCGCCTCTGGACGACCACCTGATCTCCAACATCGCGCTCGCCCGATACACCAACCCAACCCCAGTGCAGAAGTACTCCATCCCCATCGTCATGGGCGGCCGTGACCTGATGGCTTGTGCTCAGACTGGTTCGGGCAAGACTGGTGGTTTCCTCTTCCCCATCCTCTCTCAGGCCTACAAGACTGGCCCCTCTGCCAACCCCGCTGGCCAGGGCGGCTTCGGTCGTCAGCGCAAGGCTTACCCCACATCTCTCATCCTCGCCCCTACCCGTGAGCTGGTCTCTCAGATCTACGACGAGGCAAGGAAGTTTGCTTACCGGTCCTGGGTGCGCCCCTGCGTCGTCTACGGTGGTGCCGACATCGGTTCCCAGCTTCGTCAGATCGAGCGTGGATGCGATCTCTTGGTGGCTACTCCGGGACGTCTGGTCGACCTCATAGAGCGTGGTCGCATCTCCCTGCAGAACATCAAGTATCTCGTTCTCGACGAGGCTGACCGCATGCTTGACATGGGTTTCGAGCCTCAGATTCGACGTATCGTGGAGGGTGAGGACATGCCCGGTGTGCAGAACCGCCAAACCCTCATGTTCTCCGCCACCTTCCCCCGCGACATCCAGATGCTTGCTCGCGACTTCCTCAAGGACTACGTCTTCCTTTCGGTTGGTCGTGTCGGTTCTACCTCCGAGAACATCACCCAGAAGGTTGAGTACGTTGAGGATATCGACAAGCGCTCCGTCCTGCTAGACATCCTGCACACCCATGGTGCGGGCTTGACCCTGATCTTCGTTGAGACCAAGCGCATGGCGGACTCTCTGTCCGACTTCCTCATCAACCAGAACTTCCCAGCCACGTCGATTCACGGTGACCGCACCCAGCGTGAGCGTGAGCGCGCGCTCGACATGTTCCGCAACGGCCGTTGCCCAATCCTTGTCGCAACTGCCGTCGCTGCCCGTGGTCTCGATATTCCCAACGTCACGCACGTCGTGAACTATGATCTGCCCACCGACATCGATGACTACGTTCACCGTATCGGTCGTACCGGCCGTGCTGGAAACACTGGTATCTCTACTGCCTTCTTCAACCGCGGCAATAGGGGTGTCGTACGGGACCTGATCGAGCTCCTCAAGGAGGCCAACCAGGAGATTCCGCAGTTCCTCGAGACCATCGCTCGTGAGTCGTCGTTTGGCGGCCGTGGTGGTGGTGGCCGTGGCCGTGGCGGCGGCGGTCGTGGAGGCGGTGCCAACCGCGATTTCCGAAAGTTCGGAGGTGGTGGTGGCGGCGGTGGCTTCGGTGGCGGCGGTCCTGGCTTCGGTGGCCCACCTCCCAGCGGCGGCTACGGTGGCGGCTACGGCGGACCACCTCCTGCCCCCAGCTACGGCGGCGGCGGCGGCGGCGGCTACGGCGGTGGCGGTGGCTACGGCGGTAGCTATGGCAACCCTGGCGGCCCGGGTGGTCAGTCCTGGTGGTAAACATCACCTCAAAACTCGAGGTGTCACGGTTTCCTTACGGCATGTTTTCTTTTCCACTCGAAACCTTTCTCAGGCATTATTGCTTTCATCGCATACGATCATTCGCCTGTCGACCTTGTCCATCTTCACTTTTCGGGACAATCACGCGCGTAACGAACGAGTCCACTCGGATATTATGCCGGGTCTTTAGAGTTGGCATGCTCAGGTCCTCACACCGGTCTCAGTTATCAGAGCGCTTGCATTGGTTTTCTGCACGGCTCTGGAAACCTTCTTGATACCCTTTAGATGAGGGCTCTTCCGGAGAGCCAGGATGAATTACAGCAGAAGACCCCCGAGGCGTGCAGTTACGAGCGCATCATCATCTGGGGGGAGACTTCCCTGGATCTGATCGAAGCATTACGACGGTCACGTTTTTTACGCGCATCAGACCAAAAGGGAATTTGGTCTGATAGAGATGGATCACGGTGGCTTGGCACCGCGTTTCGTTAAGTTTTCTTTTGCTTTTACATTGGACGCAACAGGACACCATAGACAAAAGTGGATTTCTCGGATCTTTCTGGTCGGGACGCGAGACAACGACGTCTACGGCGAGCACGGGGAACTATGATAGACAAGATAGACAGGTTAATCAGGGTCACGAACAGCTGGAAGACGACCAATACTTCCATCACACAAGAGCGAGCGAGGCTTTTCTCTTTTCAAGTTCCACTCGCGGAATGGCGGAAAGGAAGAGATGGGGCTTGGCTAGCTCTGCGAGCTTTTATAATTGGCACGCACACGAAGGAAGATGCATGGAAGGCTTTTGCTGTTGCCCAGGCGGAGGAAAGACTACGCGCCGGCCGGGGCCTTTGCAGGGAGTGATACTGGTCTCTCATGATGGATTGACTCCCGACGAGGGAGCGTGGCAGAAGAACGTTCTATGACAGCAGTTTCCCCACAGTAGACAGGATTGTCAGTCCGATTCTGGTGGGCTGAGATCTCCAGAAAAAAAAAGTTCGACTTTTGCATTTACGCCTTGGTCCCCACTTCGATGTGAAATGTAATGTCTCACAAAGGTAATGTACTGGACTTTGTGCAGTAGTTGTGTCACGCCTGTTGTCTGTATTCAGGTAAATGCATAAGGCATCCCGAGGTCTGTCGTCCGTCAACTGGACAATGTTGCGAAATGGTATTTCACTCTTGGCTCTTGTGTATCCTTGTACTTGGTGGTGGTGTGCGGTATTTCATCTTGAAATGGCTGTGACTACATTATGTGGTTTCGCTTCTAATCCGTATACGTCCGAGGACATTAACGACAAGCAAAGTGCGACAAGCATGGACGAAGACGAACTGTGGCGGCAACGCCGGGTGTGGGACCTGCTGACACGAAGTTTCCCAACTGACGCAGACACGGTGCCGAACGAGGGACGAGGTAGCCTGTGTGGACTGGACGCGCTTCAAGATTCGATTGCAGATCTGGGGGCTTCTGTCCAACAATTGTCCCACTGACAAAGTAACATCTGTCGACTTCAGCCATTCCCGAGTGTTGAACCGACCATCCTCATTGTCGCCGAACAGCCGCACTGGGATAGTGTCCCTTTTCCCGGAACGGCCTTCCAACATACATGGCGCCTTTATACGGTGGTAAGTACTCAAGACCCAGCGCTTGAAAAAAAAATACGGCGTCGATAACGATAGTTATAATACGATAGGTGCTTGTGGCCTCAGCCTTGCGACGCACAGACAAGGCTAAGGGGCACCGTCTCGACGACGGCGTTGATCGTGGACACAAGTAGCTCACGGGCTAGTCGCCGTGTGACTACATTAGCAGCATCTCAAGTTGTTCTTTGTCTATTTCAATCCTAGTCCGGCATTATTATGTCTCCCTTTTGAGGGAGAAAAGTGTCTATCTCCAAGCCCATTGAGTTCCTCGAAAAGTAGGCATACAGGCTTGTAGTTGAAGAGTAAGTTGAAAACAAGTCTACCGTCTTGAACGAGATAACGAATATACAGTTCAAAATATTGGGATACCGGGAGATAACACACCAGCTCGTGTTGACATGTATGGAGACAAGTTTGAGATTTGGTGGTGGTACCCATGTATCATGAGGCTGGTGCCAAAAGGGAACTTGACTGACAGCCGATGGTGTTACGGTCTCATACGTGAGATTTTCAGAGCTTGTTGGTTTGTGAATTTTGTGGGACTTCCAAGTGACAGGCGACTTGCGCTCTCTGGTATTCACTTGCACGGGGTTGATGGAGGATGTAATTGGCTTGGGTTTGATTAGAAGAACTGACTAACTGGACCATACAGGACGACGACTAACTAGCGCATCATTGTGCCGCCAAAGGCCTATTATAGAGGTACAGCATGGAGATATATTTAACGTACAAGCTACTATTCAAACAATTTTGTTTTCCCCAAGACAGATATTTTAGTACAGTGCACCACACTACGCTGCTTTTAGAAGACTTAAATACTTGGGGCGCAGCTCTGTTTCTAGTATAAGATGTGTATAGTTTCACTTCTATTCTATATACATCTAAGAACATTTATAGCGCCTTTATACAGTAGTAAGAACTTAAGATCCAATACTTAAAAAGAATATAATATTAATAATAGTAGTTATAATATGATAGGTACTTGTGACCTTAGCCTTGTGACGCATAGTATAAGATATATACTAGGCTGAAATTGAATTCCTCCTTAAGGTTTGGAATACAGTTAAGCGAGGGGACGGTAATTGTGGTCAAAGCTATTATGAAATATTTATGCTTGAACTGGTCACTCTGATTGACCCAAGTTGATCTTAAGCTGGTTTCGATTCTTGGTTGCTAGCTAGTTGATCATTATTGGCCTACAGGTTCAAGTACTCATCAGCTTGATGAGGTAGATTCTGGGGTTTGAAGAGGGACGGAGGAAGTCGATGCAGAAAAGTAATAATCCTCCTTGCCCGGTTGCTTTGACCTTTCTTTTCGGGGGATTCTAGGGAGGCGGAAGCACATGAACCGGCTTCCTCTTCCGGAGTCTCGAGCCTCCTGTCTGAGTTTCTTTGACTCATGCTCTGATGCCTTCATCATAAGTCGATGCAGTGGGCATAGTTGGTTTCGAATGATGTCTACCAAAGCCTGAACACGCACTCCATTTGATACTTCCATCTACTAGTACTATAATCAAAATGATAGACGCACCACTTAATAGATCTAGGAAATCCTGACTCTATAACATCATATGTAGTTCCATATCAGTTCCCGCAACACCACATTTCACTTTCTACTTTCGCCGACTTATCTTAACTCTCACATCCTTGGTGAACACGAACCACCATTGATGGACAGTCCAGTCCATGCTAGGGTCTTCGAGCTCAATCTGTGGAAATATTTAGCCGAAATGTTTGCATGATGTGAAAATTAGAAGACACACAATGAACTGGGCAGGTCACATTACTCACATCATACCGGCTGAACAGCGTCGCCGTGACCTTGAACATCTCCATGGACGCCATGTGTCTGCCCGTGCATATCCGGTTGCCCCCGCCAAAGGACAAATCGCCCTCCCTCATGATCCTCAGCCGTGCCTCATACGCCGCGGCCGCCTCCCCGTCCCCCCGCAGCCACCTCTCGGGCCGGAAGACGTCCGCGTCCTCGCCGTAGACCTCCTTGTTCCGCGACACGACCCACTGGTTCATGCCGACGATGGTCCCCGGCGCGATCACGCGCCCGTCGGGGAGCGGGAGGCCCGAGGCGGGCACGACGCGCTCCAGGATGTTCCCCACGGGAGGGTGCATGCGCAGGCCCTCTCTGACCACCGCGTCCAGGTATCCGAGATCCTTCGTCTCGGCGAACGACGCGGGGGACGAGACGCCGCCGGCGTCTAGCTCGGCTCGGAGCCTAGCCTGTGCCGTCGGGTTCCTGAGGAGGTAGTATATGATGCCCTTCTGCACGATGGCTGTGGTGTCAGCCCCGGCCAGGATCTAAGCCCACGTCAGCGTCGGCCATCGAACGATCAAACGTGCCGCCTAATCTGGGTTGTATAATATGCCGCGTCGCACACTCACGTTCAGCAGGAGATAACCCAGGACCTCACTGTCCGTGACGACGCCCGGGTTCTCCTCCTTTGCCCGGAGGAACTCGCGGAGGAAGTCGAGCCGCCCCGCGTCCTTCTCGGGGTCGTGGCCGGACAGGCGCTCCGCCAGCTGCTCGTAGCAGAACCCGGCGGCCCGCCCGAAGCTGGGGAAGCCGACGGGGCTCCCCGGCCCGGAGAGCAGGGGGTTCTTGCCCAGGAGGCCGTCGAGCGCGGGCATCTGGCCGACGACCCCGAAGTAGTGCATGATGCTCTCGGCGGTCTGGATCAGCTCCATCTGGTCGCTGCCGCCCCTGAGGAAGCCGAAGTCCTTGCTGAACGTCACCTCGCCGACGACGTCCCATGCGTCTGTGTGTTTGGGCGATGATGATTAGCAACGGTCGTGGAGCCACAGAGTAATGGGGACGGGGTTGTTAGGAATAGCCGTAATTACAAAATTCGATCCAGTCGGCGAGGTCGCAGGCCTTGTTCGCATTCCTGCCGTCCATGAAGCGGTTCTCGAGCTGCTCGCACAGGGATCTGATTGTCTTGTCCACCAAGCCCTCCATGGCGAGCATGCTGTTCATTGAGTACAGCTTCTGTATCGGCCTCATGTATTTGGTGTGGAAGGCGTTGCTCCGTGTGCCAAAGACATTTTGGATGACCTGGCCGTCTTGCACAGCGTCATTGACTGAGTAGAAGTCACTCTACGATGAGTTGTCAGAGAGTTGATGAGAACAACAACACAAAACGAAGTCGGCCAATTGTTTGGTAACATCCCTATATTCAAGCTAGGAGGGAAACAGACCTTTAAATATTCCCCACGAGTCGAGTAGACAGTCTTGAGCAGAGTTGGGTCACTCAGGCTGACGACGTTGGGCCCTATCCGGACAGCAGGGCCCAGCTTTTCGTGAAGCCGTCTCTGGGTGCTGATCTGGGTGGCATTGTAGTGGTCGATCAACCGCCATATGTTTGTGAACTTGGCCAGAAAAGGCCCTGGGATATCTTTGAGCGGCGATGTGAGATATGCCAACACATGCCTTACAACAATAACGCCCAAGGCAATGCCGGCAATGAGAGTCAAAGTGTATAGGCTGGGCATGGCTCTTTACTGTCGGTCCGGAAATATTGTCACCTTTTCCCACGAAGAACAATAGACAAGTCGAAAACCATTGTTATAATAGGCAAGGCCGAGACAGTCATTTCTAAAGTACTCTGGACGGGAGGGGTTGGCCCGGCATTTTGTTTACCAGACCTGGCAGATATTACCGCACGCAAGTATTGCATGGTTCCTATTCTCGCTGCCTGGAAGTGGTTCGTGAAGCATGCCAATCACGCTTGTGCCGTCTGACGTCGTAGTGTGGCAGTAGTCTACTGTATCATTGTTGATATCGTCTCCATCCCCTGTCCCGCACATCCTTATTATTCTCAGGTTCGCAAGGGTTCGTGGTCTGGTCTGTTTTTAAGGTCCTGTCAGGTCAGCAAGGCTGCACGGCAGGGCATGGAGACACAAGTGGACATTTCAGAGCACCCGTAAGCAACGAAGCGGTGAATTGTGTCATATTTCGAAAACATCTTCCCTGGTGCTGTCAGAGAGAACGAGCTCTGTCCGGGTATCAGCTTCGCGCCCAGGGAAGCTTTACCCACATTCCCAACCTCTAATGCAGGCCTCGTATAGGCCGACCTATTACAAGATAACCTCCTAAATTTTTACAATAGAGGACAGCCTACCAAAGAATAGTCTTGTGGGTCGGAGAGAACAAGCGCTGACGCCCTCGTTGGAGGTCGGAGATCCTTGCTATGAGGTGAACTTAGACGTTGCATCGAACCGGTATCACAAAAGTTGACAAATGCTCTTGAATTATGCACTGCTTTTCATAAATCAGTGCTTCGTTGTGCCTGGAAGCCGTGCAATGATCACACCTGAGCCTCGAAAGTACCGTCGTTGTAAAAATCAAAGTTGAAGCCATATCATTTATAGCCGTACTGCGATAATATGGTAGACCACGTAGTTGAACATGTACGGCGGTACTGCCGTCCTTGAACCCTGCGCACCGACCGCCAAGGTACCAGAGGGCCCCTGGTCAGCGATAAGCCCGATAAGATCAGGCCCGACCAAAACTTTTTGGGTGGGTCCTGCCCGTTCTGCGACTTGCAAGCACTGAATGCAGCAAATCCAGTTGCATGCCGCCCCGGTTTGTCTCTTGATCGCCTCAATTGACCACCAGAAATCGCAGACATGGCACCACGCAGCAAACTCAAGATTGCCCTCGCAGCAGAGAAGGGTTTGACAGACAAAGTCAGTTCCTCAGATCACATGTCCACTTTTGCGACGGGACAGTCCGTACTGACTCTCCAAACTTCACATGCAGAAAGTCAAACAAATCAAGGACAAGAAGAAGCACAAGGCCGTCATAAAAGAAAAGCGCAAGAAGGGGCTCCTGCCAGAGCACGACGACGACTCGGAGGAGGAAGAGCAGGAATGGGAAGATGAGGACGGCTCTGAGGGCGAGGACGGCGAGGGCCTGGTAGACATAGAGGCGGAGGAGACCGACGACGACGAAGAAGACGAGTCCGAACGCGAGCAGGCGAGCACAGCAGCGCTCCTCAACGAGAGCGACACCGATTCCGAGTCAGAGGTCGACATGGAGGAGAAGATAGAGCGGAAACCAAAATCCATCCTCAAGAAGACCGAGAACCGGCGCAAGCAGCGCCTCGCCGCGGCGAACGAGGAGGGGGAGGAGGAGGCAGAAGAGGAAGACGAGGAGGAGGACGAGGAGGACTCGGACATCGCCCTCTCGGACCTGGAGGACCTGCCCGAGGAGGAGCGCGAGGACCTCTTGGTCAAGACCAAGCTCTCGATCAACAACCAGCCGGCGCTGCTGGCGGCCGTGAAGCGCATCTCGATACCGCGGGACCCCGGCACGTCGTTCGCGGCGCACCAGACCGTCGTGTCGTCGGAGCCCACGGGGCCCAAGATCGAGGACATCTCGGACGACCTGCAGCGCGAGCTGCAGCTGTACGCGCAGTCGCTCGACGCCGCCCGGCGGGCGCGCGCCCTGCTCCGCGCCGAGGGCCTGCCCTTCTCGCGGCCAAAGGACTACTTTGCCGAGATGGTCAAGGACGACGGGCACATGGAGAAGGTCAAGGCCCGGCTGGTCGAGGAGGCCACCGCCAAGAAGGCGTCGGCCGAGGCGCGCAAGCAGCGCGACCTCAAGAAGTTCGGCAAGCAGGTCCAGGTCGCCAAGCTGCAGGAGAGGCACAAGGAGAAGCGCGAGACGCTGGAGAAGATCAAGGCGCTGAAGAAGAGTACGTGGTTCTTGTTTTCTTTCCCCCTTTTCTTTTCTTTTCTTTTTGTTTCTTTTTCTTTTAGAGCAGCCCCAACATGGATGGCTTGCATACACACACACACACACACACACACCCCTTCCCAAACCCCCAGGACAGACAGACAGGCAGGGCCGAAGCAAGCAAGCAACCAACCAGGCTGACTGACACCCACCCCCCGGAAACAGAGCGCGCCGAGAACGGCGGCGGCGGCCTCGACACCAACGAGGCGGACCTCTTCGACGTCGCGGTCGACAACGAGCTCAACAAGCCCGGGAAGCGGGGCCGCGACGGCCGCGACGACGGCGGTGACCACCGCCGGGCCCCGAACCACAAGCGGGCCAGGAAGGACGCCAAGTTCGGGTTCGGCGGCAAGAAGCGGCACTCCAAGTCGGGCACCGCCGAGAGCTCCGGCGACGTGAGCGGGTTCAGCGCCAGGGGGATGAAGGGCAAGGCCGGGGCCGGGGCCGGGGCCCCCAAGAAGAAGATCGCCAAGACGGCGCGCCTGGGCAAGTCCAAGAGGAAGGCTGTTGCTGGTAAGCGGTGATGATGATGAGCCGCGTGTGTGCAGGGGGGAAGGCCGGGGGGGGGGGGGAGAGTTGTGTCCTGCTGTCGGGTGTGGAGGTGGGTGCTATGGGGTTTTTTTTTGGTTGAGTGTGGTACATAATGTGAATATCACTCACTGGGCGGCGCAGGATGAGAAGAGAAAAATACCAACACGGAAGCTGCCGTCAAGTATCCACACGTATTGGCGAGGCCCATCGATCAGTTCGTGCAAATTGGCCTGTGAAGCGGGCATTGTGCCAATGGTAGGTGGCACTTGTCAAGGGCAACAGTGGCCATGGAGTCCTTGTGCGCCGACCTGAGGAGAGCGTCGTTCGTATACAGCACCAGAGCACGGGAGTTTGGATTGGCACGCATCTCGCTACAAGAAATGGTCATGTCCTTGGCACTTTATGGTTTCAATAGTCCCATACGCAGGTCCATCGCACAGACGAGAAAAGCCATGCCTCTGGTCTCTGAACATGATGTTTTACTCAAATTGTCACTCGCATTCGGAGCTGTGGTACTGCCCATAATTACGACAGCAATTGTCCCAAGACATCCAGCCCTAGGTCACCGACTGCAATTCGATAGAGCACAAAAGTTTGGTTCAAAAGTATTGGTCTCATTCATCTCGACAAGAGGTCAGCGGTCTCCCACTTCTCCTTAGCTTCCTTTCCCCCCAGGTATCATTTCGTCTCCTACTTTGAAAGTCACCCGCTCCCTATGCAAAAGGAATAGAAAAAGAAAACATTTCGTGTGAAGCGTCGCCGCGGCGAGCTCTGTCCATCCTGTTTTTTTGTCCTTGTCCTTGTTCATCATGATGCAAAGCAGCAGACTTGGAAAAAAACACAAATACCAAAATAAAAAGAAGAGGTGCCGCGGTGGCTGAGCATTATATGTGAGACTGAAAAAAAAAACAACCGAGGAGCCATTATTGAAAAGCAACCGAGATGCGCCGTTGACGGGCCATGCATGTATCGTGTCATCCCAGAGGTAGTTGGTCACACTGGGAGGGATTCGACCCCCGGATCCAACTTCCATCCTGCCCTGCGTCTACCTTTCCCTTCTCACGCCTGTAAAAAAAAAGTAAGGAGAGCTCCATGCCCCTCCTAGACGCAAGTAAATGGGTCATTTGGGGCGGGCAAGGTTGCGAGGTAATGCAGAACTGTTGCCACCCGAGGGTGGCAATCTCCTCGGTCTGCAGCTGGCCGACCTCGCACCCGGTAGACGAGTGAGGGTCGCGAAACAGAGATTTGTTTTCGATTTAAAGTAGGAGGGTTGCTCTTCAGTCGTCCAATCTCTGACGAGAGCGTGAGGGATAGCCGGGGGTTATGGGCGAATCCAATTAAACCAAGGTTGCGGTGCCGTTTATTGCCAGAACCAACCCCTTGGGACCATTTCCAAGGGTATCACAACGTGAACAGTAGACGCCTCCGAATATGCGTGCTTCGCAATGCTGTTAGGCCGCACAAAGACCAAGTAGGTGATGCTGCAAAGTAGACATTATGCCCGGGTCGCTGCGTGAGTGCGCTGAATCCAATGATGATGAAAAACCAGACGCTGTAGCGGGTATCATTCATTGTGTTGCAGCGACACACCAATGGCGGTGGAAAGCCCATGCGCTCTTTTGGCACTCCTTGCTGCAGTATTTTGTCCGCCGGCATCGACGGCACTTGGCAAACTGGCGGGTGTACTCTTCCCACTTTCCGCACTGGTAATATGCACACTGGCGGATGCCACCCCGAGTGTCATCCTTCCGGCACAGGTTCCTCATAACCACCCCGGCCCAGTACTGCATATCAGTGCTGTGGTAGCGGACGGTGAACTTCTCGACCAGTGGGAAGATGTTCAGGTCGTTTGGCAAGAGATACTCCTCTTCGAACTCCTCGTCGTCGTCGTCGAGCTCCACCGGCATGTCGTCATTCTCCACCGAGGCGATCTCCTTTCCGATCTTAAGCCGTGGGACCAAATGGCTCTTCTGGAAGTAGGTGCGGAGGTTGCAATATTTTGAAACATAGGCGAGGAGCTGCAGAGACATGAGCACGTCCTCCTCGCGAGGCATGGCGGCCATCATCTGCGTGTTGGGGTTCATCTGACGGCCGAGAAGATAATGCGGGACGCTGGCGGTCGGCATCGTCGGCTGCGGAGGGCTGACCATCGTAGGCCTGTTGGGCGACAAGCCGAGCGTTGGCCCGGGGGTGGGAGTGGTGTTCATTATGCTCCCGTCCATTGGCGTGCGGTGCGTGATGTTGAAGGTTCCGTCTTGCTGTGTATCTGATCCAGTCTGGGGTGTCAAATCAATTGAGGTTTCGGCCAAAATGCTGTCTTCGCCCTCCATGCTGATGTCCTGAATCCCGACATCCTGGATGTCAGCAGTCCCTGACATCTCGGCGTCGGGTGACTCATCCGATTGCATGCTGTCGCCATTCAAATCGTCCGAGTCGGCGGTGGAGTTCTGGTGGCGAATGGACGGGCGGCGGCGGGACCTCGAGGCTTGTGCCATGCCCGAGGCAGGACGAACTGTCGGCGACCTCATCTGAGGTGGTGGGAGAGGGGTTGTCGGAGAGGTTGGCTGCGACGACAAAGAGTGAAGCCCGAATGGCATCATCGATGCCAGCCTGTCGACATCCCGCACGGGTCGGATGAAAGTGTCATTGTCCGGGTTGGCAACTGTCGAGGCAAGCGGCTGGATGGGCTGGCGAGGTGCGGTGGCAGCGTGCTGTCGCGGATCTTGCGTTCTGTGGTGGTGATGATGGCGGTGTGTGTGGAACGGTGCCCGCTCTGGAGGAGTCGTGACGGGATACTGCGAAACGGTGGGTGTGATGTCGGATTGTGGCTGCTCAGCCGCCGCCGATGGGCCGGCACCTGCAGGGAAGGAAACGGAGGTGATATCGATACTGGGCGGAGGCGCCTGTCGTCTAAAAGCCCTGTGGTCCACGTCTAGACGTCCCGAGCGGTTGGAAAAGCTACCAGACTTGGAGACACCGCTGTGGTCGTGCCGGGACCGGCTGGGGTGATCCTGCAGTCTCTTTTTCTTTTCTTCCTTTTCCCTCAATTTTTCTGTGACCTTGATATAATTGTCGAGGATTGTAGCGATGACGGGAACCATGTCGGCCTCGACGACCCTGGTGCGGACGGCCTCGGTGCCTCTAACTCCTATGTTGACGACACATTGGAAAGCCAGGTTCCATTTCCACATGTCCATCATGTCCTTGCTCCTGCCCTGTTTCAAGATACATATCAGGCGTTCGATTCCGCCGTCGACGGTGAGGATATCCCGGATGCGAGCAGAGGACGTTGTGAGATATGCAAGGTGGTTTAAAGAGTTGATGAGTGGCAGGGTGGATGTGCAGTCGAGTGCTCGTCTGTCGTAAAGGGCGGTGGTGATGCCCACCGACGCCTTGTTGACGTTGGGGATGCTGAAATTGACTTCCCTCATGATGGGCTGTCAAGATCAAGGTGATCCTGCGGGGAGGGCGATGACAACCAGTAGTGGCGAGACTGGGAGGGCGGTTGAGGTTGAGGATTGTACAGATTCGAAACTCCCAACCCCTTAATTAGGTGTTGCGGTCGGGCGCGTTTGAGGGCTATTTATTTTGAGTTTATGCAATGGGCTGGGCTGATGGAGAGAGGAGTGGCAGTGGAGGATGACGCAAAAAAGGTAGGAGGGTCGGTTCGTAATGCTCGTGCTTTAATCGAAGTAATTTGGCAGGCCGGGATGCAAGGTCGGGGGGGCAGGGTGATGAGCTGCAAATGCGAGAAATTGCCTCGAGGGGCGATACGGCGAGGTCGAGGCGCGGGTCGGGGTTTGTGAGGAAATCGAACGGCTCGACGGATTGTGAAGGGTAAAGGAGCGAGTGGGTGACCGGCCGAGATCAGGTAGGGATGGGAGAAAGGGCGTGGAGGAAAACAAAAAAGACGGAGTGGGAAGGAAATCGGTCGAGGATGTGTGTCGAGATTGTTGGCGGTGTGGTATCAGGTTTCAGTTGAGGGTTGGACTGGGATGGGTGAGGAGAGAAGAGTGACCGCAATCTGTAGGGCGACTCGAAACGGGTTATCCGTGGTGGCTAATGCCGCCTCTCTCTCCGCCCAATGTCTCCCGTCTCGCTGACGCTCACGCTCACGGCTCAGCTCACGCTGCTGCTGCTGCTGCTGCTGTCCTTTTAGTCGCGGGCAATTAGCAGCGGTTGACGCATTCGGCCTGGTGTTTGTAGGGCGGGCGAGGAGGAGGAGACGACGACGACAACAACAACAGCAACAAGAAGAGGATTACTGGCAGGGGGGAGGGGACGAGGAAAATTGAAGAAAAGAATGATCACGGGTCGACACAACCTTCAATCAAAGGAAGAAGCGTGCACGCCCCAAGCTGGTCTGGTCTGACAGTGGCTGTGGGCAAGCAGGCACTGACCTGACTGGCAGGGAGAGGCGGATGGCGGATGAATCAACAGCGAGCGACGGAAGGGAAGAGGAGTGGGGAAAGACGGCCCAGCCCAGCCCAGCCCAGCCAGCCCAGCCAGCCCAGCAGCCCAGGACCCAGGGCCCAGGACCCGAGCAATGCTTGTTGCACCAGCGGGCGATGCAGCAGGCAGTAGTGGGCAGGCAGGGCCAAGTCCAATTCAGGCAGGCAGGCAGGCAGGCGTTGCAGATTCGCCATACCAGCAAGCGGGAGCCGCCAGCGAGATTAGAGAGGGATTGGCACTCCACGCACAGGCTTGAACAGGACCGATGGACGGAGCGGGTACGGGTACGGAGTACTAGTAGTAGGTACTATTAGGCACTGTATTCAGGTGGTCTTATGCCACGGTAACAATACGCACACACCCAGACGACAGCCAGACAACAACACCCGGGTATTATTTTTTACTCCGCACCTTCACTAGGATCTCATATCATATACCGACGTCGACATAGCATACATGCCTAGCTATGTACGCAGAGACCTCAGTAGATATTACACATACCAAGCAGGCAAGGTAGATGTGCATCAGATAGGCCTTTTTAGCCCGCCACCGCATTATTCATATGCCCGCGTGTGCTGAGGCGAGGTACCGAGTACACCCCACCGCATCGCGTGGCGCGCCTGCATGTAATTATAGCCTGTTGCTGTCTGCCTCTGATGATGGCACATCAGCAGATCAGGTACATCTGGCCAAGGGCTATCAATGGGCACCTGCCGTCCCTTCAATCTACACTGCAACGGTGCCCAGGGTATTCATTCTGCCATCCCACCAACATAATAGTGGGGCACTTGAGCCCCAGCATGAATTATTACGGTGGTATTCATTGCCGCAAGATTACTGAACCCGTCTGTTGAACAGACTGTAATGAGCACCGAGCACCGAGTACTCCGTACAGCCCTTGGGAGTTGTCGTCAAGTTTACCTATTTCCCACGAGACGGGGATACCCTCTCTGTCGCGTCGTCGGCTCCGAGCGGGCTTGGAGAACTACTCAAGCACGCTCCAGCACGCTCCAGCACCCTCCGTCCCTTGGGAAACAAAGAAGGGTTCGCCTCAGCGGCGGGACGACGGGGCGGGTCCAGACCCCAAGTGTCCACTCCACCCAAGACCAGGTCCCCGACGGCTCGCTCCCCCTCCCGCTCAAACAGACATTGGACTGCTCTCGGGGCCAGTCTCGCCACCCCCAAGCCGAGAGGGAAAAAAAAAGGTGTGACGCTGTTCGCCGGCAGCACCTGCAGGCAGGGAGCCTCGGACGCAATGCCAAGTATCAGCATCACTTCCTGCCCCCCCACTCCCCGCCCAGCCCGCCCCGGGACCTGCTCACTGCTCACTGTGCCCTGCAGATTGCGAATTTTCGATTCATGCTGCTTCCCATGCTGCAGTCCCACTCTTTCGGTCTTCAAATCTCGAGACTGCCTACACCACACGTGTAGGGCGGAGTGGCCGCTGCACACTCCGTATCTGACTCGACCTGGGGGGCAGATCGGGCGACCAGAACCCGCCCGTCGCCGAGGGCTGGTGGCATGTGGTGCCGGGAGATCAGCTCCCACATGACATACAGCTTATTGTTAGATAGTAGACGAGCACCTCAGGGCGGTTGCCTGCCAGCAGCTGCCGCTCAGCCTGGTGTGTCCGGGTGCTCAGAACAAGCGATCGTCGCCGTGCTAATAATCCGGCTCGCTGTTTCCCTCTCTCATGGGGAACCAACGCACACTCGGCACAGCATAGCACAGCACAGCACGGAGCACACTACTGTACTTGTCTGTCGTTCTGCAGCACACAATAGTGTTGACAGAGGTGAGGGGGAGGGGGAGGAGGGTGGGATCAAACTTCCCGCCACATCGAGCCTCTCCGTTCTTGGCCAGGGCCCATCTCGCCAATCAGCGAGGTCCCGGGGGCTTGTGCCTCGACACAGAGCCGACCTCGTGCATTAGCCCGCGAAGGGCCCTCACGAGACGAGCGCGCCGTGGGAGGGCAGAGAGCTGTGTTCGGGCGAGTGGCTCTTTTGCAGCGACAGCATGCAGCAACAGGCAAGCAAGCAAGCAATCAGCATTGGTAGCAAACAGCATCAACACAGGGATATCTATCGATCGACACAGGTGCGGTGGCCATACTATGTACACACACACACACCCACCCTTGTGTGTGTCTTATTAGCAAACACGACTTGGCCGGCCGGCATCCATCCCCGAGACTATTGGGAACAGTGACGGGTGACCGCCGACACCTGTGCCGATGTGCGCTTACGCCCCCGCCGCCATTCCTCGCGGCCACCTTTTCGCCGCGGCTGCGAGAAGACAGGCAGGCAGGCAGGCAGGCTGGGAAGAAGAAAAAAGGGCGGGACCTGTTCCAAAGCTTCTAGAGCCCGGGCTGGAAAACGGAGCGCCCTTCCCACGTTGACGCTAGCCCGGCTACCGCTGCGAGGGGGCTTGGGGGGGCTTTGAGACACGGCGCCGGCGTGGCGGCGACATGACCGCGTCTGCTGGTCTTGTCCCCAGGAACAGAGCGTTCCTCCCGTGCGATGACGTCCTCACCAACAACAGGTCGCCTGTGCGGGCCCTTGTTGCTTCAGCGCGTCTATTTTGCCCGTTTTTGTGGTCTTTCATACTACACTGTATCAATGGGAGTGATGTATCAGCTCTCAAAGTCTGGTCAACGCCTGTTGGGACGGGGGCTCGCTTTGAAATCGAATGCGCTCCTGCGGCGTCTCATTCCACCGTGATTGGACCCAGCTCGTCAGGCGGCTTCGCGTGGCGCTGGGTTCGGCGCTTATACCGGGTTTTAGCCTCTCCTGGCCATGCCGTGCACTATTTGTTGGTTGTTGTCTTCGGCTGTCGTCGTGCCAAAAGAGTTTGCCATTTGCACTGTTGCATTCGCTTCTTCGATATGGCACTGGCCCCTCTTCGGATCTCGCGACGACTCATTATCAACATTGCTCTTTGCAGTGTTCTGCTACGTGAACGGCACAAGGTGCCGAGCACGCGGGCACGGCCTGTGCAGGCGTCCACCAGTGCCCGCCCGCTTGTTCATTCACCCGCATTTTAACCGCGATCTGCATTGCACCTCTCTCGACCCCCTTCCCGGGCAGCTGCCGAGCTGTCCAATTCGTCCCAAGTGGTTTCAGCCCCGGCCGCGACCAAGCTCAAATGCCTTTGTCCCGTCCCCGACCTAGTGCAGACAGAGACACCCGGCACGAAGTTGTGTAAGAAGTCAAATCCAGTTACCATAGCGGCGGGCTTGCACTTGCCGCACCGAAGGGCCCGTTTGGCAATGCCAAGCCTGCCCTAGCTGCCCTAAGCGAGTTTCTTAACATTCAGGGCAGAGCATGCGATGAAACGGGCCTCGTCTCGATAGGAGGGGAGGGGGGTGCAGGATATCTGAGCTCCCCCAGAACCCGTGTGTTGCTTTGATCTGTACAGTACAGTATCGTGGTGGGAAATCGCCACTGCCCGTACTCGAGACAGGTCACATTCTTGTCGATACAGTCACGCTCGGCCGGACTTCCCGCAGATCTGAGCACGACGTCACGCCTTCAATTGAGTTGCTCGTGACACAGAACGTAACACGGAATGTATGGAGGCTGCATGTTTCAACCTTTTGTTTCTATTGTTGCTTTTCCTACTGTGCGATCTCAGATCGAGTTCACCTGCCTCGAGTAAAACCCGCCTGGCAGCCCCAGGGCGGTAGGGGTCGGATCTCCATATCCAGACGGTGGGTCGGTGAAGCTCCAGTCCGCCCCGGCGGGTCTGCATGGTCTTTGTAGAGATCCCAGGGCTTAATCTGACAGCATATGGGGTTGTCGGCCGAGGGGGTCGACTTGCGCTGGGTACAATGTGGGTTTTGAGGGGACCACGGACCAACTTCTCCCAGAGCCGCATCTGATATTGCTGCCAGTGCTGCATGCAACGTACGCAGACCCTAATCCTCGGTCAAGGCCATTGTAGACCCAAGCTGCCTGTACAGCCTATCAGCGTAGGCCAGTCCGAAGGCTGCCGGCCCAGTCTTTCCACCCTGGCCCTCGATGATGTCGACAACCTCTGCCAGGACTATGACATGATCCCGAACCCTCACGAGCCCTCTGGCCGGCTCGTCGCCCATGAGGCTACACCGCAGCGCAAAGAGCACGCCGGGGCCCTTCAACAGCGGCGGGGCCGCCGCCGCCTTGCCTGATGCGTCTGCCCCCGCCTCTGCTGCGACGACCTCACAGCCACACTCATCCCTCAGCCTGCCAGCCTCGAAGACGCCCAGCCCGTCGGCGTTGCCCTTCCGGAACCACTCCGCCACCCTGGCGCCGGCGACGTCGCCGCTGAGGACGTGGATGTTGAACCGGCGGCTCCGCGAGACCGCGTCGAGGGTGCGGCTCGGGGTCGCGATGTTGAACGTGACGAGGGGCGTCGGGCGCAGCGAGAGCGACGTGAAGGAGGACATGGTCATGCCCCTGGGGACCGGGGCGGCCGCTCCGGCGGGGGCGGACGGGTCCGCGGAGGTGCACACCACGACCGAGTGCGCGAGCAGGCGCATCACGGAGCGCAGCTGTTCTGGCGGGGGCAGGGCGTCGAAGGCGGCGTCGTGGTGTGGGTGCGGGTGGACCGAGGGCGCCCGTGGGGGGGCGACGTCCCATGCTTCCTTGCGGGCGAGGGGGGACTGCGAGAACGACCGCCGTTGGAAGTCTGTGGGACGTAGCTAGCTGTTAGCACGGAGGAGCCCACTGGCAGGGGCGGGATGTAGCGGATCGTACGTAGAGCACCAGAGGGCCCCCGGCGCAGAGGCCGCAGCCAGGGCGCCGCTTCAGGGCCGCATCGTGAAGGAGGCGGGCTTGGTGTGTGATGATCCGCGCATCTGCCCAGTTGGCGCAAAATGCACGCTCTCCTCATTTCAGCCCATTCAGATGTGGTCGGACGAGGAATCTTTGCATTGGCCGGTTCAGACAGGTGCTGCGGGAGAGGGAAAAGGAAATCGTCATTGATCCCGAGTGCGAGCAAGAGGGATTAAAAAAAAAAAAAAAGAGGTAAACCACATGCCGGGAGCTCGGTAGGGGGAGCTACGATAAGCAACGCGATAAGCCGCGGTCGAAATTTACACCGTCCAACCTTGTCCGTCCAACCTGCGATCAAACCACGGCCGACGACGGGGCCAGCAACGAAGACAACCAGAGCAGCCATACCCACCAGACTCACCAAACCAAAGCCCTCGCGGAACAGAACACCGTCACCACAGTCCGAAAAAGGGGCCAGACCCGCCCTCCGACTCGCACAATGGCCAAGCTCCCGACAGCCCTCCTCCCCCGGAGCCTCCCGTCCTCGACGTCCGCCCTCCTCACCACCACATCCCGGCCGACAGCATCAAGGACAACAACAGCAAGACACGCGGCGGCGGCGGCGGCACAGCAGGTGCGGCACGCCACCGAGGTCGCGCGGCCCAAGCGGCCCTACACCTTCACGCAGATCGTCCAGCTGAGCGACGGGTCGACGTACACGACGCGGTCGACGTCGCCGGCGCCCGTGCTCCGGTCCACCAAGGACACGCGCAACCACCTGACGTGGCAGCCGTCCGAGGCGTCGCTCAAGAACGTCGAGGTCGACGAGGCCGGCAAGCTCGCCAGCTTCAGGAGCCGCTTCGGGTCCATGTACGACCTGGCCGAGGGGGGGCCCGAGGACGGCGCCGCGGACGAGGCGGCGGCGGCGGGGGGCAAGAAGAAGAAGGAGGACGCGAAGGATGTTGTTGGTGGTGGTGGTGGCGAGGAGGATGACAGCGGCGCTATGGATAACCTGTCCGACCTGATGGCTACGTACGTGAGGGACGAGCCGAGCCTCAAGGGCGGCCAGGTCGCCTCGAATCGTGTCGCGAAGAAGGGCAAGAAGAAATAAGTGACGGGTGCCTTGGGGGCCGCGCGCGGGCGCTTTGCTGTGGTCACAGTAGTGCGAGGGCTGTCATCTCGAATGACTTGTTCTTGGGATGTGGGATATCGAGGCCTTTAGAAGAACACCTGGCGGCCCGTCGTGTTGATTCTGTGGCTGCTAGAAAAAATAATGGAGAAACCACGCGCCTGCAATGTTCTATGTACATTACTTCTAGGAGACATTACCTATACACCGCGGCCGACCGCAGCATTTGGCCTTTTCAGTCCTCGGGGATTCATTCCAGTTCACCTTGCACGCGGCTCTTGCGCAGTCCACGTCGAGACAGACCGGAGCAGCATTTCAGCGGCCATGCCAGGTGAAGCTCATGCCCACGAAGCCGTGCCGGCTCAGCCCATGGTCGCTATAGCTATGATAGCGTCTCGGGGGGTCCTGGGCTCTCTAGTCAGAATCCTCGTCAATGCGAGCACGGGCTCGGTCCACCGCGGTATCCCCAGCTGGCCTGTTGCCGCCCGCTGGCTGGAAGACGGGTGGCTTGTAGAAGACGGTCTCGTCGTCTGCCGAGTCAAGCTGCAGGAGGAATGTCTCCCACTTCTCGATAAGCTGCGGAAAAGAGTCAGCAACCCGCTTTGATGTCATAAAGTGGCCTCACGTGCTACTCACCTCCTTCTGCGCCTCGACCGAGCTCTCCAAGAACGTCTCCACGCCGCTCTTGAAGTCCTCCACCTTCTCCCGCTCGAAGCGGTCCAGCTCCTGTCTCAACAGCCGTCCCATGTCCTCAAAAAGCAGGTGCGCCTGGTGCACCTTCCTCTCCGAGTCTGCTACCTCGGCGCTGACCTGGTTCAGGCGGTCTTGCTGAGACTTGCCCTGTCTAAGGAGCTTGTCCTGGTTGGCCTTGCGCTTCTGCATCTCTGACTCGGCAGCATGCCAGGCGTAGAAGGCCTTCTGGCGCTGCCCGAACGCTTGCTTAACGCTCCCGATCAGTCGGATGTACTCCTCGATGGTGATTCCAAAAGTGAGGACGTCCTGCTGCGCCTGCCGGTCGTACACGTCGCGGATGGTGATCTGCAGGTCCGACAGGGCCTCTAAGGGGCCCGACAGGGTCGGCGATAGCTCGACCGTTGAAAGCGCATGCAGTGAAGCTGAGAAGTCGCCGGCTGCCTCTGCCATTGACTTGCGCTGAGCTACCATCGTATCCATGGCCTTGAGTAGGCCTTTCAGTTGATTCTCAAGTGCATCAAGGTATACTCGACGATCATGGAACCACTACAAGTAAATAAAATCAGCATGTGACGATACGAACCCGGATAAGGCGATGGCGGGAGATGGCGGGAAAGCTTACGTCGTCTTGCTCCACGAACTTGCTGGTCGAGCCGCCTAGGCCAAGCGAGCTGAACATGCCCTTGCTCTCCCCAAGATTCGGCTCCCTCCTCTCCTTATGCTTGATATCCACATTAAAAGACTCGCTCTCGAGGAACAGTTTGAGATCCGCATCATGTTGTAGCGTAGCATGTGCAGCAGTTTTGTTGAGCATCTTCTCGAGGGCCGCGCGTCTCGCCTCGACAAAGTTCGTCTCGAATCGTCCGACTGCCTGCTTCTCTGGGGGAGGCGGTACCACTATGCCCGGGTTGTTCGCATGGAGGGTATTGTAGAGCCATAGGAAGTCCCGGTATCTCCTCTTGACCTCGAACTCGGATTGCTTGTAGGCCTTGGACGTGGTCTACATCAAAGATACAGCATCAGCAACCATTCTTCCCCACGCAGTTGCCATGCCACAATGTTGAGACACCCGAGGATGAGACATACCTTTGTCCGCACGGCATACACGATATGGCTGCTAGTCAGATCGCCGACCTTGTGCGGGTCACCGACGGTGATGGAGAAGGACGGCTTGGCCGCCTGCTCGACGCTGACGCTCGGCGGGCCGGCCCCCCTCCCTTGCACGGGCGTGGCGGCCTGTACCGGCGGCGGCGCCCTGCCCCCTGAGCTCCCCAGCCTGTCGTCCCCGTCGTCCTCGTCATCAACCCGGTGCGGGTCGTTCACGCCCCTCTTCTGCTGCTGTTGCTGGCCGGGGGACATCATGGTGCGCACGGGCAGCGTCGAAGCCATGGCTGCCGGCGCGGGCGGCTCCTTCTGCGGAGGCATGGGTGGCTCGCCCTCGGCGGCAGACACCACCGGCTCCGCCGCGCCCAGCGGCCCGAGGGGGTCATCTTCGACGGCCTGCAGCTTGGTCGGCTGCGCGACAAGGCGGCGGGGCGTCAGGCGGGAAGGCCGGGGACCGGAGCTGGTCGTGGCAGAAGGCGCGGCTTCTGAGGCTGGCTTGGGGGTCTCGTCGTCGCCGGCCGGCTGAGATTCGGAGGTCGAGGAGGGTGGTGGTGGTTGGGCAGGGGCGTCGGCCCAGGGCGATTCTCCCAGGGGGTCCATCTTCTATCCTCGCTTTGAGACTCTGGATCGAGAGATGACTGTCCGTGTTATCCAAGCTCGTGCAAATACCACAATGTGCAGGTCCAGGCAGTCTCCTCTTTCGCAGGATACAGTGGCGTCAAAGGATTCGTACGTCGTGCTATGTCGGTTGGACTGACTGCATCAATGGTACCTAGTCTCCAAGCTACGCCTGCCTGCGCCCGCGCGGTTGGCGAAGCTTGGGCCATCCCTGACGTACCAGCCCGCCCAAAGGGTACCTGGACTTAGGTACCTTCGCGCTGCCTGCTTGGTAGGAGCCCTGGCAAGGAAGCCGACTGCCGCTTATACCACCGTGCAGTTGTGTACATACTTGTCTTCTAATGACGACCTTGAAAGCGAATTATTATTACTTAGAAGCCACTTTTGTATCTTGACTAACCTCGATACTGTAGCTCGTGCTTGCCAAAGCTGGGATCACCAACTGCGCGTGATTCGTTTAGATGTACCTATCTGGCGCTTGATTGCTGCTGTCTGTCTCACCATTCGTGATCCAATGTCCACAGCTCCCTCTGTAGCTGCGTCTGCGATATCTCCGCCACTGGGAAGCACTGACTGGTCGGCTGCGGACGTTTCGAGGGCCAGCCAGTGGTCTTGGTGTGCTGGCCCCGGACACGAAGGCGGCAGCCACCATGAACTGAAAGTTCGACTTCTCGCCATGGGCACGGAGGCGGCGGCAGAGGCGGCAGCCACCATGAACTGAAAGTTCGACTTCTCGCCGGCTACTGGGAGGTTCTCCCCGGCCACTAGAAGAAGAGGCCTCTGCAATGAATATCCATCCTCGAACCGATGATTCCTGAGGTCCAGGCTAACTCTACAATATGACAAGACCGACCGTCAAATCTGCCTCCGTAGTGCCTCTCTCACTTTTTTGCAAAGCACCTCGCCTTTCAAGCTCCCCTAATAACGCCATTAAAATCATGGGGTATTGATCTCATCCCGAGCGACTAGAATATCAAATGTTAGACACGATAGTCAACCTCGACATCCAGGCTGACTTTTTCGAACTGGTAAAGGCTAGCAAATTCCCTCATGCCTCAAGCCACGACCCCATCAGAATTCAAGCAGGAAGCTGTATATATCGAGTTCCTTCGCAAGTTTAACCCTCAGCGCTCCGGCTCGTACACGCCAGCCGCGGTGACGAGGTTCATGCGCGTGAAGCGGACTTTCTTGACGGCTGTCTTCTTCGTAGGGAAAGCGCTGATTTGATCGGCCGATATTTGCACCTCCTTTCCCTTCTTCTTTCCGGTGCCAGTGCCCGAAACACCAGTGCCCGCGGACGCAGCGCCGTTGGTATTTGAAGCAGACGCTGCCGCGGCAGGTGGCTGTTGAGGCTGTCCACCGACCGTGATGCTCCGGTCACTCGGTCCAATCGAATCCCCGTTGCTCGCGTTGTTCTCAGGCTGGGCGGCTTGGCCCGTGGAGCCACCAACAGGCTTGCTGCCATCGGCGGGAAGGTCGACGTCCCAGACACGAACAGTGTTGTCGACGCCACCAGAGACAAGGACCTTGGACTCGACACTGAAGCTGAGGGAAGTAATGCCACCCTTTCCGTGGCCTTTGCTCTTCTTGATAGCGACTCCCTTCTCGATGTCCCACCAGAAAATGTTGCCGTCGATGTCGGCACTGGCGAGGACCTTGCCGTTGGGAGCGCATTCGATTGTATTGATGTAATGGTGGTGCCCCACCATGATTCGAACACAGTCTCCCGTGACGACGGACCACATTCTGATTGATTTGTCGGTCTCGTCGGAAGCTGAAAAGACGTAAGTGCCGTTTGGGTGCCAAGCCACGGCGGAGATGCTGGTGTCATGGCCAACGCAGGTCCTGACCGGTGTCGCGTGGTCCTGCATCCAGATCCTCACGGTCTTGTCCCAACCACCGCTGACAAAGTAATGGCCGTGGGGGCCCCACTGTACGTTGAATATAGGGCCGTCATGGGACTTGTAGATGCACAGACAAGACCAAGTATCGAGCGACCACAGCCGGATGTGGCCGTCGGCTGCGCATGACAGCAACAAGCGCGGGGCCCTTGGGGTGTCCCTTCTCTCGTGCGGAACGGATACAGCATCGGAGAAGGAGAGCCCATAGACAGGGGCGGAGTGACCGATCAGCATACGATTGTTTGTTGCTGACTGCGAGCCGTTGTCAAGGGCGGATTTGAGGTGGCTCCCGTCCATGCTCCACACGCGAATGTACGAGTCCATGGTGCCAACGGCCACAAGCTCTTGATCGTTGGAGAATTCGATGCAGTTGTAACTGCGGGCACGAAGTTAGCCCGTGCTCTTCAGGCCCATCGAGGGATATACTTGCCTTCCGAGGGTGTTGTGGAATGTGTACATGCACACAGACACAGCTGCGCCAACGCCGCCAGTTCTACCCTCGATGCGGAAACGGTCTCTGTGCTCTCTGATCTTCTCAATTTCACTCAGAACGTCTCTTGCGCGAGAGGCCGGTAGAGGAAGATCTGTGCGAGCGGGTCCGTCCATGCTCTCTTCACGCTTGATCTTGTTATCGAACTCCTCGAGAAGGGAACTTCGTCCATCGGATGGGGGGTTGCGCCGGTCTTCTTCCTCGATCTCTGCCCGGACCTCCTCCTGCAGTTCTGCCTCCATTGGCAGAGGACCGAGCTTCAGAGGCACATCAGGCGCGACGTTGGACCTTACACCGGTGAAGGCACCCGGAATTCCCTCCATCACGTCGCTCTCGTCCACACGAACACTGGGCTGGTTGTTGAAAATGGCAAAGAAACTCTTAGGATTTGCAAGCCCCCGGTCGACGTTCTTGATGATGCAGTAACGGGCGACAAGTTGAATCATAGTCTTGCCGCCACTTTCGTACTCCTTCTCGAGATGTCCCAAGACAAGATCCTGAACCTTGTCAGTCACGGGGATGTGGTACTTGTTGGCCTTGTAGAGCTGTGTAGTCTCGTTCTCTTTGACGTGCGCAGGTAAAGTGATGGTCGAAAGCAGCTTGAGGTCGTCACCATGGATGGCCTTGAAGTCGTCGCCGAAGTCACCCAGAAAGTTTTTGGCCTCCGTCGGGTATCCGTTCTCGACAAGCTCGAGATAAGAGTGGATGAACAAGGGCCACATGAACTTTTGGAGCTCAAACTAACAGCCGGCCTGGTTAGCCATGTCGGCATTGCTGGTGGGTTGACATATGTACCTTGTAGTAGTCAAGATTGTTATCGACGAAAGTCTTTAGCAAGCTGAATGCCTTGCCATAGCGCTTTGGGCCCATCTCGTCTGTGGATTTGTGCTGCGGCCGACCGTCAGGCCCTAGGTTGGCTGACTCCTTCCTGAATATTTCCTCCGTCCTGAGAAACCCCCTTTTCAGCAGGTAGTCGGTGACCTAGGAAAGTGCTAATCAGCAACAGGGCACACAAGCGCAGGACGAGGTCAAACTGATATGGAAGGAACCAAGATGAGCGCCACTTGGACAAGCTAAAGGCCCTAACGAGAGGTAGTCCGGTCGCATAGAGCAAACCGCATCGCATCAGATGATCCGCCCCTCCATAACTTTAAATTCACCACGCACAAGACGGTCCTTTGGAAATTCACCACGCACGAGACGGTCCTTTGGTGGCGCCATGGCCAACAAATTCGACTGGCGCGTTGGCAGGGGTAGATTGTACCCGACGTCGGGTTTCCTTGACGGTGAGAAGACGTATCTATGCCTTCCCGGTGAAACAAACGCAGAAGTTGTGGTCTGAAGAGGTAGCAGAATACCTAGCTTGCAGATATTGGAGGGGGATAAAGTTGGTTTCCTTGTGCGCGACGGGGTGCTGGACCATCCAGCAGAAAGGCCTGGCTTCTGCAGATGTGGTCGCCTTATCGGCAGGACGGCTGGCTCGCTCGCCCACAGTTTGCCCAGCTTGCCAGCTTGCCAGCTTGAGCTTCTTACCTACCTTGAAGCGCAACAACTTCCATTTTTCCACCCATATCCATTGCCAGTCCATGGACGAATAAAAGTGAAATAAAAGAGCATGCAGTCCTCCAAAAGAAAGAAAAGTACTCATCGCACAAAGACACTACAGAGAATTGACACATGTGCCAGCCGGGCTCACACTTCAATAATGGCAAGGTGATGCCCTTAAAGAGTCGGGTAACCTCCACTTAGAGTGTCCCCTTTCCGGTTACTGCAGGTCCGAAAATCACAAACACAACAAAGATAGGCGCAGGGAGATGGGAGAATGCCCCAGGTCACAGTTGGGAAACCGAAAGACTCACGATCTGGTTGAGGTTCTGCGTGGATTGGGGAGCAGGAGCAGGGGGTGCTGATGGCGCCTGGCCAGTAGCAGAACTTGCTCCTCCATGGTGAGCCTGCCCTCCATAACCTCCCCCGGCTTGCCCAGCACCGGCGGAGCTGGGAGCACCTGAGGCCGACATAACGGGCGATTGACGCAGCTGAAGCCAGTCCCTCGTCTATCTGGTCTGCCGATTCGAGTCTGGGCGTGTTCTGTGTTTCGCTGGAGCTCTGACTGGCTTGGCGGAGATGCTCGCGAGTGAGCTCCTTCTCTGTTGAAACCGGTACTTCCAGCAGTTTTGGAACCAGTTCCGGAGGGTTGGAGCAGAATAAGGATATTTAAAAGGGACCGGAGTAGTGGTCTGTTGATACAACAATATTTCCAGATGACGTTGCCGATGAAATCGGGCTGTGGAGTGGTAGGGTTGGCGACCGTATCGTGCAGATGCGTGTTGAGGCTCTGCAGCATTCGAGAGCTGTCGTGCCTGGGTCCCTCGGGCCAATGAGAGCAGCTTCTGCTCTGGCCCAGAGGACGCGCCTGGTACGCCCATGCTCCCGGCTCCGGGGACTGCTGATCCCTGTCCTATGTCACCATGGGAGCCCCGCCAGCCGCCCGACCCCAGGCCGGCCGTGGGCTCTTCCCCGCTGTCGGCCTACCCCTATGGAACTCTGGGCGTGGCGAGCCTCGGCCCAAAACTGGGGAAACAGGGTACCTCGGAAGGTCTATTACCAAACTGTCGAGGGGTGGTCCAACATACTCCTCCTTCTCTTCCACTTCTCTTGATTCTCATCCTCATAGCCCTTGTTTCACACTGGATCACACATATCAGTGTTCCTCAAGAGCCTACGAAGCCACCATCAAATCATCATGTCGTCCAGAATCCCAGAGATCGTGAGTCTAGCATTGCCGGCCCGTATCAGAACCCCTAACCTGTTCCAAACGTGCCGTGGCTAAACGCATGGCGATCTGTAGTGCAAGAACCGTGTGAGCGATCGGGCAAAGAAGACGTTGGACATCGTTGCCAAGTTTGTAGAAGAAGAATGCATCCCGTGAGCTATAGTCCCTGAAACAACATGGCCGAGCCGGCAAAGCTGACAGATTGCAGAGCTGATCCAGTCCTCGAGGCCCAGATAGGCTCTGGGGACGCGAGATGGGACCACTACCCCACCATTATTGATGAGCTCAAGCAGAAGGCCCGTTCTCTTGGTCTTTGGAACATGTTCCTGCCCAAGGGCCACTATAAGGAGTCCCCAGGTTTTACAAACCTCGAGTATGGCCTCATGGCAGAGTGGCTCGGCAGGTCCAAGGCTGCTTCGGAAGCAGTCAATTGCGCCGCCCCTGACACTGGAAACATGGAAGTGTTGGCCAAGTACGGAAATGACGCTCAAAAGGCACAGTGGCTGCAGCCTCTACTGGATGGCAAGATCCGCTCCGCCTTCCTGATGACTGAGCCTCAAGTGGCTTCGAGTGATGCCACTAATATTGAGCTGGAGATTCGTAAGGAGGGAAATGAATATGTTTTGAATGGCCAGGTAAGTGATCTATCGGGTTCGGCTTTTATGGGGATAATCTTTGCTGATCATCTTGACAGAAATGGTGGTCCAGCGGCGCAGGAGACCCCAGGTGCAAGATCTATATTGTCATGGGCAAGTCTGATGCCCAAAACAAGGACCCCTACCGCCAGCAATCCGTGGTTCTCGTACCGGCAGACACGAAGGGTATCACGATCCACCGCATGCTGAACGTTTACGGGTACGACGATGCGCCCCACGGCCATGGGCACATCTCTTTCAAGGATGTCCGCGTCCCTGTCAGCAGCCTCGTGCTGGGCGAGGGCCGCGGTTTCGAAATCATCCAGGGCAGACTCGGCCCTGGCCGTATTCACCACGCTATGCGTACCATTGGCGCGGTAAGTGCACCCGCGATCTACAGCATGCATTCCAGGACGTGAGACAGCAAGCTGACCCTGTGAGCAACTAGGCCGAGAAAGCTCTCGAGTGGATGTTGATGCGCATCAACGACCCCACCAAGACCCCCTTCAAGAAGCAGCTGCGCGAGCACGGCGTGATTCTCGAATGGGTCGCCAAGTCCCGCCTCGAGATCGACGCCGCCCGCCTCGTCGTGCTCAACGCCGCCATCACCATGGACGACCACGGGCCGAAGGGGGCCCTGAAGGATATCGCGGAGGCCAAGGTCCTCGTGCCGCAGATGGCACTGACGGTGATCGACCGCGCGGTGCAGTCGTTCGGCGGCGCTGGTGTCAGCCAGGACACGCCGCTGGCGTACATGTGGGCGGGTATCCGCACGCTGCGCCTTGCGGACGGGCCGGACGAGGTACATCTCCAGCAGATGGGCAGGAACGAAAACAAGAGGGGCAAGGAGGTTACAGCCAAGATCCTGGCGCAGCAGAAGAAGACGGAGGAGCTGCTTAAGCAATACGGGCTGAAGCACGCGCAGCCGGGCCAGAACATCCAGAAGTCCAAGCTTTAGATGTTTTGCTGCTATGTATTTAGAAAGCCCAGACAAATTCAAAATTGATGATCGTGTCCCTTGAAAACTCAGCAATGTTTACATAGATAGATATTGACTAGCATAAGATCCTATGTGATGTTCTGAAATAGTCTCTGCAAGACAACCCTGCCTGGAACCATACCCCGTGAACCAATGTTGCAGATAATATAGTTTGTTCTCTTATACACGTGTACTTGATGAATATGTATTGACTCATCGCCAATAAAACAGATTGGTATTTCTTAACACAAGCATAATCACTACTAGGCCATGCCAGGATTCATACCATGCTCTGCAACGCTGCCAGCCAGCCAGCAGTGAATCAATGCCCTTGGACCCCGGGACTTGAATTCCGGCACAATTTCCAGTGCAGATCGCAAAGCCGACTGTCCTCTCGTGTGGGTGTTGCCGGGGCCGTTGACCCGCTGTAATGCTGTCATGGTGGAGCTGAACGGAAGGACAGGGGTCGGGTGCTATGCACCTGCAGGGGCTAGTAGTGACTCTTGTAGTGACTCCTGCCCGGTGGGAGGGCAAAAAGTTCACGGTTGCCCCGGACGACAGGGCCCCTAAAAGTAAACAACCGGCCGTTCACTGACATTGCCGCTCACACACCCTGCAGCCGATGACCTTTAAGAACCCTCAAGTTCTTTGAGGTGCAATCCACAGTCCCGTTTGACTAAACACAGACCCTTCATCGAGCATCCACAATCCTAAGAAGCCCCTCCTCTTTTCTGTCGTGCAGCGGAAATAAGAAAGCCACATCGCAACCCGTCTGCATCTGTTCTATTGCGTACACTGCATCCACCAACACAAACAAACCCCACCAGCAAGACATTTGTCCAAAAGCGTCTGTTGTTGTTCCGCACAGGAACTGTTAGCGATACCCATCACAATCCAGGCCAAAATGTCTTCTGTCACCAGCAACACCGGCGCCAACGTACTGGGCGCAAAGGACGCCAACCTACCCGTGGCCGCCGCTGCTGCTCCCAACACCAAGGACTCGTCTGTCAAGAGCATGGAGTACCACCGCCAGGTTCTACAGTCCAAGATGGAGGCCCAGCAGTAGGTTTTTTTCTTTCTTTCCTCTCTCCTCAATTGCTTTTTCAAGAGTATCCACAACTAACCTGCGATCCCAGGTCTGGAACCAACTATGTCTCCCCGTCGGACGAGATCATGTCGCCTTGCACGGCCAAGCTCAATGCCTTCCGTAACAAGCAGGTTGGCAAGTACGTGTCACCAAACCCCGTGAACGAACCCAGATGAGGGATGTATTCGCTAACGGTACTTTCAACGCAGGGTCAAGCCCAAGTCCCTCTTCGCCCAAGCGTCATCTAAGAGGTTGCGCAACAGCAGCGAGGGTCTCTTTGGCCCCAAGGCCGACGCCCAGCCAGCCAACAAGGCATAGGCGATGGGTCGTGGTTCTTCGTGCTACTCGTTCTATCGAAGACAAAAACAGTTCTCCTTTGTAGGATTTGGGTGTTGGGCCCTTCTTCTCTAAGCCCTCACAGGATTGGGTTCTCCGGCAACTGATGCCATTCGCTTTGGATGCCCGTAATGCTGGGGCCGGCGTGCCCTGGTTCACTTAATTGGTGACGGACGGGCTCTCGGTTAGGGTTTGGCTGGCTGGATCGGTGGTCCCCAAGGTTTCCAGGGCATCGGCGTTTGACAGGAAGAGGCAACTATACCAGTGATGCATTTTGATGGGTTAGGGAGGAGCGGACAGGACGGGAGAAACTGAGATCCCCCACCTCCCCTCCGGGTAACGAATTGATGAACAGCATAAACAGACTGCCCGAGAATGGCCAAGCGTAGACACGCATGTTTCTTTTCTTGCCAAATGAGAAAGTTTTTTGATTCAGAAGTGATGGATTCCCTCACGCCTTCCACGCGGTCGAGATATACACAACATCCTCATCTGCCACCACATGGCCCAGGCCGACCCGCTGCGGCACGTGCTTGGCGCTCGCACCCCACACCATGGCGAACTTGAAGGTGTCCTTGAGGGTCCTGTGGATGCGGTCACACACGTCCTCGACGGTGCTGCCGCTCCTCACGATCAGCGCCTCGCTAAAGTCCGGGTCGATGCCCTGCCGCTTGGTGTAGATCCGCATCAGCGCCAGCTCCTTCCAGCACCTGTCCACCACGTCCTGGATGCCCAGGTCGAGCTCACAACTCATGACCACGGTGTTGGGCTCGCGCGCCAGCCGGTCCAGGAAGTCTAGGCTGACGGAATCGATCTTGTTGTAGACGTACAGGCACTGGAGGTCATATTAGTAAGTGGGTCGGTCCCACGCATGGGAATGGTGACGAAGGGAGAGGTGACTCGTCTTCGACTCACTTTGATGTATGTCCGGTGGTTCTTCATGATGACATCGATCAAATCATCCACCGTTGCCTCGTCATCACGAATGAGGACCTCACAGTTGAGTATCTTGTAGTCACGCAAGATGTTGTACACCATCTTCTCGTCGAGGTTCTTGGGTGGATTTTGGAAGTTGATCTTCATGCCGCCCGCCTTCTTTTGCTTCAGGTAAATGTTCCTGCAGTTTCGCGGTCAGCGACGGTCTCAACAGGAGCGTCCATCTGCAGGACACGACTCACGGTGGCTCTCTGTTCAAGCGGATGCCAACAGCCTCCAACTCGGCCTCGAGCAGGGCCCTCTGCTCCGCCCTCTTTGTGGCATCCAGCACCATCAGGATCAGATCACTCGTCTTGGCCGCGGAAATGACCTGTCTCCCTCGGCCCTTTCCTTCTGACGCGCCCTCGATGATACCGGGCAGGTCCAGAAGCTGGATCTCGGCGCCTCCGTACTCCAGCACACCGGGGATGGCCGTGAGCGTCGTGAAGGCGTAGCTCGCGACCTCCGACTTGGTCTTGGTGACTTTCGACAGGAAGGTCGACTTTCCCACGGATGGGAATCCCACCAGCGCTATGCGTGCATCACCGCTCTTGCTCACGTCGAACCCTGAGCCGGCACCACCTCCTGCACCCGGACCGGGCTCGAGCAGCTGTGCTCGGAGGCGGGCGAGTTTTCCCTTGAGAAGACCCAGATGGTAGTTTGTCGCCTTGTTCTTCTGGGTCATCTTCATCTCATCCTCAATCTCCTTGATCTTGTCCGTCTAGACCAGTATACAAGTCAGCCACCATTTACAAGTCGGGAAGACAGTTTCACATAGCCACACGATATAGCCATGTATGCTACCTGGGGCAAGAAAAGAAAGCCAGAACAATGGCTAGAAGGATTGCGCTGTTCTCAGAATACATACAATGTTGACCATCTTCGCGGCGGGTGTGACCGGAGGTCACGATGATGCGCCTAGGGAAATATGTATGATTCAACAGAAGAAACGAGACACCAGTCACCGGGTTCAAGATCCGGTGGTGCTCGAGACTACCCTTTCTCGTGTGTAGTCAGCGAGCGCTTCACTGCCGGAAGGAATGTGTCGACTGCGATGAGCGGACTATTGGCACCGAATAAAGCGTTGGACACGATGACAACCCATATATGATTAGTCTGGCTACAGATCTGGAAGCCGGTGCCTCTTTCCGCCTCTAGCAATCCGGAATGCCGAGTATCGTGAATCTTGAATGAGCGAGTTACGGGCGATATTGGGATTAGGTGAGCCCAGCAGTAGCAGTGTGGAGGGGCACACTGGGCTTTGCGTGCCCCACTTAAATTTGCCCCCAGGCTGCTCTACCGTGGTGGGCTGAGTGCAGCTACCAAGCGCCATAGTAATCCCAATTCTCTACGTACTTCGTACATACATGCCATTGAATTATTACCCGCCTCAGCCTTGTGCCTCCTGCCCCAAATTTCCACCAGCAACAAACCCAAACCACCAACCAAGATGGCCGACTCACCAGAACACCAAGATGAAGTCGCGCTCGTCCCAACGAGCAACGAAGTCGCGGAACCTGCAGTCCGAAAAGTCAAGAAGATCATCAGGAAGAAGAAGCGCCCAGCGCGGCCGCAGATCGACCCGGAGCTCATCAAGTCGGAGCCACCGCCCCAGACAGGAACGACCTTCAATATCTGGTACAACAAGTGGTCTGGCGGCGATCGCGAGGACAAGTACGCATCCCAGAAGGCCGCAAAGGGGAGGTGCAACGTCGCGAAGGACAGCGGATACACAAAGGCGGACAGGGTGACGGGCTCCTACTTTTGCCTGTTCTTTGCGCGAGGGATATGTAAGTCGTTGCCCCCGGGCTCACCTCGGTGCTCCTGCTCTTGTGGGAGGATGGTCTGCTCACGCCCATCCATCATGACAGGCCCCAAAGGCCAAGACTGCGAGTACCTGCACCGCCTGCCGACGATACACGACCTCTTCAACCCCAACGTCGACTGCTTCGGCCGCGACAAGTTCAGCGACTACCGCGACGACATGGGCGGCGTGGGCTCGTTCATGAGGCAGAACCGCACCGTGTACGTGGGGCGGATCCACGTCAGCGACGACATCGAGGAGATCGTGGCGCGCCACTTTGCCGAGTGGGGGGAGGTCGAGCGGATCAGGGTGCTGAACACGAGGGGCGTCGCGTTCATCACGTACTCGAACGAGGCGAACGCGCAGTTCGCCAAGGAGGCGATGGCGCACCAGAGCCTGGACCACAGCGAGATCCTGAACGTGCGGTGGGCGACGGCCGACCCGAACCCGATGGCGCAGGCGCGCGAGGCGAGGAGGATCGAGGAGCAGGCCGCCGAGGCGGTGCGCCGCGCGCTGCCCGAGGAGTTCGTGGCCGAGATAGAGGGCAGGGACCCGGAGGCGAGGAAGAGGCGGAAGGTGGAGAGCAGCTACGGCCTGGAGGGCTACGAGGCGCCGGACGAGGTGCACTTTGCCAGGGGCGAGAATGCGGTCAACCCGAGGGCGAGGGAGGGGCAGATGGGCCTGGAGGAGCAGCAGCGCCTGATGCTCGAGAGCGGCGAGGCCGAGGCGCAGGCGGCGGCGGACGAGACCCAGAGGCAGCTCGAGGAGAACGGCATCTTCTCCAGCAGCACGCTGGCGGCCCTGAGATCCGCGCAGGTGGCGGTCGCGTCCAAGGAGAAGAAGGCGGCAGCAGGCCCATTAGTCTCGTACGACAGTGACGATGATAGCGACTAGAAGCAGGGAGCAGGGCTGTCACCCTGACACAACTCGTAGTAAATAAACAGCACGGCCGAACGGTTGCCAGCCCGACGCCACATGATACAAGGGAAAAAAGCCTCAGCTGTTGAATATCCTACTATACAAGACCTCATGCCTCCCGACCCAGAGGTCCATCACCGGCACGCTCTGGCCCGCCTCCTCCACGGGCGTGTCCCACTCCCGCTCGACAGCCGCGGCGATCATGCCCATCACCCCGCTGCCGGCGAGCAGCCGCTGCGCCTGGTAGGGCCCGAGCAGGTTCGCCCGCACGGCCGCCGAGACGAGCGCCTTGACGTGGCCGAGCACGAAGACGTACGCGGCCTGGTGCAGCCCCAGCCCGGCGGCGCGGCAGACGACGCCGAACAGCGGCGCGAGGTGCGCCGCGACGGGCGGGATGCCCGTCCCGTCGTCGTCGAACCCCCTGCCCGCCGGCGCCCGCAGCGCCCGCGCGTACTCCCCCAGCGCCGCGGCGGCGGCGTGGTGGTGGTCCCCGCTTCCCCCCGCGAGCGCCGCCGACGCCGAGAACGACCGCTCCCAGATGCCCAGCAGCGCGCGGCCCTGCGCCACGGACGCGCGCCTGCCGACCGTGCACATGACGGCCGCGTCGAGGTGGTCGTCGAGGCCCGGCAGGCGCCGCGGGTCGCGGTGCGCCGCCAGGACGAAGGGGAGGGTGGTTGATGCGTACGAGGAGACCGACACGGGCAGGAAGAGGTCGAACTGCGGGTTGGCCCCGGGCCCTGGCCTGCTGCTGCGGTTGTGGGCGAGGAAGGACTCGAGGCCGCTGCTGAAGGCGAAGGAGCCTAGCGGCAGGGCCGAGTCTGCGAGCAGGAGGAGGAAGTGCGTTGTCTTGTGGGGGGGCGAGGCTGCTTTTTGATGGGTCAGCCGGCGTATTCTCAACTGTGTGTGGGCGGGACTTGAAATGACAGACATTTGTTGAGTGTGAGCGCGGCGTGGTGGTGAGCGCCACCGCCATTGTGAGTCTCACGGCCCGTGCCGTTGAGCGGTGTTGCTTTGCGGTTTCTCAGGCGGGCTTTGGCCTTCTCTAATCTCTGCTGCAGGTCCTGGATCTCGGTCTCGATTGAGTCGTCCGACTCGTCGCCGTCCATATCCGGTGGCTTGGAGTCCATGCTACAGTATGATTTGTGTGAGAGAGATATATGCTAAGAGGTGCAGCGGTGGAAGGTTGACAAGTGCGTCTCTTATTTTAATCTTCGACGGGCTGCGGGGCTATCGCTCGCTCGCTCACAACGACCACGCTCTCAGGCTCTGATTATCCATATCAGGAAATGCAAATATACAGAACCGGGCTTACTCCCGTAGGGCCAACCTCGCGCCAATTCCTTAGTACTCCAGACACCAAATCCAGGGGGCAACTCAAATAATGGCCCTGCGAAAAGTCGCTCATCCAAACAATGAATCTTTCCACCAGCATCCCAGCACCGCTGTACTCCTTGCCGCCAACCATCCTCGCTCACGGCCTCAGATTTTCCTTGCCAGGCAGCGCAGCGCTCTCGTGGCCTCGCCTTCGCTCCGCTCTCTTCTGCTCTAATCTGGCAATAGCAGCGGCTCTTCGATCAGCAGGAAGAGACGATGGCCTAGAGGATACGGCCTCCGTCGTCGGGTTATCCGGCGCTTGATCGAGCTTCCAGGTCCGCGCCCTGTCCCTGGCGAGACCGAGAGCCGGACTCTTCGGTTCACTGAGTGTGGGCTGGGGCGCAGAGAGCCTGTTGCTCTTTGCGTGTGGTGATTTCGACACCCTGAACTCGCGCGACGGTGTCCGGCTGATCTTCCGACTGGGTGTGTCTAGTGTGAAGTCTTCGTCGGGGAAAGCAAGATGGTCCAGTGCAGCCAGTCCAGACGCTTTCCTCTTGGCCGAGCGGGAAGCCGAGCGAGCCAGAGGTGCTTCGGTCTGGATCTCGCCCAAGCGAGGCCTGATCTGTAACAGATCATGGCCGATATCTTCCGTCCCATCGCCGCCCTTGTTTTTTAAGCCCTGGAAGCGTTGTCCAAGCGACGTGTGATCCGAGAACCTCTTCTGGTCCAGCCTGGGATTGTCGACTGCGGCACTCGCATCCTCCACCCCGCGACGACGGGTGCTTTGTCGGTCTCTGGCCGTAGGCGGGGCATCGGTAAACTTGTACTCCCAGGAATCCAGGGCATTGCGGCCGGCAGACAGCAAATCAAGGTCTTGCTTCAGCTGCTGCGTGCTCCCACTTCTTGGCGCCCTTTGCGTCCTGTTTTGCTCCCGGAGAGCATCGCAGTCGGCCTTCAGCTTTTCACACTGGACGTCCTTCCTCTGTCGGTCTTGCTCAGCCTTGGCCAGCTTCCGCTCCAGATCTGCTACCTTGAGCTCGCTCTTGGCCAGGTCTGCAACCGCCTTCTTCTTTTCGCCCTCGAGCTTCAAGGCCCGCTGCTCGGCCGTGCTCAACTCCGTCTTGACGCGTTTGAGCTCATAGCGGAGGTCGTTCAGCTCCTTGACCTGCTCACGCGCCTTCCTAAGCTCCCGTTGGGTCTCGAGGAGCGTCTGCGCAGTCCTGGGAGATGTACCCCCACGTCGCCGACGGTTTCCGTCAGTGTCATAACCCGATTCCCGCAGCAGCGTTTCCAGCTCCTCGACTTGTTCTCTGTACTGCACGGCGAGGGCCGTCTGGCGCGTGAGGTCCTTCATGAGCTTCCTGTCGTCTCGGGTGTCTTTGCCCTGGCCCTGCTTCGCCGTGACCTGGCCCGCAAGCTCCGTGATCTTCTGCTCCATCTGCACGACCTTGGACTGCTCCTCTCTGAGCCGTTCGTTCAGGTCCAGGGCCTCGGCGTCTTTGGCTTTGGCGTATGATTTGGCAAGCTGCTTGTACTTAACAAGCTTCTCCATCTCGGCGCGTGCCTCGTCGTGGTATTTCTGGAACTCGCTCTTCCAGTACTGCCCCGACTGCGACCTTGGCTCGTTCAGGTCCACAGTAATGTCCGGCTCGCGGTCGAGCTCGTCAACCTCCTCCCAAGCACCGTCGCCCTCGGCTTCCTCGAGGTCGAAGGTGGGCTTCCTAGCCTTATCACCGCCCGAAGCCCTGTTGTTCTCTTTGCGCGACTTCTCGAGGGCCTCCTGCAACTTTGTGCGCGGGCGCGACTTGGCGGCCTCGGTGTTGGCGGCCAGGGTGTTAGACTTGACATCGCGCCCGAAGGAGACACGCTTCCGACGCGAGGTTCCGGTGCCTGGAGTCAGAAGGATACCTGGTGGTCTCGTAGGAGATTCATATCTCTTGTAGTCGTCGACGTTGGAGGATCTGGCCTTCTCTGACCTCGCTGCGGCAGCCCTGGTCTCTTTCCTAGACTGAACTTCCCTCTGAGGGGCAGGCGTGCCGAAGAGGGCGCGCTTGAAGGCCCTTGCTGCAAATACGGGGGCGGGAGTGTCCGGTTGCTCGGCGAATGTATCATCTGTAGGCAGAGCGCGTAAGTCATGGTGCTTGGAGCAAGTAGCAGCAAGTAGTACCTGGACCTGGGTTGGGCGCGTTCTGCGGCGCGTTGCCCGTCGCCTTGTGCAAGGCCCAGCCAAGCATTGTGGCCGCAGTGGAGGGCGAGATTTAGGTGATGTTGCTAATGGTCAATTGTAATCATGAAGTTCCTGGAACGGACTGGAATGTGAATAGGTGATTTACGCGATCTTGGGCAGCAGGTCGGAGCGTCGCGTTCTTGGGTGTTTACTTGGGTGCTTGGCGGTAGACCGGGCAATCGCTGCGGGTGTCCAGGTGCTACCGTGCTGAGGGCCGCTTCCAAGGCCGGGCGGGCGCTAAGAAGCTGCAGCGGAAGCTCAAAGGTACACGGACGATTGGACAACGGGCGGCGGCAGTTGTGTGTGTCAGGTAGGATCAGGGGGGAGGAGATGCGATGGAGCATGGAACTTCAAAGGAGTTCCAAACATTATCTTTGTATTAAGATTTCAAGATGCGCGCGCAAATTCACATGTGCTGGTAGTTGTTGGACCAGGCCTGCAGAGCGTCGCACTCCAACTGGACCTAGCCGCTCTTATGCATACAAGTAGGCACATTATACCATGTACTGTAGCTTGGAGTGGTCACTCTGACGGCACGCTAGTTACTTATGGGTAGATAAACAGTTTTCCAGGTCTGCTCTTAAGAGGCATAATGTTTATTCAAGTATTCTTTATTCTGTTCCCTGGTAAATCAGACGGAATTAGCTAACTAGGTACCTAAGTAGGTTACCTTGGGCCTCGCCAGTATTGCCCACAGAAGGGACGGACCCCGCCTAGGGGCTCTGGGTAGGGGATCTGGCCTGCAGTCAGCCCTACGAAAGAATTGAAGTCGGTCAGCTGGGGGGAGCTCTGTGGTCATCTTAACTGCCCAGGTCCTGGTTATCTGAACTGCCCACCACATCCAGGCCTGCCACTGTGTGTCACACTCTTGTCGAGGTTGTCCTGCCCAACAACCTGCCTGCAACACAATCCACAATAAACGGTGGATGTTTACAGGACAACCATACATTTCCAATCCTCATGTCAGTCAACGAAACCAACCAACGCGAATTTCACCCGCGACCATCACCCGCATTTCGTGGGTGACTGCACAAACCCCACCCTCTGACTCTCAGTCTCAGTTCACCCCTGCGAGGTCGAGCCTTGTCCCAGAACCATGCTCTTCATGATATTATGGCTGGCAAGAAGAGAAACAAGAATGTTCAGAAGAACGTAGAGAAGAATGAGCCCAACCAAGGCCCGTCGCTGGCCGGACTGCCGTCCCCAGCCCTCAAGGCCAGCTATGAGGAACGCCAGCAGGACGAAATCACCGCCCTTGAGGCCATCTATGGCGACGATTTTGTGATCAAGGCTGCCCATAGCGCCTGGAAGAAGGCCGAACCTTCGTTTGATATTCGCATCAGAGCCACGTCCGACGACGATGTTGCTCTTACTCTGGGAGTGGTCTTGGTGGCTACATATCCCAAGTCGCCACCGCTCCTCACACTCAAGGAGCACGGCAATCTGAAGGAGGCAACCTTGTACAAAGTCCAGGTCTATATCGACACGCAGACCAAGGAATTCGTCAAGGAGGAAGAGGTCATGATGATGAGCCTCGTCGAGGGGATTAGGGAGATCCTCGAAGACGCTGCCCAGTCAAAGATTGCTGGACATGCGCTCCCAACCCTCGAGCAGGAACGGGCTGCTCATGAAGCTGCCATGGCTCAGCTTGCGCAGGAACAGAAGCACAAAGAAGAGCAAAAGAAACTCCAGGACACCAAGGAAGAAGAAAAGTATCTCGGTCAGATGGTCCAGCAAGAGCTCAGACGGCAGGACGAGAGGGTCAAGGAGTCGAGAAGGAAGAATCCACCCAGCCATGTCGCATTCGCATCTACCGACGACCCGCGAGTTTCAGAGGGTCAACGCATCGTATTTGACCAGCTCTGCAGGGTGACCGACATCCATGGCAACTCCATTGTCTTCAATGCTGTCACGGGCAAGACTGAGTACTTCGCTGGTCCCATAACAACGGTCTACGAAGTGCGCCCAGTGCTTCCAACCGGCCAGAAACGGCCCAGGCTCGCCTTAAAGCAGGTTCAGGTCCATTCTGCTGGGAAGGATCAAGCGCAGTTCAAGAAGCAGCTACAGGCATTAGAGTCGGAGTTGGAATCGATGAAGAAGCTCCGTCATCAGGCTGTCCTCGAGGTGCTTGATTACAAGATCGGCCGCACTGCCAACGACATCGCAAACGCTATCAGCTGGGATGTCAGTGTCCTGAGCCCTTTTGCTGAAGATGGGTCCCTCGAAAAGCTACTCCGGTGGTCAGGCCATCTGGATGTTAACAGAGTCCGGAGCTGCACCGTCAATCTTCTAGACGCTCTAGGCTGGCTACACAGCCAAGGAGTCGTGCACCAGGACATCCATCCCGGAAACATCCTCTTGATTACAGAACCGACGGGCGATATGATCCCAAAATTGGCCGATGCGGGTTACCAGAGAGAGCTGCACAATCTATGCACGACAACCCAGGCAGTGACATCTATGCGGGATGCCAAGTCCGCCTACTGGTTCCCTCCTGAGATCGCGGCGGCGTCCAAAGCTCAGTATACCCAAAAGACCGATATCTGGGATCTTGGACTTGTCTTCCTCCAAATGATTCTCGGTCTTGATGTGGCTCAGAAGTATCACTCGCCGGTAGATCTCATGGATTCACTGTCGCTGTCAGACGCATTAGAAGAGTTGGTCGAATTCTTCTTCAAGTCGGACCCCAAGAAGAGGCCGCGTGCTTTCGAGTTGAGCTCAAGTGAATTCTTGGCTACAGATGCACCTCTATTCGTCGAGGATACATCTATGGGTGGCTCTGCACTTAGCTCTTTACCCAGACTTGCGCCAGTTCGGAGTAGATCTCGGCACAACTCCACGACAAATCGCATTCATACTTCATCTAGATACAAGGAAGACTTTGTCGAAGAGGGCCGTCTGGGTAAGGGTGGCTTCGGTGAAGTCGTAAAGGCACGTAAAAAGCTTGACGGTCAGATATACGCCATCAAAAAGATCTCATCAGGGTCTCAAGGCGGCTTGACTGAAGTCTTGAAGGAGGTGCGACTCCTCTCCCAACTGAGTCACCCTGCTGTTGTACGCTACTTCAACACCTGGCTGGAGGAGGTGTACGATGTGTCCGAGGCAACTGACGAGGATGCTTCGACTGACGCTGGCGGCACCGAATTATCTCGGGACACTGTATCACAAGGCGATTTCAATATCGAGTTCGCTACAAGCCAAGGTGGCTTAGATTTCATTTCCTCGAGCAGGGGGTTGGATATCGAGTTCGGTGACGACGACAGTGACTCCGATGAGGAGGAGGATGACGACGACGATGTTGATGATGACGAACAAAGCGATAGCGAAGAGGACTCGGACCAATCGGACGATGGAACTGGGACCGACACGTATGGGGCGAAAGGCGCCCAACACCTCCTGCCTGTACGCAAGCGCGGACGCCGGTCAAGTCATAGGCCGTACAGGACAATCTTGTACATCTCCATGGAGTATTGCGAGAAGCGGGTAAGTTTTACGTGCTTTGCCGATCTGCACCAGAATCACTCTGAATGTACTCCCTGGAATACCCCCAGATGGAATAGACAAATGAATGGAGCAGGCAAATATGCTCCAGAAGGTTGCTTCCGTGGCTACAAACTGAGCTGACTGATTCCTAGACACTTCGAGACCTCATCGCAAGGAACCTGGCCAAGAACAAGACGGAGGTTTGGCGACTATTCCGTCAAATACTACAGGGGCTGGTTCATGTGCACAGGTATGCGGCCCTTCACCTTATTGCCAAGTTCGGGGCAGCTAACTCGTAGCGCTCAAAAGTCTGAACATCGTTCACCGTGACCTCAAGCCAGACAACATATTCATCAGCGTTGGTCCGGATGGCGTCAACAATGTCAAAATAGGAGACTTTGGACTGGCCAGCAAGGGTCTCATCGCTTCAGACAGGGCACACTCGCACGCGTCCCTCTTGGATCAAGAGGACATGACAAGAAGCGTCGGCACATCGGTTTATGTTGCCCCTGAAGTCAAGTCAGGCGGCAGTGGTAGCTACACTTCCAAAGTCGATGTGAGTACTTCTGATGCTTGTTATCACAACTTCCAGGTGAACTTTCACCGACCCGTGAAACGAGGTTGTATGCTGCGCACTGCGTATGATCTAGACAATTGTCATTCTCGTCTCATTCATTCCATGTCTCGAAACTCCCGTGCCACAACTACCAATCTTGCTTGGTTTCGGTCTTGTGGCAGTCGGAGTACGCGGACCAGTCACCTGGAGTAGATTTCCTAAGTTTGCAAATTGATCATTGACTAACACATCAATTCTATTAGATGTACTCCTTGGGTATAATGTTCTTCGAAATGTGTTATCCACCAATGCTTGGCATGCAAAGAGCCCAGGTCCTTGAGGATCTTCGTCGGCCGCATCCCGTACTGCCCGCCGACTTTGACCATGGAGCGGCTCAAGCAGAGATTATAATGTCTCTGCTCACTCACAACCCAAAAGAACGCCCGTCGAGCACTGAGCTCTTGAAGAGCAACAAACTTCCGGATGAGATGGAGAGTGACACAATTCGGCGAGCTATGTAAGATCCCGCGCACCCCATTCCCAAGTTTTGCGTGTCGTCTCTGCGCCCCTCCGCACTGAAACGTAGTTGAAAGACAAAATGCTTACAAATATACCACAGTGCTGGTGTGGCGGATCCAAACTCTCCATTCTTCGAGAAAATACTGTCGACGTTGTTTTCCAAAAAGGTAGACCGCGCAAAAGACTTCGTTTGGGACATGCAGGCACAGACTCTGTCAGCTACAGAGCTCCTTCGCCAACGTGTTGTGAAGGAGACGCTGGTCTCCATCTTCAAGTGCCACGGTGCCGTTGAGGTGCCCACACCAAACCTCTATCCTGCCTCCTCCCACTACACCAGTGCGGTCAAGCTACTGGACAGCCACGGTAGTTTGCTGCAGCTACCATTTGATCTAAAGATGGGCCGGGCTCGTATGCTTGCCAAGTCAACAAATGCCATTCCCCAACTGTCATACTCGTTCGGCAGTGTTTACAGGGAACAACAAGGTGGCGGACAACCCAATCAAATAGGCGTCGCGGATTTCGATATCGTGGCAACCAACACGTTGGACCTGTCTTTGAAAGAAGCCCGTGTCCTGTCTGTGGTCGATGACATTATCGCCGCCTTTCCAACGCTGTCCTCAAGCCAGATGGCATTCCAGCTTGGCCATGCTGATCTCCTTCAGCTCATCTTCGAGTACTGTGGTGTCGAGCAGTCCATCAGGCGATCGGCTGCCGAGACATTGAGCAGGCTCAACGTGCAAGGCGTGACCTGGCAGAAGCTACGAGCTGAATTACGCGCACCTCAGTGCGGCGTCTCAGCGACGAGCGTCGACGAACTTCAGCGCTTCGACTTTCGAGACACACCGGCCAAGACGTTTTCCAAGCTGAAGTCGTTGTTCGGGGCTACTGACCTATATCAAAAGGCTTCACCTACTATTGCTCATCTAAAGGAAGTCACGGAGTACTGCAAAGTACTTGGAGTCAAGACCAAGATATATATCAGTCCTCTATACTCTGTCAACGAGGCATTCTTCAGAGGCGGCATCATGTTTTCCTGCGTATTTGACAAGAAGGTGAGGGTTGTCTTGGCTGCTGGTGGGAGATACGACAGCCTCATAAAGGAGCATCGTCACAAAGCCGGCAGCAGCTTGATTGGGGAGCGGCACGCGGTCGGGGTCAGCCTGCCCTGGGAGAAGCTGGCGCAAGTGCCCGTGAAGACTGGAGGGAAGGCCTTCTTGAAGAAGGCAGCAGAAGAAGAGTCACACGGACTCTTCAGCGAGAGACGCTGTGACGTGCTCGTGGCCAGCTTTGACCCGGTTATTAGGCGATCAACGGCTCTCGAGGTCTTACGTGCCCTACAGACGAATGCCATCAGCGCAGAACTTGCAGATGAGGCACGCTCGCCAGACGAGCTCATCCCGGACAGGCCAGAGGAGCAGCCCGCGTGGATGATAATCGTCAAGGCGGACATCCTGAAAATCAAAACCTTCTGGCGCAACGTTCCGGACGAAGAACTACCGGCGAGGGAGCTGCTGAGCTGGCTGCGCAGCGACATGCGCGAGCGCGAATCCAGCGCAAAGACGACCGCATCATCATCATCCTCCTCCCGGCCCCGCGGCGGCCTGGCCCACCCCGAGGGGCCCAACCCCCTCGGCGACGCGGGGCCCTTCCCGCACTCGGGCCACAGCCACCAGCACCACCCGCAGGAGGTCCGCGTGCTCACGGCGCAGACCAAGTCCAAGAAGTTCAACCGGCAGACGGTCGTCGAGCAGGCGCAGAGCAGCGCGGCGCGGCTCGTGCAGGGCTTCCTGGGCGGGCCCGTCGCCGCCATCGAGACCACCGACGGCGTGCTCGGCGCCATCCGCGGCACGAGCCTGTCCGAGCCCGACACCTGGCGGCGGCTCGACGTCACCAACGCGGAGAAGAAGTACGTGCGTGAGGTCCAGGACATGCTCCTCGAGTTCCGCGACGCGGGGCTCAAGCATGCTTTTGTCTACAACTTCCGGACGGGGAGTTGTATCTACTATGATTTGGCGGCCTAGGATAAAGAAGGGGGGGAGGGGGGGGGTAGTCAGGTGTCTGCCGTTCCTAGCAGTCTTGTTGTTGTCGACTATTGTCTCTGTCTTTTTTTAAATACCCAAGCAATGAAGTACCACACAGTTCCCTTCAACTGACAGCGAATGGCACTTGAAATTGGGACAGGTGCGATGTTGTAGATTACGTAGGCCGGGGCGAGAGGAATCCGTGCCGAACGGTAGAATCGTTGCCGTAGATGGAGTCGCAGCGACATCTCTGTGCAACATCGTGCCCCATATCCCAGAAGCCAAATATGCACGAAGAGGATGGTTTTACAGATAATCAATCATTTCGGAATGTTCTGCTTGTCGTGGGTCACAACTAGCCTGAGGTCAATCGAAAACCCAGAGGAGCACATCATGCCCTACCGCGTCGCATGGAACATGCAGCATCGCAAGGGATGTCTGCTGCTTCTCACCAGCGCCCAGTTACTAACGTAAGAGACAATGGAGCCCGATCCTACTCGGCGTCGTCTTGTCTCGACCTTCCGACCCATGGCCAGAAAGTTATATTAGTGCGCTACTCATTCGTGCCCGGGGGTGTCTGTCTTCGCAGCCGCGGCGCCTATCTTTCAACATTATGGGGGATAACCCTACATGGGGTAGAATTCTTACATGAATACCTTTTGCAAGACACAGTCCTAACCTCTTACAAGACATCTAGACAGAAAGTGTGTAGGACACCTCCCCACACGATAATGACATATCAGAGCCAAGCCACAGGGGCTCTGGGAGGGTATCATATAAAGTTCTTGAAGGTGTAGTGGTTGCGATAATAATGCATGTGGTTGTATAGCTGGTACGACAACAAGTCTCCCAAAATATCCTCATTCCGTATCACGTACCGAATACTGTGGATTGATTTGTACAATTCGTCATTTCTGCGGTATGTGCGTCCGCGGAAAGTCAGACGTAGAGGGCCATGTCGCTAAAACACTCCCGTCTGGTGGTATCTCAAGCTTAGATATAACATTGCTCGGCGAGAAGCCCAGCACCTTGTGGGCTTCCACCCTGAAAGGGAGCGAGGGCCCAGTCAAATCGCTGTGCCCCAAGGGGAGGGCTGTGGCCTGGAAATTGGAACAAGAGCAAGGAACCTCGACATGTCCCTCCATGTCCGAGTATCCTCGACCCTGGATTATATGACGGCGACAGCCTTATACCCATCAAGGTTGAGACGAGTCTGCAGGTCTTGTGTCATCCCCCACACCTCCGGCCTCGGTGTCTTGTGTTGGAACCAGGGCAGTCATTTTCTCATGCCGGGCTTTGCGACGGTGAGCCTTGCCCCTGACATGTTTCTGCCAGCCCTCCTCAGTCAGGAGGGTAACGTCGCAAGTTGAGCAATGCTTCCGACAGGCCGTGCGCTGTGACGACAAGGCAGTTTCCACGGCCGCGTTCAACACACTATTGGCGGCATCCGACACGCTGGGTGGATCCGGCATCACGTCCCCGGCCAGGAACAACCGCGTCAGGAACGCGCCCTTGTCGAGGACATTTTCCGAGTACCGCGTGACGTCTGTGCTGTCAAGCACGTAAAGGCGGTCCCGGTCCCCTTCTTCTTCCAGCAGTGGCAGCATCTGCTTCGATATCCACTTCGTCTGGTACTTTGCATACCTCCTCGTGGCGGTCTTCATGGTCTCGAGGCACTCGAGCCTCAACTTGTCGAGTTCCCTGGCGTCGGCGCCTCGTTCTGCGGCTTGCAGGTAGGGCTGAAATTCCTTGAAGCCGATCGACTGCCATATCCCCCTGCTCAGATCGACCTGCTCTCCGGATTTTAATTTCGACCGCAGGTAGTCGTCGACTTGTGCGACCTCGTCCATGAGACCCCTCTCCAGCATCTTGTCGACCCGCCTGTCGAGCCGGTCCTTTAGCACTTGGGACTCGGAGTGCACCCAGAACATCAACGCGTCGGGCTTGGAGAAGTCCTGCTGCGGTGCTGGCTCTGCCCTCTTCCTGATCTGCTGCTCGGCGTAGATTTCTGACGCCGGCCTCCCCGTGGTGAGGAATATCTCCAGGGAGCGGCGGATCTTCCGCCTGTCGTTGGGATGCCACCTGTCAGCCATGACGGGATCGACTTCTTTGAGTCTTTTCCACATGGCTTCTGTGGTGTCATTCAGGATCGGATGTTGCACTGAGTTGTCCTGGACACTGTCTGTTTCCTGGGGAGCATTTTCTTTCTCCACCAGGCTGTCTTTGAACAGGAGGGCATTTGTGTAATAATGCGTGCCCCCGACAACAATGGGGACCCGTCCTCTGCTGCGGATCTCTTGGATGATACGGTTGGCTTCCCGCTTAAAAACTCCTACTACCCAGGTCTCTTGGTCCAGACTTATGTTGCCCAAAAGATGGTGTGGTATAGACCGCTGCTCTTCTATTGAGATCTTATTGGTGATGATGGGCAGACCCCTGTACATCTGCATAGCATCTGCGTTGATAATTTCGCCATTGAAGCGGACTGCCAGATCAACAGCAAGCTAGCAGGAATCATCAGCTAAAACGGCGGCACGTCTTATTTATATAGGAAGTATATTGTACCTCAGACTTTCCGGTTCCTGTCGAGCCCAGGATGACCAACAATGGGGCCGTAGGGGTCTGGCGAGCCAACATTGTGGAATAGCATTGCAAATGCCTGTAAAGTAAATGAGGGAACAACCGAGAATTAAGCATATGGTTTTAAAACGGTTGTGGAGACCATCCGAACAAGTGACTCGAGACAGCCCTTTACCAAGTCAAATAACAAGTGCGGGTTGAGTGAGAACGTGCCTACCAGTGGCTTGTTTGCTTGTCTCCCAAGGGTCCAAGCCTCAAAAAAGAATTTGGCCGCCTCGGCCCCGACAAACGAGTAAAAGTCATGCTTAGCACTTTAGTGTCTAGCGCAGAGGTAAGGGTCCTCTTCGGGTATCCGTAGTGGTGTTCAACTCATCTTAGCACATAGTCACGTGGAGTCTCTAGCTGTGCTGGGAGTGTGGAGGGGTGCAGGGATGAGGAGAGATTCCGCCCAGGTTCGACCACAGGCAATTGGTGGCCTGGTGGATCCACTGCTGGCGGTGGGCCCCGTTCTGGACACATCAACAATTTGGGACCGAGCTCCCCTGCACTGACGGCCTGACTGAGGGCTGCCGCACAAGGAGCCACCACCCGCCAGACCTGGCCCGAGTTGAAGCCAGATTACAGACAGCCTAGCTAGCTCAACCCAACCTGCGATCTATCCATTATTTCGCGGCTCAGCAACGCCTTCGACCAACTTCCTCTCCTTTCCAACCCTCTGTCTACATTTCCTTCTTCAACCGAGCCATTGCCGCTCACCTTCTTTTCTTCTCTCCTTCTTGGATGAATCTCTAGTCGAGATTATTCCCGCCAAAAATCGCCCATCATGAGTAGCCGTAAGTTGTCCATCCGTCGCCCTCGCGTGCCATCGTGCCATCGTGCGGTCGCGATCCCGACCACCTCGAGCTCCGCGTTCACGATCCGCGCTCGAGGCGTGCCTCAGTGACGGCGCCTCGTGGTCAATTGCATCTGGGCAAGCTGCTGACATGCGCGCGATTGCCCTGCAGTACGATTTCTCGACCTGGTCAAGCCCTTCGTGCCGTTCCTCCCTGAGGTTCAGCAGCCCGAGACCAAGGTCCCCTTCAACCAAAAGTTGATGTGGACTGGGCTCACCCTCTTGATCTTCCTGGTCATGAGCCAGATGCCCCTGTACGGCATCGTCTCCTCTGACACCTCCGACCCGCTATACTGGCTGCGTATGATGATGGCGAGTAATCGAGGAACTCTGATGGAACTTGGTATCACCCCAATCGTCTCGTCCGGCATGGTCTTCCAGCTCCTCGCTGGCACCCACCTGATCGACGTCAACCTCGACCTCAAGTCGGACCGCGAGCTCTACCAGACCGCCCAGAAGCTGTTCGCTTTCATCCTGTCTGCTGGCACTGCCACTGTCTACGTCTTCACCGGCCTCTACGGCCCTCCTTCCGACCTCGGCGCCGGTATCGTCGTCCTGCTGATCCTCCAGCTCTTCATTGCTGGCATGATCGTCATTCTGCTTGATGAGCTTCTGCAGAAGGGGTACGGCCTCGGCAGTGGTATCTCTCTCTTCATCGCCACCAACATCTGCGAGTCTATCATGTGGAAGGCCTTCTCCCCGACCAGCATCAACACTGGCCGTGGCCCCGAGTACGAGGGTGCTGTCATTGCCCTCTTCCACCTGCTCATGACCTGGCCCAACAAGCAGCGCGCCCTGCAGGAGGCCTTCTACAGGCAGAACCTGCCCAACATCATGAACCTGCTGGCCACCCTCGTCGTCTTCGCCGCTGTCATCTACCTCCAGGGCTTCCGCGTCGAGATCCCCGTCAAGTCCTCCCGCCAGCGTGGTGCCCGTGGCTCTTACCCCGTCCGCCTGTTCTACACCTCCAACATGCCCATCATGCTCCAGTCGGCCCTGTCCTCCAACGTCTTCCTCATCTCCCAGATGCTCGCCACCCGCTTCGGCGAGAACCTCCTCGTCCGTCTCTTTGGCGTCTGGGAGGCCAAGGAGGGATCCGGCCAGCTGTCTCCCGTCTCTGGTCTTGTCTACTACATGTCGCCACCTCTGAACATGAAGGATGCTCTGATCGACCCCATCCACACGCTCGTCTACATCGCCTACATGCTCACCGCTTGTGCTATCTTCTCCAAGACCTGGATCGAGGTCTCCGGCTCCAGCCCTCGCGATGTTGCCAAGCAGCTCAAGGACCAGGGTCTTGTCATGGCTGGTCACCGCGACCAGAGCATGTACAAGGAGCTCAAGCGTATTATTCCCACCGCCGCCGCCTTCGGTGGCGCTTGCATCGGAGCTCTCTCCGTTGCTAGCGATCTGATGGGCGCCCTTGGGTCCGGAACCGGAACCCTGCTCGCTGTCACGTAAGTCTGAACTACTCCACGCCGTTTGATCCGCCTGCTAACAAGCGCCCCGCAGTATTATCTACAGCTACTTCGAAATCGCCGCCAAGGAAGGCGATATGTCCAGCATGAAGGGCATGATCATGGGCTAGACAGACTTGCCCAGAGGTATGCAAGCGGTCTGAGGCTGCTTGCGTTTGTGAGCCAATGGGGGTGGTTTTGGAGGATGGGCTCGCGTGTATTTAACAATCTAAGTTTGCACCGAAAAGGAGGGAAGGCTTAGCAATCCGGGTTGGGAAAAGCATTCAATGTTTTCGCTACACCATGGAGAAACACAAGGCTCCGTGCAAGCCGCCCGCACAGGACGGATGTGTAAATGACCTTATAGCATATTGAAGCATCTAATACCGGTGTCGCTTGCTTTGGAAACTGATTTAGAGCCCACCACATGCTTGGTCTTGCGAGCTGTCTTGTGCAACTGCCCCTGGTCAGGACGTGGTCTATCAAAGTCGCAGAGAGCCAGCCCAGTGAGGAAACAGTATTAGCAAGTGTCATGTCTGTATTGTTGTTTTACTTCCAACATGCCCGTGGCGATGCTCAGCACAGCGATAATTATCGGTATATAGCTGCCCTCCATTATCCAACTCTAGTCGACCATGGACTTGTACCACTCCATTGCTCTTGTTTTGGAGCATCTAACTAAGTACCAGTCTGCCTCCAACCCAAAAGGGGGAACGTAACCACACACAGGAACGCCTTACTCCGTAGCCTACCAGACCCAAAACGCAAAATGCATAAATCCTGCTACCGCCCCGCGATGACTTTCAATATCATGCCCACCAGACAGACCACAAGCGCAGCGATGACCCTATCGATCCACTTCGGCACCCCCCTGTCGTTGAGCGTGTGCTGCTGCTGCTGCAGCAGCTGCGCCTGCTGGGCCGGCACGGCGGTGTTGTTGTGCGCCGCGTTCGGCAGCGGGAGGGTCCTCGTGGGCTGGGGCACCGACTGGCCCGGCCGCGCCAGCCCGGCGGCCGCGGACGAGGCCGCGCCGCCCTCGCCCAGCTGTGCCCGCGGCACCGTCTGCACGAAGCCCTCCGCCAGCTCCGCGGCCTCGGCGTCCTCCTCCACGGCCGTCCCGGCAGCCGCCGCCGCCGCCGCCGCAGCAGCAGCCTTCTTCTCCATCTCGTCCTTGAAGCCCATGCTCAGCTCCGGCGGCACCTCGACGTCGTCCCTCCCGCCGCCGCTGGCGCCCGCCTCGGCCTCGGCGGCCCTCGCGGCGTCCTCGCACTCCCTGATGATCTCCTCGTTGGTGCGGCCGCCGCACGCGCCGCACCGCCACCCTCTACTCTCGCCGGCGAGCCGCGCGCGCACGGCGTCGGTGGTGTCGAGCCCGCCGAGCTGGCCCTTGGCGTCGGTCTCCATGAAGCTGCGCAGGGCGACGAGGGCGGTGCGCACGCCCCACGCGGGCTGCCAGGTCTCCTCGTGGTGGCCGGATATGGAGAGGCAGATCTCGCGGTTGGCCTCGAAGCGGCCCGAGGGCGTGAGGAAGCGGAAGGAGGGCGGGCGCAGGGGGTACGTCGGCGGGAGGACTATGCGGCCGTGGTAGAGGCCCTCGGCGTACGCGGACCCGGGCGGCCCGCGGAGGGTGAAGTGCCACTCGAAGAGGTCCGTCTCCAGCGGCGCCGCGGTGTAGTCTGGCGAGGGCGACTTGGACATCTCCTGGGCCTCGCGCACTGGGTGGCGTGGGTTGCCTCTGTCAGTAATTGGCGTCCGGTTTGTCCGGGTGGCCCTGGGCCTGGGGGAATTTGGGAGGATTTTGGGACTCACTAATACGCTTCATCGTGGGCGATTTGGTGTTAAATTTGGTCGCCATGGTGTCGAAGAGTGGAGTGATACGGAGGCACGATCGGGATGTTGCTGATAAGGAGGGAGATGCTTCGGGGTGGGTATCACAGGAAGGGGAAACGTGGCTTTGGATCAGTGACGAACAAACATTTCGAACGGAAATGGAACCCAAGTAGGCGAGGGGTTGTGTAAAATGGACAAATCAAAACAGATGGGAGTGGCACTGTCACCTCAGGAGAAGACAGCACTCGCTGTGGTTGCAAGGTGTCTTGTAAATCGGACCAAGTTGAGACGCCGGAGACGAGTGGTAACTGACTGCCCAGGTGGGTTAGATACATTCTACAGTACATAATACCCAGGTGGTCTGGGCGGCTGATGACGCTTGTGGGGTGCGCCCCACTTGCCGCTGGGGGTCAGCTTCAATGTAAGTCTGAGTACTTACCCGCTTCGGCACCGCCTACAACAACAACCTGATGCTATAGCCACAACCAACACGGGCCGTTGACAAGATTCTCTGTGTAATTACCACAAGCTTAAATCAAGTGATATTTTAGTTGCATTAAGGCAGGTCCATTTAGTGCATGGAGCAGGGCAAACATTTTCTTGTTCCCGGCTGCAAGATTGTTGCTTGACCCCAGCCCAACATAAATCCTGCGGATACGACATGCTCAAGCTTTGGTCGCTCTCCCATCACAATCCATACGATCCAACTCTTATGCCTAGAATTAACTCGCCATTAAATCCTGTTACAGCATAAGATTTCCCATTGAGGACTGTGACACGTGGGCTAGCACCGCAAAACTTACTGCTGTGACGGTTCTGCATGACTTCCGGGAGCCAGAATAGCAATATCAGGGAGGCATAGGTCTACCCAGGTCATGAAGATCACACTACATCAAAACCCAAAAAGAACACTAAATGGATAAAGTTTTAACTCCAGGCTCTGAGCCCTGTTAAAGGGCGGACTGCTGGAGTGCGTCCAGGGAAGCAGCACCGAAGTACGTACTGTACTTGGGTAAATGGCATGTGAGCTTTGATTCAAAACCTTGGAAGCCTCGCAACACTTTTTTGTAGTGATGTAGACTCTGGAAATGGTGTGAACTGTTAATATCTGCCGTTTAAGTCTGCAGAAGGCTATTATTGTAGGAATTTCAAGTAGTCTGGCAGGACTGTCCTCGTAAAGGTGCAGAATACTCCCGGTAAAAGGGGTACCTGCACCCCCAAGTGGCAGGAAGCAGTCCGGCCTCCAAGTGTTAAGTTTACAGGCAAGCTTGAATGCTGATTTCTTGCTGCCAAAACTTGGGCTGACCCGGACCAGTACCCTTGCCTCCCTTTCAAGTCTCAAAACTCACGATCTCTCTTCCCTTCGCGTCCCGGACCCCCCAGCCTCACACCCTCACTTGAGCCATTAAAACCAATCTTTCAGAAAGAAATCTTTCCATCTCGAAAGGACTTTTCAAATTCGGTTGACAAAGGCCCTTGTCCCACCTGGTCTTGTTCTGAGGTTGTTAGGCATCTCCCACCCAAAACAACAACAGAACAACAACCTCCTCTTGCCTCTTAGGCCCCCCCCCCAACACATTTTCTGATCAAGCCGTCCTGTTGACAGTACAGAATTGCAACATGAACAGCAATCAGGAGTGGCAGCTTGGCCCCCCGAGGTTGAAGCCCGTTGGGCCCACGACCTGCGGTTTCTGCGAGGCTAGGTTCCCTTCCATCGACGCCCTACGCGCCCACAAGTTGAAGAGAATCAAAGAAGAGAGTGAGGATTCAAGCCGGAGGAGGCTTCACCTCTACTGTAAATTATGCGACCAAGACTTCCACACCACAGGCGGCGAGCTCGAGCACATGCGACTGGTATGTCAGGATAATTGCGCATTGCGCAGAGCGCGACCTCGCGGCAACGACTCTAACCTTGTCTCCAGGTGCACCCCCACAAGCAAGATTTCGAATGCCCTGCCTGCTCCGTGAAGCACGACAGGCTCTCTGGCTTCATCCAGCACGTGGAGCTTGGCCAGTGCTGCCAGCTGGACATTGAGACCTTGCAAGCACGTTTCGCCGACAAGTTCAACTTCGCCAAGAATCTGCAGAAGCTCGATCTCGCGGCCAGGCTCGAGTTCCCAAATCTCAAGGAGAAGGACTTCTCCATGTGTCTGGGGTACGACGCGGACCCTGAGCCTACTTGGTAAGTGCCTCCCTTCTCCTTTGACACTGTCTCGTCCGTCATGGTTTAACGCACCACCACGCTCCGCTTCCGGACCTGTGGCAGTTTATTGACAGGTAGCAGGCAGGAAGTTCCAAACAAGCTCTCTCAGTGGGAGTCTGCTGATCGAAACACGTGGGCGTCAGCGGAGCCTGCTCCTTCACTGGGCAAGGACTTTCCGAGGATGGCTCATCGTGAGTATCTGCATGGAAACAGCGACGCCACAGACCTCCTGACTGGCGACCAAGTCAGCCAACTCGACGGAGCGTACGACACGAACGCATGGGCCAGGAAAGAGAAGCTGTTCCCAGAGTCACGCCCAGCTCAGAGGCCAACCCAAGAGCAGTTGCAGGCGCTGAAGGCCGGCAACCAAGGCGCAGTTGAGCGTGTCCGTGGGCAGGACATAATCGACCCAAACAGCCCCTTCTTCAACCCTCAGCAATGCTGGAATGAACTCTTGCAAAAGTACAAGTGTCCACACAAGGCAGTTTGCCAGTAAGCACAGCCACCACGTTCCTTTCCCCTGATCAACACATACCACCCAACATCTGAGAGATGTGCACCAGACTCGTGATGAAACGCGTCCGGACCACAGTTTGGAGTCGAGCCATAAACGAGGTTCTTACCTGAATGTATGAAGTATGCTGACCTAGGACTCGACCATCACAGGAAGGCATTCAACACCATGACCGCCTTGATGCAGCATCTAAGGTCGGCCAACCACAGCGGCACCAAGTTCTCATGCCCTTGCTGTAAGGATCGGTTCAATTTCCTCTATGCCCTCGCCGCACACGTCGAGTCCCCAAGTAGGAAGTGCAGCATCAACAGCGAGTTCGACGAGCAGGACATGTACAGGATCTTCCTCGACCAGCTGACCCTGGGCATGGTCGAGTGCGGAGGCATCTTCGACGACAACACCCAGGAGTTCAAGCTCGACGACAAGTTCAAGGGACTGTACGAGCCGCAGGAGACCCGCGGCCCGACCTTTGGCCACAAGCAGGTGCACGGGTTCGAGAGCGCAGCCGGCCCGGCCGACACGGTCCGGTCGGATCTCACGGAGGCGGCCCTGGGCAAATACCTGCAGCAGCTCGGAAAAGAGGGCGGCGGCCCTCGTGGCTCCGGTCCAGCAGTGGCCCTCACCGCCGAGGCGCTCGCGCGCCTGCAGGCCCAGGAGAAACGTGCCAGTCCGGAAGTGGCCCTCACCGCCGAGGCGCTCGCGCGCCTGCAGGCCCAGGAGAAACGTGCCAGTCCGTGGGGCCAAACATCGTCCGCTGCACGTGACCGGCGGGACAACACGCAGCAGCGAGAGGCGCAGGCGCCGCCGCCGCAGCAGCAGCAGCAGCAGCAGAAGATGCTGCAGCCTGGTGAGGGGATCGAGACACCGGTGCCGGAGCGGTACATCAGCTACCGCAAGCAGCAATTTGAGGCTTTCGGCTGGGACACCTGGGACAAGGGTCCTGTGCCCCGGGAGGAGGACCAGGGCCGGCTTGCCAATTCCAAGAAACGCGACTGGGGCTGGTGATGGGAGAAGTACCTACCTAGTGTGGGAGCAGCTCAGGCAGAGCACGGAGTGAGTGGTGATTGGGCCCAGCCCTTTCGTCACCTCAGAAAAGGGATGTGATGCTCGTTGTTGGTCATCTTCTGTGGTTGGTAAGAATGATTGGAGAGAGAAATCGTATGTGGGCACAGAAGCAGCGCTGCCGCTTTCCTGCTGCTTGCTCGATGTCACGATTGGGGGGATTGATGCCTTGCTCTAAAAGGAGCATGGGGTACAACTGCTTGTGCGTTGTCACCTGAGGATTGTTGGAGTCCAGCTGGCTAGATAGAGAGAGCTATTGTAAAAGGACATGCTAATGTAATGGCCGGTTTTGTACAAAGGGACCTACAATGCGTGCCATGTGCTTCCAGAGTGACCGTCGGGACCCGCTCACTGATGCTCTCGGCCCCTGCAGTTGTTTCAAACAAGGGGGTGTGATTCGCTGCTGCATGAACCCTTGGGGGCGATCTGCACTCAGCCTCACCTGGGTAAAATGGGCCAAACAACAACGACATCTGCCGTCAGCGCCGAAGCGTGTGCAGTGACCACTTGTGGCAACCCCGACAGCCTGATTGCTCCTTGCCATGCTGCCTTCCTCCCCTTCTTCCAGCGCCTGATATCTTGCTTTGAAATGGTTTCAGTCTTTGCGTCGCCAGCATAGAATTCTTGACACATCGATGGACGGGCGCGGTCCTTTCGACGCTTCTTCTATCATGGCTCGATGGGCAAGGAGGATCGAGAGGTGCTGCTGTCGATGCGCCACGTACTTCCCCCTCGCCTTCGTCTACGGCATCACATCATGGGCTGTGTTTGTCGACTGTAACATAGGGCTAAATGCCCCGAAATCATCTTGGATAGGTATGACCACCCAGAAACAACGATCCCCCGTCCCTCGAGATCCGGCCCGCTGACCGTTGCGCTCCCGCCGCGCTCCCACAGGCACGTGGTCCTCGCTGCTTGCCGTCATCCTCTACGCCCTGCTGAACTGGTCCTACACGACGGCCGTCTTCACCCCGCCCGGCAGCACGACCAACGACAGCGGGTACAGCACCCTGCCCACCAACGAGCCCTCCCGTGCGACCACCAGCCCGACCACCTTCACCGTCAAGTCCAACGGCGAGATCCGCTTCTGCAAGAAATGCCAGGCCCGCAAGCCCGACCGCGCCCACCACTGCTCGACCTGCCGCCGCTGCGTCCTCAAGATGGACCACCACTGCCCCTGGCTCGCCACCTGCATCGGCCTGCGCAACCACAAGGCCTTCCTGCTGTTCCTCATATACACCACGCTCTTCAGCATGTACAGTTTCCTCGTGTCGGGCGCCTGGACGTGGGATGAGATCGTCAGCGACGTGACGTATGTCGAGTCGCTGATGCCCGTCAACTACATCGTCCTGTGCGTCATCGCGGGCATCATATCGCTGGTCGTCGGCGCCTTCACAGCGTGGCACATCATGTTGGCGGCCCGCGGGCAGACTACCATCGAGTGTCTCGAGAAGACCAGGTACCTCTCACCGCTGCGCAAGACGCTGCAGAATGCCTACCAGGCACAGCACACCGACGGGCGCGGCGTCCCGATGCCCCGCTACGGCCAACAACTGCTGGACACGCACCAGAACATACTGCCGGGGGTCACCCGGCCCGAGGAGGGCGAGGAGCTCCGCACCCTGGCGCCGAGCCAGAGGGACGAGGAGAGCGCGACGCTGATCAGCGGCATGCCGAGGCACCTTTCCTACGACGAGATGGAGCGCCAGCGCGCGCGCAAGAGGTACGAGGAGTACCTCGAGGAGCAGGACAGCAGCAAGCTCCCCAACGCCTTCGACCTGGGCTGGAGGCGGAACCTGCTGCACCTCTTCGGGCACAACCCCTGGCTGTGGGGCGTGCCCATCATCAACACCACCGGCGACGGCTGGACGTGGGAGCCGTCGCCCAAGTGGCTCGAGGCCACCCAGCGCATCGAGCGCGAGCGCAACGAGCAGCGCGCGAGGGAGCAGGCCGCCGGCTGGGGCGTGCCGGACGACGGCGGCGGCGACGTCGGGTCGGAGCTGACGCCGCCGTCCTGGAACCCGCCCCTGGGGGGCGCCGGCCGCCACTACCGGGACGAGAGGCCGGCCCCGCCGCGCAAGACGCCTAGCAAGGCCGACAAGGTCCTGGGCAGGGACCCCAACCTGTACGCGGACCAGCCCGGCGTGAACATGAGCAGGCTGAGCCCCGCGGCCAGGAGGGACGAGGCGGCGGCGGCGGCCAGGCGGAGGAAGCCGGACGACATCTACGGGGACAACGACAGCCTGTTCGACACGAGCGACGACGAGCCGGACGCCGAGGAGGAGCAGCAGCAGCAGCAGCAGCAGAGGGGCAAGGGCAGCCCCGGGCCCCTGAACCCGAGGCCGGGCAGCCCCGGCAACCCGTTCAACAGCAGCAGCAGCAGCAGCGGGGGGCGGAACATGGGCGTCGGCAGCGGCGTGAGCGGGCTGCTGCGGAAGGCGTCGAATAACTCCCTGGCGAACGCGCACGCCAACGCAAAACACAAGCAACGGCAGGACGAGGACGAGGTGGACTGATTGTGGCTTTTTCCTGTCTGTCTGTCTGTCTGTCTGTCTGTCTGTCTGTCTGTCTGTCTGTCTGTCTGTCTGTCTGGAAAGAAAACGGGCAGAAGGGTTTCGCGCCGGGGATCGGCTTTTGTCTTCTGCGGTGATGCCTATATACACATATGGATATTTCACTGGTTGCATTCAGCCTGGCGTTCAGTTTCTCGACATGCGCTTTTTTGCGTTTACTGGTTTCAGGCCTTTGCGACGGTAGAAAATAGGAAAGATTATTCCGGGTCGATCGAAACAGCAAATGATAACAGTCGCAGCCGTGTTCGACTTGCATTATAAGTTGGGCGTGGAGATTTTTTCCCTTCCCAGAACCCGCGCGTATTCGGCTTGGAGGCGTGCTGGCTAGCTATTCCGTCTGGAGTCTCTTCGAAGCAGCAATGATATCCTTCGGGCAACAGACAGACAGACAGGTTGCCGAGGCCCACAACACGAGGCGGGAAACATGTGATGTGTCTCGTATGCGTGTAATGGTTGGTCCGACCCCGGGGAGAAAGCCTCATCTCCACCAAGGCATGAATCGATGAAAAGGCAAAAGGCCTCGATTAGGTCTCCTACACATGCATACACGCAGAGTTTCCCGCAGCGCATGGACGGACCCTGACTGACATCTGAAGTCAGTCACTGCCATCACAACAAACCTTGGCGACAACATCCATCTATCTATCCACGTCCCCCCCCTCCCCCAGTCCCGGAGCGCGCCTCCGGTCCGTCATCATGTATGTACCCGGGGTACATACACAAGACAACCCCGTCCCGGCCCGGTTTATTTAAGCTCTTGGCCGAAACAATTGCTCCCCCTCCCCATCACAATGGCCTGGCCCCGCCCGCGGGGGCCTTTTACCTTTCTGCCCGCTGCCCCGGGCGTGCAAACCCGAGCGGGCGGAAGGAGAGACGGGATCCGTTGTCTCGGGGAAGGAGACGGGAGGTCGGGGAAAGGGATTTATAAAAAGGGGTGGAGAACGAGGGCGGGCGCACCACGTAATTAAGCCAAAAAGTATGTACTGTCAGGTACCCGAGGGCATCCCTGGGCCGAAGAAGCGGGTCCCTTTAGGGGTGGGGAGGTTGGGTTACTGGGTTGGTCTTTTTGTGTTGTTTAATTAATCTGAGGGAAAGGCGCAACAAACCTACAATATCCCGTATGCTTTTTTGCGCCGTGGGCTCGGGATGCATGTGGGGACCCCTTTCAATATATTGCTTCCCGCGTGCGTGCGGCTTCCGAGATGCATCGGGACGCGTCACTTCGCTTCCGGCGAGGGCCTGGCCTGGGCCTGAGTTGAACTGAGCTGTGGCCCCCGTCGGCGGGCCGTTGAATAAATGAGTGAGTAGGTGGGTGGGCCAGGCCATGATCCGTCCTCCGTCTGCTCGGGCAGGCGGGGCCCAAAGTACTCGATGTATACGGTACAAGATGCAATACATACGTGTGTATGTGTGGTCGGCTCCCTGTCTGGCCGCCACAGGCTGTTTCCTTATCTGATTCACACGTGCGCCTCATCAGGGTCCCACTGTCTCGTGTGTTCGCCCGGTCTGGACCACGCCCGGATCCCATTCCCGACGGGGGAGGGAGGGTGGCCCTCTCGGCTGGGCCCTCGGGATAAGAGTAATGCTGCTCATGCACTGTCCTCGTTGACTCCTCTCTGGCTCTGGCCCAGACGGTGGTGGAAAGTTCCACTGGCTCGGCACCAGGTGGAGGGCTCTGGGCATCAGCAGAGGCTGCGGTCCACGTGGATGGAAGAGGCAGAGGCCAAGGCGACGGGGTGTTCTTGATGATGGTGGGCTTGGACGTGCATGACTCCGGTCTACACCGAGTCCTGTGCCGTCATGCAAGCCTCCGGGTCCGGAGCCGAGTGCGGCCATCCGAGGTCCGAATACACCGGGACAGCATCTTTCGCCGTTGGCAAAGGTGTGAGGGAGTGGTTGCGCAGTCAATTGTCCCCTTGTGATGTGGACGACATCCAAGAAGAATCGGATCGCAAGAGACCCAGCCTGGCAGTGGGCGCCTGTGCAAGGACGGGACGGTGACATTCCAGAGCCCGCAGTGGGAGAATTACATAAGCCGGTGCCAACCTAAGGCTCCTGCACTCCTTGGGGCTGCATCGACCAACAACACGTCGTGTAAATACACAGCACAAGCAGACATCTTGTAACTGATCCTCAATCGCCGGCCCATCAGCAATCATGGCGAAACCCAAGGCCATCTCACACCCACGCAGGATACTGGCCGTGTCCTTGGAAGGCTCAACCGAGCATCTCACCCGCGTAATCAAAGGTGAGACCACAGAACCTATCATGCACACTCTCACACACATACACGATCACTGCGTCGAAATATCGACAGTCCTCAACGCATGATGAAGCAAGAAAATGGAATTCACCAGACTAACCCAGCTGGCCCAGACCTCACGGGCGCCAGCCCAGAGCCCGCCTCGGCGGCAACATCACTCGCGGGCACCACCCACGACCTCACCCTCAAGACGGCCTACTACACCGCCACCGTGCCCATATGGCTGGACCTCATCACCACCGCTCCCGAGTGGGCAGACTCCTTCCTGTCCCCCGAGGCAAGGGAGGTCCTCGAGGTCCTCGGCGGCGTGGTCGTCGTCTTCCCCGTGTCGTCGTCCTCCCCGCAGCAGCACAGGGACCTGATCAGGGAGGTCGGGAGGGTCGTCAGGGAGGGCCTCGGCGGGTGGGAGTGGGACGGCGTCGGGCTCGGCGTCGGCGTCGGCGAGGTGCCGCACCTCGACGACCTGGACATGTGGGATGAGGCCTGTGGGGACGCCGGGCTCGAGTTTGTCCACGTTGACTCTTCTGCCACGCCCGAGGGCGCCAAGAACGAGTTTGGCGGTGAGTTCTTTTCTACTTCTCCTACTCAGTAGACCGACACCGCCCTCCCTCCCCCGCTTCGCATGCAAGATATTACTCTTACTGACCAGAAACGCAGAGAAAATGGGCATCCCCCGTGTCCTCGAGGCTCTCGAGTCAAACGAGTGGGACTCGTTCGCGGCAGACGACGGAGACGACGAGCTGGCGGCACTAGGAGATGTCACGAAGCAAGGCGCACTTGACGGCGATGACGACGACGACGACGACGACGGGGCTGACCTAGACCCGGAGAACCTGGACTTCGGTTTCGACAGGGAAGACTTCGAGGGCCTGAAGAAGGCGATCTGGGAGGCCCGCGCAGAGCGTGAAGGTGATGACGGGGACAGCCAGGGCATCGGAAGCAAACCGGGCGGCCCTGACCCAGCCGCATCAGCCCAGGCCCTGGCCACGGACGAGGCCGGCGGCGAGCTAGGGGATGAAGACATCCAGAAGGTCGAGCGCATGATGCGGAAGCTCCAGGCCGTCAAGGACATGAGCGCCGGCCTGCCAGAGGACCAGAAGAAGCGCATGGCTGCCAAGGCCGTCGGGGAGGTCATGAGAGACCTGTGATGCCGAGCTGTTCCCGTTCCTGTTCCCGAACGGGACGACGAGGTGCTTGACAGGCGCCACAGCCGTCTCCAGCCCCGGAGATCGACGAGCCTGAACCCGGGTGTCTTGCACTTTGCCCGTGACTATCTCACGCCATGCCTGCTCCTACTTGCCGGCATATCTGGCCCTCTCCACGCCTCCTCTCCTCTCGGCAGCACCTTCCCTCACCATCGCCACCCATCACCCCATCGAGACCTCACTCGGCACGTCAACTAGGCCAATACCCTCGAGGCCAGGCCAGGGCGCCGAGCGCCATCTCGTGCCGGGTGGGCGTGGGGGGCAACTGGAACCCGCGGCGCGGCGCGGCGAACCGTCGTCGTCGTGGGCACGGAACATGCCTTGTCTCCACACGGGGCTACCTACACCACGCAGCGGCAGTTGGGAGAAAAGAAGCATCTGCACCCCCCCGCCCGGGCCTCACGCCCGCAACGAGGCAACCGTAGCGAGCGACCGGGGCGAGACAACACAGCATCCCGAGACACGGGTGGGCTGATCCTGCCGCCTCGGTCTCACGAGCCTCGTCCTGACATGCCCCTCTGCGCTCGCTCGCTCGCCCGCCAGAGACGTACTACTACGCCCACGTCCCACCCGGCACTGGCCGACGACCTCTCGAGGCGTTGACTCACCCCTTATCGCTGCTGTTGATGATGGCATGATCCAACCATCCATCCTATTACCACCCCACAAGGGCAGGGCGGGAAGAAATCCTCCACGCGCAGCATCACCAATCGATCAGCCCGCGGACTTTGCCATCTCTACCCCTCGGCTCCGCTAGCCCAGGAGCAAAACCCCGGGGGGGGGGGATATCTGCTGCCCACATCCCTTCCTCTCGCACGATAGTGACGCTCGGTGCCCGCTTACGTTGCAGCGAGGGGGGAAAAAACTGTGGACCTCCACGGCACGGCTCCACGGAGAGTTCCGTGGATCTTCCTCCATCGATGCTAGCTAGCGACGGGTCACGCACGCCGCGGGGCCGTTCGCCCTCCTCTGGTGACACAGTGCCTGTTTCTATTGCAAAAGTGGCAGGCTCAGGTATCAATTGGTTACGAGACTTGCGCAAGCCTTGGGGGTGGTGATTGATATGTGACGACCCAAAAGGAGTAAAATAAATAAGTACAATTTCCAGGTCCGTTTGGTATTTGCGTACCGCTTGTACCGGTGGACAAGGGTTTCACCTCACACATAGCTAGGTAGCTCCCCAACACATGTCTCGACGGTGACAGACCTCGGGCCACGCAGACGTGGGCATGACCCCTGAGTGTCAGTCTAGCATCCAGCCCGTGCCTGAGTTGGTTTTTGTTAGGTTGGCCTTACACAGGGCAGGTGTGTGAATCAGGAACCAGAACTGCGCAACGCAGCACACTCCACGGCTACAAGGTAGTGATCGCGACATGTCAAAAAAGAAAATTGAAAAATTGAGAGAATTGCCAGGGAGTGGGTGCATCGTCCTCGTCCTCGTCCGAAACCACGCCTCGCCTCGCCTCGCCTCGCCTCGCCTCGTTCCACCCGTGAGACAAGCCCATCCCCCTTCCCCTAGAAACGACTCCCGCCGAGACGTTGCCTTCTCGATCGCCTGGTCTATCACGAGCGGCTTGAGAAGAGGAGCAGCTCCCTTCCATGGAGGAATGTGAAATGGCGGGGGTAACCTCACCGATTCACACACTCTCTCTCACCGGCTTCCCTCGTACGCCAGGGGAAACAAGGCAATTAGGACAGCCTATGTGCAACCCCCATACGAGCTGATATATCAGAAAAAAAGAACACACACACATAACAACGTGGGAAAAGTAATCCACGAGAATAAGGCAGACGCGCCACAGGACCTAGACCCATGCGCGTATCCGCCGAGCCGCGGTCGACAGGCAGACAGGCAGGCAGGCAGGCAGGCAGGCAGACGACCGCGAGGGGTGGCTGTATGGGGCAGCAGCAGCAGCAGCAACAACGACGACAACACAAATAGCCCCTCCCCAGGTAGGCCACCGAGTAGCACCGAGGCGCCGCGTGTTGTATGTTGAATGCCGCCTCCCGCCCAGGCCAGGGCAGGGCACGGCCGCCACGCCACGAGGGAGAGGACAACACTTGCGCATCTCCAAGCAAGCAACCAACCTAGTCGGCCACTGCGTGCGTCGCACGACAACGCCGCGCGGTGGGCGTTTTCGGACACACCCAAGGGTGGTGGTGGTGGTGGTGACACGCAACGAAGACCACGCCCACTCCCCCCCCCCCCCGCCCAAACGAGAGGAAAAAAGAGGAACACATACATAGCCCGACTTTATGCCCATCTGTCCATCGGCTCATGTGCAACAGCAGCTCATGCCATCAACGACAGCAGCAGCAACAGCAACAACAGCAACAACAACAACACCCCCGTCTCCCCTTCCTTGTTCTCTCAGGAGATGGGCCGCCACTGAAGTCGCCGCCCCCCTCGTGCGACCAGCCTCTCGGTCCCGGACAGGACATTCAGGGCATCCAAGACATCCCCCCTCGATCTTCCCCCTCCCCTCCCCCGCCTCCGCCTCCGCCTCTCCCCTCGGTGTCCTGGAGCGGCAACGCCGCTGGGCCGGATTCGATTTCACCTGCATGCATAGCTGGTGATGCAGACGGAGGGCAAGGGGGGGGGGTTAGGTAGGTAGGTAGCTAGGTAGCATGACAAGTGCCGCGTGGTCTGTCTCGTCGACGTCGACGCCCGGCCGCGTTTGGGCGACAGGTAGACAGGGCTGCTGCTGCTGCTGCTCCTGCTGCTGCTGGAGAAGGGGATGGAGGGGCCGGGGGGGATGGGATGGGACGGCGGCGCGATCTCTAGGAAAGGGGTAGTGCAGGTGGTGACACTAGATCGATGAAGGACAAGGGGTGTGCGTGAGCGTGTGTGGGAGTGTGTGTGTGAGAGGGAGGAGAGGAGGCTGAGCCGGCGTGGGTGGCACGTAACACACGCTGACCAGGCGGTGTCACTGACTGATGTGCCATGATATCCATGTGTGGAGGTCTGTTGTGCCAAACTCAGGTATTGTGTCACGAGGGTTTGATATAGGACCTTCTTTCTGTGCTCGTGGTGCGTCCGTGTGACAGGGTGCCATTGGGCGGGACTGGAGGAGAGAACGACATGTCGTTTGTTTGGGTACGGCCACTCTTCCCCGCCAGCACTCGTAGGAGAACCCACGTTCAGCCAGGGGTTCTGGTGTGTGTGTCAGAACAAAAGAGAACGCAATTAAGACGACGAGAAGACATCCCTGAGACATGTCACTGTCATGTCAAGCCGATGTCTAGGGCAGGTCACCACTTGGGGATAGCCACATGCTGACGACGCCACCCCCCAAACAAATCCCCTGAATATACCGACTGCTCAGCTCGATGGAGTTTGCATGTACCGCAGCTCGTGAGATGAGGTCCTGTATACCTCTTGCACCGGGCAGCTCAGCAGAGCACAAGATTCGTCTCGAGCGTCGTCCAAAGAGCCAGGCATCCGAGGTCTCAATGCGATTGCACCGATGGAGCGCATGGCCCTCCTTCCCGATTCCGACTCACTTACATGAGAAGGGGCCCGTCAACTGCAGGCGACAGGGACCTTTGGTTTTGCCGTTGCGTTGCGTTGCGTTGCGCTGCGCTGCGCTGCGCTGCGCTATCCTATCTCACCCCTTCTTTGCCCCCAGCCAGCCCCCGTCCGGGCCTGCGGTAAGGCAACAGACGGCCTCGGCCTCTGGTGCACCTCACTAGAGGCCCCCGTATTTTACCACGCGCCCTCACCGCTCTTCGGCGCTTCCCCAGCACGCATGCAAGCTCCGTTCCTTCACCTTGCCCTTGCGTTCCGGCCCCTTCAGCCAGCCAGCCAGCGCCGAGTCCCCGTAAGGCGACCGCCGCAATGCAAGCCGCAATGCACAATGCATGTCTCGGCTGCCTCACGGACTATTCGGCGCGCTAGCAGAAAATGCGCAGGCTGGGCCTGCGCCGTACACTCGGCAAGGGCCCCTCGGAGGCTTGACTTTTTCTTTGACGGGAGGGACCTTCGTTGGAATTTCCCCTTTCATGCCAATCGGCGTTCGCTTTCGCATTAATATTCGGCACTCTATTAATTCGGTTGGCCGCGTAGTATGTTCCGACCCAGCCGTGAGCAGGCGGCTACACACATTGCGGACATGCCAGTTAGACCTCACGACCTAACCCCTGGGGCGGTCGATTTCAGGTGAGCAAGGATCTCTGTCGTCATGTGGGGAATTCGCAAGCCTATAGCTTACCAAGTGTACATACATATATGACATGGTTGGGACAAACTGCGACACAAATGCCGGCACGGTCCTAAGTCGTCCCTTGTGTAACCTGACGGTGTGCCCGGAGTATGACGGGCGAGTGCTGGTACCGTGGTCCTAGGATCAAGCAAACGGTCCGGCCGCTTCATGACTGGGCGACTTGATCAGCCTTCACCAGGAGACCCGTACACTACGGTCTTTGCGACCGGCTGGTGACTGACCCCATCGCATCCCAATGGTCAGGTGCTGCTCATAGGATCCGACCGTCAAGCTTGGAACCTGCACGCCCGGGCCTGTGAGACGGCCAGGTGCCATCTAGGGGATGAGGGGACCTAATCATGTCAAATATAGATTCTTCAGCACCCGACAACAGCTGTCCGGTATAGTGACTGCTTCATGAGAACTGATATCAGGGAGCCTGACCACAACATCTCGCCCCCCCTGGCTACTACCGCGTGATTCCCTTGGGGTATGCGGCGGCCGGGTGCTAAGCAGAAGCGGCTGTCAACATTTGGAAAAGTATTCATACAAGGACGAAGAATACGATACGTCAACGAACCCCAATCCTTGGGTCCCCTGTCCCCCTTGGAGACTATGGGAAAACGGTCGCGAGGGATGATAAGAGCGATCACTTTGACATGTTGCCCCTGCTCGGTTCTGATATTGGCAATATAACACGAGCTGCAAGGTGCTGGAAACCAGCATTGTGCAGGGGACACATGATCGAGACGCTTACCTCGTTCCCTGGGTGACCGCTGTTGTAGAGTATGCACTGGTGTCAGCTGAGGTCGAGACTGCAGCATCCTGACTGTGCCGCGAGCGTCCCATCAGGGACCGTATGCTGGCGCGTGCGTGCGTACAATACTTTCCGCAGAGTCGGGGGTTCAAAGGCATCCTGGCATTCACCCCGTCAGATATCGCTTTTCTGACAAGCAATCAGACTGATCATTCCATGCACAATGAGGTGGCGGGCAGGCCTCGAACATCCTGCGGCTGTAATTCATTGATAATCATTAATCGTTTCAGTCCAAGCCTTGGAACCTCGCAGACTTCGACCTCACAGCTCGGCTTGCATTAGTAGAGAGCCACATCACCAAATGCGGCTTCGTGGAAGCCAGAAGGATTCCTTGAATCTGGAGCTGTCACGGTGAGTGAGCTCGTTAATCTCTGTCTTACCCACCTCATTCTAGGCAACAAAAGGCGGCGCGGAACTTGAGCCGTCAATATACCGTCTCGGCGGTCTTGGACAACGAAGGCGAGTCCCCAAAATGGACGATAGTGTGGTGTGCCGTATCTCAGTGGGACTCGACCGTGGACCCCGTCGCTCGGAGGATGAACGGGTCTTGGCCCGCTCTATGGACCGTCTTAGCAGCCAAGCCCACGTGGGTAAGACTATTAGCATCCACACACAAGGTGGTATCATGGGGTGCCTTATGAAAACCACTGAATGTCGCAAGGATGGTCATGCCCGTGGTCAACGCACCGTATGAACAACGCTCGGTAGCCCAAAATGCCCTAGAGGTGACCCAGAATATGCTGTCACCGTGCCGGTCTTGGGCGGAACCTCAGGTCCGTCGAGCCGCCCGACACTATTGGATCCCCGAGGGCGTATCAAGCGGAGGTATGGGGTAGTGGAGTGGCCGACTTCGTCGTCGTCGCCTCCTGGAAACAGATAGCGAGCCGCAGATCCGCAGAGAGCCCCATATTAGAGGAACTTGGTGGTAGACACGCGAGATTTGTGAGCAGGGTCCGTGCCAAGCTTGTCAGTCAGACTCGAAATACCTCCTTCAGCCTAGTTCCAGTGTCAAAAGGAGATATCCGTGAGACATAGCACTGGCATGAGATGTACGGAGTACAACTTGTAAGACTGCAAGAGAAGAGGAGAAAGGATTGCCAACCTTGTGCGCACATTCAACGCAAATCAAATGATACGAGACACGAGCGTGTCCGCAGAAGAAACCGGTAATCCTAGGTCCAAGGCAGCCTGGCGGCGCAGCGATCACTATCTGCACACGTGTTTGAGCCACTCACGATTCACCACGGGAAGACATATATGTGCTTCTCATAAGCTGGGTCGGCCGGCTGAGGGCCTGTCCTCGGGCCGCGTTATTCACGGCCTGTTGCCTCGTCAGGAGAGCCTGTGCGTGGTTCTTCCTATGAATGCAATCATCCAGATGGGGTGACCGAAGAACCGATGGTGGGTATTCGCATCCGGAAGGTTGACCGTGCGATTGAGTCTTGTGACTGGCAACTCGCGGGTCACCAACACTCATCACACAAAGACATCCAGTATTGACGCAACCTTGCCTGGGTCTGGAGGACATGCGACTGACGTGGCAGTCTCATGAGGGTGCTGCACGGCTTCAGCCGCTGCCGCTCTAGACATGGGCGAGTGGGTGAGCAGCGGATGCTTCCCGGGCTGCCTGGTAAGCTGTGTGAGCTGTCGCATGTTTTGCTTGGGATATCTGTAGAACACCCTCGATGTCGCTCACGCAGTGTAATCGGCACCAGTGATACACTGGGGTTCTCGGGGGGTGCGGAAGACGTCCAATGTTGAGGAGCGGTGGCTAAAAGAAAAGGGTGTAGGGCGTGTTCATCTGTAAGGCTCTCTAGACATGAAGGCATAAAGTGTCTTCCCATCCGTGTCGGGCTCCTGGGGCGTATGACAAAATGCGGCGGCTCCTTAGCAACGCAAGAGATAACTGATATATCGTTTCTGATGGTAGCTACCATGATAGCTGCCCGTGAGGCTGAGATGAGAGTATGGTGAGTAGTGAGACACAAGAGGTACAACGACTTGCGGCTTGGGGTCAGTTTGGTTTGACTTGCCCACAATTTGGCCTTCCCCTCTGTGGCTTCACATCCGGATTCGGTCTGTCTCTCAAGTTAGAAGCTTTGGTCAGACGTTTCCGACCATACGCGCCGACTCGCTCCCGAAGACAGCAACAAGCCGGGCCAAAGGGTGCCGTGACGGGGCTTTTGGCATGGAGGATTTGTGTCATCCATCTGTTGGTTGTGGAGATAGCGCCATCTGTCTTCCCCATAAGTGAGATTGTTCCTGCACCTGGTCTTTTTGGGTGCAACAGCCGGAGGGTTGCACAAGATGAAGAAGGAACTTGCGAGCCGCAGCAATGTCCGAGATACAGGCCCGTCCCCCATAGGCCTTGAAACAACTTGCAGCGTCCTTTGGGATGCATGCTCATCCAATGATAACTCACAATGCCAAAGACAGCACGCATGAAGAAGCTCCTGCAGTGCTGCAGAAGGTCCCTTGCCAGGCGGCCTCATGACAGATGCGATACGAGACGCAAGCAGGAAGGCCGTGCTATCGCCGGACGAGGAACGCATTTGTGAAGGTCCCTAGACATCAAAGAGTGCCGTGAATAGCAAGGTACTGTCGCATCCTTCATGACGTGACAGGTTGCAAAGGCCAGGGTTGATGCTTCATGTAATGCCTTCACCAGCAGTAGGTTCGCTGCATTGCCACCGGCCAGATGTCATCCTGACTCTCGCTCTGGAGGGATCGTTGCATTTCAAACAAGTCCGAGAACCTGCACAATCCAGAGCGGATATTGTGCAAACGCCCAACAGCTGCAGCTGCGGGACATACCGTCAGTCTTTGCAGCTGACAGGGAACTTCCAGTCTGAGCGTTCAAATGTGGTCTGAGATGCGGAGAGGCAGCGATACAGGAATGGCAGCCAAAGAGGAGACGTACGTTCACCAGAGCAAGCCCGGAACTTGAAATGCAGCAGAAGTACTGTGAAAAGAGCCGAGGCAAGTGCTTGCGTATGCTGATGCGTGAATGTACATGTGTTTCCTGAAAACCTGAGAGACAAGTCCGTTCTGGTTCAACTTGATGGTCGTCGCGCTCGACCACGTTGTCACGCTTCGAAGTGATCCACATCGTGCAGGCAGCAGCATAGCCTCCAACCCGACAACGGGATCAATGCTTCAACACTCCTGTAGCTTGACAGTGTCGGCAGGGTCGTCGGATTGGCTTTCCTCCTTAGGTCACACAAGGGCCGAAACAGGGCGGCCCGGCGAATGCATCGCCCGACGATGCCAGGGTCAAATGTGGGCAGAGCTCTGCACTCTTCACTGGACGCCAACGATATTCCAACGCGCCTGTTGGCAGCGAGTTCTTGGCATGCCCTTGGTCATGATGACATGCAGGCTGCAGCAGTCGCACGCAGCTTGAAACTGTTCCAGTTGGCGTGCCATGATCGTCTGGTTGGAGGAAACTGAAGACGGTGATGGGGATCAGGGCAACTGTCCACTCGTTGCCCGGGGTTTGCTCTGCCAACCTCTTCCAAAGACGTGTATCGCTGCTCTCTGGTGGTGGCGACAGACACTTTCTTCACAGACCAGTGCAAGGGCTGCTGCGTGGAGGCCAGGATCCGGTTACATCTCCGAGATAGTTGTCTTCACTTTCGACAAAGTCGGAGTCATTCTTGACCAACGGCCGGAGAGTGCCGTTCTTGTGGTCAAGAGGGGCCGTTGTTCCTTCACCTCCTTCACCACCTGTGCCTTGTTGGCGATGCAGTACCGTTGCGAATGGCCAAGCAATGGTGATAGGCCCTTCTGCAGCAGGGGTGTGAACGTGGGGGATTCGCGCAGCGTTGCGTTTCCCAATTTTAGATCGTCCCGCGTCAACGCCTGGGGTCTCCAGATAAATCTCACTGCTGACTCCATGGCCCGCCGAGAACAGGAACCGGTTGACTCATTCTGCACACTGTTTTGAAATCGCGGATCTCGCCTCATGGGGTCACTTGGTGCTAGCCCTCGTTGTCAGCGTTCCTGGAGTTTCGAGATCAGCAGTAATCATCCGATGCGCTGATATCAACTCCTTGACATGTGGGTATGCGTGATGGCGTGTCGGAACTTCCGGTCTTTGGGGAACAGGGCGGCTGGCGCCCTGCCTTCCTCGCGTTACGTCATATCCACCCAGTCTCATGCCTTTCAGGCACCCAGGCTTCGAGCGCGGCGAAGAAGCAGAGCCCGATTGATCCGATTAAACGGGGCACCTGTTACAGGGCTGTGGTGGAGTCTCATCACACAAATGGAAGCCTTCTAGAAGACGTAATGCCTGTCGCTTCAGGATGCGTACGGAGGGTGTGTGTCGAGAGCGTCTGAAGTACAATGTGGGGATGGTGTGGCAGGACCACAGCCATTGGCCCAGTGATCCAACCGACAGCATTAACGGCGCGGCATGGCTCCTGGGATTACTGCTTACTGAGGATCTTGGAGTGTGGATGACACCTGCGCTGCGGCTCATCACCCTGCCAGCCTGCCAGCCTGCTTGACGCTCTGCGTCACTTGATGCTCCTTGGTGTGGATGTCGTGGCCCAATAACGACTGCAGTCTTGATAGTAGATCATCATCGACTGGGCATCGCGTCCAGCACAGTGTCATGAGAGAGCTTGCCAGTGCAAGCCATTAGCCATTTTTATCACGTGTGTCATCAGCTCTCAATCTTGGCCGTGCCGTGCCACGAGGTGCACCTCGTCCACGCAATTGCTACGTGTCGGTTTCTGTCTTTGCCGGTGGCCGATCTGCTCAACCTTAAGCGCACCTCCCCCGTCCCGGTCCCGGGCAAGGCTGTAGTTGACGGAGGCGCTGAAACAAGTCGACAGTGCCGTTCCACACGTTGGCCCTGCCATTTCCCGTAGGCTTGAATACTTGCGTTCTTAGTGCTCTTCGTCCAACGTCAAGAAAGGGGCGATGCCACCTCAAGATCGAGTAGACCCTGTTGTCCACGCGACGGTTCGGTGGACACTGTCTGACAACCATCCCAACTCACGGCCCTCGCGTCGCTTTGCTATTCAGAGATGTTATTCCTTATTCGGCATGGAGAAATATTGAGCTCAGGCAGAATTAGATCGAGAGCGAGCAGCTTCGGGATGCGCGAGCGGAGTAGCGCGTTTAGGGGACCATAGTATAAACGACAAACAACCGCTCCCGCTCCCGCTACCGCGGCCGTCTGAGACCTTGGATGGGCGCCGCAAAGACCGAGCTGCGGAGTTTCTGAAGCTTTCGAGATGCCAGCATGCTCCTTTCCTGCCCACGAGGAGCTTGCATTGAGGGAAGGTTCCCGCGCAACAGTCGCCAGCTGTCCCCTTGCCGGGGAGACCAAGGAACGACGCTCGGGGAATCTGCCGCATGGCATCCGGAAGAGGTACCCGCAAAGGGACGGCATTGCTCATTATTCTGTTGCAAGCGTTGAAGCACTGGGCGACCCCTATTTTGTTTTCACTTGTGAGGCCAAGCATGGTAGCGTGCTGGTCGGGAAACCTCGAGGTCCCTTGGGGGATTATACTCGTCAACGCAATAGGGAAGTCCAAGCCGCTGCATTGCGGGTGCGAGCTTACATGCCCTCCGTGCGGGCATTTTCTGAATTGCCGCGACAAGATCTGTGCGACGCCAAACACATTGTCGGGAAAATTGCTGCAGGGCACCGAGATTTCGTTCCACGTGTCACTTGTCACCTTTCTCCCCAAGAGGTGGGCGATTCACTTGCTCACCGGTGAAGGGCCTGGCAGTTATTTCATGCAGGCGTCGCACGTCCGAACCCCTGGAAACGGGGGACAAAATGCTGCTTTTCCACATCCCCGACCGCACAGGTGCAGGTCCTTTGGCAGAAGTGCATGCTGCGACGGCTCCTCCCGCGCCGCGATGAACGAGGCACATGTCATTTCCAGGCCGGTAGGGCTCTCGGCCGACAGATATTTTTTTGCCGCGTCAGAGACTTCATTGTCTTGAGTCGCCAAAGGCCGTCGGGCCTTGGTTAGCAAGGGACCGAGCGACAATCATGCGCATGCGATCGGATGGTTTGACAGCTCCAACAGGATGGCGGGGCGTGCGCGAACTGCTCTGTTGTAGGGCTAATGCGATCGCCCCTTGAGAGTATGGCCCGACAAGGTGAGTCAACACCGGGGCGACAACTCCAATAGGTTTCCCGCCAAGATGTGTTGCCCAAGATGCCAATCTCGTGTGGCATGCTGCCAGGCTGCCCGCCTGGTCGGACAGACTTGACAATGGCACACTGCCGGTGCGTGGCACGGTTTTGCTGTCAGGCTCGGGAGTGGAGCGCATGAAGCTTCGTCCGTGCTGAAGTTCAGGGCTGGCAGGCGGATAGGGAGAGTGTGGCGTCGGCGATGGCGTAGGACGGGGTGAGGTTGAGGTCAACCTGGCCTGACCCCTGCTGTCGAGGATGAAACAAGCCAGGGACCGGCTCTCGGCGCGTGGGCTGACGGTGCAATTGCGCTGCAGATCGCTTGGAGGCTCCAACGGAGCAAGACCCGCGCAAGCCCAAGAGGATTGCGGGCGCATGAGGCTGAGCATGAGGGAATTGGAGTCAACTGGTGCGGACGAACGTGCGTTGTGTGGACTGTGTTGATAGCGTTCGGCCTTGCCATGCCCGCCTGACGAGGCAAAGGGGGCCCGTCAAGATGAGAGAGGCCTTAGAGGGCGACCGGGTTTGATTGCGCACCTGTTGCTTTCCCCGGTTTTCCATCAACAAGTCACCAGAGGTACCTAATCTGGGGAACGGGGATGAGGCGCCGGGGGGGAGAAGCGGCTCGTCCATTATTAATAAGCGACAGCTCGACGATGGGGGACCCATTGCGTTTCCTGTGTGACAGAATTGCCCACGGTGTATCCGAGATGAAGCTGGGTTATTCTAGTCAATGCAGCCAGTCAGTCGGTCGGGTGCGATATACGGAAATCGCATTGTACCCGTACGAATGTCTCTCGATGTTTTTGTTGATGTTCGTCCTTTTTCACTGCCTTCCTTTTCTGCGCGGCAGAGATCTGGATGTTGACCGCTATTCCACCCCCAACACGTACTGTACTCGGGAAGGTACTCATACCACACAGTAGATTAAAAATTGGACAGGGCAGGTATCTCCAGACCGGTTGGGAAGGAGAACCCGTTAAGCAGCCTCGAGTCCCACGACTTCCGCTGCTGGCTCTCTCTGACTGACTCATCCCACTGCACTGGCTGCCAGGCTGCCCAGCGTGGACTGCATGTGCAAAGACAGGAAGCTGCAAACTGATGGGGCTATTCTGGCAGTCTCCAGTATGGTGCGTCGCTTCCCCCTCCATGCCAATCTCTTAAGAGGTGGAAATTGCATAGTGCACAAAAGTGCTCAAGTGCTCGCACCAGCCAAGGCAGGAAGGTACTACATGTACTGTAGTCCGTAGGCATTGCACCGAGTACTGCGTAGATGCTGTGTACTGTGTGGATGTACATATGGATGGATGGACGTATGTATGTACGACCTGCAAATGTACGTGGTTGCTCCTGCTGCGCTGCAGAGTTCCTTGGGCGGGTGCATTTATTACGCGCAGCACACGGTGCATTAATTGCGCGACTTTGCCCGTCGCCAATGCCACGAACGGACGGATAAATGGATGGATTGCTGGACGGTCCGGCATGGTTTGGACGGGTTGCGAATCGGGTTGCAGGCCAGCTCTGATGTCTGATGTGAGGGAGGGCAACATCATCACATCTCACACCCCGGCCACGTGCTGCGCGCGGCCTCTCGGATGCAATCCTTCAGACCCGTCCCATCCAAAGTCCATCGCCCGTAAGTAGTTGGCGTTTCGGGTGAGAACTGCAGCAGGCGACCTCCCTCTTTTCCTGGGGCGGGCATTGTGCGCTTTTTGCATGCTCGCTTGCATGTGTGCGTGCAAGAGGTTTGCGAGACAGGAGACCGGGGGGGGGGAGGGGTGAGGAAAAGGATCTCCCCTCCGCTGTCGTGGGAGAGGACTCGCGCAAATCTCGACGATCATCGGGACCACTCTATTACTGCACTGCGCTGTCGGAACGGGACTCTCGCTACATAGGCCGCGCGATTGTCGTGAATTTACCGCATCGGCAGAGTTCCGCGAATGCCCGGGTGCGGAATCCCGGTGTGGGAACACACTGGGCCAACGTGCTGCTTTTTCTCTAATTTTTGCTCATATCTCCTGCCGAGGAGAAGTCGGGTCTGTTTGGGCGAGACGGGTGCCGCACGCACGTATCGAGCTTGGCTTGGCTGACAGGCGCCCATTGGACTAGCCGCATGGCACGAGCATGTCATCACCCTGATGCTGTCGTTGAGGAAGACGTGGTCTGCCCGCAGATCGTGGGGGCACCTCGGTCGGTGCTTCTGGCTGGGACATGTCTGCCTGTCTGTCGCTAGCAGGAAAGCTGGGTGCTGGCATCTGGGAGCTGGCGGCAGATGATGACGAAGTTGGTCAGCAGACGCAAGAAAAGTGAGGCGGTTGAAGGTTGAAACGTAGAGAACCATCGTCTGTTCAGTTGATTGGCAGCTCGGTACAGGGCCGAACGCAGGCGTGGGGTCGAGGTTGTATTCTACTGCGGCACACAGCCTGGTCGAATACCACGTCGCCTAGCGAGCTACTCATGTTATGCAGCCGCAGGGACCCAAGCGAAGGAGGTGTTACTGCGGTGGTCGAACTCACTCTCTGATGAGCCATGCCAGACGGTCTGTCACCGTCCAGTCCAGGTGGATGAGGCAGGCGGCCGGCGGCGTGCGATACCCTCCTCTCCGCCAATGGCCCCTCTCAATCCCCTCAAATACTGTACGGTGGTGCATTGCCGCTAGTGGGTCTCATGGTCGGTCAACTTACACGGCATCGCAGGCCGGCGGTTCACAGTCGGCGGCTCTATACCAATACGCCAGATCCTTTGGGCCGGCGACCTGGCCGGGGGGTCTATCAATGCTCGTCAAGGCAGGTATTCGTAAGAGCGGTGTGCCGATTTCATCTCGAGTCCAATCGAAGCCATGCAAGCACGTTTGACAGCTTCCGCTCTACGGGCTTGGGATGCTCCAGGTACCCAGGCTGTGCAGGCTCGGAAAGTGCCCGCCTGCGCAAGAAGCTAGGTACCGTACAGATGGCATGGTGTTTCTCAAGCGAGGAAGGTGTCAAAAGACCCTTTGTTCTCCATGCTGGTCCGCGAATGGGGGCCCCCAAGGTCCCCTGCCGGGCAGGGGGGGGACGAGGAGTTGCGGGCCAACAAGACTTGGTTGCGGCTGTCACATATTGGTGCTGATATGCGCTCGTGACGCCTCCTTTGGCGCCGGGGCGTCCAAGTTGGCGAGGAAGAATCGTGGACACCGGTATGATAGCCATAATGCGGCACCCATTAAGCAGCAAAAGCGGAGCTCCAAGGCCGCTCACCGCGGCGCACAGGGCCGCCCAATGGTCGCAGACCTAGTCTCAGCTTACCGCTCATCATTCAGGAACGGCGGGAACCGCATAGGGTTGGCCAGAGGTTCATGAAACGGGATCGAGATGACCGAATCAGTCCATGACGATGAATATCAGGGCGACGACAAAGGAAGGAGGACGAAAAGGAACAGGCTGGCAGGCTGGCTGGCAGGTCTTGTGGCCCGGCTGGGCTGATCAGCCATGCGGAAGCGCCGACGGCAGCTGCAAGCCCTCAGAAGAGAGGCACACAGGCACGGGCACAACGGGGCCGGTCACGCACAGTGGCGAGAGACAATGGACATTTCGCATGGGATTGGCGCAACCCACTATTGACAATTTCCTCGTCACCTCGCCGCCCGCCGGGCCGTCGCGCTGGTGGAAGTCCCTATACTGTCTCTGCGGGTGTGAAAGGGACCGAGACTCGCCTGGGATCTGGATTGTAGTACAAAGCCTCTCCCCAATAGAGCACGCCGCCAGGCAACAGGCAGCCCAATTCGGCCGATGCCGGTGCCGTCGCTTCCGTGTTCGTCTCGGCGATCCGGGGCCAAGAACAGTCAGTGGGAGAACGGATTTGCTGCATTTGACATCTGTCATTTCCCGTCCCAACCCACCGACAAGGCGCGCCGCCAGCAGCCTGAGACTGACGAGTCCTCCCGAATTCCGCCCCGTGCGACGCTATGGGGGAAAGCCGAGACATTGCTGTCTTGTGCACGAGATCGTCGCTTGTGAACCCTGAGGATGTTCATCCCCTCGAACCATTCCCCATGCGGCAAAAAGTTTCGAGGGGATGGAGCATGGGCCAGTCGTGCTTTGAGGCTCGCAACTCAAAGACAACGACAGTGACGGGATTGACCAATTGACGGACCGTCCTGATGGAGACGGCCCCAAGTCGACTCGGGCAGGAGTATAAATAGCATCACCGGGAACGAGTCTTGACTCTCGTCCAGCGCGATGATAGCTAACCTCATCATGCATCCTGCCAAGGGGGCTGTACAGCGTGCTATTTGCACCTGTGCCTGCATGCCCCATGTCCACAGCTTCTGAAAAAGAGGCACGGCACATGCCGGCTGACAGCCCACGATCCTTCTTGACCAGACCCCGTATTGTGGTACGGGGTACGGAGTACCTCTCTGACAGCACCCACCCTGAAACATTGCGGCCGGAGGAGTGTAAACAAGCAAGCCCACATGCCACGCCAGTGTTCCCGGGGCGGACGCGCCGCAACCTCAGGCAGTCCAGGGCAAACGAGCTGGCCTGTCAGTCATGCTTGCGAGCTGAAGCCCTTCTCTTTCCCCATTCAGCCCGGTCTCAGGCACCGGGGACCCTTGGCAGACAGATCTGCTGATCTTCAAGAAATGGCCTCGGTTCACAGTTATGATGCTACACCCTCACCCAAGGGGACACTGAGGCAGAGAGGCCAGGTATAAGCCAGAGCTTATTGGTAATTTGCAACGCTCAGCAGGCACGTGTGACGATATGATGCAATGTAGATGCAATATGAGCGCTGGCAATCCGGCCGTAATAGACCAGGAAGCTAAAATCTTGCAGCAGGATGCAGCGATGATGCGCTTGTGGTAAGTGATGCTTGCTAATAGCAGGCGTTTTTGCAGGGTTGCCTGGGGGCGCATCCGAACTCGAAAGAAGCGCGGAAGAAGCAATCGAAGCCAGCGGCCAGCCACCAGCCAGGCCAAACTGTGAGGTGGTTGGCTGCGGGATGATGGGGGCCTGGCGACCTTCCAAGGTTGTGCAAGGTTTCACGGCAATGACGCACCTACTCCAAACTGGCTCCCTGGCTCCCTGGCTCCCTAACAATGCCATGTGGGCAAGGTCGAAAAAGATGGGGCGTGCGACAGGGATTCGCGCCGACAAGGCTGCATCTCGAACGAACCATGGAAGGCACCTGGTGGCCCGGCAAAGTACCTGGTACCTTGTACCTCGCCCCCCCTGCCCTGCCCAAGGTCGTTTCCATGACTTTTCCCGTTCATCTCTCTGCGAACCATGGGCAGTACCTGGATATAGGACCTTTCCCCACCACACGTTGCTTGCAGCACGAGGCGAGATATTCATATGTCAAACCCCCAGGCCCAGGAACAGAGATCACCCCAGCTCCAGCCGGTTTGAAATCAATGCCGGAGGGCGCGGGTCGCAGGCCCGGCCGACAGAAATGTGGACTCGACAGCACGTAGCACACGCACCGCGCTGGATCCCGCGATGCCATCGTCCTGGGCGGTCGCAGCGCATGGAGAGCCGGGCAGAGGGGGCGGGCGGGAAAGAACCCATTGGTATGTACTTGTGGGAGCCCCTCCGCAGGTCGCCCACGGACGGGCAGACGGCCCCATAAGTGATTCGTCGGGCTGTGACCACGTCAAAGCCCCAGCATGCGCGCTGCGATCAGCATTCATGCTATCGGCGACGGCGGCTTGACCGCTGCCCGTCGGTTGATTGATGGACAGTGATAGGCATCGCTGGCGTTGATCAGGATCCCCCGCGACGCTTGTTCGCCCACTACAGGCTCAACGTTGGCATGCCAAATCAAGTTTTGGCGTGTTTCAACTGCGCCCATCACCATCGAGGCGCATACTTCGCGTGGGACGAGCTGTGGTTTGTCGGCCGGCGCACTTGGCGGATTCGATGCCAGCTTTCCACCACGCCAGGCGGGCCGCACAGCACAGAGTTTTTGATGCAGGTGCACGCGAGGATCATGACGGGTGGAGCGAGCATCGACGAGCTTGTTGGGGATGCGGTCGTGCGGGTTTGGTGAGGACTCCAGAGACGGCGCACAAATCATAGTGCAGGAGCCGGAGCAGCAGGCGCAGGAAGCAGCGGGAACCAAGAAGCAGCAAGCAGGAAGCAGCAGTAGCGTGGATGCCGCTGCAACCGCAAGTCAGACAAAATCGTCGATGTTGGAGAACGTGACCATGTGCCGCCTGTCACAGCCCAGGTTAGGTTTGGCTAATTTCACCTTGCTTCCATCCTCTGATATCTGGCATCTGGCGTTTTGACCCGAAGCCCAAAGGCAACCTGGATGCACTCAAACCGTGACAGGGCCCAGGTTGTGGCTTGTGCCGGTTTTCCTCCTGGGAACCGGAGGAAAATCGTGCAAGGTTTTGGCTTCTGGGTCATCATTAACCAATCCTCGGTGGTGGGCACGATGTTTCACACAACCGCCCATCTACCTCGAGCGTCTTGCAATCTCGCGGAACAGCTCCCTGAGGAGCAGCAGCTGGTCTAGATGGAGCAGTGCGCATCGCAATGCGGGCAAAGTTTAATGCGGCTCGAACCCCCGCGAGCCACTCGCAAACCGCCAAACCTTGAACGCAGGACTCTGAGTCACTCAGTCACTCAGGTTCCCGCGAGCCGGGGTGGGCCGAGGGCGGCAGACCCGCGATACGGCCAAGATCCAGACCGTGGTACTGTGTATTGCCGTTGCTTGCTGGCAGCAAGACCAGGACGGATGGCCGGTCCATGGGTGGTTTGGTGGTTGGCCCAAGGCGCCGCCGGCCTCCCCTCTCTCACCTTGCTGCCACCTCGTATCAAAGTCGAATACTGACCAGGCGGCTCGGTTCCGCCGCTGTGGTTCCCCAGATGGAGCCCTGGCCGTGGTGAACGTCTCTGTGCTCTCGGAGATCTCTTGCAGGCTCAGGGTGGCTTGGGAGGGCTTGGGAAGGCTTGGGAAGGGAAGATCACTTCCCCAAGGCGCGAGCCCGCCCTACCCAAGCCCCCACCTGGATTGCCGCCTTTTTTGTCTGAAGCGAGACTTGGGCAACGGGATCATCAGGGACTTTCGATACCGATCAACAACGAGCCCGAGTCAACGAGAGGCCTCAAGCGTGGGCTCCCCTACACAGGAACGCGCCGGGCCTTGCTGCTCCTCGCGTGGCCGGTCGTCCTGGGGAAAGGGACGCGCTACCTCTGTTGCGTTTTTGGCCCCACGGGTTTTCAAAATGCAAATGTTGTTTGATTCTCAGGTTGATGAGCCTGCGAGACCCTGCACCCTGCTGGTGTCCACCTACTTAGCGTGCTACCGCGCTACTGCTGTGGACAAAGCACACAGTCAGTACTGTGGCAGAGAGAGGTTAGCACGGCACAGGGAAGCCTGGCATGGCAGGCTGGCAGGCGGGCAGGCTTGGCCGCCAGGCCCGTTCGGACGGCCATCCTGGGGCCGGCTCATGGGCTGATGGGGTTGAAGACTCATATGAAAGTCGCCCGCGGGCAGGGTTGCAGCCCTTTGCTAGGAATGATCCTTAAATAATCACACCCAGGCGGACAGGACAATGCAGCCAGCCCGTGTGGCGCGGGACTTTAATACCAGGGGACTGGTGACCCAACGGCACTGTAGCTGTGGCAGTTGTGTCTCCCCCGGATTTTGGGTTTGAGGTTGATTCAGGAACCTCTGCCCACCTCCCTCCCCTCCCCCGCCATACCTAGCACAGCTAGTCGCACCCAAACTAACAGCAGATTGTTTGTTTCGGTCAGAGACCCGGCGTCGCTTGCGGCCCTGCTCAGTCGGCTGTTGGCTGTCCTGGTGGCTGGCCGGCACCTGAGATGGGCAGGCGATCAAGCCTGGCAGGTGGGCAAATGGGCGAAGGAATGGGGAGTGGTCCTCCTGAGCGTCGAGCGTCTGGAGACGCGCGTTCCACCGCAAAGATCACGGTGTTTAACTCCTGGACGGACGACCAACAGCACACGTAGGACGGATACAGAACAGGGAAGACATCTGTTTCTAATTCGAACCAAGTCGTGTGATGGTACGTAGGATGAGGCACGGGTTTCTGTGGGAGGCTGGCCATTGGATTCGGATTCCCTCTGCCTGCTGCTAATAAGCAGACTCGCAGACTGCGCCCCGCGCCCCATCGCAGCACGGAGTACCATCGCAGTAGCAGCTTTTTTTATTTATTTATTAACGAGCCCGACAAGTGGCCCCGTACAGTCCGGGAACTCGGCTATCTCTTCGGACACCACCCCTGCAGGCAGCATCTGTCGTGTCTGCTGGCCGGGGATGCATATGGAGATTCATCGGAAGGTCGCACTGCCTGTGAAGGGTTGACGACTGAGTGAGGGCGGGAAGGGAGTGGCTCTTGGTCCCGGGCGGAGGTGGAAAATTCTGTCGCTGTCCACAGTGGCCCAGAGCCATCGAATGGACGTCTGTGCCCTCGCAAAACGCCCGGCGCCCGCGCTGAGATGAGATGGAAGGCCAGAGAAGAGAGCTCATTCAGCTCCAAAAAAAAAACCCTACTAACTCAGTTGGTGCCCAGTTGGTTGTCACTGCAATTCCTACGTTACCTCACCTGCTCCAGGGCCTTCCAGGTTCGCCAGGGGGGTGGCCCTGCTGGGTTTGGCCAGCCAGCCCAGCCAGCCCAGCGTGCAGGTGTGCTTGCCTCCTACCCACACGGTGACGGTGTGGCCCACGGGCGACCCCATCTGGGAGCATTCTGGCAGGAGATACTAGTACCTAGGTACCTAAGTGTTATTGTGCCGACACACCCCAGCCAGCAGCATTGTGCGACGACAGCACCGTGGCGGTCCTGCCTTGTCAGCTTGTCTCTACTGACGTGCCTGCTGGTGCCCAAATCCCCAAAATCCCCAAATCCTGCCCTTTCATCTCGCCGCCCGGCTCCAGTGTCGTCACCTCACCGCGAGGCGCCACGTCAATTCCTCGAGTGTCTTGGAATGTTTTCTTGGGCCCGTCCTGGCCGTGCTGGCCGTGCTGGCCGTTGTTCCAAAACCGCCCGGCCCGCACACCCCCCTCCCTCCCCTCCCCATGTCGCTGCTCCCCTTTCCATCTACAGGCAAGTCCCATCCACGCCGGTCTATTTTTCTCCTCCGTGCACCTCCTTCCTGGCCCACACACGCCACTTCCCATTGCGTCTGCCCTCAATCTCACCCGTCTCTCGGTCTCAGCTCAGCTCCAGCTCAGCTCAGCTCGGCTCGCACTCGCACATCATCAGCAGCGTCTATGTCCTTTTGGGTGGGCGGCACGGGACGGCAGGGCAGGGCAGGACAGACAGGACAGACGGGATAGGCAAGATTTATTCATAGCATGACCACAATAGGGCTTGAGCTGCCTGCATGGATGCCAAAGACATGATATTGTGGCACAGTACAAATGCAACACATATGTACACACATGCACGCAAATGTTTTTTTTTTTTTTTAATTTATAAGGAAAAAACAAAAAAACATATTCTATTATCATTCTGGGAACTGGTCTGTTGGCTGGGGGGAGGTTGTCTGTCGCCCACGTCCTCGTCTCCTTGTCCTCGTACCTCGTCTCTGGACGTTGAACTGTGTGCCGACTGATGAGATGACTGGCCGCGGTACTCTCCTTCTGGCCTTCTGTGCGGTCATGTCTCGGCCCAGGCAGGTGCTAGGTACCCGGTACGGCGGCGTGTACATGCACGAGGCAGGGCAGGTACGGGGGTACATGCGTCTGACGCCTTCGCTGCCCCGGGCCACATGCATCCTCCCCTGCACCTGTCTCCCCCCTGCACCTGCCTGCACCTTGCACCTGCACCTACCTGCCTGCACCTGCGCGCTGCTGCCAATTCCACGGTATCGCGCTAAAACCGCCCCGGGTACCTTTCTCTACCTTTTTCGCCCTGTTTGCACCTCCTGGCGGTCCTCATTCCCCATGGACCCCATCCCATGTCATCCCGTCTTCTGGTCACAATCGCATTTCGCTTTTCCCCTCGAGCTAGAGAGGATTGTCGCCGTTGGTGCCGGATCGAGTACCCTCCTGGCCAGCGTGCCCGGGCTGTCCCTCTCGCCTTCTGGGCCAACCCCCCTCCCTACTGTGTACTCCGTACTCCGTACCCCGTACAGGATCGCCTACCCAGGAAGGCTGCTCCCTCCACCCCCCTCGCACCAAAGCCTCCCTCCCAGGTAGCGCTGCCTGGTCCTAGCACCACAGCACCAGCACCACCCCCCCATACCCCCCATTGTTCGTGCCCATACCGTCAGCCACGCGGTACTTTGTAGCTCCTGCTCGTCCTCTACATAGTGCGCGAGCCGTCCCCTGTCCCTGTCGCCAACAATTTCCCGGCCATGCCACTCGGGCTAGCATCGATCGCACTTTAAGAAATCGTCCACACCACACACCCCCCCTTCCTATGGGACCAGCTCTCCCACCCACCACCCCGTCGCCCATGCATGCATACATAGATAGATACATCCGTACCTACCCTGCCGTCGACTCGCCCTACTGCAATACTTCACTTCGACTCACCACACACACCCCTTTACATTCAACTGGAACAGGGCACAAGATATTGTCTCCCTGCACTTTCGACTTTGCAAACGAACGCTGGACGATAAACCGTACCTTGGACTTGAACAACCCGCATACAACTACCGGTTCTTAGTTGTTACCCAGACACAATCCCACACCTGGAGAAAAAAACGCCACGGCTGCCAGTCCGCGACCCACGATCCCATCTGGCTCGCCCTCTCACACACCCACGCGCCCGCCACAAACCTCGTCAAACTTCCTTGTTGGGCCCTGATCAGAAAGGGCACCTCCCGGGCCACCCTACCGCGCTTTCCTCTGGGTGCGGCTTGTGTTTGTCTGCAGCCTCCTTCAACAGCCGAGCGATCGATCCCCTGGGACGGACCTGACTGAACGTTGTGCCGCCTGCGCGCCTACTGAGATTGCGCTATTAGGCTTTGCGGGGGAAGCACGACAGGGCAAGGAGGACTGCACGCGCCCAATAGGACCTAGGGCGACCAGAGCCTCGGGATCCAGAGACACTGTCGACGAGGCGAAAGGCTCGGCTCGCGCGCATCGCAGTCAAAGGGAGGCGCGCCAAGGAGTTGTACCCGTGGGCTGGCTGCTTGCTTTGCGCCCACTCAGTCGACGACTCCCGCAGAGATCGCCATACCAGTCAGTCACGGACCAGGCAAGTCTGCAGCTGCCCTTGCGGACCGCCTGTGGGACTCGCGCATATACCCCAGCCCGCGCCTGGGAACCGCATCTGTCCACTTGCATACGGGCTGCCACATCATCACTCTGCCGTGAGCCAGGTATCGCGACATACGGCCCCAAAAGCTGCGCTGCACATACATAACCCCGAGCTACCGCCCACACCCTCTTCCCAGGGAATTGGCACTCCCGCGCGACCTTGCGCTTGTGCCTCGTACGGTAGCTGTACACAACATATACCTCGTCTGACCTGCCTCCGTTGGACCCAGGCCTCGAGCGCCGCTGTCTGTCTGTTGCCGTACGTGCGTTGCCCGCTGACGACGAGGTCACTCGACTCGCCCACTGTGCAGCTTCGACCCCAGGAAGGCCCCGACTTCATTTTTTGGTCCTCGCTCACGATCCTTCCTGCGGGAGATCAGTCTCATCTCATTCCCCGCACTCATTCCCCCGGCCTCACTGGCCTGCCGAGGCGGTCCCCATTAAGATGCGGCTCTTGACTATCTCCTCGTTGATATAAATGTCCATTTCCTCCTCATAGGTCGGAGGTCTTTCCGTCCGCACACCCGGACCACCTTTCATGGAGAAAGCCTACCGGCCGGTACCGTACTTCGCTTCAAGCAACATGCCGTCCATCACCACCTCTACACAAGGAACTCCTTCCTCTCCCTCACTGCTTCACAACACCTCACAGCCCTCCCACGCCTCCCAGACCTCGCAGCTGCGGCGCCCTCGCCCGAGTGAGGTCCAGACCAACAACCTCATTGCACACCCACAAATGACGGCCGCCCCGCCCTCTGCCATTACCAGCTCCTCCATGGCGTCCAGTCCGCGACAATTCTCGCCCGTCATGTCTCCAGACCCGGAGGTCCTCACGACCAACAGCTCCATACAGCCGTCCCCGGAGCCCATCCGCGGCAGGGACTCGGAATCGTCTCTTCTGCCCATGATGGAACCCCTCCCAGATTCCATAATCTCCCGTAAGACGAGCACAAACTCATTGCCACAGAGCGTCACAAGCGAGCGATCGGCCCAGAATGAATCAGCGCCACCCAAGGCCGGCATCTTCAGACGGCTATCGAGCAGGGTGAAGACGGGAAGCGATCGGCTTAGGGGAAGCCGGCGCACATCCTCCACTCATCCAGTCAGCCGCGATACCAGCGTAGGACCCGCGGTGATGAGGCGCGGAAGGAGCGATAGCGGGGCTGCCGCTCCTCCTGAGTATGCTATCGCGGTTGGTTCTGACAGCGATGACGAGGTCGGTGCGGTTAGGGAACAGCAGGTCTCCCATCCAGTACCCATCGCCGAAGGTGAGGCTTTGCGTGACTTTTCACCAACCAATGCGTCATCGCCATCCGTTACCACATACACAATGGTCTCCGACACCCACACGGGCCCTGTCATTCCACAGTCTCTGCTCTTGGGCACCATGGTCTCAAAGCTGTCCAAGAGGAGAAAGCGCCTTAACCTAGTCCTGGACTCTGAGGCCGGCAAAATTTACTGGGACAAGAACAGGCCATCCAAGTGCGTCTACATTGACGACATCAAAGAGATCCGCACCGCCCCGGAAGCCCGTCAGTACCGACTGGACTGTGGTGCGTCAGAGGCCGAGGAACCGCGATTCTTCTCAATCCTTTACGCAGTGCCCGACAAGAAACAGAAGACCATGCACCTTGTCACCGACGACAATGAAACATTCAGCCTCTGGACCACGACACTTGATGCGCTTTCGAAGCACCGCCAGGCTCTCATGACATCCTTGATGTCCTTCAACGACCGGGCTATCAGGATCTACTGGCGTAAAGAAATGGCCAGGCTTTATCCCGATAACCCTACCGTTGAGGAGGAAATCCATTTCGCAGGCGTGGAGCGCGTCTGCCGCAATCTGCACATCCACGTGTCACAAGAAACCCTCAAAGCCAAGTTTGACCTGGCCGACAAGACTCGGAGTGGAACCTTGAACTTTGACGAATTCCAGGACTTCGTGCGCCTAACTGCGAGAAGAGATGATGTTCGAGCCGTGTACCGGGAGATCGCCTCTGACCCTGAGAGCGGACTGACTTTCGAGGATTTCCTCAGGTTCCTGAAGGACGTTCAGAACGAGGACGTCGACGATGTGGCCGCCTGGGAGACCGTTTTCCATCAATTTGGACGTGGAAAGGCATCCGAGACCAGCTCTATCAGCGGCACTTTCGAGAAGCCACGCATGTCTGAGACTGCGTTGACAAAGTATCTCACGTCAATTCACAACACTCACATCGAGGCCGCCCCAAAGGAATCTGTGCTCGACCGACCATGCAACGAATACTTCATTTCCAGTTCGCACAACACATACCTGACTGGCCGTCAAATCGGGGACGTCTCCAGCATCGAGGGCTACATTTCCGCCCTGATGCGGGGTTGCCGCTGTGTTGAGATCGACTGCTGGGACGGCCCAGATAATCAGCCCATTGTCACTCACGGCAAGACCCTGACTAGTCAAATCCAGTTCCGCGAGGCCGTCATTGCCATCAACAAGTACGCCTTCGTCAAATCGCCTTACCCACTGTGGATCTCCCTCGAGGTTCACTGTAATGCGACGCAACAGGAGATCATGGCCAACATCATGAGGGACGTGTTCGGAGACAAACTGGTGACGGAAAAGATTGAGGGCTGTGATGACCAGCTCCCCACGCCTGAGCAGCTGCGAGGCCGCATCCTGATCAAGTGCAAGACGCCAAACCTCAATGAGACGAGGAGCCCCGAGAGCAATGGATCAGGCAGGCGACGCGGAAACAGTCTGACGTCGCCTTTCACTCGGCCTACAGTAGTTGGGGAATCGTCTATCCCAAACAGCCCTCTGCTGAGTCCCAACTACCCTGGGGCCCGACGAGGCAGCAACCGCCGCGTGAACACGATCGCTGAAGGGGAGACATCCGACGTCCCGGAGCTGTTCAGCAGCAGCTCCAGCGACGACAGTGGCGCAGAAAAGCCCCCACGCTCCAAGCAGAGCAAGATCACCAAAGCCCTTGGCGATCTTGGTGTGTACTGCCTGGGCATCAAGTTCCGAGGGTTCGATGACGCCGAGTGCAAGACTTTCAACCACATTCTGTCCTTCAAAGAGCGGACCTTCCTCAACAACAGCTCTGACAAGTCGAGCAAGGGCGCCTTGTTCCGCCACAACATGCGATACCTGATGCGTGTGTACCCAGCACAACACCGTTTCACTTCCACTAACTTTGACCCGCTCATTTACTGGAGACGTGGTGTCCAGATGGCTGCACTGAACTGGCAGACTTTCGACCTCGGCATGCAGTTCAACCAAGCCATGTTCGCCGGGGGCACTGACGCCACTGGGTACGTGCTGAAGCCGCGGGCCTTCAGGGAGCTCCAGATGGACCCGAAGTCAGGCAGGGTCTTCCACGGAGTTCCAGACCTGCCGGAGGAGCTGAGCAACAAACGGGAGCGGAAGAACGTTAGCTTCACCATCGACGTCATCTCAGCACAACAGCTCATGCGTCCCTCCAACCTGGGAGAACGGCGGACCGTGGATCCCTACATCGAAGTCGAGGCGTTCCTCGCCGACGACAAGAGGGACAAACAAGAATCGAACGCGACACCGATCCGCAGGCCACTCAGATATCGCACCAAGATCATCAAGGAGAACGGCTTCAATCCCGTGTTCGACAACAAGTTCGTTTTCGAAGCCCGCACCAAGTACCCGGAACTCATCTTTGTCAGATGGTCCGTGAAGCTTTCGGAAGGAGGCAACTACAACGATCGCGCCCCGGCAGTCGCCACCTTCACGGCGAAGCTGACCAGTCTCAAACAAGGCTACCGCACCCTGCCTTTGTTTGACCACCACGGAGACCAGTATCTCTTCTCGACTTTATTCTGCCGCACCAAGGTGGAGCCCATCACCAGCGTCTATGTTGACTACGACACGGAAGTCGAAAACTCGAACAAGTTGAAGAGCCTCGGCAGAACAGTTTTCAATCGGTCATCGAACCAACAGAGCCCCAAGTCCAGCTTCGACAAGGAACAGGGCATCTCGGCATAAAGACACGACGGAGCCTTCCTCTCTCGAATCTGTACAAATATCACTTTTCTTCTTGTTCGCTTCTCTGAGCGGCAGGGACCACATGTCCGTACTGTCGTCTCGTGTGTTTTACTCTTGGACCCATTGAGCTTGACGCCTTGGATCTATACTTGACCATTTGCCTCGATGGCACCAATACATCGCAAGAACAACAATCACTGCCCTTGACGGCGTGATCACGGGCTCTCGTCGTACAGCAGCTCATCTTTATGCAGCAGATACCCAATCAGCATTCCATCAGGCTTTCGGGGCGGGACTTGCATTCAAACAGAAATTTTCCTTTGTCAGGATCCATCATCGGAGCGGAGTTTCATGGGACGGGAAAACAAAAATCAATGAGATATCTCTGTTTGGATGGATATCAATCATACCTCGCATTCGTTGGCGTTTCTATCTTGGTTTTTGTGCGGACGGGACAAGTAGGGTTTTGGGGCCTAGGCTCCCCAAACAAACACACACACCTCCATCCTCTTGCTCAAGGCAGGGTGCCTGGGATAATGAACGGGATGATATAGAGATAGGGACACCCAAGATACCGAAAAAAGAAAAAAGCTTTTTTGTTGTTTCCTGTACCTGTTTTCTGGATATCTTCCATCAACTCATGTACTTACTACTAGTGGTTGTTCGGTTCGTTCCGCGTCATTTCGACATTCTTGCTCTTTCAGGGTCGATACAGGTGTGCCCTAGGGAAATGGTCTCTGGCAGTGCCAAGGGTTTTTATCCAGAGAAACAGGCTCTCTCTCTCTCCTGTATGGCAGGCAAGGGAGATCTCAGCAGCGGTGGTGCAGATTCAAGGACGACAAAGAAAGGAAGACGGGGGGCATCGCCGCCCTCGTTTTCTTGGGCATAACTCAGCCACCGCCCATCTTGTTTCCCCTCATCCTTCCCACCAGGAGCACATCACACACAGCATAGCACACACACACTCGCTCGGCCTACACCGTGTGTGCATGCATGCTGTCTTCTATTCTCTCATGTCCAAAAATTTTCAAACATTTTCTTGTTCTTTTGCCCCCACGCGGCTAGGGACCAAGGGGGGAACAAACCATTTGTTCGGGAACAACAGGCAAACCCACCCACGCAAGGAAAAGGCCGGGAACAACAGCACCGAGCCAGGCAGGGTTGGGGAGTTGAGTGTGATTGATTGATTGATTGATTGATATGAGGGGGCATTTTGGGAAATGGGGCAGGAGGAAGGAAACCCACCTAGGTAGAATCTGCATATCCTCGCTGTTCTGTGGCAGGAATCGGGGAGGGGGGGCTGGCTGGGCTGGGCTCAACGGGGCTCGTTGTTTGGGTTCTACAACGATGGCGTCGGGTTAATGAACATAACTTATTTCTGTCATCATCATCATCATCGTCATCATCATTTATGTCCAACACCCGCCCGCCACAGAAAGGGCGCATGGTTGGTTGGCATGGGTAATCATATAACATAACATATCCTGCGGTGTGTCGTGCCGCTGAATATACTTACTTTATGACCAAGGAAATTGTTGCCCCCCTTTTATGCTGTGAATAGGAGTGTCGATCGGTCATCCGTGAGCTGTGGGCTCATCGAAGGCGCCGCGTCACGCCGTGCGCCTTCATTTTCCCTCAGCATGCTTTTGCTTGTTTGTAGAGGCGAGGTTTTCTACACCACTGTGCCCAAGTAGAGGGCTGGCAGGTCTCACATTGCCACGAACAATCTGCTCAATCTGGCGGACAGCCGAACGGCTTGGCTTACGACGAGGCTCTCGAGAAGAGCCCGGGCAGGATTTAGATGGAAGTCAACACATCAAAGCTTGTAGAAGCCACCCCTAGGCTGTGGTGGACCAGCCAGTCTTTTTCAGATGCCAAGTGAAAATGCTTTTCTATGATTAAATAACAAACAAGAAGCTGTGCCGTGCTAGGGGGTGTCTGTCCCCGTCCTAATATTTATTTATACACAAGGCAAAGGGGAGCAAGGCCTCGCTTTATGTACAGAGATCCAAGTCGGGGACTCTCCCCCCCTCTCTCTCTGTCTACCCAAACATCACCGTCTGACGTGGTGTTGGTATTTACTCCATCGCTCGCTCACGCCCCTTACGGTGAGCGGCCGGCCCAGGCTCAACTTCCTAGCGGCGCATCGGCGCTCCCAGGCAGAGAGGCACTCAATCAGGGGACCTCCGTGTCCACAAGCTCGTGCTTGGCCTTGTAGGCCTTCTTGGCCTGCTTCTCCAGCACGTCCCAGTCGCCGCTCGTCTCGCACATGCCCCTGAACTGCCCGTCCTTCTTCTGCATCAGGTTCCACGGGTGGTCGTACTCGACGATGGACCCCTTGTCCAGCACGAGGACCTTGTCGTAGTCGACAATGGTCTGCAGCCTGTGCGCGATGGTGATGATCGTGCTGCTCTCCAGCTCGCGGATCGTGCCCTGGATCTTTGCGTCCGTGGCGTAGTCGATCGAGGCCGTCGCCTCGTCCATGAGCAGGACCGTCGGCGACTTGAGCATGGCCCGCGCCAGGCAGAGGAGCTGCCGCTGGCCCTGGGACAGGTTGGAGCCGGACTCGGTCACCGGGGAGCTGAGGTCGAGGAAGACGTTCTTGTTGGTGGCGATGGGCGTGGACGCCGTGCTGGATGACGACTCGGCGATGGCCTCGGCGGCTGTGGTCGGGGCCGGGGGTGCGGCGCCCGAAGACCCCGGGCGGCTCGGGATTTTCTCATCCGGCCCTATCAGTTGCACGCGGCGAAGGACGGCAAAGATGTCCTCGTCGCTGTACATGTCGAACGGATCAAGGTTGGTCCGAATGGTACCCATGAACAAGGTTGGGTCCTGGGGCACGATGGTGATCGCCTCGCGCAGGTCACGTAGGCCGATCAGCCCAATGTCGATGTCATCAATGAGGATCTTGCCTTCTTCGGCCTCGAGGGCGCGGAACAATGCCAACGCCAAGGAACTTTTGCCCGCTCCAGTCCGGCCCACGATGCCAACCTTTTCCCGGGCACCGATCTTGAAGCTTAATCCGTTCAGCACCGGGTCAAGGTCTGCGCGGTACCTTGTCGTGTAACCGATGAACTCGACAGAACCCTTGGCGGGCCAGTTCTCTGGTGGCCGGTTCTTCTCCACAATGGCGGGTGCCTCCTGTTCGACCTCCAGATACTCCTTGATACGTTCAACCGAGTTCATGTTCTGCTCATTCATCGCGTACAGGCGCACAAGCCAGAGAATGTTATCCGCAAAGCCGATGGCGTATGACAGGGAGAGACCAGCAGAGCCAGACTTCACTGTATCCAAGCTGATGATCACGAACACTCCGGCGAAGAACGAGACAAGGTCTCCGAGAACATCCGTCCGGAAGGCAAGCCATCTGTTAGCGGCCCATAGGTAAATGAAGGGACGCAGCTGAGCGTTGATCTTCTGCAGGTTCTCGCGTACGAAACGGCGCTCGTCGCCGTATGCTCGAATGGTCGTGACTCCGGTCAGGGTCTCCCCAAACTGCTGGAACAGCGGGCTACGCTGAACAGACTCAAGTCGCTTCAGGTCTCGAGATGAGGCGAGGTAAAACCTGCCCACGAAGACATAGGCCGCAGTAATGAAGAACCCGGCCACGAGGAATCCAGGTGTCACACTGGCAATCAACACGACGGTAACGAGAATGCCCAATGCACACGTCATGACTCCAATAGCGACAGGTGCAACCTCCTGGTCAATGCCCTCCAAGTCCTTGCTGAAACGGTTCATGATCTGACCGAGTGGGGTCACGTCAAAGAACTTGAATTGAGCTTTGGTCACGGAACTCATGAGGCGGTCATGAAGTCCCCAGGATGCCGTCAGGGAGCCGAGGAAAATCCACAAATCTCTGAACAAGGCGCAAACCGCCCCGATCAAGCCGATGACTGCAAGAACAAGGAGGTAGTAAGTAACGTTGACACCATGGGGGCCGACCGTCGCGAAAGCAGTATCGTTGCCAGCATTTTGTAGCCATGACTGGACCTGGTTATACTTAGGGATGGATCCCAAATACGCCGAAGGCAAGGAAGCTGTTTGATGGCCCTGGGAGGCCACATTCAACTGGACATTTGCGACGCTCTCCTCAAGGTACTGGTTGGCCCACTCCCTGATCCACACGTTCGAGGCGACACCACTGATTTGCTGCAGGATGAAAACGAGGCAGGCTACCGACCAGAACCCCCATCCGCCCATGGATGACAGGTAAAGCTTCAGAACCGGCCACTTGACTGCGCCAACAGCCTTGGACTCGTCCATAGCATCTTTGGTCTCTCCCTTCGTGCCGGCTGACTTGGATTTGGTGAGTCGGTCACCTTCACCACCATCGATGAGAGTGTTCCCACTCTCCTCGCCGACACTAGAGGGAACGCGAGACGGAATTCTTGAGACAGAGGCTGAAGCTGAGCCAGCCTTCGCCTTCTGCACCTCCTCGCCGAGTTTGCCGGAATCGATAACCTCGTTCGCATCGCCTTGGCAGGACACCCTGCCGTTGTCCATGACAATAACGTGGCTGGAGTAAGGCACCGTCAGAGGAATATTGTGGGTAACCAAGATGCAAGTTCGTCCGCGCATGAGAGGCCCCTTGATACAGTTGTTGAAGATCCATTGCGCGGTGTGAGAATCAACTGCGCTGAGACAGTCGTCGAGCAGCAGGTGTTTGGAGTTCGAGTAGACAGCGCGGGCCAAAGAAATGCGCTGCTTCTGACCTCCAGAGAGCGTGATACCCTTCTCTCCAACGAGCGTCTTATCGCCGTTGTCAAGGATTTCCAAATCACGTTCCAAAGCGCAAGCAACGATGACTTCCCTGTACCGCTTCTCGTCTAGTGGGGCTGAGAAGATAATATTCTCTTTAATATTGGCATTCACAAGCCAGGCGCTCTGGGCGACGTAGGCGCATGTTTCAGCCAGGCCGGTCTCGGGATCCGTAGGCACATCTTCACGACTTCGTCCACCCGGTAGGTACACCTTTCCTTCCATGAGCGACATCTCACCAAGGAGGCCCATAAGTAGCGATGTCTTTCCTGAGCCGGTCGGTCCAGTGATAACATTGAGCTTGCCGATTTTGAAGTCGATGTTCAGATCCAACAAGCGGAAAGCCATGGAGCCGTCCTCAGCAACCGCGTTCTTGCTGCCCCAGATCAGTGTTGCACCTCTGAATCCAATGACCTCGTTTCCATCCTCGTCAAGGTTGTCTTCGCCAAGCTGCTCAAACTTTGAGGTCTCTTCCTCACTCAGGAATTCTTCGACACGGTCGATCGACACCTTCGACTCTTGGACGTGGGCAATCATGTCGCCAATCTGGTCGAGAGGGTAACGGAGGAGCATAAAGAGCGAAATTGCCGTAAATGCGATGGACGGATAGAGCGGCTTCTTCTCAATGAGTGTGTACGACAGGAACGAGAAGAAGGTAATGAGAATGGGGACCGTGTTCCAGACGGCGACTGCGGCCGCCCAGACCATGTACCGCTTCCGAAGGGCCTTGAGCTCCGCCTTACGCTTTTCGTCGACCATCTTGGAGAAGCGGTACTCCCACGCAAAGTACTTGATGATTCTGATGTTTTGAAGAACCTCGTTCGTGATTGAGATTCGCTTATCAGTGGCAGCCATGATCACCTTCTGGGTGCTGTTGAACGCTCTGCCGAAATAAATGTTGATCGGAAGTAATGCCGCCATGACGATGAATCCGGGGATGGCACTCAGGCCCATGACTTGGTAGAGCAAGAAAATAGCAACGACAAGTTGTGTAGGTGCATGGGCGACAAGGAAGTGCAGATATGCGGTGATTTCTGACACCTTGAAGCTGTCGACGGACATGAGGTTAATGATCGTGCCCAGATTGGCTTGCTCATCAGACGAGTCCTTCTTTGCGCCTGCGGTCTCCCCGGCCGCTGGTGCACTCTCGCCATTTGGCTGCTTTTTATCATCCTTCTTTCCTAGCCCGACCGCGCGCTTGAGCTTCGCCAGCCAGCCATTGCTGGCGTCAACGGTTTCGGCGTCTTTGGTCTTGCCAAGGACGGCATCGTTTCCAGCAGCGGCCTTCCGTCGAAGAGCCTTGGCGTAGATTTCGCCGACCAGGATAGCCCGCACATTGATGCAGATTTTGCGGCCAACCCACAGAGCCTGGTTGTCCGCGACGGACCGAACGAGATCCGTCACAGGCAGCAAGATGACGTAAAGCCACAAGACGTTGATCGGAGCTTCGCCAGGGTGCTCGACAAACTCGAGAATAGCCTTCAAAAGCATGGTCGGCATGAAAGTGAAGACACCAGAGAGGATGGCCCACCAAATCTGTACAACGAGCGGCCCCTTGAAATAGGCCAAGAGGTGGTAGGATAAGGCCATGGTCTTCTTCACCTGGCGATAGTGGGCCAGTACAGCTCCGGCCTTGTCCTTGGGCATGAGATTCCAGACGTCTTTGATCTCCATGGTCTGCTTGTAGCCCTGCCAAGTGATGGCATCGACCCACGTGAATGTATAATTGGAAAAGATAGACGCCAGTGGCTCGCGAGACGGCTGGACGCCGTCTTCCCACTCCAGCAACACAGTCTTGTTGCCCTTCCTAGTGGTGACGGCCATTCCGAAGAGCAGGGTTGTGAAGGCGAATTCCACGATAACCAAGATCTGGGCGAGCCTGGAGCTGGGCCGGATGAGTACAGAGCGGAATATCGCGACGGTGAAGAGCCATTGGAGCGAGTAGATGGCTGCCGTGTGGTTCCAGAGATGCGGCACGCGCCATTGCGTGTTTCCGAGAAAGAGGCGCAGGCTGGCAAGTACGAGAGCGTAAACCCATGTAACAAGCCCAATGACAGAGGGCAGAGAAGCGGTCCCGCCAAAGGCGCCGGTAGCAAGGGCGACCACGTTCACAGCAACCAGGGCCGTGATGGCCAGTTCCTCGACAATGACGGAGAGTTTCTGGGCAGGCGGCGCATCGGCCTGGACTATCGAGCCCCTTGTCGTGGTCTTCACCAAATTTAGCCTGCCGCCGTTGATTGCGAGACCTTCATCCTCGGACTCGACAGCCTGTTCCTCCTCTGGGGGGAGGTCGGTGTGCTGGTGAGGGGCGTGGCCGTTCGCGTTGCCATTTGAAAGAGGTTGGTATCCCTTGGAGCCTGCTCGTTTTATCCTGACCGCTCGGATTATATTGTGCGAGAGGAGGTTGAGAAGAGACAAGGATACGACAATTGCGGGCAGGAGGACCTTGAGATAGCTGTAGGAGCAAAGTTAGCAGCAAGGCAGAGACAGCCGGGACCGAGAGTTGCACATGTCAAACGTGAACGGGGCGGGCTGGGCGTGTGGCGCAAAGGCACTGACTCTCTTTGGAAGCACAGGGTAAAGTCGTCCACGTGCCATATGGGCCACGAACAACTGGCGAAGTCGGTCATGCTTCCGTCCAGCTGCGGCGAGGAGCCGACGTGCTCGACGCAGTTGCTAGAAATCCTGCCAAAACACACGAGGCTGGCGATGGGTTGGTGTCCGTCGCGAAAAGCGTCAAGGGCGGCCTTGGAGGCCGGGGATTTCAAGACAGGCGCCGGGGGCTGGGTGTGTACAGCTTGGGCCCTCGTCGTCGTCGACGGTAATGCTGTGAGGCAAGAGGGGAGGGGAGGGAGAGTAGGAGGAAAAATAAAACAACGGGGAGTGGTCGGGCGGGACGGAAGGAGAGGCCCGTTGAGAAGTTCAAACAAGGGCGATGCGGTGGAGAAAAAGTGACTTGTACATGGCAGACTTATCCTGGCGGGAGCGTGATTGAGTGGGACCAGGACTCAAATGGCGGGACATGCTAGTTCCCTGTCGCAGGCAAGCAGGCCCACAGGCTCGTGTAGTTGCTGGCATCTGGCTCGACAACACCTGGATGGGCAGGCAGGCCCGGGTACGTAAACCGTGTGGCCTAGGCTAGACCAAAGCTCGTTATCGCAGCGTCGGCGCGATGCCGTCTGTCACTGACTGATGCGTGCACCATGCCGTGAAGTGCGTTATCGGCGGGGCCACTGATTGCATGCCTAGGTAATCTGGGGGGCAGCACTAAGCTCTGCTGGGGAGGGGTGCAGGGGTGCACCGGCGATCGTATCTCTAGTGTGCTGCTTGTGCTCTGCATTGCATCGGTCCGGACACCGTCCCGTCTTGTCGGCTCACGAGACGGCCATAGTCACAGTCGGGCAGCCTGAACAAGCACAACCGAGCCTGGTGCTCCGTACGCCTGTTACGCCTGACAGGCTGGAAGGCTGACAGGGTACCTAGGTGCTCTAAATAATGTTCGTGCGTACAGAGTACCTCCTCGGTGCTGTGCACGGTCCAACAGATCCTGTGGTACGGTACTCCGTATCCGTACTTAGGTCGACCATGGCCTTGCTAGAATGGCTACTATCAATTACATTCCACCTTCCCTCTGCAGCTGGTGGCCTTTTCCACATCACTGATGCCCGCGATTGCGATTGCTGTGATCTCAACTTGCTAATCTGCAAGCCTGTCATCCTGCACAGCATCCAGGCGTCGAATTGGCCCAAAATCTTTCGAATTAGTAATGTACATACATGGGCATACAGCCTTTGCGCCGCGGCTGATGGCGTCATGATGTCAGTGCCCGCGCGTGACTGCACAATACATACGGCACGTTCCCGTACAGTACCCGACAGCATGCCCAGGCGGGAAACCGTTCTGGCCGTTTTCTCATGCCAATTCTCCACCTGTCTCTGCTTCTGACGCACAACGCCACAAGCCTGTCTTGTCGTTAATTACATTGTCATTGCTGCGTGGTATTCTGTACCGTCGAAAGTGCACTTCGCAAAAAAATGACCTGCATAAGATTCGATAGACTAGACCGTCCTGGTCTAGGTTGAGACGCCCTGGTCGCTCATCAGCCCAGAAGGAAACATCCCTCCGACTGTTGAGTCACCCGGCAAGAGGCCACAACAAGGTCTTCCTTGCCCCTGGCGGGAGCATTCGAATCATGAACACGCCTTATTATTGTGGTCAGTCATGAACTGCAATCACCTGCCACAGCACTCACCAGTGGCAGTCTACCCCAACATCAGTCAGAACCAGGACCATGGGCCACTGTTGGACAGCGAGCTCCACCAGACACAAGCCAAGCGTTTGCTTGGTACTGTGTAAGCATCCATCGTGGACTAGTTGCAGTTCGCTTCAACGGCTACATGCAACCCATCTCGTGCAGCCGGCCAGCCGCGCCTGCAGAAGGCGGGCGCCTGCATCCACTATCTGTCACCTTCGGAGCGGCTGCTACACATACCTAGTCTGATGCGGCTTCTATACCATCACACTCGAGAGAAGCTCCGCCGCCAACTCTACTGTGGCCACAGGACTACTTAGACTTTCCAGCCTGACCAGGCAGACGAGAATTCTGAACCCAATCGACAGAACAAACTCCAGCACAAATCCTATTCCAATTGGGCTTGATCTGATAACGAAATGTCCAGGAAGCTGACACGTCTGTTCTCCACGGCGCTCGTTTCATCGGGGTTCCTCAAAGCCTTGCCTGGACCTGGGCCGCTCCGAAATAAGCGGTGTGAAAGCCACCGCTGGTCCACGATGAGTGCTAAATCCCTTTCCCAAAGAAGCTTTCTCAACGGACTCAGTAATAAGCCAGCTCATGGTTGCAACCTGGTTGTATGTTACGCGAATGGCGCAAACTAGAACGCGCCAGGAGGGCGTGGCATGAGTGACTACCTGCCGGAATGCAACCCTAGCATCCCCCCTCACATCAGCCGAACCGGCATCGCAATTCCCAACACGCTGCTGAATGCTCAATGTAAGCTGCCCACATCGGGATCTTTCACCCCTGCGCATTTTGAGACTTCATCGTTCATCAGCGTCACCTTGCTGCAGCTGGACTCCTAGTACACAGCTGCCAGGTACTGCCTGACGAGGCAAACAGCCAGGAGTCTGCGCAACTACCTGTTTTGAATTCAAGAAGCGAAATCATGAACAAGAATGTTGCGAAACGAGTTTGTACATGGACGACACATGTTGACGTGCTCAGTCATTTCTCGCCTTCAAATTTACGGTTTTGATAGGCACGGAATAATGTGCATTTGGCTTCCTATTCGTGCACTCTGCACTGGCTATATTTGCTGACGCGGCCGACAAAAGATCATGGCCCGGTTTCAAACCATGAAACCCAGGAACTACACTCTCGGTATTGAGCCTCCGGGCCGGGCGGTCGCCTGCCCGGCCGGTCAGCCCTACCAACCCCCGAGGCGGCCGGGTGCCCGCCCGTGCCAGTTTCACAACCGTTGAACCTCCTTGGCCGCCGGCACACAAATTGCGTCGGCCGGCCGGCCCCAGCGGCTTGCTTTGATTGATTTGCTGCATTTCATCCATGGAGTTCATACAGTAACAATCACGGCCTCGACCCGCCGAGGACCATTTGCTGTTGTTTTGTAGATGGGTTAAGTCGGTCTGCAAACGATGGAGAAACAGGGACAATTCTGCGGCCGGTAGCGCTCAGATTGCAAATATAAGGAGATATTTCCTCTTATGCGGATTTGTTGACTCTTGCAAACACATGTACTCTCGTATCACGGGGACTTGTAACTCGATCCCAATTTCAGGACGGCTACACTATGGCGCAGGAACACAGAATGACACAAGCCGACGCCATGCAGGACTACTATAGGGCGCAACAACAATACGCCATGGGGCAGGACGACGCCACGGGGCAGGATTATACCGAGGCACAGGATTATCCTTCGGCAGAAGACTACGCTGCGGCACAACAGGTACAGGACTACAACAAGGCACAATATCATACCGATGAGGAGCACGACTACAACACAGCGGAATATAACGGCACGGCACAGGACCAGTCGGCCAGCCTGTCAAGCAACCCTTACCGGGTGTCAGCCATGCCAGACGACGTCCCATCTGTGGATGTCTCAGAGCAGCAGGCGTGGAGGGACTCGACGACCGACGTACCAGAGGAAGACGAGCAGTCGGAGGATTCATCCCTGAACGGGACCTATCAGGAGATCCCGTCCCCGACCGTGACCAAGGAGGGCGTCGAGGTCCTCTCTGGGCCTGACAACCACATCATTAGCAAGCATGTCCTGAGTAAGTGTCTATACGTGCCCCGATTGGACCTACCTCATCAAGCTGTTATTATGGACGGCACACCCCAAGAACACCCCCAAGACGGCCTTCCCGCACCTCGAGCTCTGGCTGGACATGTGGCTGATGATGACCGACCAACAGAAAAGCTCACGCGGTACGCATAGAAAGCATCGATCCCCAGTGACACAATAGCTTTATGCTAAGATGCCTTACATCACAGGCTCGTGAAGAAGCACAGCAAGCAGATCGAGATCCTCACCGTCTTCACCAGAGAAGGCGACATCGTCTGCTCGCACGAGGGAGCACCCGGCACGTCCGCCGAGCAACCTAGCAGTTATGCTGTGAGTTGACCACTTCACTTCACTGATGCACTCCCTCCCTCGAGATTTCAAACCGGCTTATTAGCTGTCTCCCAGTCGCCTCCCCCCCAACCCCCCCCCCCCCCAAAAAAAGAAGAAGGCTTGAGGATACGTAATAACGCTCTTCTACTCTACTCTAGCCCACCCCCGCAGAGGGCAGATACCTGCGCCTCGCGATAGAGCTAGGCTTCAGGGAAGACGGCTGCCCCTTCGGGTTCGGCGGCGCCGGCTGGCTCAGCGGGGCGCACGAGGAGGTCGACGACAAGTTCACCCTGCTCGGGTCGCCGGACGGCGAGGTGAGTTGACGGCCAACCCCCAAAGGCTCCCCCTGACCCCTGACCCACCACCCATGTGTCGAGGCTGACGCACGAGAGTTTAAACAAAAAAAAAACAGCACCCCTCAGAAGGCCCTCACCAGTTCTACGGCGTGCTGTCGCCCACGGGCCGGTACGTCTTCGCCGCCGTGCTCAGGGCCCCGGACCCGAAGACCATGCGCAAGGTTCGGGATCTGGCTGACAAGCTCGAGGTGTACGAGGCGTGGGCCGGGAAGGGCGGGCTCGTCTCCAAGATCGCTGCGAAGATCTGAGATGGGGGCCCGGGATGAACGGGACCGAAGAGGGAGGGACGAGTGTGTCAGGGGTGGAGTCATATATATCTCCTCGGAGCTCAATAGATTTCAGAGTTGCTCCAATGAGGCAAAATACGACGCGCCATAATAGTCGCAACATTCAATGAGGCCTTTTTGGGAAGAAACAAAGTCTTCGTGGTTTTTACATTGTGCTCTCTGGAACTTCTGCTTGGGCTTATTCTAAAAGCACAGAAACAAACAACACTACCATCAAACTTGGTCGGATCAGTGGCCAAAAAAACACCACGCACCGATCCCGTTGCAGACGGGATCTCGCATCAAATCGTGCAACCCACACCCAAACCTCCGACTATAATCTCCACTCCCGGCCTTCGGTGCCCTCGAGAAAGAACAGCCCCGCGAAATCATGCAGCCAATGCTTCGTGTGCTACAGTGGCCCTCAAAAGGGAGGCTCGTGGTATCCGTCTTGCAGATGACAAACAGTCCAGCCAAAGAAGGGTGGCTCACCAACCATCCGCCCCAACCCCAGGCCGGTCTGGGCCAAAGACGATCGATCAGTGCACCCGATACTGGCCACGCCACCTCCGCTTATGCCACGAGGTGTACTGGTCGTGCCCATCAGCCTTGGGCTCGCTTGCCTCTGTCACCGGGAGGCCGCAGATCAGCCACCACCACTCAGAGACGCTGACCGCCCCGCACCCCTCGGTGATCTCCCTGACCACGCCCATCTTGAGGGCCCACGCGCGGATGATCTCGACCTCGAACGTCTCGATGCAGGGCCGCAGCGCCTGGGCCGTGAACTCGTCCGTCATCGCCCCGCGGGCGGCCAGCACGAAGAGCACCGCCGACAGCATCTTGAACCAGCGGGACCGGTCGGGCTCGCCAAAGAAGTCGCACCACATCGGGAGCTTGCCATCCTCGGTGGCCCCGGGGATGACCGAGTCGTCGGTTGCCGTCCGCAGGATCTCAATGTCCTCGTTGTACACGTAGCGGGATGTAGGCGTCACCTGCAAATCAAAGCGGTAGTACGACTTTGGGAATTTGCGGGACTCGTAGAAACCTGGTTTGAACCCGAATGGGACGTCAAGCTTCTTGACGGGCTCGATACGCACCCGGCCGTGGGCTTGCAGGTTGAATACCGCGAGGACCATGCCGTCTTCGGTGCGCCATGGGATCTCGACGGCTTGACCATTGCGGAAAGCCTCGTCCATCTTCTCCTTGAAATCAGCGGCGACGCTGAACTTATCTTCATGGGAGAAACGGTCCAGAGTGCGCAGGAAGTGCTCATTGAGCTTGTAAGGACGGCCAGTGGCAAGAGCCTGGGACTTCTGCTTGATAGCGATGCGCCGGTGCTCGAGATCGTGTATGGTCGCCTCCAGGAGATCGCTGATTTCCTGCTCAGTGCGTTGGCCACCCCTGGCAAGGGTGAGGAATTTCTTCTTGATGCTCAGAGGCGTGTACGTGTCCGAGTCTGTGCAGCAGAGCGCCCGTACCCAGGAGCGGGCAATTGCCGAATCCGCATCTTCTTTCTGGTCCTGCTTCTCCAGCGCCGTCGATGCAGGCTCCGCAGCAGCATCCTGAAATTTGTTAAAGACGGACCTCTGCCAGTGGTAGTAACTATCACGCCAGTCAAACTCTCCCTTCTCGACGGGAACCAGCTCCAGCTCTTCGTCGAACTGTGGCATGTTTGGCGGCAAGTCAATACCCTCTCTCACAACCAGGGCGAGCGTCCACTTGATGAGACGAAGCCAATCATACTCCAGGGGCTTGTCGAAGTTGATCGTTGGCAGATCCCCGTTTTCATATGCCTCCAAGAAATCCTCCTGAAACTTAGCAGTCAAGTTTTGGATGAAACCCTGTCGCTCCTTCTTGATAGTAGCCCAGAATTTGCGAAGATTTGACAACTTCGAGTCTGGGAAGATCCTCATCAAGACGCCCCAGTCCATAGCCTTGTTGATACCACCCAAGAGTGTTGAGACTGCTACGTACGCGGCAATGCGGGTGTCCTCGGCCTTCCAGTCAATTTCTGGGTCTTCCTGCCCCTTCTGACGGAAGTATTCATTCGACTCTCTCGGGTAGGCGGTAAGCTCGCGCTGCAACTTCAGCTCGCGGATGCTCTCGTCCTTCGGCTGCCTCCTAATATACTTCCGAGGTGGATCACCACGCATAGGCAATGGGTATTTTCTTGGCCTCCCAGGACCGCGGCGAATGCCTCGCTCAGCGAATGGAACGATTCCCCAAAGCTCAGCAGTCTCTGCCGACATAGCCGCCTCTTCCTCTTCGGCCACCAGTTGCTCGTAAGGAATCGAGTCGGGGGTCCAGTTATTGCTTTCATCCCACGTCGGTATGCATGGTGACATGTTTGAGACTGCAGGAGTCGATGCGAAACAAATGAAGACATAGTCCGGAGCGATACTGCCCGACATGAATCTTTGGCCCTGGTCTGAAAGCTCCCAGGACACGCAGCCGTCCAAGCTCGTGACAAATTGGCCATAAGCTGGATCTGCCCAGGTGTCAGTCTTGCAGTGACTGGTAATCTTGTAGGCCATCTGTTCCATAGACTTCGGCAGCTGTTCCTTCAGCTGCTCTCTTGGCCCCGGGAACCAGCCATTCATTGTGAAGCTGGCGTTGTTGATCTCGAACCATTGGAGATGGATGTTCGGCCAGACTCCTTTTCCTGTAGACCCGAGTTCGATCGTGTCTACGAATGAACCATCCACCCTGGTGTGCGGCAGATGGTCCTCACCCTCGTTCGCCGATTGGTTTGCAGCGGTCTCTTCGACGTATCCGGGTTCGAGATCTGGCTGGTCTTCCTCTTCGAGACGGGTGTTTGGCTCAAGGAACTGCACCTTAGTCGGTGCGGTGTAGCTACTGGTTGGCGCGTTGGCAGTGCCTGAGAAGAATGAAGCAGGTAGGGAGCCCAAGCCCGGATTCGTCGCGTGGGACTCGTCTATACTGTATTGGTGTGGCATAATGGACCATGAAACCGAATATTCATCTTCATCAGCTGCGTCGAGATTGGCCCTATCGTACTTCCTTCTTCTCCTCCTCTTCCCTCCTGGTCGCTCAGAGGACTCGCCTTCGGCAGCTCGCTTTCGTCCGCGGCGGCGTGGTTTCTCGGCGGTTTCGGCATCACCATCACCACCATCGGACTCTTCATCCTCTGACTGGATACGATGGCGGTTGCGCGGCCGCACGCCAGCAAGGCCCTTTTCAAGATAGAAAGGCGCTTCTAAAGTCACGATTTCCTCTTCTAGCTTGTGGTCTCGTCTACCGGGTCCTTTTCCACGTTGAACGGGAAGTCTGTCCAGTTTCTTGAAGTGCGCAATCTCGCTGTCATCAGGGGCAAAACCTGGAGGAATGTACACATCCGGTTGGGCGGCTTTCATCTTCTTCCTGAGATCTCCTGCCACCGGACCATTGGGATCGATGTGGTTGAGTGTAAGTATGACCAAAGTCGTCCAAAGTCGCTCAGTAGGCGATTTGAATGCTGAGGACATCTCCTTAACTTCTTGTTGTTGTTGCAGCTTCCTGATCACCCTGGTGACTCCCATGTTCGTTGGCAGGGGCTGACCGGGCCATCTCTGGACGTAAATCTTCAAAATGGCATAGAACAATGCTCTGCCACCCGGAAATACCCCGCCATTGTTGTCGAGAAGATACCGGACAATCTCCTCGATCTTGTGCGAACGTAGTTCCTTGGGGGTTCGTGCCTGGAAGTCGGTGGGCGGCACCCGGAACGGCTGTAATCGATCCTGGACAGCTTTGCCTTGTTGCCAGTCCTCTCGTCCCGAGGCTATATCAGCCTCGGCCGGAACCGCGGGACGTTGTATAGGTGGAGCCTTTGGTGCCTTGACACTGCCCTGCGTACTCGATGGTGGTATGCCAGGAATTTCTTGCGGTTGTACACTAGGCTGCTCAAGCACATCAAGAGGGTATGCATCATACGAAGCAAACGCACTCGTTGTGAAAGGAGATTCAGTGGATTCTTGCATCGCAACTGCTGCGCCCGGGTTGGATATCGGATCCTGATATGGCGCGACAGCCGTACTGTGCACCTCAGGGCTTTGTTCAGTCGCATTGACCATCCGTTCGTCTTGCCGACTGTCTGAGTCAAATCCTTGGAAGCCCGAAGTTGAGGATCTCGGCTGCCGCTTTGTCTTCTCAGCACGGATGTGTGCAAGATAAGGAAGCTCCTCGTCTGCCATGGCCTCATTCGGGTCCTCGGGTGCTGTATGGCTGTTGCCACCAGGATCGACTGCCTTTGGCTCTGTCACGGTGAGGACCACTTGTCGACCAGCAGGCTCACTCGCATTTGCGGCGTCCTTCGCGGCAGCTTCCGAGATTTTGAGCCCCCGTGGAGCTGACACTCCCGGCAGTCCAAGATTGCTGTGTCCCAGAGCGGTCCGTTGTTTTATGATCGTGCGTTGATTAGCAGAATCGCTCTGGTCCGCGGACTTGAAGGGAAACGGTTTATTCCTCTTGGGGACACGAGTAGCTCTAGGAGTTCGGGGCGAGGATGAGACACTATCACCGCCCCCCGGGCTGTCTTTGGGACTCCTGACTTCATCTTGAGGCTCAGGGGTTCTGGCCGCCAAACGGCTCTTGCGGACAGGTTTCGCCTTAACCATGAGGTCTGGATTTTCAGCGTAGAATGGATTGCAAGAGACCTTGGCCTTCTCAAGGTGGTATTTGAGGCCAATGTCATTCTTCCAGGTTCCACCGCACTTCTCGCAGACGTAATTGTCGGGCTTGGGCTTCCTCGGCTGTCGCGCTGTCTTTGACGGGGCAGGAGCCGCCTTGGTTGCAGGCTTCTCTGCTGACAATGCCTCGCCGTCCACGGGAGGGGTTTCATGAACTGCATCATTATTGCTTAGCCCCTGTGGAGCCTCCTGTGCCGCTTTATTTTCAATGACAACGCCGTTGCTTTGCACCACGATGCTACCGTCATCTCCTCCGGCCGCTTCTTGGCTAAGTTTCGGATCTGGTGAGGAAGCGACTGCTGGCTCAGTCGATATCATTATGTCATCACCAGCCTGATCCGCTGATTTCTCGATAGAATCGCCATGATGAATGCCAGTCGCCCCGGCGTCAACTTGTGGCGGTTGGGTATGCCTCTTCCGTGGTGTACGACTGGGCTTAGACCGGGACAGCGCTGGGGCTGGCTTGGGATAATCCGTCCATCCTGGGAGATAGTTTGGATCCTTCAACTTGTCTGATCGAAAAATTACAACAAGAGACTTCCTCGGTCGGCCCTTTCTTTGAGGATTAGGATTTAGCGAACCGGGTATGCCAACGTAGACACCAGGATTGCTTCGGTCCTGCTCTTCTTCGGTCTCCTCTTCTGATTCGTCATCCTGCTCATCCTCTAGGATATCGCCATCATGCTCCTGGGAGACTTGTGCCTTCATTGCCGCCCTGCGCTTTGGTCTTGGCTCTCCTTCGACAGAAGCCGCTTCTGCCGCCACGTCGGCGTCTTCGTTGTCCAAGTCAAGAGCTTCCGAGTAAGACGCAATTTGGGTGGCCTTGCGCTTCCTTGAGGTTCGGGCGGGAACAGTCGTCTCGGCTTCGTCGACATTGGGCTGAACCTTGGCCTGAACCTTGGCCTTGGGTGGCCGGCCCCTTCTCTTCGGCGCCACAGGCATCGCAGCTGTCCCTGCGACCTGTTCAACTCCAGCCTTCTCCCCGTCCAAGTGCTCCGTTGCCTTTATAGTTTGATCAGTGGAGCCAGCGACATTGAGTTTCGATTTACGACTGCCGTAAGGCCGTCGGGCTTTGATCGGCTTTCCGGGCTCCGTGCGACTCAGTTGCGTGAGATACGACGACCCGTCCTCAGCAAAGACCTTGGGGTCGACTGATCCAAACCCAAAAGCATCTGCACCGATTTGATGCGCGGGAGGCTGCTCTGATCCATCAACATCCTGACGCAGAGCCGGGTCGATGGTTAGTTGTTCTTCCTGTTGGTTAGATGGCTTGAAATTTTGTGCTCCAGCCAAAGAAAACATGTATTGTTTTGTGTTCCCCAATTTGACCAGTTCCTTGCTCATCTGGTATTCTCGTAGGCCGGGGGGTTGAACATCTCCATTGGTTAGATTTACCAAGTGGGTGAACATGTGCCGACGGAAAACGTAGCCGACAGTGTCGGTGCTGATCTCAGGGTTTGAGTAGCCACGCGTGCCGCCTGTCATGATGAAGTCGGCAACTGTGTTTGCCAGAGGCTTCTCGGGCACCCAACCGGTCATGGTGGCGCCGAGCCTCACTTTAGGCTTCTTCCTGACAACCCTGACAGTTGACTGCGCGGAGCTTGACGCCTTCTTCTGTCTCCCTTTGCCTCCCTTTGGTTTCGATCTGGCCCTCGGCTGCTTGTCCCTGCCTTGGTTCGTGTACCGTGAAGTCTTCTTGCCGGTGGCTAAGAGAAGCCTCCAATCTGATTCCGTAGGATCCCTGGCAAACCTGACGCAGTCCTTGAACACGTGCTTGTCGCCAGCGAAAGTGGCGGCAACGTAAGAGACGTTTCCCAACTTGTGGAAACGACGAAGGAACCTAGACATGACCTTCATTTGCCACCTCTTTCCCAGGATCCCAAGCTTTGCCTTCAGATCTCTAATCCGGAGAGTGCCCCAGGCTTTGGTGATGGCGATCATGGTTTGGCCCAGCGCCATGTAGTGGATTTCTGGCCGGCCTGCCTTATCCTTGCCGGTCCACTGATAGTGCCATGGAACAGGTTGCATATCTCGAGTCAATGAGGCCCGCGACAAGTCCTTGCCGCCCAGAGGGTTCGACGGCACAGGTAGCGCAGGGGCGAACTTGGTCAGCCAGAGCTTGCTGGTCTTCATGCCTCTGACCATGTGGGTGCGCTTTGCAATGTAGCCTTTCTGCGCGAGGAAGTCCGTCCTCTTTGGGACTGAACGCTTATCTTGGCCGGTGACCCTGTTGAGATCGCCCTGAAGGATGCCATCCTCCTTCGTTGAGCCGATGGCGACCAGGCACTTCCACTCCAGGTTGGGCACGCGCTTGTAGTCTATGCTGTGTCCGGTGAGTGTCTTCCAAATGGTCTCCTCCCCAACGAATATGCGAGGTCGGATTTTGGGCAGTTTGTTGTGCTTGGGCACGGCAGGATCGGGCTTCTCATCTTGGAGTGGCGCAGCGACTTGTCCAGCGTCTTCCGGAATGGACATCATCTCATCGAATGTGAGATGATTCCATTCCCCTTCAGGACCGATGCTGACTTCACCAGTGCTTATAAGCCATTTCCAAGCAAGGCGCGCCAGTTTCAGCTGAGCCTCCGTAGGCGGGCTCCTGGTGAGCACCTCTCGAGGCTGCTGGCCGCCTAGCTCATCCTTTCGTGCATCTCTATCATTCTCTTGGAATCTTATGACAGCAGCGACCAGCTCAGACACGGGGCATCCTGTCATGATGGTCAGCATTGAATTTCATTTTGAAGAATGCGCCCGTGGCGAAGCGTATGCAAGGGTTGCGGAAGTGATGGGCGCGCTGCGTGTAAATGACAAGACACATGACCATCCGATCAGAAGGAGGGACAGTTGGGGTTTGGAATGTATGCGACGTGTGTAAGATGCATGCGACGCCATCACGAAGGAGGAAAGAGGCGCTTGACTCACCATCGCCGAAAAATGAGACCTCCCCGACAAGCCACTCAACAAGCTCGTCCAGACCCTGAGCCATGATGACGATGCGTTTCCGCGTTCATAGCGGCAAGAAAAGCATGTGCGATGGTTGATCTGGTGGCGGTTCGAAAGTAGGACCTCGAGGTTTTTTCGTGCTGATGGAAAAGTGGGTTGAAAATCAATGTCGTTGCGACGCGACGTCGAGTTTCGGCTGCGCATGCGAAATCAGAGCGGCTTGGCGCGGCGGCGATACGGTAGCTGGCAGGTCGGGTCTGGGTGGGGGGCGACGGCTTGATGCGCCGTCGGGTTGGGGACGAGGGGGTCCGAGCTGTAGAAGCCCCGCCGTCGCAGCTCGTGCGTGCCCAGTTAACAGTCAGTACTGTGTAGCCAGCACCAAGGTGTTCAACTGCGTGGAGGAACAATTGCTTGAAGAAGGATATCAGACATCAAGTCCCGAACAGGTCATGGTCGTTTCTTTGATTTGTGGGGCAATCTAAGATTGCAGTACGGAGCGAAGGTTGATGTTTTTTGGAAGCACTTCCAAGTACATGGGCAGGCCGGTTGGTAGTGTTAGGCCGGCTGGCTTGGCCAATTCAGGTCCAAGTGGTTTTGAGCCCAGGGGAAGTGAATACCATAATCACAGCTGCATGGAGTTCACAAAACAAGCTGTTGGACAAATAAGCACATTGAATGCGTTTGAAACGTAATGTTGGCTGCGACAGCAATTCAGAGTCAAACAAGTGGATTGGGTATCTTTCAATGTCAACATGAGCCACTCCATGCTATTCCTCCTGCCCCTCCCGCTTTTCCCTTTTGGCCTGCATCATCTTCCTGTACGAAGCCAACACCTCCTCTCTGACGCTCTGAAGTTCTTCTCTCTGCTTCAAACTTCCCGCTGCCTTGGGTATTGTGCCCACATCAACACCAGCACCACGCACCTTGAACAGCTCCTTTGGCTTGGTCTTGAGCTCCGGCGGGGCCTGGGCGAAGTCGTGTAGTCCAGCCTTCTTCTCGCCCCGTTTCTTTTTCAGCTCCTCCCACGGATCGTCGTCGTCCGCTTCGGCAGACTCCCAGACGGAGCGCCCCTTTTTGCCCTTCTTCTTCTTCTTTCCCTTGCCGCCTTGATCCTCCAGGTCCAACTTCCACTTGACGCCTGCTTCTTCGTTCTCCATCTCGGCTTCTTCCGCCTCCTCGGCCTCCTCGCGCCTCTTCTCTTGGATGGCTGCCTCCTCTCGCCGCCACTCATCGTACAGCTTGTGCATCTTCTTCTCCTTGCGCGTCCTTTGCGTCTTGAGCCCCAGGGGATCCTTCTTGCCGCCCTTGTTCACCAGGCCCATGACTGGCAGGGCGGCATCCACACGCCTTGCGAAGTCGGACAGCTTCTCGCCCGGCCGGATCGTAGGGGCTTCCTCCTGGGCATTTTCCGTCTCGACCGTGGCATCGCCCTCGGGCACCTTGCTCTTCTTCTTCTTCTTTGGTGCCGCATCTCTGGATCCGTCATCGAGGCCGCTTCTGAATTTCTTGCCATCGGCGAATGCCATCAGACGTTTGAAGGCACGAGGCGCGTCGTCCTTCTTGTCGGCAGCACCTCGCTTGCGCTTGGCACCCCGGGGTGCGTCGGGGGCCCTGTCTTTGCTTGCATCGTTGGCATTTGGTTTCCCTTTGCCCTTGTTTCCACCTGACTTGTTGGCATTCTGTCTGGCCAGCTTAGGTGCGACGACAGGAAGCGGTCTGGCTATCTGGGTAGGTGGTAGGTCGTATCTGTGTCGGAACACCATGTCAGTTGCAACCTTGTGATGAGTGCGCATGCAGACAGTCAAGCACAAATGGTTGGGAGGGTATGCACCCACGTGGAATCATCCTTATCTCTCCTGGTGTGTTTGTGAGGCATCCTGGCGGCAGATGACCAGAAATTGCGTGCAGCGAGTGTCGCGGGCCAGGGAAAATAGTGCTGCAAAAGTTGAGTAAGAAGTGAAGCAACTCGTTGCTGATTGCCCACTGGAAAGGGCCTAGTCGGGCCCCGTGTGAAAATGCGGCTTCCAGATTGGAGATTTTTTTTCCCTGTGTCCGTTTCCCCAAAGCCAACGGAGCGCCGTTTCCCTAACAGGCCTGAGTCGACCGACCGTCTGCAGCGGAGCAGGCTGGCTGATCATGTCCTTTCCCGTTAGCGCAGTTTTGGTGCAGGGGTATGTCGACTTAGACGACGAGGGCCCAGCGTCGAAGCAATCCAGACCTCACTCGCCGTTCCAGGGTCCATTCTCTTACACTGTCCCGCCTGCGACATCTGCCAGCGAGGGTTGACAGAACATGCCCTGGTGCGGCGCCCATGTGCCTCGCAGCGACAAGCGGAGACGATGTAGCCATGCGAGGCAAAACGGCAGTTGACAGCTCCTGTCCCGTATCTGGCCCATGTGGTTTGCACACCAGCATTTGCTTTCTTTTAAAGATGGCTGCCCTTCCGCACCCCAGGCTTGGTATCCTTTGACGGAGCAGAGACAGCGGCTTCTCATTTGGCTTCAAGAAAGTTTGTTCTTTCTCTCTTGTTCACCGCAAAGACTCGGTTTCCCGCCTGTTGCTTCCCTCCTCCATAGTCTGTCTCATCATCCACTCAGGCACAGTCCCAGTGGACACCAATAGCCTTCACTCGCGCCTTTCCCACCCCCTCTGGATTCACTGAAACACTGTTCTTCTGGTGTGAGATCTGTGGTTCGGCTCCAGGCACCACCACTGCCGTACACGACCGCTTGGTTGTCCCAGGGCGGCTCCTGCGTCCGAAAACAGAGAGGTCCAGAGCTACCTAGCTATCCTAGCGCCAGAGTCACCAGCCGACGAGCTTCACGAGCTTAGTCCGTCCTCAGCAGCTGCCTCTAGCGCCATACTTCGTCCGATGGCCGGGGTCCAAAGCATTGCGCCATATTGAGAGCCAGTCACCGCCATGACCTTCGGGTTCGCACTCGACAATTCCTAGTACTGGACAGCAGGCTGCGCTGTAAAGCCTCCCGAGGTCCTCTCGACCCATAAAACCCCCCTAACAAACCTAACCTCTCTCTACACTCATACTTGACCATGTACAACACCAATATGGACCCCTCACAGCCCTACCGAGACTCAAGCTCAGAACGGAAAGCAATGTCTCATCGGAGGACGCATAGTGTCGATAGCGAAGCCACTATCAGCGGTGACTCCGAGCCCCTCATACAGAAGAGCGGTACCGGTGTTGACTCGGAATACTCTGGCCATCAGATTTACACAGGATGCGGGCCGTGCAAAAGGAGAAGAAGATGGATGTCTCTGCTGCTGTTCGGGCTGCCCAGCCTGGTGTTGTGAGTGTTTCCTGTCTCTCGCTGCATTTCCTCACAAGCACACTGACCAAGCTAGGGCCATGCTGTTGGCATTAGATGTCCTGCTCCGGCTGGGCTGGGACTCATGGGTCGAGGAAGACAGTGCGGGTGAAGAGTTCTGCAAGTGGGGAGGGGCAGGTACCGGGACAGAAGCCATGTCCTGGTACCCAACCGACTTCCTACAAGATGTGATACCAAAACAGATACACTCACACAACGATTACTGGCGCAAAGTGCCGCTCTTCACGGCCCTCAAACAGGGCTGCATGAGCGTCGAGGCCGACGTGTGGCTGTTCGACGACCCAGATCGAAAAGACCAGCTCTACGTCGGCCACAGCAAGTCGGCCCTACAACCGTACCGGACCTTCCAATCACTCTACATCCAGCCTCTGGTCGACATACTAGAACGACAGAACCCACAAACAGACTTCTACAATGGCACCAGCAATGGTGTGTACGACGCTGCGCCCGGTCAGACACTCACTCTCCTCGTGGATGTCAAAACCGACGGCGCAAACACATGGCCCAAGGTCGTCGAACAGCTCCAGCCCCTCAGGGAACGGGGGTGGCTCACTCACTTCGCCAACGGCACAATACACGAGAGGGCCATCACCGTTGTGGGCACGGGGAACACCCCTTTCGACCTCGTGGCAGGAAATGACACCTATCGCGACTATTTCTTCGATGCGCCGCTCGACCGCCTAGCCGATTCCCCATACGACTCGACAAACTCGTATTTCGCGAGTGTCTCATTTGGGTCAACGATCGGTAGCGCCTGGATGGGGAAGATGAGCAGGGAGCAGACCCGGAGGATCAGGCTGCAGGTGCAGCAGGCGCACGCGAGGGGGCTGAAGGCACGATACTGGGACATTCCGGAGTGGCCAGTCAACAGGCGCAACCGCATCTGGGACCTGCTGGTTGAGGAGGGGGTCGACCTGCTGAACGCGGATAATGTTAAGGCCGCCGCCAGGCGGAACTGGAAGTACTAGTCGCTACTTTCATTTGATCCATTTGCGATGACCTGCAACCTTGGAACGGCCTGGCGGGTAGCCATCGGCCTCAGTGTGCCTGTGGAGAACGGGCTGTGTACATAAAGTCTAATTCGGTCATATTGGGTACCTCATCCTAGGATCCACAAAATTCATCTCAAATCCCTTTTGCCTGGCTGGGTGTTTTGAGCCCAGTGATGGGAGACACGGTGGCACGGGGCAGAGTAACTTTTGCCGGGGCGTGCAGGGCGCGCGGGTGTGCCTGTGTGTGGGATGAGGGTGGCAGTGGGTGGGCAGACCATGCGGGATTCGTTTTAGGTTTGGATTGATAGAAAGCTTGTTTTTGTAGATCGGCGGATCATCCAAACATAGCCAGCTCCTAAGGGTCCCCCAGAGGTCACACTATGGCCGGAAATGGTGCTCGTTTGATGACTCCCAGACACCGAATGAAACCACAGCCCCTTTGAACCTCCAACTAGCTCTCGACCTGACGTGCCGAATGCTCCGCAGCCCGCGGCTCACGGCTCGCGTGAGGGCTTTCGCTCTCGCCGGCTGGTACCCTCGCCCTCCTACTTAGGGTCTGTGTGCTCGCATGCATCGGATCTGCCTCGTCTGCTGTAGCGTGCCACCACACCGTCAGGGGAGGCCCTGCTAGCCATTCCCCCTCCACCCATCCGGGCCTCATCAGCGGTACTGTTCGTGATAGGTTCTGGCGTACCTGTCTCCCCCTCCCCCAGACTACTGATCAACTACTCAGAGCCGGCGGGCTAGAACCTCTCGCCAGGGAATGTGCCTAAAACAGATACGAAACTACGTGGGACTGTCAGTCACCCTTTACGGAACATTTCTGACCGACTAGGTACCTGACGGACGGACGGACGGACGGACAGGACAAACGACGGTCTTGGCCTCCCGTTTTCTCAGCCCTGGACAGGTTTCGTGATTCGATGCCGCGCTCGACGTTCGTCCGGTGAGCACTATGTAGTCTTGGCATTCTCGAACGATCAACACGGGCCGATCAATAACAGATTCTAGAAACTCTCGGGAGGAGCGTGAGTTCCTTGGCATCGAGTCTGTTCTGCAATTGAAATTGCTCCCCGTCGAACACAAGATGACCCGCGCCGGCCAAATAGCTTACCCGGCGCGAACAACGTGCTGCGCCTCTTCCCCTCTCTTAAGATTGCTAGGTGGCTGAGCAGTGGGAAAGACCGCGTCTCGTGCTTGTTCCTTAGGGGCCTGGAGACTCGTGCCACTTGTCAATTAAGTATACGATATGGCACCAAACCTCGTTCCATGACATCCAATTTGATAATGGGAACTTCTCCCGTCTCAGTGACTTCGCGGTGACTTATACGCTCTCACCAACTAAAACACCGCTTTGAAATGGTCTCTACATCTTGGAGTGTGTGAACACCCATCCAAACTCGCTTTAAGGCCGCCACATATGTCATATCCATTCCTCGATCTGGGAACTTTTGACACCATATGTGCACGACTTGTGTGATCCTGAAGTTAATTTTCCTTCTGAAGTTCCTTGGGAATGCGTGTGTTAGTGGGGAAGAGCCAGATTCTTGGCTCGGATTCCCTTCGTGGGATTGTTACAATTTACACCCAGGTATGGGAGTCACTTCGAGAGACTGTTTAGGTCTCCGCCGTGTGACTTCTTTTCCGTCTATTACTAGCTCTCAGGCCACTTGTGATGACGATTTTAGTCAATGGCGCCGTCCAGATGTCGGGAGTGTTGCTTCCTAGCCTTCAATGTTGTCTGTGCGGTACGAGGCTGACGCCACGTGCCTAGTCTTCTTATACCGATGTTGGTATTGTGTTTGTTTAAACGCTAGGCCTTTGCCAGTGAGCGCTTGCTACTGTGTGAAGGGACCGTATACCTTCAGGATGTATACGGATTAAGACCGAAATCATATAAATTGTATGCGATACGGTTTCAAACACGCAAAGAAGGAGACGAGCAAACTCTGGAATACTACAAGCGGACTGCGTAATCATCCGCCCATCTCTATATTGATTTTCGCTCCGGGTTCTTTCTTTGAAGTGGGACCTCCGGAGAGACTAATATCAGATCGCAGGATGCAGTTCACACCTTACAACTCCGGTCCACGGGCTTTTTCAAATACTAAGTAGGCGCCCTGGGGTAGTAGTAGTCAGCCCACACCCATGGCTCAGTATTTACACGGGTTCCAGAAGGATATACGAACAGGCTTATGTTTGATTTCACTTCCTCCAACTGTTGTTTGGAAATGCGTCCATTCTAAGCGTCTAAGCGTCACATTTCCAAGCGATATCCGAATTCCTCTTGGTAAGACAGTGGTGTGCTAGCTTATGGCAGAGTGCCAGCTCTCAGTCTGTGTTTGAGTAAGCAGCAAGTTTATTTACAAACTCATTTGCGCCACTCTGCCAATTACATCCCGAAGTTTGGGAGACTGTATGTGTTGTGTACGCGCCCGGGCGGGATTGGAACCGGGAGAAGGGCGCCTGCCAGTCAGTTTCCAGAATCTGCCACCGTCCAGCTTAGGAAGTCAAAATCAAATCCATGATAATCGCCTCGGGATTTGAGACGTCAAATACAAAGACCCCGGATTGTCTCCGGATGATACCTAGGTACCTAAGAGGTACTAGTATCTATGTACTGCTGCACTGAGTAGAAGCTTTTGGTTTCATGCCGAGCAGACAGTTCATACTTGCCAACGTTTACTCCTGAAAATATTGAGTCATCTTCCGGACAATTGCATGGGCTTTGGACTCGTTGTACCTCCTGGCGTATCTCTGTATGTAGTGCTGTTGTGAGCTCCAAGTCCAAGATCTTGACTTCATACTTTTTCGCAATTCAATCGCGTGTGTGACTTCAAGTTGGCCATGAAATCGTATTCATCAATGTACTATTTGAATGCCCTACCTGGTATTGAGCCATGATATTAGCCTGAACCAGCGTCAACCGTTGCTGACTAAGTTTCAACAGCCCACGAACTGCGAAGTGCCGAACTTGCGGGTTCTGGAGTCGGAACCTTTGTAAGTAGGTAATGATTTGTCACGATCAGAGGACAGGTGGGATCTGTGGCTCTGTAATACCCACAGTTCGAAACCGGGGTATGAAATATGATGTGGTTATGGGCGCCGTGAAATTCATACTTGAGTAACTACATACAGAGACCTCGCCGAGAGCAGACCGGGATATCTCCGTGCGGAGTCGGCGGCGTGGGGTGGGGTTGGCTGTAGGTGGACCTAGATCTTCTGGAATCCCGACCCGTCAAGATGGAACCTGCGTGCACCCCTGGTGAAGTGGATGACGTCGGGCTTGCTTGCCTCTGGCAGCCGGACTATATCAAGCTAAGGATCGCCATTGGCGTTCCTGAGCAGTCATCTGTGTGAGCAACCTTGTCTGCACGAAACTCCTTAATCTCATCCTAACACGCACGACAATACTAATCTTCAGACCTCACAATACGTCCACCACCCTAGTCACCATCCTCTAGCCCCACCAGCCCCAACATCTCCGAAAATGGCCGACCAGAAGCGACTTGCGACGCTCGATGTACGCAATTCCTCACAATCATACGGAGCAAGGATGAAACTGACCACCGATTCAGAGCTCAATCGTTGACCGCCTGCCGGCTCACTCGCAGACTGTAAGTCAACACAGCTGCCCGGGCGTCTGCTCAGAGGCTCACCGAGCGGAACATATCCCCATACTCGCTATCAGCACGCCGCTAACACACCACGCAGCTCTTCGCCGCCAAGACCAAGGCCGGCCTGAGCTTCTCCGAGATCGCGAACCTCCTGGGCCGCGAGGAGGTCGCCGTCGCAGCCCTCTTCTACGGGCAGGCACAGGCGTCCGCCCAGGACGTCGAGAAGCTGTCGGCACTCCTCGACATCCCCAAGGAGGTCCTGGCCCCGCAGCTCATGGCCATCCCCGACCGCGGCCGCTCGGGGCCAATGCCCCCCGTCGAGCCGCTCATCTACCGCCTGTACGAGGTCATCCAGAACTACGGGTACGCCTACAAGGCCGTCCTGAACGAGAAGTTTGGCGACGGCATCATGAGCGCCATCTGCTTCAGCACCAAGGTGGAGAAGGAGGTTGACGAGAAGGGCGACCAATGGGTCGTCATCACCTGGAGGGGCAAGTGGTGAGTTACCCTGGCTCCTTGTTGTTGGCCTAGAGTACGCAGACTAACCATGGGATTTAGGCTGCCTTTCACACGGTTCTAAGGCTTATGGATGTGGCATGCGAAGCAAATGGATCCTGGAACATGCGAGGAGGAACGGGAAGTTGGCTCGTCAAAGCTGGGGGGATTTTTTGATCGACAGATCATGTTCGGAGGGCTCATATTACCTATCGCAAAGCGGCCTGTGGTACAGTGCCAGTTGTGGCTATTTTATCTGACATAATTAAGCACAATACTAAAGAACAATACCAAGATGCTCTCGTGTACGAATCTGAAGGAGCCCGCATAAAACCCGAAGCATAAAAATCTGGGTCAACGTTACATCCCCCTTGCCTTTCACAGGCCTTCTTTCAAGATAGTTCCTTGCGTCTTGGATCGAAGCCAAAAAGTGACGTCTCGGCAACAACATGTGTGCAGTGGCTGCGGTCGATGTTGATACTCAGGCAATGTTCCTTGTTTGGCGGCCACGACACTCAAGCCATGGCATCAGTTATCCCAAATGAAGCACCGTCAAAGTCAAGCAAGACTTACTAGGTAATACATCTCCACCGTGATGAGAGATGAGCAAGACTATCAGCTTTTATATTTCAAAAACCACAAAAAGCCTCCTATAGCGGTGGGAAAGAACCCAAGGGAGGTGAGAGCCAGCAGTGTCTCATTCTGCCACTCAAAACCTCACACTTTCGTTCCGTGGAATATAAGAGTCCGCGCTTTCCTTTCGCTATCTTCTGTTCACTTCTCATCCCACATGCGCAACTATTCAGATATTTAATACAAAATCCTCAAAACTCTTTGAACTCTTTCTCGAGACTCAACCACTCAGAATGCCACCAACGGAACAGACACAGACTGCCAGCATATCCACACGAAACAATGGATACACCCAATGTGTCATCTTGTGAAGCACGAGGGTGCGACTTTGCCCTGCAGACAGGAAGTTGCAACAGCACCAATGAACAGCGGTACAATTGCTTTTGAACGTCAGATCCGGGCTTCGAAGACACCATACCTAGGTACCTCCCTCACACTGGTTGGGAGGTCCCTTTGAGCAGCTGGCCCGGGATCTTTCTGTCCGGTAGAGCAAATCCGCTGGCATGGAGACGCGATTTCCAACGAGCAGTGGGTTTGCCTGTGGTGGAAAGCTGCGCGAAAAAGGAACAAACACAGAAAACACATCCAGACTTCTCAGAACGAGAAATATACGACCATTTTTCATTCTTTCGTGAAACTCTCCTCGGCCTCACACGACCCAGTGGACTCTTCAATTTCAACTAAGCCGGAGAGGGCTCCTATCGCATTCTCTCACTATCTGATAGGAAGAGCTCATTTCTACTTGCCTCATTGAGTGCGCATGGATTTTCAAACGGTGGATTAGTTTCATAGCTTGCCGACAAGGGATAGGGACTGAAATAACTACATCGGATTTAACCTGCAATGTTGAACCCATATCGCTTTGTTCACGTCTTATCAATTGACTAGTATGTAGTTTGACGGAGTTTTCGTGGCTCTAGGAAATGTTTGGCATCAATGATATTTATCTCCTCACGCATACAGGTGATTAAGTACCGACTCGTTTACACACCCGTGGGCCAGTGAGCTTTGTCTACTTAGTCTCTTCACACAACGGTGCACGGTCAAACATCCAACGTTGTATTTCACAGATGCCATGTACTGGTCGTCCTGTATCCGACACAATTGCCATGTTCTGAACGTCCTTGTCTTCTCATTGACATGCTTTCCTAGGTGGAGTGCTGCTTTAGTTTTACTAGGCCCCGGAGAAAAACTCTACTTCTTGTTGGGGATAACTACCTTCTTACCTAGGTAAGTAGGTAATCAGGCCTGCTAGCCTGCACTACTTCCAAGGTTTCCAAATAGCTTCCTTTCTAGCACATGAAAGACGGGGATCCGTGGAAGGTGAAGAGTTATGCTTAACTACTAAGTAGTCGACTTTGCCTCCACTGAGAATGAAGTGGCGACGATTGGTGTCAATGCCGTTGTTCTCGGAGTCGACCAAGGCGGACTCCCATTTTCCGTAGTTGAGGGGGGTCATATTTTCTCGGTGGGTGCTTGTAGGACTGGGTGTCAGTAGACGCCGTAGAGCCTTTCCCTTGTCGAGAATCCATAGTTACCAAGAAGTCGAACTTGTGACTGTGCCTTGCCGTAGACTGGAGGCTACCATCCTCCTGAGAACCCCCGAATAACACAACACAAACGAGATTACTTTCAAATGAATTGACTGCAAGAACCCTTTGTTTGGCTCCTTGGCTTATTCTGAAGCCGTCCCGAGTGCCTCGTTACAGAACTCCTCCTCCTCCTGCTCCTGCTCCTGCTCCTTGTTGGGGATGACTAATCAGGCCGACGGGCCTATACCACTACCTTCCCCATAGCTTCCCTTAGGCTGGTTTCTTCTCTTCACACAACACACAGACGAGATACCTTCAACAGAATTGACTGCAAGAACCCCCAGGTGCCATTTGGTCCCTTTATTGATTCCCGAAGCTTCGTTTCGCGAGAGTGTCGCATAACACTCCTTCTCCTCTGCTCCTCCTTCTCTGTCGACAGGTCACGTATCGAACGTTCAATGGGGTTGAGTGCGTGTGTTGTGGTGTTCTGTCTTCTCACCCTGGAACAACTGATATCCTGTCCATTCTTTTAAACTGGAATGATATACCTAGGGAGAGCTGGGAACTTTATCATTCTGTCCACTCATTTAAAGAAAAACTGCGAGTGTCGCAAGGAGGAAGGTGCGTTTGGGCAGATAGCTAGTTATCAGTGGGCACTCTCACCTCATGGCATCGTATTCTTTCCAAGCGCTGGGTCTTGAGTGCTTACCACCGTATGAAGGCGCCATGTATGTCCTCGGACGTATACGGAATAGAGGCGAAACCACGTATATGGAATAGAAGCAGAACCAGTGAGAGAAAATGTCAACTGGTAAGAAGAGGGGAGAAGATGCTTGGGAGAATGGGGGCGAGGGGTCTGGTGGTGGTGATGGTGACAGTTACTTTGGCCATACTAGCTGCAACCAAGGTCAGCACGAGAGACGATTTCATTGTGAAGAATACAGTTTGATAACATAGATGGCCTTATTTTTCTGCTTTGACCAAAGCTCTTCCATCTTTTGTGGTTGATGTGCTCCGGTGCTTGAGCCTGAGAATGTAAACATCATTGCCTTTATTTTCTCTTAAGCCAATCTTGGCTGGTTGAATCAACTCACAGTCAACGTTTAAAGTGATAGAGTGGTCTTCTGGCCACAAAGACTTTTGCATCCATCACTCCCGCAACACTACCAAACCTTCAAGTTGTACAACATCACACCAAAGCCCATATGGTTTGCCTACCCTTGATCTTTTAGGTTGTAGGGCTTGTTTCACGGAAATTCTTCTTCTATGCTATGGGGTTGTACTGTATTGGGCTATCCCTTAGGAAGTAAACCCATAGGAGGTTGTGTTGTTAGGAGGTTGAAAGGTGCTGAGGTGGCTTAAAGGGCCTCCGAGCATGAATTCCTCAGCACTCAGACTGCCAACCCAAGATTGATACCAACTTGAGTTGCCACAAAGAAGTAGATATTTGTAACTCTAGTGCTACACCTGAAGTGAGGCAAGTCCTGTCTGCAGAGGGGACATCAAACATCAAAGTCAAGCATCACTTGTACAAAGCAAGCTCAGCTCTATCAAACATCTTTGCATTCAATCCACATCACATATCCCTCCTTAGTCCTCATCAGCAACTTTGTCGGCAACCATCTCTGCAGCCTTGTTAATGACTTTCTCTGGTGGCCTCTGCCCCTCCATGTTCACAGGAGTGGCCTGTCCTTCCACAGGGCTGGACAGGCCTGGTATTGGGCTTAAAGTTCCGCTCGGGGGCATGGAGGGTACAGGGATGCGTATGTCTTCAGGTGAGCCGGGGACCATTCTCGGGTCCAGGCCGGGAATGTGAATACGCTTCGCCTCGTTCTGGTAAGCCGCCGGGATGATCTCAATGATCTCATCGCGGGGAAACTTGAGCTTGGGAATATCGGTGGTGCTGCAATGCATCAAGTACGCATATAGCACGCGCAGGACGGACTCGTGCGCGATGATGAGGAGGTCATTTTGCTCACGCTCGAGCTCCAGAATGATAGGCTCGAGGCGGACAGCTAGATCGTGGTATGACTGCGCAAAGTATTAGCAACGCCGTCCCTACTCTCGGGACTTCCACGTCTGACTGACCTCTGCTCGTGGATAGCGATGGTGATACGGATCCAGTTCGTGCTTCTCGACCTCGTCGGGGTAGATGGTCCGGATGGCTCGCTCAGATAGCTTTTCGCAGACGCCGGGATTGATCTGACTCATCTGGGAGCGCTGGCGGACTTTGTAACCTTGGTCCTGAAGAGGTTTTGCGGTCTGTACGGTCCGTAACCTTGTTGAAGTCCACACTGTGAGAGGCTTCAAAGGAACCTCAGTTCCACCAGCCTCGATGGCCGCCTGTCGTTCCTGCTCACGGTGTTTTATGAGAGTCTCCGTCATCTTGACAGCGTAAGCTTGGCCTGGCTCGCTAAGGCCGGCATCGGCTTTATATGAGTCCTCCTCGGTCGCGGCGCCAGCTCGGACGAAGAAGGTTGTTCTGGATTTGATGTGCAGGTTTGTGAGGTAGAAGACGATACGATGTGAGAGGTACTACTCATGTATTGTCAGTAGAATACCACGGGAATGACACCGGAGATAAGAGGTACATGTCGGGATTGCTTGTAGGTAGTATCAGACAAACCGGGAATACTCACGTTAAAGCTGACGTTGTTGTAGAAGAACCCCTGACCGGCATTGATCATCTTCACATAATTCAACTCATTCTCGTTCATCGTCTCGAAGACGGGGATTTTCATCTCAATTCGTCGAAGATAGAGTTTGGCAGCCTCGTCTGGATCCATGCCATGGAACTGTAGCAGTTGTCAGCCTCATGAAATCGGTTCAGGTGCAACTTAACGGTCTTGGCACTCACATCAGGGGAATGGATTTTGACATTCCTCGCGTTTTCTCGCAGGATCTTGTCATCATTGACATATGACTCGAGAAATAGAGTCTGGTTTGTGGGGATTAGCAGAGATGCCCCTTTGTGGAGGAGACTGCGGCAGTGGACCTACTTGAACATCATGTTTCGCGAATTCCTTGGCCAGGGAACGTCGGCCAGCAGCAGTGGGGTTCACAGCGTCGTAGATGGCGACCTGGCCATTCTCATGGTTGAGCCATGCATAAATGTCTTCGCGACACTTCTTCAGGATCTTCTGGCGCAGCATGACGGACGAGGGTGTGGCGTTTGGGAAGAAGTAATCCTCTGGGACGTGGCCGCCGGGACCAACAGTAGCACGGCGATAGTCCCCGAGATGGAAGATGCGAGTTTTGACCCCGAGCCAGGCAAGGTAGCGAGCCATGGAGACACAGATGTGTGTTTTGCCCCTGGCTGGGAGGCCGACCATGACGATTGCTATCCTGCCGGAGTGGAACAGCCGGCCAGACATGGTGCTGTAGAGCTGGGCGGGGGCCATGTCCTGGTCTTCAGTGACATCGTGGATAGCATCGATGAAAGTCGAGCTCTTCCGACGGTATCGTGGAGCGTTGGCCGCAATCTCGGCCGTCCTGTTTGAATCAGCTGTCTGGACTTCCAAATCATCACCCATCTCCGGCCTGATATTAGACCATGTTGTGCCCTCAGTGCTGACCATCTTGGCCACCAATCTTGCGCCCGAGCTGACAAGAGCCTGGTGGCCAAGTCCTTGACAAACACAACAGGAGGCTTCTCATGCAGGTGTGGATGTGGAGGAAATCCGATGGAGAGGGGATGTGTTTGGGCAGGAGCGAGCAGGGGTTTGGCCTTATGGACCACGGCAAGGACACAGATAGGGCACGGAAGGGTTTACTCACAAAAGGGTATCCATTTTCAACCAAGCAGGCAAATGGCCTGAGAGATGAGATACAGCGAGGGTCAGGACAAGCAATGTGCAGGCTCAAGCGGAAACTCGATCAGTTGTGCTGCACACAGGCACAATGACGAGGGGATGCGCAAGAGATACTGTCTGTCCTAGGCGGCTGGGCAGCAGGTGTCGGTTTCTAGGTCGAACGGCGGTTAAAGAAGGGTCTTGAATGCGAGGTGAATTTGACTATAGACGCGGAAAGAGTCGTTCTAGGTTCCAGGGAGTGAGTGAGAACAGGCTGGTTTTGGTATTCCGAGGAAAGGAAATGTTTTGGAGGAGCACTATCGGTGATGCCAGACTGGGCGCGAAATGCCTCTCAGGGACCTTGGACAACGGTATAGGGAGAAGCCGGGGCGGTGCTGACTAGGCCCAGATACGGCAGTCACCGGACAGATATGAAGGCCTGAGTCGCGGGCTCTCCTTCTGCCTGCTTGCCGGAGGTGCAGTGACTGGGCGTCGTGTCTGCTGTTTGGGTATTTCGAGGTCTTGGGGGAGAGAACGTCAACGCTAATCCCAGCTGGTGGGTGACTCGGGGCAAAATCGAGCTGTGACGAGAGAGAAGAGATGAGTAAAAAGACTTCCAAGTCCACTCTGCTTGAGATGTCAAGGACAAGTCAGGGACGAGTTCCGATGCAAATTCCAAGCAGCTTATGTGTGCTCAAGCACGGGGGGACATGAAGGCACGGTCCGGGCCTTAACGTCGACCCTAGGTGAGCAAGTACTCCGTACCTAGGTATGCAGGCAGGTAGGTACGGAGTACTGTTCCTGTCGGGTTTTGTCCTCCTCCATTTCAGCTCCCCGGCGCGGGGGTGCCGCTAAGAAAGAGGGGCTGCCCTATAGCCAGTGGCCGTCATGATTAATGGGCTACTGTCACTATACCGAGTACCACACCTGTGGGTTCACTGAATTGATACCTTCGTCGGTACGCCATCGATCGCCTGGCCTTGCCTCGCCTCCTCCCTCTCTTTGAAATGTTCTGTGACAAAATCTGAAAATTGGCAAATCTTCACGAAGCACACAATTTGCGGAGTTCTTTCTCCTCGTACCTGCTGCGTCAGTCCCACAAACACCAGCCGTGGCTCTAGCACCAGTGCACGGTGCACCTTTTGCTCCTCCCTCGGTCCACAAACCCTCATTAACCCCCGTCCCACCCCCTCCCCCCTGCCCTTATTAGTCGAAGGTTCCCGGCAGCAGAGCCCTGTCGTCAGAGACGGGCCTAGTAGAGCTCGAAATTTTTGGACTGGGTCTCTTCTTCCAAGATTGGTCTGCCAGCTCCGACCCTTACGCGGTGTTGAGACGACGACTGCCAAAACCTGTCAGCCTCACCTCAACCACAACCTCAATTTCGCCCAGCCGGGGAGCCTCTCTTGTCGCATTGTTCGTGCATCCAGCGACGTCTGCCTAGTCCCGGTGAATCCCTCCCGAGCCGACGCGCCCTGCTGCCCTTCCCCCAATCCGTTCAGTCTCGTGCGTTTGGCTGTGACGTCGACGCATTCTCTGACCTCTCAATCCCCACTGCCACCGCCGGCCCCTCGTCGTCTCGCTCAGTCCGCTCGGATCCGCCGCGATCATGGCCTCAGTCTCGAGTTCGCCCTTCGGCGTCCTGCTCAACAACCCCATCGCAAAGACCTTCTCAGATGCCGTCGGCTCCTTCCAAGAGCGCCGCGCGAAGCTCGGCCTGTCGAACCCCGGCACCGTCGAGGGCCTGGCCAAGGAGGTCCAGCGCGATGTGCTGCTCAACAATTACATGTTCACTGGTCTGCGCGCCGACCTGACCAAGGCCTTCAGCCTGTACCCTCTGTTCCAAGTCTCCCATGCCTTCGCACTGGGCGAGCGGTCAAACCCATATACGTTCGCCGCCCTTTACGGCACAAACAAGGTCAGTTGCCGCCGTTTTGTTGTGACATCCGAGGCAGAGCATTGACATGAAGACACGTGCAACAGATGTTCTTGCAGGGAAATATCGATAACGACGGTCAGCTCTCAACAAGATTCAACTGGAGGTGGTCGCAAGGCCTGGTCACAAAAACCCAATTCCAGATCGGAACCGGGGGCCAGGATATGGCACAATGGGAGCAGGAGTACACCGGCAGGGACTTCACAGCCTCCGTCAAGGGCCTGAACCCCTCGTACCTGGAGGGTGGCCTGACTGGTATCTTCATCGGCAGCTACATGCAGGCAGTGACCCCCAAGCTCGCTCTTGGTCTCGAGGCTATGTGGCAGAGGCCCGCGCTGAGCCAGCCACCCGAGGCTATGGTCGCCTACTGCGGAAAGTACAAGAGCGATGACTGGATTGCTACCGCTCAGCTGTCTGCTACCGGCGGCCTCAACACCACCTACTGGAGGAAGCTGTCCGACAAGGTCCAGGCCGGTGTGGACATGAGCTTGACCCTGGCGGGCGGCCCCGGCGCGATGATGGGCGGGCCGATCCAGAAGGAGGGCACCACCACCTTCGGCGCAAAGTACGACTTCCGCATGTCCACCTTCCGCGCCCAGCTGGATTCCAAGGGAAAGCTGAGCTGTCTGCTCGAGAAGCGGGTTGCCGGCCCCGTCATGATGACTGTCGGTGCTGATGTCGACCATGCTACGGTGAGTCCAGCGTTGCCAAGTGGTTCGTGCGGTTGAGACACTGACATGCGACTGCAGCAATCTGCCAAGCTTGGCCTGGCCATTTCTATCGAGACCGGCGGCGAGGAGCTCCAGGAGCAGCAGGAGATGCTGGGCAACCAGCCATCTCCCAACATCCCCTTCTAAGCGCCCAGTAGCTCCGGAAGCGACGATGTGACCGTTCCAACTTGTCCAACGACTCTCCGCTCCCAATGCGATGACGCACGCTCCTCCCAATTTACATCACTCATAATTTGGCGTTGACGAGCGAACGAGATGATCACGAACAAGACCATCCGTGTGTCGTGGCATCTCCATGCCCTGTGTTTTACTATCTTAGTTCGGCGGTTGGTCTGGCATGCAGCATGGTTGATTTCGATTTTGACGGCGGTTGGAGGCAGGGAGATCCTTTTGCATGACCGACTGACGAAATGATAGACATTTCTTTATCTTTCATCCAACGCTAACCGCAAAGCAGTCCTATGGCCGCGTAGGAGCCCTAAGCAAGGACCAGGCGCGGCCGAGGAGGAATGATCTTGTACAATAGAGACAGCGAAGACCGGCGTAGGGCTCGGTCTGGCTGCAGGGGCCAAGCACGGTAAAATGATGCAGGGAGAGGCCACCGGGCCTTTCTGTCATGCAGGGAAAAAAAGAGAGACCTGATGCTACCTACCGTGATCTGGTCTGTTAGATCATGACAGTGTGGAGGATCTGACGGACTGGCTGGTGTAGATATAACCGAAATCAGATGCATGTAAAACAACACGCACATAGCAGCCGTATAATCCTTTGAGGCTCCACTATGACTCCCCGAATCATGTTGTCTCTCATTCAATGGCACCGCCGTCTTGGTATGCCGCTACTATGTACTCTCTCCGGGCTCTTCGGCCTGGCGGTATGAACAGAGTCTACAATTTACCAGGGGCAGTCAGCACTAGCGACATTCTAGCACGAACCCCAGACCTTGCCCCTGTTCGCAAAAGGAAATACGCCCAGGAGACGAACAATATCAAGATCTCTCTAGTGCTAATTCTAACCATGAGCCGAGCTATATAACTTGAGGCCTGCCCATCGCAGCTTGTCCCGGCGATAGAACATGTTCGTGTAGCCCCCACCGGTTACGGACGACTCAGCGCCGGCAGACTGACTACCTGCGATGGACATCACCTCGACGTTGATACTCCTCGCCACGGCGCCCTATGCGCAGGCACGCGCTCTCCATGCTGCCCGGTCCTCGGCTCCAACGGTCGACCTGGGATACACGACATACCAGGGCTATCATGACGACACGTACGGGCTGAACGTGTGGAAGAGGTATTGATGTTTCCGCCTCTTCTTTCACCCCCGAATTGGAACTTACTTTCTTCATCCGTGCTGGAGAAAAGCTGACCATCAACACGCGAGCTAGCATCCGCTATGCCGCTCCCCCAGTCGGCGACCTGCGGTGGCAAGCCCCCCGGCCGCCAACCGGCAACGGGAGCCTCGTCTCGGCAGTCGACCAGCCCCCTCTGTGCCCTCAGACGGGCGGGTACGGGCTCCCCGTGGAATTCGGGTTCACCTCTGCCCTGGGCGACGAGGACTGCCTCTTCCTGAACGTCTACGCGGCGCCCAACGCGTCGGACCTGCCCGTCTTCGTCTGGATACGTACGTGCACTAGAGTCCTTCCTGCAGTTGCTATGGCGCTCATGTGTGCTCAATGTGTGTGTGAGAAGCCGGCGGTGACAGCTAACACTGCCATGGTTTTCCTCAGATGGGGGCGGTTACGGCCTCTTCGGAGCCACGTATAACCCGAGCGTGTTGATGAACACCAACAGCAACGAGTTCATCACCGTTGAGATCCAGTATAGGCTCGGCGCGTTTGGATTCCTGGCTTCGGGGGACGTCAAGGACCACGGCCAGCTGAATGCTGGTCTTCTGGACCAGAGGCGTGCTCTGGAGTGGGTGCAGGACCATATTAGAGAGTTCGGGGGTGAGTGAGTGCCTTGGCCAACTCAAAGAGGCCAATATTCTCCTACAACGCATATCAAATTCTAAACTGTACAGGTGATCCAAGCCGCGTAACGATCGGTGGTGAATCCGCAGGGGCTGGTGCGGTAATGTTCCATGCTCTTGCGTATGGCGGCGAGCAGACCGATCTCTTCAGCAATGTGAGAAGGCCCACTCTAGCCCTTTGAGAGTCACTCATTGATTGACTTCGTCTCAGGTTATAGCTGCAAGTCCATACAGCTACGCCATCTACGACTATCGTGATCCGGTTCCGACAAATTACTACCGTGAGTTTGCCAATCTGGCCGGTTGTGGTCAGGACAGCCCGCGTCTTGAGGAGTATCCGAATGTCTTCCAGTGCTTGGTCGAGACAGACAGCGAAGTGCTGCAATATGCTAGCTTCAACGTCTCGGAATCTTTTGGAACATATGGCAGCTGGGCTTTCCTGCCTGTGATCGACTACGACTACATTCAAGAACGGCCGACTGCGCAGTTGTCCAAGGGATTGGTTGCTGGACGAAGGATACTAGTTGGGGTGAGCTTAACCAGTCTTCTGATCCTCCTTACGCTTCGAAACCGTGCTCCCGTCTTGCGCGGCAGTCCTTGGGAACATGCTGACACGGTGTAATGTGAAGAACAACGCAAACGAAGGAGTGCCTCTGACCAACATGTCTGTCAAGTCGAGGGCAGACTACGACAACTTCATAACCAGCAGGTTCCCGCTATTTTCAGAATCCGACAGAGGCCAACTCGACAGCGTCTATCAAATCGAAAGCTCGGCTGCTGAAAACCCTGATGCACAATTTGACACCCTCGGGACAGAAGGTCCTACCGCTCTGACACAGTCCGCATTCGCCACCGGCATCCAGCAGGCCGTCCTCAACATCGGCGCGGAGACGAATTTCGCCTGCCCCGCGCAGTGGCTGGCCGAGGCTTTCGACCAGGCCGACCTGCAAGCCTGGAAGTACCAGTACTCGGTCACGCCGGCGTACCACGGCGCAGACCTCTCGGCCTACTTCGCAGTCGGCGCGGCGACGCCCAACGCCGACTTCAGCCGGGCGTTCCAGAAAGCCTGGGGCAACTTCATCGTCCACGATGACCCGACTATTACGCTGGAGGAGGCCACCGCCGGGTACGCCAATGCTTCGGCGCCGGTCGGCGCGGATGGGGACATCGACTGGCCGCGTTACACTGCAGAAGAGCCATACATGGTCGACTTCAACACGACGGGCGGCGACCTGGTCCAAGTCGTGGCCGGGCCCCTGAGCTTCTACGAGCGCGTCGGGGCCGGCATCGTCAACAGGTTCCGCCTCGTCGATGCCCTGTCCTGGGAGGGCGGCAGGGGCGCGAGGTGTGACTTCTGGAAGGATGTGTCAGCGAGGGTACCGCAATGACACACGAGAGGCGTGTACAGCCGAGGCCGGAGAACTTAGACATATCACCGTATAACTAGACCAATTGCGGTTTTTAGACTTTTTTTTCTACAAGAGAGAGTGTTCTGTGTCGATTTCTACATGAGAAGAGGTTGTGCCATCCGACAGACCTGCTCGAAAGCAGTGCCAGAACCTGTCTAGAAGAAATCCTTCCCGAGCACCGCCAGATTGAGCACGACGCTTCCAGCCAGAAATTATCTGGTTTCGCTTCTATTCTGCATACCTCCGAAGACATACATGGCGCCTTCACACGGTGGGAAACTGTCAAGACCCAGCGCTTAAAAAACATCCAGTGCCAATAACAATACATATGCACAGAGATAATACAGTACGTGGGCACCAGTGTGGGCACGTGGGCACGGATACCAGCAAAAGTATAGAAATGATGAACATGGCATTGTCGCCTCTCGAACAATCAATTGGCAAATATGGAGGCCTGTATTCACTTGTGTTAGCGGCTCAGGACACAGCATCAGCCGAAGCTATGAAAGTTGCACATGTGAGAAAGCACGGAATGAGCGCATCCTCAACAACCGCAGTGGACATCTCTTTTCTTGACCAGTACCAAGCATAACCTGAACTTTCAAGAACATTATATGATTCGCTAGCTAGCAATTGTTCCACAGCACAAGTAGCAATTATTTCGCAAATTTCAAGGCGCTTGAAATGGCATCTCGAGCCGAACTCAGCGGATGATGCCGTAAACCTTAAATCAACAACGAGGCTTGGCAGTATAAGAAGCCGGCATTTTGGGGTGGGCACTTGGGTAGAGATATGAATGATTTATATAACGTGTCTTAACCCCAATCTACTACTAGGCAATGATTGAATAAAGCTCCTATACTGACTGGGATATGATAGGCAAGCCAATCCTCTAAACAAATTGGAAATGAAGGAAAAGGCTTCTCCCACCCAAATCACAACTTAGGATTTAGTATCAATGTTCGAAGAGGACGGTACAACTATATTCACACAGCACTTTTCGGACTTGGATGTGCCCACGGGACTTCAATGTGTAGGCCGGGCCAGACTGGGAACGTCAGATATGCATCCTTTCCCCTTCCGTCCACGCGGATAAAATTAAGCATGGGGAAATCCTTTCATAGCACCCAATGGAATGGCTGCTTGAATGAGCATGGCGGACAAATAAGGACCTTGATTAGTACCGTGCGACTCCATACATGACATATGCTCAATCCCGCTGCCCCAATGCCCTCAGTCATCACACTCATTATTCCTCGCAGCCCTCTCCTCTCTCCAGCGACGTCCGTGGGTGTTTAGTAGCCACACTGGAGGAATCGAGAACAACTGCAAGATCGCGAATACACCAAAGCACCACCCGAGGCCCAGAGTTTGCGCCAGTGGCTCAAGAGCTGCAATAAAAGCACCCGCAAGAACACACCGGACGAGATTCGATGCCCCTCGGACCGTTGCGGCTTTACTGACATTCAGATCTGTGAGCAGCGTGTTGTATATCTGCTTGCGAATTAGCTTGATATCCACGCTACCTCATTCTTAGTCCTTACTGCAATGATGCTTGACGTCGTAAAACTGATGATGAATTGTAAGATGAGCATGACTGAAATATGCTTAAAGTTATTAGCGCTGGTGCACAGAGTATAGCCGGGGGCCGCTGTTACTTACTGTCCTGGTCATCAGCGCCAACCCGTACCCGGCTGTGCCAATGGCGGTGATCATGAGTAAGGTATATGCTCCTTTCAGCCGAACCTTCTCGATAGGAAAATCTGAAATGTCCTCGCCTCTCTGGAACGAGCCATCAAGTTTAATGCACATGCGTTTGTCTGTTCGGAAGACCAAATCAGTCCTCTGAATCATGAGACACCAAAAGCCTTGGAGGCGGAAAAAGTATACAGATAATCACAAGAATACTTACAATACCAGTCTAGAAATTGTCCCGTGAATTTAGCGCCCAAACCACCTGAAACTCCAGCCGGCAAGTAGATAAGTCCTGCCTCTAGGTAGTTCAGATTGTAGATACTGATACATTGGGATCCAAGAGATGCTTGGATTGTCATCTTGACGGCATAGTTGACTCCTCCAAGAAACATTGTGCAAAAGCTCCCCTTTTCGAACAACATTGGAACACAGGCCAGAGGGTTTGGGATATGTGCTTTCCTCTTCACCCTTTCTTCCGGCTGGGTCTTCTTCTCAAGGACGTGTTCTTGCTTGGTGACCTTCCAGAAGAGACTCTGATATAGGAACCCATGCACACGCCTACTGCCGTTTCCGACCAGCTTCCTTTGAGTTTCGGGGAAGAAAAGTATCAGCAGCACACCGTGGCAGCTGACCAAGATTGTGAGAAACCAAAAGATCCAGCGCCATGACGCAAATTCTGCCAGGACACCGCTCAAGACGGGGCCGAAGCTGGGCGCCGTATTCGTGCTGCAGTACTGTCAGTAACGTTGAAGGATGTTCATTAAAGCCCAACTTCACCAAATAGATCTGTTCGCCGTGGTTAGGTCAATTTCTTACAAGAGAATAAGCGTCCCCGTGTACGAGCCTCTCTCAGCGACCGAGGCAACATCGGATATGACGCCGTTCGCCGCACCGAAGGTCCCCGAGGATCCGGCGCTCTGTATCATCCTCAGCACAAACAGCGCCGGGTACGAATCCTGCACCGCAAGCCCTATGTTTGCCCCGAGCATGAGAACAAACATCAAGATGTACACAGGTCTTCTGCCGTCATGGTCGGCCAGATCGCCCATCACAGCTGGGGCCAGGCCAGCTACAATCAGGTAGCACGTTATCGTCAGGTTTATCAGGGACACTGAGACGTTCAGGTCCCTGGCCATCGGCACGACCGCTGGGAAATAGATGAAGCTGTTGAGCGTGGAAAACATGGCTCCGAACGCGGCCATCCAGCTTATCCATCGCTTCTGCCCACGGGTGAAGACAGAAAATGGCGGCGCCGGTGGAGGAGCACCCGTGGAGAATAATCCCTCGTGGATGACCGTTTTGAAGAGCTTTTCGTCTTCGTTGGCTGCCACGGCTGGCGATGCCGCTTGTTTTTCGTCTTTGCTGGTGGGTTCCATTGAAAACTATTGCGAGCGAATCAGATCCAGATGAGTACCACTTCTTCTCAGGATATATACTGAGTTGCGTAGAATCAAAGAGGTGTCGAATGGGCACGCAGGGTGTGACATCGGGAGCGGGGACGGAGGCGTAGGGAATAACCAACAGGCCATATCTTCAGAGGTGCAGTAGTGCCATACAATTTTGGAAAGGGCCGTTGGTACTGTTAATTCCAATCCAGACAAGGATATTGTTAAGCCTCTGGAATACACGGGTGCATTTAAATGCGAATAAAAAAATAAAAAAATTCAATGTTGTATTGGCAGTCATTCAACTTTGAACTCTTAATATGTAAATGGAGGTTGTCACAGTCCAACACATGTATAACAGCTTTTCCCATACTTTCTAAATTCTGGAGGGAGTCTCATAACAACCCATTCATGTAGACCTTATGCAAACTTCCAAATGGTATTACTCAAGGGGTCTGTTAAGTCGCATGCAGGACGGCTATAAGGTAAGTAGAAAATTGTATATAACCATTGTGACTTTGACCTCCGTCACATTTTCAAGACCTTGAGTTCATATTTAAATATACCCTATTTGAATCCATGACAACTATTTGATCGAAAAACTGTTTCGATTCTGTCAGGTCTCACCACATCTCTCTTCACAGTGGCACTCGCATGGATTGACCTTGGCCCGATTATTTTATGTGTCGCGAGGTTTCATAATCAGGACTCATCTGCTCAGTTGTTTGAAAATCGAGGAAAATTCCTACTTTTCCTTTCCAGACTTTTCTAGGACACTCGTGCAGATGCTAATGCTACAGCATCTTCTTTTCGAAAAACCATGCCTGTTGGGTCAATGGTCCATTTATGAAGTAATTGATTCGCTAGGTATCTGAGCAAAATCTCATAGAGAACACCTGAATTGAACCTGGAACTCATGAAATTACAATCAGACACGGGTACGACAATTTCCAACAGCCGGTGAAGCAGAAACGTGACATAGGATAAATCCATCGACAAACCCCCCCCTCCGGGGCCCCCTGGTTCCAAGTTCCTATAACCCTAACCCACTTCGTACGGGGAACATTGGTGCACCTAGTGGAGGGGCTAGAGCTTCAAGCTCAGGAACAGCTTCACTGACGACGTAATTATTATCACGACGCTGATCTTAGTCCAACGATTTTCCACACCCCTCACGAACTAACACTCCGTAAACTCGAGCTGCACAAGACCGTCTCCCTAAGGGAAATCCCGACCTACTCGACCAGATCATGGCAAACGCAAAGGCGGACAAGATCGACAAGATCATCACGCGGCTGCAGGCCCGCATCGGTGAGGGGCAGTACTACGAGGCCCAGCAGCAGACTCGCGTCGTCGCAGCGCGGTATATCAAGGCCGCCAACTGGAACGCGGCGATAGAGATCCTCTACAATGTGTCGCAGTCGCTGCTCAAGGCCGGCGAGGGAGGTGCCGGCGGTGACCTCAGCGTGTTCCTCGTCGAGGTCTACAAGCAGGCGGAGCTGAAGCCGGACGCCACCTCGAGGGGCAGGCTGTTGACGTGTCTGAGGCTTTTCCCGGCCGGGGAGCCGACGAGGAAGAAGTTCGTTGGGGAGATGATCGCGTGAGTGCTCCCCTTTCCGGTGTGGACACCCCTCGGTTCCTCTCAACACGGAACCCCCGGAACCGACCCTATGTTGTGATCACGGTGGCTGACACGTACGTCATGGCAGATGGTCTTCCAAGTTCGGCGAGTACCCAGCAGGCGACCCAGAACTGCACCACGTCGCAGGCAGCCTCTTCGCCTCGGAGCACGAGACCTACGAGGCAGAGCGCCACCTGGTCCTTGGCACACGCGACTCGGCCGAGTTGCTCACGCGAATGGAGTATGAGTGGTACAAGGAGGACGACAGCCACACGGCGGCCCTGTATTGCGCCCGGGCGGTGCTCCCGTACCTCCTCGTCGCCAACGTCCGGGCAGCCAACACGGCCTACAGGGCGTTTACCTCCAAGCTCAGCGAGGACAAGGGCGCCGGGCTGGGCGTGCAGGACGTCGGCTCGGGCGGCTCGGACGTGCGCATCTTCCCCAGCCTGCCGCTTCTGAACTTCCTGGGGCTGCTGCTGCTCGCCGTGCAGAAGGCGAGCCCGGACCTGTTCAAGCAGCTGCAGGCCAAGTACGCGACGCACATTGCGGAGGTCGGCGCGTGGGACGAGGCGCTGGAGATGATCGCCGAAATGTACTTTGGCATCCAACGACCGCGGCAGAGCAACCCTCTGTTCGACATGATGGGCAGCCTGTTCGGGGGCGCACCCGGTGGTGGCGGTGGCGGGGCGAGGAAGCCACCCGTCAGGCGGGTCGAGGCTCCGAGTGCTGAGGGTCTAGATTAGAAAGGCGGATAACCAAAGCCCATGGCTGATATTGGTATTATTGGTGGTGGATAGTACATGATACCCACATACAGCATAGGCAAGGTCGGTGTAGGAAGTGCATTGGGGTGTTCCCGCCTGGTCTCAGACCAGTCGTGGTTCGTCCTCCTTCTCATACATCCAATTGTCTTCTGACAACGCCGCGACTTTGGCTCTGAGACTGGCCCTAACAGCTTCGAACAATTCTTGGAGATCCAGCGTGAGCAGATGAGCAGAGTGGGCGAAGGTGGCATCGTAATAGGAACTCACCCTCTGGTTGAGCCGGAGCACTACTCTGGTTCACTATGTTCTGATGGTGCTTCACCGCGTCGGCGAGCCTCTGTCTCTCCTCTGTGATGAAAGCTATGATCAGCCACCCAAGTCAAATGTATCACTGGCAGGTAGGTGGCTCACTCTCGTTCTCCTGGCGCATATCGAGCGCGATCTCGTCCGGGTCGTCCACCACCAGAGGCGGCGGCTCGTACAGCTCCACCTCCCCGTTCTTGTCGCGCACCACGATGTCGGACGAGGCAGAGTCGTCCTCCTCCACCTCCATCCCGTCGAGGTCGCCGGCGCCCCGGCTGCCCGCGCCCGGCTCGCCCGAGCTGTTGCTGCCCGGCCCCGTCGTCGGCCGTCTGGTGAGCTGGCCCTGGAAGAGGTTCCGGCGGACCCCGGCGTTTGACGAGGATTTTGGGTGGGCGGGAGCGCCCTGCTGTGCCTGCTGCGCCGCCGACGAGGCGGGTGGGTGAGCTTGCCTGGTGTCTGAGTACGAGACTGTGGCGGCCGCCGACGCGTGCCTGCGACCAAAGACGGTCTGCCGGGGGTGGCCGTAGCGATCTGTCATGATATAACGAGGGATGGGTCACGCAGGATGCTTTGGAATCAGGGGTGAGCTTTAATACAAGTCAAGGTAGGTAAATACCTAGGTTAACAATCCGGGAGGCTATGATGCCGCTCCTGTGCTGTGATTGTCTGTGTTTACTAAGTACCTAGGTACCTAGGTACCTCGCCTGTGGTACCGAGAAGTCGATGCAGCCTGCAGCTTGGCAGGGTCTAGCGGGGCTGGCCCCTGTAGAACCCGGCCGACAGCACTTGGAGCCGCTGTTTGCAAACAACCACTCTCCAGGTTTTTTAACTTGAACCCAATCAGCTTTTTCTGTTGAAGTCGGTATACTACATCACTGGCATATTCTACTGCTCTGGCCAACATGGCACTGAAATTTCTGCATTTCTGGTCATTGAACTCTAAGGACCTCTCAGAAATTAAATGTTATTGTCTCTGCTATGCTCTATAGGTGGCATCCATCTTCCAACCCTCCTAGGCGGCAATATACTGGGATTGATAGCCTGTTACATGAGAACGCTCCAATGCATAAATTCCTGTAAGAACACGACGCACAGGACAATCTTCCATATTCCCATAGTATATAACAGAGGAAGGCACTCTGCTCTGGTATGACACCCTATGACCTTCAAAGATGTGGCGGTGTTACGGTGAGAACATGTGTAATGTGGGATTTGTGCTTTCTGATCATGAAGCCGACAAGATTCTTCAGCCGCATTCTTGTAGATGCCTGTTTTGCACAAGACAGGATCTAGGGAGATATTCAGAGAGTGCATGAAGATCCGAGTGAGTGGTTTCTTCGCAAAAAAAAAAAAAAAAAAAAAAAGAAAAGAAAAGGGGGAGGGAGCGGCTCGTTGGCATAGAGTCCTGAAGTAGGGATGTGGTAACCTGTGACTGACATACGCCGCCATTCAGACCTCGAGACCTAGGCGATGAAAAGCTTGTGCCTTCGATGAAGTCGAGCACAAATCTCCGGGAGTTCAGGCTCGTTCTCAGCATTGATGTAGCCGTGACGAATAAGGAACGCCAGATACGTCATGTTGCAAGACAGCTTGAACTCGTCATTACTCATAGCCTCCTGGACTTCGTCAACAGTCATCAGGTTCAGCTCACCGATCTCGCCGTCACCGATTTTTGGGCGGATGCCCTCCCGAAATTCTATCTCATAGAGATACTGCACTTGATGCTGACATGCAGGGAGATGTGAATCGGAAACGCACAGTTGAAAGGAGCTGGTGCCACAAGACTTGATATTGGCACGGGTGTAGGTGGGATCGAGACATATTTTATCTTCACATTCTCGGACTATGCCATCAATTGGCCTCACGCCACTGGGCAAACTTCCACCCGCAGTATCATCGAGCATTCCAGGATAGCTCATTCTTCCTGAGCGGCGGGGAACCCAAAGCTTGATCCCCTCAGCAGTCATGACCCAGCCGATCATGTGGACAGAGAAGTTGACAATGCCAAGCACATCGACGCCAGACCCATTCATGTCGAGCACGTGCTCTCCGGTATCCGAGTACAGGGGAAAGTCCTCCTCTGACCAGCGTGCTAGAGCAGGAACTTTCTGGGACTCGTGATTTATGCGGAGTGTCTCATTCATCAGTTGGCTTCGAGTTCCAAAGTCGGGCGTGGAAATAAGAGACAAAAGTTTCTTCTCATGGTCGATCTCCCAGTATTCTGGCCAGTCGATCTGCTCGACGAATCGGTTATGGACGTAGCCGAAAGGCTTGTCATAACCCTTGATGAGAAGGTAGTGGTAGTGTAGCATGTGTTGGCGATAGGCATTAGAATCTTCGGCAAAATAAGGCCAACTACTCTCCACGTCAGTCAGATGATTTCGGATTGAAGTCTGGGAAGCGTTACCTATCTACGTGCTTCACCAGCTGCAAATTGGTGTAGGGAGGTTTTACTGTCATTCTAGAGTGTTCAACGGTGCTTGACTTGAGCATCAGAGTAAGAGCTGTGGTTGTACGATCTTGAATTTAAATGGACTGACGGAATAGCTTTTCATAGAATCGACGGCAGAGATAAATAGACAGTGAAAAGGGTTTAGAGTTTCCGAATGGTAGCAAGCCCATGACCAATACGGAGCCGAAGATCAGCTGATCTAATGGTCACATCTTATACCTGAGTCACAGATCTCGAGTTGGTCAATGGACTGTTTCTTGTCTGACTTTGTCTGCTACTCTGTCTGCAGTGATGTTGAGCCAACATGCCGGGGTTATGGCCGGTGGTTGGGCAGCGGCAAATGTCTAATGGACTTCATTGTGCTGAAGCCAACTGGAGGCTTGTATTGCTCAGCTCAAAGAAAAAAAGAGGGGGAAAAGAAAAGATAAGAAAAGATCAGAGAAAAATGTGTGGCACCAGGAGTACTATACTACTGGAAGGTAGGCATGTACTTGCCTATATGGGATTCTGCGAGACTGCAACCAAGATCTTGTTCTCAGCGGCCGGGCTTTTTGACACGATCCCAGCGTTTCCAACACCTTGGAAGGCTCCAAAAAGAACTAGAACTATGGATGAATCCGAGAAAATCCGTCTAAAAATATTCAAGTATTTCTTATGACCCGCGGCCAAGGTAAACTAGACGGTGGTGGGCTTTGTCTTATGGATTGACGACTCGGATGGCAATTGGCGAAGGTGATGCTTTATGAACTAAGCCACATCAGTGCAGCCTGCAGGAGCTTGTACTGTGGTACAGCGGCACAGCATGCACAGCTGCACCTGCCCCTTGTAAAGCCGCGCTTTATGTCATCAAGCCTGGCCGCAATCCGATTGCAGCACATAACCCCTGATAAATTGAGTGGGGCAGACGCGGTTCACGTCACACCTTAAGCTACTACCATTGAGACGCGTTCGGGCTCTTTACTTTTAGACGTTGCCTCTCTTTCATTTGTGGGTGCTCAACAACATCCAAAAGGCAGCTGCGAAAACCCAAGGCCAGACAACCCCCCGCGCTCATCTGGTTTTCAAGGTCTTATTTTCCTCATGCCAAGTTAAAGCGGTACACAGTCGTCTTCTTCCCTTGTATCTCACGGCACGCCCGTGTCGATTTGCCGCCCTCGTCATCCTCCGCCATGCCTGCAGCTACCATGAGTTCCAACAAGCGCATCCTGGGCGAGACGTCCAGTGCTCGGAGGAACATACCCGCTACTCCAGCAGGTTCGAAAAAGCAAAAGACAGAGCACTTCTCATCCTCTCCTGCCCCTCGGTTTGCCAGTTCCCAGGCAAAGATCGCGTCCAGCCAGCCAAAGAGCGCCTTCGAGGCCGAGGTTCTGGAGAAGCTGAGCCAAGACATCTCTGAGCTCAAACAGAACAACACAGAAAAGGACCAGTCATGGGGGCGCCCGCCTGTCCCGGAGGACTTCGACCCAAGTTCCTCCAGCCTGTGTTTTCAACAGATCGATGCCGAGGAGGGCACCCTGCATGGTGGCAACCCTACTGTCAAGCTGTTCGGTGTGACTAGCGATGGCAACTCGGTGATGCTCCACGTCAAAGACTTCAAGCATTACCTTTTTGTTGCGGCTCCCGTGGGATTCACCAACAAGGACTGCATACCTTTCCGCGCATACCTGGAGACCCAGGTCGCACAGCACCAGAAGGTCATTCACGATGTGGAGATGCTCATGCGAGAGAACATCTATGGGTTCCAGAACAACACGCAGAACCCGTTCCTCAAAATCACCGTCACAGATCCCAAGTTCATCAACAGGGTTCGAACGACCATACAGTCCTGTAACGCGAACTGGAAAGGCATGTGGAAGTCTGCCGACGGCCAGATCCTCACTTTCGACAACATTCAGTACCTCTTGAGGTTCATGGTGGACTGCAAGGTGCGTTGCCACATACGTCCATCTGGCACTTCTCAGCTGACTTTTGTTAGATCTTCGGAATGTCCTGGGTCGAGGTCCCTGCCACCAAGTACGAGCTGATCCCGGAGCGTGACCGGCAATCAAACTGCCAGATCGAGGCGGAGTGCAGCTATCACGACCTGATAGCACACAAGCCAGTCGGAGAGTGGTCAAAGATGGCCCCGCTGAGGATCTTGTCTTTCGACATCGAATGTGCGGGACGCAAAGGCATCTTCCCAGAAGCCAATCATGACCCTGTCATCCAGATTGCAAACGTCGTCACCAAGTACGGAGAGAAGAAGCCGTTTGTCCGGAACGTCTTCTGTCTGGACACCACCAGCTCTATCGTTGCGACTCAGATCCTCGAGTTCGAGAGGGAAGAAGATATGCTGATGTCATGGCGGGATTTCCTCGACAAGGTGGATCCGGACATTATCACTGGCTACAACATTGCTAACTTCGACTTCCCTTATCTTCTTGACCGTGCAAAACACCTAAAGTGCAAGGGTTTCGAGTACTGGTCCCGGATTCCGACGGTGAAGTCAGTGTCGAAAGAGACGAACTTTTCCAGCAAGCAGATGGGCAACCGCGACACCAAGGCAACAAACACAAATGGTCGGTTGCAGCTGGACTTGTTGCAGCTGATCCAGCGAGACCACAACTTGCGAAGCTACACGCTGAACTCTGTGTCATCGCACTTCCTCGGGGAGCAGAAGGAAGACGTGCATTACACGATGATTACCGAGCTGTTCAACGGCACACCGGAGTCCCGAAGACGTCTGGCACTATACTGTCTGAAGGATGCGTACCTCCCACAAAGATTGATGGACAAGCTTTCATGTCTCGAAAACTACACCGAAATGGCAAGAGTCACAGGTGTACCATTCAATTTCCTCCTGTCCCGTGGCCAGCAGGTCAAGTTCATCAGCCAGCTGTTTCGCAAAGCTCTGGAGCAGAAACTGGTCATCCCAGACCTGAAGGGCGAGGGCAGTGACGACCAGTATGAAGGCGCAACAGTCATTGAGCCGACTCGCGGCTATTACGACGTCCCCATAGCGACATTGGATTTCGCCTCACTATACCCTAGTATCATCCAGGCACACAACTTGTGCTACACCACGCTGGTCTCGAAGAAGGCGGTTGAAGCGTTCAACTTGAAGAAAGATGAGGATTACATTGTCACACCCAACGGAGACCTGTTCGTGACGACGAAACAACGGAAAGGGCTCTTGGCGCAGATTCTTGAGGAACTGTTGTCTGCAAGAAAACAAGCCAAACGGGAGCTGGCGGCAGAGACGGACCCCTTCAAGAAAGCCGTGCTGAACGGTCGTCAGTTGGCCTTGAAGGTTAGCGCGAACTCGGTCTATGGTCTCACAGGTGCAAGCAACGGAAAGCTGCCGTGCTTGGAAATCGCCAGTAGTACCACCAGTTTTGGTCGTCAGATGATCGAGAAGACCAAGAACGAAGTCGAGGCCAGGTATAACATCGCCAATGGTTACTCTCATGATGCGCAGGTCATCTATGGTGACACGGATTCGGTGATGGTCAAGTTCGGCACTACAGACCTTGCAGAAGCCATGAAGCTCGGCGAAGATGCGTCACAATACGTCTCGGCCAAATTCGTCAAGCCGATCAAGCTGGAGTTTGAGAAGGTTTACTTCCCTTACCTGTTGATCAACAAGAAGCGATATGCCGGACTATACTGGACCAAGCCTGAAAAGTGGGACAAGATGGACACCAAGGGAATTGAGACCGTGAGACGCGATAACTGTCTTCTTGTTCAGACAGTCATCGAGAAGGTGCTAAGGATGATCCTGATCGACCGGGACGTCCCAGGAGCCCAAGAGTGAGCCACCTCGCAAACACAGCCGTTGTTTTTGTTTCTCCGTGCTAATTCAGCCCCGAACAGTTATGTCAAGGATACGATCGCAGATCTGCTGCAGAACAAGGTGGACATGTCCAAACTTGTCATCACCAAAGCCCTCACAAAGGATGACTACACGGCGAAGCAAGCGCACGTGGAGCTGGCGCACCGCATGAAGAAGCGTGACGCAGGCTCAGCACCGGGCCTGGGTGACCGAGTGGCCTACGTGATGGTGAAGGGCGCTGCCGGGTCCAAGAACTTTGAAAACTCGGAGGATCCAATCTACGTCCTGGAGCACAATGTGCCCATCGATACAAAGTACTACCTAGACAACCAGCTTGCAAAGCCCCTGGGCCGGATCTTCGAGCCCATCCTGGGAGAGACGAAGGCCAAGTCGCTGCTGGCGGGTGCGCACACGCGGTCGATCGCTGTCGCAGCACCGACAATTGGCGGGCTGATGAAGTTCGCGAAGAAGACCCAGACGTGCATGGGCTGCAAGAAGCCGCTGACGAGTAAGGAGGAGGCCCAGGGCGCCGTGTGCGCGGACGACGCGCCACGGATTGGCGAGCTGTACAAGAAGACGCTGGACAAGGTATCAGACCTGGAAGTGCGCTTCGGACGGCTGTGGACGCAATGCCAGCGCTGCCAGGGAAGCATGCACTGCGAGGTCATCTGCAGCAGCAAGGACTGCCCAATCTTCTACATGCGCATGAAGGCGAAGAAGGATCTGGAGGATGGCAACAAGGAGCTCCAGAGGTTCGACTTCGACCAGGCGGCCATCTGGTAGGCGGGGATCAGGCGGGCCAAAGGTGGTGACCAAGCCGTGCGGGTGGCGGTGGCTCACATGAGGGTTGATCTGGCATCGTTATTGTGGAGACTTACTAGGTGCATGAACGAAGGGGCAATGGATTTTGAGATGGAGTTCAGGAAGGACCGGGGGCTTCAATGAGGGCCAGTGCTGGCGTACGGACATTTGATATGCGTGATGCGCGGATAGGGCAGGGAACAACGTATGATAATATCTCTCAGTCATGCCTATTCATGTCAGAGCCGTTCTCGCAGGAGAGCAAGTCGGGCGGATTTCCGAGGAAGGGTTCGATTTCCGACGTGGAGCCTGTCGGAGCCGACAGCCTGTAGGAAAGAAAGCCCAAGGAGGCGACTCTGGGGACCCTGAGGGAGTATTTGGACTGAAGTCGTCCCAGCAGAGTAAGGACCAGCGCGTGGGTAGAAAGTGTGGGGGTTGTATAGGCGACGCACCCCGGATTGAGGAGCGGGATCGCATCAACGCGCAGCGCAATACGCGCCTCGGCCTCATCAGCTTTGGGCTGGCTTGGCTGGGCCTCTGGCTAGGCGTGCAGCCCGTGTTAGTGTTATTAGTCAGGGCTCACTCTAATGGGCCGATGTGCACACCGACGGAGCAGTTCCGGGTTTTCCCTTTGGTCTGGGAGGTGGCTCGGGAGATGCAGGGAAAATTTTTCACCTCGGTGTTTCGCCTGGAGAGCAAGCAGCGCAAGGGCAGTGTGAGGATGGCGGGCCATACACGATGTCGCCAAAGCGATATTTTGGGCATCTCCAGTCTTGTTCCGCCTGGGGCTGGCAGCTGGGGGGGGGGGCGGGGTGTCGGGGCTCCTCCGTGATCGCTCGCTGCGCCGTGGCCGTGGCTCGTGGGCTGTAGCGGAAGGCCCGCAGCTTGGACCCTGGAAAGTATGGCGTAAGAGGCTTCAAATTCAACCTGCTAACGGGAACAGAGCAGCTGGGCGAATCAAGGCCTGGCGATAAGATCTGGCCGGGCTCTCTCAGGGCGATCTCTTTTTTTTTTCTTGGCTAGCAAGCAAGCGAGTGGCACCCCATGGTATGCAGGCCAGACAGCATGGGAGATGCAGATCTGGGATCCATAACGTACTCCGTAGCCAGACTGCCATTATAGTTTCACCTCGACGGGAGCGTCTGCCGCGTGCCGTGCCTCCTGCTACAGTGCCTAGCTTGGCAATTAGCTAACAATGTGTCCCAGGCTATGCCCCAACCGGTCGACATGCACAGAGATAAGCACGCTGTGATGACGAGGTCAACAGCCGAGAGGAGACCGACGGTCATTCGGAAGGTCAGACAGACATGGTAATTCCGTATTGGGCAGACCTGCGCAGCTGCGGTGCCTGGAGGAGATGGAGGAGAGGAGGCAGGTACGACTGCTGCTGCCCCACAAAATAATTCACTGCACACCCATCCAGCCATCTTCCCAATGCCGCAATCGGCGACTCTGATCTGGCGCATTGCACTTGGTGGAGAGCTGGGGGAAGCAGCCATCCCTGCACCCTCGCTCAAGCAGGCAGGGGCCCCACTTACCCACCATTAAGCTGGGCGGGCTAGTCCGCCTCCCACGTAACAGCACGGTACAAGGCTGATGAATATCAGAGATAACGAACACAAATCTTATTAACAAGTGCGCCCAGTCAACCAGTCGAACACCCCCAAAGGGCCGAATGGCCATCTGCGAAGACGGCGCCCCAGTGCGACCCCCACCGGGAGGAGCTGTAACATGGGACCTCCGAATGCTTGTTCACCGGGGACGAGGTGAGCTGCGAGATAGACTAGATGTCCTAAATCGCTAGTCCCGCGGAGAGAGAGAGAGCAAGCACCACCCACACGGCCACACGGCCACACGGCCAGGGAAGGAGTGACCGTTTAGATTCAGCTCATAGAATTGCCATGCTGGGTCGGTGCTGTGAATGCTCGCTCCCCTCTTGGGTATAATAAGACCTCCTGTCTCTTCGCTCCCTCCTGCTCACACCACTCTCCCTCTCGACTCTCGGATTCTGTCTTGATATACCAACTTCAACCACAGCCCATACAAAAGACCATCGCCCTTGTGCTTTCCCTTGCCGTGATACCCTCCCTACCCTCTTTCTCCTACACCCAAAAACCACTACCGCCCAACATGTCGAACCTCCCCTCCGAGCCCGAGTTCGAGCAGGCCTACAACGAGCTGGCCTCCACCCTGGAGAACAGCACCCTGTTCAAGAAGAACCCCGAGTACCGCACCGCCCTCAAGATCGCCGCCATCCCCGAGCGCGTCATCCAGTTCCGCGTGCAGTGGGAGGATGACCAGGGCAACGTCCAGGTCAACCGCGGCTACAGGGTCCAGTTCAACTCGGCCCTGGGCCCCTACAAGGGCGGCCTGCGCCTGCACCCCACCGTCAACCTGTCCATCCTCAAGTTCCTGGGCTTCGAGCAGATCTTCAAGAATGCCCTGACGGGATGTGAGTATTCTCCCCTACTCGAAAGTGGTGGGACACCGCGGCTAATTATGACATCTCACAGTGATGATGGGTGGTGGCAAGGGTGGTTCTGACTTCGACCCCAAGGGCAAGTCCGACAACGAGATCCGCCGCTTCTGCGTTGCCTTCATGCGCGAGCTGCAGAGGCACATTGGTGCCGACACCGACGTGCCCGCTGGTGACATCGGCACCGGCGCCCGCGAGATTGGCTACATGTTCGGAACCTACCGCAAGGAGAAGAACAAGTTCGAGGGTGTCCTCACCGGCAAGGGCCTCAACTGGGGTGGCAGTCTGATCCGACCTGGTATGTCTGCCCTGAATTCTGCTTACTTGTTGGAAGCAAACAAAATGCTAACGAAATCACCAACAGAGGCCACTGGCTACGGTCTTGTCTACTACGTCGGTCACATGCTGGAGTACGCCGGCGCCGGTTCGTGGGCTGGCAAGCGCGTCGCCGTCTCCGGATCTGGCAACGTCGCCCAGTACGCCGCCCTCAAGTGCATTGAGCTCGGCGCCACCGTCGTCTCGCTGTCCGACTCCAAGGGCTCGCTCATTGCTGAGAAGGGTTTCTCCCCCGCCGAGATCGAGGCCATCGCCGGCCTGAAGCTCAAGCACAAGGCCCTGACCGACTTCGTCGCCGCCGCCTCCGACGCCAACAAGTTCAAGTACATCGAGGGTGCTCGCCCCTGGGTCCACGTCGGCAACGTCGACGTCGCCCTGCCTTCGGCGACTCAGAACGAGGTGTCCAAGGAGGAGGCCGAGGCCCTGGTGGCCGCTGGCTGCAAGTTCATCGCTGAGGGCTCCAACATGGGCTGCACACAGGACGCCATCGACATCTTCGAGGCCGAGAGGCAGTCCAAGGGCGCCGCCAGCATCTGGTACGCCCCTGGCAAGGCCGCCAACTGCGGTGGTGTCGCCGTCTCTGGTCTGGAGATGGCCCAGAACAGCCAGAGGCTCACCTGGACCCGCGAGGAGGTCGACCAGAAGCTCGCCGGCATCATGAAGGATGCCTTCGAGAACGGCCTCAACACCGCCAAGGAGTACGTCGAGACCAAGGAGGGAGAGCTGCCCTCGCTGGTCGCCGGCTCCAACATTGCCGGCTTCGTCAAGGTCGCCGACGCCATGCGCGAGCAGGGAGACTGGTGGTAAATCAGCCAGCTTTGCTGTTCTTGATGTGATGATTTCTGGGGAGCAAAAAGAAAAGTTCCTTCTTCCTTTGTGTTAATTCATCCTGTGGGCTGGGCTGGAGTATTCTGTTTTGCCACTTGTTTTTCTCATGGCGGGTTTCTTCAGGGTTTAGCGGCGGTGCACAATACCAATTCATGACTTTTTACGACACTTTTGTCGATGGCCTGGTCATTTTTGACGTGCTTGTTGAAATGTCTCCCCCTCCTTGTTACCTAATTTGAAGTCGCACGGCACGGTTCGTACGACTTGGTTCGGAGTATAAGAATGAATGGCTGACCGATGCGGGCGCCCCTATGCCCCCACTCCTCTCTGGTCATGGACCATATTAAGAACGGAAACGTCTTATAGATACACACAGCCAGGTCAGCACTACAAAAATAACGTACCCATGAATGGGCGGCGCACTCTCAGTATTACTCACCACTCTCACTTGGCACCGCATACTGGCGCCGTCTCGGAAGGGTCGATCGCCCGGCGCCCCACGCCCCACGCCGCGCCCCGTCTGAACTTGGGGAGACCAAGCAGCCAAGCAAGCAGGAACGGGATCGGTCGCCCAATGCGCACACAACACAAGCAATTGGCGGGCGGGCGATCAGTCCCGTCCCATCTCATCTGAGCACTTTAAGTGAGCAAGTGCCCGGGCTGGGCAGATCGGGAGCGCAGCCCATCCGGTCTCAACTTTTTTTGGGGGTTGGGTTGTTGTTGTTGTTCGTCTCAATGCCGAGTGGTGGCAATCTCCCGTGTGCGGAACCGGTTACTATGGACGAGGGGATCGTCCTTTTCTTGCTGGTTTGGACGCGTGTGTTTTGTGAGTTGGTGAGGGAGGGGAGTGGGTGGGATTAGATGCGGCTTGTAGTGATGGCGTCAGGCTGGCTGGCCAGCGTGAGGATGAAAATACACAGACAGACAGATACACGGTCCTGGGCGGCGGATTTCCTCATCGAGAACCCCTTCTCTCTGTCTCCTCCCTTCCCCTGAGGAAATCGCACGCGCTGCGGTCGGCATGGAGTGGATGGATAAATGGTGGGGCGAGCGCGTCTATGTCACCCGATCCTACCTACTGTGGGTATATCTGTCTGTCTGTCTGTCTGTCTGTCTGCAATAGGCAAGCAGGATGCTGGCTGCTGTGGCACCCGCGGGAAAGAATCCCCATATAGGACGGACAGAATAGTTCACCGGCATGACGAAGAGAAGAGACACGGAACCAAAACTACGACAGCACCCAGGCAGATCCGACAACATGACCAACCAACCCCCACCCCCAAGACACCTTCCCCAAATGCCCGATTCTCCCGGTCGCATGTATCCCCCGAGCTCTGCCTCTTATTTTACGCGGGACCAGGAAAAGGGTCGGCGGTCGGTGGGCCCCCCGCTTGCCTGCCTGCCTTGGTCGTTACCTGAGGAGCGTGCATGGCATGCATGCATGCGTCGGGGGGACGGGGGATGGAGAGGCCAAAGTGAAGTGGCATGCATGGCCTGCGTGGTGGTGGTGTTTGATCGACCCCGGCGTTTGGAAGGGGTCTTGTGTTGTGTGACGGGCCTTGGGCTTGGCGTGCCCGCGCTCGACCTGCATCATCGACATCCAGGCTGGGCTGACTTACCGGCCGGGCCTGAAGGGGAGCTGCCGCAGGTTGTGTGCAGTCCGGCTTTGTGGGTTGGCTTAGGCCCCGTGTCTGCCTTGATGGATGAGGTAGTGGTTTGCACCTTGTTCGGGAAACGAGGGCATGATAGTCAGTCAGTCAGTCAGCCAGCCAGGCTGTTGTAGATGCTAGGCTGGCAGGCAGATTTAGCTTCCTAGTCTGTCTGTCCCTCTGTTTCAGCGGCTTGGGGCCTCGGCAAAACAAGCGATTCTCGTCTTTTTTTGTTAGCGGCGTGCTTCTCACGGTCCTCACAGACAGATTTCAAAAGTGAACAGAAAGAATTATTTTTGAACAATTTTAATTTTTGGCAAGATCAGCTAGCTACTGTAGAGATCACGATCAGGGTATCTTTTGGATCATCCCAAACCCCCCTCACCACCCACGACCAGCCTAGAGTAAAAGGAAAGCGGACGAGGACAGAACCCCAAACCCCAGGGGAATATATATATAATGGTATAAACAGGCTACCTGCCAAGCTAGCATCCACTCAAAGAGATTGTGTGAACACATGGATAGGCGGGATATTAGAGAGGTGGACATCTGTTGTATAAGAAATTGTCCGCCCAATAATGAGAAACGAATAGAAATAAAACGTGGGGGCTGGGGTGTGTCTGTCCGTCCTCTATCGTCCATGCTCGTCGGTCTCCTGTCAACACCATCTCCCTGGCGAAAAAAGAAAAAAAGAGAGAAAGGGAGCTCAGCTCCGTGATCATGTGTCACTGCTGTATCTAGGACAGGACCATGACCATGGGGCCGGCGGTGATGATGTCGTCGGAGATCTTGGCGGTCATTGGCATCGAGTTGACGAGGTTGAGGTAGACAACACCAGACAAGCCCTGGGGGGTGGCGCAGGCACCGTTGGCGAACTGGGTGAACATGGTGCCGGTGGGCAGGTCGCCGGAGGAGAAGGCACAGGCGGCGGCGCCGGTGGAGCCTTCGCTCTGGAGCTGCAGCTGCTGGGGGCTGGCGAGGGCGATCTGGCTCATGACCTCGGGGTTGGTCATGGTGATGTTGGGGAAGGCGGTCAGCTGGAGGTTGCTGCCCTGGGGGCAGCTGGCGATGAAGGGGGCTGCCAGGGAGAAGACCTGCTTCGGCGACAGGGGAGTATCGAACGAGTTGGGCGAGGCAGCAGCCTTGGTGGCGACACGGGTGAATGTCTGGTGGCGGGCCTCGATCGAGTAGATGGAGGCGGCGGTGCCCAGGATGCTCTTGTCCTGAACCAGAGGGGCGGCGCCGAGGTAGGCGGAGACACCGACCTGCTCGAGGGTGACGGCAGTCTGGAGCATGGCAGTGGCGGACGAGAAGGACTGGCCAAAGTTGTACTGGCAGGGCTGGACGGGCTGGACGCCCTTCTGGGCGAGGGCGCCCTGGAGGAGCTGGACGTGGGTCTCCTCCTCCTTGCCCTGCTGGGCAAGATCCGCGACCTGCTGCTGGGTGAGGCCAAGATCCAGGAACTGCTGCTGGGGCACCTGTTGGAGACCCTGCTGGTAGAAGGTGGTCTCGAGCCACTCAAGGGTCAAGGCACTGGGTGAGATGGTCAGCAAGGGTGTTGTTTGTCGGTAATGGATATACAGGGAAAACTCACAATTGCAAGATATCGGGATCTGTGATGCCCGCGGCACCGGCAGCAGCCTCCTGGCGCCTCATGGCCTGGTGGATCTTGAGCTGGCGTTCCGACAGTCTGGGAGCGGCGGGGAAGGCGGTGGCAACGGCGGCCAGGGTAGCCACGAGGGCGGACTTGAGTGATACAGAAGCCATTTTCGGTGTTGATGATTATATAATTGTGATTTTGATCGAACCGGCGAGCAGTTGGAAGATGTTTGGAAGCGGCCTGCCGTTGGAATTAAAGTTGTGCGTGTTGTTTGTATTAATGAGAGTCTAGTAAGGACTGTGACGAAGGCAGGCGAAGGAAAGGATGCGAGAGCTCGATGTTCTCACGGTGAAAGCAGACCAGTGCTTTGTTTTTGAATCCTGTTCGTCGAGGTGGAAACAAGTTGCACACGGATGAGGGATGGAAGGACAAGAATCGAGCTGGACGAGGAGGGAGGAGGAGGGGGTAATAAGAAGAAGGACGAAACGGCCATGTGCTTGTGCTCTGCGATGGCATGCTGTCACTGGCAGTGATCAAACATTGCCGGAGACGAACTGCCAAGCCACGGATGTGTTCGAAGAGGCTGCTGCTCGTCTGCACGGAAGGCCAAGTAGCCGTGGCCGGGCTGGTGGTGTTCCTGCTGCTACATGCTACATGGGAGGCATGGGGGGCATGGGAGTCCCCACGGGTAGTACAGGACCGCGCAGGTTAGCCAGGGGGGCCCCCAGCCAGGCTGGGATGCAGACCATCAGATGGCAGCTGATGCCGGACTACCGCCTGTTGTACCGTACTCGATGGTGTAGGGGCCAGAAACCGGAGAGTAGTGGGCGTTTCGTTTGTCAATCCTCCTGTAAGAAGCACGAGAAGGCACCAAGGCAGCCGCAACCCACGGGTCGTCGTCCAGAAGGCCGCTACCCACTTCGTCGGAAGGAGCAGGTGAGGTCAGATCCAGCCAATCAGGACCCCCAGGCTTAGGCAGCTTGTGGGCGGGCCGAGGGGTGTGGGAGCCTCATTGGGACGGGGACTGGATGGAAAAACCAGGGTATTGTCCAAGAGCCTCCCGGAACCCTTAGCAAAGGTGCTCGTTGCGGTGGTGCGAAGCAGGTAGACGGGCAATAAGACCGGGGTGTGGGGGTTAGGCAGGCACAGGGGTTGGGGTTGCATTGTCGGGGTCGTAACTTCATCCTGTCTCATCTGTGTTTGAATTGACGGGCTAGACATTCCCGGACACATAGCACCTCTGTCTATGCGGCGGGCTGCCCTGCCCATGTACCTTTTGCTGCCAAACCGCGTGTGTGGCTACCTCGCCGCACCGCTTCCCGGACCCACCCAACCTTATCTCAACACCCAAAGTAAAGCTTCTTCTTCGTCCAGACTTGGCCGTGGCGCCCGTCCCACATCGCAGGGCAAATAGAGCACGGATCCGCCGAGCCGGTTGGAAATCAGTCAGTCCTGTTGTGTACCAGAGAGTCAAGACCTCCACCGCTGAGACGGCAGCTGGACGGGTGAGGATGATGTGCTCACGGAATGCTGCCCCAGCGATCGCCGCCATTCATGCCCTTCAGACGGAGCGCCTCGCATCCACCTCGTGCCTGCGCAGATCTTCCTGGCGATGCCTGTCGTCGTGTCCCGGCCCGGACAACTTCCATAGCAACAACCATCCGGACCAAGACCACGCCGCACCCACTCCCGTGCCCGAGTATGCAATTCGCAAACGCTCGGTACCGCCCCCCCTCGTCTCTGCACGGAGATTGGTGCTCCTGGCGTCAACTTGGCAAGCCACCCTGATTGTTCCTGTCTGCGTTTCTATGCCTGCGAAGCGCCCATGCGTGTAGTTCCTGCATGGGGGGACTTCAGGGACCAACAACCTAGCCTGATTGGTGGCTGTGTTCAATGTCCTGACCATCTTAGATCTTGCCGCCCTCCGACGCTCGCAAGACGTCCACTGACGTGGCTTGAAAACCGCCCTTACTAATTACTCTTTTCCCTTGTTTCTGCCTCGTCCGGTCTCCTGCATGACCTAGTCTATCGTGGAATAAATGGGAGGCCACGGCGGCTGCGGCCTCGGCATCTTCGTCGTTTCGATTCGTCCAACGGGCATATTCTCTCCAATACTCGAACCACATGAGTCCTGCCCTAGGCCGCAGCGGCACTCTCGGTGGGCTTTGTCCCAATACCGTGTGGTTACGATTGGCTCGAGTCAACCTCAGATACTCCCAAGGCTGAAGGTTTCCATCTCGGGCCATTTGCTGGGCCCCCATAGATCGGCCGAAATATCCCGTGTTTCCTCAGCACCCTTCCGTCCAAGCCGTCACCATCTGACAAAAGTCTTGCCCTCCCTCACATCATGCAGCATCTCAACTTTACCCCCGTTGATCCGCAAACTCAACCCTTCCGAGTTTCCCACAACGTGGGTCCAACCCCTTGCGTCACTCAGCCCCAAGTCTCAGTGTACTTACTCGGCGCCCAAAACGTCTTAGCTCACCCCCTTCCTACAAGACCACAAGGATCCCGAATGTCCACCATACATGACTTACCTAATGGCACATCTAGAAACTTTGGAACTATATCCTGTGGCAGAGTAGACGACGGCCTGAAGTGATGGGGAAAGTTAAATGGCTGGCCTCTCTGTCCACGGACACCCAAGAATGCCTCGTCAGAACAAGCTGGCGGGTAGTGGCCCAGCCGTTGCATTTTACCACACACGGACGTCCGGTGCCTCCTCCACCGAGGTTATCGTCGTCCGTTACAGCCGTTTCCTGCTTCGGATGGCAGCGGTGCTCGAGCCTGACGCATTCACCGACCCGACCACGAGTAATAAACAGGAGGTAAACGGGAAGCCCGCATCCCACGACCCGAGAATGTAAAACGCCGTTTCGCAACCATCAGGAAACATCTCCCCAATGCTCGGGCAAAACTTCGTCGGCGTCTTCCGAGCCGTTGAGGCTGATTGTTGACTGACACGATCATGCAGGAGTCAGCCCTCGGGGTGCTCACGGAATGCGCAGCCCAGAATTGTCCCGGGCCAATGAGAGTTTGCTCGTTGACTCCGATTTCGTGTCTGTCTTTCTAGTCTGCGTTGTGAGTGGTGATGGCAAATGACGATTCCCTTTCTTCCATTCCAAGCCCAAGGCTGATTATGTCTTCCACAAGTTGGGCAGTTTTGGGCCCGTCCACTCATCCGTCTCCTTGCTCAAGACTGAAGTGCCCCTATTCAGCAGCCGCCTCAAGCCAAGACGGCCTCGACAGCTCCGAATGGCGTCCCGGGTGCCTTGTAAAACTGCACCACCTTCAGACCAGCCTGGCCCAGCAGCTCCCCCCACTGCTTCTCCGTCCGCTCCATCCCGGTGAAGGTCATCATCAGCAGGTCCACCATGGCGCTCTCGCCGCTGACGCCCTGGGTCGGAAGGATCTGCTCAGCTATGACCAGCCGGCTCGGCAGCTCGCGGTCCATGGCGTCTGCTATGCGCTTGAGAATGGCCACGCTGCTGGGGTCCGCCCAGTCGTGGAGGATGCGCCTCAGGAAGTAAACCGGAGCTCCTGGACGAGCGTGGGAGAGTGCTCGTCAGCTCGTGCACTCAAGAACTCGCAGCTGGTTGAGATATGGTGTTTGAATGGAATGAGAACCGAACTGACCTTTGACAGGCTGCTCCTTGAAGAAGTCATGCGCCATAGGTACGATGCCCTCTGCCGGCGAGACATCCTCGACGACTCCTGACAGGTCTTGCAGAATAATGGTCCCGTTGATCTCCTGGATTCGAGGACAGAGTCAGTACGCAAAAATGATTTTCAAAAGTGCCTTCGTTGGGATTGTGGATGGTCCGGTACAGCTCGAAGCAGTGACCTTTCCTACAACCACGCCCTCTTTTTGCTGAATAGCACACAGCCATTCAGCCTATTCACACAGGTTATGAGGACGCATTTAAGATGGGTCACAATTGCCCAACGTCTTGAAAGAAGTGAGCGGAAAAGGTTTGACTGACCTTGCAAAGCTCGCGGATCTTTGCGCTCGTATGGCCGGCGCCACCACCGATATCGACCACCAAGGGCGTCGACGCGTCCGTCTCCCTCCCCAACCCCTTGATCTTCTCAGCAAAGGGGAACAAACCGACAGACCAGACCCCGTCAAAGGACTGGGCCTTCATCGCGCGGTTGGAGTTCTTTTGTCTCTCCGGAAACTTGGCGATGTGCTCCCACATCTCGGTGCCCTCAGTCCTATGCGCAAATGTGTACTATATATAACACACCAAGTCAGTCGGCAATTGTCAAATATCTGGGCACGCCGAACACAACTTCCGAATATCACGACAGCGCAGACACATGGCCACCACAACCACCGAGGATTCACTCACGGGACAATTCGCAGGATCCGTAGGCTGCCTCCACCCATTCTCGGCAAAAAACCGCGGCATCAGCGCAACAGCAGGCCCGGACTCGTCGACAAGGTGCTTGAACGTGGCCGCCATGTCCGGGTGCGCCAGCAGCGCAGCCGCCGGCGCCAGCGCGTACGCCTCCTCGCCGGCCTCGACGACGAACGGCGGCCCGGCGGCGCGCAGCAGGCGCACGAGCAGAGCCTTCTCCACCACGGCAGCACCACCGAGCCGCGCCAGGATCTCGTCCACCGTGGCCGGCTCCCCGCCGGGGCTCAGCGCGGCCCCGGAGAAGACCCCGACCTCGGCGAGGCACCGCAGCGCCGCGACCCTCGTCACCGCGCCGAAGAGGTCCAGCACCGCGCCCATGGGGCCCTGCGCCTCTGCCAGGAGCCTCTTGGCCTCGCTGATGAGGTGCGTGTGTGACGCGGCCGTGTCTGCTGCTGCTCCTGCCTTGGTCGAGATATCGGCGTATTCCGAGGCTGCGGTGCTCACGCGGGCGACGGCGTCCTGGATGGAGGCTGCGCGCCGGGCGGCTGCTTCTGGTGTGGTTGGTAGACCTGCCATGGTGTTTTAAGGCGTGGTCTTTTTTCGGTGATCTGATATGATTTGTTTGTGGCCGGTGCTAAAGAGGTAAGGTAAAGTAAAGTATGGACTCGACCGGTTTCTTTCTGCGGTAAGTATTCTGTGCGTGAACAATGATGTCTGTCGACTTGGATATAGCGAGATCGAAACAAGAAGAATTGTTTTGGAAGAGTAGCAGTCACAGTGCTCTAGTCTATGATATTCAAAAAGCCCAGCAATATTCGACACAAATCCACGGCGGCACCCCTATTTATACGCAATCCGCCGTCTACTCATACCGGAGCTAGAGAGAGCATGAATCCTGCCCGGTCGTCGTCGGCCCCTCACTCACATGGCCGCCTTACTTCCTAAACAATAAAAGTCCCAAAACAAGAGTTCTCCTCGGACTTACGCATCCATCATGGGCATTCGGTGCCTCTCTGCCGGTAAGTAACATCGGGAGGTAGACGGACGGGTGGGAGTGGCTGCGGCCCAGCCGACCCCGACCCCGACCCCGACTCGGACGCGGAGCCGATATCCCACGTTCGGCCGCTGCTGGGTGCATCGGTGCAAGCATAAGTAAGCGAGCAAGCCAGCCACACCACAATAAGACCAAAGGATCACGGGTCTAGGCCTCCCAACTATTTTTTTCGCCAGATTCAGCAGTTGGTGGTCTGATGAGTTCTCCCGTGCGCTGGGCGGGGCAACATGTTGGCCCGGACCTGCAGCATGTCTGACAATCCATCCGATGGCTCGAGTCACGGTCTGTCGAGCTGTCCAACGCAGGTTGCTGGATGGGAATGAATTGGAACCAACATATTCTCCTTGTTGTCCTGGGTGGATGCCTTTAGTGCGAGCAACAGAAACGGTACTACATAGTAGTTGCTGTCTTGGCGTGATTGAAGTTGTCTTCTTTTTACTACGAGAGTTTCTAGCATCGGCCGACTATCTAATATCTCTCATATCGCCTCTACAGTCATCCTCGGACACTCCAATCAACTTAGAGAATAAATACCATGCCGCTCTGTGCGTGAGACTCCAGTTATATTATGCTCTTTTCGTCAGGTTCACCTTGTCAGCAACTTAACCCATGCTTCACTCATCCTTTCGCCGGGCCCGATGACCACAGCCTTTCCTAATTCTGTTCAATCCCAAAGCTCCAGAGAACCATCGATCGCTATTTTGTCGGTAACCCTTCTAACCCTACTAAGCATTTCAAGCCGTTGAGGGTCTCCTCAGAACTCAAACTGTCCAAGCCGTGATTAATGGTTTCACCTTACAGGGCGTAAGGGTTGAGGGAGCGGATGGTCAGGCACCTGTGTGAGACGTGGTTAGCTCATGAGCAACAAGGCATCTTCATGTTTCAACACGAGGTGTTACTCACGGTGGGCTCTTGCTGAGGTCCGTCTTCAAAATGATGGGGACCCGAGTCATTTCTGTCACATCCTGGATGTACTCCCCTCCTTCCTCACGCAGCTTGAAAAGGTTCAAGTACTTCTCCTTGTTGGTCAGGCGGTTCTCGGGAGCTTCCACGGTAGGAACCTTGGAGTCCGATTTCGTGCGGTGCAAGGTGCCCGCGGTGGACGAGCGGGTGGGTGACCCAGGAACGCTCTGGGTGGGGCGCTCCGCCAGCGAGGCACCTGCCATGGCCTCCGTGATGTCCGACGCGTTGTCGTCATCGTCGTCGAAGAGTGCGTCGACATCGTTAGTCGAGATCGTGTTGGTTTCGGTCTGCTTGCGAGCCGCCTCCTCGCGTTCCTTCTTCGCCCGCTCGGCCTCCTCTGCCTGCTTGGCAGCGGCCATCGCGTTGGACATCCGGACCGAGGCGGCAGCCTTGGGCCGTTCATCCTCGGGAACATAGGCAGAGCTAGGCACACCCTTCTCCCAGTAGAGCTCGAGGACCCTCTTCTCCTTCCTGAACTCGGCCTTCTTAAGGGGCAGCTGGTCACAGTGCACCCGCTTCTCGAAACCCCACTCGGGAATGAGGACGTCAAAAGCGGATTCATAAACGCAAAGCACAATACCTTCGCTGATGAGGTCACCATTGACTTCCTGTCGCTTCTTGTCCATGGTACGGCAGGACTCGATGTGGATGCTTTGTTCTTGAGCATTCTGGGCAGAATCCTTCTTTGTGTTGCAGCTTTCGATGGTCTTGACGAGGTTCTCCAGGTCCTCGCTGTACTCGATGCTGCCGTCGGACAGCACGGCCTCAAGCTGCCGATGGACCATGATGTCGGCATAGCGGCGGGTTGGGCTCGTGAAATGAGTGTACAGCGGCAGGTTCAAGGCATAGTGGGGCCACAGCTGCTTCGCGGTCTTACCAGCGATGAAGTACTTGGCACGCTGCATCGATTTAAGCAGCAGGGTCTCCATGCCCTTCCTTACATCGCTGTCATCAACCTTGAAGAGGCTGTTCTGTAGAGCACCACTGCTGGAGCTATCGAACTCGTATCCCAGGGCCGTCATGCGGTCAATGAACGTCTGAAGCCTGCGAGGATTCGGAGCACCTTGTCTGCGGAGCAGCGCCTTTTCAGGCAGACCTTCAGCAAGACGTTGCGCAACGTAGGCATTCGCCTTGTGCATGAGCTCTTCCACCAACTCCATAGCCGGCGTCGATTCGAAGATGTTGTCCTTGATAGGGATGTTCTCATCATCGATCTGGTGGAGCAGGCGAAGAGGTGCAATTGGCTCACCGCCAGCACCCAGGCGGGACTCGCGGAACTTCTGGGCAACACCCTGTGATCCATTAGCGACTGGCGAGAACTGATATCTCCCCGGAGGTACTTACGTAAAGGATCTGCATATCTCTGAGTTCAACGGCAGGGTGCTTGAATTCGGCCTCTCCCGAGAGAGCATTATCGATTTCAGAAAGAGCCACGGTGCCGGCGGCCTTGATGATACTCTTGCCGATCCAAGTGTCACCTTCAGCAACCGCGCCGGTGTGCGGGTTGACGGAAAATACAACACTGACAGCAAGGCGCTCCTCGCCGGGTGTCAGCGAGCAGAGCTCGGCAAACAGCTTGGGCGGAAGCATCGCGCATGTCCTGTTGACCAGGTGCACGGCAGTGCCCCTCTTCTTGGCCTCACGATCCACGAGTGAGTTGGGTTTGACGAAGTGAGTGACGTCAGGAACGTGGATGCCGATCTCGATCTTTCCATCAGCGAGGGTCTTGACGTGGACGGCGTTGCTGAGTTCAGCAGACCCATCCATGTCCAAAGTGAATGTCTTGTCGTCGCGGAAATCACGGCGTGCTGCAATGGCAGCCTCGTCTTCCTTGGCAAGCGACCAGTCCTGGAGGCCAACACTGCGGAGGACTGCCTCGGAGAACTCATCCGAGGCGAAGTTGTTGTCGCGCAGAAGCGCGTCGGTCTCGACCTTCAGGTCACCCATCTTGCCAAGCTGCTCAACGAGGGTGCCGAATGGATGCAGGGAAGTGATGGGCCAGCGCTTGATGCATGCAACAAAAATGCGATCAGCATAGTCCTGGTGCTTCTCGACGAAGTCTCGCGGGGCTTGCTCTGTTGGAATGGCGATGAGAGGCACGCGCTTGTCCGTCGGCTTGAACCAGACAATCTTGGGCTTCTCCTGCTGGCGGTTGTCCTGGTGGCGGTTGCCATCTCTGGCAGCGCGCTCAGCCTCTTGCTTCTCTTTGGTAGCCTGGCTGCTGGGGCGGAGCAGGCCGAGGTTGCCTGAGAACATCTGCCCAGCGACACGCTCGATGACCGCAACGATGTGGCCGGCATACAACGGCTTCTGCTCATCGTTGATTTCCTCCTCCTCGACAAGGAGCAGACTCTGGCCTTCAACCTCAACATCGTCGTTCTTCTTCTGAGTGGGGCGCTGCCTCAAGCTGCCGCGCCTTCTGAGACCACCCTCGCTGGCGTTGTTATCGTCGCCATTCTGATTGCTCTGGCCGCCACCATTCGTGGAGCCGGACCGAGTGTCGGTGATATCCTTGCGCTTCTTCTTCTCTTCCTTCTCACGCTTCTGAGACCACACCTCATCAACGTCGAGCAGCTCAACCGCGACCAGGTCGCCCTCAAGCGCACGGTTGCGGTCCTTGCTGCCGCAAATAAAGATATCGGCATCGAGAAGTCCGTCCTGAGTGGACACGTAAGCATCACTACGGTTCTTCTTGTTCACCCGCAGGACACCAGAAACCAGCTGACCTTCCCCTAGCAGGGCGGGCAGCGTGGCTTGCGGGAGATATGGGGTAAAGAGAGTCTTCCTCTGTTGCTGTTGAGGTTGCTGAGACATTTGAGGCGCATGCTGGCTACCCTGCAGGCCAACAAAGTTCTGTCCGCTCATCTGAGCAGCTTGGAGCGCCTGGAGCTGACCCAGCTGAAGGGCATTAAGCTGTTGTCCGGGGTACATCTGGTGCATCATCATCTGACCAGGTACCTGCATCAGTTGGGGCTGACCGGCATACTGGAAGGCGCCAATAGAGTTCACAGATTGACTCATGGAGCCGCGAGACCGGTGGCCCGGCTGGAAGTTGCCTTGGTTCTGGCCAGCCTGGTCTTGAGTCTGAGCCTGTGGGGTGCGCCAGTTCGAATCAAAGTTACGAGAGGACGACCGGTTGTGGCCGGATCCACGACGGGGGAAATCATTAGTCTGGCCAGGCTCGGAACCGGTCTGGGAGCCTCCGCGGATACTGGCACCTCCGCGACCGTTAGCGCCTGCGGCCATGCTCTGGCTCCTGCCGTGGCCGCCGCCGCGGCCGCCCCTGGACGCAGCGGGCTGGAATGGCGGGGCTTCGGCCGAGGTCTGCGTCGTGGCGGGCTTTGCCTCGTCCTCGGGCGCGGGAGCTGCGGGGAAAGAAAAGCTGGAGGTCGTGCGCTTCTGCTGGGCGATCTCGGCGGCCTTCTTCGCGTCGGCGAGAGCCAATGAGTGGCGCCTCTGGTGGCCACTTGCGGCGCCGGACCCTCCACGGCCTCCGCGTGAGGCACCGGCGTTCTCCCGGCCTTGCGGTTGCTGGGGCAGCTCAAAGTTACCAAAGGCGGACCCCGAGGCTCCTGATGAAGGAGCAGGCGGTGGGCCCATGCCCATGTTGGGAAGAGCCGACTGATTACGGCGATGTGACATGGGTTGAGTGGGTGTACCCATCGACATGTTCTGCTGCGGTAGCTGGTTGGGGAACTGGAAGCCGGCCTGGGGCGACATGTTGGGCATGCCTTGGACTGGGTTGAACCCAGGTATGGCCTGGCCCGGTGGCATCATACCCATGTTGAGATATTGTTGCTGGGCTTGAATCTGCTGGTGTTGCTGCTGCAGCAACTCTATCTGCTGTTGTATAGCCATTTGCTCCACTAAAGAGAGGACCAGGTGTCAGTTCTTGTCCGCGGCATACAAGCTCCATGCCGTGGAAGGAGAAGGTAGGGCCCAGGATCCCGTGCGCGAACACGTTTCCATTCGGGCCTTGGATACTTGGCACGACGGCAGCAGGGCGGCGAGACTTACTTCCAGGGTTGCCGGTGAACATGCTCACCAGCGGGGTCATCTCAGAGGGACTCCGGCGATGGGCAATATGGAGCCTCCGGCCGGTTGGGCCAGGGACGCCCGTTGGGGGCTGCTGGCCCTGCTGCTGCTGCTGCTGCTGCCCCTCCATGGTGAGCTAGCTTCGCACCAGAACAGGACAGGCCGGGACAGGTGGATGACGTGGTGTGCAGAGCTGCGGTGGGAGTATATGCCAGTGCAAGCGAGCTGGCTGGGGTGGTGGAGGAGCTTGAAAGTGTGTGGGCGTAAGCGTGTGTATGTGTCCTGTGTCTGTGTCTGTCGACTTGACTTGTTGCACGGCACGGGGGCAGGGGACGGAAAGACAGTGTGTGGTGGTGGTGGTGCTTGTCTGGTCGTGCGGGATTGGCCGTTGGCGTGGGTGTGCGTGGGCGGGATAGGTATTGCGTAGTTTCGAGAACGGAGCTCCAAAGGAGGGTCAATGAAAGGACGAGAATGAAGGATCAGTGCAAGGAGTGTGTCGATGGGGATGGATGTCGCAGCTTCGCCTCCAGCAGTTGACAGGATGGCAAGCAGCTGGTGATGGAAGAGGTTCGGCGACGTTGGAGGGGGGGTTGGGTGTGTGAGAGAGAGAGAGGTCGATGGTGGTCGATGTCCAGGTTGTTGGAAGAGGAAAGTGCCCCGAGGCAGCTGGTGACCAGGACTGGAACCTGGACCTGGACCTGGAACTGGGCTGGACTGGACTGGACTGGAGGGCGGGCACAGGGCGAGTCAACCTGGGAAGGTATCTGTCAGTTCACAGTCTCCTGTCAGTTAGCACCCGATTTAGTGCGAGGAAGCTAGGAGAATACGTGGGCAGAGGAGCACCGGGTATCGAGGTATCCAGGTACTCCGTACCTAGGTGTGGCACCTACCAGGTAGGCTAGGCCGGAGAGAGCACCGGGCAGCAGTGCCCAGAGCCCCAGAACCCCAGAGCAGGGTCAGCACGTCTTGTGCCAGGTGCTGGGTGCTGGGTGCTGGGTGCTGCGTCGGCTACGAGGACTCCACTACCGAAACGGGACCAGCCCATTGGCCACGGGGGTGGTTTGACGTCCGCACCTCCCAGCCGAAACTCGGGTGGGATGCGGACGCTGTCCGCAAGCTCTCTCCAGATCTACAGCGCACCAGCTACTAGTGCGCTCGCCCACTCCATCTCTTTTGCCCCTCGAGACAGGCTGTCCCTGCGCTGGCGGTCGGTCTGTCGGTCTCGTGTGTTTTCCCATGTGGTTCTGCAGGCAGCTGGCAGGTGCTGACTTGCCGTGACAGCAGTCTATATAGATATATCTATACTGTGGGATGTGTGCATCGAGGTGGTGTGCCCCCCCAGCAAGCAGCCCAGGGCAAGCTCTGTCCCTCGTGTGCTCCTCCACGGGTCCTCCTCCTCCTCCCAGGTGCCCTCGTATGTGGGATCTGCTTGGGTGGGGCCCTCCGTAACCCGGCCGAGCTTGTGCCACCAGTACCGGGGCCTGAGTGGTCAATCAGCACCTTGTATCTCTCGTCGCCTCGTCATTTTTACACTACTCAAGTACACATTAGCATCTCGAGGACACTGCTAGGCTTAGCAGCTGAAGACGCCCCCCACTGTTGATTGGCGACCACGGTGTCCTGCGGAGAGGAGTGCGCAGTAGATCCGGGTGTGCCACGACTCGTAAAACACGCTCTTGGAACCAGGCCACCAGTCCACATCATCCATTGAGCACATCTGTTTCGAACGGGCCGGGACGGTCAAGGCTGCTGCTTCAAGGAGAGCCCACCTGTGACAGCCAGCCCAGCCGAGCCAGCCCAGCCAGCCCAGCCCAGCCCAGCCAAACAGGCGGGAAAAAGGGGGCAGGCATGCTGGCATGGCGCGCGGGCCGTCCTTTCACTCGGCTCGGGTCCACCACTATGAAGACAAAACGTCCATTTGCGGACGGCAAAGGTCTGTGTGAGCTGCTGTATCCGAGGTCCAGGCCCAGACCCTTCACAAATCACATTCACAACCGGCCAGCTCCCACCTGTTGAGCCTCTTGCTCTTTTCGAGAGCTCCAGCAGGCCAGGCCACCCACCAGGCGCAGCCTCGTGCCAAGTCCAACCACAATGGCTGAGAGCAAAAGTGCATGGATTGTCTAGGGCACGACATATACCTGTGGATTTCCCTGTCTAAAAAAAAACAAGTATTTATAAATATGTCGATACTACTGTTTTACACCGAGTAGACCACAGCACATTGATTGGACTTACCCCACAATAGACTGGTGACATCTGACTCCATCATTAGCCGGGCATTTCAGCAATGGTTGATTCCTATGTACGTTTTGCGAGCGTCAGATAACACCTTGGTATTTTCTACGAGGATTGCTCAAATATAGCAACTGGGTATATTTGATGTAGAATGTTTCACACCAGCCCTCGATGCTACGATATATGTGGATGTCCACGGCCATATAGGGTGCCATTGCCGTCCGCCCACGAGCATGCCTTCACTCGGAGGTGGTGGGCCGTTTTGGAGGAGAGGAGGTCAGGCAACAGTCCAACGGCCTCTACCTAGGCCTGTTGGCCCAGTGATTCTTTCGCACACACGAATCGACGGAACTGTACTGCAACACTTCGAAGTGTAGTTCTATAATCGCAGGTGCCAGAGAAGAATGATGCCTGAGATACTGGCCCCGAGGCTTGAGCTTGGGGTGTCCAATTCCCTCACTATTGTCGGGACGTGTAGCAGGCACACCCTGGGCGCGGGCAATCACCCGGTAGATACGGTTGTATTGTATCCGTACCACTAGCAGCCTAGTAGCTAGCAGCCTGGCAATCCTAGCAGCCCGTGGGTATTGTTCCGCTAGACAATGGCAACTGGCAAATGGGCAATAGATCCAACGAGATCCTGAATAGACCGCCCGCCATAGTGGGGCTCGGGCGGTCGAGCTTTCTGCCTGCAGAATCGGCAGAGCCAAGACCCGCCTCTGCCACTTACATGCAGGCGTGGTGCATGCACGCATTGTAGTACAAGGAACTTGCCTGACCCTGATTTGCGCCTACTGCTACCTTTCCCTTGATCGAGTAGTGTACTTTGCCCACCCGTCGCGTCAAGTCAACCTTTGAACACTCGCCGGCTCGACCTGAATCGGCCGCGGCGACCAAGTTCGCACCCCTCCAGGATTCGCCTCGACGACCACGACGACTGCACCCTGTCGCGTTCCTCCGTCATGCAGTCAAGATGACAACCCCGTCGCCTGCGACTCGAACGTCGCGATACCCGCGCGCCAACCCGCCCACGCCCAGCCCTGCCACCTCGTCCGTCGCAGACTTCCTCAGCCCCGACCGCAATTCCGAGTCCAACCACAAAGATGCCCTTGCTGCCGCCGCCGCAGAGCACGAAAGAATCCGCGCCAAAGCGTAAGTACCGAAAGACCCGGGTTCTTCTGCTGTGGCGCAGCCCTCGCTGCCGGCGTGGTGTTTGCTAACACGGGTTTCTGGTAGGATTCACACCCTCTACATCCACGAGCAGAACGTGCAGAAGGAGCTGTTGCTCGAGCAGGCACGGCGAGAACAGGAACGGGCCAGGGCCGAAGAAGCGAAGGCCTTAGCAGCACAGGAGAAGATCAAGGCCGAGCAAGAGCGGCTGCGCGCTGAACAGGCGGCTCGCGAGGAGCAGGAACGGCTTCGAGAGATTGAGGCCAAGAAGATACCGCCGCTGCCGCCTCTTCCAACACCCAAACCTGAGAAACAACCTGCCGCTCCACAACCTCAACCCACCGCGCCCACCGCGGCCCCGGCCCCGGCAGCCAAGGCGAGCCCAGCTCCCCCTGCCCAGCCTGCAGCTTCACCCTTCTCACAGCCGAAGCCCCCGGCCAATGTCGCTGTCAATGGCAATGCGGCATCTAAACCGCCCAGCACCAGTACGGCCGCTGCCCCGACCCCCAGTGCTCAATCCGCACCCGTGCCTCAAGATGCAAGGCGGCAACGCGCCGTTGAAATCCACAAAAACCTCAAGCAGCTTCGTGCAGCCATCGCCTCGCAGTCATTACAGAATAAGGCTCTGAAAGCCAAGGCTGGGGATCTCCGAAGACAGCTTCGCAAGGTGATTGGCCAATTGTCCCTCGACAAAGATGGCAACAGGGTGGTCGTAAGTCTATGTTTCCATCTCGTCCGAAGAGGTTGCCTAACCAAGAAAAAAAGATGCAAAAGGTCACCGTGGTCCTGAAAGAAGCATTGGCAAATGAAGCCGGCAGCCAGATGGTCGATCCCAGCCTCGTGGTATTTACGCCCCGGCAGCCTGTCGAGGGAGCCATGCACAACGCCGAGCTGCCTTCGCTGTTCTTGTTCGTTCTCAACCACCTCGCAAAAGCGATCATCAACCAGTTCATCAACGAAGCTGCGTCAAATACGAAGACCGCTGATCCGGTTGGGGTTTGCGCCGCGGCCGTCTTCTCAGATCCTACCTTTCAATGGCGAGGGCAAACGCTCATCGACGTGCTTATTGCCAAGTTTCATGTCGTCTGTCCGGTGCTATTCGGTGCTAGGGGTTCTGAGAAGTCAGAACAGGGGAGAGACCTTGTCGGCTGGAAACGTAGGGGAACCGCCTGGGTCCCCGAAGCGGAGCATCTGGACAGGATGACGGGGCTTGCTGCAGGTTACGCAGCGATCGCCCTGAGGGACTTTTCCAAGGCAAAGAAACAGAATCCGTACCCAATGCCGCACTATTGGGAGTCGATGGCGAAGATAGTGAACACGCCGCCGCAGCAGATGTCAGCGACCCAGTGCGTTGTCTTGAGGGCCATGATTGACCACCATGAGGCAAGGTTCCTGCAGTTTTACGGCTCGGCAGCCATCGCAGCACTGAGACTGGCACTGGTGGATTTCCCGGCCGCGGCGGCAAAGGCAGGGTTGAAGGATAACGCGGTTCAGTCTCTTGCAGTACATGCAGAGATACTGAAGACCAGGGTCGGGCTGAACCTCGCATGAAAGGGCGCATTTGCACAAGGGAAGGGATTGGACATAGACGAGGGACAATTGTTGCCTGAGACACCCGGTCCAAGCAGCAGCTTTGATATGGGAAGATGACTGGATCATTCAAAACCAAACCCAAAATTTGAATAGACTCAATCAAGTCTTACCTACCCGACCATGTGAAATCATGGGGGGGGGGGTTCTATCCGCCCATTTATAGTCCCCTTTTTTTTTTGCTCCAGACGCCGTGCCTGCGCCAACGCTCACAATATCAAGAGCAAAACCAACAGGATACACAAAACCATGATCAGCAGCCCGATGCACCAGCTGCTCAGGCGGTCCTCGTTGTGCCGGATGACGTACTTCATCTTGTCCATGCCCGTCTGCAGCCGCCCGCCCACGCGGTCCGCCAGCGCGTCCGTCGTCTCGAGCATCTCCATCTGCTCCTCCATCTCGCGGCCCATGTCGTCCGCCATGCGCCGCAGGTTCCCCACGGTCTGGAACACGCCGTCGAGGTGCTCGTCCTGCTCGCGCATCATGGCCTGCTGCTGCCGCTGCTCGAACTCGGCCGCGTAGTCCTCCCCGTCGCCGCCCTCGGGGTCCCCGTCCGCTATGGCGAACGCGTTCGGGTCGGGGAGGTCGCTGCCACCGCCACCGCCCCCACCACCAGGCCGCCGGGCCGGCGCGGAGCCGGGGCCCGAGATGTGCTTCCTCAGCTCGTCGCGCATGTCCTCCACCTCGCCGCCGATCTCCTGCACCAGGCGCTTGCGCCGCTGGACCTCGTGCGCCGTCAGCCCGAACTGCGCCGGGTCGGCCTCGACCGCCTTGACCGACTCGACCAGGTCGGCCAGGTCCTCGGCCAGCGACTCGAGCGCGGCCTCGAGGTCGGAGCGCGCGGAGGCGAGCTCGGGGGAGGCCTGGGTCGTCGTCAGGGAGCGGATGCGCAGGTACGAGGTGAAGAGGGGCCGCGTCTGTTCCATCTGGGCGAGGACATCTCTGGACAGAGGGGAGGGGGACAACGCCCACAAGTCAGCTCGGGCGCACCGGGGCTCCTTGGTCCGCGGGCTTACTTACTGCTGGACCTGGAGGAATGGGTCCTCCTCGTTCGTCGAGGACATCATGCTGGACAGAGGTGGTGTGGCCTTTGCAAGACCGTCAGCTGGGGCATCGAGCCTTCATACAAGTGCTGGCTGATTTGTGTGGGGTCGGTTCTTGTGAAGATTGTTGTTGTAAATGGCGCCGTGGTGGTTTAAGGAACGGCTGCGTAATGATCGTTGTACCTTTACGGATCCTGGCTGGTAATGCAGGTAATAAGGCTACACATTAGGGGGCCGCCAAGGCCGGTCTTAGTTGAGCAAGTCCGGAGTACCACAGCTAGGTGCCTTGGGGAGTTACTTGAGTTACGTAAGTCGGTCACTGCATCCTGCCCAGCTACTGGCACATTTAAATAAATGCGTGAGCGATACCGAGGTACTTTGTAAACGCTTCCTCTGCTATTGCCAATAGGCACACCCAATATTGTCACTGGCTGCGCGGCTCTTGGAGACACACTGCCACATTTAATTAGATCTGCGAGCTCAGTGTAATGCAGCGGCGAACCCCATCAAATAATGACTTCCACGCGGCCACAGCAGATGTGGCAATTGGCTTGGGCTCTCCACCGCTCAACATCCCATACGATTCACATCCCATAGGACAACATCCGAACCTCCTCTATAATAGCCTCCTAAGGATGCCCTCCTATCTACCTGGGCAGGTATGGGATATCTCCCTTGGAAGAGTATTCATAGACGACAAGTGAGCCACAGAGCCTTGCTATTTCGTGATGCCGCTTTCAAAACGTTCGGCGATCTTATCAATAATACAAGTCACATTGGAGGTACGGAACTTTCAGAGAGCACGAGCAATCACAAGTCTACGCTACCGTTAAGAGCCCGCTTTGATGCCATTCTTTGTGAGTTGGCCACAGATCGCTCAAGCAGAAGGCACTAACACCTGCTGCAATAACGTACACCACATTAAGCTTGATTCATTACCCTCTCCCCATTCTTGTTGGACTCGGTGAGTTGAGAATGTCCGAAATTCAATCGAATCTGAAAGATTTGCTAATATAAGGCATGTTCCGGTCACGACCAAGTTGATGTAACGGCTGGATGCTGCTCTGCTCCCAGCTTGAGGCTCTTTCTCCGGGCCCGCCTGGCTGGATGCACCTCAGGAGCGATACAATTGCAAGTGAGCCAGCCATCGTAGGAAGCGGCGTGCCACCTTAAGCTCCCGCCAATTACCGCCGTTGTTGGATATGACGAGCGATTGCTTCCCTGATTCCAGCAGACTGGCAAGGGAGTTTGTTAGCACAAAGTGTTGCAGCTCGAGCCGCACCTGCAGTTGCTTATGCGGCATCAAGGGCATGTACGGATGCTTCACCCTAAGCTTCGAGCCCCACTGCGCTAAACACTGGCTGGCGCCTCAACGCCCCTGAGCAGGAAGCTCCCTGGCTCCTTGGTTGCTTAGGTCCCTGAGTGGGGTCGGGGTTTTGGGGTGGCACTGCGGGAGAGTTGCATGTACTCCGTAGTGTAGCTTCAGCCGGCATGTGCCAGGCTCAACCCCCGACTCCAAGTCGGTCGAGTTGAAACGTGTCTCCCCCGATTGCCACTTGCCAGCCCCCATAAAGCTGTCAATCGAGATCCGGATCCCTCATCAGCCCTTGCTCCCGGAACTCAATCCCCATCTCACCTCACCACCCCCACAAGACGCCCACACCGGACACAACAGTCAAGATGTTCAATCTGAGGCGCCTCATAGTCTCGGCCGCGCTGCTGGTCGGCATCTCGATGCTGCTCTTCAGCTCGACCGCCGCCGCCGCCAAGGGCCCCAAGATCACCCACAAGGTCTTTTTTGAGATCAAGCACGGCGAGGAGGATCTCGGCCGCATCGTCATTGGCCTCTACGGCAAGACTACCCCCAAGACCACTGAGAACTTCCGTGCTCTTGCCACCGGCGAGAAGGGCTACGGATACGAGGGCTCCACCTTCCACCGCGTCATCAAGAACTTCATGATCCAGGGCGGTGACTTCACCAAGGGAGACGGCACTGGCGGCAAGTCGAGTAAGTAGACACACGAGCATTGGCCGATGGACAGGCATGAGAAGCTGACCGGGATCGATCGCATTCAGTCTACGGCGACCGCTTCCCCGACGAGAACTTCAAGCTCAAGCACACCAAGAAGGGTCTCCTGTCCATGGCCAACGCCGGCAAGGACACCAACGGCTCGCAGTTCTTCATCACCACCGCCATCACTGGGTAAGCATCAGTCCCCCCCCCCCCCGGCCCAGGACAACCCACGGGATGCAGCTGACACGAATTTGCCTCGTAGCTGGTTGGATGGCAAGCACGTCGTCTTCGGCGAGGTCCTCGAGGGCTACGACATTGTCGAGAAGATCGAGAACGTCGAGAAGAACCCCGGGGACAAGCCCAAGGAGACGGTCAAGATCGTCAAGAGCGGAGAGCTGCCGGTGCCCGAAGAAGGTATTCACGTGGAGCTCTAGAGCGGCTGTTTAGCCCGCACGTCAGCACCGCCAATCACCAATTGCACACCTAGATACACACACACAGACACACATGTTCCTAGAAAAGTCAAATTCAAGTGCGATCAGGTCCCTGCCGTCATATTCGTCTCTACGTGCCGCGCGTATCCATCTGTCTTGTGCTCTTGTCCATTTACTGATTGGCCTTGTTTGCCCTTTATGCAGAAGAGCCAATCTACGGAAGCGCCGACTGGGCCGCCGGCTTCACTGCCGGAGAGCCGGCCGAGGAGATCCAGCAAGAAGTCCAGCAGGAGGCGGACGGCTCCGCCGCCGAAGGAGGATCGTATGTCCAGAAGGGCGCCCTGTTTGCGGTCATTGTCGGCTGTGTCGCCCTGTACTTGCGCATCTCGAGGAAGAAGGACCCAAGAGGCTCCGGCTACGAGAAGACCTTGGCGTAAAGCCCGCCCCAAGCACATACGGCAAACGGCCATGATTTGCGAACAGTGACCCATTTACCGTGTTTGTAAAGTAGTTATCGCATGCGCAGGCGTTATGGATGATACTTTTCTTTTCTTGGAATTATTTGTTCACCGGTCAATTGTTTTGCTCGACGACTCCATCAGAATCGCATATAGACTATAAGCACCGTCACGTGGCCCCACTTACAAAAGACGGGCTGTAAATTTTCATGTGAAGCGTGAACATCAAAACAACCGCCCCGACAACTCAAAAGAAGAAGGAAAGAAAATAAATCATTCCTGAGAGAAACCATGAAGGTCCTGAGCCTAAACTTCCTGGCCTGCGCGGTCAAGACCTGCAAGTCCTCGTCGGCGTCCTTCCCGCTGCACCCAAAGGACGCCGAGCTGGCCCAGGACGAGGTCGAGGTCAACCCGCAGTTCCTCGTCAACGTCCTGCCCCGCCTTGATTGGGCGGCGCTCAAGACCACATCGACAGAGGTGAATATCCCCCCCCCCTCACCCCACCATTTGACCTGCCAAGTTCTCGTCCCTGTCTTTTCTCAAAGAGGGAGAGTCTCTCTTTGTCTGTACAAGCGCACCCCAGGCTGACCCCGACCCCGTTGGTGAAAAAAAGCTGGGCTTCCCAGAGCTCCCCGCCGAGTCGCCGTCCGCGGAGGACCTGGAGGGCAACGAGGCCATGCTCAAGGAGCTGCACTCGCTCCTCGTGGAGACGCAGATGGTCGAGGGCAAGCTCGTCTGCGGGCACTGCGGGCACGAGTACCACGTGCGGGAGGGCATCGCCAACTTCCTGCTGCCGTCTCACCTTGTCTAGGTTGGTTGGCCCTGGGGATCGGTGGCATTTATGCAGCGGGCTTTGATGAAATGTATTCCAGGAGGGGGGGGGGGAATCGGGGATAGGACCGAGGGCGTCCACGTGTGACTGAGTATTCGGCCATGAGCGCGCGGCATAGACGGGGTTTTTGGGTCGGCGGCAAACTTTGCAAAGACCCCCAAGTGCGTTGAGGCGGAAAGGGTTAGACAGCGGGGTTTCATATGGATCGGCATGGCGTTCAGGAAGGAAGGGGAAATCACCAAGATTCTATCCTCGACATTTGAAGAGGCTAGTGTTCCCTTGGATTCAAGTGATATTTACGCAGGAGTAAATGAGTGCCGAGACCCCACGAGATCGGAAGCTTTGGAAAGAGAGCGGCCTCTGAACTCCTTGATTCCATTCCAGGTCTACGGAAGATCGATATTGAACGCGCCCATAAGCAAAATACAAACTCCTGAGATGATACAGCAATATGCTAACAAGACACCCGACGCTCTCCTCCCACCATCGGCCTCATACTACACGGTGCAGACTGATACCCCGTGCTCTTCCCGCTCAGTTGTTCTTCTTCTGCGCAGCCGGGCCGTTCTCCTTGTCGAAAGCACCATACGAAACCTCCAGGCTCGCCACGGCCGACAGGCCGACGTAGAGCAGGGACAGCATGATGATCAGGGCGACGATGCCCATGAAGATGCCCGGGGTGAAGAACTGGTACTTGACGAACAGCGGCGCGTTGCTGTCGCTCGCGTTGCCCGCCCTGCGCTCGACGACGACGTCGCCCGTCCGCCTCTTGAGCTCCATCTGGATGGCGCCCGACTCGACGTACTCGGACTCGTAGACGGCCGAGGAGTGCGGCGACGAGAGGTAGATCACCGTGTAGTCGTCGCCGCTGGCCTGCGCGCCGGAGAGGATGTCGCCGATCTCGACATCTGCCAATTCCTGTCAGTCGTGCATATTCAAAAGCCCGCGAGTCGAGAGGGGGGGGGGGGGGATAAGAGAGGGAGAGAGAGGGAGGGACAGCGGAGATACGCACCATTCTCTGCGAGCTTCGTCGCCCTGGCCTCACCCTTCTGCGCGGGCAGGGCCTCCAGGCGGTGCTCCTCGACCACCAGCCCCTCCTTCCTGCCCTGCTCCGCGCAGGCAGCCTTGATGTAGCTGCTCAGCCCGTCGACGCTGATGTCATCCCCGACGACCTCGGCGACGTCGTAGCGGCCCTGGACCGCCTTCTCGCCCGCGGCGGCGCAAAGGTTCGCCGAGTGGCACACTCCGGACTGGGGGTTGCGCAGGTCGGAGGCGTGCACGCCGGGCTGGCTGATGAGCACGTAGCGGCTCGTGGGACAGCTGGCCAGGATGTCGTGGGTGGTGTGCAGGGCGCGGGATGTGGACTGGAGTTGCGAGGTCTCGCCGGCTGGGATGGAGAGCCTGGTAGCGGAGCTGGTCAGCATACGTGGAGGAAGGTGGGAGGTGTCAGGTGCGAGGGTTGGGATCGTACTTGGATGTAGAGAAGAGGACGAAGGGTGCTGAGTCGCTGAAGGCCGCGGCTGTGGAAGCCAGCAGGCTGGCAGTCGTCGTTGTTGAGAACCGCATCTTGTCTGGACTGGGAATGAGAGAAGTGGAATTGGTGGGGGTATCGCCGTCTGTAGCTCTTGATATCCGGACAGCAGACAAGAGGAGCCCAAGGTGGTGATGATGATGTTGATGATGGAGAAGCTCGTCGCAGCCAGCTCCGTCGACCCAGTTGCCGTCGGCAAGATCCGCCCAGCAAAGCTGCAACTTGGGAGCCGCGCCGCGCCCGCCTGCACGCCCGAATCCCAGTCGAGTGTTCCCAAGGTTAGCGTATCACGTCACTAAAATACAGGCGGCCGTGCAGCTTATGTTCAGGGGTCCAGTGCAGTGCAGACCGAAAAGTAAAATTTACCGAATTGTGATATTTCGGTCGCAGACTTCCACCTGCTTTACTTACACCACATCCCTATACTACCTGTCTCCACGCTGCCAATATGTTCGCCAAACCACGCCCGAAAAAGTCAATACTTCCGCCGCCCTCAAAGAAGCGCAAGGCAACACACACCGTTGAGGAGATCAGCTTTGACGACAATGCGAGACAAGAATATCTGACTGGGTTCCACAAGAGGAAGGTCCAGAGGCAGAAGCACGCACAGGAGGAGGCTGCCAAGAGGGCGAGGGAGGAGAAAATTGAGTTCCGCAAACAGGTGAGGCCTGGTCCTGTCGTAGGGACGTCGTGGGGCGTGGACTCGTGCTAATGAAGGGCATCCACGACACAGCTGCGAGAAGACAGGAAGAAGCAGGTCGAGGAGCATGTCAAGAACATCGAGGCTATCATGAAGGGGTCCAAGGTAGCCGGCCTGGGCTCGGACCAAGAAGGCTCTGAAACTGGTGACTCGGACAAGGACGGAGACGAATGGAACGGATTCGATGAGGCCCCAGAGGCGCCAGCCCTGGAGCCTGTGGATCATGAAGAGGAATACATCGATGAGGATCTCTATACAACTGTCAAAGTGGAGGCAGTCAGTGTGGACAGAGACGGCCTGCACAACAAATCAGAACTGGAGGCTGCAGGTGAGGACAGCGATGAAGACAGTAAAGCAGACGGCGCAGAGTCCAAGCCTGCCAATGCCAAGGATGCAACGTCGAGTAAAGGCCGGAAAGACGCCCCCAAGAAGAAAAAGAAGAAATTCAGGTACGAGACAAAAGTCGTCAGGCAGCTGGAGAATCGGAAAAACAAGGCGAGGAAGTCAAGAGGTTAGGGTATGGCGATGTGCAACCTCCGAGATTAGAATATTGGACACCACAGTTTTGATACCCACACAACAAGGTCACAAGGATGTCGAGAACATCAACAAATTCCATTATCAAGGCGACGTGCTGTGATCAAGTCCAACCATTGTCTAAAGTGCACCCGTGAGAACACCACTCCAAAACGCAAGAATGCTACATCCTTTGCTGGGGTGCATTGATAACGCGCGGTTGTAATGACGAGCCCCCGTTCTGTCCGCGCAGACGAGAGGCCTGGTACGACTCCGCAGCAAACATCTGGCAAAGGTAACTGTACTGGCAATATCCTCCTCCTGGCACTTCTTAGATGTTGCCAATCTCGGCCTGGAAGTCCTCCAGCTCCTTCTTGATCTCTGCGTACTTCTTGGACATCTCCTCGTACTTGGACTCCCACTGGTCTCGCTCGGACTCGAGGGCCTGGACTTTTCGCTCGAAGTGTCCAGCCTTGACATCGGTTTGCCGAAGCCTGTGAAACAAAACAAGGAGTGTCAGCGTTGAATCGCAAATAAACGGTCATGAGCCGCAAGCCAAGCGGGGGCGGCTCGTGCTGGAAGCAAAGGAAATGGGCAATGTGGCAAGCACCTCCAAGTCATGTAATCGTGTGACTTGAATGTGTAGTACTGGGCTACCCACTTCTCGTTGGCCTCGCGCAGCGTCTTGTCGGCCTCCTCGGCCTCCTCCTCGAGCAGCTGCAGACGGCGGGTGAGACCCTCGTTGGTGGTGGAGTGCTGGGTGCCGTCCTCGGCGGCCTTCTTGAAGTCCTTAATGGCGGTCTCGAGCTTCTCGACCTCAGCCTCGAGCAGGCCGTTCTTGTGCTGCAGGGAGGTGATGTCCTGCTCCTTGGACAGATTCTCCTGCTCGAGCGTCTTGACCTTTGCCTGCAGTTCCTCGACCTTGGCGGCGGAATCGTCGGCCTCCAGACGGAGCTGGTTCATTTTCTGCGTGACAGAGCTCAGTATCGACATCTTGGCGGTTGTTTTCTCGAATGACAATGATATGTTCGCAGGGGATGAGGTTGATTGCAGGAGAGAGTATGCTGAGGCTGACGTGTTGATCGGCCAAGTCAAGTGAGGGTTGTGTATGTTGCGTGTTGCTGGCTGGCCTGGAGTTGGTTGCCTTGCTGCCCCATGCCTTTGTCACTGGGATGGACTGAAGGCCTGCAGTGAAACAGGTGCCTGTGTGCCACAAGTGAATCCAGTATTGGAGGGGCAGCAAACGTGACGCATCAACACCAAGCAGCAACAGCAACAGCGACAGACCCGGACTCGGACAAAGGCAGACAACACCACATCAGCAGCAAGAGCCCCCGCCACCCGCAAGCTCCCTCCCCCCTTTCAACATCGAGTCGGTCACGCTTACCTCCTTGATGCGATCCATGGTGAATAATAGTCAGCAAATTTAATAGGCTAAAAGAAAAGGTGTGAAGACAGAGGTGAAGACAATCGATGGGATGGACTCGGAGCAGAAGAAAGGAGGTTGGCGACAGGACAGTTGGGTATTAGTACCACGGCAAGGTGACAGACTGGTCTGGGAGGAGGTCTGGTGGAGGTCTGAAATAGTACTGACAGCTGCCCCTCTGTAATCCCCCTGGCCGATTCGCTGGCCTTCTAGGGGGCTTCTTTCTTCTCATTAGACCACCCAGTTGAAAGAGCACCCTGCGCAATGTACCACCGTACCTACCCATGCATGGCCCCCCTCATGAGCAGGGATCGTCATTGCTAGCCCACCAGTGCCACCACACCCTGCCTGCCCATCGCTCATTCCTCTGCTGCTGAAGTGGCCTGTGACCCCAATCAAATGCCGCCCGCCTGTCTGTCCTGCTGCAGTTCACAGTTCCAGGGGTCGCACCTCGCCTGGATGTTGCTGTGACAACATGGTCAACAATAACCCAGACTGGTCCTTCCCAGTATGAATTTAAGGTCCTACCTCTCAACTTCCCACACACTGAGCACACAGTGCACCGATTTCATCAACCATCGGAAATACAACCTACGGAAACAGCGCCAGAGCCAGAGGGTAACTAATTAAAACAGCTTCGAGTTTCGAGATTACCAATTTCCCCCGGGCAGCGAGCCTTGCACTTCACTCACCATGCTGAGAACACACCAAGACCAAGAGAACCTGGTCTCCATCCACCAGGCCAATGCTGCATCCAAACAGCATGGCACGACCAGGACCCTTCAACCAAAGACACCAGGAGCACGATACCCAAAGACGCCACTGAAGATTCCCCTTAATGATGAGAACGCAGTGCGCGTCCTGGGTGGGAAGAGCATCCTCACAAACAGGCCAAAGGGAGACAAGGCGCAATGGCAGACCCCTGCAGGTAAGCAAAACATACCAGGAAAACAGACCTGCAGCTTATATGGTCGTCCTCAATATGGATATAGATGTCGGTATATACTGACAGGTTTTGGGCAGAACCCCGGACAGAGAGGCCAGTGCTAGGCGACAAAACAACAAACACAAAGGCGAGGCAGCAGGCTATCGGCAGAACACCTGCCATCGGTGAAATCGAGAAGAGCCAGCTTAAGCCTACCACCGTCTCTCGGAACAAGCCTGCCGCCACCAAGGCCGATTCATCTAAGCTCCAGATCCTACAGGACATCACGTCCGATCCGCTTTCCACGGAACCGGACACCAATCTGCCGCCTCCGGAGCCCCTCCCGTACGAATCCGACGTCTGGCCAAATGGCATCCTTACCTTTGATGCTCTGAAGCCTCAGAACCGCCTTAAGGGGCATTTCGAGTACTACCACAATCGGAAGGACGAGAATGGGATGACACGGTTGGACAGAGAGATGGAGGCAGCCAGGATGAGGCGCCACAAGGAGGCCGAAGCGAAGATCAGGGAAGACTTGGAGCAGGGCTTCGACTGGGACTTGGGATTTTTAGAGCCTCCGAAGAAGAGGACCGCGGCACCTGCGAAGGACTTGGAGAATGTAAACAAACCTCTCGTCCGCCCCGGCGCAACGACGAAGGCCCCACCAACCATTACTTCAAGACGCGCAGCTTCTGCCTTGGGGATGGCGGACAAGACCGCCACAACATCCACGACAACCTTTCAGCGGAAACCTCTTGCTCCCCGATCGGCTGCAGCCACAAATGCGAGCAAGCTGCCGAGCTTCATGCAGCCGACCCGGGCTAGACCAGCACCACCATCTGCAGTGGTGACCTCCAGGCCCCGGCCCACCCCGGCAGCGGGCCTAGCTGCCTCGAGAAGCACTATCGGCTACAGCAAGGGCCGCAGCGCCTCCTCCGCCCTCCACGATGGCACTGCCCAGAACCAGCAGCACGCGCGCAGCAGGTCTGAGGCGAGGTCTCGCGTCTTCTCCAGGACGGCGAGCGGCGCAAGTGACTCGACCGTCACCCCGGAGTCCTACGCGAAGGACAATGCGAGCCCAAAGCCCGAGTTCGTCTCCATCTTTGACGTGACTCCGAAGCTTGATGAGGAGGACGAAGGTGCCAACCTGTTTGGAAGCGGCGGCGGCGGTGCTGATGACCTGTTCGGCGCACTTGAGCACGAGGAGGACGAGTTCCAGCTGGAGTTGAGCCCTTGAGCCCTTGATCACTTGATCGCATTTTATGATTATGAAAGTCGGGTTGGCGTTTTTTTTTTTTGGTAGGTTCTGGATATCGGCAGGGTTGGTCTGGATATTAAAGAGGGACTTGGGCCTTCCGGGGTTGGAAGATCAAGGAAGGATTCATGGTGATACCCCAGGCCGGAGATACGGTACTTTCTGTCGCCTTGTAGCGAACGATATTATTACAGGTGAACTTGCAGCATGTTGAGAATGGTAGAGACCGTCTTGAGAACGGACTCGCTGTTAGTCCACGACCTACTACTCGAGCGTACCATCAGCAAGTGTCATGAGACTTTGTTTTTTGCACATCACGTATCAGACTCATTGCCGCATCTTGTGTGATTACAAGGCATACATCACAGATAGTGACATTTGGCTTCGCAAGGCGAAGGTCGGAAAGCATCATCAACTTATCTCGGAAGACATGCAGTTTGTTGTAGTTGTCCACATTATCTTTTAGGGCAGGCTCTCTCCTTGGGAGCACCTGCAGTTCTCAACTCTCGCCTACCTCTCTGTCTATGCTAACTCGGGAGTTTCTGAATGGACGTCTCGCCCGTCCCCTAGCAGCGGACGTCCTAACCCTCCCGCAAACGCATCTGAGCTTGGGGATATGCATTCCACCCGGAAACCCAAAAATTTCCTCTGTCCCCTTTCCTTTGCCCTACACTTTTTTTTTTCGAACCCCCTTTTTCAGGGTCGGTGCCAAGATACCTCCCTCGCACATGCCCGCCACAGGCGCCTACTTAACCGGGGTCAGTCCCCCCACCGGCTGGCATGCAAGGCCCAAACAGTGAATGCAGGTATATATCTAACCAGAAAACCACAAGGGAGAACCGCATGGCCTTCAGACACAGCGGGCGAGAACAGATCCACATGAACGACACCAAAACCTATCAATGCCACGGCCCCATAACGACAACTCGAGAGCCGCTGCCTCCCCTCTGTGTGTTTTTCCCATGGAGAGATGCGAGAAAGCACACGAGAAAGAAGAAAGGTGCCTGGCTGAGCTGACCGACCGACCGACTGGCTGACTATCTTGGCATTTGCGGGAGAGCAGTAAAAGGATTAGTTGAGGAAGCCCTTGCACTCAGGCGTGCCGCACAAACAAGGGATACGATCCTCGGACCGCATCTCTCGGTCGAACTTGTAATCGTATGTCAATTCCTCGTCTGTGAGGACTCGGTCAGTAAAAAGGTTCCCATCAAACTCGAAGCAAAATTGCGGCGATTCCCGGGGGGGGGGGGGCTTACTCTGTGCGATGGCCCTCTCGGCATAGATGACAATCCTCTTGCTTCCTTCCACGCGGATGATGCTCGCCTTGCAGTTCGGCGCGCAGCTGTGGTTGATGAACCGCGCGATGCCGCCCTTCTTTGTCGCGTCGATGACCGTGTCGTCATCGATCCGGAACAGGTAGCTGCTGCCTATGCCGCTCTTTGTGTACTGCTGCTCGCGGAGGTCGGCGATCTTCTGCCGCACCTGCTCGCCGACATACTCGATAATCATGTCGTCCTTGGCAATGTTCTCCATGGCGTACAGGCCCCAGTTGTGGATTGCGGAGCGGGCAAACTTGACGGGCTTCTTGCGCTTCTTCAGCTGGTTGAAGCGCAACACGTCCGACGCCTGCCCGAACACTTTCTGCGTCTTTTCAAGGGATGAGTTGTGGTCGCGCTGCTTGGCGCGTGTGTCTCGGGCGTTGCTCTGGGACACGACGTGGTCGGGTGCAACTCTCGTGTTGCTGACCTCTGCCAGGGCGCCCTTAACCTTGCCGCCCTTGCCGGCCTTCTCTCGCTCCTCACGGGCCTTTTGCACTTTTATGTGGTGCGGCAGGTACTTGGACTTCTCGGAATTGAGAATCTTCTTGATGCCTGCTGTGCGTGCACAGCCCGTAGGGTTTGGCACGTAGTAGCCTCCGATGCCCACGATCTCACCAGAGCCATCCCATGAATTCAATTCTCTGATGCGATCTCTTCTCCAAAGCCATGCCTGCGGGTCGCCAATGTCTTCCACGTTGAACTTTTTCTTGAGCTTCGCCACATTTGGCTGGTCACCATCCCCAGGGAGCATAGTCCGCATGGACTCGATGTCGAGCTTGAAGTTAGCAGGTAGTTCCAAAGCCTTGGTGACATGTTCTGGGTATAACGCTGGATCTGGTAAGGGCTTGTCTGGATCCTCAGGTGGCGGCGTGGGCTTGAAATCGGGATCTGGAGGTGGTGTGGGCTGATGGACAGATTCGGATTTCTTCTCGGCTTCCTCTTCAAAGATCTCTTCCTGCTGTCGCTTGAGAGCCTCGCGCTCCTCAAACAACTGCTTCTTGGATTTCTTCTTGGGTTTAGTAAGAGCCTTCTTCGCAGTCTTGGAGGCCGGTTCTTGCGTAGCAACAGACGAGTCATCTATGTTGACCGCCATGGAGTCTGCATCTTCCAAGACAACATCCTCGGATGCGTCCCTAAGAGGATATTCGGTCTCGATATGATCGATGGTGACCCCGAAGAGCTCTTCGTCACTCTTCTTCTGACGCTTGATTGCAGTCTCTACCTGCAGATCGAGCTTCCTCTTCTTGATGCGCGGCAATGGTCCATCTGGTGCAAGGCTGGCCTCCGTCATTGAGTCATCCTCGGCAGGACCCCACTGGCCGAAGTCATCCTTTGCATCTTCATCAGTGCTCATGCGGCTGCGCGGCCGAGACTCAGGCTCCTCAGTGTCCCTGGCCACGGAGTCCCGATTTTCTGTTTCGTCCTCCGACTCCGCATCACTCTCAGCGTGTTGTAAACGATGGTGGAGGGAACGGAAGGCTGGTCGATGCGAGTTCGGTCGCTCTCGAGCAAATGGATCGGTAAATCCAGGCCTCCGGATGAGACTGCCTTTCTTGGCCTTGCGAATCCGAGGTAGTGCAGTGACATCAAGATGTTTGGTACGCCTTTCGATCGGGTCCGCGCGCGAGTTGGGCGTGCTGGCAGGTGACTTCTCTTCAGTGTCCTCGAAAAGAAAGGCAGGCGTCTTGGCCCCGGCTGGATCCTCGATCCCGAATTTGCGACGGTTAGCAGCGTGATTTGCGGGATCCAAGAACGTGAACAAGGTCGGCGCCGCCACTTTCTGGCGAATGTGCTTGATAAGGTGTTCTATCATCTCCCGTCTCACCACCTCGGCAGCCTCCTTGACAGGATCGAAATTGTTGGCTCTCTCCCGCTTCTCGTCTTCCAAATCCCTCAGATCTTCCCTCCTTGCGCGCTCCTTGTCATCTCGCTTCGGCGGCTCGATTGCGACCGGACGGCGAGGTGGACTGCGACTTCGCCGCTTATAAGTGAGCGACGTCGAGTTCACTGCTGGTTTGCCGTCGGCGCCGAACAAGTGCAGCTTCATGTTGAGGTTGTAAGTGAAGAACGCGGTACCGTCCGCTGACGACTGGCATTTCTCAGCCTCGGTGCGTCCAAATGACGAGTCTCGAAAGACAATGTAGTAGCCGAGTCTATCGGCGCGAATATCCTCCCACCTGTAATTCTTCAGCCGCTTTTTCATGTGCGCAATTGTCGTGGGCATGACTGGCACGTATTCGTGGGCGACGAAAATGTAGGGCTCGGTCTTGAGTTGGCTGGCGACCGGAACTTGCTCGATCAGGGTCGAGACTCGCGGCGCGACGGGCAAGGGGCGCGCTTCTGGTGTCGGTCGATATGCAGCAGGGCCTTTTGGTGCTGTTGGAGGTGGTCCTGGGATGATGCCCGGTGTCCTGGGTGCTGTGGGTATGGGTTTCGGGATCAAGGGCTGCGATCTCTCACGCTCTTTATGCAGGACCTCCTCCAACATGCGCCTACTCTTCTTGCCCTCAGCATCGAACTCGACTCGGACGAGGTTGGACTCAATCTTCTTCCCATTCATGCCTCGGACCGCACGTTTCGTGGCATCAATGGCCATGACTGGGTGTGGCCGGGAGCGGTTTGGCTTCGAGTCCTTGTACCTGAAAGTAGCAAAGCCAAGAAAGCTGCCGGTTTCGGGGTGCATCTTGTTGCTGCTCTCTGCAACGTCGCCATACGAAGCGAATATGGCAGCAACCTTGGAGAAGGTGATCAAAGGGTCAAATCCAGAGACTACCAATTGGGTTGGAGGCCCAGGGCCGACTGAAGTCTTGGAGTCCCACGCGTAGGGCTTAACATTGTATGGCGACTGGCGCAAGCGGGACTTTGGAAGGTGGTAATCGACATTGATGTAGTCCAGACGACTGCCCTTGGCAAGTCGAGGATCGGCTGGAGGGGGAGCGTCATCTTCCTATCAACACAATAACTTATTAGCCAGATTGTTCAGAACTCAGAAGATGACGCTCCCCATTGCCGGGTCGGGTGTATGATATGTACGTACCAACCCGAACTCCTTGTATTTTGGTTTCTTCTTATCCCGCGACGATCGATCGGTGGAAGGCTCATGTGTAGACTTGATTACTTGGATGCGAAGTGAGGGGTCTCGAGCCGGTACGCGATGTACGAGGCCGGCCTTGTCCACCGTGGGGTTCTTCTCACAGGCGCCATCAAGATTCATCGGGGATCCGTTGGTCTTGTCGGGATTTGAGATGTTGTGTGAGGTTGGCTTTGAAGGATGCGAATTTATGGCCGTTGACGGTGAGTCGATGGTCGTCAAGGGGGTGAGATGAGAGTAGGATGAGCTCTTGGGGGCGGCAATACCGTTGGGTCGCAATGAGCCGTTCGTCATTGAGGAGGCCATGCTTGTGCTCGAGGTCTCTGAGCCAACAGTGTTGGGGATGTCCCTTTGGATGGTGTCGATATCATCAGCGGGGGTTCGCGATGGATCTGATACCGAGGTGTCCCGGCGGGATCTCGAGCTGGCAGGATCGTCTTGTCGCGCGCTGGGGGTTTGATGACCATTGGTGGTCTTGTCCAGATGGGTAGATGATGGCGACTCGGTGGCTTCCTGTCTCGCCTTTTCGCGCTCCATCGCCCTCTCCCTGGCCGCCTTTGGAGCCGCGGGGAAGAACTGCGCGAAGCTCGCACCAGAGGGGCGAGTCATCGTGTCCAGGGCCGACAGCTAGATCTTCACCACTTCCACCGCCCTCCAACCATCATAACGCGCTTTCCTGATGCAGCGAATGACACCTTTCATGGGTGGGTCGATGAAGGAAGGCAATGTCGCGATGAGGTCGCGCGTCAAGTGTCGGGGCACGCGACGGCTGGGGGTAGGGAGGCAGGGAGGCAGGCCTGGGAAGTGCTGGACCGGCGGCTGGCGACGGGCGACTGGCGGTTGGCGGTTGGGAAATTGCTTGGGCCCCAGTTTCCAATGACGTTGGAGAAATCTGACTTCTGGGGGGGCGAAGACTGGCTGGATGGCTGGCTGGCTGGCTGGCTGGCTGATGATGGTCTGGGGCTGAGAAAACTCAGCAGCCAAGGGCTGATGTACAGCTGGCTGGTCAGGCAGCAGACCAGGTGTGGCCCCCTTTCTGGGTGTAGAGAATGAAAAGAAGAATGGGCACGTAACAAAGCTGAGAAGTGTCAAGGAGCCCTGCCGCAAGCGCAAGGTGGTTTCGTGGATGGGGTAAAAGTCAAAAAGGTGGAAGAAAGGGATTCAGTGCTCGGCTCAGTTGGCGGCGCGCGAACAGACCCAAACCCAGAACCGGACCTCCTAGCCCAGGGATGGGAATTGCGATCTGAATTGCGATGGCTCTGGCACTTGGCTCCTGCTGCTGGCTCCTGGCTATGCCCACCGCTACCGCAGCACTCCCAGTGCCCGATGACAGGCACGAATACGTGAGTTTGGGGGAGCAAAGCAGCTGCAAGGGTGTGACAGCCGTGCCTGGGTGCCCTGGCCAGCCTGCCCGCCAGCGTTCCGAGTGAAATGCAAGTACCTAATTACATATGCAGCACCGTCTACCGGCCTGCCAGTCACATGCTGAGACCCACTAAACAGGGAATGGCGCTAAAATGGGAGGAGTGGAGCACTAAGACTCCTTGACAGCCCAGCCCAGCTGCCCAGGTCGTGTTTGATGTGATTGATGGTCGCGCTGGTGAGACCCCAAAGTGACGGAATCGATATGACGAAATGCCTCCCGCAATTGAGAAGGCCAGGAGAGGTGGGGAGGGACAAGTGCCAGCCAGCTACGAAAACAGCACAGCAGACCTGGAACTTGGCATTCAACACCATAGTCACTCTGCTCTGTTGCATCATTTCACCCTGAAAGATGTGGTAGTGTGATGGTTAATGGTTTATACGATGTATATAGAGAGAGCCCAGCGACTAGACCATCCACTCCTGCCGTCAGGTGGGCATGCTGGCCAGCCCCAAGGGCAATTGTATCATGGAGAATAAGATCAGTGCTGAACACCGTTTGTGGCATCGCCGGTCCGAGCACCCTAAACGCAGTCTGCATTCGTTGCACGCAGGAGTGCTTCTTTGTGTCTTGTCCGCCCAGTATCAGAGCATATAGAGCTCCTCCACAATCCCACGAAATATCGAGAAGTAATGTTATACACCAAAGCAGCCCAACTCAGACTCGGCACTTCATTGTATTAGAACCGAGGTCGCCCGAAGACAACTCAGCAGACTCAGTCCTCCAAAGCTCATCGATCCACACCCGCACAAGGCTTGAGGGCCATATCGTTTCCTCGTTTCTTTAGTAAGGACCCTCCCGGCTTCCGTTGCCGCCGGAGTAGCTGTTGTCTCTGCCACTGTCGCGGCCCCAGCCACCACCACGTCCACCACCGCGGTATGAGTCTCCACGGCTGTACCCATTGTCTCGGCCACCGTATCCACCGTCACGACCGCCGTAGCCGCCGTCCCTTCCACCATAGCCGCCGCCGTCGCGGTTGAAGCCACCGCGTCCCCGGCCGAAGCCACCGCGTCCTCGGCCAAAACCGCCGCCGCCGCCGCCGGCCCTTTGAATCCGCTCCTGGACAGTGATCGTACGTCCATCAAGCCTGCCGCAGATTCGTGTCAGAAGATTGCCCCAAATGTAGCCTGGGAAGATGCCTTGAGAAGCTCTCAAGACATTGGTGAGACGTAAACATACTCGGTGTTGTTCATTTGCTTAATGGCCTCCTGGGCGTCATCGTTGTTGAAGAAGTCGACGAAGCCGAAGCCAGCGCTCCTGCCATCCCTCATGACAACGGTCTATTGTGTTCAAGTCAGTGCTCGTCGCCTCACGCCCATGCTCCTTGTGGCAGAACTAACGGCATTCTGGATCTCGCCAAACTCCTTGAAGGTATCCCTCAGGGCCTGCTCATCGGTCGACCACGACAGGTTGCTACATAGATCAGTAAGAGCTCCCCGTGAAAGATGCCTGGAGCTTGACTCACCCGACGTAGATGGTTGCCTTGGCGGGAGGGGCATCCGAAATCGACCTGTGGGCAACATTTAACACTCATTGTTCACAGCGGCAAAAGATGTGGACGTCTGGCGAGGCCAGGGGCGCTAGCATCACGTAGGAGAGCAGTAGAGATGATAGGAAGGAGGTTCGAATTGGAAGTGATTGTATTAGCGTGTGAAGATTGGACAGTTCTACTCATGCGCCCGAAATGCGATGGGTGGGCGCAGATTTGGCCATAGAAGTACATCTGGACTGGAGGGGTTGCGACGCGCCCTCGCGCGGGCAGCAAGGTCCTCCAGGCACTGAGACTGCAGAGCGTCGTCGCCGCACAATGAGGGGCCGACGGACGACGTGTTGGGCATCAAGATCTGGGATGCGCGACGGAAAGTGTTCATGAGCATGAGAGATGGATTTACCTGGATGCGGCAGGGGCACCGGAGGTGGGGGAGGGGGCGGATTCATCAGCCATCTGAGCAATGATACGCGTTGTCGTTGGGAAAAGGAGAAGTGTGGGTTTGTCGAGGCGGTCGACAAAGGTGGTAGATGATCGAGTAAATGTACCGCGATCGATTGTGAGAGAGGTCGCTTGAGGAGGGAAGCTTTGCGGGTTGCTGGAAGTGGATGTTGACGGGGGTACGTGATGAAAATTTCAAGCATGGCGTCAAGGCGGAAGGCGTCAATCCAGTCACTGACAGACCATCCCTGGCACTGAATTTCGTTCCGCCGGACCGCGACTAGGCCGCAAGGAGCTCAAGGCCCCTCCCCTTGCTGGCAGCCTGCTGCAACCTCCGCAAGCCTGTGGCAGGCACACTTCACCCAGCAAAACGTCACCAAAGTGTCTCATCATTTGCCTGCACATTCTCCAGCTCCATCCAGCGATTTCGGCCATTGTTCTCATAGCACAGCCTCCAATGGGATAACTAGCTGAGGATCGATTTTGATAGGACAATTCCGTCCCGTCTGAGGGTAGAGCTCCAAGCCTTCCTACCTCCTTAGGGGGAGCTCTAGACAAACGGTTCATTACCTAGCTTCAACAAATCAGAGCTTAGGAGTTCATGGGGGCTTTCAGCAGTAAGATACCACATTACTTTATATCTCGCGGTGTAGTGGTGTTATAATCAAACCTAGGTAGTGGCTGGGACGTGGCTTGCTAGGACTTGGCAATGTACCGTACCTGACGGAGCGCTCATGGACGATTGCAGGGCGCAGCTCTGGACGACTCGGAGATCTTCGTACTCAAATTAATACTAAACTATTCATCTCATAGGAGGTTGTCCCTAAGAGGTTGTCCTAGAGGAGGTTATCCCCCAACTTTGGTGTGCCCTCCTTTTCTACCACTGGTACAAATGTTTCAAAAGCCAAATATTACTAACAGTTGCAAGGGGAATTGCTAACAGGATCCTTCACTTGCACTCCCATTAAAAGGAACAACCCTATCTGGACCATGTAGAGTCTCTTGACAGATTTGTAACATGCAGGGATTATGTCAGACTCAAATGATTCATGTCTCTTCGAACGCTCTTGGATCAAGTTCTTCAATCGGATTCTCTTCTTGATTACCCACGCTCACATTTCCACTGGAACTTCAGAACAGTAGAAGACCGTTATAACAGCATAATTCATTAGCTCGGCAGCTACTCAAAGAAACCCCTACTTCACTCATGGAGAACAGCCAAGGGAGCCTAGGTATTACCTTTGTTCGGTGCATGTATGCAATCCATCGGTTCTTTCATGTATTGTCATAATGAGACAACAAGGACAGCGTACAACTTGTAGGGAACTCATTGTTCATGAGGGCGGGTGGTAGGTGGGTCCGAGCCGCTGGGGCAAGGCCATAAAGACTGTGTTCATCGCATAAGAAAAAGTATAATTGGTGATTCCATATCCATCCCAGAAAAGTTCACATCCCGATGTCATTGCGATAGACCAACGCTTGATTCATCAAAACTTGCCACCTTCTACACAAAAACACCATCATGGCGTTGACCACTACCGTCTTTGAGGATTTCTATGCCGCCGTGGGAGTACCGTCAACGGCATCCATTGACGAGATCAGTACTGCCATCCGAACACAAGTCAATTTCCTGTTGGACTCAACGACTGAGGACTCTGTGGTATTTGAAAATTGTACCCTCTTATTGAAAATTAAGGGGATTCTCTGCGATGAATATTCGAAGGCCGAGTACGACGCCATATACCAAGAACGAATGGGATCTTGAGGCAAGTAGGTACGTGGTAGGTACTAGAATTTAGAAGTTGGTATGTCAGAAGTCTGACACGTTTCTTTGATGTTTGTCTTCAAGGTGGTAGGTATCATCGTGGCAGCCTGTTGTTGAGTCTAATATACCGTTCCGTTTTGTATGATTCAGTTCCTTCTTGATCGGTCATCCCTCTTTTTCTTTGACTCGATTCATGGATTCATCTCCATGGAGCTGTGACACGGCTGGGTCTGTGAGATAGTTTTGATTTCTACCTAGCAGAGTATCAAGGCATAACAATACAAGATCTTTGACCTGATCTTCCGTTACGATTCATGTGAGCTCAACAGTAGTAGGGCATGTTAGACTGCAAGCTCCTCCAATTTGGCCATTGTATCCTGTCCTGTATGCTCGATTGTAAACTGTGGTGACAGGAGATTTTGCACTCCTATATGCGTCCTTGTTGAATAATAAGCAAAAAATGCAGGTCTTAACTACCAAGACAACCTTGGACAGTTCCACTCAAGGATATGCCAGCAAAGCTACCAGCTTCAATACCTGGCCCGGCGGGAGTTGGGCTCTTATCGGACGCCGATAAGGAGCTGAACTGGGAGGCTGGGGAAAAAAAGGTGGCTGACGTATGAAATTGCCAGGGAAACGGGTTGACCCACCTTCCCCAATGGGAATCCGTGTCAACACCAGCCAGCGACTCGCAGCCCACGCGTTGGCAGGCGCAATGCGCTGTCAGACAGATGCATTCCTCAAGAAGGCAGCGATATCGTGAAGTTGTGGTCGACATATCAGAGACACTTCTGGGGATCTCTCTCGAACCGCGCCTGATGCCGTCCCCCGCCATCGACCCGCGGACCATCCGCTCCTCGGCCTCCACGCCGTCGCTCCGCTCTCGTGATGGCACTGTGCCGCTGCACGCCAGGATGGACAACGGTGGAAACGTCCGCGTCGTCGTGCGTGTCCGCGCATTTCTGCCTCGAGGTATTCAGGCCCCCGTCTAGCGCCTCCGCGGTGTCGGGAGACCGATCGGTTGCTAATGATGGTCGCGACCATGTTTAGAAATAGAGCGTGGGGCCGAGTGTCTGATTGACATGAACCCCATCAACCAGGCCACAACGCTGCTCGTGCCTAATGACCATGACCCGGCAAACCAACGGACAAAGACCCGAAAGATCACAGAGGAGAAGACCTTCACCTTTGACAGTTCGTTCTGGAGTCATGACACCAAGGACACTCACTATGCCACGCAGGAAGACGTCTACAACAGCCTCGGCGAGGAGTTCCTCGACCACAACTTTGAAGGCTATCACACATGCATTTTCGCCTACGGCCAGACCGGCTCGGGGAAGAGCTACACGATGATGGGCACCCCGGACCACCCCGGGCTCATCCCCCGGACCTGTCAAGATCTTTTTGAGCGAATCGAGGCCGCACAGAACGAAACCCCAAACATCAGCTACAACGTGCGGGTTTCCTACTTTGAGGTGTACAATGAGCACGTTCGCGACCTTCTCGTTCCTGTCATTCCGAACCAAGCTCCCTACTACCTCAAGATTCGAGAATCACCAACAGAGGGCCCCTACGTTAAGGATCTGACAGAGGTGCCGGTCCGCAGCATTGATGAGATCCTGCGCTACATGAAGACAGGCGACAACTCCCGAACGACAGCGTCTACAAAGATGAATGACACATCTAGCCGCAGTCACGCCGTCTTCACCATCATGCTGAAACAGATACACCACGATGTGGAGACAGACGAGACCACAGAGCGCAGCAGTCGCATCCGGCTTGTCGACCTGGCTGGGAGTGAGCGCGCCAAAGCAACCGAAGCGACTGGACAGCGCCTCCGAGAAGGAAGCAATATCAACAAGTCTCTGACAACCCTCGGCCGCGTCATCGCCGCGCTTGCCGATCCAAAATCACAGCGCTCCGGCAAGGGTGGTCGTGGGAAGGACGCTGTTGTCCCTTACCGGGACTCAATCCTCACTTGGCTCCTCAAGGATTCCTTGGGCGGGAACTCCAAGACAGCCATGATAGCTTGTATCGCGCCCTCCGACTACGAGGAGACACTATCAACCCTGCGGTACGCAGACCAGGCCAAGCGGATACGCACGCGTGCCGTGGTCAACCAAGACCATATCTCCAGCGCGGAGAGAGATGCGCAGATTGCCGCCATGGCGGAGGAGATCCGTAACCTTCAGCTGTCTGTCTCGGAGAGCCGGTCGAGGGAGAAGAATGCCAAGGAGCAAGAGGAACGATTGGAGGAATATCAAGACCGTGTTGGCAGCATGCAGCGTATGATGGAGGAAAGAGGGCAGGTGTACGAGACCAAGATCCGGTCCTTGCAGACTGAGAACGAGGCGCTCAGGCTGCACTTGAAACTTGCTCTGGACAGCCTGAAGAATCCGATCCCGCCCGTCACACTCAACAGCCGCCCGGGGACATCGGATGGGAAGCAGGAAGAGGAGCATGGCGACGGCGGGGATGAGGATGAGACTGAACCGGAAGGTGACGAAACATTCTATGAGGACAGTGACGAAGACGAGGCATACAACTCCGATGACCACGAAGAACGGCACAATGAGATGCAGGAGCACATGCAAGCATTGCTCAAAGACCTAGGCCTGTTCAGGCGGAAGATTGGAGACGACAAGGGACGGTGGGTTGAGGCAGAAGACACCTCAAGGATGCCGCTGGGGGAACGGGGTAATGTCTGAGTCTGCCAGGCAACCTTGAGGTACTGTCTGTGGGTATGTTGGAATCAGGCTCTTGGTGTTTGCATAGGCTTCTTCTCGCCTTCACTTGTAAGGTCAACGCAGGGCGTTCAGGAGTTTGTTTCATCATATAGGATAGGAATGATCGAACATGAGAATGACGAAGACAACGAGTCTCCTAGGCCTGACAAGGACAGTCCGGCTGGAAATACAATCCTTGCCAGCCAACGCGGCTTCATGAATTTATGGGTATCTCAAACACTTTCTACGGGCAATGAGCGAAATCGCCCCGAGGTCCGCAACCAGCGTGGTTCAGTCAGTCCGCGGACGCTTGTTCTCACCCTCCTCAGCGCCATCAGGATCGCGACTCCTGACCGTCCCCGCCCCATCCCCCAGCTCCTCGCCCTCTGCATCCCCGTTCTTGTCACCGTCACCGATCCAATTCCCGTCCTCGTCAAAGTACTCATTGACATTCTCCGCCGTGATCCACCCGCTGCTGCCAGGCATCGGAGGCGGCAGGCCACCGGTCGCGTTGCCCCTGAACGCGCCGGGCAGGCCCTCTATGGCCTCGCCGCTGCCGTCCACGCTGCTCTCGAAGATGATCCTGTCCGCGTAGTCCTCCCCGTCGTCGTCCTCGTCGTCCTCGTCCTCCGCCGGGTCCGGGTGCAGGTTCTGGCAGGCGGTTATGGCGTCGAACAGCTTCTCCTGCTCGGAGCGCGGGCTCGAGCCCTCCTCCGCGGCGGAGGACAGGTCCGTTGACGCGGGCGGCGGGATGATGGTCAGCTGCGCGGTGTCGAAGGTCTCGTCGTCCGCGCCGCCGTCGGACAGGTCCAGCTGCAGGAGGATGCAGGGAGCCTTGGCGGACTCGGCGTCGCTGGTGCCGTTGCCGGCGGCGGTGGTGGTGGTGGTGGTGGTGGAGGAGGAGGGCTCGGCCTTGTGCTGCATTGCGTGCAGGGCTATCGAGGGGTATGGTATTTGCACGCCGGTGCCTGACTTGCGGTTGAAGATGGTGAGGGTTCTGGGAGCAAGTTAGTAATTTGGTCCATGTACGGGGTGTTGGCTGGGTGTAGCAGTCCGTACTCTGAATTGACAAACAGCTCGACATCATCTTGCGAGACAATCTCGCCCGAGTCTCCCTCGGAGACCGGAGAGTCGGTTGGGAAGAGCGGCAGTGCGCTCTGTTGGTCTTTAGGGATCCATGCCTTCGCGCCTGTCGCGTGGTAGTGGAGGACGGGCTTTCCGCCGTGGAAGGTTTCTGGGGTCGTGGATTGGTACTCTGAGAGGGGCGTGAAGTCGCCCAGGGCCGGGGAGGCGTGGATCGTTGTGGGCAACATCTTGGGGGTCTTGTCGCGCCTCGAATTGATCAGTCGGAGTACTGTGCAACCCAGAGGGGCTCGGTGTCGCCTGGCTCGGTGCCGTGACGAGCCAGGCAACTTTTTGGCCCTGGAGGGGAGCAAGGAGCAGGGGAGCTCCGATAACACCTCTGGCTGCTCTTATCGGCATGTGACCACCGTGATACAAACCACTTAACGACTCAACACCCCGTCTCATCACCCTTGTATTCTGACCTCATCCGGTTGGTACTCGCATTCCCGTCACGTCATCACCGCAGGCCTCTATTGTACAACATACACAGAAATCATCCATTCGCCCGCGCGCAGTTTGACCCCAGACCAGCATACTAAAGAGAGCCTCCTTGTCACCATGCATGACAACCGTAAGTGGACGATCCCGTCGCTCACCCGCTGTGGCACTCACTTACACGTCCCAGGGACCCACCCACTCCTGGCCCAGGTGCCTCTGACAGTATCGCCCTTCACCAACCTGCCCACATCCATCACCCTCCCCTACACCTACAAGGCCATGCCATCAACTCTGCCCCCATCCGCCACGGGCGTCACATCCGCCACGGACCCGGACTCAAACGAGAAGCCCCGCTACGTCGTCTCGCAGTCCGGCCACGCCGCCCACCCAGACGACATCATCGCGAGCTGCCGGGCCCTGCAGGCGCACATCACCAAGCTGCAGGGCGACGCGGAGCAGGAGCTCCGGGACCTGGACGAGCGGATCAGGGCGCGGGAGCTGGCCGAGAAGCGGAGGGTCGCGCCCGGCTGGCTGGACAGCGACGCGCGGCTCCTGGAGCCCGAGAGGACGGGCGGCAGCGGGCAGGAGGCTACGGATCTCATGACGGGCGACGTCCCGGGGGCGAGCGCGAGTGACCAGCTCAGGGGCATGAGCCTGGCTGCGCAGCAGCCTCACACGGGGCCGGGTGGGCTGAGCGAGATGGCTGCCCCAGACGACCAGGGGGCGCAGCTGGATAAGGCTTTCGGCAGCTTGCCTATGCGGCCAAAATGAGCTTGTGGGAGTGGGGTGAAAGAGAGCTGGCTGTTTCTGGCTGAATCTGGGCATCTACACGGTCTCTTATCTTGTTTAGAGGGAGCAATTTTTAACTCGTCTTTTTCTGTTCACTTCATGTTCCGGGTCGAGGTCAAGACTTAGAACAACACTCGCTAGATGGATTGCCAAGAGTTGTGGACTTGATAATACGGATGGTGAAGAAAGAGGCCGTTTTCCATCATGGACATGGGAGAGTTCCATTCCTACACCAGAATAGGCGCTCCGGGCAATAGTGCTGGAAAGATTTCACAATCATACGGTCAGGGTTGGAGAGATGATGTGGAGTTTGATGCTCAATCGCGCATGGGTTTAGGCAGACAACCAACGGTCACAAGCTGACCAGTGATTGGGCCACATACACCACGGCTGTGCCTTGCCTACTTAAGTACACGAAAGTACTCCCTGGGATACTTAAATGCAGGGAGGACACCTCCTCATATTCATCCGGGAGGACACTTCCTCACATTCAAGATTCGGGCTATCGCTAACCAGGCCACGCCAATTGACGCCACTGTCGGCCAGAGCCGTGTCTTCACCCCTGCCATTTTACCGCGTTTTGACCATCGTCAATCGACTTGTGCGTTTTCAAAATAATTGTACCCAACTCTCAGGATGGACACTGACTTGGGTTTCCAGCTCAACTTCCTCAGGAACCCCACGGTCATGGAGACGCCGCCGGAGCCACCCAAGCGAATCGTCCGAGTCGCAGCCCAGCTGGGCGACTTGCCCGTAGAGCTTGTCGAGCCTGTTCTCAAAGATCTTGGTCTGTGGCGTGTTCTCCAGCTGTCCAACACGCCATTGGCTCTCGAGCCCGAGTCTCGTTTGAGAGGCATCCTCGAGAATAGTCGGTCATGGGGGTCCGTTTTCCGCCTAGGCAACGACCGTCCTCAGCGCATCTGTGCATCGCTCAACCACCTCGCATGGGCCTGGAACCGGCAGGTTGTCCATCGGGTGGATTTTCTCGAGAGCTCCAACCTATTTCTCACGCCCGATGAGCTTGTACGCATCCATGGATCGAATTTCGGTCCTCCGGTGATCAAGGACCTGGAAGTTCGTTTCATGCGTGGTTTCAGACAGCTGTTGCGTGTTCCTGGCCATAACGACGAGGAGATTTCGGGTCTGACAGAGGCGCTCCTGCGTGCCATATGTCGCTTCATACCGTTCGATGCACTGGAAGCAATCGAGACCAACAACCACACGGAACTCCTGCATGCTCTCAGGACACCGGATGTCGTCAATGGGAACGACAACAAATGCACTGTCGCTAAATTACATGATCACGCCCGAGACTGGGACGTACAACAACTTCAGGCCTTCCTCCCGGTTTTTCTATACGCCTTTAACAGCCTCAATCAGGCCAAGTCGGAGCAACTTCTGCGCCTGGCTGACCTTTACGACTGGTATCCCAGATGGCTCAAGGTTCCCCTTGGACCTCAAGACCCCGCCCCCAGAAATAATCTGAACCATATCAGCGATCTTCTGCGATCTGACGCCCGTCGAATTGCCTCCCGGATGGCCCTGTCTCGCCAAGTACCCAGGGACTCGCGGACGATGAACTGGTATCGTTTCCGTTTTCCGCACCCAGCACTTATACCCACGAATAAGGCACTGCACCTTTTCGCATTAAGCAGAAACTTAAAGTTTCCTCCTTCACTAACCGATGATGTGAGACGAGCATCGGATGGCCTGTGGTACATATACGAACAAGACGGGAAGAGAGGCCAGGTCCGCTGCGTCCGGGACAAGAAGACACTGAAAGTCCGGCACCGCGTACATACCGGGGGCAGATGCGCCGACACAAGCCCTATAGCGGAACTGGAGTGGCTGGAGTCTTTTCTGCGGTGCGTCAGTTGGGCCAGCATCAACCCAGGTACAGTATCCAGGCGTCTTCTAGAATCCACAGATTATCAGCAGTACATTGAGGACGCGACTGAGAACGCGCATCTGGATATTCTTGCCGATCAACTGCTGGAGGACTTCAAAATTTCGAGGAACGAATCGCGCGGCAGGCCACATGACTTCCCGAGCCTGACCGCGCTGTTCATGCCGCCCTTCTCGTCGTGGCAAACGCGGGGTGTGGCAACAAGAATGTGGCCCGAGATGGCAGACGACGAGATCAGGCGGATCTACTGGGAGGAATCGGTCAGCAGGCTCAAGCGCTACCTCGCAAAAGCGCCACAGGTGCCCGAGCACGAGGACGGCGCCGTCCTAGCATGCGACGCCTCCCCTGACCAGCAAGGGCTGGACGATGCTACCAAGGCATTCGTCGCAGCGAGCGCGCTGAAGAAGCCTGGGAAGGGGGCGCAGCCTAGGTGCTACATCTGCCGCCTGGAAAACCCCCAGCCGCACAAGATATTCGCCGCGATGTGTGGGCCTTGTGGCGAGTTCAACCTCGCGGGCTCGAGCGCCTCTCTGCCACAACACCTCAGGCTTGAGGGCAAGACAGCGCTCGTCACTGGCGCCCGGATCAATCTGGGATTCCACGTCGTGCTGCGGCTTCTGCGGTGCGGCGCCTCTGTCATCGCATCAACGAGATATCCCAGAGATGCTGTCGCGCGATACAAGGAGCAGCCGGACGCCGCGGACTGGATGGATCGTCTGAGGGTTGTCGGGGCTGATTTTCGTACTGCCAACGACGCATTTGGTCTGATCCGACAGACCAAATCTATCCTGCAGGAATGGGACAGCGGTCTGGACATCTTGATCAACAACGCTGCGCAGACCTTGACTGATAGTGTAGGGATGGAAGAGACGGCGGTAGCACGTGAGAATAGCCTCAAAGGCACCTCCATGCCTATGCTAGCTCAGGGGAGCTACGAGGCCAGGGTCTGGCAAGGAGCAGCGGCAAGCAATACCTTGAGAGAGGCCAGTCCCGAGGATAAGGCTCGTGAAAAGACTGCCACGGCGCAGGTCCCTGGGAAGGATGCAGCTTCGGAGACTCTTGGCCTCGAAAGCCTGGCTGTGAACCAGCACACCGACGAAGCGAAAGAGACCGTGACAGATGCGATCATCAAACGGCCAGGGCCATCATCGTGGGTGCAGTCACTATCAGAGATCCCATACGACGATGTGATAACAGCCCATTCCATCAACACCTTCGTGCCCCTGATCCTGATCCGAGAGCTCCTGCCGTCCATGGACCACCGCAAGGGCGCAAATACAGGGCACGTTGTCAACGTGTCCTCGCGCGAGGGCATCTTCGAAGACAAGCCCAGGCACGGCGCCAAGGGCGGCAAACACGTCCACACGAACATGTCCAAGGCCGGCCTGAACATGATAACCGAGACCGAGGCGTCTACCGCGTGGAAGAAGTACAGGGTCTGCATGAACACGGTCGACCCGGGATACATGAGCGCGGCGCCCGAGTTCGAGGACGCCTACGGCGGCGAGAGGCCGCTGAGCTGGGAGGACGGCGCAGGCAGGGTCCTGTGGCCGATTGCGATGGCCGAGGGGGGCCGGGGGCTTGACAGGGAGAAAGGCAAGATAGGGGCTTTCTGGGGCCGCTTCCTCAAGCACTACGGGGCTGTGCGTGTCGATACGCGGCTGGGACGTGGCTGAGCAGGGTGCCGCTCCTCGATGGGTTGGAGCAGGGGAAGGACAGACAGGAAGGGTAATGAGCGAGAAACGAGTGCCCAGGCCTATGGGGCCGATCTCTAGGCTCCGGTGCAAAATAACATGCATGGATATCAAACTTGTGCTATCAAGCTTGTGCAGAATGTGTACGGAATACAGTTGGAGACACACAAGCACAAGCACAGGCATACTGGAGATTCATCAAAGAAGGGCAAGGATCTGCTATGGTGACTGGACACGAAGCGCAATTCTCAGAGTCTTGAAGTAGAGTCAATTCAGTTTCGAAGGCTCTGTTTCTGAATCCGATCTTCCTGGTAGCAGGAATCATCCCAAATCTGCCGTCCCTAGCTGGTCAATCAGCTGGAGAAAGACCCTGACAAGTTCTTCGTGTCGCCAAAGTTGCCGCTTGTTTATCGTTTCCGGCTTATGAAGTCATCTGCGGAGCCAGACGCCTATGTCGGAAGATCAGTCTTAGACTGCGCACATCAATTGTTATGGGTATATCAGTGGAAAACGGTAGACTTGCCTCAAAAGTCCTGCTCCACGCGTGTCTCCAAGTCACTTGCGACAATGAACCACGAAGTCGTCAGATTGGCCTGTCCGAGCAAGCGTAACAGCCCAGCGCTACAAAGACGTTGTCAGCCACAAAGATGAATATGTTGGCACGACCTGATCAGCAAAATGAGTTGGACATACCGCAAAATGGCCAGAGAAATAGAGAGGCTTGAATGATGACTTGATCAGCACGATAAATTCAACCACAAGGAAACAAGGCACGCATAGAGTTCTCACCGCTGCACCCCACAATACACGGGCAAAAGCAGCCCCAGGCTCCGCCGGGGCCACATTCCTTTCCCATCGGTGCCGAATCCTGGACCATGAGATCCTTGGCCATGGATTCGTAGTCGTCACCATCGGGGAGACAGATCATCCCGCTGACCGCGTCGGTGTCGGGGAAGGTGTACGGGTTGCTACAGGCGCCGGGGCCCGGACGATGGATGCTGTAGATGGTGGGGATTTCGTCCAAGGCGCCAGGCTGTTCCGGCATGCCCGTGTTGTACTCGTCGGCGAGTTTCTCGCGGAAGACAGTCACTGTGCCCCAGCCAGGGAGGTAGGACGGCCAGGCGAGGGTGGTGTTGCGGATGGGCTCGGAGGAGGTGTGTTCGATAGCAGAAGCAGTGATCGGGGTGCCGGTGACGGCGTTGATGAGTGTACCCACCATCAGCAGAGCCAAAATGGCCGAGAAAACTGACTGAAAAGCCATCGTAAAGCAAGTATCTACCGCTTGATGGGTCTAAGAGGGTGTTGGATTATGGTCTGTGTAGGTCAACTCCGGAAACGAACAGGTGCTGTGGTTGGAAGAGAGTGAGGTAAGTGGGCTTTGCACCTTGGAAGTTCGCCTTTTTATATCATGGAGGATCGAAAAGTGCAGGCGAACGCTCAGTGAGTGAGGATTCTAAGTTAGCTGTTTGGTCCATGGGATTTACTGAATCACTGAACTAAGTGAGAGCTTCTCAAAAGTATCAATCATCTCTCAATTGCAAGGTAAACTTCAATGTTACAGGATCGTCAAGGGAGCTTCATTCGAGGGCTTTTCCATTGGAGTGACGTGCATAGGTAAGTGTCAGTCATTTACCACCGTCTGCAACGACAACTTCAGGCAGTTCTACTATAGGCTGCGTGAAGGTTAAAAGCTCTTTCGACGGCCGAGGATGATGTGACTGTACAATATAGGCTTTCAGTATACCAACAAATTTATCAATATCTTCTATGACACTAACCCCTAAACAACATAATGCTCTGGGTGGGAAAGCTCACTCACCCATTCCACTACTGGGGTAGAGCAAGGCTCTTAACATAGGGTGTGGGGATCAAGTAGTAAAAGTAATTATATAGTTTCACTTCTATTCCATATATATCTAAGGATATATATAACGCTTTTATATAGTAATAAGCACTTAAAACCTAACACTTAAAAAGAATATAATACTAATAATAATAGTTATAATATAATAAGAACTTATACTCTTAACCTTATAATATATAGATAAAGTTAAAAGGTACTATCTTAATAATAATATTAATTATAAATAGAAGTAGCCTATAGTCTAATTACTATAAAGGAGTTATATAGCGAGATTAAATCTCTAAAAATAATCACTATATAAATAAATTACACTAAAAGAAACCTAATTAAAAATTATTCCTTTAAATATATATATATATATATATATATATACTTTATAATAAAACCTTTATTAAATAAGTATTATAACCTCTATTTAAATATATAGTTATTAACTTTAAAAATTTAAAATAAAAAATAATTTATAATATACTACCTTTAAGACTTTTATAATAAAATATTAAAACTTTTAAAAAAGTTTTAAAAGTAATTTATAAAAATATAAAAAAAAAATATAATAAGCTTATCCTCCTTTAAGTTTATACTTTTATTATTAATAATTATTAACTCTTTAATAATATAGAAAAATATAATAGAAATAAAGAAAAAAGTAGATTTAAAGTTCCTTTTTAAGAGGACTATAAGGATATATATAAAGTTATTAAAGACTTTATATATAAACTTTAGATTACTAGGAAAGAAACGAGTGGTTATATAGTGTAAAGGAAAAATATAGTGTGGTTGAAGCCGAAAGTGATTGTATTTGGTGAGAAATTTCGTCCCTATTGCTCCAGAGTGACCCATGAAGACGGCGAATACGGGGTTCATTCATCATAGAGCTGCAATATGAATGCTCCGTAACATTAAGTCGCTCTGAGCTTTGTTGCTCAGCTCACAAAATCCAAACACTCGCTGACCATCTTCGTTGAGCTGACTCTCAACGATCTTTTCACGAGCAATCCATTCGAAGCTCGTAATCTAGCGAAGGTAAATGCTAGAGTCTATTGAATTCGGACCTGATAAGTTCGCAGAAAGATGATCCACCAATCGTTCATGAAAGTTGGCATCTGATCTACTGCCGTGGATTCTGGGCTCTTGGCTCAAATTCCGCCTCAACGCGTTCCAGGTGTCAATCAATGGCAATTTGGCATTCAAAATGCTCTGGTGGTCTCACCTCTAAGTCCGATGTCTTGAGCTTGATATAGATTTGGTGTGATGTGTGTGTGGACGGGTAGTGATTCTGGTCAGGAGAAAACAGCTAGAGAGCAGAAGGCTCCAATAATAGAGGATCAACGTAAGCAATTATTCCTCTTTCAGGCAGGTGGGGCCCGCATGAATTCCCGTCCTGCATCTGCGGACTGATACTAGGTCGACCCTACCCTCACAACCTCAATAAAAAGGTAGGAGGCTCGAGAGGGTGGGGTGGAGTCTACGAGACAGGGGGTGAGACTCTAGAGACACTTTCTTTAAGAGGCTGGGAAGTGAGCATTGCTTTTCCCACAGATGCTATAGCCTTGTAGCCGACGCCCGAGAAAACACAGGGGGGTTGGAATAGCCTCGCCTTTGTACAGTCCAATTCGATCATTCGATCTCTCTTTTGCAGATTATTAATCTCTGAATTCACACTGCCTGTATGTGCAGCCCGCTGCTTCATCCTCCTTGGAGCAGCGTGTCTCCAACCACGAGCGCAGGCCGTGAATGTGGAACAGGGTGGGGCGGGTGAACAGGCAACACCGCCACACACGTGAGAATCCAACGTCCTCCCTTTCCAACATCCCCCCAATTCCCATCTCCTGCCGCTGTTACAAAAAGCCTCGCAGCACACACCTGCTTTCCGAGTGTAAATTTTCACAGCCCTCGACGAGTCATCTCCGACCCGAAATCATGTCTCTCGCAGACCTGGATGGGGAGTATCTGGCTTCCTTGAAGCAAGCGATGACCAACTTACTTTCTACACCCCTTGCCGAATTTGCCTATGCCCAAATTATTGACGGCATGCCAACCCGTGACTCCTACTTCGGACCACGCCATTGCCATAAAGGAGCTCCCGTACTCAATCATCTGGAGCTGTGCCCTGGCATTATGGAAAAGACTAGGGCTTTCCGCTCCCAGTTTGACGTCTTGTCCCTCAACTTTGAACCCAAGGTTTTTGAAATCTGATGACCCAGTAATAAATACCACAATGGCTAATGCTTAATTTGCAGACCATACAAGCCTATCAAGACACAACTCTGGGCTCTGCTGCTTTCAAACTTCGGCTCCTAGAGCTAATTGTAATTGCCTGTCACAATATCGCTGTTTACCTTTACCAACTAGACGAAGGAGCCCATAAGCACGCGGAATGGGAGAAATGGCACACGGAAATGCGTGACGCGCTTGCAAAAGAAGATTCCGAGGAGTCTCGGGACCTTCGGGCTGAGTACGGACCGCCCACGCCATTCTTTAGGTCTTATCGTGCCTATAAAAAGTACCCCAACGGCCTGGAAGACGTCGCTGGGTACTGGGTAGAGTACGAGATCTTCGGAGGTGTTGTCCTTTTTGACCGCGGAGAGAGCGAGGACGAGGTGAGCGAAATGATGTCTAGGCAGGACTTTGCTCCCCCTTATGGAGTCTGCCGCCTAATTTGTTTCACAGTGCAATGGCATATACATACACATTCCAGAAATCATTGATACCCTCGCACCACCGACCGAAAAGCAGTTCACCGACCTCGTGGCTTTCCTCTTGTCACCAACCGCAGACACGGACCCTAGCCACTGCCCTCTTCCGATACGCATCGGCTTCCAAAATAAATGGCGTTGGCATCACTATGAGGGCATGGTAGATTACAATATCTTCAAGTTTCGCCATGAGGTGCCCAATTACCCACGCCGTCGTCGTCGTGAGTGTGTCGTCTGCATCAAGGACTGGCCCGAGCTTGATGAATATCAAACCATATGGTCACACAGGGGCGTCTGTGACGAGGATTTGATAGCGGCCTGTGAGGAAAGGTTGAAGCGAATAGCTACCCCGACATCTGCGTGCTATCACTGGGACGACGAGGAACAGTCAAGGCTACAACCAGACCCGAAGAAACAAGGGAGACCACCATACTTCTTCGACCCGTAGAAAGGAGATGCCCTTCCAAGGTTGTCTTGAGGTCTTGATAATGTGGCCTGGTGTCTGGATACAATAGATGTGGTACGCGAAAAATTTACTACGAACTTGCACCCTGTGCCGTGGATAGATGGGAATGAGGTTGCGCACTGAGATCATTATGAGCTCTCATCAGGTATTAATAACCAGGGATCAGAGTTGTCCTGGGGACGAAATGGATCCTGCGGGAGTAACAGCGGCCATCTCCTTCCCTATCGGGCTGGTTGCCGAGGCACCTTGCGATAAGGCTGATAAGTGGCGGTCATGAGCACGACAAGCTGGACCACATGACAGCATTCACAGCTCCGGCATATTCAAGTCGCCAGGGTGGTCTTTTCTCTCCACGACAATTTCATTTCATTGTATTGCATTGCTAGCCTCTTGCCTCGCCGAACTGGTCGCGCCTCATCTTGAAGCCCAGATATGACACGAAGCATTGCGTCCCTCCCTCTGCGTCACCACGACTCTGCTGCTTCGCTGCGCGCCGTCTCGACCACGATGGATGCTTATCCTCCCGCGCCAGGACGAGAGCTCTCCAGAGAGGCAAAGTGCTTCATCCTGGCCGATATGGACCGCTCTCCAAGGAGTGAGAACAAGGTCTGCAGGGGCTGCATGTTGGGCCTCACGCCTCAGCAGCAGGAGAACGCTGTCAGGGCCGAGTCCGGCCAAGACTACAAGCTCCTTGACCGGCCTGACTGCAAGATCTGCCATCTGAGGTCCCTGAAGCCCGAGGCTTTCACCAAGCCTTTTACTCAGTTCTTGACTGAGAACCCCACCATATTCCACGCCGTAGATTATTTCAAGGAGAAGCTGGCTGCCGTCGGCTTCACCGAGGTAGGCTGGGACCCCCCGTCTAACCCATGTCCAGAGCTCATGAAACTGACAAATCCGCCCCCAGCTACCTGCTCGCGACGACTGGTCGGGTCAGATCAAGCCTGGCGGCAAGTACTTTGTCACGCGCAACGCAAGCACCATCGCGGCGTTCGTGGTGGGCGAGTCCTACAAGCCCGGGAACGGCGTGGCCATCATCGGAGGCCACATCGATGCCCTCACCGCGAAGCTCAAGCCCGTCAGCAAGAAGCCTGTGAAGGCAGGGTACTTGCAGCTGGGCGTGGCCCCCTATGCCGGAGCGCTCAACGAGACCTGGTGGGACAGAGACCTGTCGATTGGCGGCCGGGTCATTGTTCGCGACCCGGAGACGGGCAAGACCACCTCCAAGCTGGTCAAGCTTGGCTGGCCGATTGCGAAGATCCCGACGCTGGCTCCTCATTTCGGAGTTGGGATGATAGGCGCGCAGAACAAGGAGACGCAGGCCGTCCCCGTGATCGGGCTGGATTCCTCCTCTTCGGAGGAGGTTCTTGGCGAGGCGGGCACTTTTGCATCCTCCCAACCTCCCAAGCTGGTCAAGCTCATTGCATCGGAGCTGGGTATAAAGCCCCAGAACTACAGCAGCATCGTCAACTGGGAGCTCGAGCTGTTTGACTTCCAGCCTGCTACGGTTGCGGGCATGGACAAGGAGTTCATCTCCGCTGGGCGCATTGACGATAAGCTCTGCTCCTGGGCTGCCCTAACCGGCCTGCTTTATGGAGACCACGCGCCCTCCGATGGCGGAATCAAGCTCGTGGCTCTGTTCGATGACGAGGAGATTGGTAGCTTGCTCCGACAGGGTGCCAAGGGCAACTTCCTGCCCTCGGTCATCGAACGCACAGTTGAGTCGCTTGCAGCCAGCGCTGGGAAGACATTCGGTCCCGGCCTCCTCGGTCAGACCTACGCGCGCTCGTTCCTGGTATCCTCCGATGTCACACACGCTGCAAACCCCAACTTCCTTGAGCGTTACCAGACCGACCACCTTCCTCTGCTCAACGTGGGCGTTACAATCTGCGCGGACAGCAATGGCCATAGTAAGTATAAGCTCGAAACCCCTTGTGTGCTTCCTGCAAATTGAGCATGAATTGTGTCCGGTAGCTGACATCCCTGAACAGTGACAACGGACAGCATCAGTACGGCCATCTGCAGTCGTGTAGCGGAGCTGAGCGGTACCACGAACCAGCATTTCATGATCAGAAACGACTCTCGATCAGGCGGCACCATTGGCCCCAGTCTGAGCTCCATGCTGGGCGTGAGGGCCGTCGACGCAGGCATGCCGCAGCTCTCGATGCACTCTATACGAGCCACCACGGGCGCCCTGGACCCGGGTCTGGGAGTGAAGTGGTTCAGGGGCTTTTTGGATAACTGGGAGAAGATCGATGCTGAGTGGGAACATTAATGTGCTGTTATGAGTGTCAGTGATCCCTGGGTAAGTTGTGTTTGTGAGATATTTGAGCCACGGAGGTTAGAACACGATGTAGACGCATTGGATAGAATTAGCAGCAGAGATTTGGAGTCTGTGCTGTTCCAAGTAGCATATTATTGTATCATACTGGGATTAAAGTAACTACATCCTGTGTCTCAGTTCATGACTTGATGACTCTTGTGTCTGAATATGTGTGAGTAGACTTGTATCTCCGAACAAACTCACGTTCTACAATGCGGAGCCTTCTTTTACATGAACAGGTGAGAGTGGATTCCAAGTTTGGGAGGGATTATCGAGGCTTGCTTCAATTTTTAAATTTTGAATTGAACCAGATTCCTGACATGTTGGCCTTGTTTCTAAACGTTACAGAGATTCGAAAGCAGGGGTGACAGCTCCTCAAGGCCAGTACAGACAGTATGCGGCAGCGCCGTGCCGAGTCGCGCAGCGACACTCACCATCCCCTCAGTCACCCTGGCCCGTCAGTCACAGAACACCAACACCCTCCGCATATCCATGTTGTGACCACGTTCTCAACTGGTGGGCCACTTTCTGACCCGGCCCCTTAATTTCAGAAGCAAGGAAGGGATTTGACGAAGTTTCCCATTCGCATCGCGCTTGCCCACGTACAGCAGTCATGGCGCCCCTGGACCTCGAAGTCCCCGTCTTCTCGCCTGGCTCTGCACGCGTGGCCCTCACCAGAGCAAGCCGCCTCGAGCTCAACCGGGCAGGCTCGTACCCCCAAGGTGGCCTCACGCCTGAGTTGTCCGACGTGCAGAGTCTGTCGGCGGTGGCCGTTCCGCTGAGGATCAGTAAGCGTGCCCCCTCGAGAAACAGCTGCCCTCCACACCCAACAGCTCAGGGCACCAAACACTTCTTAAGCAGGCCCTGAGGCGGCCCGTGTACATTTGTCACCACACCATACACAAGCAAACACGCAAGGAACTCGACAGCTGATCCCCATTGTTGCAGTGATCCGGCCACGTGGCCCCCCAGAGACCGGCCCCGACTTCATCTACTCACCCAGCGAGCTCGAGGCGATGAGGCGCGACATCCAACGCTTCAAGGACTCGGGGCACCTCCGCCCAGAAAGGGGCGACGGCTTCGTCTTCGGGATCCTGAGGGCGGCACCAGATGACGGCCCGGGGGGAGGAGGCCTGCTCGTCGACGCCGACAGGAACGCCGAGCTCGTCCGGCTGGCGAGCCCCCTCAGGTGCGTGTTCCACCGGGCTTTTGACGAGGTCCTCGGCAGCGGCGGCGGCGATAGTGGCGGGCCCGAGGCGGCGGTGCGCTCCGTCAGGGCGTGCGGGTTCGACGGGATCCTCACCTCGGGCGGCCCGGGCTCGGCGGCCGACAACCTGGGCGTGCTGGCCCGCGTGGTCCGCGCCGCCGCCGCGGAGGGCGTCGAGGTCGTCGTGGGGGGCGGCGTCAGGGGCGCCAACGCGCGGGTGCTGAGGGAGGGGCTGCCGCGGCCTGAGGGCTCGCGCGTCTGGTTCCACTCGTCTTGTTTGACCGGGCAATCTGGAGACGTTGTTGATGTGGATGAGCTGGGTAGCCTTGGGGATGTTCTATCCTAGATCTCACAAGTGCCCAGACGCTGGGGAATAGGGTGGGCTAGGAGTATTGGGGACTAGGTGCAAGTTTAAATGGAAATGTGCCTGTAAGTTCACACCACGAGATTTACTCTGGTGTCCACTACCAAATCGTCTATGTAGTCTACTCAAGTACGGAGATCCCACCTGGGCAGCACTTACTGTCTAACCTCCCACAGGATAACCTGCTGTAGGATAGCCTGCAACAGAACAAAACCATATGGGATACCGTCCTACAGGATATCCTTCTATAAGATACACTCCCATTGGGTATTTTCCTGTAGAATGCATCCTTTGGGATAGCCTCTCATAGGGTAGCCTCCTATATGGCAGCCTCCTGTACGACAGCCTCCTGTGACTTAACGGTGAGGAGGTAGGTTAGTCATAGAGAGTCTACAGTGGCATCTGGAGTTCCGAGGCATATGGCTGTGACACAGAAATCATGTCTGTGAAGATCTCATTGCTGCAATTTTATGCTGCAGCTTGTGCAGCGATTGTCGAAAACGAAAGAACGAAAGAAAACACTCATCAACTTTTAATCCGCCTCCACGCCAACTTCTCTGCCTCTCCTCAGCCTCTTTCCCACACGGCTACTCGGAATCGATCCAGTCCATGAGAACACCAGGTTTCCCGAATACCCTACTCATCATCCGAGGGAGTGGCGGGGAGGGCAGGCCACTGCTGGGCGATCGGGGCACCATAAAAGCGACTATACCACTCCTGGAAGGTCTCGAAGGGCATGAGTGGTTGTGGAGGCTGCGCACGCGAGAGCCACTGGCAGTATTGCAAGTAGTGATCGTGAACCCCCAGGATCGGCTGCATCTGCAGGGCCGGCTGCTGCAGGGCCGGCTGCTGCATGACTGGCTGCTGGACAGGTGGTTGCTGCACCGCCTGTGGCTGCTGGTGCTGCTGGGCCCTGTGCTTCTGCTTCCTCTGCCTTCTCCGGGACACCACGGGCTCAGGGGCTGCAAATAAATCAGCACAAGATCGCAATGAGCCGCAATGGTAATCCAAGATAGCGACTGACCGGGCTCGGGCTCGTCCTCGTCCGTGTTCTTCAGCCACTCCTGGTGGGCTCTGACATGGCGTCCCGCGTTCGGGGAGTGCTTGCCCTGCACAAGATTCTGGAACCAATGCTCATCTAGCAGTTCGTCACGTTAGCAATCTCCACCAGCGCAATATAGAACGACCCCTTCTAGAACTCACAGATTGAAATGGCTGAGTAGCTGCGAGGGAGGTCATCCTCGGTCCAGGTCGGATTCTTCTCCAGCATCTCAAACTTCATGACGTCGATCAGGGGCTCCCAGGACTTTGCAAGCTCATGGTGACTTTTCTTCTTCGCCTTGCTCTCCTTGTGGAAGCCGGGAGGGGCCTGTCTGGCCAGGACGGTCCAGAAGGTCTCCTCCTCACTGTCGCTCCAGACCTTGCCACCCATGTTTGCTGAGGAAGGAGGTGTAGCGGTAGTTGAGCCTGGTAGGGAAGCGTGCGACTGGGTATCGAGTCTCGGTCGAAGATGATAGCGGGTCAAGCGTTGGTCGGTCCAAGAGGTCGAAGCTGTCTGTCGAAAGAAAAGAGTCTGAAGGAGAGTGTGTCCCAGAACGGAGCCGCGCTTTTATGCCAGAACGGAGCTGGGGTTTTATGCCAGGGGGGTGCTCAGTCTTTATGGCTAACAATCCATTGGGAGTCACTCAATGGCGTGGGTCAGGGGCCATACGTAGACATTTGTGCCCACGATAGAATGAACAATGGCCCACGAGCTCCATACCTAGTTGTATTTGGAGTGATTCATTGGCTCTGCCGAGCTTCTTGACGATGTCATGCGTGGCAGGAGCGTACCCAAATGGACTTAGCTCGAGGGGTGACCCTCGAGGGTGGCACCAACCGACCAACCAGCACGCATCGTGGTGGCCGGCCACCTCCCATTGTTCAACAACTGCAGGGAGAATACAATGGCAGCAGGCAACTTGAATAAACCAACTTCTCCAGGAGAGAGCTCCATGTCGTGATCTGAACCACGATGTGGACTGTGACGAGAAGGTTGATCCGGACCAGCCTGGCCAGGCCTAGCCCCTGTGTGTGAGCAACAGCCGCAGAGAGGCCCACGGAGAGAGACCCACGCAGAAAGACCCACGGAAGCCTCTACTCAGAAAGACAGTGTGGGAGCCTCTACCGTCACAACTTCTTTCAGGCGAAGACCAACAGGTGAGTGGCAGTGCAGTCAGGGTGAATCCGCATATGAAGCATGCAGATGACTGCCTTGCAGTGAGATGGGATAGGCCTCTGCCAAACCATGGTTTTTGATCACAGGGAGGCAAAGGACAATGACCCTTGGATGAAGCCTAGCCGAATTGCCCCAAGAAGTAGCACCTGCTCTCATAAAAGGAGATTCAGTGACATGGCTGCCGGCCTGATGCGGCTCAGCTGCAACTATTCGAATGGGCTTCCCGGGTCCTGGGGCTTATATCCTCGGGCAAGCAGAAATGGTCCCAGTTTCTGCTCCATTCTTGAGAACTGAGGTGTTTGTCAATAAAGTCAAGAGGGACACCAATATTGGGGGATGGCCTTACAATACTCTTCTGATGAAGTGGGACGACACCATCTTTGATCCAGACACCATAGCTACCCATGCTGTTGGCAAGCATCATGTCGGTGAAGAGCCTGTCACCAACAATGGCAACTTGGCTGGGGTTGGAGACACCAGTTTCGGGGTGACTCCGGAAATACTCCATGATCTCGGAGCCACATCCAGGTTTCTTGGTCTGGTGGGAGAGCACCTTCACACCTGTGGCCTTCTCAAGCTCTGATGCCAGCTGAGCCTTGGTATCGTAGCTGAGTGCGCCAGCTGTGTTGGACACAATCAAGAGGCGCCTGCCTGGGTATGCAGCCTTTAGTGCCTCGAATCTTTCCTATGTGACGTAAGCTGGGGGACCCCGATGACAACAACCCACAGACTGGAAATGTACCTGATATGACTTGTGGACCTCGTTTGTCTCTGGAACTGCAAAGCAGTCGTCCTTGTCAAGCACGACTGCTTTGATATTGACCTCACCCTTCCGCTGGAAGGCTGAGTCCAAAGGGATGGGCAGGTCCTTGAAGGTCGAGACGGCCGCGTGAGGCAGACATAGGGAAGGGTTTGCCAGGAGCTTGAATATATTCAAGGACGCCGAAAGGTTAAAGTTCGCGCCCATGGTGAGGTATATACAGCGTTTTTGGTGAAAAGACAATGAATGAGTGGACGGCAGGCTGGAGGAGTCTTGCTATCGAGGAAGTCGCAGAATTGGCGGGCAAGCCTGTGGACAAAAGTTGACGTCAAATTAAGGCCTGGTCAAAGCGCCCGAAGGTGCCTATTATGGATCCCTGCTGGGGCTGAAATACCACTGTAACGCGTCCCGCTCGCTCCCGCAACAACGCGTAGCGCGGTCCCACGTGAAAGGGACAACGATTGAAACACCAACCACAGCAAAGCCTCAAGAAACAAGCATTCCAAGTCTCAGGCATGATATTGAGGGATTTGATGCCATGAAATAGTCCTGATTGCAGACTTTGTCCAAGGAAGCCATCAGAAAAAGTCGTCACGGGCTCGTTCCGGTCACGGGCTCGTTCTGAAGAGAAAGAAAGAGAGAGGAGAGCGCCAGCACAGAGTGACGAAGGAGCCGAAGCCACTGTGATTGCCAGAGAGAGTGAAGCACTATTGCGAGTGCCATACCTGATATCGGACCCCATTTGCGGCCGGAGAAGGTGCCAGCATAGACGCAACCGCGATACAGACGCAACCGCGACCACGGCTCAGGGGGGACGAATTTGGGACAAGTTGCAGTGCAAGGGTGCGCGACATCACAGCTGGAATTGGAGTGGCAGTGGCGAATTTCTACGGCCTGAGTGCTAGTCTATCGGAGAGGGCAAACCGACCAGGGCCCAGGGCAGGAAGCCAAAGCAAGAGCTCGGCCGCCCGAGGAGGTGACGGCCTGCGGAAGCGACACTCCGGGAATATTCGGCAGAGAATCCCTGTGGCAAACGCAATCATCAGCGAGTGCCCGCCCGCACACAGAGGCTCTCAACACACGCCATCAGGCCCAAGGAGAAACGTCACCGCACATCGTTCAAGTATCAGAACCTCGGCCCATCCATTACATTCAGTGGCAGAGGATTCAGGGGCAGAGCGTCAACATGGCACGCCGCGACATTTATGACTTCGATGGGACCGGTTCAAGCCCAGAAGCCGATGATACAATGGAAGATGAACTGGCAGAGCCTGTTGCAGCGACGCCAGCACGGCGTGGCCGCCCACCCAAGGCCAAGCCTTCGACGACTCCGGTAAAGGCAAGTCAGGCGGATGGAACGAAGACAACACCCAGAGGCCCACGATCGGCTGTGTCCAAGGCAAAGCCTGAGACGCCGCACAGGGAAGGAGGGGCCAGGGGCATCGACACGCCAGGCCGTCGCACAATCGCTGATAGGTCCGCTCGCCGGAAGAGTGCCCGGGCTCTGATCGAACGTGTGGTCGACGATGCCACGAGCGATGATGAGGCTGGCGATGAGGGCCTCGCCCGAGAGATCTTCGAGTCTAGTGGTGATGAGGCCATGCAAGAGGATGAGGGAGTCCAAGACGAAGACCTCGAGGATGGGGCAGAAGACGCCCAAGCGACACCTTCCAAGACCGCACGGGGCCGGAAGAGGAAGGCTGCCGCCAGGAAGAGATCCCCGACGCCCCCGCGGGATCTACCGCCGCATGAGATGTACTTCTTCCAGAACAAGCCAGGACTGGCCAAGACATCCAACAACACTCTGGCATCACTAAAGCTGCTCACCCACGACGAGTACTTCTCGCTCCTGCGGGGCCTGAAGGACCCGCACGAAGAGGACATCAAGTTCCTCGAGGACCTCCACGCCGAGTCCTTCGGGCAGTGGAGCTTCGAGCTGGCAGAAGGGTTCAGCCTCTGCCTGTACGGCTACGGCTCCAAGCGGGCCCTCCTCCACCGCTTCGCCAAACACCTGCACAGCAAGGCCTCGACCAGCCAGCAGCCGCACAAGATCGTCATGCTGAACGGCTACGTCCGCACCATCAGCGTCCGCGAGGTCCTCTCGACCATCAGCAGCGCGGTCGACCCCTCCTACAAGCTGACCTCGGGCACCCCGGCCGCCCTCCTGCACGACGTCCTCTCCCTCATCGGCAGCTCCGCCACGACCATAACGCTGGTCCTCAACTCGGCCGACGCGCCGCCCCTGCGCCGGTCCGCCGCCTTCTACGCCGTCCTCGCCCAGCTGGCGGGCCACCCGCGCGTCCGCCTCGCCTGCTCGGCCGACACGCCCGACTTCCCGCTCCTGTGGGACGGCGGGCAGCGCGCCGCGCTCAACTTTGCCTTCCACGACTGCACCACCTTCGCGCGCCGCAGCCCCGCCGAGCTCGAGGTCGTCGACGAGGTCCACGAGCTCCTCGGCCGCAGGGCCCGCCGCGTCGGCGGCCGGGACGGCGTCGCCTTCGTGCTCAAGTCGCTGCCCGACAACGCCAAGAACCTCTTCCGGCTGCTGGTCGGCGAGGTCCTCGTCGCGCTCGAGGACGAGGGCGCGGCCGCGGGCGGTGGAGACAACCCTGGCGTCGAGTACCGGATGCTGTACAACAAGGCGGTTGAGGAGTTTATCTGCAGCTCGGAGATGGCTTTCCGGACGCTTCTGAAGGAGTAAGTCTCCCCCCCCCCATCTCTCCTGAGTCTTCTGCCCCTTACCCCTTTGCGCGCTTGATTTGATGCCGTAATAGAGGCTCCGGGCATTAGAGTTTGAGAGCTGACTTGCGGTGCTAGATTCCACGATCACCAGATGATCACCAGCCGCAAGGACGTCCTGGGCACGGAGCTCCTGAGCCTGCCCTTCCGGAAGGAGGAGCTCGAGGCCATCCTGGAGGACCTGATGTCGTGATGCGGCGCGTGCTTAGTGAGGTGCAAACACGCACGCCACGGGAAAGCAATGTTCCTACCCTAACTTGTCAAGGGGGCAACTTGCACATAAACGGTCGAGTAAATAGACAGTCAGCCAGCCGCGAGTAGTACGAAATGAAGTGTGAGAACAATGTAGAATCAAGCAAGGCCGAGGGTTTCGTGGTGAACTTACTTCGCAGTAGGCATCAACCGCCCGCGACTCGTTGACAAGCCTGAGAAACCAGCACCGGCCGCCTCTTCCCCAAGGGGGGGGGGGGGGCGGCGGGTCGTCTCAGCGTACAGACCCGTGTGTAGCCACGATCAACACCACCCACTGCTAGAGCTAGCATCTACTCAGCGTACCATGGGGCCAGTTGGCTCCGTTAATGGAACTCATCAAGCACTGTGACAGCGAGGACTATCCTCTCTTGTGATCCAACTGCATTCCGTTACGTCCATGTAGAGCTCGAATATGAGACTGACTTGTCCTTTGGAGCTCACAGCGGAATCAAGCCTGTCTTGGCCGCCAGGGTTGGCTGTAGGTCCTCATCAAGCAGCCTGCCCAACGCATTATCTCGTACCAACATACAGATAAAAGATATGGCACCGCATGACGGTTCTCGACACGCAACTTCCGTTCGAGAACAAGCCTTGACTATTTTTTACCACTACAGGTCCGCCAGGGACGGCTCGAGGCGAGGGACTTCCATTCATCACCAAATACGGCAAAGAAACAGAAATGGTTGATAAATTATCTTTGTTTGTTGAATGACGCTACGGGGGGTGGGGCTGCGAAATCTCATGGTATCTATGCCTAGTAAACCCATCAAAGCCCTTGATATGAACACGAATGTTAAAAAGACGCTGCCTTCGATCCCATATCGCTTCTTCAGCTGCCGAGCCGATCGATCCATAGTGAGAGAAAGGGAGCCGTGGTCGAAACGAGCCAGCGATCCCACCACCCCCCTTTCACAGCCCCGTGCTCTTGACACAAGTCCAGAGCACCACAGGCACGACGACATTGTCGTTCCCGCCCGTGAGGACCGCCTCCGTCAGGCTCGCCGCCGAGGCGCACAGGCCCGTCCTGCCGAGGACGCCCGGCCAGTCCCAGCCGCCGAGCAGGCCGGCCAGCACCGCGTCGATGCCCCGCGGCCCTCCCCCCTGGTCCAGCGGCTGCCGGGACGTGACGGGCCACCCGCCGAGCCTGAGCCAGATGTTGGCGGCCATCAGCCCCGCGAACACGGCCGCCGCGAACGCCACGCTGCCCTCGAGGCTCTTGCCCCCCTTCCACAGCCACTTGTGGTGGCCCCAGCGGCGGCCGATGAGCGACGCCGCCGCGTCGCCGAGCCCCACGCACACGACGCCCGCGACCATGCTCAGGTCGCGCGTCGGGACCTCCCAGCCGCGCCGCGCGTGGCCGGCCCCCGCCCGGCCCAGGGAGGCGAGGCTGAGCCACAGCGGGATGGCGCAGCCGATGAGGAGGAAGATGTGGGATATGACCACCGGTCCGCAGTGGTCCCTACCGTCCGTGTAGGGGTGGAGGAAGTTGGCGATGGGCTTGGACAGCGGGGGCAGCTGGCTCGCGCGCAGCAGGTCGAGGAGGAGGAAGATGGCGAGGACGATGGCGAGCGCCAGCGCGCACCAGGCCGGGTCGACGTAGATTGCCGGTAGGAACATGGCCACCATCATGAAGTGGAAGACCTTGCGGCGGGTGTCGACCTCGTAGATCGGGGACAGCCGGAAGACGACGAGTAATCCGATGGCGATGACACTGAGCCAGTAAGCGGCAAGCACCAGCCTGGTGTTTGCCTCGCCGATCGAGGCATCTCGTAGGTGCTGGACCCAGCCCAGAGAACAAGACTTGTTGCCGTCATCAGCACGATGCGGGAGGCATATCCATCTTTCGAGATTGGCCTGAACCACCTGGAACCTGAACCACGGAAGATCACCGAAGATGTAGCCCAATGCCCAGCCAATGGGCTCATTGCCGTCCAGCGCTTGGTACTGGACACATGCTCGAACGCCTCCTAGGATGACCACGACGATGCCCGCATAAAGCCACCCAGCGTACAGCCACTTTCTTGTTGCGGCTTGTGACTGAGTCAGCGAGAAGAACGCACGTACGGTCAAGGAGGAAGACCTCTTCCTCCGGCCTGATGGCGTGTGAGTCTTGGACCGGGGTAGGAACTTGTCCACAAAAGGGATTGTGTGCCGCCGCGAGGGTGACTGAAACGCAGCCCCATCAGCATCTTGATCGATGGACAGGCTGGCCTTCACTTCTTTTCCTGCCGCCATTGAGTTTGTATCTGCCCTTGCCAGCCCGGGGAACTCGCTCAGACCACTTTCGTTTGGTAATATTGACGCGCGGCGGATGGCAGAGGCCTTCTTGATGTCGTCTTCGTCGGTTGTGCAACCAGATAGCCCACCGGAGTCTTCGTTGTCCGAGCCTGGTTCGAGTCTGAGCCTCTTCCGATAGAACACGCTCGAGAGCAAAGTGAATATTGAAGGTTGTTTGCTATGTGGCACCTCCCGTCGGAACCGCCATTTTGGTACTCGGGCAAGTGCTATGCCCCACCGGATGACTGGGCCACACAGGACTATAACTCCGAGGCCACCTACCCAGAGGATAGCCTGTAATATTACAGCTTGTGGTGAAGCTGAGAGGATTAAAAGATCGATTAGAGATATCGAGAGTAATTGAAGTTCCGCTGGCAAAAGACTGGTGGTTGTCAAGTGATGCAGGACGAGGCACAAGGTCTGGTGCAACGGGTACAGCAGAATCAGGGCTTCCCGAGGGTACAGTGACAATTGGGAGTCATTTTTCGACGACCATTGTGAGCCGCTCTCGGACGCGAGGAGAGGCAGGCTTGCGAGCAGCCAATGTACAGGGCTGAAGGTCTCGGCAGCGGTGGTGGTTGGGACTAGTGCCCTCGGCAGGGAGGCGATGCCGAGGACGAGGTTGGGGAGGATCGCATTCCTCACATTCGAAGCCGTGAGGAGTGAGACAAGAATCGGCAGCGCCGGTGGATAGAGGAGTGTGGCGGGATCGAAAGACGAGGGCACACTCAGAGGCAGTCTCCTCCGGGGTGGCTCTCCTCGCGTGTAAGCCCAGAGCGCTACGCGTAGAGGATATAGCGCCAGCAGTGCGGCGTATATTGCGCCCTGTAGCACGAGGCGTTCCCGATGCGACGCGACAATGGGACGCACGTCCGGATTACTGACAACCAGCCTCCCCAGGCCGGACAGGATCAAGACCTCGGTGGCTCGCCTGACGATCTCCTTGCGCCGTCTTGCGCTTTCTGCGCTCTGCCTCTTCTCGTCCTCTGCCCTCCGTTCCTTCCCCCTACTTGTACCGATGTCTCCATCTGGGAGCGAAGGGGTCAGGAGAGGGGTGGCCACCCCGGACGGCGGATCGGGTCTCCCCCGGAGGCCCTTGTGCAACCGCGCGCGGGGCGCAGGCAGTCTTTTCACGAAGATCTCATCGTCAGCCTCGGTACCGCTGTCTGTGTTTGGTGTAGAATCTTTTGTGAAGGCTGGCGAGGGGGTGAACTGTTCGCGCGCGTCGCCAGGGGCGTGATGGACGGGGACGGAGCCGGCGCGGGAGACGAAGCTGTCGGAGGGCTCCAGGATCTCCCACTTGTGACGGAGGTACGGGTGCGGCGATCGCGACAGAGTCCTGAGGTTCTCCTTGTCGTCCAGTTCGTCATTCGGGGCCACGTCGAGGGGGTCGGGTCTGGGAGGTTTGAGGGATGAGGACATGGCGTGACTTGCGTGCGCAAGTTAGGCGGTCATGGGGGACATAGACATGGAGCACGGCCGGGGTTGCGGTCGGGATCGCGGTCGGGCTTGGGGGTCCCGGACGGTGGAGTTTGGAGTTTTGGGGCGGCGTGGTTGGGTGTTGGTTGAGGATGACAACAAAGCTATGGCGCCTGGCTAAGAGTGATCTTCAGTGTGGCCCTAGCTGTCAGAGCTGTGCGAGTGTCTCAGTGTCGTGGGTTGTTGAGCAGCCAGCAGCCAGGGAGGTCCGGGGCCGTGGTGGAGCGGGTCCGGTGGTCTTCACATGCGCGAATGTCTGTCTGCCTTGCTCCGTTCTTGGCGCTGGCCGACACACTCAAGATTCAACAAACCCAATGCCAGATCAGAAGCTTTGAGAGGTTACGTATGCCCCCTGTCCGCCACCGCAACAGCCCTGCAGGCCCTGCGACAATCATTGGCGCTAGCCCATTGGCACTGCTATCGATAAGGCTCGGCCTCTGGGCAAACGAAACAACTCGAGCCTCAGGTCGGCACGTCGGCCTATCGAGACAGAACCTCGAGACTATTTTCCCCATACGGAGCACAGTGGAACTCAGGGACGGAACTCGGCATCCTGATGTCATATCTGGTCTGGCGGACCAAGTCACAGTCTCTAGCATTGCTGTCCTTTTCCAGGAGGGTACTGTGGACTTTTCAGCTCCCAAGACTCTACAGATCTCGTTGGATCTAGTGTGACAGCTGCAGACAAGAGGCTCGCTGGCAGCAGCTACACGGTAGCCGTGCAGTGGTGTTGGGCCTCGGGCCTGCATATCGGGATGCCAAAAATAGGAGGATCGTAGGCCCGGAGCTGTCATCATCTACTGCCTGCCTGCAACGGGAGTGGCCTGATGAGCCTCAGGCTGTTGCGTCTGCTCCTGTAGGTCCCTGAGCTGGCTGACTGCAGCAAGGGCTCCAGTCCGGTGTTGTGTGTCTCGGGCGCCACATGATGCGATCCCGACCGGGCGCGTCGTAACCAGTGGGGTCGTCATGATGATACTGCCAGACCACAACTGCATTGCCACACACGGGCAGCGCAGTCGGTCGCCAACAAAGGGACGGTGTGCTCTGTCAGTCTGTGTGTGCGGAATCGCAGCCGCTGTAACCAGTAATAAGGAGTACTGGCGGCGCTACCTGGATGTAGTCTAGCCGTGCCAGCCGTGGTCCGACCGCCCTGGGTCGAGGGAGGGGCCTTTTGGTCCGATCCAAGGTGAAATACGAGCCAGGAACAAGGCGGTGTTCGCGATGAGGCTCAGAACCAGTGACGTTTCCGACTCGCCCGACCGACGCGGTGCGCGAAGGTGGAGCTGTCACGGTCAGAGCCGAGAGTCGAGACTGCTCACGAATCGTGGCCCCAGCCAGAGGCTTCACCATTGGGGAGCACACCGATGGGCCCTGATGGCAATGGTGTTCAGCTGGCAAAGGAAGAGGTGGGCCTCTGGTCCTTCATCTCGCCGTGGCCGTGGCCGTGACAGTGAGCTTGTCTCCCGGTGGAGGCTGGTCGCCGTTCAGGGTCCGCCGGCGCCGTGCAGGTGAGTCGGGGGTCAATCCCACCGTGGTGTTACGGCACGGCGGAATGCGGATTGAGAAATCTGCATGTGGTGGTGAGAGAAAAGTCTTTGACAGGGAGGCAGGGAGGGCTTGGTTTGCCCGGCCTGTCTGACTGTTTTGGCTTCATCAGGATATGCACCCCGCTACCACACTACCACGCTGCCGCCCACATTAGGCCGTGCAGAAGCGTGAGCGTGCAAGCATGGCAAATCCAGGTGCTGCCTATCCGGATGTGTTGATCCACCCTGTGTGGTCTTGGGGGAATACGAGCCACACCGGGCTGGGGGGAGGCGCTGAAACGACCGACGACTGCTAGCCAGCGCAAGCCAAACACATCACACAAAACTCTGCAGCTTATCTTGCACGCCGGCCAATTCGTCAGCACCGTCCGACTGCGGCTTTGCGATGTGATGTGTGTTTTGCAGCAAGTCGCAAGATCTGGCTCACTACGTCACCATGTCAGAAGGGGATACAAGGGCACTGACGAGAGCATTGACGAGACGACGTGATGGCCCTCTTGCATTGCCTATAGGAGAGCACTTACGGTGCAGTACCGCAATATATCAACCGGTTTAAAGTACAGACCCCGGGGGTGACACCTCCCTGCCTCCCTGTCTTGGAAGGTCGCAAGAAAGCAGGGCCGACGGGCGAGTAGGACAGCGGTGGTGTAGAGCTGCCGTGGAGATGCTGCCCAGGAGGTGCCTAGGAGATGCGGAATGCCCAGCAGCCCAGGTGGGAGGCTGGGTTGGCACAGACCGGCGAGCCCTCTTGGGTCTATCCCAGCGCCGACCAGCCTGGGCGCAGGGGGTGCTGTTCCGTTCCGTGAACTTCTGTCAGGTCAGTCAGGTTTGTTCTGTCCGTTCGTCCCACAGGTGCGACAGTCCAGCAAGACTCAAGACTGCAGACTGCAAGACTGCAGGTCGCCTCCTGCAGCCACCTGCACGAGCTGGCCGCTGCAACACACCTCCAAATGTTCCCTGGCGGAGATCTCCCCTGCTGCTGCAACATCACAGAATACTCTGCTGCTAATCTCGGCACGCCTGGCTGCCAGGTGGCATACTGTACTGTGTGCGCTCTAGCTGACAGGTGGTGCGAATCTGGTGCTCCCTAGCGAGATATTCAAGCCAAAGAGAGCAAAGCCCCATCGACCTTGCAACCCTGTCTCGGGTAGGCTGGTAGGATTGTCTTGATAAGTCTGGGTAGTCTGATAGCCTGTGGTAGTCTAGGCTGATCCCTGTTGCCAGCTTCCCATCCGGTGCGGTCCATTCGGAGTGATCAGCATGGCTTGCATCAGCCTCCTCTACTCCTCCTCCTCCTCCTCCTCACCCGCTCCCACCCTGCCACCCTGCCACCCTCACCCTTGCTTGGCCTCACGCACCGTCGCTCCGTACCCGATGCCATAGTACACTACACAGTCCCATCTCGTTAGCGGCTGAAGACGCTATCCCGATTGATGAGGCCTCTTTTAGTATAATTCTTGTATGCGCCCACGTTCCCAGGCAGGCTGCAAAAGAAACCGCCGCTAAGTCCAAGTACCACCAAAACCCTTCATGTTAGCACCACGATTATTCCACAACCATATCATATGTGCTTGATTTTAATTATATAAATATCTTTAGAGTAAGCTTCTAATTCAAATGGTATTAAAATATCATTAAGAACTTGTGGTTGTGGGCAGAAAGCAGGTGGATAACTTCTGGGATCCTGATTCTAGTACATAACCATGTGCGGTTTTTTTTGCAGCCCGCCTGGTTCCCTCGCTGCAACTTCTCTCCCACCGCCACGGCAAACGGGTCAGCAAGGAGTGGGTATTCTCTCGGCTTTGAGCTGTCACTCTTACGAAAATAAGCACGCTCGCTGAATATCACAATCACTCGCTACTCCGTACTTAATCCACCCCAGCGCACTGCACTGCACTGCACTGACTTGTTTCGTCTCCGCCGAGAGACCCTCCCATCATCATCATCATCATCGACGGGCAGAACGGGTTAAACATCGACAGTTCCAGTGGCTTCTCTGCCCTTGATCCGGATCCAGCCTCAGGCCCAGACCTGCATGCCTGCATGCTCCCCTAGGGTCCAGTAAAAACCCAATCCTCGCCACGGATCTTGTCCAGATCGTCTTGTCCAGTCCCCGCAGTCTCAGCGTCCCATCCAGGAACCCGCCCGGTCGCCCTTTTGCCTCTGGTCGCCTCCCCCGAACTGCTGCAACCGCACATCTGCCAGCGCAACGCTGATCCACCATCCTGGAGCTTAGCTGGGCCCACCTTGGAACCTGACAGGCCTGCAAGAGTCTCCGGTTTCCAGTTCCTGTTTCTGGACCCGCACGACCACCAGCACCCAGGCCACCCCTGCCTACCAAGCAGCCCAAGCAGCTTGTTGGAGAAAGTATTACTGGCCGCCAAACCCACCTTTCGACATCGCTATTCGCACAGCTCGACTGCAACCACATGTCCACTGGCCCCAATATGCACCTTGAGACCCCAAAATAAGCTGCCTCGCTGATCGTCCGCTTCTGAGGCTCTCCTCACCTGTGGCGGTTCCACTTCTGCGGCACTTGTCTCCCGCTTGGCGCCTGCGACTGCACCGCACCGGTGGCGTAGCGCCTCTTCCCAAGGGTTATCTGCAGCGTCCGCCCCCATCATCTATCTACCTCCCTTCTTCAAGCCCCTCCTCCCCAGCCGCCATGGCTCCGTCAAAACCAAACGATGTCGAGGCTCTTGGAGCAGGACTGGCCCAGGACATCCAGGAGAAGCACTACCTGAGGGAGACTGAGACACATCAACAAGCTGTACGGACACCCGACACTGGCCGACCACGACGAACCATGGATTCTGGACGGAAACTCTTGCTGGCACTGCTGGTGTGCTGCATGGTCGCCCTGGGCTTTGCATCAGCCCATCATGCCCGGGCAGATTGTCATGACCAGGTCGCAAACGCTGACCATCCCGTTGTGAACGTCGAGCACTCCTCGCTGTCATCTCTGCTGGCGTCCAACTCCGCCGAGTCTCTTCGTGAGCTCCTGGAGAAATATGTGCCCGAGAGATACCGCCACGAGGATTCTCGCATTGGGAAGCGTCAGGAAAGCAACGGAACTGTCTCGACCCCGGTCACAACGGCTGTGACGACAGTCTCGTCCGAGTCGGTTGTGGCTACCACCACCGTGCAGACTCAGCAAAGCCCAACAACAACTGCCGCCACCACCCCGACCTCTGTGAGCGTTCAGCCCCCCGTCCAGACCGAGACGGTGGTGCAGACGACCGTGCAGACCCAGGAACAAGCCACCCAGACCGTCACAGCTCCTCAGAATCCTCCTACTCCCTCAGAACCTGCTGCTTCTTCTGGTACGTCCGAAGTCATTACTCCTTCAGCACCTGCCCCAGTTTCTCCTCCCCCAGCGCCGACGTCTTCGTCTTCGTCCTCGTCTGAACAGAGGAGCGTCGCCGTTGACTCGTCAACCACGACTGCCACTTCTGCAAGTCAGTCTGCCCCTTCTTCGTCTTTATCTTCTGCCTCTGAGTCGTCTGCAACTCTGCCCTCCTCTTCCTCGTCTTCCTCTAGCACTGGAGAAACCTCCAGTGCTGAGGAACCCACGAGCGTCTCCAGCACCGCGTTGACTACAACCTCATCTGGTATGTCAACATGGTCTTCCATCATGCGTGCCATGGTACTTGTACCTGTGCCTGTGCCTGAGGAAACGGCCTCCACGCTTTGATGTTGTTTTCTTTGCCTCCCGTGTACCACACATGCTCTTGAGACTGTAGAACGTTGTCGCAGGAGCCAAGGGCTTGCAATTTCCGTGACTTGAAAACACTTTGCTGACATACCTTGTAGCTCAAACACCGCCACAAGGCACCACCCTGGACACATCCAGGACGACCCCGGTCGCGGATTCGCCCACGAGCACGTCCAAGACTGCCGTGTCGTCCAAGAAGGTCACCACCACATTCACGTCCACCATGCCAGACGGCGGGATCTCGGTCGTCACACAGACCTCCTTCTCCTACGTCGACGCAGAACCGACGGACGGCTCACACACCCGCCCGGCCGCAAGCCTGCAGACCAACGCCGCTTCGGCTGTGGGACCGGCGCTTCCAGGTGCCGCCACGCTGCTGGCAGGACTCTGGTTCTTTTTATGGCAGTAATTTTCAGCCCTCTTGAGGGCAGAGTGTCGGCGGACGGCATCTTACCAGATGCCCTGGCGCACTTTGCCTCGGGCATGTTGGAATGCCAGGATAATAATGCCCAGCATGGGTGGCCCACGGGCCGCGGATGGAGGGAGAGTGATATTCTCCAAACGCCCACAGAGGCGACCAGGGAATCCGGAGGCCCTTCTGTTCCGGCCTCGGAAGTTTGTTTTTCGAAAGCATTGTGATTTTTGAACAGCTTTTACAGCACTTGCATAGCGTCATTGGGCGGGGCACAGCGGGATACGGCGCTACAGTATCGGACCACTCCTTCATTGTGATCTTTTTTTGCTTCGGGCATTAGAACTACTAGCGGGGAAACAAAATGGGCACGCGCGCATCATGATGACCTACATAGAAGGAGGAGAAGAGAAAAGCACGACTAGTTAAACGCAGGGGGTTGAGAAGGTATATTCTCTCAACAAGTACATAGTGAATGTACACGAAATAATACTGAAACCTTTTTGAGGTTTGACACTTGCTTGCCAATTTTCCAAACTCACATTTCCATACTTGATGTCATAATACCGCTGGCTGGATTAATCAGTGGCTTGTGTTGCAGCCAATTCGAGATGCACTGGAGCAACGATTTGTGTGGGGAGGGGGGGTGGGGGAATTGCAATTTGGGGGCAATCTGGATACCTGTCTGCTTCAGGTTTGGATCATGGATTTGGCTGAAACGCGTGCGTAGACTGAAACATAGGAGAAGAGGAGGTAAGGTTGTGAGCGCCCTGCCCAGGTGATGATGTGCCCATTTATCCACCTTACAACCTTGGAACGCAGCGGCCAAGATGCCCAGAACCTCTGGAGATTATGTGACCATGCGATTTCAAGGCTCGGAAAAGCTGCCGTATCGCGAGATAGTGAAGACCCAGGATCACGGAGCGGTTGGAGTCGGCGTGTTGCTTCTACTTACTCGTCTCCTTTGTTCGCGATAAAAGCTGTCGTTCTGCTTCTTCACTTTCAGGACAGTTGGATAAGTTCTCAATACCTAGGTAGTGGACAAGTCGATGGATTCAGTCGACGGAAGCCCGATCGAGCGCTGAGAATGACATCTCCATTCTATTAGGATAGTGTCGTACTTAGATCTTGCATCACATCGATAACTTAGATTCTAACTCACAGGTAGAAACAATTTTAATCTTTTAATTGTACAGAGCTAGGACTCAGAAGCTGAACCTGCTGTGAGCTGCAGGCATTCAGTGTCCCTGAAGTCTAGGGACGTTGGGACCAGAGGGGCAATATGATTCGAACGCCCCTGAGAATGAGGTCTCCATGAAGACGGTGTTTTCATCAGAGAAACGATCACTCTCTCAACCCACAAAATATCCATGCGTGTTCTGCAACCATATTACTACTCTACTTACTTTAGTATATGTACCAGTTGACGTTCAGCAAATATTATCAAGCCTCGTGTCAACTGGTCGCCACTTCACGAAAACCAAGTCACTGGGGTGGGACTTTGGTCTCTTGCACTAGATAATTCGCAGTGATAGAGCCTTGCGGCATAATTGAGGAGCTCTGAAGATGGAACCGTCCTCGGGACACTGGCGACAAGATTGGGGTGTAGTATATATGATTACGTTGAATGACTGCCCTTGGAGACCTTATATATTGCTTCACATCGAGGAGAGAGTGAGACTTACCCTTTTTTTGTGTATGGATCAAGAACACTTTTCACAATCTTTTTCAAAATGTAAGAGATATCAATTGGTGTCCATGTAGCAGCAGGTAATGCTTGGCACTAAGTGAGCTGTGACGCCTGGGGCTGAATTATGGACACATTCACGGTTGAGAGCAGGAATGAAGTGTCACGGGCAAGGCAACAAAGAGGACATGTTCGGATTAATTTCAAACCCTTTTCGACGCATACTGGCTTAGGCAGTCCAAGTCAGGATGGGACTTGGGGGGAAGTATTTGACGATGGTCTACAGTTAACGTTATGCGCGAAGCTTGAATCAGTAGTGAGGCTGAAGGCTGCCAACTGCATATTTGGGTCTTGGATTTATTGTTGATGACGTAGACTGAGGAGGTATTAGTGGATTCATTGTGGGCCGTTAGTGGTCTTTGGTTGTTGTTTGTTGGTGGTTGTTGGCTGTTGGTTCCAGATGTCAGCTCCCTACCACGCTGCAATGATCGAGGATTTTAAACCCGCAAGACGGAACAGGTGGCTTACATCTACCCCCCACAAGGATTCATTGCCATTACTCGAATTCTTCCTTGATGCTTCCGATCCTTTCTCAAGCCCCAGGTGATTTTAGCAAGATTCCAACCTTCGCAAAACTTCATTAACAACCAAAAAAAAAAATGATCAACAGCACCCAGCTTGATGGCGTCGCCCTGGTGGTCGGTGTGAGTGGCATCTTTCTAATACACATTAATCAGTTTACTGACACATCATGTATTTGCAGTCAGGCAGTGGTATTGGGAGAGAGGCCGCCTTCTCCCTTGCAGAGGCTGGCGCCAAAGTGGTCGTGTTCGCCGACATGAACACAGAGACTGCCAAGGCCTCGTCAGAAGAGAGCAAGAAATATGCCCGTAACCAGGAGTACCAGACGACCATCTTCGAGATGAATGTCCAGGACGACAAGTCCGTCCAGGCCATGGTCGACTTCGTGGTCAAGGAGTTTGGCCGCCTCGACTACGCCGTCAATGCCGCCGGAGTAAGCCACCCACACTGGCACATGTCCACTTCCCCAAGCGAACCCTGAGCTGGCGGCGACTGATTAAGTACCCGCGCACCTAACTAGGTCGACAACGGCGTGCACGCGCCCATCTCCGAGACTGACATGGACAACTTCGACCGCATCATGAACATCAACGCCCGCGGGAACCTGCTCTGCGTAAAGGCGCAGGTGGCCGCCATGCTCAAGCAAGATCCCAAGACCTGGACCAGCCGCAACGGCACGCGGGACATTGGCCGTGGTGTCATCGTAAACGTCGCCTCGGCCAACTCGTACGTCGGCCTGCCCAGCAAGGGGTCCTACACCATCTCGAAGCACGCATTCATGGCAACCACCAAGATGGCGGGTAAGAAAGCCTTCCGGGACACGAGCATTCGTGGCCGTTTTACCCAGAGTATCACCGTGCGCTGACAGTCCTCAAGCAATGGACCACAGCCCTCAGGGGATCCGCGTCAATGCTGTGTGTCCCACGTGGGTCCGGACGCCGCTGCTGGATGTGGAGCTCAAAAAGAACCCCGAGGTCCAGGGCATGATCTCGGCCGTCGTGCCGATCAAGCGTGCTGCTGAGTGCGAGGAGGTTTCCGATACCATTGCCTATCTGTGCAGTCCCGCTGCTAGTTACATCAATGGCACAGGCCTACTCATTGACGCTGGGGTGACAACTACAGTGCGTTTGTTCTGATTGCGGCTGGCTATGAAGGGATATCGGACTTGAAAAGCACGTGGATGCTCGTGCGGTCGATCCAGACTCAGCGCACGTGCGTGACCTAGCAATCAAACAAATACCATAGTACCTCATCATTAAGATTGATACGTGACTTGAATCTAGTAAATAGATCTGACTTCAACAATAGTACCCGAGATGGTCAAAATCCTCAATCTCATTCTCAATCAGTGGTTTCACTGTGAACATGGCAGTAGCTTTCACGGGTGAGAGGAAATCAAGAAGCTGTGAGCCACAGGTGTCGTTCCCCCCCCCCCCCCCCGCTGGACTCGACATTGCTCATCAATGTTGGAAGGTAGATTTTTGCAAAATATTTGATCTTACTATGCAGTTCACCATTCTATTTTCAGCATTGCCGCAATATGGGAATTAATTCTTCATGACCAGGAACTTAATACTGGTCTTAAACAATTGTATGTGCCTGAGACCACAAACCTTCATGGTCGGTACAAGTTTTCAAATTAGTTTCACATGCATAGATCGACCACAGGTCCATCAAATAACACACTTCACCACAAATCACCGTATGAGGGCGCCACGTATGTCCTCGGACGTATACGGAATATAAGCGAAACCACACACATAATATGTTTGGGCTAGAGGGGATAAGGGCCTTAGAGGCTATAAGTAATCCGTACACCCAGTTACCCACCTCAGCCCCCAGCCAGATGCAGCTAACACCCCTCTTATAATATTCTGGCGACCAGAATTATTGTGGAACAAACCATTAGCAGAAGCTTTACCCGAATTCGAAGCCCAAATGAATGCTACACAATCCTCTCTTTCGTCTTTAAAGCTAGGAATACGTCTTCCCCTTTGACAGGCAAACTGGCACCAGGGCTTGGCTTGGTGTGATCAATCCTGGGGAATTGAACAGAGCTAGATCCCCATCTACCCTTGTCACCGACAGCTTCTCGTGTCCTGCCCACATCCAGGCTGGTCTCAAACCTAGTTAGAACCGAAGAAACAGCATAACCTAAGATACGCTTCGCTAGGAAGCGCCCGGGACAGAGAGTGTTACCACCCCCGAAAGGCCGATATGACTTCGAGGACTGCAGCTTCGGATCCTGCACAAAACGATCTGGAACCAAGAGCAATGGCTCGGGACCCCACACTGCATGGTTGAGGTGAAGTTGACGGTAGGGAACCTGAGAGTACAGAAGTCATCAGGCTGAGCTCCTCGACCATGGGTCGGATTCAGCCCCATGTGAGGGGTAGATTTTGTTGTCCTTACAAGCACTTTGCTCCCGGGGAGGAGGGTTTTGCCTCCAATTTGTGTTGGAGAAACAACGTCGCGGACAAGGGCGGATGCAACTGTCAATCGCAGGATCTCACTAATCATGGAGTCAAGAAGCGTGCAGTTGTCCGAGAGGTACCTCTCGTCCAGCTGCCCCCCCCCCCCTTGACCACGGGTTGAACTTCATTCTGAATGGCGCTGAGAAGTGTGGGCTGGTAGGCGAGATGAGCAATTGTCCAAAACCCGACTTTGTATATATTTCCAAGAATCCTAGATGAGCCCAGAGTTAGCAAGATCGGTAGCTTCGGAGACCAGGGGAAAATGGGGGATGAAGTACGCCCAAAAATGCAGCATGAGTACTCTTGCCATGTCGCGTTTGTCGCATCCAACGTCCCTCATCATCGCCTCAACAGACTTGACAAAATCGTTCCTATCCGCTCGCTGTTCCTCTGGGATATCAAGGTACTTGACAAATGATTCGATAATGTCGTCTCGGGCCTGAAGCAATGTCGCCACTGATAAAATCAGGCATCTGGAACATGTAGTATTTCCAACTTGTTCTTTCCCACAATTTGAAAGAATCTAAGAGCTGACGATTCACTTCCCAAATTTTGTTGCCAAGGAACGTAGTGGCTGTACCATGGACAAACATGTTAGTACAAAGTTGGAGGACTGAGACAGTGGTAACACCACCCGAGTTATCCACAACGGAGTTGCTGCTGCCATCAACAACAGCCTCAAGGGCCCTGTCAACACCAGGTATTAGCCTATTGTACAATAGGTCGTCCAATTGTGCTCCAGGCTTGGTCTGAAGGCGATGGTAGCCGTTGATCATAAACGCAGGTGCGTGGGGGCTCGGCATCCCCTTGTTGTGCCGTGAACACGGATCGACTGTGAACATCTTTTCGAAGCCGTCTTCGGAAAACCCAATCTATCTGTACATGTCTTTGATGACATTGTGATAGGTAATTGTGGTGGTATTGCGATAAAGGCAGGCGACATCTTAGGGAGAAGCGCAAATGTAGATGCGAGTTCCGGCAATCTAGACGCTGTATGGTTCCTTGGTATCGTTGAAGTGAATTCTGCGCATCATTAGCCTGGTCCAGTAGAGCACGCTGCATTTGATCGGCTGAGAAATACCTTCCCTGCTCTAAGGCCTGATTGTAATCCTTAATGAACGGACATGACCTAAGTATATCAATATGAAATCCACGGATCTTTCAAGTATTGAAGGCGTGATTCCTAAGTACCAAAATCTGTTGTCCGTTAGTCATATCGTCCCTGGTACCTAGGTGCGGTGACAGAACGTACAAGGTATCCAATAAGGTAACTCCTTGGGTTCCCAAGGCCTCATGTACGGCACGACAGTGAACCTCCAGAGCCTCCAACACAACAAGAAAAGTCCTGTGAGCAGGAAAAGAAGCGACATGAGCGATATGCTGAATCCCATGTGGTCAATGAAGGCTTGAGAAGATACGCGAAGCATGGTTGCAGGAATAAACGGGGTTGGGCGCCGTAGCTAGGGCTTGACTGTAATTGGAATGGAAACAACAAAGGTCCTTCTCGGAGCTCGTTCTTCAGAGCTTGAATGCAAAGAGCAAAGAGAGTCCGGTCGGAAACGTCGTAAAGACTTGCACCCAAACGCGATTCTAGATAGGGAGGAGCAAGGCCTTCACACAGCATGGCGTAGCACAGCATATTCCTCGGCACGCCAGCAAGTGTCTGCAGATACTCCATACCCCGGGCGAAATGCAGCAGTTGAAATTCTGCGCCTGAGTGATCGGATCCAGAGACCGAGCCCCAAACGCGTCTCGAAAACTCGGTGTGATGGCATCCCCGTGCAGTCTTAGGCAATCTGATAGCCGGGGTCGACGGGCCGGATAGTTGTCACACAATGCTACCCAGCTTACAGCCAACACTGTTGATAGAACGTAACAAATCGATCCTTCATGGTACGATATTATGCAATTTGGCTGCATGTTGAGACGATGTTCATACTGCTCACCCACAGATGATGGGAGGCTCAGCTCCGAGGTACGCAAAGTATTGGGTACTTTGCTCCCAAGACAAGAAGGTGTCCCTAGATAGACGCCCATAGGTTCAATAACCAGTTTTAGACAACGAGGGTCCCTCTGAGATTTTAGAATCCTTCCGTGACTGATAAGCGCATCCTGCCGTCAGCCGTGCAGTTGGGTGTGGCTCGGAATAATCATCGTGGCGCTCGGATGTCAGACCGGGCCGTACACTGACCGGGCCGCAGTAGACATCAATGATTGATTGAACCCACCCGCACTGCAGGCTCTGCCAACAGGCACCTAGTGGCGTTCGGCCCCGAACTTGGGGGGCCGAGTGGATCTTATGTCGGTCGGCCTACTTACCTAGGTACTCAAGTAGTGTAACCTCCGTATCACGGTGCGGATATGCCGCGGCAATATGTGAAAGACTAGTTGGAAGTTGCAGTAGCTCTGGACGCATATTACTGATGTGTTCGTTGGTGGTGCACATGTGGCCGGCGACAACTGGCCGCCAGACCTGCAACAAGACTTCCTTCCGCAATTCCGGCAAACAGTCGCCCCAATCACGGGCCTCGATTCTGTGCGCAACTGGATTCTCAGTCCAGGCGGTTGCGCCGCAAGTTTGATACAACAATCCATCTTGTCTGGCTGGTAGTTCCGGAACAGACAGTGACACCGATGGCAAGCCACGAAAGATGGGTGCAACAAGACTACCACCCTGCTTTTGATGGCAGGAGGTTGTAATATCAATCACAACTTGAAAGTTTCAAAAAAGCAATACTCGATTATACTACCAACTTGAAGTTTTGTCTCGTTTCTATTCGGTATACGTTCAAAGCACAGTATGAAGGCGGCATGTATGTCCTCGGACGTATACGGAATAGAAGCGAAACCACACAGGATTGCAAATATCAAGATAATGTTCAGATGGTAGTTGTGCTTTTCCTGAAGTCATTCAAGCAAACTGATCAGGCGTCTGTTGATACAAGCCATACATGTAGCCACAACCTTTGTTCCCCTCCATTTCGATGTTGACGGAAGGATTCATGTGCTTCAAAATCCTTCGAGCCGTTGCTATCCTTGATATTGCGGGTGTTACGAAGAAGGCCGCGCACCAGGCTGAGAGCAGACACACTCCAACCCTTCTAACCGCCGTCCTTTGCCTTGGAGAAGCCAGCCGCGGTTGGCATGCAGCTGCGTGAGATGCTGACGCACATTTCCACCAAGGCCATGAGGAGGATAAGATGCAATTGGGGCAAGATACATCAGCGTGGCAATTTGGCGTTTATTTTCTTGGTCTTGTTGCACATGTGGCCATTCTGTACTACATGATATCCAGCAGTACCTAAGTGGAGATCAACAATCCCCGCGCGCCTCACGCAAGCTGCCAACCGAGCTCACTGCATCTGCACCACGGCACAGTCTTACCTTACCTGACTGCATCATGTACGTGTAGACTCAGCAGTGATTTAATTGGAGGACAAACTGTGAACTAAGAATTTGCTCGATGCGAACTGAAATTCGTTCGATGCGAGCTGAAGATAAGCAGTGGACTCCGTCTGGAGAGGGTTGCTCTGCCGTACAGATCCGTACTTTGACCAATCCGTGGACCCGGAATAATCACTTCTTAGAAACGGGGGACAATTTCCTTGGAGGTGATTGACATATGACATAAAATAAGCCGTGCTGTCTTCAGATTTTCTTTTCGTCGACAAAGTGTGACCCTCGGCCATTCACAACACACTCACTGAACCCATAAACAAGTTGCGTTTCTAAGTGCTGTATCAAATTATTCAGGTTCAATCATGCAACTGGTCAACTTGAAGGCTATCGCTGATGATGAGAGGGTTCATTGGGCACTCTTTCTGCTTCTCGCCTGGACTGTGGTCTACCCGGAGGCAAAGTTTTTCCTTGTGAGCAGCCTAATCACCTATCAAAAACCCAACTACTATCTATCTAATACAGGATAATAGGGACTTCTGTTCTCTGGAGGCGCTAATATTGCAGACAAATTTTCCAAATGGACGAGAGTACTCAATGACTTCGTAAGCCGCTTCTCGCTGCCTTTCGCCTTGCGATCATGTGCAAATTCACTGAGCAGACTACAGCGGTCCGGAAGATTCTACAAGCCATGGAGATCAGGGGCCCCTATCGTGACCGTGTCAACGAAGAAGCAAATTGCTGAGCTTAGCGAGGCATCACCACTCTCCCAGCGCGCGGTTTATGCTGATGTGAGTCGGCCATCGCCCTCGAACTCGTCTGCCACAGCACTAAGCAAACGTAGATGTTTGGTTTCAAGCACACTATGAACAAATACGAACACAACACAAACGACCATAAGGTCGTTAGGACACGACTGTTTGGCCGTGTGCTTCATGTTGACGGACCCAACAACCTTCAATGCGTCTACCCATATCTCCTTACCCAGTTGGACCGCAGTCTAGGTGATGAGCTTCGTGATGGCCGTAAATTTGATGGTAGGACTGAGTAAACTTCGAAGCACTTTGAATTATGCTGACATTTTACATGTGGACAGGAGGCATCGTCTTGCATATTGCACCCACAGTTCGCCGGCTTTCTTCAAAGCTCATGAGTGTCATTTTCTTTGGGGAAGCTCTTTGTTAGTACACTCTACCCTCTAGTTGGGCACGAAAACCAATATTTAATCTTTTTCAGCCTCTGACGAAGTATTTTCTAATGCGCTGTTGCAATATCCTCGAGATATGGTGCGGTGTATGGCTGCCTTCCAGATAACACCGTCGTTCATGTCTCCGTGAGTATTCAAAAAACCCCGCTTGAAACGCTGATTTCCCACATGCTAAGCGCAGTATTTGATCGTATCTAACATCTCTAGCTAGGCTTGTGCATGCAATTCTCACAAATAACGGAAGAACCATGCGCTTGATCCAGCAGCGCATATTTGAGTGTGTGGGTTCTGGTCGCTTGACCTGGGGGGAAAACGATCCTACCAAAAAGGTTTGTAGTCAACCACCACAACCCTCGTCAGCAGACCAGAGGTGTTGATCCATCTTCTCTTAGTTCACAATCATGCACAACATGACCACGATGACTGAAACCAGTGATTACTGGAACCCCGAGCTGATCTCACAATCTCTTTTGGGAATCTGGTTTGCGGCCTCGCACCAGCCGTGGATGAATCTGCATTTCATCATACTGGAGCTCTGCGCCCGCCAGGAGTGGCAGGAAAGGCTTCGTCAGGAGCTGAAGCAACATTCACCACTTGACTACGGGACTTTGGAGAAGTTGCCCCTTTTGGACAGCTTCATCAAAGAGACTGTCAGGCTAAATCCGCTTGATACGCGTACGATTTATCTGCAGAGATCCCTTCTTACAATTCTACTTACTAATCGTACTCGTAGTTGCCATACGCAGAAAGTCACTAGAGCCATATACCTTTGCTGAAGGTAACTTATCTGTGCCGGCTGGTAGCACAGTCTGTGTGTCCGCATATAATCTTATGCACGATCCACAGACTTATCCTAATCCTGATTTGTTCGAGCCTACTCGATTTGTCCCCAAGGACACAAAAGACCAACAGCGACGGTTTACAGAGGTTTCAGAAACATTCCCCGTGTGGGGATATGGATCCCTGGCATGGTGGGTAGCCAATCCTTCTTTTATATGTGTTTATAGTTGGCTAACAAACAAACAACAACACAGTCCGGGCCGGTTTCATGCGTCGTTAGTCATTAAAATGATACTGTCGCAACTGCTTTGCAAATATGTTTTGCGACTCAAAGATGAAAATGCGCGGACAACCTGGTCTTGGGAGACATTCAAGATGCCTTATGAATCAACAGAAATCATCCTAAAACCGTTATAAATAGTTTGCATTCCTTTTCTTTGCGGGAAGTATTAATACTGGCTTCCGTCACTTCTAGGTAGTGGAAGCGGCTGCTTAGTTAATTCGGTGGACTGTTGACATTAGAATGTAAAGCACACAGAATTCTTCTCTCATATTATCGACCAAATGGAACTGCAAACCGCTGTGTATAAAAATATAAATTGGTGAAAATACTTGAAATCTTGACTAGCAGTAAATTATGAGGTTCCAAGTGATCGCAGTGGTGGCGTTTTGGGGCGAAAATCACGTTCTACCGGTTCGAAGAATTCTCGGTTCTTCGCCGGGCAATTCATTCATGTGCACATATATCCTACCATTTCCAGATTGACATCAGGCAGCGAAGTTTAGCTGGTCCAAGTAAAAGGAGGCTGCACAAGGTAGAACAAGTAGGCAATTCTTGGCTTTCAACCTCACTATGAGTTGCCTGTTAGACGCCCGCCATTCCCCGCCAGGGACACGTGGGTAGCATGAGGATACGCATCGTAGTACGCGGAAGTATAATCGATGGGGATATTACATGGCAGTCCGGTTGACTGCAAGCCAATCTGAATGTGATACCATGACCCTGTCGTCTCATCCTATTATATTACCTGTGTGAGTCTGATTGGCCATGGCTCGCACCAACAGGTTGCATTGCAATATTCTAGTCCATGTCACAACGTGTTAGCCTGCGGTGAAGCGTCGAAAATCAATTTTTGTTGCCTCGTTTCATGAGGACCGTAGCAATTGGCGCGTCTTGCGTGAACATCAGGGGAGCCAATATGCCCAGGTGGGCTTAGACTAAGAACACTGATTATACATTAAAACTTCAAGACCAACACAGTGCGGGTCTGGGCGGCAATTGCTGGGCGCCCCTATGACAGGTGTCTTCGAACGTTGTGACCCTATGCGGCGGGCGATCTCATGGAGCAGGGTACAGCTGGGTGTGGTTGGGATTGAGATAGTGCAGTAGTATAGTAGTCTTGGCGAGATCGCGATGTCAGGATGTGCAGCGCGGCTATGTTCGTCCCCTCCCTGGCTCTCACTTTATTAGTTCCTGAAACTCAAAGTATTGCTGCGGCACAGCATTACTATTCCGGGCCGACGCGACAATATGCGGAAAGGATCTCTCAAAGATGCGAGAATCAAGGTCGACGTAGATGTGGACCAGGCCTACCATCTGCAATGCTACATGGGGCCATCGAATGAGAGAATCACTCGCGACAGTTGGCCCGCGGACGGTCACACCCATCGCAGCTGATCGTGATGGAGAACAAGGTACCGGTATGGCCAATTACTTTTTCTTCCTACCCGCCTGACGATCGACCTCGTGAACAGAAAATAAAAAACGTGAAGTCTTTTTACCTCATTGTAAGTCCTCTCTTATCAGTTCATGCTCCCGGAAGGATTATCTGTTGGCTGCGCACAATGCTACCATCCCCGCAATCGTTTTGCCGAGTGGTCTGGACGCGAACATGGGTGTGAGGGTAAGGGCGCTCTTGCAGACGCAGAAGGTATTTACTGTTGGTGGTTCTGTGTTGAGGTCCGTCAATGTGCTCATAACAGTGGTTTCTTGGTGAACTGACGAGACATTGCTGATGAGTTGTGAGCCGCGATTTACTCGGCATTTCGCCCAGAGCCCAGAGCCCAGAATCGAGCCCAGAGCCCAGAATCGAGCCCAGTGACGCCCGGAAACCACCATTTCATATTTCTCCCATGTTTACTCAACGTTTTTCTTCCTTCTGAATCATCTCTTTCGTCCACGGAAGAACCTCTTCAGAGGCCTCTCGTTAATACCTCCCACTGTTGACCGCTCCCCGTCCAATTTTGCAACATGTCAACAGCTGGAGACGTCGATCCCACCAAGTCCAAGCAGGCACAGCTGCGGGCCCTTCTCATAGCCATGATGATCTTACCGACTGTGGTTGTACTCATCCGAGCATGGTCTCGAGCTTTGCTGCCCGTATCCCCTCTAAGCAGAATCAGCACCAAGTTCTGGTGGGACGACTGGATGGCCTTTTTTGGTGCAGTATGACTCCTTGTCTTTGAATTGCCTTACTACTTGTCTGACTGGCTACAATGCCGACTGAAAATCCATGAATCCTGATGAATTTGTAGGCGATCAATATCGCCGTTTGTGGTATTGGTCTCAAGCTCGTCGATCTCGGCATGGGGCTCCATGTTCAAGCTGTGCCTGCCGAAAATGTTGAAAAGTTCCTCAAGTTACTCTGGATCATTTACTACATCTTTGATACAGGAACAGCTGTCAGCAAAAGTTCAGCCTTATTTTTCTACGCCCGCATATTTTCTACAAGTAGGTTTAAATATGCGCTGTGGGTCGTACACGCTATGAATGTTGGATGGCTTGTGGGAATTCTGAGCAGTGTCACTTTTATGTGCAACCCTATTCAGAAGGCATGGGATGTCGCACTACCCGGTACATGCCTTAACACCGGAAGACTTTGGATGGGTAGTGGTTTGGGGAGTCTTATTATCGATGTCATTATCTTGGTGATGCCGCTTCCGATGCTGTGGAAACTACAGATGAAGACAATACGTAGAATCCAGATCAGTGGAGTCTTCGTCTGTGGATATTTGTGAGTTACTTCATTCAGCATGCCTAATGTTCTGATAGCGAATACCTTTCAGGGTCGTTGTCGTATCGATTGGCCGTCTCGTCACTATCGTCCAAGCTGGCAGCGAGTTTGAACAGGACCCGACGTGTAAGACAAGCCTCAATATATGAACTGTATATCCAACTGATTGCCTCCAGATAAAACCGCCACACCTACCCTGTGGCTTGGCTCCGAGATTGCCATTTCCCTCGTCAGCGTCAGCCTTCCAAGTGTCTTCTTTCTCGCCCAGCATGTACACATTAAGAATTTCTGGAGTGTTCTCACATCCCATATAAATTTGTTCAAGTCCTCCCTGTCCGATAAGGACAATTACCGTTGTGGCGAAGACGATCATGGGTTTATGTCTCGCCCGCATAACTACTCCTATATGCCCAAGACTAAGACGATGGCAGATATGAGTGGATTGAATGACAGCATGGACAGTACAGGGTACAGTGGTATTCAAGTGGTTCGTAATGTCGACGTTGCATAAGGATGCCAGGTCAAATTTGCAAAGTTCCTTGTATTCAGTGTTGTCAGATTGGGCAACATATGGATGTGCTATATCTTGTCGAAACTCAACAAGAAACTTTGACTTTTCAATACATCGTTTGTTGACCAAGTTGCTTGTAACTTGAGAAGTGTAAATCGTGTACTGTATTGTAGAGTGTACACATCTGACTGGCTTTTATCTGATCGCCGGGGACAAGATGGAGCTTTCGGAAAGTCAATCTCAGCAGAGAATGCAAAGAGATCATGCGGCCCTCCAGCTTTCTCCAGTGACGATCCCTAGGCATCCGAGCCCCGTCAAAATCGGCAATCATCCCAGGAAAACTTTATGAACCTCAGGTTGGAGTACAACCCGACCGCGTTCTAGGCGCCGCTTTGATTGCCCATTTATTAGCTATGGCTTCATCTCTGACCTCGCCAAGGAGTACATATGTATCTAAGGTGCGGGTTCCTCTTATACGGACGGGCCTTTTCGAGATTTTGTTGAGTAATGCATGTGCCAGGAACTGAGCCGAAATGACCCATTTGGCTTGAACTTGACGTTATTGATCCGGGCCCATGGATGAGTAAGTGCCTAAGATGTTGGAACAGAACGGTAGTAAAAAGGACAAGGCGTTTGGTCCGCCATTTAAGACCTCGTTTTGTAGTAGGTACCTAGGTAGGTAGGTAAGAAGTTGGGAAGCTCCCTGGGGTAGCTCCGAGCTCAGCTGTGCCACGGACTACCGTACGAGTCGGCACAAACGGCAATTTTTGGAGAATCCTCGCGATCATATTAACTCCCGACGAAGACCAACTGCCTGATCGTGAAAGCGTACTCAGTTTGTGACCTCGAGAACGTGAAGGGAAGCCACAGGCTCTATCCATCCTTGAAAGGTTTCCAGGACATTGCTGACTTGGGTCCCACGACCCAACGTACGCGTATTTTCAGACTCGGTGAACAATGATTAAACCACACTGGCACTCACTTCTGGACTTTATCACATGTCCTCACGGCGTTCATCCCGCACAAGCACACTCTCTGCGTCATTGAAGGGGTTCAGAGCAACTGACTATCAAGGTATGCACTGGCGAATGCCCTCAAGCGAGGTCAAGCTGGCGGCGGCGATGACTCGTACCCTGCTTACTGAAGAAGTCTGTCCGCTCACTGTGACCTCTTGCGGTACCCAGCTATGTATGGGATGGCAACGTTGCGCTTCCTATTGAGCCAGCAGACCAAGGCCAGTCTAGGCCATGTGCGGAGTAGGGACTCTGACCATCTCGCTAGTACACCGGCAGTCGACTGTTAGCCGCCTTTTCCCCTGGTCATAGCTCCAATTGCCTTGTTGACATTGCTGCTTCAAGACGGGCCGAAGACCGTGATAGCCTCATCACCATTACGCCCACGATTGCCGCGAGCTTTCCCTCACCCGGATAGTTCAGTTCAAAAGGAGATGAGCTGGGACAGCTCAGATCTCCTGTTCGAGTCGGAGACTGCCCGGAAGTGAGGGCCTTGATATTCTTGCATGTGGGATGTGCAGGGAGATCGAGATCAGGAGATTGCTCATCTGTGTTGACCGGCTGCCGAGAAATAAATATAAAAAGAGTCTCTATTCCAAGCATGGTCCTCACATTTTCTTCTCTTCAAGTCCAACCCGTTTCCGTCTTTACAGCCCGTGAAACAGGTCCTCTAAGAAGGCCTAGTACTCTCGTGAACTAAAACAAGTCCCACAACTGAATTCCAACCATGGGTGTCTCCCATCTTTTGCGGCAGGGTGTCATGCCCGTTCTCGTCGTGCTCGGAGCCATCCTCGCCGCTCCGCACTCTGTCATGGCAGCAGAATGCGATCCTCAACTCATTGGCTCCGGCCCAACTACCACGTACTTTCCCCCGCCTGCATCCCTCCCCGAAGGCTGCTACTGGTCACCCAATAGCATGCCATGCTCCGTGAAGATGATACTTACACGTCCCCTGCACTTCCCAGGCCAGACACGGTGGACGCTTTCCACCGGAACGGCGTCTACGGGGGTACCGCAATCAATACTCCCGTCCCTCCCGGCTATACCGTCTACACCAACAACGGCCAGATCCCCTTTAACCTCTACGGCACATGGAGCTCTGTGACTCGTAAGTCCCCGCGGAATCCATGCTGCAAGTCCCACAGCTGACGCCAGGTGATTACCCAAAGTGCCCAACGCAGACTTCCTAGGCTGGCGAAACCTCCAGACATACGACCCGGTCTACTGCTCGACCGTCTGCAACGGCATCCCGGGGTGCAAGTCCTTCAACACGTGTACGTCTACAGATGTCTTCATACTGCGCCACACTTGTGTGTTTTGTTCTCGCTGACGCGTGTCTTTTTTTGTGTCCAGTCTACCAGCGCGCACCAAAAGTTGAGCCGAGCTGGAATGCGAGCTCCCCTTGCTACAACCCGCCCTCGACCGTTCAGATCATGTGCACCTTTTGGGACACACCCCTCAACATGTCTACCATCGAACAGAACTTCGGGTGGCCCCGTGGTGGGTTCCAAGTGGCTATTGTCGGTGAGTTACGAGACTAGGATTACACTACTCACAACCATTTGCTGACGCAAGCTCCCAGCATCCAAATATTACAACAAGAACTAGTTGTAAAGCCGCACCGCAACTTGGGCTCTTGCGGGTCCTCTTGGGTTGCATGCCTCTGGAGGGAAGGCATCGAAGCGACGACACTCAGGTGATTGGAAAAAGTAATGTATGGGTATCTCTAATAATGGTAATGGGGTTTCTTGTCCCCGGATTCGCAAGGCCCCTATCGACAACCTGATGTCCATTCATGGCGCATCTTTGTACATGGATTCCGTATTGGTGTTAGACAAAACTTAGCCATGCTCCCATGGCAGTCTTCTGTCTAACGGTGCCACTTTTGTGTGAATTGTCCAATGTCGGCTCCTTGATGACACCTCAAGATACGACCGACCTTTGTTTAATAGCGATGTATCGTCAGGCCAGAGAGGGGTGGGGCTGCTGCCAAAGCTTGGCGAGAGAAGAGCTAGATCCGAGCCAGACAGGGGAGCGATCTGATTCAATATGCCATGATAGAGACGACGTGCAACCCACAAAGGTCGCTTTGGCAAGGCAAGTCCAAACTCTGTCTCGTGGCTTTCCTCTCTTACCGGGACGCCGAAGAGGTTGCCTCCGTGAGGGGCAGAAACCCCATGAGATCCAGGCAGTGTGGCATGAGGTTCGAAGGGGGTCGAGCCCGTCAATTTTCTGCACAGGCCAATGCTCTGGGCGCTGATGTCCGCTCCACGCGCCTGCCCCGGAACGTTGCCTGCTCCGCTCTCGCAGTATTTGGTGCCTTGTGTTCTTTTCCTTAGCCGGGACCGATCTTGGGCATGTCGTGGTGTTCCGATAGTTTCGAAAGGTAGGTGTTGAGCTCCTCAACGCGCTCCTTGTGCGTCTTGAGGAGCTCCGGCCTGGAGGTTTCCGCCTTCTCTAGCAACCTTTTCCTGCGCGCCTCCTCGAACCGCCGCTCGGCCTCCGTCTTGGTGCTCCTGGATGGCTCTGCTTCCTCCTCCTCTTCCTTGTCCTGGGAATCCTCCTTCTTCGGTTCGGTCAGGTTCTTTTCCAGAGAGGTCTTGTCCTTCTTCTTCTTGTGCTTCTTGACCTTGGCACCCTTGATGCGCAAGGCACCACCACCTGCAGACTTGTACTCCTCGGACGGCATCTCCAAATTTTGTGTGGCAATGGCCACACTCGTCGTGTTCGAATCCCGGTGTTGTGGACGTTCAAGAGTTGTCGTCGATAGCGAAGGCGTGATGTTGCCGGGGAAGATGGAACTCGGCAGGCAAGCAGGCCGGGCGGGTGTCTAAGTGGGGCTAACGCAGGTGCCCCACAGCTTGCGGAACTAGCCAATCAGACACCCCTGCAGGGCGCTTGCGGCTCGACTACTTCAACATCGCCGGCCCACGAAAATTTCACCTGGCTTTCTCTTCCTTTCTTCTTCAGATCAAAAAGTATTCACGAGGATGCCACGACCGTCGTCTCGCTTCCTACAGCGGCGCGTTGCCTTTCTTTCTCTACGGAGAATACCTCGGAGATCAAATCTCCTCGATTAGGAAGTCTGACGCCCTGCTACTCCATGGGTGCTAGATGCCAATGACGGGATACATCTCAGCATAGAAAACGAGCGATTTGTAAATCGGCGGCCGAGGTGCGCTTCCTACTGTGCGTCCTACGACGTTACCAAGCATGCATCCATGAACGACTTTGAGGTGACTGTTGGAAGCAGCAGACATGTCAGTCGTCGTGCCCGCCGCACGTCTCGTCCTAAATGCGTCCTTCCACGCGCAAAAGTGGTTCGGTCAAGACATCAAATGACCGTCTGCTCAATCGTGCAAGGCGAAAGATCGGTCGGTACCAAGAGGCAGGGTGAAGCAGGTCCCTGGGCAACCGTAGTCTTTTTTCCATACGTTTCAACCGGCTCTGCGCGCGTTGTGTCGAAACGCTTGGAGGGAGGAAGACCCACGCGATAAGTCCATGACGAGCAGTCTTTTCCATCGACTTGTCGAAACACAGAGGCCTGCCTGCCTGATGAGCGTGGCTGCAGTTCCGCAACCAGGCCTGGGAATGCGGTCTCACGCGCTGTCATTCCTCTAGTCGTGTGGCTTGGACGCCCTCTCCGCTCCCGTCCTGACGGCACAGGTCTCTGATCTTGACTGTTGGCCGCGAACGTGATAAGTCGAACCCAGTCTTGTATGAAAGTCGCCATGAGCTATGTGTTTGGGGGCGGCAAATCGTCCAGCCTAATGATGACTTGCTGCTGCAGTCTCTCATTTATTTTACTAAACGTAGGAGTCGCTAAAGACAGCTTGATTTTCTTGAATCTTTTTGACCCAGATTTGCTCGCCTGGGCCTCAGGCAGACAAGCGCTTATTACTCTTGTTCAGTTGCGCTCTCACACAGAACACCCGGGCATCATGTCGTAAGTAGTCTACGTGCCTTGGGAAATATGCAGCCTGACATCTGTCACTTCTAGTCTCGGCCAGCTGACGTCCAGCGAGTTGTTTGCCTGCGAGCCCACAGCGGCCCCATCCCCGCCAGTCGCGGACACATTCGCAACCACCGTGACCGAGACCTTCACCAAGGTATGGTTGTACAGCGCGTGGGCAGCGTGTCCGACCTCAGAGTGGCCCGCAACCTACACGATCGAGGAGATCTGCACCGGCGACCCAGCCACCTGGGCCCAGCCGGCCGTCCCGCCTAATTTCATCAAGACGGTCATCACCTGCGGCGTGTGCGTCGAGAAGACCCAGACCATCACCTGCCCCGTCGAGGAGGCGGCCCGGACTGGCGACATCAGGGTATATGGGAACGGCGTCACTGCCACGCCTGCTGCAGTTCCGGCACGACAGACTGGCCTGGGCAGTGGTCCCGGGGTGAACAGTAGTCCTGGGGAAAACGGAGCAGGAAGTGGCCCAGGGTCCGGTGCCCCAGCGCCCGGGGCGGGTGCTGGTAGTGCTTCGCACCCAGGAGTGGGTGCAGGAGGGGGCTCTCCGGCTGTTATTCCAGTTCCAGTGCCCCATAATAACAATGGCAACGCTGGGGCCAGACCACCGTCACCTGCGCCTGCTGGTGGCGAGGCGGCTGGTTCGTCTCCGACAACAGTGATGCATCAGTCAAATGCCGGCACGGATGCTGCGAGCTCGCCGCGTGTGACTGCCAGTGCATCAAGCCGAAAGAGCTCCGTCCTGCTCCTTTCGGGGCTTTCAGCCCTCGCATCCGGTTTAACCTTGTATTATTGAGACCATTCAATACTGCCTGGAACATTTGTTCTTGAGTAGAAGAGAAAAAGACTTCAGCTTATTTTTGTAACTCAGGGCTCCTACTATTGCAAATGACTCCATGCTTCCCATTGTACCTAAAGGATGATGCTAATCCCAATGCCGACTGATTGGATCTTTCAAGATCGCCATGCTTGTGTGTTGCCGAATGCTTCCATGCTGGTCAGATCTTGACCGTCCTCCGCCTGGTCCTATTTCGGGCATCTTGCTTTGCCCCCTGCGTTGCATGCATACCGAAACCTCAGAGAGTAGTAGCAGTCTCATGTTAACAATTCATCATGAGCCAGTGCTGATTGTACAGTCAGACAATCGCTTGTTTTCTAGGCTAGGTAACCGTCGTCTTTCTTGCTGCTGTGTTGATCCTTGATGAACTCCTCAATCTGGGTGTCATGATGTGGTCGTTCTGGAGGGCCCGGGACTTTGGGCTCTTGCGAAGCCAGGTCCTCTTTCTGGTCCTTACCGAGGACCTTCCCAACGGCTGGGACATATTGGGACACTTCGCAAGTCGATTAGCCTCCTGTAAATAATCCTGCATTCAGACTTAGAGCGGACCTCACCTTTCTCCACGACCTGACCTATAACACCACCTTCGTTTTCGGAATTCTGAGGGTTTTTGACCTTTATGGCTGCTTCGTCTAGTTGTTCCTTGTAGGTCGGGGGAGTATTGGCATCTCCTTGCAGGTTGTCATCCTTGGCCTGGTCCTGGGACATGGTCGTGGGTTGTCTGTAGGAAGGATCAAGACTATTGCCTTTTGAGTGCTAGATGTCGCCAAAGAACAAGGTTGCTTCGAGTCCAACTTTACATCCAACCGGAAATTTTAAGAGTGAAGTTCGCTTTGCAAAGTCTCCTTGGACGGTCAGTGTGTGACGAGGTTTTGAGCGTCGGCCCAGTAAAGAGCTGTGACGTCACTTGGGTAGTACAGGGCTTGTTCAGCTGGCTTGCTGCTGCCGTACTGCCGCCTGTGGCTTGGGCTGCTTGCACGAAGGCTTCACCGAGGCCATAGATGTGTAGTAACCACCGTATTGAAGGTTGGTCCCCTACGAAGAAACCCCTGTGCGTTTCACTTGAGCGAACATCGTAAATAATTACCGATCACTACAGTACCCAGGTACTCTCAAGTGCAACGGCCTGCAGGGGGCCCTGCAGGCGATAAGCCACGGATAACCTTAATTATTTTTAGCCGAACCGGTCGCCGAAACAGGCGCTACATTCCCGCGTCATTTTCGACTAGGCGACCCAGTCTGGCCTGACGAGATTCATGTAAGATCAGATGATAATTGTCAGAGGCTGATTTGGACCACGTCAAAACTTTCTTTCTCGTGGCAAACAGAAGACCAAACTCTGAGTCTGTCCTCTTCCAAACCTACCACGCATAGCCGGCCACTATGGCTCCCATCCAAATCACCATCATAACGGGCTTCCTCGGCTCAGGCAAGACGACGCTCATCCTCAACCTCATCCCCCAACTAAAAGCAGCCAACCCGGACTACAAGCTCGCGCTGCTCAAAAATGAATTCGGAGACCTCGCCGTCGACTCACAGCTCGCGTCCTCAAACGCCATATCAGGCGTGCGGGAGATGCTCAACGGCTGCATATGTTGCAACCTCGTCGGCCAGCTTAGCGAGGCGCTCAAGGAGCTGCAGGCCCAGGTGACGCCGGACCGGATCATCATCGAGACCTCTGGGTCGGCGTTCCCCGCCACGCTGGCCATGGAGATCAACCGCCTGGCCCGCCAGACGGGGCAGTATGTCCTGGACGGCGTTGTGAGCGTGATCGATGTGGAGAATTGGAAGGGATACGAGGACACGAGCGTCACGGCTAGGTTACAGGCCAAGTACACTGACTTGATCGTATTTAACAAGTATGACACTTCTGTCTTCCTCACAAACACACATATTCGAGACTGCCAGGACTGACATGGGGTGGCAGGTGGGAGAACTGTGATGAGCGGAGATTCGACGAGTGCCTGGACCGCGTGGGCGATCTCGAAGTCCAGACCGCATGGGTGAAGAGCAACAAGGGCCAGGTGCCCATGAACCTCATCTTCGGCATCGACGGCGGCCTGGCACAGTCCATAACGGACGAGCCGAACGGCCACGGCCACGGCCACGACCACGACCACCCCCACGACGACAACCACCAGTCCGAGGTCGAAGTGCTGTCGGTCGAGCTCGCCGGCCCCGAGGGCTCGGGCGTCGACGCGGCGGCGCTGCAGAAGCTCCTGAGGACGGCGCCCAAGGACGAGGTCTACCGGATCAAGGCCGTGCTGTCGTCGGCCTCGGCGCTCCGGGGCTCCGACGAGGACCAGGCGACCCCGACGCCGCCGCACCCCGAGAGCAGGTACATCCTGAACTGGGCGTTTGGCCGGTGGACCTTCACGCCCGTGGCGCGGGCGGCCGGCGAGCACGAGTCGAGCGACCGGAAGACGCTGCGCATGACCATGATCCTCGCGCGGTACGAGAGCGCCAAGTGGAAGAAGAAGCTCGAGGGCGGCGGCCTGCTCGAGCTGGAGGGCGAGGGCGCTCCGGGGCGGCTAACTGTCACCAAGGTCGCGTGAGAGTATAGAAACACAGCGTAAGCACGAGAGTTTGGGATGAGAGCGGTATAGAGAGATCTGTCAGACACACACACACACACACACACACACACATATATATATATATATACTATAGTAGAGAGAGAGAGAGAGAGAGAGAGAGAGAGAGAGAGAGAGAGAGAGAGAGAGAGAGAGAGAGAGAAGCATAGAAGGCACGAGGCCCTCTGCCTGATCCAGGTTAGAATTTCTGCGCACCCTACGAAAGGACAGGACTTCAACAGCAGAACGAAGGCTGCGTTGTCGCAGTGATTATTTACTCCGAGGAATTGTCTGAGATCTAATGAATCGAAAATTTATAATGAGTCGTGCATCGAAGTATCATGTCTTGATTCCCCCGTGGGCAGCATTCAGGACACCAAATCTGTCTGAGCTGAAGCCCGCACATGTACAACGAGATCGAGTGCGCACATGATTGAGGGTCTATTCGGCTCCTATATTAACACGAGAGAATGATATAATACATGTCTGGCAAAGCCACTCCAAAACCTCTCACCTCTTCCTGGAGTCCGCAGCGCTGGCCAGAAGAAAAACAGCATCGAAGGACCATGCGTGGAAATCTTGACCAGCTCCTGGCGAAAAGTCCTAGGCGCAAGCATGCCGCTGTGGTGCCGTGAAGGCAAACAAGGTCAAGCATGCGCACGCCCTAAGTCTCGTCCAAAGAGGCGTACAAGTCATATATGGAGGTAACGCGGTCATACGTGCTGACCCTCGCCGGAACCGCGCTGTCCCGTCCGCTGGTGGGTGGATCAGCACCATCTGGCCAGGCCGAACCGCCTCCCTTCTCACTCCCATCGCTGTAGCACTTGAACCAGCTCTTGAGACTGTCCGCACTCTGACGCTGGGGCTCTTCCTGCGTGGTCTTCTGGCAGCTCTTTGAGTTCTTCCTCGGCGACGGGTCCTTGAGCTTGATGATGTCGGGGTAGTCCACGCGCTTGATCTCGCCGGACCGCACTTTTCCCAGGCGGACGGCGTCGCGGTCCTGGCCGCCTGGGTTGGGGCTGTGGCTGGCGCACGACGGCACCCGGGGTCTCAGGGCCTGCTGGATGTGGTGGAGGGCCGACGAGCGGCCGTCGCCGCCTGAGCTGGACCTCGTCGGCGACGTGACCGTGCACACCTTGATGTCAGTCGGGGGGACGATCTTAAGTTCCATGGCGACGTGCGAGGTGGGCGAGGTGCTGGCGGATCTCGAGGCGAGCTGCTGCAGGTGTGACACAGGCGAGAACTCGGACCATCCTCGCGACTTCTCCCTCGGCCGGGCAGTCCTGCGCTTCGACGTTCTTGAGGAAGTACCTCGGGGCTTTTCGGACGCCGGGGAGAAGATGGGAGAGTCTTCAAACTCTATATCCTCGTACTCCGATTCGGAGTAGTCGAATACTTCCTCATGTGGCTGGAACCGAGATTTGCATTTGCTGCATAGGTTGTCTCCAAGCTGGCAATCCTCTTTGCAGAAGTAACACTTAATTAAATTCTTCCGGGGCTTGGCTTCGACGGGTGGATCCTGCGTCTTCTGCCTCGCATCTCCTGTACTGCTGGCTGATGATGCTTCGGGACCGGAACTTTCGTCATCACTATCGGTACTGTCGATGCTGGGCACTCGGCGCGGTCTCCTACGAACGACCCTCTCGCCAGAGTTGACCCTGTTGTGGCCACCTCTGATACTGGAAGCACGTTTGTTGGGCGTGGACAAGGCCGAGTGCGCGCCTTGCGTACTCATGCTACTATGATGCGCCTGGGGGCTCGGTCTGGCTCGCAGGCTCGAGTATTTGATCAACGGGCGCTCAGAAAGCGGTCGAGGAGGAACCCCCTCGCTTGCAACTCGTCGCTCGTAAGCAGGTCTGACATTTCCTGAGGCGGTAACTGGCGGCGCAGGAACAGGTGGGTCAGAGTCCTTTCGGTCATTCACCAGCGGATCATTTCCGTTGGGTCCAAGAAGAATGTCCATCGAGGCAATGATGCTTCGCGGAATCATGCTGTGATGCTATTCGTCAGCATGCCCAAGACTATTCTCAGCGGCTGAATCTGTATCCTCACAATTCAACGCCATAATCTTGGGTGTCCAACATTATCACAACTTACCTCTGGCTATCAAAGCTCTGCTGAGACCCCTTCCGAGAACTTGAAGAGGGACTTGTCCGCTCAAATGGTGAATCTTCTCCATGTAAATGCCCCTGGCCATTTATTTGCGAAATGGCTGCGTAAAACTCCTCGTTGGTCGTCGGGAACTGGGGAAGGGGCATGTCTATGGGCGATTTATCGGGTGCGTGTACTATTTGAAACCTCGTGGAGTTCTCTTCAACCGTGAATCTTGTGGTGGAAGGCCGTGCCTTGAAACCTATTTTATTAAAGACCTTGGCGGCGCCGTTCGCGATAGCTTTGCCCTTGTTGGCGTTGTCGCTCTGGCCAGAGGCACTGACATCTGAGGCCGACGAGTCTCCCTTTTTGGTTCTCATCTGCTGGTATGGAATTTGAAAATAATTTGTCTTCCTTCCACCAGTACCGTGTGCTCGGCAGGCGATATTAACATAGATGAGGAAATCCAATGTGGCGAGGACCACGGCCAACCGGGGTCCTCGTGGAGGAACAACAAAGAACTTAAATCATGGCCGAGTCGCGTGGGTGACTGCCCTTTGTCCTTGACGGCAAAGTTATGAATTGCCAATTTCCATGACTCCAATGCGAAGACTTCGGGATTGAATGAAAGTAGGGGCATGAGAGCGAGGCCGTCATCCTCCCTTGTGGCTGTAAGACACAACGCCTCTCCAATGCAGACACGCGTGAGAGCATACACAGTAATGAGGTGTCGCCCTTGCTACACCAATGACGGTTTCGATAACATGAAATTTGCCCTGTTCGTCGGTCTTGGTGCCTCTTTCGATCAATGTTTCGGCTCCAGTAGTGCGTTGTCGGCTCAAGTACTCCCAATGTCAGGGTGTTGGAATGCGACATGCTGTTTTCATGCCTCGCCGCCAGATATGGCTTCTTTGCTGGAGAAATCTCGCATCAATTGCAGGCCCCATCATTGCATTTTGAGAAAAGCGGCAGAGGCGCCTCCTATGCCGCCTGCCCTTCCCCAGGGCAGCACATTCCCATCTTTTCCGACAATCCTGGGTGTATTGTGGCGTCAGACACTTGTAACGGTCCATGATCTGGGCCCCATAGGACTTGTATTTCCAGCTACAATGCATCGATTTCCCCACATCAGCTGTCTTCAGCAGAGTACCAAGCTTTCTTGAAGACTTGCGGACGGGCCATCTGTCTCTTCAGTGCCAGTTTACACTTATTTACCTAGATCTGCGTCAGTGACATTAAGTCGAGTGTACTGCTTTGAAAACGGAAATCCATCATCAAATACAGACATGGCTCCTGGATCTCGACAATTACCCCAGTGGACAACAGGTAGCTGCTCGATGGACTTGGCAAGAGCTGTGAACCTGTGGATAGGTGGTCATTCCGTATCTCTGGTGGAGAAACCCCACGGCATCTGTCGATGGATCAAGATGCCCTATCTCGGCCCACCCTGCATCAAGATCCGATGGAGCTGGTACCATAGAATGGGGTCTTGAATACGAAGAAAGCGTGGCTGGAAGGAAAGAGCACCGGGGTTCAAGAACAAACTTTTGACGTTCCCAGCCGTTCAACATGAGGGCTGCGAACTCTTGGGATGTAAAGCCAGGTTTAGCCCACATCGAGAGCCTATCAGGTCGTTGTATATAAGGACCCCCACGGGGTAGTCGGGGTTACCCAAAGGCGGTGTTACTCGGAGAAAGTCTACTGGTAGACGATCTCGGCAGACTAGGAGACATGCTGACAGTGTGACTTCGTTCCAGTCGAGGACTGTTCTTATCTCGAGTAACCGACTGTAGCCTCTGACTGTACGGTACGGAGTAGGTACAGTAAGAGGAAGAATCACATGAATGGCGGAGCGAGTGCCCTACACCATGTCAGCGCACCGCATCTCGCGGTTGGCGCATTGACGATGGCCGTGGAGTGCACGGTAATCAGCCGCAGGTGCCCGGGCATGTGGGGGGCGGGGCGCTGATCTTCACAGGGTCTGGCTGCTTGCTGCCCGCCCACACCTGCCTAAACCCACCTGGGCAGGAACCACAGCAGGTAGGTAAGTTTTAGGTATCAATGTGCAGACTGGTGAGGCATGCGCCGGGCGGCTTTTCAGGATGCGCGGGCATTGATGAATGATGCTTGGTTTGGCTTTTTCAAGCAGGCGGCTATGATGCAAGCACGGGCTCAGCCGACACTTTGCGGTGTGGTCGAGGGGAAATGGAAGGGGAATAACCGGCAGGAATGGGCACGAGACGGGGGCCAACCAGGCAGACTGCGTCAGCTGGGCCTCTACCCGATAATGGCAGGTCCTATCACGAGCTCCTGCGACCGAGATGGCATGTCTCTCTGCCGGTGCTCTATCTACGCTGCTACTGCACCCACCCACCACTGGCATCTCGTTGCACCACACTAGCAGTGGCACAAGGCAGGTCGAGTCAGATCCCCCGGCCAGAAAGCACGCTGTGCACAGGACCAGGACCAGGACGGGCTGCCCGGCCTGTGGCTTTGTTTTTCGCGCATCACCTCGACTCGCCAGTCAGTACTCGGTACTCCGTACCAACCTCTCTCTTTAACCTCCTCCTCCTCCTCTTCCCTGCCTGAACCTGTGGACCTGTCTGTACCTCACTGGCGGTGACGTACAGATGGCCAGCCCTGGCACAAAATAAACTTTTCTCATTCTCTCCTTCTCTGCAGCCTCTTCCCTGCGTCGCGCGTCTGCCCCAGCATTGTGCCGTTTTACTTAACTCTTGTCCCGGCCAGACTGCCTCACCCGCTCCTCGCACGCTCGAGATAACAGCACCCGAGCCTCTGATAAGCTCCCAGCCTCGCTCATTCTGCGCCATTGGGCCTAGCAATCGCGATACGGGCTACTCGAAACCCGCACTCCTCCTCCCGACCGTGGTCTTGGCCAAGACCGAGACATATTAGACCCCCCCTCTAGGTAGCTATCATGTCGAACAGCGGCAGAGACCAGTCCGGCCACAACCCTCTGGACATCCAGAGGCCGGGCTCGCCGGGCTCCTTTCGCAGCCGCTCCTATGGCGCCTCCGTCCCCCGCGCCGATGTCACAGCCCGTCTAGCTTCCCCCATCCCGAGCCAGCTGTTTGGCACCCCTCCCCGAGCCGAGTCGGTACATACGAGCGCCGACACTGGTGCCGGCGACAACCTGACGCCCCTCCCCGGCGCGACCTCGTCTAGCCATGCCCTCGGCCCCGGAACCTCGGCGCTTGCTGCTGCCCTGTCCAACTCCCTCGGCGCCTCTCCTCCTCGCTTCGGCACTCCGCCTGTGAGGCCTGCGTCCCCGAGCGCGTCCAGCGGGCAGATCCCCCAGTCTGCGACCCCTACCAACTACGGCTCGTTCGACACGAGGGGCCGCAATGCCGCCTACGAGGACCCTGAGATCGTCAAGAGACATCTTGTCCAGCCCTCCGACACCGCCTACCAGTCCGATGACTCGGGGAGCAGGAAGCCTAGCGACAAGACCGCCAAGGGCAAGCAGCCTGATACCGGCGACAGCGCTGCTGTGGACGATGAGGAGTTCTCGAGCTTGCGGCTGCAAGGCGGAGACATCACCCGCCAGGTTTACAAGTGGACCGAGGGAGCTACCAACAAGATACAGCGCAGCAAGAGCTTCAATGTGCCGCGGCCTGAGCCCGAGGAGGAGGTTCTTGATATCAACAACATCAAGGTACCTGGCGGTTTTAGGCGGAATTATCTCCGCCGCGCGGCTGGGAGCCCTGCGCCGAACGCAGGGGGTCGAGACTACCACGAAGGGCGTGCCCCGGCCCAGCCCCAGGTCTTTACCTCGAGCTTCCTCGAGTTCCTGAGCATGTACGGACATTTCGCTGGTGAAGAGCTCGAGGAAGACGACGAAGTCCTTGGGCCCGGCGAATACTTCTCCTCGGGCGAAGACGAGTGGGAGAGCGACGAAGACTCTTTGGATAGGGAACCAATGGAGGACAGCGCACTCCTGACGCCCTCACGCAGGAAGAGAAGGAGAAAGCATCGCGCCAGCGGCAAGGCCAGTCCCACGGGCGCAGCCCTCGTGCTGCTCAAGTCGTTCGTCGGTACCGGTGTGCTCTTCCTCCCTCGCGCGTACCTCAATGGTGGCATGGTCTTCAGCAACGCCGTTCTCCTCTTCGTCGCCGCTCTCAGCTACTACTGCTTCGTCCTCCTTGTCACGTCACGCCTCAAGGTCGATGGGTCCTTCGGTGACATGGGTGGCATCCTCTACGGAGGATGGTTGCGGTTCCTCATTCTGTTCTCTATCGTCGTCAGCCAGATTGGCTTCGTCGCAGCTTATATCGTCTTTGTGTCCGAGAATCTTCAGGCCTTCATCCTCGCCGTGTCGGATTGTCAGACCCACGTCGAGGTCAAGTGGTTGATATTGATGCAGATGGTCATCTTCCTGCCGTTCTCCCTCTTCCGCGACATCAACAAGCTAAGCTTCACGGCTCTGATCGCCGATGCCTTCATCATCCTTGGATTGGGCTACCTGTTCTACTACGACGTCTTGACGCTCGACAAGTTTGGTCTCGCCGATATCACCCTGTTCAACAAGAATGACTGGACGCTCTTCATCGGCACGGCCATCTTTACGTTCGAGGGAATCGGGCTCATCATACCGATCCAGGAGTCGATGGCCAACCCCAAGAAGTTCCCCAAGGTTCTCTTCGTTGTCATGATCATCATCACGACGCTGTTCATCGTCATGGGGGCCATCTCATATGCTGCCTACGGGTCCAAGACCGAGACTGTGGTCCTGCTCAACCTGCCACAGGACAGCAAGCTGGTCAACGGTGTACAATTCCTCTACTCCCTTGCAATCATGCTCTCGATCCCGCTGCAGATTTTCCCTGCGATCAGGATCCTGGAAAACGGCCTGTTCACGCGGAGTGGAAAATACAACCCCTACATCAAGTGGCAGAAGAACGTCTTCCGCTTCTGCTTTGTCATCCTCTGTGCCATAATCGCGTGGGCAGGCGCAGACGATCTAGACAAGTTTGTGGCGTTGGTGGGCAACTTTGCCTGCATCCCGCTTGTCTACATCTATCCGGTAAGTTTGATCCTCTCAATCCGTGTACATCGAGTCACCGCTGACCCCGTTTACAGCCTATGCTGCACTACCGTGCCGTGGCCAGAAGCACGCTCTGGAAGATATCCGACATCTGTCTGTGCATATTTGGTTTCGTTGCCATGGCATATACTACCACTCTGACCGTTCAGAGTTGGGCCAGTGGGGATGACGGCCCCAAACTGCCGGGATACTGCGATAAGGCCCACTCCTAATCCTGGCAGAGGCAGCACTGGTGGGAAGGGTTTGTAGGAGCATTGCATGTCTGGTTACAAGTTGTTTGTAGGATGCACATGTGTACAAATTGTTGGATATTTAGTTTAGATGCATGGCCTGGGTGTTGGTGCATTTCTCAGGAATATCAGGTGAACCTGTTAGCGTTCAGAGATGGGTGGGATAGAGTAGATTGATGAGATACCTATCGCCTCCGCATTGAACCTGACGAGAATATCCTCTTTGTGAGGTTGTTAGCTGAATGGGAGAGTGGAGGGTGTCACAAGACGTTGTCCATGGGTACCTAGGCAGTAACATTGCAAAGGGCCCAATATAAAAACATCACAAGTGAAGAACCGGTGTGTTTTAATTCAAATATACATGCTTAGTGCCCAAGTGACTGGTACTATGCAGTGTAGCCTTGGCCGTCCCACTCACTGTGGGCTGGCTGCCCGTGCTCTCCCAGGCCTGCAGGACGGCAAAATGACGCTAGTCACGGCCTGAAGAGCCTCATCATCCTGTCCGCTTCCGGGCCCTGAGAACCTCCCCGGCCTGTCAGAACACGACAGAATTCATCGCAACTAACTTTCCATCGACAACCAAGCCGGCGTGGACCTCATTCTTGCTAAATTAGCTTGCCAACTCACTTTGCTACACTTTTCAACCCTCTACCAGGCCCCCTCAAGGTCATTCTCGTCCTCGGATTCTCGCCTTCTCTCACAAGACAACACGATGAACGCTCCCGACCGGTTAGTGGAACTCTCTCTCTATACCCTCTCACTTGCCAGCAGACCAAGATGGCGCTTTCGCTCGTTGAAACGTGCCGATGGAGGCGATTATCCCGTTTCGTCCCTGAAAGATTTTCTGCGGCGGGCTGTCAAACGGCGCTCCTTTTGGACGGCACGATCCAAGTGGGCGTGCAGGCAGGAGGGAACTGGGCTCTACTCGGGCGCGCAAGGAGAGATATGACAGCGGCGGCAAGGGGGAGAGGAGACAGCTGCTTCATTGCACCACGCATATGGCAGCGCGACCATGCGAGGCTGAGAGGCAACGCGGTCTCAAACGGCTGCCGTGCAGGTCCCCAGGTGCGCAGGCCAGACTGGTGCCATGCCAGAGGTGAACCTGGGCAGCTAGTACGGAGGGCCTTGAAGTTTCCTGGCATCGCACACACCCACCCACCCATCCACCCTGGAACTCAACACTCAACATCACATTGTCACTACCAAAGTCTTTGGATTTCTCTCACAAGTCCTGCACCAACCCTTGTATCACCAACTTGGCATCAAACCCCCCGTTCGACCGAAATGGCTGGAAGAAACCCCAAGCACAACAACGTCCAGGAGGAGTACTGCTCTCCTGCTGCGCCTCTGCTTTTGAAGGACGAAATGGAACAGGCCTTGCTGACTTTGACACTAGTTTCGAGCTGTTCCTGCTCGGTGAGGGCGAGAAGAAGATCACCGAGGCCCCCTTCCCTCGTAAGTTAGGTCCCCGTCTTAGCGATGGCAATGTTGTCGTCTCATCGAAGACAACTTGACTTGCAGAACACTGACAGTTTTGAATGCAAGGCATGTCCAACTGCTCCGACTTCACCCTGAAGAAGGAGGACCACACCCTCGGAAACCTCGTCTCCGAGCACCTCAAGAAGCACCCCAACGTCCTCATGGCCGGATACAAGAGTAAGTGGCCATCGCCCCTGTGGAGGAAAGCGAATGGAATGAATGTGGTGGTGGGTTTTGTTGCGAAAGAAGCGTTTCTCGCTGACACACAAAACAGTCGCCCACCCTAATGTGCCTGAGCTCTTTATCCGCGTCCAGACCGACGGCCAGATCACCCCCAAGGAGGCCATGGTCGAGGTGTGCAAGAACCTCATCGCCGACTTTGCCCAGCTCGGCCGCGAGTTCACCCGCGAGTATGAGCTCCGCCGCATGGCCGCCGCCGGCCCTTCGACCAACGGCGGTGGTGGCGGTGGAGATGGCATGAACGGTCACGGTTACTAGCCGCCTGACCGACTACTCGTCCCCCTTCCCCCAGACCTGGACACATAATCTCCGTTGTTCCACGGTGTTCACTGGTACAATGATGGGACTCGGCATGCTTTGAATGGTCGTTCTGGCGTTGGTGGTTCTACTAGGGAGAAAAAGTTCTTCTGTTCGGATTCAGGGAATAGCATCATCATGAATGCAGTCAATCGAACTGGCCTCAGTTGAGGTACTTCACCTTCCGTCACGTCCAACTACCCTTCGCAGTGATCAACCTCGTAGATTTGATGAGCCATCATGACATCTTGACATAGGCCAGGAGGCCGCAAAGCAATAGGAGATTGCCTCAGTCCTCACTATGCTCCCCACCGCCATCACACGACCAATGCCCACATAACGCCCAAGCGATACTATGACTGTGCTCCTGCTGGCCCCTCTCCTCCTGGGATGAGCTGGAGACTGGTCAGCGAGACGTACCTAAAGCGAGGCAAAAAAAACAAAAAAAACACATACCATGCAAATGTTGTTGCCGTTCAACAGGATCTTGGAGAGCTTGGTCGAATTTCCATCATAGCCGCTGCGAGTCGCCGTCAGCACGAGCAAGTTTCCATTAGACACAAATACACCAGTGTCAAGTCAAGAGCCTTACAATTCCGTTACGTCCTCCAAAACGATGTCTGTAGCCAGTTGTGTCAGTGCCACACGCCCCAAGAGAGCAAGCAAGATGACAGAAGGCGGGCATCTGCAACTTACTGACGTAGTCATCGAACCCCAGCAGAGTGCCGCTGAACTCTACAAGCGACTGGCATCAGTGAACGAGCTCCTCTGCGCTCATGCTCGTGGGACGGACGTACCCCTGTCACCCTTCATAATGACCCATATCCTGGATCCGACACACTTGTCGACGAGCTCTGCAGCCCCTGTCAGCAAATGCGGCTCTGGCGGGAGTGCTTTGAGGGTTAAAGGGGGCAATCATACCTAGGGGTTGAACTTGAGATGCCATCTTCGCTTAATTCCGAATCAACTGTGCACGGAAACGGCTCAAGGGCGGAATGTGATGCAGGCGTGCTGGGCCGGGCTGTTTGCTTGGTGGTGGGAGGGTTGATGTCTGCTATTGCAAGTCGGGCCCAGGGTCTGCTGCAGGTATGCCCTTAACCGTGCTATGCAGCAACCAAGCTACCTAGGCCTTAAGTACCCTGGACCCCCAACCCCCCATCCCGCGTCAACAACGCGTCTGCGGGCCTCGACTCGAGTGGTTCAGTCTCCAATTCTCCCCCTGCATTGCTGCCTGTTCACAACTCTTGGGGAGAACCAGTCACGCTGTCCCTTGAATCAATGACAGTGTTGTTATGATTCCGGGTCAGCATGGCGCATCGCCCCTTCCAAGAGTGGCCGTCATGAAATTCACAAGTGGCCGGCCAGGTCTACTTCGTCTTCCACTGGCTGCGACCCGCCGTTCATTGTAAGTTGCGCATGTCCTCGAACCCTCGAGTCACGACGCCGCAGGTTACTGATATTGTGTGCCACTTTGTTGAGATATAGTCTTTCCAATATGCACAGCAACAAGTTCCCTCCGAAATGGAGGCTTTGGCACCCAAACCAGGGAATCGTCTTCCAGCAGCCGCTCTACCCCGTTCTCGATGTCGCTCGATTCTTCACGGAGGCTTCTGCGGTGGAGGATACCGGGGCTAATTCGACTGGTTTGGGCCAGGATGTGTCTGCGAATCGTTTCAACAATAATCTGGGTTACAATTCAGATTCAAGTGACAACTCTTCTGGGTCTGAGGCCTACCAAACGCCACTGGCTGGGACACCACCTGCAGAGGCGAACCAAACCCCCTCGATTCCAACGGGAAAATCTGAGCCGAAGCCCGAGAAAGAAGAACTGCAACCTGCAACCACAGGGGCGCTTCCAAGCGGGCCCCCTTTCACCCCCCTCGACTACAAGATTCCCGAGGACAGTTTTAGTGCTGCCGCAACGGCGGCCGAAGGTACATCGGAATCCTTTTGGTCATACGCCATGTACCGAGGCCCCGGCACTGAGGAGGACGGCACGGATGATGTGAAAAAAGTCACGGTGCACTACTGCAAGTCGGTCCATACCGCGGAGCGAGTATGCCAATACTTCCTGGACGAGAAAGTCCTTGGGTTCGATCTCGAATGGTCCATGGAAGGCTACAGGACACCCTCACCAAGAAAGAACGTATCACTGGTCCAGCTGGCCAGCCAGTCCCGAATAGCGCTGATTCATGTCGCCGTGTTCCCGTACAAGGATCAACTGGTCCCTCCGACTCTGAAAACGATCATGGAGAACCCAGAGATCACCAAGGCTGGGGTGTGGATCAAGGGCGACTGCACGAGGCTTCAGAAGTACCTGGGCATCGAATCCCGAGGGGTCTTTGAACTCAGCCACTTGTTCCGCCAAGTCAAGTATACCAAGGAAGGGAGGCACGACATGATCAATAAGAGACTCGTACGGCTGGCCGACCAAGTCAAAGAAACGATCCATTTGCCCATGTTCAAAGGGCCGGATGTGAGAACAAGCGATTGGTCCAAGGTACTGAACATGGACCAGATTGTGTACTCGGCGTCAGATGCGTACGCGGCGGTCCAGCTCTATGCCATGCTGAACCACCAACGCGAGGAACTCGACCCGATGCCACCCATGCCCTTCCACGTAGAGCAAAACAAGCCAATCCCTCGGGCCCCTGGCTACGAAAGCTCAAGCTCCGATGAAGCTGACAATGCTGAGGATGAGGAAGAAGACAAGACGAATGCTGAATACACAGCATCTACGTTCACGTCCGACCAGCTCAAGGCACTTGGTGAATCTATCCAAGTAGAAACCGGCGAGGAGGACTTCAACGACAGCAAAGCCACCACAGAGGCAGCAAAACCCACCAAGCCCAAGTCCAGATCCTCCGCAGCAAAAAAGCCAGCGCCACCAAAAGACCCCAGAGTCGTCGCCGCAGAGACATGGCTCATGGAATACAAGGCAACACGGCCGGGAGGAAAGACCAAGGCTGGAGGTGCAGCTCTCCGGGCGTACTTTATCTGGCATGCGAATGACGACCTGAGCATCGATGATATCGCGAAGCTTCTCAGGGATCCTCCGCTACAGCTGCTCACCGTCAGTGGTTACATTCTCGAAGCAGTTAGGGTCGAGAGGCTGGCGTACGACAGAGTGCGGCTCAGGCGAGTGCTCGATCTCTATCCCCCGGACGTGGCTCAGATGAGATTTGGTTCACTGGTGAGGGCCACGGCAAATGTGTCTGTCTAGGCCGTAAGCGATTAGAGACTCGGTATCCTCGTGTAAGAGACAGACCGCAGACATGTGGGGGGGCATAGACGCATAAAGGGCGTTAATTTATGATACCATGAGGAGAGCACATATATAGACGCCTCTCAGTTTACGGATATGCGGACGAGGATCTCAACTCTATTGGGGTATATCACTGTTCAATCGTCTCACGCGCCTTTTTTCTACATGACTTTTAACTCCATCGCCTCAGTCTCTCAAGATGCGATGATGTCCCGTCCCCTATTGATTTGCACCCTCTTGTCCTCACCACCACTGACAATCCCCCACGTCTCGTCCCAGGTCACACTAAACACTTTGCACCCCTCACCAGCCAGCGGTCGCTTCTTGCCACCCCTGCTCTCGCGCTCGATGGAGTACACCGCCTCGCTGACCCCGCCACCTGCGACGCCGTCGTCGCCCTTTGCAGGCCTGACGCTCCTCAGATCCCAGATCCTGCAGGTGCCGTCGTGCGACCCGGATACGAGAGAGTGACTGTTGTCGGGACACTTGGCCAGCGAGACAACCTTGTTCACGTGGCCCCTGAGGGTCATGACGGACGTCCGCGCCTGCGACTCGCGCGGGTCCACCAGCACCACGTTGCGCAGCGACGTGCCGGCGGCGAGCAGCGGGCTCCCCGAGGGGCCGGGCAGGGCGCAGAGCGAGAGGAGGGCGCTGGACGAGGGTATGGTGCTGACCTTGGTCATGGTCGTCAGGTCGATGGTGTGCAGGTCGTGGTCGTGGCCGGCGCTGTACGCCACGGTCCTGTCGCGCGGGTCGAAGACGGCGGCCGCGGCGGGCCCCTTGTGGAACGGGGCGAGGTGAAGGGCGCCGCGCTGGGGCGTCGACACGGCGCTGCCCAGCTTCCTCTTCTTGCTGGCGTGCGTGCTGCCGGGCAGCAGCTCCGCCGGCGCGGCGGGCGCCGAGGCCTTGGAGGTGCTCCACAGGCCGACGCAGCCGTCGGCGGACGCGGTGAGGACGCGCCTCGAGGCGCCGTCGACCTCGACGGAGTCGACGGTGGACTTGTGGCCGAACAGCTCCAGGGTGGGCTTCAGCTCGCCCGAGGAGCGCGCGGCGTCCTCGGCGTACTTCCACACGCGGACGGTGCGGTCGAGGCCGGCGGAGGCGACCTGCGTGGAGGACAGGAACTTGGCGGCCTTGATGCCGGCGCTGTGCCCGCCGCTGCTTGCCGCCGGCGAGGTGGCGATGACGTCCCCCGAGCCGTTCCATATCCTCAGCAGGCCGTCGTAGGAGGCGGAGAGTATCCTGTCGTGGCCGGCCGTGAAGGACTCGCCTGACCAGTGGCCCGCGGGGGATGTGGAGGAGAGCACGTCGACTGCGCTGACCCAGTCGTCGTGCTCGAAGGAGGCCTCGTACTTGGGCGGTATTAAGCTGCGGACATACTGGAGTGTGATGTTGGACTCGAAGGACAGGCCGTTCTGCTGGAGGTAGTCCTCGAGGGTGGACGTCAGGAAGGTGCCGTTGATGAGGAAGTCGAAGGGGATTGGCTGGGGGGTGGCCAGCATGGACTCGGAGTTGAGGATTCGGGAGAGGCCGAGACGTTTTATGTCTAGTTGTTTCCAATGGTCCGGTCAGCCATACTTGCCTCCGATGTGCATCGTCAGTGGGGAGGGATGTGAGAGCGACGTACCGGCTGGGACAAGCAGCTGTCTCTTGGTCTCGGGCAATTGGAAGCCATCTTCGGTCGTGGTGAATGTGACTTTGACCTGGGCCATCTCTGGCTCGAAGGCCGTAGCTCCGACCATATTTGAGTCCATGTTGTCGTGCAGGAAGCTGATGCGACGGGAATCAGTAGAATTAGAGTCGTCAACCCGAACCGCTAAATGAACGGCAGCTGGGAAATTTTTCTAGCCTTGCGACCCCTGCCTGCCACAGCCTTACAGAAGAACCCCACGTCGTACAGGGATTAGCCCACCGGGGCTTGCACCTTCCCTAGTAGATTTTGGGGGCTTGCCCAATGCAGAAGCAGGCCCATTAACGCGTCTCACTCCCCAGCGTTCCTTGGACGCGTCTGCTGGACCTCACCCCAAAACTTAGCAGCAGCCTCTCCCTACCACTGCGGTCGTTATTCGTGCATACAAGTCCAAGTATTGCAAAGATGGTGACCCTGGACGAGATTGAGTCAATGCTGCTCCAGCCGCCTTCGTACGTGCCCGTGAGACCGAGATATCTTCACCTTGGAATTAACAATTTCTTGCAGCGACGATGCGCCGCCGCCGGAGCCCCTTGAGCGCGCCAAGTCGGCCTACAAGCCGCTGGATACCTTCAAGCTCGAAAAGGGCCGCAGTTACCAGCAGCAGTACGCCGACACGTACTTCCTCCGGCTGACCAAGATAAAGCCTGCCGTCGAGCAGGTCGCCGAGGCCGCGTGGGGGGGCACCGTCATCGGCGGCGAGACGGCCAAGAAGGCCGACCGCGTGCTGGACGTGCGCCAGGGCGAGCTGTGCTGGGTCGCCGGCACCGTGTACATGGACATGTCGCTCAAGCCCAACATCCTGGACGACGTCTCCAAGGACAAGTGGATCTCGGCGCCGACGACCGTCGGCAAGTACTTTGACGGCGTCGACGACGCCGACACCATCATGCTGGAGGACGACTCGGGGCGCATCCGGCTCACCGGCGACATCCTCAAGTCCGTCATGCTCGTCACGGGGTGCATCATCGCCGTCGTCGGCACCGAGAATGCGAGCGGCGACTTTGAGGTGCTCGATGTCAAGTTCGCCGACCTGCCGCCGCAGCCCGAGAGGTGGGCGCTGTCGGAGCTGCCACAGAACGATGCGAATGGCCCGGCGGCGAAGGGGAAGAAGGCCGCTGCGAGATCCGAGGACGTCGAGATGACGGACGCCTCGGCCCCCGGCGGCAGCAGCAGCAAGATTGCGATTGTTTCGGGCCTCAACTTTGACGGCAACGACACCTCGTACGCGTTCGAGCTGAATCTCCTCCTCGAGTACCTCCTCGGCCAGGCCCTGGATCCCAGCGCGCAGGCAGAAATCTCTCACATCAGCCGCCTGATCATCGCAGGCAACTCCATCGCGGCCGCGAACCCACGGTTTGGGGAGTCCGCCGGGGAGAAGAAGGCCGCGCAGAAAAAGTACGGCTACGACGCCAGCTCGTACAACGCATTGCCGTCGACGCTCCTGGACCGTTTCCTGGCCGCTCTGCTCCGCACAATGCCCGTCACCGTCCTCCCGGCAGAACACGACCCTGCCAACGCCAGCTACCCCCAGCAGCCAATCCACACCGCCATGTTTCCCAAGTCCAGGCCGTACGCCGCCGCGCCGAATTCCAAACAGAAGGGCTGGCTGGACCTGGTGACGAATCCGTGGGAGGGAGAGGTGGACGGCTGGAGGTTGCTCGGCACCGGTGGCCAGAATGTGGATGACCTTTACAAGTACATCGACAGCGAGGACAGGGTTGGGATGATGGAGGTCATGTGCCGGTGGAGGTGCAGTGCACCGACTGCGCCGGACACATTATGTGAGTCTCCTTGCCGCGTCGGGCTTCTCTGCGCTGGAACCGCGGTTTGCTGACTGAGTGAACAGGGAGCTATCCATTCCAGGACGACGACCCGTTCGTCATGACTGAGTGTCCTCACGTCTACTTTGTGGGCTGCCAGCCCGAGTTTGGCACAAAAGTCGTCGATGGCCCTGATGGACAGCAAGTCCGCCTCATTGCGGTCCCTTCGTTCTCCGAGTCAAAGGAGCTGGTGCTGCTTGACACTGAGACCCTGGAAGTGTCACGCGTCAAGATTTCAACGTCATAGTTTAGTCCTTTCGGTTCCAACAGGGAGGGGCCTCGACTTTTGTCATCTGGGAAGATATGCTGGGGAGGAAGTCAGTCAGTCCATGAGGAAGAACCCCAGGTAGTTTGCACTTTGCTCACGAGATTTGTGGCATCACGATACCAATCAACAACAACAAGATATAATTACAGATTCTTAGTGGCTATGTGAGAGCGAAGCGGGTGGTGGTTTTGTACAGAATTGAAAATTTACACTGGTAAGTGGCGTTTCCTATTTACGCCCAGGCCCGAGAGGTAGTTGACCCCTCAAAAAGAGTCGCATCCGGACCCAAGAACATTTGAAGCCGTCGATATCTCCTCCGCTTCCTTGTCCTCGGCGACAATTCAAATGACGTCGCCTAGGTCTTCTTCATATGCAATCCTCGGTTGATAAACGCCTCAAGCACCTACGATCTTCCTTATCTTCCTTCGGCCTGCCTGCACATTCAGTCCGAGTCCGAGTCTGAGTCTTGGTAATCGCTGTCTCCATTGTCGCCATCACCACTCTCGTCCCCGTCACCGAGTCCGTCGTTTCCATATGTAACCGGCAACGAGCCGGCGTGGCGACCATACTGCCGCGGGACCACATCGCACCTCTCGAACAAGCCTTCTGCGACGACCTTTGCAGGGTTCTCAACCGCGCGAGTGATCAGAGAACACAGGTCGTCCAGCTGATCGGCGGGAGGCTTCGCTGTTCCCTTGTCAAACGGGTTTGGCTCACGTCGCATGTCGAACTTTTTGATCAGGCAGATTGGCTCAGCGACTGGTTCAGCAACTGCCTCAGCCTCGTCTTCATCCTCTATCTCATCGTCGGTCTCATCGTCAATCTCATCGTCGGTCTCATCGTCGATCTCAGCCACGGGCACAAGCAAAAACACACGCAGGACAATGTACCTGGTGTTCAGAGTCTTCAGAGCCTGGACGATCGGTCCATTCGTGTAGAAGTATCCAATAACCGTCACCGTTTCACCCTCGACTTTAGGCGACACGTCAATGGTGATTCTCTCGAGGTTGGTGGTAACGTTATCGCTCAGCCGCTCGATCGCGACACCCATCGCAGTGCAGTACGCGTTCTCTGTCCGGGAGGGCTCGATCTGCAGCTCGAGGTTGCGAAAGAGGGGCATGTACTTGGGCACATTGATGCGGCAGTTGGAGGACTGGAAAGCATGGTGCCTGTGTGTGTCGCGGACCAGATACCTAAAGACATTCTCACCGTATAGGTAGGCAACGCCGCTGCTGAACATCGCCTTGCAGGTTCGAAGGATGGCGGGGTGGAGACCTGAGCGCTGGTTGTGGTGAAGTTGCGACCATTGGTGAAGGAGCCGAATGGGGCCATCTGCAAGCAGCAAGTATTTGTATATGTTGCATTGCAGCTCGACAGGCAGCGGGACCAGGAAGCATTTCGTTCCTATCGGGATGTCGGGTCGCTGCTTTGGCCGCAAAGAAATCCGCAACAGGTCCAGGGGCGATGCTGCGAGCACCACGATGCGAGAGGGGCGTGCCGGCTTCTCTCTGGGCTTGGCCTGGACACGAGTCCTCCGAGTGCCAACGGCGCGCTTTCGGACCACGACTTGAGAACCAGACTTGCGTCCTCGGCGTGGCTGGTACTCAGACGACTCAGACTCGTCAGAGGCCTCTCTCTCGAGGGGGGCAGACAATGATGTCTTAGCGAGGCCAAGGGCAATGTTCTCGGTGCCCTCTCCCGCTGGTTCAGTCCTGGAGGGTGATCCCAGAGCGCCGGAAGCGCCTGGGGACCCAGTTGCGAGCCCATCACGCTGGAATGGCAACTCGGTCATCAGCTGCATTCGGACAGGCGCCGGAGTAATTGGCATCGCACCCTGTGCCGGGGATGGGTTGCCCTGGGTAGCTGGTTTACTTGTGGGGAGAGGTGTTCGTTGCTGCGGTTGCTCGATGGCGCGTGGGGCCTTAGGTGTGCCCGGAGTTACCAGGCCAGACTCGTTCCCGACTGCGCCAGGCTTTGCGGTCTTGCGAGCGGGTGTAAGGGGTGTGCCAGCTGGAGTCTTCTCAGATTCGTCTTCAGAGTCAGACTCGAGCATGAAGTCGAGGTCCTTGTCGCCTTTAGGCGTGCGAGTGATGGGTCGTTTCACATCACGGGGAGCTGGACCACGTCCGTCTCGGGGAGTGTCAACAGCTTTGACTTCAGAGTCGCTGGTGAGATCAACGGGAGCGGTGTCTGTGATGAGTCTTGCAGAACGATTGGCAGAACGATTTGCAGAACGATTTGCAGAACGATTTGCAGAACGATTTGCAGAAAGATTTGCAGAAAGATTTGCAAAAAGATTTGCACTCTTGAACAGAGGCTTCTTGACCGAATCCACGTCGTCGCCTGTGAGGTCGATCACCATCTTGGGGTCAATTTGAGGCATCTTGGTGTCAGTTCGAGGCGGACTGCCATGGCGCGCCTTCTTGGGCGCCTTGTCACTGGCCAGGCGCTCTTCTGACCGCTTGCGCTTTGCGCGACGGTGACTGAGATCCGTCACCGGCGACGGAGTCTTCAGTGGAGCCCCTCCCAGTCTCTGTGGAGGGGAGTGCTTGGCTTTGATACTCGTTCCACGGTTGAGGGCACTGGCACCCTTTCCCGGGCAGTGAAGGGAGTCATCATAGGCTGGCATTGCTGCTGTTTGGTGACAGCTTGGGAATAGGGTCAGTCTCTGATGGCAGTATGCAGTGGCTGTGAGATGAAGGGGAGGCTACTTACTTGTGGGACAAGGTCGAACGGGCCTGAGTTGTATGTGTTCCTCAACACCAAGGGATGAAGATCACAATCTGGATTTGGAATTTGGTCTGGAGCAGGTGTGTGATGCTCCCGGATGGATGTGACTGAGAATACAGACAAGAGATGGTCCTAAAAACAGCATGGAGAAGGGTTACCTTTGTGTTGTCTCTGGGGCAACAGCTAGGTGTGGTGTGTTGTGTTTGAGATGAAGATGAAGAAGGAGTCTGAGATGAAGGAGTCTGGGGGGGAGATGGAGTCCGAGATGGAGAAGCAGTTGGAGATGGAGAAGGAGTAAACAAACATGAGTCTGAAGGAGTCCAAGGCGAAAAGGTTGAGTGATGGTGTCCGGAAGCTGCCGGAAGCTGGCGGGGAGGGGGATGGTGATGAGTGATCGTCCTGACCAAGGTGTGAGGATGAATTACTTACTTCTTGTCTCTGATCCGAGAGGTGAGCGTGGGTTATGAGATGAGGGTGAAGGAGGTGTCCAAGATGGGGGTGAAGGTGTCTGAGTTGAGGAAGGTGTGTGATGTTGACTGGAAACTGTTGGGGGATGGTGGTGGGTGACGTCCCAAGTAAGGTATGAGATGAATTACTTACGTCTTGTCTCAAGGCCAAGAGTCCAGTGCAGAGCTCAAGATGAACGAAGAGCCTAAGAGAATGAAATGTGTGATGTTGGCCTGGTGATTGTGATGAGAAGTCATCCGGGACAAGACATGGGGATGAGATACATACCTCTTGTCCTGTCGTCAAGTCTGACAAACAAAGGCTATGGGGTAAGGCAAGGGAATCACAAACAGTGATTCGGCTCAGCGTCAGTGGACGCAGCGGATGTGCCCAAGTTTGAAGAATTGTTGTCAGTATGGACTGGAATTAGGTTGAAAATTTGGACAAAGTCCAGAAAAAGTCTGGCCAAAGTCTGGGGAAAGGGGGTTGTAAGCAGGGAGGAAGTGCCTGAAAAGCACCTGAAAAGCCGGCACGACTGAGTGCCCAAAGCCCAGTGATTTCCGGAAGGATGAAAGGGGCAACAGCTGAGTTGGAGGATGAGTTGGTGCTGGACATGGAAAAAAAAAGAAGCAGAAAAACAAGGGGGTTGGATGGAGTATGGCAAGAGGCAGGGAGGCAGCGAGGCAGAGAGGCAGAGGCAGAGAGGCAGAGAGGCAGAGAGGCAGAGGCAGAGAGGCAGAGAGGCAGAGAGGCAGAGAGGCAGAGAGGCAGAGAGGCAGTTGGCATCACCGTGGTGACCAGCTTGCTCACTCAACCACGGGACATCCCCAGGGCAGCAAGAAGTCGCTGCCTGAGGTCGTTTTGGGAATCACATGCTATGATTATTTATCAGGTTCTGCTGGACTTGAGGCACTAGACACGGTCTTGACGATGGTAGTCAGGGGCAACTCCACCCACAACCTCACATAATCAAGCCAGAGACATCAAGTCTCCTTCCCTTTGAGAGATAAAGCACAATTTATCACAATGAAGCTTCCATCACTGGGTTACCTCAGGTTCCAACAGAGTTGTACATGAACGAGGCCAGTACAAGTCGTCTCTATCTTCATTCAACGTGAGAAGAGACGTCTGGGTGCTTGCAGAATTATCAACAAGCATGCATAGCTTGTAACTCATTGCTCTCACTTCCAATTAAAGGAATGATGTTGAGGGTTCCAGCGGATTGGGACATGTAAGTGGTTTCGTCCCATCTCTGGTCTCCCGTCCGATGTCCGGCCTGCGGCTGCTCCCGCTCCCGCTCCCGCTCCCGCTCCGTAGCCTAGCGCGGCCCCGTTTCGGCGGCAGAATCGGTGCCTGGAACGCTTGCGCGCAAACGCGCACGGCGACCTCTGGCGTAGGCCAGCAAGCTGCGCCGTCGATCTAGACAGTTCTTTCTCTTGCACTGGACGGCATTTAAGTACTCTTCGTCAGCTGCTCGGCTCAGGAACCATTTCTTACGAGGATCATCACCTGCCCAAGACGGATGGTCGGGTTTTAGGTAATTCATACAGACTCACACCTGCCCGACTGCATAATCATTACCCTATAGCGCCGCTTTTGTATCACATCTACCGCCCACCACGATCGAGCAAAGTGGTCATTCCTTCTGTCGAGACTAGCTTGAGCCGCTGATAACCTCTGGCTAGACCGGACTTGCATCGTTTGGGTATAAAGGAGGCGCCGCTGTCGTTTTAGACTCAACGGTTTGTCTTGGTGGAAGCGAAACCACCCTTGACGCAACCAACCAAAAACCTCGAAAATGGGATCAGTTTCCAAACACACACAAAGGCCGTGGATCGAGACACCATGTGTCTACTCAGCCCCCTTATCTCGGGTTGCCGGCTGGTCAGTATGATTGACCCCCTTCCAATGTGGGACCTGCTCTGATCGGTCTCGACAGCAACATCTACCTCAAGCTTGAGAACTTGCAGCCATCAGGCTCCTTCAAGTCCCGAGGGATCGGGAATCTCATGGTGAGGGCCGTCGAGTCGACCAAGTCCCCCTCTACGTCGGCGGAGGATGTCCACTTCTACTCTTCCTCGGGGGGCAACGCCGGCCTGGCATGCGCGACGGCCGCCGCGACCCTCGGCCGGCCGGCAACGGTCATCGTGCCCATGAGCACCTCGCAGCTCATGATCGGCAAGCTGCGCGAGCTGGGCGCCGACGTGGTGCAGGTCGGCGAGAACTGGGCGGCGGCGGACAGGCACCTCCGCGGGGTCGCCATCCCCGAGTTCGAGAGGTCCCACCCGGGCTCGAGGGCCGTGTACGTGCCGCCCTTTGACCACCCGCACGTCTGGGACGGCAACGCGACCCTGGTCGACGAGCTCAGGGCGCAGATGTCCGAGGCCCCTGACGAGCAGAAACAGATCGACGCCATCGTCTGCAACGTCGGCGGCGGCGGCCTGATGTGCGGCGTCATGCAGGGGGTACAGAAGCTCAAGGACTCTGGCTACGGGGGCCCCAAGGTCCTGGCCGTGGAGACGGAGGGTGGTGATAGTCTCAACGCCAGCGTCAGGGCGGGGGAGCTGGTCACACTCCCTGGTATTACTACTATTGCGACTTCTCTCGGGGCCCCGAGGGTCGCCGAGCAGGCGTTTGCTTGGGTTGAAAAGGCAGGAGGCGACTTGATTAGTGTAGTCGTCACGGACAAGGACGCGGTTGATGCAATGGTCAAGTTTTTGGACCACGCGAGGATACTGGTGGAAAGTGCATGCAGCGCAACGATTGCTACAGTGGTAAGTGTATACAAACACAATGTTTCGCTTTGCTAGGACATGTCGAACCTGGCTCCCACCACTTTGTTGGTCGGCAGTTGGTCGAACCGTTTACTGACCATTTTACAGTACAAGGGCGACCTCAGGAAGTATCTTGGAGAGGGTCTTTCAGACGAGGGGTGGGCTCAGAAGAACATTGTCGTCGTTGTTTGCGGTGGCTCCAACATCAACTTGGAGATGCTGGAGAAGTACAGGAAGCAATTTGGTGTATAATACGGAACGCAGATGAAGGTCTTGTCCGTTCTTTCGTCCAGGAATCCTTGTTGTCATCTAAACAGACGACGGCTTGGTAAATGCTGCGACTACGAGGGTTCAACGGCTTGTTAGAGGCGCGAGGACATAGACAGAGGGTGAAAGAGTCATAAATGAAGTGAGCGTGCGCAGACAGGCCATGCAACACCAGAGCATCCGGAGGCAGGTCTCACCGTTACAGCTCATCCTACATTAGAGTATCCCGCATATCCATTTGCAGAGGCATAATATCTTTTGACGTTCCAAATATCGGTTCATGGGCAGATGGCTGGAATTCTGCGAGCTGCAAGCTCCCAATTGACTGGGGCATATTTGTAGGGATGGTGATCTGGGATATGCTCATGATGAAAGGCAGAAGCCTCCCCTCGAGCCGAAATTGGCACACATAAACACAGCAACCATGCGCTACCTCGTGGTAGGCTTCCCTCCGCAGCGCGGCAGCGGCTCGGCCAGCTGGTACGAAACCCCTTGGCATCAACCCCATGCCGTATGCAGATCGGGACCAGTACCTCACCGTCTTGCAAGCTGACCACCAAGTGTAGTTATGTCTCGACCCTGGTCCGGGACCTCTGCCAGCGGGAATGAATCCAAAGAGGCCGAGCTCCCTCGCACGTCAACTGGAGGCTGAATCAAGTGAGGCCTCAGTGATAATTTATGATTTCCTGACCAACCCAGCCTCAGTTGGCCGGACGCTTATATCCAACCACCCGGTACCCCTCCGGAGGCGTGGCCAGGCGCTCAAGGTCGTGCAGCACCAGCTCCACCTCCCCGAAGTAGCTGAGGCCGCCCTCCTGCTCGAAGCCCAGGCTCTTGAAGAGGGCGATGCTGCGCGCGTTGGTCGCCTTGATCTTGACCATGAGGTACTTGAGGTACAGCTGCACGGCGGGCTGGTACTGCCGCAGGATCGCCAGGCGGTTGGACCAGATGTAGTGCAAGAACGTCGACACCGCGGCCCTGCCCAGGCCCCTGCCGCGGTCCTCGTGGGACGCGATCATGACGTCGATCTCCCCGACGCAGTTGAGGTTCTCGACGTAGGGCAGATCCGTCCCCAGCTCCTCGGCCTCGTCGAGCCAGGGGTAGACGAAGAAGTTGATGTCGCCGATCATCTTGTCGGGGCTGTCGACGTCGCCTGCCTGGACGGCTGCGTCGGGCTCGTCGCTGATGGCGGCTGGCTTGCAGAGGATGAAGGTGAGCTTGTCGTGGGACTCGCGCCATGACTGCTGGTTCTCATACTCCTCCTCTATAGTCAACGGCTCCGACGCCGTTGCCTCTTGGATCTCCGGGCTTTTCATCCAGGTGTTGTAGCGGTCCACATGGTGGCGTTCGTAGGGAACGAGCAGCACGCGGTCCTGCTTTGAGATAGCTGCCCCTCATTTGTCAGTGAACAATTTTTTTCCCAAGTGTACAGGGACGTGTTACGTGTTATTTACCGATGTTCTCATTTATTCTCATGGTGATTTGTGAGGTGGAAAGTGTAACGAAAGGCAGGGTTGAGAGGCGAAAATTCCATCGTGCAGTGTATTACGGGCAATGGTCCCTTCCAGGCTTCCACTTTGGCCCGGTCGGCCCCGGCAACAAGCAGACCACTGGCTGTGTCCACCCGTCCGTGACATCCAAGGGCCTAAACCTTTCATATACACCTCCTCATACACGTACTAGTACAAATTTCTATGGGATACAACTAGTACACTTAATCTCCCCACCAAGATGACTTCCGGAAGGTTTAATTTTCAACATCGAGCGGAGGGAACAGGCTCTCCTGAGCAGTCCTGCCAGGGTCCTTCATGGGCTCCCCGTACTCGGAATCTTTTCCAAAGCCGCAAAAATCGAACGTCCTGTTCTCGTGCGGCACCCCGAGGGTGTCCAGCATATTCCTTGCCTTTTGAGGCATGTATGGCTGCAGGAGGATACCCATGTTGCGGATGGTCTCGGCCATGATGTAGATTGTCTGCCCAATCAATGCCTTCCCGTCCATTTGTTCTTCAGGGCTCTTTTCTTTCAGTTCTCTTGCAATCGTCCACGGGGCCATTTCCGTAAAGAATCTGTTGGTCTGTTGCGCTTGTCAGTCCAACTAGATCTACGGTAGCAATAAGATGCGAGCATGACTGAACTCACCGTGAATCCGACTTCAATGAGGGCCATGAGCGCCCGCCTGGGGTTCGGAGTCTCCATCAATTCGTCCATCTCGCTGTAGAGAGACTCGACTCTGGCCTTCTGAGCCTCAAACACCGCCTTGTACTGTTCGCCCACCTTGGACTGGTGCAGAGAGGCTGTCAATATCGGTGCAGCTTGCACGCTCTCCCTCACATTCCAAGCCTTGCCTCGCGTGACCCGGCTCAGCAGGTTGCCGAAAGTGCCAGCCAGAATCTTCTTGTACCTCTGTACGATGATCTCGTTGTCGTAGTTTGCGTCGTTCTCAAACCCGCCGTCGAGCACCATGAATAGTCTCATGGTATCGACGCCCCACCGGTCGATGGCATAGTAAGGGTTGACGACATTCCCCAGGGACTTGGACATCTTCCTGCCATTCATTGTCCAATGAGCATGGGTCAGGAGCTTCTTTGGTGGGCTCAGTCCAACCGCCATCAGCAGCGCAGGCCAGTAAACGCCATGGAACCGGACTATGTCCTTCCCTATAACGTGCACATCGGCCGGCCAGCCACCCATGGTCTCCTGGCCTGGTTGCCAGTTTGGAAAGCGAGCCTTGGTCAAGTAGTTGATGAGTGCATCCACCCAGACGTAGATGGTCTGGGTATCGTCACCCGGCACGCGGATGCCCCAGTCCAAGCGACTGGAGGGTCGAGATATTGACAAGTCCTCCAGGTTGTTCTGGACCCATTGCACAACCTCCCGCATTCGAGAGCTAGGCGTGATGAAGTCGGGGTTCTGCTTGTAGAACTCGAGAAGTTGGTCCTTCAAAGCGGACATTCGGAAGTGGTAGTTCTTCTCCTCGGTCCATTCCACAGAGTTCCCGCTCTCGATCGACGCGTAAGACACCTCGCCCGTCAACGGGTCGACCTTCCTGTCGAGCATGGACTCGGGATAGAAGGTCTCGTCGCTCACACAGTACCAGCCTTCGTGCTTTGACTCATAAATCATGCCCTTCTCCTGGAGCAGGAACCAAAAGTGCCGGACAGCCTCCTTATGATCCTCATCCGTTGTCCGGATGAAGAAGTTGTTTGCGAGGTTCGCCCTGGCTGCCAACTGCTTGAACTTCTCGGCCTGGATGTCACACCACTCCTTGGGCGGAGTATCGTGGTTTTCCGCGGCCTGCTGGACCTTCATGCCATGCTCGTCCGTGCCCGTGAGAAGGATTGATTTCCGGCCCTTCAACTTTTGCCATCTCTTCAGCACATCGGCCAGGATCATGGTATACAAGTGACCAATATGTGGCGATGCATTGACGTAGAAGATTGGCGTCGTCACATAGTATGGTTTTGATTCGGTCTGGCCCACCGAGCCCGTAGTCTCCGTTGCAGTCTCCGATGTAGTCTCCGCTGCAGGCTGTGTTGCAGACTCGGTGGCATACGCGCGAGCTCTCGATGGCCTGAGAAGCCCATTGTGACGACAGGAAGAGCAAACCCAGGCAGGCCGCCGCAGAGAGGCCGAGTGGAGACTCCTGAGCCTACCAGCCGAACGTAGGAATATTCGGTCCATCTGTGGTCATTGTATTCCTGCCAAATACGAAATCGGTGGCACTTCAAACGGGAGGCAAAACTGCCAGTGAGTGAGTGTGAGAGCAACACACCACCGAAGGTGAAAGTGATGGGCAGAGCTTAATCGATAAGCAAAGTGCCAATCTAAGTGGCCGATAACTGTAGGGACTAAGAGAGGGCCATTATTAGCTGCCGTCAAAAAGCGATCGCTCACAATGCGCCGCACTGTCCACCCGCAGGCACGTAAATAGTTGACTTAACCCACTTCACATCGCCCGCGACATCTTGCCCTCCTCACAATTTGCCCGAGTACCTGGCCAAACAGGCAGCCCAAGAAACAACAAACTTGGCAAATCTACCAATCTACACCTCCAAGAAACCCAACTCGGTCGTCGCTCTTTGTCCCTCGACCTCGGGCCCAGCCCATTCCGTCATGTCGTTCCCAACCCAGGAAACCGAGGTCAAGGTCTCCAGCAACGGGGCAGACAGCTTCGTGAGCTGGTACTACCAGGACCTGAACGACGCCCGCTTGCTCACGCCCTACTACGTCAACTCGTCGTCCAAGTACACCGACGCGGGCATCACCGCCGACGTCACCATCAACGGCGCCCACCTGACCGACCCCTCCGAGTACGAGGTCCTGCTGGACCAGCAGCGCCGCAGCGCCGCCGCAGCAGCAGCCGGCGCCACCACCAACGGCGAGCACCACCACAACAACAAGAACAGCAACAACCACAAGGTGCGCTACGACGTCACGAGCTACGACACCCAGGTGCTCAACAACGACTACGGCCTCGGGTGCCCGGAGCACATCCTCAAGCAGGGGCCCGACCGGCACGGCGGACGCGTCTCGATGCTGGTGACGGTCACGGGCACCCTGAAGCTGCTCGGCGGCGGGCCCGGGTCCGAGACCCAGACGCAGCACGTGCGGTTCCACGAGGTGTTCGTGCTCGTGCCCAACTGGGACGTCGTCGGCCGGCGCAACCCGCCGCGCAACGCAAAGAAGTTCCTCATCTCCTCGCAGAACTACAGGACGCTGTAGAGCGGCGCCGAGTTCGAGCCTGGAGAGGGACAAACCGATGAAGAAGATGAATACTACAGCCGGCGGCACGGGGGCAGGCACGCGCCGCCGCGACGGTCTGAGAGACAGAGGAGAGGCAGGGACCGCGGCTACGGCTACGGCTACGGCTACGGCTACGGCTACGGCTATGGCTACGGTCATGATAACCACTACGATCCCTACCGGTACGGCCGCCTGCCTGGGGGTGTCTTCCCGCTTGAGTCCCGGCGCAGCTCTGGCAACGAGCGAATGCGCGATTGGCACTGGGGCTAAATGCCAGTCTCTCCTGCCACGCGAGGCACTTCGACGACACTGTGGGCTGCATGGACGTTCTCAACAGGGATGGTGTGCGTCAGGATGTCTAGAGACAAAGGAAGCCGGGAAACCTACACCCCAGAAGGAGAAAGGAATCAGGACGACGCAGCCACCAACCCAGAAAATAGGAATGTTCTCCCTTCGCGACAGGAATTTTGGAACCGCATCAGATTCAGCATGAATTGCGAGCTGGTCAACAGAGCTAGCGCTACGACGGCGTTCTGTCGGGGTCGGACGGTGATGGTAGGAGTCAATGGGCTACAGAGGAGGATACCGAGCCGTAGACTGCTTCCTTCTGGGACGATGAACATTAAGGCGGTCTGAGCAACAACCTTTAGCCATGGCAAGGCACCAGAATTTACGGGCGGCGGTGGCTACTGTTCGGCATTCAACGGGAATACATCAGTTGCCACATTTGAGCACAGGAAATAGGTCAAAAACCTTCATCAGTTGATAAAAAACACTGCACTCAATGCAGACTCCGTGATATGAAATTTGATTTTGCCCCCAATATTTCGCCAATTTTCATAATTCCTTGAAGACAAGTTGACGGTGACATTGATGTTGACTAGGTAGTCCTTTCATCATGATCCCGTACAACCTAGCGCGAACGCCCCTCGAATGCTCGACTTGATCCGAACATGATATCCCAGTGTACCTAAATCTCAGCACGCCCGCCTAGCTGCTCTTCAGAGACGCTCTCTTCCACTCCCAGTATCCCAGCCTTATGCGGTCCCACTTCTCACCCAGGCGCCTGAGGCACAGGTCCGCCTGGTCAACCTGCCCCTTCTCGGCGTAGATGTCCGCCAGCAGCTCCAGGGCGTGCGAGCTGGTCACCTTCTCGCTGCCCTCGACGCCGACGTGGCCGACGAAGCGCTCCGCGAGGCCCTGCAGGTCCCCCACCTTGCGGCCGCCCTTGGCCAGCACGCCGCGGAGGTAGTTCCAGGGGCTCTGGTTCTGCGGCGCCAGGAGGATCTTGTCCTCGGCGTACCTGACCTCGCGGTCTATGATGTCCGCGGGGACCCTGGGGTCGTGCTCCGTCGAGAGGCTGTCGGGCGTGGCGTTCGCGGGGTCGGTGAAGACGATGAAGAAGCGGTGCGACCAGGCCGAGTTGTTGCGCACGTCCTCGTCGATCAGCGCCTCGGTGGCCCTGAGCTCTGCCTCCCCGAATAGCCCCAGCTTGGGGACGAGGTACTGCCTGTATGACCAGACGTGGTAGTTCTTGGTGTCCTCGGCCAGGATCTGCGTGAGGAATTCCTCCTCGGACTTGGCCAGCTTGGCCTTCTCGTCCGCATCCGACTCGATCGACGGGTAGTAGTGGTCCATGAGGAGCCTCCTGTGGTGCCAGATCTGATAGTTCTTCAGGTTCTCCATGGAGACCTGGTTGAGCCATTCGATCTCGTCTGAAATGGGGATCTGCAGGCCCTGCACTATCGAGAAGCGGTACAGCCAGACGGTATAGTGGGCTGGATTCATGGAGATGATGTGCTCCGTTAGTCGCAGGCAGCGAGGGGAGTATTCCTTTTTGGCCATAACAGCCCGAAGATAGGAGATTGCTGAAAGCTGTTAGCGTTTCATGCACAATATTTTACAAGAGAGGCGGTCGAACCTTCGGCATATTCCTCAGGGTATGCAATAGCCGCCAAAGCACCTTCGGGCTCCTCGATGGGCATAGGAACGACATCGTCCCATGCGGGATCCGTCCCGTACTCCCCCGTGCGCTCGCCGTACAGTTCCATCCTGAGCCTAGCGATCTCCTTCCTCCGTAGTTTCTCTTCCTCGACCTCGTCTACCGTCACAGAGACTGCCTCGTTCGTCTTGGGATCGAGCCAGCCGGCCTTCGCACGTTCCTTCTTCTCCAAGAAGAGGCTGTGCTGTATTTCCAAGGCGGACAGCTGCAAAGCCCTCTCGCTTCTCCTGTCGAGCTGCTCGGGGGTCGAGTGCCCCAGGTCTGCGCCGAACCTGTCCCTGCCCCAGATGAAATCCGGCTGGCCGCTCGAGTCTGTTCCGCTGCTGTTCTGAGCAGCAGGAGCTCCACCAGCACCAGTGGGACGGACCGGCCTGACTGATCTCAGCGGGAGCCCACCAGCTTCATTCACGCACTTCCAAACGTCTCGTTGGGCCTTGTTGTTTATACGCTTGAGGAGGGCAGGTGTGCGGGCGAAATATGCGTTGGCCCAGAGGGTCCGGTCGGAGGGGGAGAGGCCGCTGGGACCCCGGGCGGCAAGACTGGGGGCGTATGGATGACCTTGGTTGTATATATGAGAGCTCCGGTCGTAGATAGTCTTAAAAGGCTCGTTGTCCACGGGTGTTGCTACAGCGAGGAGGAGGAGGAGTTGTTAGCAAGACGGGGCTGATAAGAGGCCTTGTGGGATGGGACTGAGGGTGATCTGAGCCATACGCAGGACAGACAGATGGCAGTGGGGACGGCAATCTTCCTACATTCTTGCTCCTTTTGTTTTGGCTGTGCCTTTGATTTGGGCGGCATGTTTGCTCCTGGGAGAGGGTGGTCGTGCGGATTACGGCTCGTCACTGCAACTGTCCCAGGTTGTCTGCAAGCAGAGCTCCCCCACAGCCCACCATGCCAAGCAGCCTGGCAGCTCCCTTCAGCAGCAGGTGCCCGAAATGCGGGGCAGGACCTTGAGTGATGGCACTTTTGATCAAACAATATCAAGGGACAATCCCACGCACAATGCCAGCATTCCGTCAAGCCTCTTTAGTTTCCGCCCCTCGGCCTTTTGGAATATGCCATGCGAATGTTTAGTGCAGCTCATGTCTTAGTTTGTCGGCTCGACAGGCCTAGCTTGGGGCTTGGCTGTTCTACGCGGCACCGAGTACGGAGTACAGACCGTGGCCTGTAAGCTTGGGCCGGCGTCACAAATTATTAGGCCGGGTAGCAGACTGTACACTAAATAGGTGCACGCCGGTGCCCATAAGCTCTCTCACCATCGACAAGCGAGAGGGCACTTTGCAGACTCGGCGACAACGGCAAGCTGCCCAACCGGAAATGTCCCGAATCAGGCAGTGTCCGCTGAGTTTGGCCCCCAGCTGGGGGTCACGAGACTGGTAAGCTGACAGGATCATGATGTCTTGAAGAGTACATGAACCGCCATTGGGGATTTTTGATCTGTGTGTGTGTTTGTGTGCCAATGGCCCCTGCTTTCGAAATATAATTCGTGCAGCCGGGCTGTGTATTGTGTACAGCAGTGTGGTCTCACCAAGACGACGATGCCCTTATGGGAAATATTACATAGACTGTCTAGTTGGCTGGCATACCGGCTGGTGCCAAGAGATTCTCCCCGGTTCCCCCAAATGGAAATGTTCTAGTGTGCTTAATACTAAGGTACTTAATACTTATAGCTAAGTGGTCCCTGCATTGGGGTGCATGGCTAGCCAGCTCTATCGAGGTACTTAGTACATACGATCCTTGCCGATTCTGGTCATTTTACCACTGGTTGGTACCACCGCAGCAATGCATGCGGTTGAGGTTTGCTGCACGACGGCAAAAATTTCAGAAATTACTACATAGTAGTTCTGCATGTAAGGTAAAGTCGCCGAGTCGTCGAGCCGTCGAGCGACGAGGCTGAGACGGTGAGCAGCGTAGGATCCAGGGGCCAATGAAAGCAACGGAGAAGACGATGACAGCCCCTGTTGCTATCATTTATTACCTAGTGTCCTTCTGTGGGCTACCCAGGTACGGAGTACTTGCTGTGCCACGTTCCTCCCAACAAAGGCAAACCCCGAGTAAGTGAGTGGGTAATTGCCCAATTTATGTTTCCGACATGTAAGCTACAGCCAGACCGGGGCTGTCTGTCATCGACTCATCGAGCCCACCACCATGGCTTGAATCGAGAAGGCAGGATATCCCTCCGTCACCTCGTCTGTCTGCCCGTCTGTCTGCCCGTCTGTCCGTCTTCTGATGTTTGATCTCGTCCGATCACTCTCCGAACCCCTTCTCTCTCTGAATTGCCCTTTTCGAACTACGGTCCGGACTTCCCCCAGCCTTGACAACCAACATAGATAGCTTGTCGCTTCGACCCACGATCCAGGATCCAGGACCCCGACTCGGCTCTGGGCCCTTGCGATACCCACCAAACAACACCGCGCTCTCCGCTATCTTCTAGATCCACCTCCACGTCGGCCGTGTCCACCAACACGTCCCGATCGCTCAAGAACTCCCTACCGCCCCAAGGTCTTGCTCAATCGCACACAAGCTGTGTTGTGCGAGCTTGACGCTACATCAGCTTGCAGCCATGGCGCACGTCAACGGCAACGGCACCGCCAACGGCCACGCCGCCAATGGCGTGGAACACCCTTACACGAATGGCAAGTCGGCGCATCTTAGGAAGGCCTCTCGCAAGCTCTCGAGCCCAATGATGCCTGCCTTCATGGTCTCTGCCCCGGGCAAGGTCATTGTCTTTGGCGAACATGCCGTCGTCCACGGGAAGGTGAGAGCGCCCCATCGCTGAGCTGCGCTGCCTGTTAATGCGCCGCGGCGCTCAGTGTCACCCGCTGACCCATCTTGTTCTAACAGGCGGCCATTGCTGCGGCGACTTCTCTCCGCTCATATCTCCTGGTCACCACGCTGTCGAAATCAAGACGGACCGTCTCCCTGATCTTCCCCGACGTCGACATGTCGCACACGTGGGACATCGACCAACTGCCGTGGGCGACCTTCTCGCACCCGTCCAAGAAGAAGAATTACTACGACCTCGTCACCAGCCTCGACCCCGATCTGATCGCTGCGGTCCAGCCTCACTTAGACGATATATCCCCTGACCAGCCCGAGGCCGTGCGCAAGATACACCGAAACTCAGCACTTGCATTCCTGTATATATTCCTTTCCCTGGGCAACCAGTCGTTCCCGGGCTGTTCATACACACTACGATCTACAATCCCAATCGGCGCCGGCCTCGGCAGCAGTGGCTCAATCGCAGTCTGTCTCGCCGCCGCTCTGCTCCTACAATTACGAGCCCTTTCAGGCCCACACCCCGACCAGCCTGAAGAGGAGGCCAGGCTGCAGGTGGAGAGGATCAACAGGTGGGCATTCGTCGGCGAGATGGCCATACACGGGAACCCGTCCGGCGTGGACAACACGGTCTCCACGCAAGGCAAGGCCGTGGTGTTCCAGCGGACGGACTACAGCAAGGCGCCCGAGGTGCGGCCCCTGTGGGACTTCCCAGAGCTGCCGCTGCTGCTGGTAAATACCAAACAGTCGCGGTCCACGGCGAACGAGGTCGCCAAGGTCGCCAAGCTCAAGGACTCGCACCCCAAGCTCGTCGGCGGCATCCTCGACACCATCGACAAGATCACCAAGACGGCGGAGGGCCTGATAGAGGAGGACGGCTTCGAGAGCAAGGACATGGAGAGCCTGCGCAGGCTGGGCGAGCTGATGACCGTCAACCACGGGCAGCTGCTCTCGCTCGGCGTCTCACATCCCAGGCTGGAGCGGATACGCGCCCTGGTCGACCACGAGGAAATCGGCTGGACAAAACTCACAGGGGCCGGAGGTGGCGGCTGCTCAATCACCCTCCTGCGGCCTGACGTCCCGCCGGAGAAGCTCGCGCGCCTGGACGAGCAGCTGGAAGAGGAGGGGTACGAGAAGTTCGAGACGACGCTGGGCTGTGACGGCGTTGGCGTCCTCTATCCCGCGGTCATCAAGAACGGGATGGACGAGGACGAGGACGGCGGCATGGAGATTGACCTGGACCTCTTCCTCAATGTCGAGGGCAACGAGGGGGTCGAAAAGCTGGTTGGGGTCCACGGGGGTGCGGGTGAGAGGGAAGGCTGGAAGTTCTGGAGGGTAGAGTCGCATTAGGATGGATGTGCGTGGCTGGAAGATGTAAACGCCCCAGTCACATGGAAACTTCAGAGGTCACAAATGTGCCTGGAGACGATTTTTTGATTCATCTCAAGAATCCGGTTGAGCGACTGGGCCGATCACCCGTTATTTTTGTCCCGGCTCCTATCTTAGCTGTTCACTTAATGACGGTATAATAATCTTACTGAACGAGAAAATGAGCAAGCGGACAGAATTGGAAGACATGACTTGATCCAAAATGCTGAAGACGGCCGTTTTATGGGCCTCGGACCTGCCGCGCGTTCCCGTCATGTCTGGACGATCAAGATCTTGACTGAACCTATCTAGGAAAGAAGGAAAACAATCATAATCTGCCAGGAATTTTCCTTGGTCAGTTGCTGGCTGCTGGGCAATCTTACAAATGGCGAAGGATTAGCTGTGTTCACAGTTCTTAAGCAACGTAAACTTTAGTACTTTGGTGTATCTTAATATTATCAACTCAGTCTCCTGTATACCCTACTAAGACACGGCACTGACCTGAGACCAGCTACATCCTATTGATAAAGAACAAACCGCTATGATATGCATTGGGTATAACTCTCTTATGCGCCTCGAGTGAAGCCCAAAAGCATTGGATGGGTAGCCCCTCATCCCAGACAAACCCAAGCTTTTACTCACTTGATGTTACGGCCAATCCTCATGGCACTCACTCACAAGTCTATCTCTGCTAAATGATCCGGTGCTGCCAGTGAAAAAAGAAAACGTCCAACTGTTACTTTCTATTATGAGCAACTGATTAGCCCAAGGGAATTTTGCTCACAACCCGTCACTTCATGGTTGCGGAATGGAAAGACTCCGGACCACATAAGGTGTGGTTTGGGAATAGCATTTCGCGCATGTATGCATGCTGTGTCCCAAGGTTGGTCAAAAGGGCAAAATATCAGCCAATCCAGCTGGACGACTTGTTATATGGCGGCAAGGATACGAATTTTGTACCTAGTCTCTTCTTCTTTTCTACAGTGTATTGGTATCAGTGATCAATGTATGCATCAGAGATGGTATCCGTGCTGGTGGTGGTGGTGGTGGTGGTGGTGTACGTCTGATCGAAGAAGTCTACGGGCCCAGCCAGCCCCTATTACGAGTATTCTGGGCATTGCTGTATGAAGATGCAGTTCACCTTTACAGCTACGTTACGCTCTTCTCCCGCGGTGGATTCGGTCCTGGCTAGTTCAACCGCTCCGACACTGGTTCAACGGACTGTGTTGTGAGGGCCTTAATGAACTGCGGATGGTGCGGGGCGGACTCCATGTCCTAAACGGCGCGGCCCTGTCGTTGACAACATTCAATATCGTCTTCATGGTAGTCAGGCGAGGATGCCCCGTCATGGCAACGAGACCAGATGGCTCTCCTAGGCTGTTGCGCAAGACTCCAAGGTCGAAAGAACACGAAGAGTATACGAAAGGAAGACTCCAAGTAGATCTCGTCACCAGACTGGTGGATGGCCAATGTCTGGGAGACAGGCAGAGCTTCCTGGCATATCGTGCTCTGTCGGTAACGCGGGCCCCGTTCCAATGTTCGTCGACGATATCGGGCTTCGGTAGGTGTCGTTGCGAGGCTGGTTGGTTAATATGTCCAGGTGCGTCCACCTGCCATGCCAGCACACAGTGGCGTCTCAATGCTGGGCCAGTGGGGACGGAGAAGAGGTTACTTCGGACAAGCCTCCAATGTGTGTGGCTTTGGTGAGCTTCAATTTGCAAGGTATCCCTAGACGCCCAGTAATGAATCCCTTTCGTCCAGACCCGGACGAGATGGCCCTTGATTCCTTGTTTCAGACGCCATCGACCTTTTTGCTTCCTCAAAACCCTCCGCTCAATCAAGTCGTTCCCAGACCTAGACTGCTGACTTATGCAGCCTTGACCTTCTTCTCACGCTTGGTAACCTCCTTGATCTGCAGGTCTGTTATCCGGATGTGTTAGTCTTCTGCTGTCTCTCTCTCTCTCTCTCGCGACCTCGCGTGTGTGGTGGTGGTGGGAGAGTCGTACTTGGGGGCAGCGACTGCTTGAGCTTCTCGGCCTTCTCGGCGTCCTTCAGCGAGAGGGTGTACAGGTGCTTAGAGCATCGGACCTTGAACTTGATCAGAGAGGTCTTCTTGTTCTTCTTGATCCGGGCGGCTGGAGGTTCGAAATTGGTTAGATAAACATTCGTTCCCCAGTTGCTCAAAATTGTTTCGTCGGTTGCGATCGTAACATACAGGAGGCATCCTTCCGCCTGCAGACCTCGATGAACTGTAATTGCCGTTTGTTAGCCAAATTTGACACCAAAAAAAATCCGTAATGGGTCATCAATTCGCACCTTCTTGATGTCGCTGATCTCCTGGGCCATTTTGACTGATTTTCTGACAGTTGATACTGGGAGGGCTGTCCGGGATTGAGAGTTGTCGTCGCGGTCTGAGGGATGAGTTGAGCAGAGTGGAATTTTCCAAAATGTGTGCGGGAAGGTGGACAGGGGTGCTGGCCTGCACAATCAACAGGTGGGAGGGGTGGTCGACGGGCGATACCTGGGTACAAGAGCAACGCTAACCGGTTTCGGTCGAGAGAGTCTGGGCCCGCAGACGCAGGAGCGAGTGGAACTCAGTGTGGCTGACGTGGCGCAGTCCCGAAACTGGAGAGGCCTCGTCACCTCTACACCTCTCTGCGGCTGTTTTCACGGCGATCCTGCCATTCACTTATATGTTGTCCAGTTTCAAGGTTGTGACTAAAGGATGAGTACAGGTGTTCTTTGTAAAGTTTAATTATCCTTCAGTCGACTTGGTCCATAGAATCATCCCTATAAATCAGAAGCCTTCTGCGCTGCGCGGCAACCCCTCCTTTATCACTTACACGCCTAAGCGATACCTTCCAATCGACTCGGTAAACATCTACTTACTCACCACAATCAAGTGATACCTCTTGAGACATATTCTCATTCATCGAAATGCCTACTCCACTTGATAATGCGATGAAGTCCAAGGTCGGTTCATTTTGCCCTACTCTAGAAGACCCCCATACCTAGGTATCATCATCAGCTGACAATTTCCCAGAACATGGTCTTGGGTGAGTCAACTCGGGCCCGATAAATACATCACTTTATACATAAATGCTGTGAAATTCTCGAATGGCACTGACATGTAACATCTATGTAGCCTTCACGGGGCTGATCACAGCTGTTGGAGTCTGGTCGATCTGGGGCGGTGACATGTTCCCAGCCCAGGAGGATCCCAAGGGAGAACCCGAGACTTGGACAAGAGAAGAGATGAGGAGATGGTTGGCTGCAGTATGTGTGGTGCCCGTACCACTCGCGCAGATTTGTTGGCTGGCCGACTGACTGCGTACAGCGAGATCTCCACCCGCAAGACAGCGACACAAGGGAGCAGCTACTTGAGAGGGTCAGAGCCAATCTTCGCATCCCACGGAGGACGAATCCTTGAGCACAAGAGTCACATCGAGAGAAGCAAACAGGACTGAAGTATCACCATGGGACACATTGGTCTTGGCGCTGACAGGCAGATGTGGAATCAACACGTTGCCATCCGGGTCTTGGGGAAGCGATTGACTCTGCTCTTCGTTTGGACACCCACTGGTCGTGAAGCTATCCGGGTCTCTGGCCTGCCTACATGCGCCACCGGATGCATCCAATGCGTTATATGACTTCACCATTGTGGATATTAGGAACAGAGCATGGCGGTTCTTGGAACGGTGACCACTGCTCGTAACCTTGGATTTGCCATCGTGGATTGTGGCAATCGTACACGCTCGGGAGCGTGCAGTTGTAGAATTGGTACCTGGGTATCCATAGCTCATTTGTCTTTTGATCATTGCACTCAGTGCCCACGTACAAGGTTACAGAAATGCAGCTTAGCAAGTTTTGATCTGAAAATCTGACTGGGAGTATCATGGCTCTAGAGCTGAGAAACAAGGTGTGTTCCATCACGGTGTCTCCAGTGATGGAGTCTAATCTGCTGGGTTTGAAAGGGCTGGTTGCTGGGAAGGAGGCACCCTGGGCCTCGGCATTCGACGTGAAGTTGGCCGGTCTCGCCAAGCATACCTCCGCGTCGCGTCGCCTACCCTGCCTGCACTTTTAGCTGCACTGATATGTGCCCCTCAATTCGGCGCGTCTGGCAGTCAATTCAACCACTTACCTCATTGCCTGTGTTCTTTTCCAAATGTCGTGTGTGTCGTTACACTCTCGTCTCGTTTCCTTTTTGAACTGTTCTGCAACAACCAGGAAAAATCCTAATCTACCGACTCGTTGAGACCGCAAGTCAGCAAGCCTGATTTCATTAACACCCGCGGGATGGCCTCCCTTTCCCCAGAGCTGTGGCACATGATTGCCAGCCATCTCAGCATACACGATGCTACACAACTCCGACTCGTCAGCAGGTACTTTGCGGATCTCGCAGGGCAGTACATCATTCCGGAAATCTCATTTCACATGCACCAAGACGACTTTACGCGTCTCAGGGAAATTTCGCGCAGTGGCGTCCTTGCACCAAGCGTCAGGTCGCTGACTTACTTCACGACCTTGTACAAAACTCCAGTGGGGACGTTTAGGGAGTTCAAACGATACCACAAGGAGGAAATCTGGATGAAGAAGCTTAGTAATTGGCGCACGCCCGCCATTGAGGAGGTTAAGCCTGCTGATGAGTCAACATTGTTGTCCGAGTATGAGAAATATAAACACCTCGTCGACGTGCAAGATCAGATCAGATTCGACAAAGCCGATCTCGCGTGCCTCAAAGATGCCCTCGCCAAATTCACGGGCCTAAGGCATGCTACCATGTCATCTGGTAACCAGTTCCTCAGCAGGCCCGCCCGTCAAACGCGATCGCCGTTCAGGGGTCCCGTTGAACTACCCATCGGATGGCCAAGACCAGAGGGTGTCGCTCAGCTCGAGGTCTTGCTTGAAGCATTGGCACATAACAATATCAAGCTCGACAGCCTGCGTGCGGGCACTCTCGAATGGGTATTCTTCGACAAGCCCCAGGCAGAGCTTGAACGCCTGTTCCGGCCAGCGTTCGACGCGGTGCACGTTGAGTTCGAAATTGCGCTGGCCCTAGACGACAATCTGCATGACTGGGACGAAAACGGTGCGGAGTGCCGGGAATTCATGGAAGAGGGCAGGTTGAGGGATATCCTGTTACGCATGAAGAGGCTTGAGGTGCTGCGCGTCGGATTCCTATGCGACCAGGACCTGCCGGACGAGAAGCCAGCCATGCTGAAGGATATCATGAGCCCAGGTCATCACTGGCCACACCTGCAACGACTCGAGCTGTCAAGCATCGAGGCTGACAGGCACAGTCTGATGAAACTCCTGATCCTACACAAAGACACGCTTCGATTTCTTTGTCTACAGGACGTTCATCTAGGTGCAACGTCGTGGAAGAAGCTACTACCAGAAATACGCAACCAGTTATATCTGGAGGACGCGTGTATCTGTGGTAGTTTGGTGGGCCAAGCGGAAGACATGCCCGACCAGAGTCTGCGTGAAGGCTGGGAGTTGAGCGTGCCTGGAATCTGGCAAAACGACATGAGGGCATCTATCAATTGTTACTGTCAAAAGGGGGGCGAGAATTACCCGGATGAGCTCCCGCTCGAGGACGAGATTGTGGAAAAGCACTTCAATCAATACGTCAGACACACTGTCAAAAAGACTCAAGCTGAAGAGTGGGAAGAACAGCATCGTGTTGACGAGGAGCTGCGCGGCGAGTGGCGTGAGGCTGGGCTGATACCGTGCAGAGGCAACGAGGACAGCGAGGACAGCGAGGACGGCGAGGGCAGCGAGGGCAGCGAGGACAGCGAGGACAGCGAGCCAGACTGGATTAGCTACGATACAGATGATTCGAATGCTGATCTGTGGGATGAGCTTAATTATAATGTGGATCCAGAGGAAGTACGCAGATGGGGTCATATACCTGGTGCGCTTGACGAATTTCGTCTGGTTCAGAATAGCGAGGAGGATAGCGAGGAGGACAGCGAGGAGGACAGCGAGGAGGACAGCGAGGAGGACATCGAGGAGCTCGATGATGAATTGGCCGCAGTGGAGAGTTCGTCAGAAGGTGACGACGAAGGCGATGGTGAAGGCGATGGTGGCTTTCAGGGCATAACTATTTTCTACTAAGATTAGGAATCGTGATCTACCAGCTGTTACTACATAGTAGCTCTTGACATCTGGACTTGCTGGATTCAAGGCCCACTGCGGGAGTACCTCTGTGTGCGCTTCGATGTTGCGGTCGAAGGTACCAAGGTACATGTTGCAATACCCGTTCGGCCAAATGAAACAGCCCGAGCCGCACGGGGCACTCTGGGCCCTTGCCAAGACCCAACCAAGCCTTGCCAGAGCACTCAGTCAGCGTAACACCCGAGGAACAGCTTGTCCTCGCAACCGGCCTAGGCAAACAAGCCGTACTTCTCTGTTCTGTCGCAACCCTTTTCTTTCTCTTCCCTTTCATACACAGACTCTAAGCAGCCGCCTTCCGGTTCCTGGGATGTGGTCGTGATTCCAACTCCTTTCCAATTCTTCGACCCTTTGCGACAACTGCGCAGAGTGCTTTGCGATGGATTTCCTACAAGTAGGACACGCCTGCGGCCCCTGCAACTGTACTTATACGAGATGCTAACGTTGCTTCCACCGCAGCGCCTGGCCAGGTTTCTGGACAGGCCTCTCTTCCCCTGGAAGAAGCTCATCATCGGCTTTTCGGTTGCGCAATACCTCTTTGAGGGTTTCCTCTCGCTTCGTCAATACCAGGTCTTGAAGAAGACCAAGCCGCCAAAGGTTCTGGAACAGGAGATATCGCAGGAGACATATGACAAGAGCCAGGCATACGGGCGCGCGAAAGCCAAGTTTCAATTCGTCAACGGCATCTGGGGCCAGGTCACGAACATCGCCTTCATCCACTTCGACGTCCTCCCCAAGATCTGGTCATGGACTGGTGACCTCCTCCTTCGCTTTGCCCCCGCCCGGTTCTCTGGTGAAATAACCCACTCGATCGCGTTCGTCTTGGCCTTTACCATCATCCACCAGCTCTTGTCCCTGCCAGCCTCGGTCTACAACACGTTCGTCTTGGAAGAGAAGTTCGGGTTCAACAAGCAGACTCCTCAGCTCTTTGTCACCGACCTGATCAAGTCGCTGGGTCTGACTTTCGTCCTGACGCCTCCCATCCTGGCTGCTTTCCTCGCTATCATCCAGAAGACGGGCGACCAGTTCTTCTACTACCTGTGGATGTTCGGTGCCGGATTGCAGGTTGTCATGATCACCATCTGGCCCATTGTCATTATGCCCCTCTTCAACAAGCTCACCCCTCTGGAACCTGGTAAACTGAAGACCGGAGTCGAGGCCCTTGCTGCCAAGCTCAAGTTCCCTCTCGACGAGCTCTACGTGATCGATGGGAGCAAGCGCAGCGCCCACAGCAACGCCTATTTCTTTGGAATGCCTTGGAAGAAGCACATTGTCATCTATGATACCCTGATCGAGAAGAGCGAAACCCAAGAGGTTGTGGCTGTCCTTGCGCACGAATTGGGCCACTGGAGTCTGGGTCACACCACTAGGTTGTTCGGAATCTCTCAGGTAAGACCTAGGAGGTATCCGTTGACGTGGAATTCGAGCTGACAGACATAGTTCCACTTCTTCTACATCTTCTCACTGTTCTCCGTGTTCATCAACAACCAGTCTCTGTACGCCGACTTTGGATTCCACGCCGTAAAGCCCATTATTGTTGGGTTCATCCTCTTCTCCGATGTCCTAGCCCCAATGGACGTTTTCATCAAGCTGGGCATGAACATCCTGAGCCGCCGCTACGAGTTCCAGGCCGATGCTTTCGCGTGCGATCTTGGGTACTCTGCGGACCTTGCCAAGTCCCTCATCAAGCTCCAGATCCAGAACCTCAGCACTATGGATGCCGACCCGATGTTCGCTAGCTACCACTTCTCACACCCCATTCTGTCTGAGAGGCTGAAGGCTCTCAACTGGCAACCAACCACCAAGGTTGGGGATGCTGATGAGAAGGACGGTGTTGCCAAGGCTACGGGAAGAGATGAGCTGTAGGAGTGACGATGTAGGTTAGGCAGCATTGAATACAAGAGTATGAGAGGTATTCAATAGATACTACACTGTCTGAAAGTTGACAGTTATTGTGCCGGATCCGTCTGGCCCGAGTCACAAGGCTTTTCGTTATAGCTACTTCCATCACTTACCCTGACAGAAGATGCAGGTAACTGAGAATTCATAGTATACCCATCTAGATTGACTTTGAATTATTGCTGTATAAATGTACTTGACAAGCATGACATCTTGCTACGGCAGACACCAGTAAGCTACCTAGGTAGGCAGGCCTGCACTCATTCGGGGCCTGCTAAAGGAGCTTCTGTCCCGTCGGGGTTAGGGTAGATTTCGATTGACAGCAATTTTGGCTCGGAGCACCACCGGTGCAGTAAACCAGTAATAAACCATCCGGCGGCAGACAACAGACAACTTCCCAAAAGGCCCCGCGGACGAGTCTTGGGCCACGTCGCGTGACAACAACCACTGCCCCGACCAGCAGTCCCCTGAGATACCCACCCATTGGAGCTCTGTGAACAATGTCGCGGCTCTTCGCCCAGTCCGCGCTCCGCGCAGCCGTCCGAGATGTCGCAAGACAACCAGCCCTGACGAGGTCCGGCCCAACTCCCCCAGTGACCGATTGATTGTCCACACGCACCCCAGCGAAGGAATCCCCCCACCCGAACTGACAACAGACCACGACACAGGTCCTTCTCCTCCCTCCCGGCCCTGCGCCCAGGCATCTCAGCCGCCCCCCAGCCCAGCATCTTCGCGAGGAGGCCGGGCGCCATCCCCACCTTCTTCACACCCACCACCACAACAACAACGGCAGCAGACGGGACGGTGGCGGATGTCGTGCCCCGGACGGCGATCACGGCGCACCCTGCCCTCGCGGGCGCGTGCTCGCAGGTCCGGTGCGGGCCCCGCCGGTACATGAACATGAACCGGCCGTCGCGGCTGATCCGCATGCGCAGGCACGGGTTCCTGAGCCGCATACGCACCAAGACGGGGCGCAAGATGCTGCAGAGGCGCAAGACCAAGGGCCGGACCCAGCTGAGTGCCTGAGTTGGTCCATGGCGGGTGAAGATGGGTGCCCCCCAGGAGTGGGCAGGGCAGGGCAGGGCGCCCGCTGTGTCTGGTCCGGGTGCCTTGGGCTCATGCTGCGGTTCTTCTGTGGCGCCTGCCCTAGGCAGAGAAAAGAAAGGCTAGATCTTGAGAGAGAGAACACGGGCAGAGGATGGGTGGGAAGAGGAAGAGTGTGCCCGAGAGAGAGCTCGTCTGTCGATGTTCTCCGGACGCCTCTGCGGGTGCGGTACTGCGTCTGCGGCTCTTGGCTTCTTGAGAGCGCTCGGCACGATTGAGCATGGCATAAGCTCGCTTGACTCAAAACAACATAGACGAGTTCTGTAGGAGCAATAACGCCTGCTCCGTGTACATACTTGTTACAATAACACGCCAATCGCCCATCATTGGACGTTGTTGAATGTTTAGGTACTATAAGAGGATCGGTGACAAAGAAACGCAGAGATGATTTCTGTCTGACAGCGGCCTATACTGACATTTCTACAATATGTGTCTGCAGTCTTTCACAAGTCCCCGGCATTACAATCGTATACAGTATTCATTAGAAGTGGCAACATTGCCCAAGATACATATATACATCCAATAGAACATGGGGAAATTACACTGTCGTCAAGACGCCAGCAAATCAGACCGGCGCAGTCAGCCCATCCGCACAACTCAGCGTGCTCGCGTCACAAGCCAGGAACAGCGCGTCGCTCGACTCGCCGACCCAGATCTTGTACGCCCCGTCGACAGCAGGGACGACCCAGTTCTGGCGCACGACATCCCAGACGCTGACGTCCTTGCGCGTGAGCGTGAGCTCGACGACCTCGCTCGCCCCCGGCGCGAGGGCCTTGGTCTTGGCAAAGTCGCGGAGCTGGACCACGGGGCCGTCGTAGCCGGTGCCGGAGGGGAACTGCACGTACGCCTGCGCCACGGCGCGGCCCGAGAAGCCGCGCGACCCCGTGTTGGTCACCGTCACGCGGACCGTGTACGCCGTGTCCCAGAGGGCGTCGTTGCCGCCGAGCCCGCCGCCCGCCGCCGGGCCGGGCTTCTGCGTGCCCGAGTAGCCCGCCGGGTAGGGGTAGCCGGCCTGGGAGCCGCTGGCGACGGCCGCGCCCGTGGCGGCCGCGGCGTCGGCGTCCGACTGCGACAGCCACGGGTACAGGTAGCGCCAGACCTTGGAGAAGCCCGCGGGCTCGTAGGCCTCGGCCGCGAGGGGCACCGTCTTGTTGAAGGCTGGGACGCCGGACTTGGCGGGCCGCGCCGGCGGCGTGGTTGTCAGCTGGGTCACCTTGGTGATGGTGGCGTCCGTGTAGGTGAAGTTTGTGTAGGAGAGGCCGTGGCCGAAGGCGAAGCGGGGCTTCTTGCCGACCGAGTTTAGGTACTTGTAGTCGATGAAGCTGGGGGTTTTGGTCAGTGATGAGTTCTCTTGCATGCAATTGGGGGAGGGGCTTTGCAACTTACAGTCCCTCGCTGTAGGTATCCTGGATCTGGCCCGGTGCGAACCCAGTCAGGCTCACGCTCGCCGGGTAGTCGTCCTCGGCGACGGGGATGGTGTATGGCAGATGGCCGCTGGGGGAGACATCTCCGAACAGGACATTGGTCAAGGACTGGCCGGCTTCCTGGCCGGGCAAGTGCGCGACGAGGACCGCCTTGACAGAGGGCAACTCGATCCACGGCTCCATGACGATGGGACCAACAGTGTGGACGACAACCACAACATTGCTGAACTTGGCCGCGGCATCCTGCACCAGCTTGTCACCGTTGTGCCATGCCTTGAGACCATCCTGGCTCCGGTCACCAGCGTTGCCCTCGACGGTGATGGAGTTCTCGCCGGCGTCAGAGGTGATAAAAACGATAGCGACGTCGTCAGGGCCCGGCGCCGGGACGTTGCCGGGGAAGGAGTCGGTGTTGTACGATGTGACATTCGCCGCGTTGGCCTTGATGGCACCAAGCGGGTCGTCGAACGTCTCGTAGTTAGCAGTGCCGCTGCCCCAGCCCATCCCCAGTGTTCCCTTGTTGCAGCTGCGGTCGGAACAGGCGTTTGCTCCATCCGGGTTGACTGCCTGGTCTGTACCGAACAGCGACAGCTTGGCGCTCTTGGAGAGAGGGAGCAGGTCGCCGTCGTTCTTCAGCAGGGCAATCGCGTCTTGTGCGACCTGCCGGGCAATGGCGGCGTGGTTGCCTCGCACGTCGACGAACTGGTTGACGACGCCGGATGGGCTGAACAGCGCACCAGGGTGAAGCGCCCCCTCTGCGTCGCTCGTGTACGACGAAAAGTTTGGCTCTGGGTAGTTGGCGTCCTGTCCCAGGTGGTACCAGGCGGCAACAATCCTCACCGCCGCGTCGTCCAGCCTGTCGACGGGCATGGAGCCATTCAGGACAGCCCGGCTCATCTCGTACATCCAGTAGGAGGTGCCGAGCAGAGGGACCATCGTGTCACCTGGCATCGCCATGTCCAGGCCGGCGAGGGCTGCAGGGACACCGGAGATCTGCGCCAGCCAGTCCGACATGAGGAATCCTTGGAATCCGAGCTCGTCCTTCAGCAGGTTGTTGTTCAGGTAGCTGTTCTGGGTAGACGAGGAGCCGTTCACGGCGTTGTAAGCGCCCATCACTGACGCCGCGCCCGCTCTGATGGCTTCAGCGAAGGGCCAAAGGTAGAGCTCATGCATAGTCCGGTCATCTATGACAGGTAAGTAAGGCCACAGAGACTACCCATCCAAGATTCAGAAACACTGACCAATGTTGGCACTGTAAGCAGGCTGGAAGGGGTTGTACATGCGCCACATCTCTTGCTCGTTTCCAACAAGATGCTTGATAGTGGCCATGACACCCTGCTCTTGGACACTGTAAAAATGACAGTTAGTATCTAAAGCCACACTCTTTTCCATACTATTCAAGGCCTGAAATCCGGCTTGAATCAGTGAGAACTTACCCCTTAATCGTATACTTGGCGCCTATGGCTTCTATCACAGGGTCGGCTCCGAAGCCCTCCCAACTACGCCCATCACGAGGCTTGCGGCCGAGGGGACCGACGGTAGGGCCGAGATAGATGTTTGCGCCTTTGCCACGGAACTCTTGGCCAAGCGCCACGCCGCGCTGGTAGATCAAGTCCTTGTCCCAAGTGCCACCGGTGGTGATACCGGCGGGGAAAGCGGTAGCATGATCAGTGCTGCGGACGCCCAGAGCCGAGTCCTGAAGACATAGTTGCGGAAATCCCACACGCGGAGCACTTCCCGTCATTCCAACACAGACACTATACGGTCAGCTCATACTTCCACAGGCTCGAATAGCTATCCTACTTACTCTGTGTAAATAAAGTCAGCAGTCTATATTAAAGAGAGAATGGCCTGCCACGAGAAACCTTACCCATAAAAATGCCAGTGCCGGCTGTAATGTTGGCCTTCTCAGCCAAGGTCATTGTATCCACCAGGGCTTTGGCCTTCTTGACACTGTCGCTCCAGCTCGGGATCCAACCCGTGTAAGGGGCCGGGTAGTATGGAGCCGCGACATAGGGAGCTGGGACGTCGGCACGCCTGCCGATGCTCGCGCCTTGTGAAAGCCCGGTGAGGAGGCTCGTGACCACGAGCCCTGAGGACAAGGAGACCATGGGTGCCATCTTGCTTACAGCAAAGAAGAGATGACTGCTCGTCTCGACCTACAGTTGTTCGAGCGTGAAGGAACAACACAGCGTGGGCAGACACAGGGTAGGCTTCACTCGGTTGGAGACACTTGTATTCGGCCGAGAAGCCATCTATATGTACTTGCTATGGACTGGAGATTGTAGACTGTGACTTCGGGATCCGAGGACCAGCTCAGGGATGCTATGGGTCTTGAGCATATGGTTCTGCATAGGAGTAATAAGGTGGACCTAAGCTTGATGTGGTCCAATATACTAGGCGGCCAAGCGCTTGGGGCCCATCGGAATTTTGAACGAGCCTAGACGAGATGAATAAAAGGCCCAGGTGGACGGAGTGCTCGACGGAAAGGGAAAACAACACGCAGGTGGTAGGTCAGGTGTGCTATAGCCTACACCTCCTATCGCCTGTTCATGCCGGGCACCGAGAGGGGCAGGCGGCTTCGCCCATCACTTGTGTATTCCACATGTGCATGGCACCCTGCCCGCCTGGGCCCGTGTGCGGGCGCCCCTTGTCGAACTGGATATCTCCAGGTTGCGACAGCGACTGCATGAATCATGGACCAGTGAAATGTCAGGTGAAGGCACCATTTTCGAGTGGAATATGGCCTGCGGGTGGCCGCAGCACAGTGGTACAATGCAACGGTGACGTCCCCTAGCGGTGAGCGATCCTCCCACCGCACCCGGCTTCTCGGAATGGGAGCTTAAGCTAAGGTGTGTTGATAATGACATAATAGCCTAGCTCTCGTGGTAAGGGCATACACCTCTTTCTCTGCCCGGGGGAAACAAAGCAATTTGCACCTAGCTGTGAGAGCTCCCTGGACCGAGTCGAGCAGCTGCCCGCCAGTCGCGTCCATGGCCCGAAAGAGGGTGGACCTGACTCACCTTCGTGGATGACCCAGGAACAAGGTGGTAGTGCCGGTTCAAAGCAGGGCATTCCTCCGCACTACGCGGTGCTAGATCTCGGAACCACCAGAGAAGAGCGTGGCAGCCGGGGGGGGAGGGAGCCAGGAAACCAGGGCCCTTAGCGCTGTGATATCGTCGCGTGCCATAACGACAGGGTTCAGAGGAGGCTAATTGAACTTCAAGGTGTTGATGATAATGCAGGCGAGCAACACTCTGGAGGCGGAGGAGGCCAGCGGCGACAGAGCTGTCGCGGCGTGCGCCTCCAAGGGCAAGAGGTGATGAGTCGGCGGCCGCGGGATTTGTGGTAGATAAAGCTTGTTGACTGGCCGTGAGGATAGTTGAAGGTTGTCGACTACGGCTGCTGTCCTTCCCAAAGCGGGGAGGCGCCGAGGCTTGGGGACGTTGGCGGCGTCAGACGGGAGCCTTGATAGGCACGAACGTGCATGCAGCCGCAGTTGTACAGCGACGGGACTGGAGCAGCAGGCGTCGAGCAGGCAGGCGGGCAGGCGGGAGGGGGCTGATGGCTGATGGTGATCGGCCATGATGGACGGTTGACGGCATCTTGCAGGATACCCCTGGCTGACCAGGCTTGCGAGTGGGTGGCCCGCTCGGCCGACAGCTGTCAATGCCCAATCCAATAAGCCCCTCGGGAGGGCAGGAGGGCAGGAGGGCAGGAGGGATAGGCTCAACCTGCCTGCTCTGCATGTGTCAGATGCGCAGGTGCAGAGATGCACAGCGCATAACAATGGCCGTCGTGCGTGGCTGAGGAAATCAGGGAATCCGGGAAATAGCTGGCACATTTTCGAGGCTGACATTCTGATAATCTGACAAATATGTCTGTTCCTGGACGTGGCTTCCTCTAGTCGGCTCTTAGAGTTGGCTCGCGCGTGTTCATCCCAATTTCGACCCTGGCTTGTCAAGCTTGTCCATGCAGAGTTGACCTGGGCTGCTGGGCCACGGGGCAGCCGGAGCAAGCTGAAAGGAAAGACGCGCTGCCGTCATGATCGTCGCGCGTGTTCGCTCGTTTTGCTCGCACAGGGACCTCGAAAGGGAATGGTATCTAGCTCAAGATGAGTGGTGTAGTAGATGCAACGTCGATCCGCCGCGTTCGGCAGCCAGATCCATCAGTTGTGACTGCGAAGCGCGACACAGAAAGAAGCTTAGGTCCTGACAAGTGTGTGCTTTTTGGGGTCGGTGCTTTGTTCGACAGATGTGTTGCAGGCAGTCCAGGCAGTCGCACCTTACCTTGCTTGCCTACCATTAAGCTGTGGATGTGGCGCTTGGGTGAGAAAAGCTTAAGCGATCTTGTTCTCCTCGGCCCCGCCTTGAGCAAAAAAAGAGGTCCCTGGAAAATTGTTGAGGAAGTCGCGGGCAGACTCCAACGGAGCAAAGTTGTAATCGGGACGGGACAGGCCAGGCAGGAACGAGTCCGCACCTCAATAGACCGACCGACGTTATCGCTGCGGGGCGGCCTACGCGGCGACAGAGAGCCAGAAGTGGCCTATTTCGCCAGAGAGCATGCATCCCCCGTACTTTTGGGGTCAACTGCCGGTGGGCCAATAGGCACCGCTCCACCCGACCATGAACCTTGTACCATGAGAGTGCCTGAGCACCGGCAAACCTTGAACCCAGACAGGGTCGCAGAGGCCGCTAACCGCCCCCACAGAGCCCACCGTGTTGGTCCTGTTGGTCGCGCTTGCGCCATTACTTTGCACATGGTCAGCAGGGTTCTGGCCCGCAAAACTTCCTCCTTCTTCAGACGAACCGATCCGACCAGACGGGCAGCCATGCACCAACAGCACCAACAGCACCAACACACAATTGCTGTGTATAGTAGACTACACAGTACAAGTTGGTCTTGTTGCTGCTGCTGCTGCTGTGTCGCGACCACGGGGGAACACATGGATCCACCATCACCATGTTCACGTAATTTACCCGCCAATACCAATACAAATGCCAATCCTGTCAGCCGCTGACTGTACTTGTACCTATGAGGCAACTTGCCCCTGTGAGTATGTCATATGCGCCCAATCCGTACACTATGCCTGCCGGTGCTGACGCCGGCGGCGGCGGTGGCTGGCTGGATAGGTCGTGGTTGTGGTCGTGGTTGTGGATGCCAGCGTGGAGTTACGGTTGTATTGCTGTGGCAGATGCCGCTCTGCAAGTCCACACAGATCGGCCAGTCCTCGGCGCCGCCTATCGATCCGTGACTTGCAGCTTTGTCCGTCACGCGCACCGTCGGCAGCCCAATGGATGGCCCTGCCCGCGGTTGGGTCCGAATTCTGGGGAAACCAGATCGCAGCTCGAACGGCCCTGTGGTCGAGTCAATGCCACACACACACACGCATCGTCATGTCCATCGGCGGTGCTACCCATCCCTCATGCCCACACCCCTGCCTGGCTGGCCCCTCCTCGCCCTTTCCGCACCTCCCTCTGTCATGTATGTATGTACTGTGTGTTTGTATTCTTCCGAACCTCCAGTGAGGACTGACTTTGGCATGTTGAGAAGGGAGTGTGTGGACACCTACGGGCGCCACATTTGTGCCGGGGTCGGATCGCCCAGGCACCGCTTCTTGTTCCGCCGCGCCCCCAACAGGATCATCTCTGACCCATACCAAGTAGATCCCACGATGGGGTGGACGCCTACATAAGATGGAGCCCTGGCCTCGCTTCTGTCCTTCGGGCCCTCGAGGTTTTCCCTCGGTGTGATGGTGTCTTGAGAGTACAAGTCCCGGCTCCTTGAACTCATCGCCCGCCAGACCCCCCGCCCAACCTCTCCAGTATCGTGCAAGCTTGCAAGGCAAAATGAGGCTCTCCGTAGCGTCCTCTCTCTCGTGGGCAGTCGCCTCGGTTGTGGCAACCCCTCTTGCTCCTCCCAAGAGCCTCGTGACTCGTCAAGGTAAGCCGGGGCCGTCTGGAGAACAGTTCCATCCAGTGTCCCACCTAACTTATTCGAATTATAGATGCCTCGACTTTGACGACGGAGGTTTACAACAACTTGAAATATTACAACGAGTACTCCGCGTCCACCTACTGCAACAGCGACAACGCTGCTGGTTCCTTGGTTGTCTGCCAGGATGGTTGCCCCCAAGTAATGGCGAATGGGGCTACGGTTGTCGGCTCCCTGCCCAACACTACTGTCTTCGCGATGGAAGGCTACGTTGCACTCGACAGCGTCAGGAAAGAGGTTGTTGTTGCTTTCCGCGGCTCGTCTGGGATACGCAACTGGATTGCAGACCTCACCTTCCTCCAGGTTCCATGCGACTACACAAGCGGGTGTGCCGTCCACAGTGGCTTCAAGATCGCGTGGGAGTCCATCCGCGACTTCACCATGAGCTTCGTCGACGCCGCCCTCACTGAGTACCCAGACTACAAGCTTGTCGTCACGGGCCACTCCCTCGGGGGTGCGGTAGGCACCTTAGCGGCCATCGAGTTCAGGAACAAGGGGTGAGTGAAGTCTCCAGGTCCGTCCGGCGACTGACAGTCTTCTAAAAAATGTATCGTAGCCACGCCTGCGACCTGTATACTTATGGCTCACCCCGGGTCGGCAACCTCGCCTTTGTCAAGTACGTTACCAACCAGGCTGGCGCTGAGTACCGGGCGACGCATTTCGACGACCCCGTCCCTCGCCTGCCGCCAATCCTGTTTGGTTACTTCCACACCAGTCCCGAGTATTGGCTCGAGGCTGGGCCGGCAACCAACACCGATTACTCTATTGATGAGATCGAGACTTGCACGGGCTATGCCAACATCGGCTGCAACGCGGGGACTTTTGGGCTGGACGCCGACGCTCATCTCCGTAAGTCCACACTGCCCAGGTGCCCATGCATAACTGTCTCGACTCGTCAAGGCATATACCCTGGGACGGGAATATATACAGCACTTTGTTCTACCAAAACCTCTTTATATGGCAATCACTAACTGGCAAAACCAAATAGACTACTTCCAGTACCTGGGTTGCGATTCCGGTTCCAACAGCGCAAGCGTCTCGCTCACGACGAGGGACGACATCGCCACAAGCCCATTGTGGACACGTGACGACGTGTCTGATGAGGAGCTGGAGCAGAGACTCAACAACTACACGATACAGGATATCGCATACAGCCAACAGCTGGCCGCCGACGGCGAGGTGGTTTAATTTTCGCACCAAGTATATATTCCCGAAGCGGCGGGGCAACTTTAATGTATGCTTCAGCCAATTAATGTATATCATCAGATTGGGGTTGAGACCAGAGACTATGACTTATGAATTATGGCGGCAGAGCGTGTCATTTTCAGGGCATGAATAAAAAATACGTGCATACAACCTCTACTAAACCTCATATTGAATATTCCAAAGTTGGCCTTGGTCTGGTTTGGACTCGCTGTGTAGGTCAATTTGGTTGGGCAGTGGGTATGGCCTGGCGTGGGTCTTTGCTCGTGATCCTCTCCTGACGCCTTCGCCATTTATCGTACGGTATTGCTTCTGGCATCAACAACTTCTCTCAACAAATCCTCTCGACATCTAGTTTGCCTCGGCGCCAGAGTGAAGACACGACACCACACAGTCGCTCCCGCCGTCCATCGGTACTTGATTCTCTAACCCCGGGCCGTTCATCTACTCTGACCGGCGGGCCTGTAAGTTAATCATTGACAGCCAGCCAGCTGCGAAGTGTTCTTTGGCGTCCGATGTATAAATGGCACAACCCTCTCTCTCTTATATAATCAAGCCCGTTGGCCGCTCATGCCAAGGACAGCCCCGGTGGTTGCGGAGCTGAACGAACGAAACAATGCCGCCAAGGCTCAATTTCGGCGGCCCCCTCCCACCGATAACTCAAGCGCCGCTTGGCAGCGAGCGGCGCCCGAGACATTTTGCTGATGGCTCTGGCACAAGAGTTCTGGTCGAGGCCAATCAAGTCCCGCTCTTACATCACGTTGCGCACGCAGGATACCATCGAACACTTTCTTCCTTCCTGTTGCGGCGTGTCGACGACAGACAGCCCACCGCCTCCCCCTCCCCCTCCCCCTCGTGCCTTGCAACAGCGGCCCGCCGGGCTTCAGAGGAGGTTTGCGACCTGGTGGTTGGTTGTGGCAGGAGGATTCTCGAGTTGGGTCGCCCGTGGATCCCTGGGGTCGTTCGAGGTGTCACGTCTGGTGTGGCTCCGCGCGCTAGTAATAAATCGATGTCGTCGAGCTCTTTTCCCGCGGGCGAGGGGGGCGACACGTGCCCCGGGGGACGTCGATGATTCCTGAGGTTGCATCTGGTGGCCCGCGTAGGGCTCCCATGCCTCCCGGGTATGCGTTCCCAAGACTGACCCCGTCCAAACCATCCTGCCCTCCCGCCCAATGACGGCATGGGCTGCCCACCTTCGAATCACCGGTATCAGCGAGCTTATTATTATCCTCCTGGGCGAGAGGCGAGGGGGCCTGATCCCGGCCGCTGCGCTTGAGGCACGACATGGGACGAGAGATGCATATGCAGATGCAGATGCAGCCGTGGTGGGCTCGGGTCGCCGGCCTGCCTGCCTGGCTGGGGTGTGCTCTTCGACGGCCGTGTATAAAGAAGGAGGGACCGCTGGCCTGCCTGCCTGTCTGTGTATAGTCTATAGCCTGCCTTCTCCCGCCCTGAACCCGCCGCAAGACGAACCAGACGCAGCGTCCCCCTCATCCAGCGCGGCCCAAGTATCTGAGATTCAGGATGAGAGCGAGCCTCAAGGCGCTCGCCATCGCGGCGGCTTCGGTCCCGGCCGTCTACGCGCAGTACTTCCAGCGCCTGGGCACGTGCCCGACCCTCGGCTGCATCCTGCCCCCGGACCAGCAGGATTTCCTCCCGGGCCAGGAGTTCGACATCCGCTTTGAGGTCCACGCCCCGGTCAACGGCTCCGAGGCCAACGGGGGCGAGCCGGACAGGGACTTCACCGTGTCCATAGCCAAGGGGTCCAACGGCACCGCCGTGAGCATTGCCGACTTCTTTGATCTTGAGGAGCCAGAGGGTCAGTGTTGTCCGCTGTTCATTTTTTTCCCCACCATTTCCGCCCGGCTGTCTCGGGGTGTCTTAGACATGTTTGAGTCAAATTATGAACCCTATTTGCACATACGACGAGCTTCTCGGATATCAGGGCCCTTTATGTCTAGACACTAGATGTTAAATGGGCACTTGCTGCAGACTCTCAGTGATCGAAAGACTTGGGATACTAGCTAACAGAATAATTAGTCGAGACTTGGACTTTCTCGTGGTACGAGGACCTCTTCGCCCAGGACGCCGGGACCAAGTCGGTTGTGAATGTTGCTTCAAAGGTGTACCGCAGGATTGCTCTTTACGAGCCCGGGGAGTACACTGTGACGTTGAACTACTACGACGGCGAGCAGACCGAGGCGAAATGGCTCGTGAGGCCATTGGCCGAGGAGAAGCGGGCGAAGAATGTCATCTTCTTCATCGGTGAGTGCCGTCCATGTGATCTATAAGTCTGCCAGCTGCTGACATGCGTGAAGGTGATGGCATGACCACCAACATGATCACGGCCGCCCGCCTGCTGGGCCACAAGTCCATCAACGGCAGGTACCAGACCACGCTGCAGCTGGACAAGTTCCCAGTTCTCGGACACCAGATGACGCACTCGATTGACACCTGTATGTATATCTCCATCCATGTCGATCGAGTTCAGCCCCAGAGTGGACCTCTGCCAGGCGGATAGCTTGTGATCTGTCGGATGAGGTTAACACGAATCAAAGACATCACGGACTCCGCCAACTCCGCCTCGGCTCTGTATTCCGGCCACAAGAGCACTGTGAACGCCATGGGTGTCTACGCCGACTCCTCGCCCGATGCGTTCGACGACCCCAAGGTTGAGACCATCGTGGAGCTGTTGCGCCGCATCCACGGCTCGGCATGGGGTGCCGTGACCACCGCGACCTTGTCAGATGCCACCCCTACCGCATTGACGGCACACACCCGCTTGCGAGGCCTATACGGCCCACTGGTCGACCAGGCTCTGAACGGGGTGACCAACTTTTCCTGGCCGTCCGCCGGTCCTCCTGATGTTTACTTCGGCGGTGGCGCGGAGCAGTTCCTGCCTGGGTCTGGCTCCTACCAGGGAAAGGATTACTACGCCGAGTTCGCCGCGCAGGACTACGACATTGCCCTCAACAAGACCTCCCTGCTCGAGCTATCGAACAGCTCCAGGGCCCTGGGCGTCTTCTGCCGCTCCAACCTCCCCGTGTGGCTCGACCGCAACGTCTTCACAGATGTCCTGGGGACGTTCACCAACGACCCATCCGGCAGCAGGACCCCCGCCCTCGACCTGCCGGGCCTCAAGGAGATGACCCTCAAGGCCGTCGACATCCTGAACGAGCGCGGCGGCGACAAGGGCTTCTTCCTGATGTCCGAGGCGGCGTCCATCGACAAGCAGATGCACTCCCTGGACTACGACCGCGCCCTGGGCGACCTCCTCGAGCTCGACGACACCGTGCGGGCGACGGTGGCGCACCTCGAGGAGCTGGGCATCCTCGAGGACACGCTGGTCGTGGTGTCGTCGGACCACGGCCACGGGTTCGACGTCTTCGGCAGCGCGGACACCAAGTACATGGCGTCCAAGGCGACGGACCGCGAGAAGCGCAACGCCGTGGGCGTGTACCAGAACTCGGGGCTGTCGCAGTACACGGTCGAGGCCGAGGGCGTGGGCTACAACACGGGGCCGCACTTCCCCGTGAACTGGGACCCGCGCTACGTGATCGCCTCGGGCGCGGGCGCGAGCCCCGACCGCCGGGAGACGTACCGCGTCAACATGACGCGGCCCAGGACCCCCGCGGCCAACATCTCCGGGTTCGACAGCGACGACTACTTTGCCAACCCGTCCGACAACGTCGGCGGGTTCGTCGTCAACGGCACCCTGCCCACCAGCGAGAACCAGGGCGTGCACTCGCTGACCGACGTGGCCGTCTTCGCCATGGGGCCGTGCCAGGAGCTGTTTGGGGGCGTGTACAGCGCGATTGATATCTTTTACAACATGGCTGAGTGCTTGGGCCTGGCGCAGGGGACCAACGTGACGGATGGTTATGATCTGTAGGGGGCGCCTGCGTGTGGCCCTGGGAAGGTGTTTTTAGGGCACCGGACTCACGGTAGTTTTTAATGATGATAATTGATACTGGTAATACCGTACTTTTGCTCGAGTCTGCAAGAAGCAATTTCTTGAGATGGGAACAGCTGGCTCTTTTTCATTGATGGCTGCCCATGTGAATCTACACAAGGATATCAGCTTCCATGTATGATTGATGACTTCTTGTAACTTGGGTAACTGCAGGTGCTAAGATGAGATACTATATGGCATGAAGTTAACTAAATACCTAAGTAGATTTGTTTTTTGGACAGTTTGGCCTGCATGTAGATGTAATCATACAAAAAGAAAGAAACATCGTCTTTGCCTGTGTCTTGCTGGTCTGCCTGGTCCCCTGCCGCACATGTAGATCACCACTTTAGGACTAGCGCCCTCTTGTCACAGGGGTCCAGCCTCTTCCGTGGCACTAACAAAACGGCTTAATTTTTCGGAGTACCTCCGTACAGGCAGGGCCTGTCTAATAAATCTCAAAACCACTTACACGGAGCAAGTTTGATACTTGTGAAAGCACTGTTTTTGAGATATCTCCCCGTCATTATGCCACCAGTCAAGCCACTGCCTATATCTGACGAGTTCAGTTCTGCAGAGCATTATGTGAGCTCACTGCTGGACTTTGCCTCCACAAACGACCTTTTCCAAATTCTCTGCGGAGGCGTCCACATTCGTGAGTACAGGTGCCATTCTTGTCCTATTGCCCTACTTTCACGGGCCCGTTTCTGTCACACTTCCAGAATGCATCAATTTGTTCTCAGCGACAGGTAACTAAAATGTACCAGTGGACTTCTTCACCAATGAGCCGGGCCTGTTCGAGTATGTCCTCGAGCCCGAGTGGCAGGAATTCCTAATGCAATGCGACCCCATGGACCTGCTGGACTTCCTCCTGAGAGATGACCCAGACGCCCCGGCAGCGGAGCGCTCATGGCCCGACGCGCCCGGGTCCCTGCGCCAGTACGTCAAGGACATACGGCGGCTGTCGCTGCGGCGCTCCTTCGCGCCGGCGAGGCCCAGGCTGCCCGTCCTGCCGCGGCAGGTGGCCGTGGGCATGAACGTCAAGAAGAAGCACGAGGTCGTCCACTTTGCGGACTACGTGGACCGCCTGGCCGGGGACGTCGCGCGGCTGACGGGCGGCCGGGTGACGCACCTCGTCGACTTTGGCAGCGGCCAGAACTACCTGGGGCGGGCGCTGGCCTCGGCGCCGTACAGCAGGGACATCGTGGCCGTCGAGAGGCACGAGCACAACCAGGCGGGCGCCCGGGAGCTGGACGTGCTGGCCGGCATCGCGGAGACGGAGAAGGTGCTGCGGAACAAGAAGATCTGGCAGAGCCTGGTGGACAGCAGGAAGAGGGGCGCCGGCGGCCTGGACGACAAGGCCCGGCGGCGCATGGCGGAGCAGGGGAAGCAGCAGCAGCAGCACACGCCCGAGCAGGTCGCGGCGGTGGAGCTCCGGCCGAGGAGGGAGCTCGAGGCCATCTACCGCCCCGAGGAGGGGAGGGGCATGATCCAGTACGTCACGGGGCGGCTCGAGACGGGGGACCTGTCCGACGTGCTCGGCAAGATCCACGGCGGCGGCGCGCCCGAGGGGCAAGAAGGGGGGCGCGGGGGGCTCTCGCTCATGGCCATCTCGATCCACTCGTGCGGGAACCTCTCGCACTTTGGGATCCGCTCCATGATCCTGAACCCCAGCATCAAGGCGGTCGCGATCGTGGGGTGCTGCTACAACCTGCTTACGGAGAAGTTGGGCCCCCCAACGTACAAGCTGCCTTATATGCGGCCCAGCCTGCAGGCTGTCAACGGGCGCGTGGTGCGCGAGTCGGAGAAGTATGACCCTCAGGGGTTCCCCATGAGCGACCGGGTGTCGAGTTATAATGGTTCCGGGATTCGTTTTAATATCACGGCTCGGATGATGGGTAAGTCCTCTTTCATGTCGCTTCGACTGAAGATACTTTCAGCAGAGGGGAGTAGCATGCACGACATCCCTAAACATGTTGCGCATTCCTTTTTCTCGTCGAAAAAATAGAGACTTCACAGTGAATTGGGTGGATCTGCTAACAAGTCATATTTCACAGCATGTCAAGCGCCACAGAACTGGACAGAAGTCGAGTCAGACTCCTTCTTCACGAGGCACTTCTACCGCGCGGTCCTACAGAAGATATTCCTAGACAAGGGCGTCATCACAAAGGTGTACCACGACAAGACCTCCGGCGGCGGCGGCCCCGCGGCGGGGGCGGGGGAGAGCCCCTTCAACATGAGCACGAACCCGGTCATCATCGGGTCGCTGGGCAAGAGCTGCTTCCGGTCGTTCCACGCGTACGTGCGCGGGGCGATCAGGAAGCTGTCGGCCACCCCCGGCTCGGACAAGTACAGCGCGGCGATCGACGCCCGGATGGGCGGCATGACGGACGAGGAGATCGAGGCGTACGCGGCGGCGTACGCGCCGCGCAAGCGGGAGCTGAGCGCCATGTGGACGCTGATGGCCTTCAGCGCGGGCGTGGTCGAGTCGCTCATCGTCACGGACCGCTGGCTCTTCCTGCGCGAGCACGCTGATGTCGTCCAGGACTGCTGGGTCGAGCCCGTGTTTGACTACAAGGAGAGCCCGCGGAACCTGGTCGTTGTTGGTATCAAGAGGAGGGAGGAGGCTGCCACCGGGGACTGATCGTGGTGCCCCCCTCTTTTCTTCTCTTTTTCCCTTTACTGAGCGCTTCGGCCGACGGACGGACGACTGCGGCGCCTCGCCGTCAGCTCTTGAGGGCGGGCAGGCGGGCAGGCTGGCAGGTGAGGGCGGCAGCTGAGGAACGGCCAATCGGGGCCGCGTCACCCCCCCGGGGCTCAAGCACATCCGGCCCGGCATGCCTCTTTTGTCTTCCCAGACGCAGGGGGTGTGGACGTGGGTGTTGGTACCCTCGGCATGCCGCGCTGTGGCAGTCGCACGCGCGCATCAAGGAGGAGGCTGGGCAGCACAGGAGAGCCATTGTCCTGCAGGATATCACAAATGCTGCAGGTGAGAGGAGACGTGTAATGCGCCGCTTGATGTCATGCATTGCAGGAGTGCGCGGGATGGGTGGGAGGAGGACGCGCCTGGGGGGAAGGGGGGGGACGTCAATCCAGGGGTCCTGCGTGCGTCTTCTTTGGTACGGTGGTCCCGCCCTACATACCCCATGCGGCCTGGGCTGGTAAAACTTGGAGAACGAGAGGTCATGGATATCAGATAGGGATGTGCTTCGGGATAGGATCGCTGTGGTGTTGCAGGCCTGCCTGACCGCGGGTCGCAACGGGCTGTTGCAAGAGTGTGAGACCATCAGCCCTAGAGCGGCGTGCCCTCGCGTCACGCGTACGTCAAATCACATCAGCACCCCCGATCCAAGGTGGAAGCGGCGGTGGCGAGAGTTGCGGCTCTGTTTGAATGATGAGTGAGCTGGACAGGATCGTGCCTTGTGACACGCAAATATGTTCAGCCACGTAGGTAGATTCCCAACCCAGACCACGCACAACTTTGGAAATCCTGTTTCCCAATCCGGCCGTGGGGTGTAAAATGTGAAGCCTTGTGACGTGGAACAATGGGGTCAGGATGCCCCGAGCCATAGCCATACAGGGCACAGCGATGGGCTCAACCCCATTCCAAGCCTGAAAGCCACCTGGCAGAGGCTGGGATATACGACCAACCGCCAGCCGCGGCCTACCACGGTCAGCAAGTTGACCCCCAACATATCCACAATCCCGCCGGCCGAGGCTATCCGCACATCGCGGATATGGCAACGCATCGGCTGCCCCGATAGGAAGGGACGTGGAGGAGACCATCTACGTAGGTCAAGTCTAGGCTTGTGTGTGTGTGTGAGTGTGAGAGAGGATTTTATGGTTAGGCGCGCACGGCGAGTAAGACGACGTTGGGGAGGCTCGGATCATCCGTCGCACAGCATGAGGTGGCTGGCTGGCTGAGAGACTGTGCAGCCTGGCACCTGGCAGCATGCCCTTCAGCCTGGATGGCAGCATGGTTGGTCCAGGAGCGTGGAAACGCGGCTCTCGGAGGCTCAGGGTTTTCCGAGCTCATGATCCCCTCTGCCCTGATTCGGTAGTTTACCTCGACAGCCACGGAGGAGGAGGAGGAGGAGGTCAGCCAGCCCTGTGAGCTACAAGAGGTGTGTTGGGGGGGGGGAGGGTGACGGGCCCAGGCCTCGCAAGATGGGTGGTGGTGGTGGTGGTGGTGTTGGTATGCTAGGTATCGGATCAGGCATCCTGCTCCTTCGCGCCTCATGGCATCAGGTTAATAAGGGTTGTCGTGCCGGTAGGGTGTCAGTGCTGGTGTGGGCGCTGCAGAGGGCAACGCCCAGAACGCATGGGCGTGCGCGCGTGGGGTTGCACAGACGAGACGCAGAGGGCCCTTTTAGCCACGCCGGATTGTCGCAGTCTCACAGCCCAAATTGCGGGGTGCGTCTCTGGCTTGATGCTTGTCACCGTGACGGGCAAAGCAGCACACGTTGGGTGACGCCAAGGGCTGGCTGGGCTCGCAGTCTATTGCTCTGCGGAACATTTGTCCTGTGCCTGCATGGTACTAATAATACCGGACAATACTGCAGTGGGCACGTTGGACTAGTTGGGACTCTTAGTGGTCCTGCTGTCTAGACGTGCGTGTAAGTTGAGCATATGAGTATATGAGTAGCATTGCAGCCGACGGCATACACGTGAGGTCGCGAACCCCACGAATTGAGTTCGGCTTGCATTGAGCTTATTATGGCGTCGCGTGGGTGAGAGCCTGAGAGGGAGATAGGGTGCGCAGGTGACGGGCGTTGTGGGAACTTTGCAAGGCCAATTGGGGCAATACGACTATCGTGAGGTGCAAATGCTCGTGTGTACCATGCACAACGTGCAAGGCGTGAAACTCTGCCCCCACGTCCGTCAATCTACCTGCATGCTCCTCATGCAAGACGGGCCTGAAGAGTCTCTAGCCCCATGCACCCGCCTAGGCCTGCCTCGTTGCGCACCTGCACCTGCACCTGCACCTGCACATCCAGCACTTGAGGGACAGGCAGAGCACCGCAGCGCCCAGCGTCACAGCAGCCCACAGCTGGCACCACTCGTAGGGCCCCAGATAAATTGCACATGCCGCCCATGCGAGAGCATGCTGGAGTACGGTAGCTGGTCTGGTCTAGAGAAGGGTCCTGTTACCGAACCCTCCATGCGCTACCGAGTTACAGGCTAGTTAGTGTCGGCCCTTACCTCTTAGTCTGTGTCAACCACAAAGCCCCGCCAAGCGAGCCGCCCGGCCGCCACTGATAATGGGAATGACTGACTGAACTGGCCGTCTTTCTATCTACCACAGTACCTCTCATTCTCTGCATTTGCCTCCAGCTCCAGCTCTTGCTCCGGCTCTGGCATCTTGCTCCCCTCTTTTTTTTCCCTTTGTTGTGCCATACGCACTCGACTCCTACCTCGGTTGCTTGTATTCGAACGGCCCAAGGGAATTTGTCCACGATTATCAGCTGCCAGTCGCCTCGTCAATCGTTATCCTCCCTGTCGCCGTGTGCGTGACTCGACCGACTTGGCTCGCAGCGGCTCTGCTCTACTGTGCGCCCTCGACTTTTTTCTCCGTGCTTGCTCCGATCAGTCCCGGCATTGAAACAGACCAACTCCTCTGATAACGGGCCAAAGTCACCATTCCTCGTCGAGAACACTCAGCCATCACCTTTGCAAGCACATTCGAAAAACCGACAAGACCAGCCGTCCTGTGCTCTCACAGAAAAAAAAAACTCGACAAATTGCGTTCTTCACTGTCGATCCCGCACCCTCGTGCAATCCTGTGCTGGGTCCCGCCGCCGCCAGGGTCCTCTCTGCCTATCAGTGGGGGTCCAGACAGGGGCCTTGAGTGCTTCCGCGAAGAATGAACCAACGTCTCTCGCGCGGAATCCCTCGTCGCCCATCATGAACGCTGAAATAAAACTTCTCGTGAGTCCGAACCCCTCGTAACAGCCCCCTATTCCATTTTTCCCTTGGTTTTTTTTTTCCGTTGCAGGCTCCGAGTTTCCACCGCCAGTGAGTCACTTTGAGCCAACTGCTCCGGACGCGACGCCGAAATGATCCCGGCCGATTGCGGGGCCGTCCATCGGGCGGGCCCGAGCTCGCAATTGGTCCCTGGGCCCGTGTTGAAATCTTCCGTCGACCAGATAGTGGGACATCAGATACCATGTACTGACTGGCCGCGGATGCACAGGACCAAACGCTCAGCCTCATCCACATCCCCCTAGGCCTCTATTCACAATTCCTTCAGCCCATCCTCCGCCTGCTTCTGCCCTCGCCGTGCGCCAAGCTCGAGGACGAGTTCGGGGACCTGACCCTGGCCCAGGAGCACGGCTTTCTTAATATCAGCGTAACGCCTATCGAATGCTCGATAGTCTGCAACGAGACGTGGTCCAGGACGGTCTTCGAGCCCATAATCAAGCAATTGCCCAAAACCTCGGCCAAGACCGTGTCGATATCTGCCGAGTCCTACTGCGTGTTTCGCGTGTCCTCTCCGGGGGCGGACGCTGGCAGCCGTGTCGTCGATCTGACTTCTCCCCTTGCGCTCGCCGGCATATCCATCTTCTTCATCACAACCTACTACTCGGACTTCCTGATAGTCCCCAGCCGGTCCCGCCAGAATGTCGTGCAGGCCTTGTTCGAGCAGGGATTCGAGTGCTCAGAAGACAGCAGCTCGTCCTTCGTGTCCCCCGTCGCATCCTTACATACCCGGGGTCTAAGCCAGGACAGTGACGACCCGCCGTCCACGCCCCCGCCATCCAACGCTGCGGAGCTGCAGATGCGGACGTTCAAGTTGTTGAAAAAGCACAATGTCGTCGCTCACACAGAGCCAAACCTACGTCTGATCCACTGCTCCGGGAAGGATGTCTCTCAGCTTGAAACCTACTCCAGGCCTTCGAGGTCGTACGCGGGGAACGGAAACCATCGCAAGAGCTCATGGGTGGACAAGGTTGATACCAAGTTCTATACGAGCCTGGTTGCGGCTTTGGTAAGCCAGCCGCGCTTCTTGTCTGTGACCCTCGCCGAGGAAGACGAGCCGTCACTCCTGATCGATCGCTGCTTGCTGGACACCTTTGGCGATTCCCTCATAGGACCAACCGACGCGGACCTGACACCGATCCTGCTTGACCTGGTCGACCTGCCCTTCGAGGCGACCGGAATCGTCGCCGGCGTGGCAGGTAAGCTCGCCGAAGGCATGCGCATGGAAAATGCCGAGCTATCGTATCTCTCCACAGCCAAGACCGGCGCTGTCATGCTATCCAGTGAGTATGCAGACCGTGCTTTGGAGATCCTAAGTCCCCTGCTGCCGAAGGAGGATTAAGAAGGCCATAAAATTTGGGCTGGCACAAAGTGATGGGGGTCTGTCGAAGCTCCGACATCCGGCCTTGGAGATAGTGTGACGGAACACTTCTGAGGAATTCCTGTTTCCTGTTGTTCCGGCTGATCGCATGCAGCGGCGTTTTTGTATGATAAGGGAGGGATATTTTTGGAGGGACTCTTGTGGATGTCTCGCCGTAAAATTCAGCCAGATACCGGCTGAGGGCGTTGGAAAAGGCCGGTACATGCACGTACCGCCTAAAAATGGGCGAGGTAATAGAGTAGCGCTTGGTCGAGAATAGCATTGTGGCTCGTCTTGTGACGACAAACGTAAACCCAATAGGCTCATTTGCCGTGCCCCTTCTTCTTAGCAGCCGAGGGCTCGCTGACGATGCCGGCCCTGACAAAGGCGTCCCTGGCAGCAGCGTTGATGAGCGCGAACCTCCTGGGCCCGAGCTTCTGGCCGCCGTACCAGCGGGTCACCACGACCATGTGGTCCCACAGGTCCATGAGCTGCATGAGGTGCAGCAGCCGGCCGCCGGCCGCCGTCTCGCCGTCGTCGTCGCAGTCCTGGAACGAGGTCCCGTTGGGCCCGCGGATCCGCCACGCCGTGATGTTGTGCGTCGCGGTGCGCACCCGCTTGTCGCTCGCCAGCAGGTGCTCGACGAACCGGGCCGCCTCGTCGGGGGAGCCGACCGCGGCGCAGCGCGCGACAAAGACGGACTTGAGCTCCACGACGGGCTCGGACACGACCCACGGCGGCTCCGGGCCCAGGTCGTCGGCCGCCGCCGCCCTGGAGGCGAAGGCGGCGGCGCGTGTGTCGCCGTCTGGCTGCCCCTCGTGGTCCGGGGCCGTGTCGTTGTCGTTGTCGTTGGCCACGCCGGCCTCCTCCTGCAGTCTCTTCAGCTCCTCGACGGCGTCGAAGAGGCAGACCTGGCCGGGCTGGAAGATGTTCCCCAGCGCGCTGCGGAAGAGCTCGAGGTCCCGGGCCCCCACGCCGCGCTTGCCCCCGGAGCTGTTGGTGCCGAGGGGGATGCAGGGCGCTGCGGGATAGTCTGGTGGGAACTGCAGGCGTAGTGAGACGGCTTCGTCTGGGAGGCTCAGGATGTAGATGTCCGAGTCCTCCCCGGCCTGGACGAGGCTGCCATCGCCGTAGATTGAGTTTATGGCCTCAATCTCGTCAGCAAGCTCCTCAGACATGGCTGTCTCTCGGACCAATTGCTGATTGTTGCACGAGGTGTAACCCGCAGCTGACGGCGGAGGTGAGGCTTATCACTGTACTTTTTAAGTCCGGCAAGGGAAAACAAGGAAAACCGTGAGACTCCTGAGTTTGTCATCCAATGAGGTCCTCCCTTGCCTTTCGAGTATGTCCTGGACACGAAGCTGTCCTGCAGGCAGTGGACCCTGGTGGTACGAGCCTGAGTTAAAAATACAGTGTAAGCTGTTGGCTGCAAGGTTACCTTGGTATTCAAATCAGAGTCGGGTTGCGGCTGGGGGGGGGGGTGGATGCGACCCGGATATTGCCAGGGTTAGGTGCGGCACATTGGTGATAGACTGAGAAGCGCATTCGCATGTCGACCACATGCCATCCGCGCCGCCCCGAGATCTTTCAATGATTCTATTGCCCCGGTAAAACGCGGCCACACTACGTCAAGATGGTATGCAAAACCCTCTCAGAAAATCGAACAAGTCGGGGAACATGCTAACCATCTCAGATTCCCATCCTCGGCGTCAACTTCGGCGAGAAAAAGCTCGTCAAGGTACACACCAGCCTGCCCCCCCCCAAGAGCGACGCCTACCTTTCGCCTGTCGCAACGAACATAACTAACGTGCGCAAACCATAGAAAGCCCTACAGTCCTTTTACGCCCTAGGCCCTATGACGGCCGACCGGATCATGGCCAAATACTCCATCTTCCCGCGGGCGAAGCTAGAGTCCCTGTCGTCGAAAACCGTGCTCGCGCTCACGGCAGAGCTGTCGACGATGACGATCGAGAACGACGCGAGGAAGATTGTGCAGGAGAACATCAGGCGGCTAAAGGATATGGGCGCTTACAGGGGAAGGAGACACGCCATGGGCCTGCCGGTGCGTGGACAGAGGACAAGGAACCAGAACATGACGTCGGCGAAGCTCAACAGGCTGGAGAGGAAGGGCTGAGCGAAGAGCGTGGGCCGGCACGGCACTCGGATCAAGCACTCAAATGGAGGATACAGCGGAAAAGGTCACGTCGCGCTGAGACGGTTCCTACGACACCACTTTCAAAGCGGAATGGGATCTGGCGTGATTTATACAGGACAACCATGTGCAACACACTGTACATTATCTACAGCCCTACACTGGGCAAAATAAACGTCAAAGTACCTTTACTCTGTTTTCTGTGCGACCCGGTGCCTTCAGCCAAGCCTAGAACTTCTCCTGGAATTCCGAGGTGGACTCGAACATCAACCTCGGCAACTCGTCTTCCAAGGGCGGCGTCCCCTTGGCCTGCAAGTCAAGAGCAACCTCGTCCACAGCCTTCCAGACGCGCAGGATGTTGCCCCCGACCACCTTGGCAGCATCCTCATCGCTGACACCCTGCCTCAGCAGCTCGGCGACAAGGTCTGGATACTTGGAAACGTCGCCCAGGCCCTCGGGGGTGCTCGGGATGCCGTCAAAGTCGCTCCCGAAGCCGACGTGGTCGAACCCGATCAGGTTGCCGATATACATGACGTGCTTTGCGACGTGAGCCAGGGTCGAGTTGGGCGGGTAGAAGTCCGGCAGGCCGTTCTCGTTGTCCGCCTCGACGCACGAGATAAAGTCCGGGGCGAAATTGACCATGACGACGCCGTTGCGCTCCTTGACCAGCTGGAGCACGTCGTCGTGCACGTTGCGGGGGTGGGGGCAGATGCTGTACGCCGAGGAGTGGCTGTACATGACGGGGGCGAGGCTGCCCTCCCAGCCGTCCTTGCCGCCGCCGAGGACGTGCCGCTGCGTGTCGGCCGAGGTGTGGCTGAGGTCCACGATCATGCCGATGCGGTTCATCTCGCGGATCAGGGCCTTGCCGTCCTGGGACACGCCGCCCCAGTACGGGGGCGCTGACCGCGAGGGGTTGGACCACAGTGCCGAGTCGGCGTACCGGTTGGGGCAGTTGTGTGTCAGCGTGGCGTAGCGGACGCCCAGGTCGTAGAAACGACGCAGGTTTGCGGCCGAGTTGCCGATCTGGTGCAGGCCCTCGACGCCGAGCGGCGAGATGAGCTGGCCGTTGTTGAAGGCGGCTTCGGCAGTGCTGCTGTTCACCTTGGTTGAGAACTGGGCCGGGTATAGTTCTTGCAGCCTGGTCACAAGATCAATCTGTTGAATGGTCTCCTTTACAATGGGATCGTAGATCTCATCCTGTTCATCTAGTTAGAGGTCATGTTTTTTCAAATCTGATTGACAAGACGACTCACACTAAAGTCGAGCATCGTATCAGGACAGAGCCAGTAAACAGACCAGAAGGCACCGCCATTCATGCCTTTTCGGAGCCGAACCAGGTCGACGTGACCAGGAGTTCTGCCATCCTCAAAAGGCTCCCGGAAAGATTCATTGTATATGCGGTTGCCATAGATGGCCCGAATTAGGATAGGCAAGTCGTTGTGGCCATCGATCAACGGAGTCGAGGTGAGGATGTCCTTGACCCTGTCCTCGACTGTGAGCGGCTTCTGAGGAAGAAGCGCCTTGGAGAAGGCATGATGGCAGTGGTGAGGCAGTCGGAATAGTGCGCTGAGGCCGACCAAGGCCAGGAGGCCAAACAGAAGGCTCACGCGCCGGGTTGGAGATCGTCGAGCATCATCTCGCTTATCCAGGGCAGGCTCATAGGGCTGGTGCTTCTCGTGGGGATGCATTGACGGCCGGGAATGTGGGTGAGCGGCTAGGGAACCCCGGACAGGGACCGCCTACTCTATTCTGGTTGAATGCGGATCTGGAAGTGAGATTAAGTCAATGGGGCAAGGACACAGTATCTGGACTATGTGCTTGTGCTCGGGGCAGAGCCGAACTTGAGTTCTTGTGCTACAACTAGGTTGGAGATCTACTACGTAAGGTTTGTGGATGCCCAAGACGGCGGCATCTCTGGTTGATTGATAAGCTGCCGCAACTTAGACGACAGCCTACAGCCTTGCTCGGCTGCGAGCGCTTGTCGGCGCGTATGCACCTGTAGGGAGGAACACCCATGCATTTTATCCACCCTAGTTGGAGTCTGTTCCTGGATTTATCCACGCCCACTAGTGTAATGACTCTGTGTGTGGCCTATATAGATTGCGCATGGCCATGGTCATGGTGATGGTGACGATGCACTTGCAGAAAAGGACCTCCGCAATCGGGGAAGTCTTCAGTGTTGCAGCCACCGTACAAGAAGAACAAGAGAAAAAAAAAGACTTTGATGCACACAATGACTGGTAGGAGTTTTCCCCGACAAGCCAGACACAGCCCCACAGCTTGCCCTCTTGTGCATGGGATGTTGGGCAACAGGCCGTGCGAACAAGAAAAAAACGGTCGTCCCGGTCACTCACAAGAAACGACGGCGCGTAGCTGGGGTCGTTGAGCTCCAACGGTGTGGCTGATGAACTCAACTGCCGCCTTGGCCTGGTAGAGTTGGCAAAGATGAGTTAATATTAAGCAAGATGCTGGGCCGTGACATTTACACGTTTTGTTAGGCTACGGACCGTTAATGCTCTGGCGTTGGCAGGACGGGACGACGTCACTGGCGGTGACAACCTTGGAAGGTCGGACGGTGTAGGACATGGACTGCCCCCGTTTCAAGTTTCATAAGTTTCATTTGGCGGTCGTATTCAGATTCAGCTGCTGTCGTCCCAGGTCAGGTAGCAACGAATCAATGGTCAGGGGTAGCTGGCAGGACGACTCGGGCTGCCTCTAGGGGCCCCTGACAGCCCCGACAGACCAGACTTTCAGCTGGCGAGCCAATGAGCTGCAGCGGGGCCCATCAGAAGTTCTAGGCGACGCACGCTGTGAGATTTGCCTCGCAGACAGAAAGAGTCCATCGCGACACGTCCCTTTCAAGGTTGGAGAATAACTTCGCCGACGCCGTGCCCCTTTCTTGGAACCTGCTGTTGCTCCTTCCACCCTAACCACAACCCGGCCTGCTACTGCCCCACGAGAGCCACATCGCACCGCCCCGGCCCATCACGACCTCTTGCCGCTGCCCTCTAGCCTCTGGCGACTGACCGCGCCAACCCATCCATCGCCTAGGACCGAGGTGGCCCAGACGAGACCCGAGACCCACGACCCACGACCCACGACCCAGCGAGCCGCCGCGCCGCATCATCCACAACCTGCCCAACTCTCAGCTGCTCCGCCTCACCCGGTAGCCCCCCGTGGTCCCTTCCTTTGTGATCCCTTGGTCACATCCAGCAGCAACTTCTTCCTCTCGGCCAGGCTTTGAAGCTGCCACATCAGACTGCCAGACCTCTGCGAGCCATGATATAGATGCATCGACCGAGCCCTTAGTTACTGATCAACCGCAAGTCCCACAAGAGAGAGCCTGTCATAGGCTCCCCACACACCAACCAAAATGCCGGGCTTCCAAGATAGTTTCTGGACCGGCGACTATGCCGCAGGTAGGAAACGAGTCCGCCCGCTTGCTGTGTCACTTTGCGACCACTGACGTATCTCAGGCCTTGGCGTTCTGTTCAGCAAGCTGCAGCAGGGAGTCATAGAGAACAGACAGGTCCTGACCATCGCACGCATGCGCTCTGAAGCCGAGGAGCTCTACGGTACGCGACTCAACGATATCGCCCCGGCTGTCGACAAGGTGCAAGGAGGCTTTTCAAAGGATGATGGCGCTACCGTCCGCAAGGTAAACAACTCTCCATACCCAGCTGCCCCTTGGTGCCTCGCACGCCCCCGCTGACCCCTCTTGTCTGCAGGCCTACGAGGGCATACGAACCGAGATGGCAGAGGGCGCAAATAAGCACAGGAAGATTGCCCAGAACATCCGCGACCTTGTCGTGAACCCATTCTCCAGGTGGTGCGAAAACCACGAGACCCGGATACAAGACTCCCAGGACGAGCTGCAGAACCGCATCAAGGCCCACGATCGCCAGGCCGAGCTGGTCAAGAAGTTGAGGAGCAACTACTTCAACAAGTGCCGGCTGGTCGAGGATCTCGAGGAGGAGACCAAGTTCGCCTTCCAGGACCCAGAGAGCAGCCCCAAACCCAAGATCCCCGAGATCAAGGTCTCGGAGAACAAGGAGGCCGAATTGGCCGACGAGGACTCCATCTTCGAGATCGGCGATGAGACTTTCGACGTCGAGGAGATGAAGAAGCGGTTGGCGCACATGTTGAACAACATCAAACTGCAGGACACCAAAGTGCCGATCTTGGGAACATACATGAACACCTCGGCCGGTGCGGACATTGTGGAGTACCTCCAGAAGTACATGGACACCACCAGCGTCAGTTATGCTGAGAGAATCGGCCAAGACCTCGTCTCCAGCGGCTTCCTGAGACTCGTTGGAAATGTGGGAAACACCTTCGCAAACAGCTCCAAGATGTTCTACCAGTGGCGGCCAAAGGCATTCCAGATGTCTGGTGTGCCCGAGAAGAAGCCAACCGTGGGCAGGACTTTCTCTCTCGCATCCAACGGCTCGGAAGCTGGCGATTCACCTGTCGTGGGGACAATGAGCGAGTACCTGGCCGGATGGAACCCTCTCAACAATGCCCACCCAGGCGAGACTCCACCACAGCGCCTGCGGAGGGAGCAGAGGGAGGCCGACGACAGGTACAAGGACGGAGTAAAGAAGCTGGACGAGGTTCGGTGCGAGCTCGAGGAGGCCATCACCGTTCATCTCAAGTTCCTCGAGCGTTGCGAGCTGGACAGGCTCAAGGCCATCAAGACCGTCATTCTCGATTTCTCGGGATGTGTCAGCAACGTCATCCCCAGTCTCCAGTCTGCTGTTGACAATATGATGCTCTTCCAGGAGACCATCCAACCCGACGGGGATCTGCGCTACCTCCTCGAGAACTACCGCACCGGACGCTTTGCTCCAAAGGTCGTCGTGTACGAGAATTACTACAACAAGGTCGACGAGCAGACCTTTGGTGTCGACCTCGAGGCCCGCGCCAGGGCGGACAAGAAGCGAGTGCCCATGATTGTGACGACTATTCTCACCTACCTCGACAACCACTACCCTGATCTCGAGGGCGATGAGGCCAGGAGAGGGGTCTGGCTGGTGGATGTGCCATTAGCACAAACCCATGCTCTGCGAAACAAGGTCAACGACGGCAAGCCCTTCTCGCCTGATATTCTTGCTGAATTCGATATACCCACTGTTGCAAGTCTGCTTAAGCTCTACTTCCTCGAACTACCTGGTCAGTAACGTGTTCTTACCCATCATCGATATGTTTCGCTAACTTTTGTCAAGACTCTCTGGTCTCCTCTCACGTTTACGAGATCGTCAGGACTATATACACCACGCCTAATCCGGACACCTCTGATGCAGGACGTGTCTCCGTCCTACAGCAGACGCTGTCCCAGCTGCGGTTGACGAACATTGCCACCCTGGACGCCTGCATGAACCACTTCACGAGGTTGATTGAGCTGACAAGCGCGGACGAAGAGTACATCTCTGCACTTGCGACGACACTGGCACCCTGCATTTTGAGACCACGCGTGGAGACATCCTTGACCATGGAAGAGAAGCACGCTTACCGCCTGCTACGTGACCTCTTCGCTCACAAGACTGCAATCTTCAGCGAATTGAAGCGAATGTCGACCCTCGGCCACTCTACCTCAGTAACAAGCTCCAACACCGACACCACAAACCGCCCACGCGCCATCAGCACTGATGAGAGCAACCGAAGAATCCATCAGGAGGAGCGACAACGGGCGCTTTTGGAGAAGGCAGGAGGCGGCCGTAGTAGGGCCACCTCTCCGGCTCCAAGCCCCCGTGGCGTCGGCTCTCACCGACGGGATAGGAGTGTTGGCAGGTTCCCCGTGCAGACGAGCCCCACCGAGAAGAACGAGCGTGTGCGCATGAGCATGGGACCTATCCTGGGCGTGAAGCGATCCAGTCTTGAGGTGCCCGGCGAGAGCGGCACGCCTCCATCCTCAGTGTCCACCGAATCAGTCACGAACGGCAGCGAATCGACAGATTCTCCCACGTCGGTTAGAGGCCGGTCGGAAACCCTCCGATCCAACGACTCACTGGAGAAGCGGAACTCTCTGGGCCGCAACCCAGCGCGGTCCTCTCTTGGCCGACGGATCCCCGTCAACCCCACACCCCTGACCGAGGCCGGTGACGAGCACACCCGAGGCGTGACCCTGGAGGATAAGCCGATGGATGACTAGTAGTTCACCCACCTAGGCCACTTTTCTACTGGGGAACCGAGCATCCCGACATGTCATGGTTAACATTTTGGCACCGGTGCGTGCAAGCACGGTCATGGGGATAGAACAGACTATATGGAGGGATCGAGAACAAAGCACACATATTCGGGGAAACACACACATTCTTGGGGCCGTAAAGGCGGAGGGTTGTAATGCAATGGAATGGAATGTACTATGTATCAACCGAGCGAACGCGACCACGAGCCAAGATATTAGCACGATGAGTTTTGACACACACACACACAAACAAACAAGAAACGCCCAGGTATATTAAACATAGCAGCACTGGGGGGGAAGGTAACTTAGCCAGGGGGTGGAGGTGTGTGTCCTGGAGACTGGGCGGACGGGTGGTGGCGGTGGACATATTTATCAGAGAAAATGGGACGGAGAACCATTGTGGGGTCGGTCGGGCGCGGTCTCGTCCGGCCTTTTTCGTCGTTGCGACGGCACATTTATATATTACTCTTCACAAAATCTTCGTTGCCGTGCGGTATTGCTGTCGCTGTGATGTGTGTGGCCAACCTTTATGGCCTATGATATAAGCCTTGCTTGCTTGGGCCTCACTATCATGCCTTTTCGCGGGATCGTGATAGATTGATTCATTTGTCCATCTAGGTAGGTAGCTGGAGGGAGTCGCCTTCGTTTCGCCAAATGCCTGGGAAGAGGAAGAGAGAACACCTCGCGCACAGACAACGTCATGTCAAGTTCGGTCTGCCATGTCAACACCACGTCGTCGTCATCACGAATCGCAGGGCTCGACTGATGGATGGGAGGACAATCCTCGTTCTCACATAACATCCGCTAGCATGTGACGGTCTCTTAAATGCTGGCCAGCAAGCAATGCGGTATCTAGTTGCTCTCTCTTCCAGGCACTTGGCGGCCCCGATCTGACCACACCACGCCGGATTTTCCCTCCATACAGCCCATTCCTGTCCTGCCTGTCATTACAACCCTTGCACAAGGTGCTTACCATGCAGCAATGTAATGTGTATGAAATTCCCCAGCCAAACATCAATAGGACGCCCCTCCAAAAAAAATCCTCTCTCTAAAGCGGTCGATCCGCATCCCTGATAGACCAACCACGTTAAGGTCACACAGCAGTGCAGAGAACCCTCCGCCATGATGATGTCCCTTTTTTTGCCCCCCTTCATCTTGCGACACCCAGGCAAGTCTACGCCAGAACGCCATGCACAACCGCAGAAAGATCACCGCCTCCCCTCACACGATGCTCACATGCCAGCCTTGATCTTCCAGTCTCCCTTCTTTTTCGGCTTCTCGGCGACGTGGTCGAGCGTCGCCTTGATCTGGGCCATCGTGCAACTGTCCAGCTTCTTCTTGAGCGTGGCCACCATGGCCTGCTTGGGCAAGAAGCTGAACTCGAGCACAGCGGCCTTGAAGCTGTCCAGCTGGGCTGCTGGCACCAGATCCTGCGGCGCTGGTGCGTTCGACACGGCTGCTGCACAAGAGGTACCAAGCGCGGCAAAGGCGGAGGAGGGGACAGGCGGTGGGGCCATAGCGCCACTATCTGCGGCTTTTTCAGCCGTGCCATGGGCTGAAGTCTTTGTCGAAGTCGCCTTGGGCTCCTGAGCCCAATACTGATCCGAGAAAGGGTCGACTGAGTGATGATGCTTCAGGTTTGCTACGCAGCCAAAGTCAATATTTACATCGTCAAGGGACAAGAAGATAGGGAGAGGGGGGTCATTTCTCACGGATCATGAACTCCATCCGAAACTTGTACATCTGTGGGTTGGGGTTCCTTCGCGTGCGGTCCTCAAAGCAGACTCCGCTGCTCTCGGGCTCCATCGTCCCTGCCATCATTCGTGGGCCCCGGCCGGCATCCTCTGAGTCATCCAGGAAGTCGTCCATAGCCTCGCCCTCCTCCTCATCGGCATCATCCTCGTCCATCAAGCTCACATCATCTCCCTCGCCATCGTCTCCATCGTCAACCCATTCGGCCTCGGAGTCGTAATCGTAGTTGAGTGGCAAGTCCTTGGCAATAGGATTTCTGGCCAGCTTTCGGAGGCTGGCCAGCGACTCCACGCTTGTGACAGTGCCATAGTAGGCTGGCCGGACATCCTCGTAGAATTTGAGATGTTTGAGTGGTATTCGCCTCAGTGCTTGCTGAGTATGCTGAATGCGCGAGTTGTGTGACTCGGTGGTCAGATCGATAGGGCTTGTCTGGAGACCGTCGGAATCTGACAAGAGTTTGCGAACACTGGCGTAGGTCTTTCCCCGGGGATGGACATTGCCGTGGGGGAGGCCCAGAGCTTGCAATGGGTCGGAGGACTTTATCTCGATGGGCGCTCTCGTACCGGCCACGAATTCGTCTAGCACCGCTATCTTAGCAGCTTGGGAATCCGGACTCAATGCGAACTTGTTGGTTGCTAGTCTGACATTCTCTTTGACAAAGAACTCTTGTGCGAGACGTTGGTATTCGTTCCGCTCCTGGACGGCTGGAGACGGGCTTCTAGCGCCGGCTGGCAGGTCAGTTTTGAGGTTGGATGTCAAGGTCTGCTTCGTGAAGAAACTGCCAATCTTGGGTTGGGCTCGTTGTTTCCGCTCAGCCTCCTCTTCCTTCTCGCGCTTCTTGCGCTCGGCCTCGGCCTTCTTTTTCTCAACTTCGGCCTTCTTCCTCTCTGCCTCTGCCTCTTTCTCCTTGCGTTTCTTCTCCCTCTCGGCCCCCTTAGCAGCCTTTTCGTCGGCCTGTGCCTTCTTCTCGTCCTCTGTCAGCCTCTTCCGCTTTTTGGCCGGAGGGCCCTGGCCAGCGGGTTGTGTTGACTTGGCCGCAGGCATGGTAGTTGGCTGTCGGGTCGGTGTGTCAGGAGATGCGGGGTCCCTGACCAGGTTGCTGTTTCCTGGTTCGAGGAGCGAGGGTGGACTGCTTTGTGCTGGCGTGGATTCTGCCGAGGTCAGGCGGGATGAGTTTGGGAGAGAGGAGGCTAGTGGCAGGTCTTTCATCGAGTCAGCAACGGCATCTCCAAGGAATCAAGGTGGGGCGAGGGGCCAAGTGGTTGTTTTTCGTCAAACTGACCTCTGCTTCTTGAGACTTCATTCACGTCGAGATGTGGTTGTTTTGCCGAGTCGCAGGCGGGCAGTTCATCGAGGTCGCCAGCGTAGTCCGTGTGCGTTCGCTTTGTGCTGGGCGACTCCAGCTCTTGGACGTTCAGAGACATTGACATCAGAGGCATTGGTCGTCGAGGTGGCTCCAGGCGGGCTTTATGAACCAGGAGGGAAGGCTCGAGCCTGAGGTTGTGCCTTCCACGTGAGGCTGCTGCTAGATGCCGCTATCAACAGACCGAAACGGACATCGATGAACTGATCCAGGTCTCAGATGGAAACCGATTGTTTGGCAGGTACTTAGTAAATAGAATAAACAGAGAAACAAGGCAACAAGTCCAGATACACGTGCTGTTTGGTGGTGAAAATGGCTGGGTGGCTCCAACGTGCTTTCCAAGGTTGACGGTTGGAAGGTCGACAAAGGTGGACCCTTTTGCGGGAAGTCGCGTTCGCGTCGAAAGTGGGAATCTGCAACCTACGCGTCAAATGGCGTCCGTGCACCGCTGGGGACAAGGGTACTAAGGTACCTCCCCGGCTTGCAGAGCAGGTAGTTTACCATTGTACCTATCTATCTGACTGGGGAGTCCCCACTTTCCACCCTCGAATCCTCGATGAATGGTGTTTGTATCTTCGAGACAGCCGGATTCCACCCACGATGCCAGGTATCTGAATCTGCGGGGCACTATTTCAAAGACATGGGTTCCGGCGGCTGCTAGGTTCTCTACGCATCCCCGTTTTCACATGCGTCCCCGTCCATTAGTTTTGTGGCGATTTCAAACAGGTCGCTGTCCACGATAATTCGCCCATTTTTGCTAATAAGTCACATTCGACGAGGTGCTCATTGGATTGGTCACGCTTCAACTCTATAAACGACTTATTGCATGTATTGATGTGGCACGGGATCCCGTGCAAACGAATGGACCCGGCTTGACGTATATGTGATCAGACCAAAGCATGTGGAACATGAAGCAGGCAATCGAGAAAGCATCCAGAATTCGATTTGTCTTTGATATTCCCCTCAACGCCGAGCAATGCAATGGTGGTGATGAAATATGAAAAAACAGTTGAACGACCGTCTCGTTTTGTGCATTGCAAGCTTTCCACGCCTGCCCTGCCCCGCAAGGTTTAGGAAGATGAATAGCGACCGGTGGTATCCCCTCCACTCCAAGACCAATGTTCCACGGAACACGATTTAGACAAATGAAACAAGTCTGCCGATATCTAGGTGGCAGCGATTTAAGTTGGTAGTCGGTAGGTTGATCAGTCGGGGTTGGCGATGAAAAGCCTTCCAGAGGTGAGCGTCATTGTCCTCTCGTCGACACTGCCTCTCCTACGCAGCTCGTCTGGATTCTTGACGCTCTTTTCCCTCGTCAGTGCTGAGTGTATCAGGCTGTTGCTTGCCAGCCGCGCAGCATCATTCCCCATGTCTGGCACGTCGTCGGCACGCTCTCCGCTGCTGCCACTCCTGCCGCTTGCAGCATCGCTTGCCCGTTTTTCGAGCATAGCCCCATCAACCAGACTGCTGCTTCGCTCTGGAGTGTTGTCGCCGCCGCTGCCAGTCCATCTTCTGCTGTTCTGTGAGCCTCCGCCGGTCATCTGCAGGCCGCTGCCGGTCGATGAGCGATAGTTGAGCCCCCTCCGGCCTTGAATGCTGCCCGCCGTGCTTGACCTTCCACTGCTCCCAGTCCGTCGGTGATGCAGTCGCTGAGATGCAAGTTCGTCGTCATCGCTCTCCTCGCCCTCCACTTCTGTCGCACTAAGTCGAAGCGGCACGCCACCGACGCCCACGTAGTTGTTGTCTGGGGCGTAGCCGACCACTCCGGGCTTTCCGTGGTGACGAATCTTGCCCACGACCTTGCCACCGGCGCTGCTGAACCCAGTGGAGGTACGGCCGCCGCCGGATGAGCCTGGGGCCTGACCTGCGGAGCCGACCGTTTGGAGGGCCCTGGCCTTGGCCTGCCGCTGTTTTGCCAGCATATACGGGTCCTCGGACTGTGCGCGATCGCACCAGACGGTGGCCTTCTGTTTTCGCAACAGGGCGACGTAACCGACGGGCTGTACGGAACCGTTTGAGCGAGAGGAAGTAGAGCGGCGTATGTCGGCACTGGGTGGAGAGTTTCGGTAGGCGGCCGGGGGCGGGCCTCGCTCGGTTGCCCCTCCACCGCTGGACACGGTGCTGAAGGTGTTTACCGAGGGAGAGCGGCGTTGGTGACCATAGGGTTGTGGCTGGCCCAAGTGCATGGCTGGCGGATGTTGTGCTTGCATCGGGAATACGTTTGAGGAGGTTGTGCGGGTGCGTGAGTGAGAGAAGGACATTTGAGCAGCATCCGCCGGCAGTGGGCGGCGCCTTGGTATTTGTGTCTCGAGCATGTTGAGCGGCGGTCGTGCTCCAGGATCGCAGGGATGTGCTGCCGCGCGAGGGGAGTTAAAATGGGAAGTCCCGCCAAGATGGAGTGACCTCTGGGCTATGTTTGTCGTATCGCAACCTCGGGCAGGAAATGATGAGCAGAGCAGGGCGAGGGCCCGCTGATGGGAGTGGAGCCGGCACCCTGAGCGCGAAGATGAAGCTGCTGCGCCTGTAACCTAATCTCTCTCCCTCTGGGTTGAGTCGGTGCCTTGCGGGTCGCGACGAGTGAACTGTGCACGAAACAGTGCCCGTGATGAAAATGAGGGTGCAACGCGGGCAAACTGGTGTCCAGCAGGCCGGTTTGCTCGTTTCGCTACCAAGGCGTGAGTGATCTGGAGCAGGTCGAGGCTCACGGTAGTTGCGGTGTCGAGGTCGAGGGTCTCGCTCAACACCAGCCCCAAGGACACGAGAGGGCTCGTAGGAACAAGGGGATAAATATAGGCTGTCAACGTGGTGATCAACGGAGAGTGGGCACGGCGGACTCTTTTGTGTTCTTTTTTAAGGCGCGCACGGGTCCTGGTTCACAGAGGTGGGCTGCGAAGACAAGGGAGGCGGACAAGGCAGCTGGGCAGGCGGGACAGTGCTGATAAGAGTGGGAAATGGCAGCAGAGACATGCAGGATTGCGGTCGCAGTTGCGGTTGCGGTTGCTGCGAGCAAGATGACGGTCCAACGTTGCAGTCTTGGCAGCCCTGGAACTTGCAGCACGGCGAAAGGGGAGACGGCGGGTACAGCAGCCAGCAGAAACAGCAGCAACGCGGTTGCGATGACGATGACGCTGGTTGTGACGGCGAGGGAGGCGGGAGAAGAAGTTGGAAGTGGGCAGGATGGGACGATGGCTCTGGCCAATATGTGAGGGTATTATTGGTGTCGACAACCAGGCTGGGTGATGCTGCTCCCTATGTATTGATGAGGGCAGCGAACCGCATTCTACCAAAGAGCAGGGAAGTCTGGTACCGCAGGACAGAAAAGGTCGATGGAGCCCTGGAGCCCCGGGGGCACCTTTGGGGGGAGGACGGGCAAAGCTTTTTGACTGGCCTTGTTTGTTGGCTGCGGTACGCTGGCTGGGCTGGCTGGCAGGCCGTACCGCGACAGGAACCACAGGAACCGCTTGCCTGCTCTGCATGGGACAGTAGCGTCACTCAATCGCAACAAGTGGGCACTCTAGCGTGCGTGTTTGTAGCGTAACATCAAGCGGCGACCAGGCAGCCCCAGTCAAGGCCAGGGAAGCGCAGGGAAGTGCAGCCCAGGTGCAGGGGGGCGGCAGGGAGAAGGCGTGTGCCAGCAGGGGAGGTACTGTGTAATCCCAGGTAGAGGCTGCCAGGGTGGGGTTCAACTGACTGACCTGTGTGCCGCCTGCCCTGCCTTGCCCAACACACTGCCAGACTGCCTGAACGGAATCCGAGTTGACAATCCTTCTGCCACTGTCAATCAATCATTCAGCCATTGCGTGCATGTACTGGTACCAAGTACCGCAGGCACACAGACTCATCTTCTCTCACACTCGCAATCGCTCTCTCTTTTGTGACAATCTTCCGTCTCATGTGTCTTACGCATGTGCCTCGTCTGGCTGATCACTACCGTCGTGCCGTGTGGTTGTATCGCAGCAAAGCATTCACCTCCTTCCTCCTTCCTCCTCCGATATCCCAACTCTTTGCTTACTAGATTGCTAGAGTACCAGCCAGACCAGACACTCAGACACTCCAATGCGGCACAACCTACCCATCCTCTCTTCCTACCATCTTTCTACTCCGTACAGATGTGTGCGCCGTTGCTGCTTGCGCCGCGATCCTGCATCATCTGCTGCTTTTATTTAGCTTTCCTCCAGGTCGGCCTCGAGGTCGCCGACCTGTTTCAAGCTGTCTTTTCTCACAAGACAGCCCCAGGCATTTCAGGCAGGGCGCGCCATGCAAACAGCAATCTGCAAGGCCGCTACGGTTCAGCACTTGCGATTGTTATCAATGAATCAATGCCAGTGCCAATGCCCTTGCCCCTTGCAGCGGTTCATTGGGGAATGCCCCAGCAGCCCGCCAGAGACCCAAAACGCGCAGGCATGGCGCGGCATGGGGCCCGGGGGCCTGGGGGCGTGGCAGAGATCTGAGCGGTGGCCCCAAAAAAAGTTTCCTTGCTCGAAGGAACCACCGAAGAAATCCCTAGTCCTGCGCCAATCAACGGACCCGAGCCGATCTGATGTAATGGCTCGTTGTCTCCCAAGGCCCGTGGTCTCCTTGCCGCCGGGTGCAGGGCTCGCCAGCCTGGCAAGCCTGGCTGCCTGGCTGCCAACCAGCAACACAGCCTAACAGGTTCCCTGTCCCGTACCCAGGCGATCGCCTCCTAAAACCTATGCTGTTGACGCAATGGACGGCTTCAAAATTGGTAACAATCAGCACCACATCGAGATCTCGTCCTCCACCCATGACTGCCATGGCAAGAGACCAGCCGAACCCTCAAACAAGCAGGGCAAGCAGGCAGGCCGGCGGGTATACCGCCGACAGAAGTTCGACCTCTCCAAAGGCAGCGGCTCGGGAACTTCTGCCCTCGCCGTCTCTCTGTCCCCCCAGGTCGCTTGCCGGGCCGCCGTATCTCTCGTTCCAGTTGTCTGCAGGCGGAGGATGCAGAATGGGACAGACACCGCCCCGAGTGCTGCACAAAGGGTTCGATTTTGCGAAATTCCACAAGGGTACCTCGGTCCTGAGTGGGGTTGTATGCATTCTTCGGCCTCAGTCCATTGAAACTGCGGAAGACTCCCATGGGAAAATCAGAATTCCGTCGGCAATTGCCCCACCATGGACGCCATCCATCTATCTGTTGGCCAAGCTCTTTGGGCGTCGTGATTTAGCTCGACCCTAAGGAGGTTTCTGAATGCGCCTAATCGCCCAGCAGTGCAGCAGCGGTGCTCCATGATCGACGTCGCAGGGAGAGAGAGGGCTGAAGCTAGCCATATACCGTCCAAACCACCCGCCCAACAAATTCGCCCAGTAATCGTGTGCTCCGTAGCACGGGAGATATTGCTAGCCTGCCAGCCCGCCGGCGGTTTCGGGCGGTCCTGGCGGTGCGGGCGGTGGCGCTGCCTGCCTCATCCGAGCATCAGCCAGCAACTGCCCGCTTCCGGAACCCGGAGCGCTACTAGGAATGCCATTGATTCAGAACGTGCTCGTAGCGGCCGTTTCACAAGGGACCGACCCAGCAGAGCAAGACACAGACAAGAAAGCGCCAGTTATATCCTGTGCACGAGAACCAGCGAAGCTTACTAAATGGCGCAGAACTATGCTGGGCTAGGAACTAATAGCTGCCTGCGGCCAAATGCGGGGAGCACACGATGCTACTTACCCATGGGCTCAAAGACATATGTTCGGCCGGGCCGTGGGGTTATACACTGGCCTACGGTCGTACAGTAGTCTCCAGCAGGCTGGATGGCAGTGGCCATAACAGCTTAAGGTTTGCCATGCTGACTACTGCTCGACGACATGTGCTGCATGGACGATGTCACACAGCTAACAACTGCTTGACATTTGCAACCTGCCCAGACTGATCTAAGGTCGTAGGGTTTCGCATCCTGTCAGTGGACTTGGTCTAGAGTCTTCCTTGTCACAAGCGCTCATCTTGATGAACCAGAGGTCACCAGGCCGTACAGGCTGCTGATATGTGTCTCACGTCATGGGCTGTGCGAGTTGGTAGGAACCCAAACACTGTGCTCTAGAGAATCACAAATGTTCAGATCTTGGCGTGTGTACTAATAATGCTGCCAAACCGTGCGCGATTCAACCCGACGGCACTCACGCCCGCCGTCTTCCGATCCGGATCTGAATTGACTTGAGCTCTCTCAACAGGTGGCAGTAATGCAATCGTCACACCAGCCCCCGCACAGCCGGATACAGACCGAGGGGGGTAAAACAGGTTCTCCGCGCAGCTCACAGACCAAGGAAATGCAATATCAGAGCTGATATTGTACAGCTCGCCAACAAGTTTTGTATGAGATTCGTCGGACCTCTGAGAGTAAGCATTTGGGGCCCTACCAGGATGCAGAGTACGTCCGGCTGGCAGGTCTGAGATACATAAGCCGAAGTGCATTTCCACATATTGGGTTTGCGTGATCAGGCCACAATCTCAGCACCTACACTAGCTGACAGGAATTGTGGATATGGCACAGCAAGCACAGCTCATCGATTGACGGTGACCCATGCACAACGCATGCAGCATGCGGGCCGTTCAGCTTACACGGTTCATCTCGTCTACTCCCGTTTGGGAAGGGTCGTGGGCAGCCGAAACAGCCAGCTGCAGCCCCTCACAGCATGTGCCCCCCGAGTCCTGGGCCTGTTGGCTACCACAGTAGTGTAGTCCGTAGAGCAGGGCCAGGATGAGGAGAGGGCATCGTGCAGGGCATGCAAGCAGGTCTTTGTTCTTCAGCACGCGCCGCCCGGGGCCCCTGTCCCACCGCGCAGCTGGACGCATGCAGGTCAGCCCGCGCATCTCCGGAGAAAAACCCGGCCAGTTGAGATTCCCATCTTTTTGTCTTGTGTTTGCTGTTAGCTTGCGAGAGACACCAGGGCGCAATCTTATCAGGTGTGCCAGGCCAAGCAGTCAATGTACCGGTACCTGCCCCCCTTCTGACTGCCCCCCCACGTGAGGTTGAGAAACTCGCGATTGGACGCCAACGTCGTGACCAGACTATCCATGGCCTTGGCCCACAACTGGTTGGGGGTCCTGGGGGTGTTACCAGGGTGTGGCGGACCTGGATGGCCTTATCGAAATTGAGTTTCGACAGTCTTCCCACGAGTTCTCAATATAGCTTCACGGAAAATGATCGACAGCATGTCTGAGTCGTTGGCGGCACACTAACTTGTCGTACGCGAGCAGCCTAGTCATCCCGGGTGCTCGGGTCGTTCAATTTCTGGCATACCCGCTCTTGTTTACCTGAGGTTGATATCCTTAATGTTATCTCGCTGTCAAGAAGACGGACGGAAGAAACCGCTCTTGAGTGTCGTTCTTGGCTCTTGGAGGCGAGCCGCATCGGTTGCACTATTGGCAATGAAATGGTTTCTTCGGCAGCAGGGCCGCCTCGGGGCCTCCCGGAACAGGTTATCGGGACCGGTTGCTACCACGGACCACGGTGGGGCCTGAATAAGCTCAGGATGTGCAGCAGGTGCGGCTCCAATGCTGTCGCGACGACGGAGGAAATGGCCCGGGAGAACGCACAACTTGACGATGAACGGCGATGAGTTCGATCAAAGGAAAATTTGCTCACTTCCAGGAACGGCCGACTGTGGAGGCGGCCGTGTCCTCGTCTCGAACTTGTGAGGTTATCGCGAGGTTGACAGGTTTCGACCGAACCTCGCTTGGTCGGTGAGCTTCCACAGGATCGGGTCTGGATTCGCCAAGCCACACGCGCAGACCCTCAATAATCTTTGACATGGCAACATCGGACCGTGCAACATCGGCTCATTTTCTGACATTCGAAACTCGAAGGTGACATCGGGGCCACCCACCCACTATGGTAGGACACTGACCTTGAATAGCCTCACAAGCTCATTGTGGAAACTGCCGATAATGCTTCTACATCTCGATCCAGCGCGCGCAGGGGCCTCGAGACCCATTTTCTTGGAAATCGCGCTTCGCTGACATTCTAAGGTTCTTCTGGGTTCCCCGGGCCCTGGTTTCGGCATGGGTCTCGGCCGAGTCCCAGCCGGGGCTTGCAGCGAGGACATGTACGTCTGCGGGCAAGCTCCCCTCGAATGCCTGGTTCGCGAGATGCAACGGACACAACCCTGGAAGAAGACATGCCCGCGGTGTGGCTCAGAATTCAAGGAACAAGCGGTAGGCCCCTGTCCGGCAGGAACAAGGGATGGAATCAGTTGGTTCCTCGCGCCGACGTCAGGAACATCATGGTGTGGTTCAGGGAGCAGGGTCGAGGAGATGAACAGTGCTCCTCGGACACTGCCAGCCATGACAGCGGCTACGCCGGAAATGCAGGCGCAAGTCCCACATTGCAGTTCAATGACAGGCGAAGCTGGATAAGATATGGTCCCATTTCCCCGTCAGCCTTCGGGCCTGGGGCGGATGCGGGTCGGGCGTCATCTAGCAACGTTGCTGTCTCGCCGTCGCAGTCAGTCAGTCAGTCAGCAATGTGAAAAGGATGACTCTGACTGCAGGGACCGGAAGGTGGGAGGGAGGCTTGACGGCCACGGAGCTCGCGATGCTTATACAAAGCCGGCCTGGCGCTTCCAATGGCACCGGCTCGAAGTGCTGTCGACGGCCTCACGTAGCTAGCCAATGGACTTGCACCAAGGAACTAGCTGCCGAGACATGGGATGGCTGGGATTGCTGACCGATGTCGCCATGCCCTAGCTGATCCGATCGGAACCGTCGGTCTCGACGTTGAGGCTACGACGCGCTTATCATGATATCAGCAGGACGGACGCTGTTGGGTTACTACTGTCTTGACAGACGAGAGTCGTGCGGAAGGTTTTGAGCCTCATGGACGATCCTGGACAAAATGTGCCGACATATGGGCGCCGATCTTCCCATCTTTTGGCCAAGCACTGCAAGCTGGGCAGACCGGCCGCAATAGGCCACGGGCAGGGCAGGGGCGGGGGACGTGCAGGTGTGGGGGAAGGCGTGCTGGCAGACACGGCTCCAATTGGCTTTCCAGCCTCCCTGAATCAGTAGGGCATAATCGGTTTGCCGCCGTTTACAGTTACACAACGCTGGCGCTAGGTTGACCGACTACCTGGGATTTTGTAGCGCGCGACGAGAGAAAGTCTTGGTGTTTTTGGTAGTCTGAGTATCTAGTGTTGTTTGTGTTCGGTATCGGACCGCCTTGTTTCAACAACAACACTGCACCACAACAGCACGCATCGCACCTGGTCAGGCTGGTCTGCCCTTCGTCTGTGTGCGTGCCACTCACTCCCTGCAACCATGCCGCTGGGCCCCCAGCTGCTGCTCCTGACGTCACCATGAAATTTGCAAAGGAGCTCGAGCGCGATCTGGTGCCAGGTGGGTGTCAAAGCTGTGCTCCGATCCGAGTCACATTTGCTGTTTGTTATTGAGACTGTGGCTGACCATTGGTCTCAGAGTGGCGCATCAAGTACCTCAACTACAAGGCTGGCAAGAAGCATATCAAAGCTGTCGCCAGGGCCATCAACCGTGCCAATGGCGCCTCCTCCACGAGACTGCCTGCTCGGCCCGACCACATGCGCCCTGGTTCCGCCTCTGCCTCGTTCAGGACCGCCGTTCCAGCCACCCCACCAGCTGCCGACGATGGTGTCGATCCCTTGCGGACGGGGCCGGCGCCTATGGGTCAGAGCCCCCCACGCTCAATCCCCATCAAGAGGCCTTCCCCCGTCGCCGGTGAGCGCCAGGGGCTCATGCACGGATCGGAGCCGGACATGCAGTATGGCAGTTTTGTCCCCACCCCTCCGGAGCATGGCCCGGCTCCCATCAGCGAGTCTGGCCAGCCCAGCCATCTGTTCGAGCTGCCGGCCCCCGCCATCAAAGTGCCCTCCAACGCCAGTGAGGCCCAGAGGCAGAACCCGCCAGCAACGCCCCGGGTGAACTCAGCATCTTCGGTCCACCGCCTCGCCCTCAACCGCACGGCCTCGAGGACAGGGTCGCAGTCGGGCGTCCCAGCCGATCGCACTCCCATGCCTGGCCGTTTTGCCTCCGCCGCCGGTGCTACGTTCCCCAATCTCACCCCGAGCGATATGCAAAGCCCACGGGCGAGGTTGCGGAGGATGTTCTCCTTGGCCGGGCCGTCACTGGAGCGCTACCGTTCTCGTGGCGAGTATGACATGCACGCCTTCGATGAAGTCCGGGAGAAGGAGAAGGAGTTCTATGACTTCCTCGACTCTGAGCTTCAGAAGGTTGAGAACTTCTACCGGCAGAAGGAGGACTACGCCGGCAAGCGGCTGGCCCTGCTTCGCGAGCAGCTGCATGAGATGCGCAACCGGAGGATTTCCGAGATCGCAGAGGCTAGGCGCCGCAAGCGGGACGGCGAGTCGAACGGCCATGACGCGAAGGAGGGCCTCAAGAGCAACGGCGCGGGTCACCTTCCCATGTTCGACCCCCTCAAGGCCAAGCTGTTCAAGCCCGGCCCGAATACAAAGGCCCTCCAGAAGATGCCTCAGACGCCAAGCCACACTGGGCAAAACCCAGATGAGAGGCGCGACTACGTGCGGCGGCCTGATGAGCACGAGGTCCCGTATCGTACGGCCAAGAGGAAACTCAAGCTGGCACTGCAGGAGTTTTATCGCGGTCTCGAGCTCCTCAAGTCCTACGCGCTGTTGAATAGGACGGCGTTTAGAAAGCTCAATAAGAAATTCGACAAGTCGACGCACGCGCGGCCGCCATACCGCTACATGAACGAAAAGGTCAACAAGAGCTGGTTCGTAAACAGCGACGTCCTGGATGGCCACCTACAGGCAGTCGAGGATCTTTACGCCCGGTATTTCGAGCGCGGAAACCACAAGCTTGCTGCGGGCAAACTCCGCAACCTGACAAAGAAGAAGCGCGACGAGTCCGGCAGCGCCTTCAGGAACGGGCTGCTCATCGGCGTCGGCGCGGTGTTTGCTATCCAGGGCGTCGTGCAGGGGACGCAGCTCCTCTTCGACGAGGACGATGACTTGCGTGCCCAAACGAGTTACCTGATGCAGATCTACGCCGGCTACTTCTTGATGCTGTACCTCTTCAGCATGTTCTGTCTGAACTGCAAGATCTGGACCTCTAACCGGGTGAACTACCCCTTCATATTCGAATTCGACCCTCGCAACCAATTGGACTGGCGGCAGCTCTCGGAATTTCCCAGTTTCTTCCTTTTCCTGTTTGGACTGTTCATCTGGTTGAACTTCACGAGATACGGGTCCGACGCCATGTATCTATACTACCCCGTCTTGCTCATATTCGTCACCGTCTTGATCCTATTTGTGCCGGCGCCGATCTTCTGGCATAAGGCTCGAAGATGGTTCCTGTATTCCCACGTAAGTTTGCTCCCTGGCCATGCCGCGTGCTCGTCCTACTACCGCCTGGCTTGATGATACTGACCGGCTGCAGTGGCGTCTGTTTTTCGCTGGTTTATACCCTGTCGAGTTCCGAGACTTTTTCCTTGGAGATATGTATTGCTCCCTGGCATATGCTATGTGTGTAAGTATACTTCCCGATTGCCCACGCTACGAATCGCACTTTACTGATCCACACTCAGAACATCGAGCTGTTCTTCTGCCTGTATGCCCATTCTTGGAATGAGCCACAGCAGTGCAATTCAAACCACTCGCGATTGCTGGGATTCTTTGCCTGCCTGCCTCCTATGTAGGTACCCCTTTACCCATACACTTACAGCAAATGCGCTGCGGGAGTCATGACCAGACAGACGTGTGCGCGATCACAAAAGCTCGCACAGCTTGAGCATCCTTTTCGTACAACTCAAATCAATTCAGCCTTGCCAGCCACTCGATGTCTCACCCGGACATACACTAACATGACTATTTGAACAGATGGCGTTTTCTTCAGTGCATTCGTCGTTACAGAGATACCCGAAACATATTCCCGCATCTAGTGAACGGTGGAAAGTACACGGCGTCAATACTTTCTGGCGTGTTCCTGAGCATGTACCGCATAAACGGCACTAACCGAAACATGGGACTCTTCATCGCTTTCTCCATAGTCAACGGCTTCTACACCGGTACGTATCAACTGGACAAGCACCGGCCTGCCAGACAACAATGACTCTCGCGGTAGACCCCACGCAACCCCCATGCTAACATTTTTTCTCTTCAGCCTTCTGGGACATCTTCATGGATTTCAGCCTGGTCCAGCCACACGCGCGCCATCGGTTCCTGCGCGACATCACGGCGCTCAAGTCCCGCTGGCCGTACTACCTCATCATGGTCATCGACCCCATCCTCCGCTTCAACTGGATCTTCTACCCCATCTTCACCCACGACACCCAGCACTCCAGCATCGCCTCCTTCCTCATCGGCTTCGCCGAGGTCACCCGCCGGGGCATGTGGACCCTGCTGCGCGTCGAGAACGAGCACTGCTCCAACGTCGCCCAGTACAAGGCCTCGAGGGACGTGCCCCTCCCCTACCACCTGGAGACGGGCATCCCCGCGCTCACCAGCGCGAGGGTGAGCTCGGACTCGGCGGCGGGCAAGCAGCAGCAGCAAGACGACGACGACGACGCCGCCGCCCTCGGCGGCTTCGGCCCCGCCGCAAGGGTCGCCACCTGGACAGGCGCCATCGAGAACCAGCCGCCTCCGAGCGGCGCCACATCCACGGGCGTCGACGTCCCCGGCTCCGGCTCGGCCTCGGGCTCGGCGCGGCCGGGCCTGTCCGGCGCCCGCGCAGCCACCACCATGGACGTGGCCGAGGAGGGCCGGACGCCCGGCGAGGACTCGCTGCGGCTGCGGCGGCGCCAGCGCGCCGACACCGTGGGCAAGCGGAGCATCGTGCGCATCCTCGCCGAGGCGCACAAGCAGGACTTTGAGAAGAAGCGGAAGCCCGGCGCGTCGTCGTCGGGCGGCGGCGGCGGCGTCATCGGGGCCGCGCAGCTCGACGGCGGGGCGGATGTGGACGACGACGATGACGACGACGACGATGATGATGATGGTGATGACCTGGGCGGGGTCGACGAGGGTACCGACGACGAGGATGAGACGGGGTCTATGCTCGACGAGAGGATGGAAGTCCGCGAGGCCGAGGTGATGCTTGGGAGGGGGAGGGATGGCGAAGACCGCTAGGCTTGCTGGGCACACTTGAACGCCGGTGTCTGATTTGTTCCCGGCGTGTAATTGCAATTTGGGCAGTAGGGTGGATACATGTCGCTTGAACATCAAAAAAGCCTGGAGTCAGTCAATTGCCGTCAGTTTACTGGAGACTACTGTCAATCGGGCTGGCGATTGTATGAGATAATTCATCCAACACATCTCTTCAGGACAGGAGTAAATCCGCATCTAGTTAAGGGGTTCATAGGGGCTCTGCATCACGTTCTGAGCATTTCTAGGGCCCATGGTAGCCCGTGATATACACACAAAATTCTTACATCTATTTCGTAATCAGGGGCTATCTGTCCATAGCTACAAGCAACAGACCATCAAAGGTCGGCGTGAAGCTCTATATCCGTCTTCGGCAGGAGGATGGGCCAGAGCGCTGGCTAACAAAAAAAATGGACTTCCAATGGGCAAACCAGCGGACTGGGCTGAAGAATCACACAACTTTTTCGGCTTGCCTCAGAACGCCAGACCACTATATCCCGTCATGAGGGCATTTGCCTCATAGCAGCGTCAAAGCGCATTGCCCTTTCTTTAAAAACGCCTCCGCGATGAGATGTATAACGATGAAGAGTAGCTGGGGGCTCGGGGGAAAGGAAATCAAAGTTAAGCGTGAGCGTGAGCGTGAGCTCTCTCATGAAATGGTAACAGCCATCTTCTTCCACTCTGAGGGGCCCCAAGATTGCAGACATCATGCACTTCGCATGATGAAGGTCAGGCCCTTGGTTGTCAAGACACGAAGCTGGCCGCTCAGTTTCCGCGGAAAAGGAATTGGAGATCCTCTGGTGTCAGTGACTCCATGGCTGCATCGTCATTGTTGATAGTGGAATGGATCATGCTGGCCTTCTTCTGCTGTAGTAGAACTGAACAAATTGTTAATGATTGAGGTTGCACTCTTGCTATCGTTCAAAGAAAATACGCACCCATACGACTCTCCACAGAGTCTTCAATGCAGAGGCGAGTGATGGTGCAAGGACGTGTCTGCCCGATACGATGGCACCGATCAGCAGACTGCCATTCTGCCGCAGGATTCCACCATCTAGAGCATTGTTAGTTATTGGGACATAGGGCAAGGATAGGTAAACTTACGGATCAACGATGAAGACTTGAGATGCCTCGGTCAGGTTCAAGGCAACGCCTCCGGCCTTGAGTGAAACAAGGAAGCACTCCACCTCGGTGTTCTTCATGAAATGATCGATGGAGGCTGCGCGTTGAGCTGGAGTCATACTACCGTCCAGCATCACAGTGGTGATACCCGCACGACGCAACCGCCACTCGATCAGCTGCAGCATGGTGGTGAACTGGCTGAAAATAATGGACTTGTGAGTGGCCTTGTCTGACCGGAGCCTGTGCAGCTCATGAACCAGCAGCTCAATCTTGGAAGATGACGTCCAGTTCTCCATCTTAATGCGGTTGATAATCGAAGATTTCTTGACGAATGCCTCGTCCTGCTCGATCTCGGGCTGCTCCAGGTCGATGGAGAGCGGAATGTGGCACTGGGGACAGTCCGGCTGGTCCTGTGAGCCGAGATAGCTCTTTGCACAAGAACGGCAAAAGTCATGCTTGCACCTAGATCGAATGGCTTCTTCCGCAGGCTCGTCACAAATGCAGCAGACCAGAATGTTCTGTCCACCTTCGGCGTTCTTCTTCAAAATCAGGTCTGGATGATCAGCCACCTGTCTCATCTGCATGATGAGACCGAAGATGTTGGCGTAATTATTGAGGAGCACACCATGGGCGACATAGGTGTCGAAATCGCGCTGGCCGTTCGTCATGATGCTGTTGGCGAAATCATTTTCCGCCTCACCAAAGAACTGGCGATCAACGTATATCTCCTTCACGGGTAGCTCCATCGAGTTGGTGTGATCCTTCTTGAGGCGCCTCAGCATGATACGGTCAGTCATCAGTCGAAGCTTCCGGAAAGCCTCGGCGCCAGGGCCCATATTGCCGTAGCGTTGAATGGGGTTCAGAAGCTCCTGATTGAAGACAGATACGTGCTGCATGCCGTTGTGCTTGCACTGAGTGCAGCGGTGGTCCTCGTCCATGGTCCACTCGAGCGACTCGCAGGTACAGTTCTTGCAGAAGTAAGATGCGAAAGGGCGTATGTTGAGGAAGCGAATGAGTGAGAAGAATTCACCAATCCGGTTCTGCAACGGAGTGCCTGTGAGGCACCACCGATAGTCAACCTTCAAGGCGAAACAAGCCTTTGCAGTCATTGTCGTCCGCGTCTTGATGCAATGGGCTTCATCGAGAAGGACACGGTGGAATTGAATGGCATGGATCAGACTCTTCTCCTTGTGCAGCCCATTCTTCCTCTTGAAGCCCTTTTCCTGCTTCCGATACATGGACTCGAGGCTGTTGTACGACATAATGATGACGTCGTACTTCTTCAGCTCCTTGATGGTCTTGCCCTTGACCTGCGCATTGGTTCCATGATAGACGAGCGTCTTCAAGGTACCGTCAGTGTAGGCCTCGATCTCAGAAACCCACTGCATCAGAGCGACGGGCGGGACCAAGACCAGGGAAGGCTGCTTGGCCGGATAGTCGGACATGATTAGCGAGACAGCTTGAATGGTCTTTCCCAGCCCCATTTCATCGCCGAGAAGGCCTCCCTTCCACTCGGTCTTTTCCATCGCCTTCATCCAGGCGAGACCCTCCAACTGGAAAGGTTTGAGAATTCGGGAAATAGTCTTCGGCTGCTCGGCCTTGCCGGCTTTGAGAACAGGCATGTCCCTGAGGTGGTCCCACATCGTCTTGAGTGTGGGATGGTGCTCCTCGAGTTGAAGCCTGCCTGTCCTAATTCTCTTGCGGTTGGCGTACGCGCCATAACCACGGCGCTGCACGCCCTGAATTCTAGTCGAGTTGTTGGTCGCAGCCGAGGGGTCAGCATCGTCACTATCGTCGTCTGACTCCGCGGTGAAATCTACAGAATTCGCATCACTCAGTTCGGAGCCGTCGCTACTAGCATCATCGAGTCCTGAGGCAAGGTCCTGAGCTTTTGCTCTAGATCTGAGGGCTACCTTTCGGCCATTCTGTCGCTTGCTCACTGTGGGGTGTCAGTGAACAATGCTTAAGGGATGTTAAGGTTCTATGTCGGTGGGAATTCAGGCGAGGTACTGGTGCTGACCCAATTTGACTGGATGATGGAGGCACAAGAGAGCTTCTCGGGAATGAGGGTGGTTCCAAATGTGCATGTGTATGCGTGACTTTTCAAGGGCAAAGGGATGAATGATTTCCTGTGACTTACAAGGCAAGTCGTCGTCTGAGTCTGACGCATTGGGAGCCGCAACTTGCTTTCCCTTCGTATCGGCTTGCTTTCCGCGACTTCTAACGGTGGTCTTCTGCTTCTTGGCTGGAGGGGCCAGGTCGGCGAAGTCAGAATCTTCGTCGTCTTCATCATCGATATCGACATCCGAATCCTGGACCACACGCTTCTTGGCCGCGGCTCGAGTACCAGATGCTTTGCGGGTAGCCACTGCCTTGCCTTTACCCTTGGGGTCAGTTGCGGCATAATCATCACTGTCAGACTCGGGCATTAATTGCTCCTCGGCATCCTCGTCGTCAGAAAGGAAGCCTTCGACCTCCTGGTTGAGTTCGTTTTGGAGAGTACGAGCAACCTCCTCATCGTAACGAATGCGTTGGGCATCCAAAGAATCATCTTCGAGATCGAAGTCATCGCTATCAGGAACGATGGCGAGTCGATTCCTTCGAGTGGCTCTAGAAGAAGCGTTCGCTGACTGGCGGCTGGCCTTCGAGTTCGACGTGGTGGCAGACCCACGACCCTTGACAGCTGGGCTGACTGTGTCGAGATTGCCAGAGCGAGTTGGTCGAGTGGATGTAGATTTCGCATTGTCGACTGGTGCGGGCGTGGTGACATTGCTGGTCAGGGGGGTTGAATAACCTGAGGCCGTGTCGGCGGACGAGTAGGTCGAATTTCCAAGAGAGGAGAGTGACTCGTTGGCGGCAGCAGCCGCGGCAGTAGCGGCAGCAGCCAAGGACGCCTTGCTAGGACGACCGCGGCCACGTTTCACGGGCAACGAATTACTTGCTGCAGGTGCAGACACAGATGTAAATGAGTCGTTCCCAGTGGCCTGGGAGCTGTCGCCTTGAACGCAGTGTCAGGCTAAAAATGCCGTACGTGTTGAACAGCTGCTGGGAAATGAACGTACCTGCGTCACTGGCCGCGGCGGCGAGCGACCTTCTAGTTCGTGCCATTGTGACAACCGGTGATGTTTGACACAGGTGATGTCACCGATGCCACGATGCCAGTTGGCGATACAGGCGGGTGAAGCACGTAGATGGCTACGAAGAGGGCGACGCGGGGTGGTGGGGGATTTGTCAGATCGAGGACTTATACCAATGGAAGTCGTCGTGGGAAAAAGCGCCCTCTCTCTCCAATGGCCGGCTCGGCTGGGAGTGGAGAAAACGAGGCAGGGGAGAGAAGAGGGCAGTCAGCCTGGGGAGAGGGAAGAGGAGAAGGGCGAAGTGGTGTAGTCGGCGAAAAGAAGGCTCAAGATTTCAAAGGCAACGTCGCGGGTGCGATAAAGAAAGGTCCGACGGCTAGCTCCCTTTGCCACCTGCTTCAATTCAATCGCCAAACTCAGGCGCGTTGTCAGCTGAATGGAAAGGGCGCCACCCAGGCACAAGAGCAGTTAACAATAAGTCGAGTTGGATTGGGGAAGCTTGCAGGGATCAGGCAGGGGGCTCGACAGGGGTTTAAGTGGTCGCCATGGGTCTAAAGTGGTTTGCAGCTTGGGAAAGAGCACGGGACAGCGCGTTTGAGAGGTGTCCCTGCGGGCCCAGAGCGTTGGTGCCTGGCGCGTAAAGCGAATCTGGCAACCCCCACCAATGCCGAATGCCAGCGCCCGCGCCCTCTGGCTGCTTCGGATCAGACCTTCCTTGTCAACTAAGCAGATTCACGTTTGCCACCAAGCCAGCGCTGCCTTTGTGTGATTTTCAACAACTTCCCCCAGCCGTGAGAATTTTCTTCCCTTGTTCAGAGCAGTCATCGCCGTCTCTCGGCATCATCGGCAATTTAAGTCAATTGCTCCCCTAGTCCAGTCCGGGCCGATCTGGTGGTACAGACTGCAACCACCTACCTCGTTTGCTTTCCGCCATTTGTCCGGTCGTCACCAGATCCTCCCTTCACACCCTTCGGATCCGCAAGTGGCAGGGTGCGCACTGCAGAATAAAAAATGTTAGTTCTCCCTCTCAACTGCTACCATGAACTCGTCAGCTAAGTATGACGCCTCAGGTCTGGATCCAATCAGAATGATGGCCAGGATGGCCGTCAACCAGCCCGACGGTCGATTAGAGGTAGATGACTGCCACTACCTGCCCCACATTCAATGCATCACCAGCACTAACACTGCTACCAGGTCCTCAGTCGGCTTTGACGGACTTTCTGGCATCACACAACATTTCAGCAAATCAGATCCGCATTGACCACCAGCGAAGAAGGCAGCAGGCTCTGGCCGATGATGACCAAGCTGCCTCCGGCCCGTCAACCGCTACCGCAAACGGCGCTGATGCCGCCGGTGGTGAGGCTAATGATGCGCCAGAAGACCCCAAGAAGAGTCGCAAGCGCAAGAAGGAGACAGAGAAGGCCATCGAGAAGATAAAGGCCACCAAGCGCTTCCAAAAGCGCAAGAAGCGTCTCCAAGGCTCTGACGACGAAGACGACCTGATCAATGAATTGCTCAAGGCCAGCGGCCCCGCCCCGGGCCAGATGGAGAACTGCGAGATTTGCAACGTCCGCTTCACCGTTACACCCTACTCCCGCGCCGGTCCAGATGGCGGCCTCTTGTGCAATCCCTGCGGAAAGGAGCTTCAGAAGGACGAAGGCCCACCCAAGAAGAAGAAGAAACCTGCCGCGTCCGGCGGTGCCGTCGGCCGGCGCCGCAAGACCCAAAGCAACCTGCTCGATGGCACTTACACGCTAGGAGCCAAGAGCCTGATGAGTCTTTGCATCGAGACCCTCGCCAAGAACATCGAGCTTGCGGATGACCTGGGCGAGATGCCCCCACAGATCATCGACAAAATTGCTCGCATGCTTTCGAAGAAGCGTCTGGTCGACCCCAACACCCTCAATCTGTTTCTCCAGCCGACAGCCCAGGACGTCTCAATTTACGATGGCGCCAAGTTGAGCTCGGATGACCTGATGCGGATCTTCCAGATGGTCCCTTCTGTGAAGAACCTCAAAATTCGGAACGCCATCCAGTTCAAGGATGAGGTCATGGAGTACCTCCTCTCGCGAGATAAGGTCGAGCTCGAGGGCTTGTACATGCACGGTGCGAATCTTCTTAGCGCCGACATGTGGAAGAAGTACTTCACTACCAAAGGCCATTCACTACAGAGATTTCACGTCTACTACACCGACAGGCACTTCGACGATGGCTGTATGACCGTACTCAGGACCGCAGCACCGGGACTCAGACGCCTCAAAGTATACAACAACCAGGAGGTTGGTGGCGACGGCATTCGAGAGCTAGTTCATCTGAAGCAGCTCCAACACTTGAGTCTCCACCTTCACAAACATGTGCATTCAGACGTCTACGTCCAGGTTCTGAGCAGCGTTGGTGCAGAGTTGCGGACCCTGTCCCTCCGAAAGACGCCGGAGCTAGACAATACGGTGCTTGACGCCATCCATAACAACTGCCAACATCTGTCCAAGTTGCGCATAACCGATAGCGAGGTCATGACTGATGCCGGTTTCGCGCGCCTCTTTACTGGCTGGAACAATCCCGGCCTCACCTTCATTGATTTTCAGAAGTGCCGTCAACTGGACTCGCAGAAGCCACGCGAGAACAGCGACGACATTGGCCTGTGCTCCGAAGGTTTCAAGGCTTTGATGGCACACTCTGGCAAAACTCTGAAGAAACTCAACCTTCACGCCTGCCGCCACATCTCAAAGATGGCGTTCGACGAGGTGTTCACCCTCGACAAGACGTATCCGGAGCTCAAGTCCCTTGAGATTAGCTTCTGTGAGGAGGTCAACGACTACGTGGTGGGATGCGTATTCCGCAGCTGCCCGAATCTCAGGGAGTTGAACGTCTTCGGATGCATGAAGGTCAAGAATGCGAGGGTGCCAAGGGGCAAGATCCTGGTGGGCGTGCCCAACGCTCTCGGAATGGTGATTGAGGGTCAAGAATGAGCATCTCCAATATGTTCTGCTTTCGCCCTATTTGGGGGGGGGGGGACGAACTCGGCATGCTTATGACATGGTATCTAATGATTTGAGATGATACTGGAGAAAGAATGACCGCGTTTCGCCTCCCAGGGCATGATATTTGAGTTGTGGGGCTGTAGATACCCTTATTACTTTTTGATCAATTGACAGTGTAGTCAACGAACGTGTAATGCACAAGAAGAAGCTACCAAATGTGGGGGTCTTCTTCTCAATGAGGTTTTCTCACAGCCTTACTCGGATCGACGAGTAGGTCGGCGCTGTAAAATCTCTGTTTCGTTGGCATTTTCGAGGGTTCATGCTCAGCTCCTGTTTCCTTGGACTCACAGCAAATGCTTGTACAAGGGGAACATGTCACGCTTCTCAAATATTATAGATGCAACTCAATTGACGGAAAAGATGTGCAAGTAGACAGGTCCCACGAGATTCAATAGGGCAGGTTTTCCTTCTCGATGTGTCTTGTCATCGGAACGCTTACGCGAAATCGAACATCTTCTTCTTCTTCTTCTTGGAACGAAACGTCGGGCCATCGGAATTCACCGTATGCCCAGTATAACCCAACACGTGGTCCGAAGGGAGGGACATCACCTCGTTGGCCGGCGCTTCCTCGGGCAATGGCTCGTGCCCATTTGTCATATCATCGTCGCTGACGGGCTCACTGACGCTGGCCAAGGCACGTGTTCCGTTAACAATCACATCTGCAAATGATATCAGCATTCCTCTGTGGCCCGGCAAGGACAATGGCACGTAGGTCTCACCTATGAGCTCCATGCCCGCGAACCGCTTGCAGACCTCCGAGCCCTTGCTCAGGACGTCGAGCTGCTTCTCCAGCTGTCCGCGCCGACGGACGTTGTCGCCTGATTCACCCGCCACACGGTCCACCACCTCCGGGGGCAAGGAGAGTACTGTGATCGGCGAGAAGATTTCGGGAAGGGCCTTCAGGAGCTTTCCCTCGACCAGCTCTACCGCCACGTCGTCTATGAATCGCTTCAGTGCGACCTGTGCGACGAGTGTTAGGACTTGTTCGGCATACCATGCCTCGAATACCGTGGAATACTCACCTTGTAGTAGGCCTCCAGGCAGTCGAGGGCTTGAGAGGCGGCAAAGCGGTCCATGTCTGGCTCGTCATCATTGGCCAGGGCTTTTATCAGCGCGGGCCCGTTCACGGTGCACTGCACATATGAGGCGCTCGAGCCCATATCACTCTGACTTATGCCGAGGTGAGAGGCCAAAACCCTACGAAGGTGTGCCTCACGGCGCTCGTTCCGGACTTTCTGAATGGTCTCAGTGAAGTAATGGTTATAGGTCACAGGGTGCCACTGCCTGTGAGGCTCCATCAGCTCATTAGCCTTCAGCTCCATGTCCTTGATGATCCTCTCGAGGTCAGGTTCGATGATTTCCCGCATGATGTGTTGGCTGGTTGCACCGTCAGCAATGTGCTCGGAAGCAAGAGTCAGGAGCATCCTCGCTGCGCGTGCGACCGTGCGGACGTGACCACTCAGGATCCCCTTCCAAAGACAGCATTGCTCCCGGAACAGTTCTTCGACTATCATAGGGCTGAAGGTGCCGGGCAGCTCGCGGCCACGGGTCCGAGACATGAGGGTTTGTATGTGGGTGATGAACTCGTCGCGTGTAACCTGTAATCTTTCCAAATCGGCCAGGTAGACGTCTCCGTTGATCTCCTTGACGATGTAGCGATATGAGCCGTGGACTAAAAGATGCTTGGAAAACTCCTGGTTACTGTTTTGGACCACCGCGCGGAGCCGCTGAGAATATCCACGATCAGACAGCGCGCCTTCAAAGAAAGCATCATTGTAGACCCCATCGATGGCAGCTTTGACCAGCTTTTGGAAGTCCATGCTGACTCCGAGAAGGTACTTCTGCTGCTCATCCTTGCTCTCCCGGCGTGGGCCCATGAGCTCGAGATTCTTGCGGCAGTCTTCAAGCTTGGACTCGATTTCTTGCACGACACTGGGAAGCTCTGAGTAAATTTGTTTCATCAAGACGTCGCTGAGCCGGGGTTTGAGGTTGGCTATGCCCAAAAGGTGACTGGGAACATGCAGCCAGCTGCCCTTCGAGAAGAATTCGTCCTCCTTGAGATTGCGCTTGGACAGGCTGAAAGACTCCTCCTCGGAGTCCAAGTTGAGGAGGACATGCCAGCCGAGACGGAGCTCAGGGACCTCCTTGTTCTGAGCCAGGGAGACGAAGAACTTCTCACTCGGGGAGCCAGGTTTCAGTCTGTCGGGCTTGGTGATGATACCTGTTTCAAGAAAGGTCAGTCAACTCGACCATTTGACGAAACAATCGCTATTTCATCATGATATCAGGTGTTACACTGGCGGTTGCAGTGACTAGTCTATACAGGTATACTCTGAAAAATCAAGACACAAGAGTCGACTTACCCATGGTCCTTTGGCCGGCTGGATCAGCCTCCCTCACCATGTCCAAGACAATTTGGTTCTCAATCTCATTCTTAGCCGAGACAACAGCCAAGATCACGCTTCTCGACTCCTTCACTGAGGTTCATTGTCAGTTAAGCTTATGGCACGATTTTTCGCGTCTACTTACTGTATTTCTTGACGACATCCTTGATCATTCCCACGTCGTCATCGGTCTGGCTCTTGGTAGGAAAGTGAATCAGGCCAGGCAGATCGACAATTGTCAAGTGAGAGCGTTCGGGACCGGTGATTTCGATTCGAAGCAAGTCTCTTGAGAAGGTCTTCCCAAATTCCTTTATACCCATGGCATCCTTAGCAGCCTCGATCACCTCACCCAAGCCGTCGAGACCCCCAAGCTCCCTGCTCATCGCAGCGAGTGAGCGCTTCTCTTCTTCGGTTCGTGACGCATCTGGAACGATGGAGACGCTTGAGCTGACCTCAGGTGTTCGTCGGAGGATGAGCTCGGTAGGGAACCTTGTGCACGTCTTGCTCTGGACCGGAAACGACACGCCAGAGATTGCCTCAAGGACTGAGGATTTGCCAGCCGACTGATCACCACAGACAATGATCTGAGGAAGAGAGACATAGTAATCGATGCCTTCGGACCGAAGCTCGTCGATTGAGTCCAGAAGGTTAAGCTGGTCTTGAGAGCGGAGCTGGCTCAGAGCCTCCGTTTGCAGTTCAGCCACCCCCATGGTGAGATTGGGCACTTGGTCTGACGATACCAGGGAGAGACAAAATGCAGAGGAGGAACTGTACGGTTTGAGATGACAGTGAAGGTGGTGAGGAATGGGCCAGGCTCAGGACGACATCATGTCAGCTTAAATGTTCTTCAGACTTGGGTGCTTTCGAATTTGATTTTATGCCTTGCATGCCCAACACATAACCATTGGGGTCTTTTTTCCATTTCGAGGTAGAATCAACGCGGGCTGCCGCCTAAGTCGCAGTGGATACGGGCCAAGCTGCATGAGGCCTACCAACAGTGAGGCAGACACGTAGATATGTGCACAGCCATTGGGCAGCCTTGGAGATGGTCTCCAGTAAGTGGATAGTCTGTAAGACATGTTTGGGTAGCCAACCAATCCGTGACGCCTTATCTAGCAGCATTTTCGATACCGATCCGACCATGCAGGCATGTTGGCATACCTAAAGAATGTTGAGTTGCGAGAGGGCATTCGCTGTTGTGGACCGAATCAGCTCATGGTTGGGGGCCAATGGTCAGTGAGCAGGCAGGTTGGCAGGGCACTCTGTCCATTTATTCAATTGCGAGAGCAATAAGTCACTGGGAATCGATTATACACCGCATTTGTGGGTTCGGATGACGACGGGTCTTGTGTACAAGATGATGCTGTGCGCAGATGGTTCCCATTGATGCAGCGTGGATGTGCTGTACGCGGTCGATATTCGGAGCTCCTCAGGGCCAGCTTCCGTTTGTAACGGTGAATCTATCTGTACTCCGTACCTGGCTGATCAGCGCCACCGGTACCCACTGAACCCACCAGAGATGCAAGATTTCCGTGTCACTGTGCCTATGGAGTAGTTGAGATGACCGGCCGGCCCGTCGCTTTGGTAAGCCACGGGCCGCCGCCCTAGCGGCCAACCAGTTTCGGCGACGTAGCTGGAGCTAAAAATTGCACACACTACCTACCAGACTACTCGGGGCTGGCACACAGGCGGCTTCTCGGGGCCTGGCAAGCACCCATCCCTTTGGTCCCGGCCGCGACTCCAAAAAGGGGGACCGCATTTTTGCCGACCAGCCCAGCGCGACGCATCCATCCGCACGCCAGCTCGATCCCGACTTTTCCGCTTCTTGCTTTTCCCTCCCCTCCCCGTTCAACAACCTCCTCAACGCAGGCAGACTCGTTGTCGCCCTTTTTTTCTGTCCAACCGGCCAGGTCAATCCAGCGACGCGACCACCCGAGAGGCACCCTGCAGAGCCGCCCGTCCATCGTCGCCTCTCTTCTCACCACCGCCCGACGCCCGACGCCCGACGCCGCCGCGATGCGATGGCTCACCTCGCTCGCGGGCTACGTTGCCCCCATCTTCCTGATCCTGTCGCCCGTGCTGTCCTATAGCGACCAGGCAATGTCAATGCACCGCAACAAATCCAGCGCCGGCTTCTCCCTGGACATACCTCTGATCATGCTCATCGCGTCCATGTTCAGGTACGTCATGTTGGCTCCCGCATGATCCCGCAGATGCGCCCCTTCCCCTGCCCCTGCGACTTTTGGCGCTGACGTGTCCTGGCTGGCACAGGATATTCTACTACCCGGGCGCCCGATTCGACACCGCGCTGCTCATACAGTCGTTCCTGATGGTGATAATGCAGCTGCTGCTGTTGAAGATAGCCCTGGACCACCGCCCCGGCCCCGCCTCCAAGGGCGGGGACGCCGCCGTCCCGTTCGCCGGGGCCAAGGAGGGATTCTTCGAGAAGCAGCGCCCGTACCAGTTCTGGCAGTGGCGGTCGCCCAAGCCGTGAGTTGATGGCCCAGCCCTTGTTCCTCTTCTTCTTCGCCTGCTTCTCCGAGGCCGAAACATAGGCCGTGTGCTGACGTTTTGCGCACACCCGACAGATACTGGCAGTTCCTGCTCTGGCTGTTCATCATCCTGACGGCGCTCGAGCTCGCCCTCGCGCCCTTCAGCGGCCTCTACTCGTCGTACTCGACCCTGCTCGGCTACATCGGCCTCTCGGTCGAGGCGACGCTGCCGCTGCCGCAGATCTTCGCCAACGCGCGCTCCCGGTCGTGCAGGGGGTTCCGGGTCTCGGTGCTCGCCAGCTGGCTCGCGGGCGACGCGATGAAGATGTTCTGGTTCTTCACGTCCGTGACCGAGATCCCCTGGGCGTTCAAGCTGTGCGGCATGTTCCAGGCGGCGTGCGACGCGTTCCTGGGCGTGCAGTACCTCATGTACGGGTCCGGCGAGGGCAAGCTCAAGGACGACGAGGGCGCCGCGCCCGAGTGGAACGGGGAGATGAAGAGCATGGCTGTCCCGCCGAGTGGGCTGCAGAGTGGCCGCCGGACGCCGTTTGAAAAGCCGCTGTGATAGATCTTAAATAAATATACATGTCTCAGTCCGCCAAGCGATATTATCTAATGCGTACCTAACACATACCTGATCCATGCAGTCAAAAGGCACACCGGGACTGCAGCTGTGGGGCTTTCGGGATATCTCCCAATCAATTGAATCCCGATCAAGTGAATAGAGGTCGGGGCATCGCGCTCAATTTGACAGCCCGCCAATGCCCTGGCAATTCACATTGCTGAGACGTATCATTAACCCCACGATGAACAAAGCTCAGACATTGCCACTTCCAGTCCCAGAGCGTGTCAATTAGGGTCTGGGATGCTTTGCTTGCATAGCTTGATGAAATTGCAGCATGATAACAAGACCATCTTCACATTGGGCCCAACAAGGCCATACTACTTATCAGGGGGCTCTTTTAAAATTAAATTTCCTTGCCGGGCAGTTTCCCTTGCGAGAGTTCCAGATGAGACAGACCTGGTTGTACAGCTCGAGGTGTGAAGTTGTGCTAGGAGGGGACCTCCAGCCCCTGTGAATCTAGTCACTCCCTGAAAGAATTAAAGGTTGTATAAAGTGGAATGAAAGCTGGAAAGCTGTCAGACTGTAGTTAAATGTTTTTACTGGCCTCGATTGTCCTTTCTTGCACAGCTGTTCCAGTTTGCAGGGCTATCTCCCAGGGATGCAGAGTAGCTTCCTATCTCAGCTGCACCACCTCACCCAACCACCCCGTCTCCCTCGACTTATTCCCCATCCCAGACACACTTCGAGGTATCATCTACAACAAAACAGAATTGCCAGCCTCAACCTACAACTACTTCATGCTAATTGCACACTCTGGTGGTCCTTGAAATTTCTGTCCTCATCACTGATTTCGATTCCTCATTCACAATATCTTGAGCTGCTCTCTGGCCCACCCATTCCTGACCTGGGCTTGGAGTTGTTGCCCAGTACAACCACCAACCCCCACTTCTCCAGCAACACCCCATACAAGAGTTAAGCGACCTGCTATCATCGTCGTCTCAACGCGTTCATTTCGAGATTGCACCTCACCCAAACGGCTTCTGCCGCTCACACAGAATTTCCTCCTCTGAGCCCGAAATACATACCGGCTTCGAAAAAGTGAGTCTTCCAACACTGCCCGAGACGAGACGCACCATGCTCGTATGGGCTCTCCGGCCTGCATGCATGCTTTCTTTTTCCTCTCTTGTCGCTTGAATGTCAACTCCAGTCATTGGGGAAGCTGCCCAACCCTCACACCCCTTCTTATCTCCTTCTCACGTCATTCATTGACTGTGCTTCCCCTTCATCATTCAGTTCCTCCTTGCTAACAACATCTCACAGGAGCAAGATGGTCGCCAACTTCAGGACCGAAGACGCCCAGCGCCGCCTGCTGACCGCAGTCATCGCAGCCCACCCCGAGCTCAAGCTCAACTTTAAGGGTAGGTACCACATCCTCACCTCAACGCATCTCAACACACCGGTCCCATTTATGACTTCGGATGTTGATTGACCCCGCCCGCCAGCCATTGCCCAGCACTTTGGTCCTGAGGACTGGGGCAAGGATGGCATCGAGCACTTCTTCCGCCCCCTGAAGAAGGACGCCCTGGCGGTCCGCGACTTGGTCAAGGCCGGCCAGCGGGCCAAGGACTTCTTCGATAACAAGGCGGTAAGCTAACCACGTCTTTGTCCCATTTTCCCCCGGGAAACAGATATCGCCGCCTACTTCGGAGACTCCACCCCCGATGGCATCCAGTGGCAGTTCCGCGGCATCAAGCGCGACGCTGAGGCAATGAGACAGGGAAAGGGCGGCGCCGCCGGCTCCGGCGCCGGTGCCGGCAACAGCGCCCCGGCGACCCCAAAGAACCGCAAGCGCGCCGCCGCCTCGGCGCCCTCGACCGGCAGGTCCACCGCCTCCAAGAAGGCCCGCGCGAGCGCATCCACCAAGCCCGCGCCCGCCCCCGTCCCGGCCGCCGCCAACGTCATCACCGTGGACGACGACGACGACGACGAGGAGAACGAGTTCCCGCCGCTGCCCCTGGACACCCCGACCCAGGGCCCCCGCTTCACCGACTACGGCGCGAAGCAGTTCTGGGGCGGCGACGCCCAGGCCCAGGCCCAGGCCCAGCCCCAGGCCCCGGCGCTCGACGCGACGCAGGCCGAGACCCCGACCGAGGAGGAGGACTTCAAGCCGCACACGCCCAGCGACGCCGCCGCCTACTCGTTCAGCCAGCCCCAGCCGTCATCCGCCGGGGTCGGCGCCGGTGCGTACAACCTCGACGCCTACCCCATCAGCCAGCCGTCCTTTGTCGCCGACGCCGGGTACCACAAGGGCCAGGGCGGCTTCGCCGTCGACGACTGGGTCGACGACGAGGTCTAGGCCGCGAGACCGCCGACGGGCCTACCTCTCAAAGCTGCGGGTGAGCCCAGGTTGTGGCTCACATTTGGCTCTATCAACTTTCGACGGCCCAGAGAGGGCGGTCGCGACCGACTGCTCCAGCTGCTCCATCATCCGGCATTTTGAAATCCCCGCCCCCCTTTTTTGAGCGCCTCCCAGCCCGGCGGATATCTGGACTCGGAATGTCCAGGCAAGGCTGAAACGCGCACGCACGAACGATTTCGGAAATGCCTCGCACTTTTTTCGTCCACCCGCGAGGCGAGGCTTCTCGGTGACCAGGTTTTGGTTGTGTGCAATTAATTCATTTACTGCTGCAAGTGTAGGATACCCAAGAACGCCTTCCTCTCCTCAGGATTTCATTGATTCTTTTTCGGCCCCCGAAGGCTTACCCGATGCGACATTAATTCACCATTCCTTCTTCTCCTTGCGTGTGCGGCAATTTCTTTTCTTTCTTTTGACGGGAGCATGGACCTCTGAAGAAGAAGCAGCAGACAACTCATATCAAAATATGACATCCGAGAGGACGGAGGGGGGCACAGATGAGGAGGACGCCGGCTCCCCCGGCGGATTGTGGTTGGACATGCATGGCATGGTGGTAGCGAGGGAGGGGTGTGCCGCATCACCTTGTGTTCTCGCCCCCCTGTCTGCGAGGCCACACGTCTTCGGTCTCGGTGAGAAGAAAGGAAGGAATGAAGGAAGGAAGGGGGGGAAAAAAAAACTTCTGACAACACAGAACCTGCGTGACAAGAGGACTCGCGCAATTGGCTGGGCAGGGGTGATATCGGCTGCATGCTCATCAAAAAGAAAGAAAGAAAAACGGTGTGCGCAGCCTTGTGATACTAGAACAAGATGACACAGCACAAAATCGATGCATTTGCGCCTCAAAAGTGCCGTTCTCTCCGTGAGATCTGTGACACATGTTTGTTTAATTTTGTAAATCAACTGACCTACCTGAGTCAGACACAGAGGCCGAATTCAATTCATCGTTGGGCATCGCGAACCAGCTTCATTCATCTAGACTCTCGACATGGACACACCAACAAGCTGTTTTTGTAGCAATGACCCCTCAGTCAACTTTTCACCCACAGGCTCAGGTCGTACTGCCATAAGCACCGATGAGGTGGAATTGGGGAGGAAGCCATTGACACCTGATTTCATGATATCATTTCTACGTAATCTTCATCATCATCGAAAACCCCACGAGGTGATGGCCATTTTCAAATCCCAGCGTTTTGGCGAGGGTAGGCTTGCACAAATGGATATAAACCCAAAAAGAAACAGCCCGAGAGCATAACGACTGGCATCAGTGTAGATTTCGTAGTTAAAATAAAAAGGGTCGTCACACGTGAAAATCAAAAGCATTGAATAGGCACAGACGAATTGGGGTACTAAACATCAGAGCCAAACAAAACACTCAGTGGCCTCAGCGGCCTGCGACAGATGCTGTTCTAAAGCAGGCAGCACGCATCCGTTCACAACTTTGCGCGCAGCAACAGACCAGAAAAGCGCAGGGCAAATTAGGATTTAGGATGTAGATGAGCCAAGCAGCGAGCCCCATTCACCACTCAAGTTTACTGCCACCGCGCTCTATCCCTGCCGATATTGTCCAGCAGCTCGACAAAGTCTTCCTTGTTGACATCACAGTTCCTCATGACCAGTTCCTCCACCCAGGGGCCCCGAGGCTTAAAAATGGCGTTGAAAGGTAAAGGCCTGATGATGAGCGACTCCGCCATGGCCCAGGGGTCGACCTCGACGGGCTCGCCCGATTGTGGATCCACTGCTCCCTCGAGGTTGAAAGCCCACAGCAGCAGCGCGGCCTGCAGCCACAGCTGGTTGCGCGCGATGTGCTGACCCGTGCAGACGCGCCGCCCGAAACCGAACCCCGTGGACGGTATATCCTTCAGAGGCGCGGCCCCGTCTGACTTGGGCTTGGCCTTGACGTCCCCCGGCCCGCAGTGACTCCAGTCAGCGTCTGCGAGCCACCGCTCCGGCACAAAGTCGTCCGCGTCGGGGCCAAAGGTGGCTGGATCGCGTGTGATGGACCACTGGTTCGCAAACACCATAGTTCCCGCGGGAATCCGGTAGCCCTCGTACTGATCCTCAACCTTGGTCACGTGTGGGATTCCAGTGATGCCGATGGGCCGCCAGCGCAGCACCTCCTCCACGATGGCGTCGATGTATACCAAGTTTGGTCTGTCGGCGAAGGTTGGCAGACGGTCCCTGCCGACCACGTCGTCCAGTAGGCGCTGGGCCTTTGTTACGAAGCCGGACTTCTTGTTCTGGGTGAGCCATGCCACGATGAACCAGTTGCCGGTGAGCACGGTCGTTTCCAGGGCGGCGTCGGCCAGGATTCCAACGTCAAAGGCGAACTCCTCCTCGCTCATCTGCTTGGTCTCGGCGCTGGCGTCCATCTCTTTGGTGAAATTCCAGCCCGGGTTGGCCCTCGCGCGTCGGAGGTTGGTGAAATGGAGGTCCCGCTGCTCCAGCCAGTGTCTCTCGGCCTTGGCCCTCCATGGCCATGGGATGGGAAGTTTATCGAGCCACGGCAAAATGTCAACGATGTTGTTGCCGGACATCATATCGGCGAACTCCTTCATGATGGCATGAGCGCGGACGAGCTCGGGCTCATGGCCGGTGGGGAGACGGTAGCCGTACATGAGGGCATAAGTAAGGGAGGCCATGGTGCGCCCGAGCATGTGGTGGTAGTCGACGCCGCATGGCGAGTTAGCGGAGGTGAGCATGTCGAACAGGAGTTGCCTGGTCTCCAGGTCCAGTATGGGCTGGTAGGATGAGGCGGACCGGGGGGAGAGGAGAGGGGCTTCCAGCCTCTGGTGTACTACAGCAACTTGGTCTTAGATTCGAGTGGTGGCACCTCGAGGGCGTGTCTTACATTTGTAACGGGCATCATATGGCATGAGGACCAGGTGCAGACCCTTGAGAGCCAGCTCTCCGGCCAGGACCAGGCGCGGCCGGTCCGAATATGTGGCCCCGCGCCGGGCGAGGAGGTCTTGGGCGGACCTGGCGGAGTGCAGGACGACAATGGGCTGGCCAAGCATGTTGAGGTATATTATTGGCCCATGTTGCTTGCTCCATTCGTGCCACTGGAGCCAGGCGTGGTTCTTTGGGTTCTGGTGGACATTGCCGATGACAGGCAGCCCGGTAGGGCCAGGTGGCAGAGGTAGCGCCCTGGACTTTGAACTCCTGGTGACCAAGGCGAGAAGACGATTAAAGAGGAGGACTGCGGCCAGGGCTGCGGTAGCCAAGGCCAGTTTCGTGAGCATATCTGTCTGGGGGGCTACAGGCCTGCAGGGGCGGGACGAGGAAAAGGTGTGTGTGTGTGTGTGTGAGAATATGTGTGGAGAGAGTCAGAAAGTCTTGAGTGTGTGAAAAAGAGTGTGTGTCAGGAATTTGGGGGAGGAGGCCGAGGACGAGAAGGAGGAGGGTGAGCCCAGTAGAACGGTAACATGCAGTGAGCATGGGCACAGGGGAGAGGCGAGTAGTGGGGAAACAAGGATGGGTAGATATAGCAGATCTCTTTGCGCAGGTAGACTATTGTGAGTTGGCTGTCGGCTGTTGCTGTTGGGCCGATCTTAAATCACGAGAGAGCCAGGGTGGCAGGCCTGGCAGAGGCACCAGAAGGCACAGAAGGACCTGGGCACAGCTGTATGGGTCAAATGGGGCAGCAAGTGCGGTGCAGGAGGCAGCACAAGTGCGGTTTGGTTGCAGCCCCGCTGGTGTCATCCCTCCGCCATGTGCTCGGAAAATGGGTGAGATTGGGGGATGGTCAAGGAGGGGGGTTACAAGGGGGGAAGGAGAAAAGGAAGAGGAAGGCCTGCCGTGGGACCACCACCTGCCTGCCTACCACCTACCTACCTGCCAGCAGCAGCAGCAAGCAAGAGCAGGGAGGTTGAGTAAAAGTGGAGATGAGCACTCCCATGGTTTCTTCCCCCGTCACGAACGCACCATCGGCCTGTGCGTATGTAGGGATAATGTTGCACATCCGTGGTACGGCTCCGGTTGCTGCTTCCCCTCCAGGTTTGGGTGTGTGTGTGTGGTGGGCTGGTGTTCCCACGACTATCTTTCCTTCTCTGTCGACCTGTCAGTCTGTTGGTCTGTTAGCTAGCTGCCCAGGTGGCTAGTAGACAGCCTGTCAGTGTCAGCCAGCGTCAATCAGTGTCAGTCTGCCAGTCTGCCCATATAGCTGGGGCCCCTCCCCTGCTCCCACCCCCCTGCAGTGTTATGATTGCCGGGTTGCACCTGCGGATTTTGTTTTTTTACAAGGTTGCTAGCGCCTTAGCACGGCATGGTCCTAACAGGCAGGTTAGTGGAACTTCTGTGGAAAAGGGCTGCGTCTGGTTTGTGCAGGTGGGAGGCGCGGCGGGGCTGGTGGCTGGCTCTGCTGGCGGCTCCTCCATGATGGGGTGGGAGCGGCCCGGTCCTGATTCGATCCTCGCCCGAGGGCGCCCACACCCCCCTGCGGCTACCGAGCTTGTGCTTGCCCTGCAGGCCGTGCTGCCTGCGCACAGGCTCTGCAAGTCGCAACAAGGTCTTTGATCCGACCCGAGGGGACGGGAGGCGGTGGAGCCCTGAGACAGACAGGCGACCCGGCTGCTTGGCCCCGTCCCGCCAACATCAAACCAACAACAGACGTCAATGAGTGTGTACACCTCTCCCCAGCTCCCCAGCTCCCCTCACCTACGACACTACGCTGCACCACACCGTACCAGTACTGTATCCCCACCCCCCCTTGCCGGAGATTTCAACCGCCCGTGCCCCAACACCTGCATGTTGCTGCGCTGCCGCTCTCGTCGCCCGTCCGGCACATAGTCTATCTACATCTGCCCACAACCACATGCATGCTGGACATGCTAGTCGAATCTCACGAGGCAGCCACATGCTCATCTTCATTCGGTCACCCATACGTTCATTCGCCCGCGCCTGCGTCCGCGCTGTATTAAACTGCTGTACCACCCGCTCGCTCCCGTCTAGCCTGCATAGGAGGAACCTTCACCATATGCACATCACCCCATCGCCCTTCCTCGCCCCAACAACAAAAAATGCAGTGCCGACACACCCAAAACTGTCTGTCGCTCAGTAGGCCGCGGAATACGGCCCAAGCCCGCCGCCGCTGCCGCGCGCACACCACTCCCTGATGGCCTTCCTCTTGACCGCCCTGCGCGAGTCGCTCCTCTCCTGCAACCCCTCCTTGGACCGCACGCTGCTGCTTCTGCTCCCGGATGACGACGAGACGGGAACAGCCGTGCCGCTGCCTGCGGCTGGGGCTGAAGCTCGGGCTGGGGCTGGGGCTGGACCTGTCATGGGCGGGAAGGAGATGGGGACCATCGCCCCAGGCCTGCGCCCGCCCCCCGTTGTCAGCGTCTCCGCCCACGCCAGGTCCGGCAGCGAGAAGACGTCTCGCACCGACTGTGACGCACCCACCGGCACCGCCGCCGCCTTGCCCCGCCCGATGTTCGTGATCGACACCGACCCGGCCGGCACGCGCCTGATGCGGGCCACCTTTGCGGTTCCCACCTCTATCCGTGCCTCCTTGTCGTCGTCGCCGTCGTCGTACCCCATCCCTGCCCCCTCCCCATGGTAATGGTCTTGCTCGTGTTGCTGAACTTGCTGACCTTGCTGCTCGTGATGGCTCACGTGCTGCCTCTGGTTCTCGTCCTGCTGCTCAAGCAATGATTGTTTGGTGTGGCGTGGCGCCTGCATCTCGATGTCATCGCCGTCGGTGGTGGCGACGGCGTCTTCGTAGGTGCGGCTGCGACTTCCCAGCAGGCTCCGCCAGTCGCGCCGGGACTGGGGGCGGCTCGAAGCAAATGCATAGACACCTATGACAAGGAAGGTTAGGATAAGCACACAGAAGACGATCGCTATAATCGTACCGGCTGGGAGACCCGAGGTCTGCCTGTCCTGGCCGGTATCCTGGGCTCTGACTGGAGCTGAGTATGAGATGGCTGCCGAAGGTGGTAGGGTGTAAAACAGAGGGCTCGAGTCGTGCCGAGCAGAGAGGAAACGGTAAGGGTGGTTTCTGTTTGGTGTCCTGAAAACTTGCATTGTTTCTGTGGTTGTTTGCGTCTTGCCTGTATTCCTTGGCGAGGGACAGGCAAGCTCGCAAACTTGCAGCTGGGGGGATTCGCTTCGCCTCATATTTGAGATGGAAACGCTGCCATCAACCAGAGGGAAACGACGGGGAGCAAAGTGAATTCATCAAAGAGGACAAACAGGGCAAGCCGTATGATGGTTGCCGGGGGGTGACGCGATGCGCGCGCTCATTTTGTTTGCAAAGCTGCAAAGCTGCAAGCTCGCGCTGGTGTTGAGCTCTGACTGAAGCAGGCTGATGAGACTAAGTCTGACTGCGCAAACCTGCTAAATATTTCATGCCACCAAAGTCTTCCAGTAAGTCGCCTGAAATGTTAGAGTTTCAGGAGCAGCAAGGTGAGGAAAAAGTAAGACGAGTAGTCAAAGTCCAGGTGGTACAGCGTTAGAGCTGAACAATGAGTCCGATGGAGATCTTGGGGGGCCGCGTCCAGAAGTCATGTAGTAGACAGGCGAGCACGAAGCAGACATCACCGAATCACCTAGCTGGAGTTTCTCTGGTTCGATTAAGAGTCATGTAATTGAGGTGAGTTGCCTTGAGACGAGTTGTCCGGCTAGAGTTACAACATTAAGCGAATCAATCTATCCATACCTATACCCATACGCCTTGCCTTGCCATGCCATCGCATTCCATATAACCAATTCTATATTTTCACACACGAGATCAACTAGCTTGCCTGCCTGTCTTTCAACCTGCTTCCAGGCCCCTCTCACCCTCGCCTCGACGCATCCACCTTCTCCCCCTCAGACTGAGAACCAGCCTCGTCACCAGCAGCACGCTTCTCCGCATCCACCGAGCGGCGCAACTCCCCAGAGCGGCTCTTGGGCGGCACGGCCCCAGCGCCGCCCGCCTCAGCATCGACCATGGCAGCCGCGGCGCCCGCCTCCGCAGAGCCCTGGGCGTGCTGCTCCGTCTTGGCCGCGGGCTTCTTGCTCTTGACGCTGCGCCACTCGAGGCTCGCCGCGCCGAGGATGGTGAGGCACGTCATGACGAGCCCGACCTGGAACACGGTCCGCAGCGACTCGTTGTACGCGGCGAGCACGGCGGACCTGAGCGGCTCGGGCAGGTGCGTCAGCGTCGTGGCGCCGGCGTCGCGGATCGAGGCCGCGTCGAACCCGGCGACGCCCGACAGGTGCTCGACCAGCTCGTTGTTGAGGACGTTCTGCCCCACGGAGATAAAGATGGACCCGCCCAGCAGCTGCGAGAAGAACATGAGCGAGGTGCCGATGGGCACGTCGCGGTTGGGCAGGACCGTCTGCGCCGCGAGGTTGGGCGCCTGGAAGGTGAGGCCCATGCCGAAGCCGTAGATGACCTGGTACCCGATCCACTTGGCCTGCTCGGTGCTGACCTGCAGCGTCGTGAGGAGGCCCGCCCCTATCGAGAGGAGGACGATGCCCCCGAGCATGAACGGCGTGTAGTAGCCGACCTTGGCGATCAGGATGCCCGACGCGATGGACGCGACGACCATGGGCAGGACCATCGGGAGCAGGCGGATCCCGGAGTCGACGGCGTTGACGCCCTTGATGGCCTGGAAGTAGATCGGAAGGTAATAGACGAAGATCATCATCGAGGACCCGATGCAGAAGGTGGCGCAGAACCCAGCCATGATGCTACGCTGGCAGAAGATACGGGGCGGGATGGTCGCGGTATTGGGCTTGAGGATCTGGCACGCGATGAACCCAAGCAGGAGAACACCAGCCAGTGTAAGAAGGGCGATGATGCGGCCGTTTCGCCTTTCCAACCTGTTAGCAATGGCCGCAGAAGAACAGCATGGAGCAAGGGGTGAATAATTACCATGGATATTCAAGACCACCCCACTGCAGAGCCAACAGCAGGCAGATGACACCCGGGAGGAGCAGGGTGAGTCCGATGGGGTCGAGCTGGGCCAGCTTCTGCCTCATCGGGAGACGCGTCGTGTCTCGGTCCGGGACCTTGAGGAGGAAGAAGATGAAGATCATGGCGGCACCGCCGATCGGCAGGTTGATGTAGACTGCAAACCACTGTTAGTCACATCACTATCAACACATCTGAGTAGAGTTGCATAATGTGGCCGCGTGGCTCACACCAGAGCAAAGCTCGTCGTGACAAAACTCGACGAAATATTAATCCCCAGAAGCGCAGAGAAGACCTACAGCACCATCTCCAGCTAACCTTGCTCGTGAACGCGCCACCAAGCAGAGGCCCAATAACAGAAGCAAGCCCGAAGACCGCCCCAAACATGCCCTGGAAGAGAGGTCGCCTGTGGAGAGGCACAGCATAAACAATAACCGTGATCTAGAACACACACACATCTCGTCAGTCCCAAGCTGTCCCACACACAGGGGGTCGGAAGGGCGAGAAGAAAAATAAAAAAGAAACTCACACCACCAGAGAAGATACCCGCGCTCCCGAGCCCGGCGATCGCCCGCCCGACGATGAACGCGACCGAGTTGGGCGCGGCGCCGCAGATGGCAGAGCCGATCTCGAACAGGCCGATCGAGACGAGGAAGACGCCCTTGACGCTGAAGAAGCTGTACAGCTTGCCGAAGCTCAGCTGGAACGAGCAGTTGGTCAGCAGGTAGGCCGAGCCGTACCACCCGATGTCCGTGACGGAGTGGAAGTCGTCCGTGATCTGCGGGATGGCCGTCGAGATGATGAGACGGTCCTGTATTCCGTAGAAATCTTCTGTCAGCTAGCCATCTTGCGCTTTCATGGGGGTAGAGTCAGTCGGGGGTGGGTAGGGCCAGCGTAAGCTTTCTATCTGGCTCCTCTGCTCCCTTCCTTGGTGTTCTGGGCAAGGGAGAATGGGGTGTAGTCATAGGCCACGTACGAGTGCCACCAAGAACACTGATCGAAATAATTAGCATTTGCCAGGTATCGGAAGAAGTCGTCACAGTCGTGAGGGGGTGGGGGGAGTACATACTGGAAATAAAGACACTGGTCATGAGCAGGGCAAGCCTGAGCCCCGTCGGATAGACAATGTCCTCGGTCTTGGTGCGCGCCAGGCTGATATCATTCTTTGCCTCGTCGCCCTCTTCATTCGGCGGTGATATCGCAGGCGGCGTAGAGCCATCGTGGGCAATGTTGGCAGTATCCTGACTGGGCTTCTTGCCGCGTTTCGGGAACCGCATCTTGCTCCGTTCTGTTCTGTCGCTGTCGCCGCGTCCTCGACTGGCTGGCTAATATGTATGAGGTAGAATCCGAGTGCTGTAAGATCGATCTGTAAGGAGGCCACTGTGGTCTAATTCCCAAACTCGTTTACCGTAGCGGCCCAGCAATAATGTATGTATATTATACAAGTGAACCCCCTGATGAAGTTGTTGTGTCACGCTGTCAGGGGCGGATGTAGTAATAAATATTGTCTGGATGAGAGACACGGAGAACAAGTTATTTGCCGGCGCACGAAACATTAATAATGGATCAATAACACCAAACGGCAAGCCTGTATGTGCAAAAAAAGCCACCGAGTGAGTCGACAGCCCGCCCATTCGGACTCGGGCAGGCCTAAATTCCATTCCATCCATCCTATTCCTCCGTTCACCACCAGGGAAGGAGAAGCCACAAGCCGGCCTCGTGTCCCAAACCCGGCCAAAGACTAGTGCTGTGCCATTCTTGACAGCTAGCCGCTTGCGTCGATTGGTAGTGCACCATGCAACTCGGACGACGGGTAGTCATATTATCGTTCTCACTTATTGGGGGAGGCTCGCCTGGGGTTGGTCGCTGACGCGACCGAATGGCAGCGGGCCAATGGCTTCGGTCGCTTCGTCGGGCCTTCCGATCTCCTCAGGACCTTGCTGTCACTGGGTCTCGGGACCGAATTGCTTACCCGCCCGACCCAAGCCCGTAGGGCTGGTCTTGTCCCGTGCTGGGCCCGAAGATAAGCAGTGTGAAAGTCTGCCCGATAGGTGACCTCGTCCGACCAAGAAGCCAAGGAATTCAGGACGAACTGTCGGCAGGGCTGCCACGACATCGATTCATCAGACCGGCTGGCCTTGGCACCATTTTGCAGTGAAGAAGATAGTAGCATCAGGACTTGCTCATTTGGCTGCAAGTGATGGTATCAGAAACGCTTTTCCACCAGGCTGCACACATGCCCACCTCGTCCCAGGGGACCCCCAACTCTCCTAGGCCGTGCGGAATTCGGTGCAATATTCCCTCCGCGTGACAGAGCGACGAAACAGCAGACCACCTCATGACCTCTGAACTGTGGTCCTTATGGTTGTTGCCAATAGCTTTTCCATAGTTTTGATGTTGAAATTTGGCCAGATACCCATGGTAAATCATCGCATGTAAAGAACACAAGCAGGGTTGCAGCAGCGTGCCTCCTTGCAAGTTGCAGCCCGTGAGTGCAAATCAACGAGTGTTCCACCCTCCTTCTAAAACGCCGAAACTTGAATCAAATATATAGATGCGCCCCTTGGCCAGCCTGTATGTACTTGAGGCGTGTACCGAACCCGAAAAAACACTTCGCATGGTGCACGGCCGTGGGCAGTGTATACAACGTCGTAAACTCATCTTGAGGGGAGATACTTGAGCCATGCGCGCTGTAAACAATCAAAACACATGCACTAGCAGAACACAACCCACAAAACCTCGTGGCGGCCGTTTACCTCATATTCCCGAGTGCGGTCTTTTACTTCGACCTCGTCTCCTCCCCTCTCTCTCTCGTCACATACTGGGCCAAGCGTTTCCGCCTCCAGTATTCCAAGCCCAGACGCTTGACCTGGCTGAGCCTCGGGTTACCACTCAGAAGGGGGGCCCCATGCCGTATGGGTACTGGTTGTGATTGTGCACAGGCATCGTCGCTGCGGCTGGGTTGACCACTGGCATGTTGGGCACCATTTGTGTGTTGTTGTTACCGCCCCACAATTCGAACTCCAACGCATCAAGATCGAAGTAGTTCCCCATGTATAGGTCGAACTGTGAGCTCTCAACCCCGTTGTAATTCATTGCCCCTCTGTCGCCGTGGCCGTTGTGACGGTTGCCGCCACCAGTGACGAAGTTGAACATCTCGTTATTAGGCGTCTTGCCCGTTTCGCTCTTGACGCTCGAATCGTCCGGCCCTGGCATTGTCATCCGCAGCTTCTGCACACAGTACGGGACTTCTGGCGGGTGGCCCGTTTGTGCGCGGAGAAATTCCTCCCGCCTTCGCCAGGCCTTGAACAAGAAGTAAGCGAGCTGGTGATATACCCTCTGAGTTGTGTCGTAGAATTCGGGATAGTACTTGTAGACTTCCTCGACGATCTCCCACGCATGGTCCACCAGGCGCCCACTTGTGCGGTGACCCAGCTGGCCCACGAGGTATGCGAAAATGTCGAGCTGGAAATGCAAGCGGTGGAACCAGTCCCAGGCCGGATAGTTGGCGACCTTGTGTTGTTCAACAGCGTGACTCGTTTGGTCAACGGCGACCCTGAAGGTGTTGCTGCTTTGATCTGGGACCTCGCCATTTGCGTCGCGGCTCTCTGCAGGGGTTTGGAGCAGCGGGACAAGCTTGCTCATTAGGTGGTCGCCGATTTGGCGGGCCAGTTTGTGAAGATCGCCCGCGGTCGGTGACGAGTACTTTTGGAAGAGGTTTTCGAAATCCTCTTTTAGACCCCGAACAATAGTACGATATTGCTCAATTTTCTCGCTCTGCAAGGCCGTCTTGCACTCGAGCTCGTCCATTATCAGGATCGCCTCCATATCGGGTGCCTGGATCAAGTTCTTGGCGATCTTGAAGACTGCAAGGACGAGGATCATGTCTGTGGGGCCTTCCTGGTCCTGGATTGGTTCCGTGGCAGTGGGCAACAGATCGACATCTGAGATGTTCCTGGGCTCCCTGGTGTCCCACCCACGGGGAAGGAGGGTATGGCTGAGGCCTGATAGCACGGCGTACTTGGAATCGAGCATGATGATCTGCCACCACAAACGTCGCCTCATCTCCGTCTCGAAGGGTTTAAGGCCCAGCATTTCACCGTCACGGTGCAACCCCATCTTCTGGGCGATACGGATGACGACTCCGTTAAGGATCCAGGATGCGTGGCGATTGTACCTGCCTTGCAAGGAAATCTACTTCTGTTAGTCGAGAAGGTGCAGGTGCTGGAACAAAGCGCAGGTAGTGTCCTTACCAAATAAATGACTAGAGCCTGGAGAGTGGTCAGGTCGTGGGTCTTGAGGAAGCCCAGCCGGGTCATGCATGAGCGGAGGCCCGCGCTGAACCTGGCCAAGGCCTTATCCTTGGGCATGCCGAGGACTTCATCGCTCTCCTCCTTGGTCATGGACACAACTGCCAGCGTGTATATGGCGAACAGCAGAGCCTCGACACTCTTGGGCAAGTTTGGAGTACTGCCTGTCGCATCTAGTATATAAGGTTGGACGGTAGGGACGTGGATGATCTTGGTCAGGGGGTTGCAACGGTCGAGATATATCTGCCAGAGCCGTACTATTTGTCCTGGAGATGGAGTCAGGTCTTCGGAGTTGGTCGACGGCGTCTCGGCGCCAAAGATCAATTCGGAGTTGTCGTCGGGAGAGTTTGAGTAGTCGTCGAACGGAGCCGGGGACTCGTCGCATTGTAACTCCTCGTCGACCAGTTTCCGCATAGACCTCAGCTAAGCAAAAAGATGCCTCTCAGCACGGGAGACTTGGGCTCACGGCAGGGCAGGGGTGCACATACCTCATCGTATACGGTCCCTAGGACCCGGGACTCCATGAAGCGCAGGTTGCCATCCTCCTCGATCAGGTGGCCCGCGGGCGGCTTCCATTTCGCAGCGGATTCCTTCAGCTCAGCCGGGCGGTCGAGCTTGGCACGTTTTGGAGAAGGAGAGCTGGCGGGTGAGGGTGATGGGGGTTTGGCAGAGGCATACTCTTTCAAGAGCTCCTCACACCGCGCCAGGCGCTCCTGAAGATCCTGATTCGGCCTCCTTCGTTTCCGCGCCGGAGCCGGAGTACTAGGAGTGCATGTGACATTCGCCTATATAGAGGAGACGCGAAAATGTCAGCACCCACTCAGAACAAGTTGTGGTCGGGTTTGCCGGATTGACCGGGTTGGTGTGCCTATAGGCCTGTATGTATGCTTGCGAGGGCCTGCCTACCTTTACACAGTTGGCGCAGGGGAAATTCCTGTCGCACTTGATCTTACGGTGCTGGCAGAGCACACAGGCGAGGATGCGCGGAGGTTTCTGAGGGACATTGGCATTGTGGGCTGTGCCTGTTCCTGTGTTCGTGCTTGTGCCTTGTGCAGAGAAGGACACAGAGGCTGCGGTGGACGCAGCGGGTGAGGAGGTGGTCGAGGTGGCAGCCGTGACCCCTGTTCGCGAGGCCATCTCTCCCCGTCTCAGGGCCGAGCCTGGTCACTGCGAATTGTTGGTGAGGTGAGACTGGTGGGTGAGTGAATGCGAATGCGATGGCCGTGTTCGCCAGAGACGGTGGATGAAGTATACAAATCGAGTTAAGTTGAGTTGAGCTGGGCTGGGTTGAGCTGGGCTGAGCTGAGTGCAACAAGCAGACGATGTAATAATAAGTGGATGGGCACTTGGGAAGGTAGGTCACAGGTGTTGCTGGGTCTGAAAGACTGAGTGCGGGACGGGCTGAGGCAGGAGGCTGCTGCGCTTCTGGGGCCTGGGCAAAGGATGTGTGTCATCAGGGTGTGTCCCCCCGGGGGAAAAAGCCTTAAAGGTGATATGGGGCACAAGGCCGAAAGAAAACCCAAGCACGGTGACTGGATGGGGGCGTGAGATGGGGGCGGTGGAGGTCCTTGAAGTCTAAATGTAACAATGTAGCGAGCAAGATCCATCTTAGTCCATCGAAACCAACGGAAAGGAGAGGGGGTTCCCGGGGACTTTTTTGAGTTTGGCAAGTGTGCCCAGCACAGGATCGGAGTTGGATTGCACCTGCTGCGGCTTTTCTCTTTTCTCTAATAAGCTGCCAGTGCCAGTGCCAGTGCCAGTGTATTACTACCTGGGTACCTACCTACCTGGCACTATTCTTCTGTGTCCCTCTGACTAGCACTTTCTAGCCTGCCAAGATCGGCCTTCCTCGCAAGTCCTTATTATTAGTTGTATCCTACCGCAGGACTCCGTACATCACCGTATGCGACTCCTTGTAGGGGCGGCTGGACCGCCATGGCGGGATCAGGGTCGATCGGAGCTTACCAATCCCGGTTGGCACGAGGCTCTGGAACAGCGGCCTTTGTCCGTTTCTGTTTGCTTGCGTGCTTGCCCGCCCGCCGTGCTTCGTACTGGAGGTGCCTACCCACCAGCCCACCAGCCTACCTGGCAGAGCACGAGTCTCGGTGTGTTACTACAAGCAGGGAAGGAGCTGCTTGCTGTCGGTGGGCGTCCCCCCACCTCCAGCCCAGCCAAGCCCAGCCCAAGCACAAGCCCAAGCCGTTGCCCACTGTCCCGTATTTGCTCCATTGTCGTTGGCCCATCCTCACCAGTTCTGGCTCATTTCTCATCTCAATGCTGCCGCAGCCAGCCCACACGCCCAAAATACCCATGTTATCCTATTCGCCATAATGCTCTTGGCCAAGAACCAGCAGGGAGCCTCTCAGCCTCTCTACAGGCGCAACTGTCATGTGCAATGGATGATATTGATCAACCACAAAAACAGCAGCAGCAGCAGTCGTCCCCTCGTCCGCGCCACTTGGAAACACGATGGGCCATTGGCGCATGCGTAACAGTAGCATCTGGTGCTCCCCACCGCGTGGCGCCTGTGCACGCACCTTCAAACAGCCCACTTCTCCCCCAGTTCACACAGTTCATCCAGGTTATGCAGGACATCCTGACATCCAGGACATTGTCGACGTCGAGACACCCAACGTGCCAAGTCTGGAGCCCCTTGCGGCGCCGCCGTGCTGTCGAACACGTCCTCGCCAGGCACTGTTCATCCAGCACACCAAGCACCCACCACCTATCTACGCTATCCGCAGCCCAGCAATGATTAGCTGAAAAGCCTGTGGCTCCATCCCGCCTGGCCGATAATACCCATGACTCGGCCTTGTCAAACTTAGAAAAGTGGTTTTGCACTCCCCTTGCGCGCGCCCGCCGCCGCACAGCTTCCGGGGGGGCTTGATTTGGGGAGGGTGGGTGGATATCTCCCCGTCTCAATTCTCGACTCTCGACCCTCGACCCGCAACCTGCCTGCCTCACGCATGCTCATTGTGAATGTGCATTGTTGGGATCGGGGTGCGGATTTATCAGCAGGGTGACCTGCTCCGGCCGAACCAGACGGCCGAACTCGGGCGAAGACAATGGGCCACTCAGACGCCACGAAGTCAGAATACTACCGTCGTCGCATGCGCGCGCCCGCAGCTTAGACTACTAGGTCTACGGAGTACATAGTAGGTGTGTCGCGCGGCCATTGGTATCTATTGGATCTGGCCATGGCCAGAAGAGGCAGATCCATGCCGGCAAATCCCAGCGTCGCGGCCTGCGCCGACTTGTACGTGGGCCGTTCCCACATCAAGCTGCAGCCTGCAGGGCTTTTGCGCCATAGATGGTAATCTGTACCTGTTCCTCACCAACGGCCCGGCACGGGATCCGGAGTCATGTCACCACTGTAATCCGACCGCCAGCCTCAGCCACCGCCAAACATGCCCTGTTGATGAAGCCGTGCTCCTGTGCAGCAATTAATCACAGGTGCTGGTCCAGCAACTGGAAGTGGTAATCCATCCCAGTGCTTGTTGCGACCCGCACGCCATCCCGTCGTGTCTTCTTGATATTACAAGAAAAAGGGTTGAGGAAACAAATGTGCATGGGTCGACTGGAGGTGGGCCGGGGAGCCGGCTCACGCGCTTCCTTGTCGTCCCAACCCCTGCCCCACGCGTAGAATTACGGGGTACCCAGGTGTTTATATGCATTGTCTGGCCTCTCGAGGAGTCAAGATCCCGGAGGGGTCTCGGCGTTGCTTCGTCTCACGATATAGGTGCTTGAGCCTGCCTGGGCTGAACCTTCCCCCTTCACGCGCACTGCTGTTCCCCATACTCCATGCTGCATATACATGTGGACAACGTGGGCGAACCCAACCGCCAATAGATCGGAAATTCCCGCGGGAATTCCGTATGAAGGTGGTCGATTCTGGTCGGGGCATGGGCCAACAGATCGTCATTGCGAATTACCCGCGTGGGATTACATGGACAAAATGTCGATGCACGTTTTGACAGATCGGTGTCATCGGAAGGTTATCCCCACCCAGGTTGTACCATGTGGTTATCAGCTCCTCATGGCTTCTCATCGGCGGCCGATGACGACGACAACATTCACTGGTGCCATGATTCCCACGGTATCCGAAAAAAATTATGCGTTCCTGTCGGATGACCATGACCCGGAGGGAGCCAGTTCCTAACTGCTTACCAAAGCTTCGGCGCCCAAGTCATGAACTCAAGCAGCCACGAGCCGCAGCTGTCAGCTGCAAATAAGCTTCATTATGAGCCAAAAATGGACGAGTCGATGTTAATTAACACTTGACAGATGACCCCTGCGTGACATCGCCTGCCAATTTCCTTGGGTCTTGAGTCTTGACACCCTGACACGACACCTCAACCCATATTCCTGCACTAGACGCGTCCAGGCCCAACAACTTTTAGGTAAAGGAGAACTTGAAGGACCATCAAGTGAAGAAAACCAGGGCTGACGGGCCACAGCTGGCCATGCACACAACTCGCGTGTGCCCCGGAATCGGCCAAGCGGCCCTGGAAGTGAAGACTAACTTGGCAACCGCGGTGTCATTTCTATGAAAGGCTATCTATCCCATATCGTCTAGCCGCGGCTCTTGTTCTAGTGGGCGAGCTAGGCTCTTCGCGCCGAGAGCGAGCCTTGCTGCACCATGGCGTCACCTCTCCTCGAACGCACGCGGGCTCAAGTGATGCCGCGGATAGCAGGGAATCAAGTGGGAGGAAGGTCCCGGACTTGGCATGCGGTCAGGGACGGGTGAAGACATATCAAGGGATTCGCATCGAAGAGGAGGGAGAGTTCTTCAACGGCGCGCGACTGGCTGAAGTCACCGGCACAAAGAGACGAATGGGGGATCCGTCGCCATGGGGGCAGAGATCATTGTCTCACAGAAGAGACAGACAGCTCGCCTTGGACAATACATGAGAACAGGAGTGGGGGCGCAAGCGTTCCTCGTCGGGGCCTCTGAACGGCTGTCTGCGACTCCCGACAAGCCATGGCTTCGGGTATACATACTCGCTCCAAGAGAATATCCTGTCGCACAGCTGTCTTTAGTATATCTCTCTCCTGGGGGACACCTCCCGTGGAATAACCTTATATCCTATGATTTCTCACGGGACAACCTACAGCGGGATCATATTCTACTGGACAACCTCCTCTGAGGAGGAAACCCTAATCACTCACAGTGCGGTTTGATCATAATTAAGCATAACAACATGCAACTCCGCGCGAGGCAAGAGGCTCAACGTCCGAATCACCAAGCTCCTCGTGAGTTTGTGGCCGGCTTGAGGCATTTGGGGCCGAGCACAGAGGGGACAACCTCTCGACAGCCCACTCACTGCCAACTGACACGGGTATCCAGCCAGCCGGCCGGCCGAACGGCTCCAGGCCGTCGGGCCGGACTCGGCGCCGACGCTCACGCAAACCCACCGCTTCGTTACCAAGGAGAAGGAGCGATTCAGGTGCTGTCGAGCACCGCAAGGTTCATAGCACGTGAGCGAATCACGGTGTGGTGCCTGGCCAGGATAGTATAGTATCCGTCTGTATGTATGTATGCATGTAAAGTAAGAGGAAAATACGGCGGAAGCTGAATATCTAAACCTAAGCCAGGCACATGCATCCGTATTGGCCCCACCCACCCACGTCCAGCACTACAGCACCTCTCCAACCTCCAACCCAGACATTTTCATACACGTCCGCTCGGCTGCTCACGCAGCCGGATGCACGAAGTAACCTCTCTCCCCCAGGTATATGTATGGTACAGTATGCAGTATGTAGGAGATCTCTCCTCAGGAGTAAATCCACCGTGCCGCAACGAGCCCGCAGAACGATCACGATCACGATCACGAGCACGAACTCGCACAGGTAGGCGCAGTGTTTACCATCTGCTATCCGCGTGTACTGTAGTCACGCCGAACAAATCGAGATGATGCGCTCATCACCGTATAAATGTTAAATGTTCGTCTGATTGGCCGGCCGTCTGTCTATGTGCGCCAAGGGGCTGCCCGGGGACATTTCGGCCCAGGACGGAACAACAGCCATCTGAGCGATATGCAGAGCTGTCCAAACCCGTCGTTGCCAGAAAAAAGACCCTCTTTTGTATGGTGAGCCCAAAGCCGTCTTGCGGTCACGTATGCAAAAGCCTAACCCCAATCCCGTCCCGGAACAGAAACCGCCTTTTCCCAAGCAAGTACCCTCCTTCCGCCGCCCAGCCAGCCAGCTTTCTGCCCTTTTCCCTTCCCACCCGTGGTGTTGATAGGTCACTATAGCTCTCCTGGTATCAAAATGCAATGCTGTGCCTCTCACGTGATACTTCCTTCGAGAGACGTACCCCCCGTCAATGATGTGTCTGTCGCATGCCAAAAGCGCGACTCCCTGTTGGTAAATGTAGCTGCTTCCCGAAGCAAAATCTGAAAAACACAATCCCGACCCCTTCCTTGAACGCCTGGCGAGCTCGCTTTTTTCTGTTTTTCCAATTACATGACTATGCATTCCCGATCGGGGACTTGGCCCTTGCCCTTGGACTTCTCCGCGTCCTTGTCACTTCCCCGAGTCTTTGTTTTTGTTCCCGCCTTCTTGTGGTGATGATGAGAGGAATGATGATCTTTTTCTTTCTTGCCGAACTCGCCGCCGTCGGTCGAAAGGCGCTCGGGTGCGGTGATGGCAATTGGTGTCTCTTCACCGTCTTCGAGCCTGTCTGCCGCTTCACGCAGCGTATCCTTGCTCTTCTTATTGAACGTGAGGCGAGACATGCTTATGCTGATGCGATTCTCACCAGCCTGGCTGGTTGGTCTGCTCCTGCTCTTGGTGAATTTGGCGGCGGCTCTCGATAATCTCTGCGCAGTGGTTTCTTCATTTGGCGTGACGGCTGGGGAGGGTCCCATTTCTGGTGTGCTAGCTTGAGCGTGGCCGATCGGTTCTGAGAAGGCCACGCTGCCACGCCGGGAGGCATTGGGGCTGAGCAGACCAGAAGATTGCTGGCCATCATCCTCAACGCTGAGACTTATCCGTGGAGGCCGGTCTAGTTCTGAAGAAAATCGAATGCTGGGGCCCGTTGAGCTCAGAAGTGGGGAGTCAAAGTAGCCGCTAGCTGGTCTTGAAAGCCCGGCTTTGTCGACATCAAGGCCAGGTGTCGTCATTCCATTCGTTGTGACGTTTAGGGCAGAATCATTGTATGATGGCGGTTCGGTCTCGGATCCTGCAGTAGAGGCGGCTGTTACGTCGCACATGGGCACTATTTGGTAAAATAAGAGATAAGGCATCTCCTGCTTCAGAGATTCCTTGATATCGTCGACATAGGTCACCCTGTTTTCGAGCGCCAGGTCATCGAACTTGACCCACTGGGCATCTTCGTAGTCCGGCGGAGGGTCGTTGTCATGGCGGCGGTTGTCCGTCAGGAGCTTGGGGTTGACCCTCGCAAACGAGATGTAGTGCCCGCTATGGACCGAGTCGCCTCGGTGGCACACGATGGACTGGAGTTCCAATTTGTAGTCCTGGCTCAGGAGGCTGTCTTCCTCCACTTTGGCCTCGTCGACCATCATGAAATGAGGGAGCCTCAGACTGTCGGGGATGTCGATGAAGGTATTCTGCCTCTTGGCCAGCCCGTCCTCGGTGTACATATATCTCTTCAGACATATGCCCACCACCGGGCGTTGATTGAAATGCATCATGATATCGGTGTTGGTCCTGGGTTCGGCGTTCTCGACGGCGTGCCAAGCTGGAAAGGATATTTAGCACAATTCGCAGAACATGAGGGGTATTTTCAAGACCTACGTATCAGTCGGAAAAACTGCCACGCTGGGATCGTGACTGCCTTTACGACCGTGGCGCCTTTTCGCTTTGCCTTCTGTAGCAGACTCGCAGCCTCTGAGTCCGTTGGCTTGCCCTCATCGTCCAGGACAATCCGCTGGATTATGCTGGTCGATCTGGTGCGAGCAGACGGGCGTGTTACGTCTGGGTTGGAGGCAGAGGCTTTCGATGGCGGCGAGTCGACGCTAGTCCACCGTCGCTGTAAGGGCGTCATGTCGACTTTATCTGATGATTCCTTTTCAGCATCTGCCTCAGCATCCGCCTCAGCATCCCCAGCACCATCACTGGCACCAAGCCTGGGCCCAGCACTGGTGCTCCCAGCACCAGCATCATGGCCAGTCTCGTCGGGCTCCGGGACCTCTGTCACAATCCTTATTGTGCTCTTCGGTGTGAGAGCAGGCCTGTCTTGCCCCGCTTTCTCTTCAATGCCGTCGCGCGAGACATCGACCTTGGTGTTAAAGTACTCTTCGAGGCAGTCCTCCAGCTTGACGCCTTTTCCTTCTGGGTCAGCGGGGACAGCCAGATTCAACAGGCGCTCATAGACGACCTTGTGGTCGTCATCGTCTCTTTTGCCCTGGTGAAAGAGGTCCACCTGCAGTGGCAGGAGGGGCAGCTGCAGGGTCTCTGTAATGAATGCGAAAGCCTCGGATGTGTCTTGTTGTTCCAGCAACATTGCATCTTTCCAACCACAGGCAGCCAGCGCGTTCTGTATTAATTGAGTCTGCCCCTTTCGTCAGCACGAGTCCGAACGGTGGCGGAGTCTCAGGTGAGCTGGGACCTACCATGTCTGTGTGTATGAGCTTCCCACTCCTCAACATGTTTACCCACAGGCGGATCAAAGCTGCCAGGTCGCGCTGTGGTTCGTTTTCAGGGTCGTTCTTGAGCATGCACTCGAAGGCTTCCAGCTTTGCAAACATGGCAAAGAGCAGCGCGTCCAGGTAGCAGGTGACGTTGCCGCGGTTCTCAGCACCGAGCATTTGCACGTTGGGGTTGTAAGAGAGTATGGTGCCAGAGATGGACTTCTGATGGAGGACCAGCAATTCCATAGCCTTTTCGACGTTGCCGGCCGCATAATTACTCCTGAGTATGAAGCGGAGGTAGTCCTGGGAGATGTCGTGCAGGTCATCGAGGGCCTCGACTCGCTTCGAAAGTTCATCGATCTGAACCCATTGAACATGGTTAGCGCAGGCCCTGGCATTCGGTGTGGACAGCCCGCGAGGCGAACAACCAACCTTCGCGGCTTCTTTCTCCTTGTCTTTCTCCTTGTGCTCATCGTCATTTCCATTCTGTGAGGCTGAGCCGCCCTTGAACATAGATAAGAGTGCATCTGTGGATAGGGGACGGGACTGCAGAGGTGGGGATAATCAGCGCAAGTCGGCGTTCCACAGAGGGGGCAGACGAGACGAACCTTGTGGCCGTCGGAAGACTTGTTGTGGCGATGGTTGCCATTCTTGTCCCGGAGGGTGAGTAGCCTTTTTGGTATGCTGGCCTTCATCTTGTCCGACGTGTACTCGGGGGCTGTTGGGGTCGCAGGGTCTGGTTGCAGCGCAGGGTCGATTTGGGCGGAGGACGAGGAGGGGTTGACCAGAAGCCCAATGGCTCGAGGCTATCTAGCGATGAGCAACTGGCACATGTCTTCGCGGAAAGGAGGCAGTGGGCAGGGTCGTGGGTGAGCTGAGTGCCGAGCAGCAAGGCGGCAGCGGAGAAGCAGACGAGGAATCGAGGCACCGTGGGCCGTGGCGTTGGTTGTTGAAGGAGGAGGTCGAGCGAAGCGGCGGCGACAGAGTGGCCAGCCTCAGCTGTGGAGGTTGAATTATTGAGATTACCTAGGCGGAGCACAGAGGCGGGATGTACCAAAGTATAGTGGAATAGGACTTGATCCTTGCCCCTCAGGGTGGATGGCGGGGGGGATTGGGGGTTGGCTGAGTGGGTTCTGGGACTCTGGGACAATGCGTCTGGAGCAGGGCCAAGAGTCGAACTGTTGCAGGTGCCCGGGGCAGGTGAAACCCAGTCCCTGCGGGAGGTGGGTAGGCTGGTAGGTAGGAGCGAGGAATAAACTTTGAAGGGTACTTGCAAAGTGCGCGAAAATAGAACGTCGGTCGGCAGATTGTTGAAGGGTCCTTCTTGTTCTCCCTCTCACACACTCTCTCTTGGGAACTGCTGTGGCCGCTCACCTCGGTGTTATTAATGATATCGATATCGTACTACGCCACACTGCAGACTAGGTGACAAACCAACACGATAGTCATAAAGTGGGCAGTTCTGCCGGGTCGAGTCACGAGGTTGTTTGGTCATGGCCACCGGGCTTGGTGGTGGCAGGAGAATGGAGCCTTGAGGGGTATGACGACGCTCCATACTCCGTAATCCATAATCCTCCAGCCTTCCGGGCCTCACCAACAACGGCCAGGCGTCGGATCCTCGGGCCCTTCCTTGAGCAAAGCACTGAGGAGCAGCCGGCCAACCGCCAGTTATTTTCGTAGGCGACCCATCCTTAGGCAGATACATTGTCTGGGGCAAGCGTGAGGCTAGCACGGCGCGGGATGACGGGTGTTGGTTGATTGACAGGTCACCTATCTTCAAGTACCTTAAGGCGCCTATTTGGGGTTGCGGGGACAGAGACGTCACCTACATACGACTATCTAGGTATACCCAGTTGGGCGACACGTACACGGTCCCCAATGCCCAGGCTGCCAGTGCTCGACCGGGCCAGCAGCACACCCCGTGCCCCGTGCCCCGTACACAGTACCAGCATCTCGGGTGGTGTGCCTGGCCTGAAGTCCGAGTGCGTCACCGGCCAAGCCAAAACATGGTGTAGTGGAATAATGCTAATAAGCACACTACAAATCGACTATTCAGCCCATTGTATGCACAACATCCCGGAGTCAGCGAAGGTTCTGGCAGAACGGGCAGATCATGGTAACCTCAGTACCAGTGGCCCGGGTCAGCAGCTGGCAGCCCACCCAATGACCAACCAAGGTGACAGCCTACAGCCCTCGGCTTCGATGCGTCGCATTAGGCCACGCCTGTGATCGCCACGCCTGCCCACCAACCACGTCCCAGCTCAGCCCCTCCACCCACCCACCTTACCGCAGGGTGGCCTAACAGGGCCGGCCAGGTCTTCCAGAAGATTGCTGTTGGCTGACTGGGCAACTGGGGTGCTGTGTTTCAGGCGGGGGGAGGGGTGCAGCTTGCAGCTCCCTGCTCCCCAGCTCCAGAAAGGCCCGGCGCAGGCAGGTGCAGGTGCAGGTGCGGGCCCGTGGGCCTCGCAGATCTACCTAGGTACTCCGTAGTGTACCTACCGGGCGGGGTCCCCCAGTCCTGAGCGAGCTTCAAAGAGCTCTATCATGCATCAAACTTATCGAGCTTCACTTCCGTTCTCAGTTAGGGCCCATATCACTTGCTTACACGTTACCATCTCAAATCCATTTTCGCCCGATCATTGAGATTCCGTTCGAATTCCCACTAGACAGGGAACGAGAAGTTGGTGCCCGGGTGGTTTGAAAGGCCTACCGTGCCACGCCTGCCTTCCCCCCTCGAGCACCACAACACCACGATGGAGCAAACCGCCCCTCCCGTGGACATCCACGCCCCCTTCACGCGCGCTGAGCGCATGCAGCAACTCGCTGACATTGACCGTGTAAGCCAAGAAAGGCTGCCTGGGCGACCGGACGGCCCAGCGCCCCGCCCAGCCACGTGTTCAGACTCAATATTTCCTAACATGTGCCACAGGACATCGCCTCGCTCCTGGACCTGACCGGGACGGCCATACAGAGCCTGGGGAGACAGAGCTTACCACCGGCGCCTGCCACCAATAGCACAGGCACGGGTGCCGGCGCCGGCGCCCCCGATCAGCAACAGCACGAGGCGCAGTCCCAGTCGCAGCCCCAGCCCTCGGCCGCAGAGCAGACGCGCCAGTTCGAGGAGGCCATGAACAAGTTCCTCTCCACGCTGCACTCGGTCGACGCCCGCCTGAAGCGCCAGATCCTGGGCCTCGACGAGGCGGGCATCATCAGCCTGCCCAGCAACAAGGACGCCGCCGCAGCCAAGGACGGCAAGGCCAAGGACAGCGAGGACGGCGCGGGCGGGGCGTCCGCAGCCGGCCCGGCCCCCAAGCCCGCCCTCGAGCCCGACGGCGTCGGCAAGGTCGGCGACCTCGACGTCGGCTGGCTCAATAGTAGGAGCAACCAGGTCGAGCGGGAGATGGAGGCCGAGCTGTGGACCAAAGCGAGGAGGCACCTCGAGACGCTTTCTGGGGGCGCGGGCGCCGCGGGTGACCTGGACGGCGATGCTAGCATGACGGGGTAGATGTTGAGGCTCTTGAACCCAGTCCCCCTTTTTAAACTTTTTATTCTCTTTCGCCGCGAGCATGTTTCGGGGTGTGGCGCAATGGGTCCCTTAGAGGAGTTGGGCCTAGATTACGGATTGCCTTTCAGATACCCCTTACCACCTCACGACTTCAATTTCACTGGGAGAGAACAGAACTCTCAACACATTACCACAGCGACAGCAAGAATTTATCAAAAGTGGCCGCTCTCAAAATAGTCATTCTGTTCCGGTATTCGCCAATCGAAAGCCTGCCAACCCCTAACGCCTACGACATACGATCAAAACCCCGTTGCAATCACTGCAGCATAACCGGAGGTCAGGCTACATGCAACGTAGCCTCCCCCCCTGAAATATCCTCAATCCTAAAATATGCTTCATCCGATAAGGCAGTGGCACACGGTGTCCGAACTGCGAAAAGAGGACCCCAGCCACACAGCTTATTCCAGCCCCCGTTGGCCATGTTCTCGGTGGAGTCAGTGAAAGAAGAGTCGTCGAGGCTTTTGTTGAGATTTATCAGCTGCCCTGCTCCCAACACAGATTTCTTCTCCCCCCCCCCCCCAAAAGGATTTCACTCACAGCGTGTCGAAGCCCAAGCACTCAAACCGCTCCGACGAGGAGTTCACCTGGACGAACCGCCCAAAGAACGACACGCACCCGGGCGTCCCGTTACACGTGTACTGGCACTTGAAGGAGCCGTACGCGCTCGGGCCGTCCCCATGCACCATGTACAGGCTCTACGGCAGCTGTTAGCACAGCGACAATTGCTCTCGGTGAGTGGGGACGATCCGGTGAGGAGGGCAGGAGGAAGGGGGGCGGTTGGAAATCGGAGGTGCCAGATGGAGCTCACCATTGAACTGCCAACGGAGTGGTCTCTGGTGAAGGCAGGGTCGATATCGTAGAAGCGGTTGCCATCCGGGTCTCCCACGGCGGCGTAATCCATGTCGTACCCCGACGGGCTCGCGTGGGAGCCGGAGACGCAGGTCGGAGTCGACTGGCGCCCTGTGACCTGATCGGGCTCGATGACACCCGCGGCGGCCATGACAGCCGCCGACAGGGTCCCGAGGAGAATGCCAAGAGACCTTGTCATGGTGTTTGTGGTTCAGAACTGCTGTGATATCTCACACTGGGGTTGTGGTTTTGAAGACGTCGAGTAGACAAGATGCGCTGGTATTCTGGGCTTCTCTTCTGAAAAATGGTCTTCGGAAGTCCAAGGAGTCAGACCAAAGCCTGAAATAACCGGCAAGAAACAATCTGAAGTCCAGCACAGTGAATCACGTCTCCCTCAGGCGAGGAGGAAACTGGGTTGTTCAGCCCTGCGAAGCGATCTCAGTCACTTGGCGATGTGTTTCCTCGGCGAATTTTTGACAGCCCATTTGGCCCGTACTTAATCAAGCGCACATCATTTATTTGTCCATAATAGGAAGGGAATCGAACAGTTACATATCATCTAACCCCCCCTCGCCCGTCCGCTGGCGCAAAACGACATTGCCGTCAGGGGCACCATCCATCCACCCAAGCCGGGATTGGTGGTGCTGAGTTCCCTACCTCAAATAAATGACATGTGCACCAACTGTTCTTCTCATATACCGCTACTGGTGGAGGTCGCCGGATATTTGAGGAAGAACAACATAGCCCGGCCTCTCACAGACGGGGAACGCAAATGCTAGGGCGGGGATCCATGCTGAGCGGTAAGTAGGGGTTGGCCGGTTGTCAGTGGTCTGGGACAAGGGGCGTCGTTGCTGAAATACGTGCCGTTGCACCCTTTGTATATTGCTCATGCAGAGGGCTTGGTGGTTCTTCACACCGGATGGGCGAGGGTGATGTACAGTAGCTGCCGGCTGAATTCTCATGTAACAGTAGCAGCCAGGGGAGCCCTCATTGAGCAGTCCAGAACACCGTGCCGTTCTGGTTCATTAAACACACATCACGACGTTGTCGAATGACGTTGGACTGGCAGGAAGGAGTGCCGGGTTCCATGTCATAATTACTCGAGCGGCCGCTGGCTGCCTGCGACCATATATCTCAGGGGTAAAAAGGAAGAAAAGAAGGTTGATCCTTAAGTCGTCATCTGGAACGCCATCTTCCCCGCCCCCGCCGACAACTTACGTTCCTGGGTGTTTGTTTCTGCGAATAAATAGGAATACATATTAGCTACAAATCCATCCCCAAAGATGTGTTCACCAGTATCCCTCTGTCAAATACACCATCACTCGGCTGGCATTCATTTGATGCATAGGGATGAAGATGCAAGACGTGAACGATATTCCCCCAAGAGCCATCCGTTTTATTTTTCTGTTCAGTCTCTGGGTGCATGAAGAAGGAAAATGCTACGCCGTCCTCTCATAAGACCTAATGATCGAGCACGGACAATCTGTGTAGCCTGCAGCGGAGTTACTGCTCGTTGAGGTGCCAGGAGAATGGCTCGGTCCCAAGGCCGCCGAGTGTCTCAGAATACTGTGTGGATGAAAGACTGCGGATAATTTATCACTTTCATGGTGAGCTCAGTGGGTAGCACCGGCACGTCAGCGCAAGCGGGTTAAGACGTCTCTCATGTATCACCACAGTGTGTATGTTTGGTCCGAGCAAACAAGCAAGCGATGAACTTCCATGGCTACGCAAATATTACTCATTCCTAGGTCCTAATTTACTACCACTACTACCACTAGTAAACCACAACACGCACGTAAACACTGGTGCAAGCCAAAGAATGCAATTTGTGATATGGCCAGAACGCCTGCGGATGCTCCCCCATGTTCGATGCAGCGACAATCCCCAGACTCGGCAGGTTCGTGAGAACCCACCCACACTAAAGAAAAGCCAGAATCAACAACATGCTCAGCACAGCATAGCACAGCCCAGTCTTGTTACTTTGATGAACCAATCCCCTCCCGTCTCTGCATCCGACTCCGCTCAGACCTTGAAGCTCTTGCTGCCCTCCACGAGCCCGGCGGCGAACTTGGTTATCACCGCCCAGGAAGGCGCGTACTGTATGGCCTCGTCGAGAGCAGGGATGGTTCCTGGCGTGTTGAGGTCGCTCCAGATGCACGTGATGTTTCCATCCAGGCCGGCTGTGCTCCGCTTCAGCTCGTCGGGCGCCGCGACGAGCACTTCTTTGTCTCCGTCCTCGTGGTGAGTCTGATGCGTCTCTGCGGCCGACTCATCCCACTCCACATTCACCTCCCATGTTTTGTTCCAGTCCCGCCTCCACAAGTTGATCAGCGCGATGCCGCCCTCGGGTATAGTCCCAAACCGGTTGTCCCAGTCTGCGCCGCCCGCAACGACGAAATTCTTAATTGGGCGCTCAAACTTGAGGAAGCATGACTTGGTGTTCTTTGCGTTGATTGTAAACTTTGCTTGCCCAGGGCCGGTACGTGACACGTCGAGGTCCACGAGCTTCGCGTAGCCCAGCTGTGGAGGGACGCCATTTGGAAGGGTGTTGGCGACGTTCGGCGCAACGTCTTTTCCGTCATACAAGCAATCCGAGACATCCGCCCTGACCGTCGACTTACGACAGGTCACGTCCTTCCCTGAGGCAGAAGGGAGATCCGAGATAATAAGACGCAAGTATTCTTCTACGCCGCCAAGCCTGACGGTAGATTCTCCAGTATCGAGGTTGACGGTCTGTTGCCAGAAGGCCTTGTATTTGTTGTCCGCCGAGAATGGGAAGGCGACAAGATTGTAGATTAGTGTCGCGATGAATACGCAAAGTAGAACAAGAGGGATGTGATACGTGAGGCGATGGAAGAAAGGCATGAGAGGGAGCATCAGTAGTATCGTGGAGATCGCAACGAGCAGGTACGGGAACACGGCAGCCGAGCCTTCGATGCCTGTCTGACGGGTAGCATCAACCAGGAACAAACCATTCTGGGCCGTCAAGATGATCATGAACGGGCCGAGAATCAGGAACTGAATAAACCAGGTCCATGATGGGAGATTCTTGGACCAAGGTTGCTCGCCTCCATAGACCTGCTCATTCTCAGGAGTCTTTTTCTTGGTTGCAGAGTCAGTTATGGCTGCAATCGAACGGCGATACCTAGTCGCGAATGTCCTCTGTGAGTCTTCGCCACGGCCGCTTCTCCCAAGAAGGGGTGTGGTCGCATCTGGCGCCTCCCTTCCGGACTCGCGATCAGCAGCCTCGTCGGATGCCATACTGTCGGCTTCGTCAGGACCCGGGGCGATTATAGCATCGGAGCTTGGGACCTGCTCGAGATGGTCGTGGGTCTCGTGTTCTTCCCTGAGCTGCTGGCCGTACGTCTTCATGTTCGGCAGGGCAAAGAGCTCGAGGAGCGAGGTGACTGCCGTCAAGAACAAAGCTGACTGCAGAAACACGAAAGGGTAGCCTGCTGCAATATCGAAACGGTCTTCGAAGACTGTCACTGCCACGAGCACAGCCCATGCCAATGCGAATAGCCAAATATTGACATAGCCCCGATGGAGAGCGCTCGGTCTCGCCACATGTGCGCCTCTCATGATGCACCAAAAGGCAAAATAGCCCAGTGAAACGAACATTGCCCAGCTGAAGCCCAGTCAGCCAAATGAAACACGGCAGTATGGGGAACAACTCACACTGAATATTGGCTGCTGTGAACAATATAAGGATTGAACTTCCGGACAAGGAACGCTGCGCCGAATAGAAGCGCGCCGGAAACGCTGATGGCCAGAGGGAATCGGAAGATGCCTCTGAGACCGCCAATTTTGACTCGTTCGTAATCTCCTGAATCAGGGCTTGGCTGCTCGTAGATGTTCACCCTGTTAGAGAAGAAGTAGTATTTCGCTTTCTTCTGGAGGAGATATGTGAGGAATATGAGAATGAGTGGCGTCGCTATGAGCAGTGTCAAGGACCATGCGAACATGGCTCTCAAGTTGAAGAGCACAAAGCCTTTGCCAAACAGGTCAAACCATACTGCCTTGCTGCCTTTACCGTTAGGCACAACACTGGATGTGTCCTCTGCCACTTCCCCGCTGAAGGTTCTATCTGTGAGGTCTTTCATCGTAGCGATTGATGAAGATAGCATGTGCCAGAGACTGGCTCGGCTCGCATGTCTCGTGTCGTCCTCCTTGGTATGATACCTCGATCGTGGCTTATAGAAGGCCATATCGAGACCTCTCTGGCCGTAAACACCATTGAAAATAACATAATCAGTCTGACTCTTGATTGCTCCCAAGGAGAAACTGTCAGAGCTGATGACAGTGGAGAGTGGTTTTGGCGACTTGGCATAGGCGCCCATGACATCCCTATCCGAGGCACGGAAAAGCGTGGCACGACCACCAGCACCAGCACCCTCGAGGTTCAAGAATGTATGCACAAAAGGCAGCAGTGGGCTGTTTCCAAAAGCCGTAGCCCCGTAGAGGAAGTCCTCCTCTCCATTGTTCAACAGCGCGACGATGCCGTGCTTGGGCTGATGGCCTGGGGTCGTAAAGTGTTTGATCAGCTGAAGGATAGTCACGACGCCCATGCCATCGTCAGTTGCGCCGAACCCGGTAGAGACCCTGAGAGGATATCAGCCAAAGACGATGAGTCCATGAGTGTCGCAGTGAGTCTTACGAGTCGTAATGCGCGTTCACCAAGACCCCTCCTTTCCCGATGGGCAGTTTCAAATGGTTACGTTTTCGCTTCCACCACTCCCCTTCTTCATCGAGAGAGCCACGGATGTAGACGATCACGTTGGTGCCCTCAAAGTAAGCGGCACTGCCAGGCGCGCCCTCTGCGGGCGGGCGAGATCCAGGGAGGGCGCCAAACCGAAAGGTCACATTGGACATCAAGTCATTGAATACGGTCACATTATGACTGGATTCTTCCGATCGGCTGTCTGACAGCTTCAGAGATCTGATCGAGTAGTTTGATCTGGCCGTACTCATGTTAGTTGTGTGGTCCGTGGGTATCTGGAGAGACAGGTCTCACGGTCTCTTGCCGATAGTCTCCTCTGTAACCCAGTCGACATCATTCCCGTCAAGGATCTGCTGGATTCGTAAGAGAAGCCAGTTCCGGACCTCGTCGTTCTTGTGGCTGTTGTACGGGTGGTAGCCCTGGGTCAGACTAGCCAGGTCGTGCCAGCTTTCGGTCAGGTTGATGCCGGCGTAGGGGCTAGGGTTGGATGGTGGTCGTGGCACGGTTTCATTCAGGATGATAATAGGGATGAGGAGAGCGAGATAGACGATAGTGGTCCATATCGTTACCTGGGCGGGACGGAAAGCGAACGGATTCATGGTCGATGCTGTCACAACCTTGGAAGAGCAATTTGCAGCCCCGCAGGAGCTAGCCCTACACAACGACCGAGTGGTGCCGAGTCAACACGGCGATTGTGTCCCGAGAGTGATTCCCTGGGTTCTGGAGAGGGCTTGTCGAGGCACCTAGTTCATGGTGAATTATGGTCACAAGGCAAACGGGACGAGTCGTGGTAACAAAGGGGGCTGGCCAGCAAGAAGTCTAAAACATGCAATTGTGCAATGCAGTGGGGCGAGCCCACCAGAACAATATCCTTTTGGAGTTCACCTGGATGGAAACACACAGGGCGGCAGAAGGCAGTGAGAGGGGCAGGCTGCTAGGTAGCTAATACGATTGCGGCGAGGTTATGATAATCGATAATCGGTTGGACGAGCTCGGATTCCGTTTCGACGGGGACGATTCCTCGGGTCCTGGGGCTGAGATCCGCGCTTGCCCTCAAGACGCGATGTCTGGTTGACGTATGTAGGACGGGGTGGTGCCACCAGCTGCAGCTGCAATCCATGAACTTCCTGATTGCTGGGCAGGTGATGGTGGTGGGTGGTTGGTGGCTGGACTCGTCACCTCGCAGTTGGACCCTACCTGCCCCGCATGAGCTCGAGGTGGCCCAAGCTCCCTCGGCCGAAGGTACTAGTAGCAGCTGCGGTGGCTTCGCGGCCTTCAACTACGGAGTGGAAGCCTAACTAACTCATTCCGCAGCCTGCTCGAGATCACGACCATGTTACGTGATGCACTGGTTCCACAGGTCTACGGTAGGTGATGGGAACATTTCAACCACACTGGGCAAGTCTCACTCGGCGGGCCAGGGACTTCCACACAGATGCCATTAACTACCAAAACATGATTTTTATTGCATTAGTAGAAGCTGCCTATCATACAGTCAGTACCATTGAGGCCCAATTTGTGCCATTCGTTCGGTCAGTCAGTCAGTCTTTATTGCCCTGGAACTACGCGGCCGCGGGATGCCAACGGCATTTCCTGCTGGTGAGCACGACGAGCGAATAAAACTGGAATCCAAGTATCTCGGCCTGGTGTCAGTGGCGGGACGCAAGTCGAAGCTGGCTGCGCTGCTGGTGTGTTCCTCAGGCACCCGGCGGTGGGGGAGGAGGAGGCTGGTTGCTGGGTGGCGGCGGCGGTGCGCCCTCGCTCGGGGGCGGCGGAGGTGGCGGAGGCGCTGCACCTCCAGAGAACTGCTGAATCAACGCCGTGAGGTTATCAGCTGGCGGTGCAGGAGGCGGAGGTGGTGCCCCAAGACCTGGAGGCGCGCCATAGCCGCCTGGATATCCACCGTATGCCGGCGGGGCGCCAGGGGCTTGCTGCCACGGAGCGGTGCCGGGCGGCGCCGACCCACCGTAGCCGCCTTGACCACCAGGAGCTTGGTGCCAGGGCGCTGTGCCTGGGGCTGCCGAGCCATAGCCATTGCTCTGGCCGCCACCATAGTAGCTATCACCACCATGGTGGTCATGGTTCCGCTCACGTCGGTCCCGAGCCCACGGGGCAGGACCGCCCGAGCCTCTCTCGCCACCTCCTCCGCCGCCATCGTGGTGATCACGGTCGTTGTTGCGGGATCGCCAGGGAGCAGGTCCTCCTGTAGGTCCTCGCTGCCACGGCTTGGCATCACCGTTGCTGTGGGAGCCAGGTCCGGCCTCGATACGCGCGGGTGCTGTTCCGCCGCCGAGTTCAGCCATGAATTGCTAGTGATCGTTGTCAGTAACAGTCGTCTGCACCCTTACGAGCGGGCGATAACCTACCTCGTAATCGGCGTCGTCTTCTCCACCTCCGCCGATCCGTCCCTGGGCGGCCCGTGGGCCATCATTGCGCCAGCTTGCGCCTCTCTGCCTGTCAGGACAATCGCGCGCCATGTGGCCAGCGTTGCCACACACTCGACAGATGATGCTGGCTGTGAAGTTCTGCTTCTCAGGGCAGTCATACTTGCGGTGTCCGATCTGACCGCAGTTCTGGCAAGCCTGGTTTTCATCGTCACGCAGGGTTCCGTTCAGAGCAGCGAGCTCACGCAGCTGGTTACGCTTCAGTTCGTTTTGGCCCTCGGGAATGGAAGCAGCCTGTATGTAGGTGTCAGTATTTGCGCGTCAGAATAAGGTGGAGAGGGGACTACTCACGGTTTCGATGACATTGTGGATCAGTTTCTTGGCCTTGTTCACCTTGTCTTCGGTGTCGGCCATGATCAAGCAGTGAAGGTCCTCTTCCTGGTTACTGGCGTGAGCTGCATCGGAGCGACCCTTGCCCTCCTTGACGGAGCCCTTGCCACGAATGGCGATTTTTGCACCCGATTCGGTCTCCATCTTCTTCAAAGTGTTGCCACGAGGGCCGATGAGTAAGCCAACTTAAAACAGGGAGAGCTAAGTGTTAGTATCGTCATCAAGTATGGAGGGCATTTAGAAACACGGTTTCGTTCAGTAGGGCAGGCCTGCGAGGCACCACTGCCGAGGTACGCCACCTGGAGCCACGCCAGGTTGCGGGGAGGGAGAACATGGTTAGAGAGGTTAGAGGGTTAGCAATCATACTGAAGTTGATTTCCGGATAGTCATTGACCGGCACATAGACCTTCTCCTGGGTCTTGGTGGGCCGTCTGTAGTCCTGCGGCGGGTGGTAGTTCGGGATGGTCTTCATCGCCTTCTCGATGAGTTTGTGACGTTCATCCTCCAGGCGCTTTCGGTATCGGTATTCTCTGGTGTTGACACGGCGACCGTGGTTGTCGTATTGCGGAGCAGGGGACGGGGATCTGGAAGCATTTGGTCAGCATCTGAGCAGCACCAACAGCGTCAAGAGGCGGAGCAAGAACTCACCTGTCGCCATCGGCAGGCACGACATCATCGATCTTCAGCTTCTGGCTGATCTCTTCGATTCGCAGGTGGAGGGTGTATGCCTCGAGCTGCTCGCTGGTCATGTTGGCGACGATGGCAGTGGGCAGCCCCATGAGGCCGGCGGCCTTGTTCTCGTTGGCGTCGCCCCATCGGTTTCGCTTCTTGCGACGACGAGGTCCATCGGCCTCGGTGCCTAGGTGGCGGTCAGTGTCTGGTGCCCATGGTCCTGGCAATCCCGTTGTACACATACGAGGCTCGGGACTGCGACCGCGCTTCAATTCGCGATCGCCTCCGTTGTTGGAAAAGCTGTCACTTCGGGCTTCGGGCTCGTTAGACTCGCCGCCGAATCTGCGCTTTCCCAACGGGATGTTGTTGGAACCAGTAATTCCCTGATTTCTCCAGGCCATTTTGTCGCTTCGTTGCCTCTTGGAGGCAGGTGAAAATGATGCTTTAGGGTGCAGTCGATGCACGGTGTTGGCAGGTGGATGGCTGAAGCTGCAGACGGGAAACTGAAAAGTTGCTAGCGAGGCAATGGGCATTTCCGATCGGGAGCCTGCCTGCTCCAGCGGCTCCACCCGGAAATCATTGGCCTAGCGCAGAATGGGGCCTGCCGGCTTTTCGTTAGCGCGTGCCGAGCTCTCAACCGGTACCAAAACTGAGCGAGAGGCCTAACAGGGCGCGGGTGCCCACTGTGGTCTTTTAGCATAGCAACCTGTAGACACTGAAGAGCCCGTCACGAATCCATATGAAATCCATGTTTGCTAACATACCACCTGCAGTAAGGTATACCTCTGTCCCTTCATATCAGGCCGGTGGCTCGTTTTGAAACGAACTCCAGCTTTCCATCTCTGCAGTAGATTCTCGTGCTGCCCCAACACGTCTGTCAAGTTGTCACAGATCCAGCTCCTTATGCAGCCAAGATTTCGGCTTCATCTACATGGGCATAGCCCGTACTATATCTCAAGACTTCAAGTTCAGGGAACAAGTACGCCTAACCCAGTTGGAATCGTGCTTCGTGATCCCATCTTCTCGGGACTACGTAACATACAAGGGTGTCCAAATTCATGATGATGACATCGTGTTGCAGGTATGTGTAACGAGTGTTTCCTCGATCCTGCATACCTAGGTAGCTCTCAAATCGCCATCTTCCATTCCATGACGTGGCACCTCGCAGTCTCCACGGAAAGGATATCTCTCGTTTGCCCGTGTAGCTACATCAAGTATGCGCTTATTTAGCAGCATCCTCCTTCATGCCTGCCTGCACCCACGCACGGCCCGCAACTGAGAGCTTCTCGAGCTCCTCCTCCGGCAGCTCGGCCATCTTGAAGGCCTTGTGCTCGGTGGGCACATGCCGGCCCTTCTCGAACCCGGGCCGCTCAAGCAGCGTGTAGAGCCACTTCTTGAGGTGGGGGAACTCGTCGATATCGACACCTGCCCACTCTTTTGGAGGCGGGGTTGCACGGTTCAGCAAATGGGAAATCGTGAGGGGGGTGTCCTAATAAGAGCGGGAAACTCACTGGCTGAAGCAACCCAGCCCCAGGAAGAGATGTCTGCAATCGTCAGACGGTCACCGACGATGAACCCAGACTTGCTCTTCGCAAGGGCCGTGTCGAGCACACGGTACAGCCGTCGTGTCTCGTTCTGGTACCGAGACATGCCGTATTGGATCTTCTCGGGCGCATATCCTGTAAACAAGTTCAGAATGGGAGCCAGCCTCATAGGCAACGATATATGGTGCAGGTGTCATACTTGTGAAGTGGTTGGCTTGGCCCTGCATGGGACCTAGACCGGCATTTTGGAAGAAGAGCTACCAGTCGTGTCAGTCTTCTGAGACATGGGCTACGTGTGAGGCCTGTCACAAACCCAGTTATTGGTCTCGTAGTACTCCTCCGAGCCGTGAGGATAGGAGAGCTTATGGTCCTTGTCATACTTGTCGACGAGGTACAGCAGGATCGAGCCGCTCTCAAACAGCCTGATGGTCTTGTCTCCAAGCTTGTCCGTGAGGGCGGGAATCTGAGAGCCGGCTTAGCTGGGCTCCCGACGGCCTGCAACCACAATGGCTCCGCCACTCACCCTTCCATTTGGGTTGATCTCAAGGAACCAGTCCTCCTGTCGAGATGTCAGTTGCTGTCCAGGAGAGCCACATGCGCTCCAAGGGGCACCTCACCTTCTGTGTATTCTTGCTCAAGTCTATGGCAGTAGTCTGTTTGACCCGTCAACACTTGAACCTCACGCATGGGCAAGGGCCTCGGCGATCTGACCTTGTAAGACAGGCCAAGCTCCTCCAGCAGGATGGACACCTTGATCCCGTTGGGCGTGCCCGTAGTATCTATGAGAAACGTCAGGGAAATGAGTTCTTGGTGCCCTTTTTAGTCCGGACAATGGGCTCACAAAGGTGGATGTCGGATTCGCTGGCCATGTTGAGGTGCTGTTCGATTTTCTGGAGTCTTGCAGTCATTCCCTGGAAATGTCAAATTGGTCCACAGGCTCACTGCCCCTTTAAGTCAAACGCTCAAAGTTAATTCCACATACGCGCTTATAAATCAGACGCCTTTTGAGCGATGCCGACGATGCAATAAGTATGAGTTATGTAAGTCAGTCTCGTAAACCTGTCCTACGCGAGCGGGGGCCGAGCGATCTACAGGACAGCTACTGTAAGTGAATGACGCAGGCCCCGCTGCACGCAACGTGGACGCCCACGGTTTGAGCTTCTGTGCTGTACCTAGAATGTCGTAGTGACACTTCACTTCTCGAAGATGCTTTCCAAGCATTAGCCTCCTATTACTTCAGATGCAAAACTCCCAAGACCTCGACGTCTGAGCAATCGGCTCTTCCTGGACAAAGAACATGCTTAGTGCCCTAGCTTGCAGGAATTTTAGAAATGACTGTAGCGCAATGAGTTAAATCCGGTCCATCTAATCACATTCCTCTCAACTTCTGCCAACAATACAATACCACATATCTATATTAGGGCCCTTGCATTTCATTTGTGTGACAGTGCGCCCTCCTCAGCAACGCAACCTGTCATGGGGGCTGCTATTTTGTCAGCAACTCCCCGAATTGGTCATCATCGAACTCCCGTCTCAAGCAATACACTCCTCAAGTCACTTGTCGAGTACTGCAGATGAGCGATTATTTTGACTGTAGCGTGTATAGTACTTGACCGTGACTGTTGGGCAATCTCGCTCTAGCAAGCTCTGGAGCCCAATATTGTCAGAGACCTGTAGACTCGCACACGACTAGTTGTTTGGAGTATGTAGTACCAGTTCTTCTCCAGGCCCTCTGAGTTTCTCATTCATGATTATCACCGTTCGAGTTATCTGACTATACCATTGATCTTTAGTCACACCCTCACGTTCCTCCACAGATGGCCCAAGCAATGCCCAACGATGAGCGACGTCTTGCTGGGTAGGCCAGTCCCCAGCTTACCGATCCAACTGGTGGTGGACTCCCCATCCTGAGTGTCAGCCTCCCATTCACAACAACGCTATTTCCAGTGCTCAAACATCTGCAGGCAAGAGCGCCATAGTGGCAACTTGTCTGTGGAAATTCCTAGAGGACAAGACAGGGAGGATGGTCAACGAGTGCCCATGAACGTGTTCACTCGCAACCGAGAGCAGAGGATCTTCGCTGACAAGACGAGATGCATCATGCACCACGAACCGGAGTCGGGAGAACAGGCGGAGGCCGCCCAAGCACAAGTTGGTCTACTCGTCCTTGTCAGTGGAAGAATCACTCTAGAAGCTGTGCTCCTCCACCTCACCCTCCGCGTTCTCATAATCCTGGGAGGGTGTCCCTCCATGCATGATCACATCGTGGGTCACCTGCCCCATCAAGCCGAGGGAAAGTATGAACTGAGCGTGCCACTCATCGAGTAACTGGTCTTGTTCTTGTTCCGTATACCTCCGAAGCCATGCACGGCGCCTTCCTCCCTGGTTTCCAAGGTTCGCTTCTATTCCGCATCAATGATACGTCCGAGGACATACATAGCGCCTTTCTACAATGGTCAACTCTCCAAGACCCAGCGTTTAAGGAACATACAATACCGACAAAAGTGGTAAAAAATGCCTATGATATTCGCACGTAGACTCAGTTTTGTGGCGCACAGACATGGCTAACTTTAGAGGAGAGCACCATTCTCGACGGCTTCCCGCGGTATACACGGCAACATCCAGCCAGGCAGCGACCTCCTTACCGACCGTGAGGGACGCTTGGAGATCCGAGAGGATGATCAAATCATTCGTGAAACGGCGAGGGATGTATCTCTCTGATCGTTTTCACCATGCGTAGACCGCGACACACCCCCTTCAAGAACAACCTATGTTCTCCTCGAGTCCACCAATAAGGAAGGCACACAAGCATACATATTCAATATTCCAAAAATTTGTTCCAGTCAATCTAAATGTAACTTACTTCTCCTCCGCCCGTAAAGAAAGAGAGTGGAGAGTGGCAGGGCGAAAAACGGAGGGTACAAAAGTACCGCTAGCCAATCAGAGCGCCCCACCCAACCTCAACTCACCATGCACATCACCGCAACCAAGTGATTTTTATGCCCTTTCTAGTACAGATGGGCTGCTGATTCTTCTTCGCCTACTTAAAAACACTCCCTAGTTGACTAACTATAGCTATTACGGGTAGAAATAAATGTGGAGGACCTTGGTGGTGACAAAAAGGAGATTCAGGTGCTCGTGGCGTTATGGAAGGGAGGTACAACTAACACACAGCTAGCGCTTAGCTACCGAGGGCGCGCCCTCCAGAACTTAGACAAAACACCAAAAAATATACGCACTGCAACCCTATAGAACATTCGATTCGTGACCTATCGACAGCTCGGGTACGAGGGACGCCCTAGTTGAGTAGATGATGCACCGTATGGAGTCGCCATACATGTCCTCGGACGTATGCGGAATAGTAGCGAAACCAATTAAGTAGGTGGCAAGGACAGGGAAAGAAGTAGCAAAACACCAGGGCAGAAGCCACGATAGGGACAATGCACATGTGAGGAATTAAGGATGAGGATATTGTAGTTGATAACCATTTATTTCTATCGTATATGGTAAGCTAGTAGTATAAATCAATGTTGTCACACTAGGTATACACGTTCCCTATCCCCTCCGTTTTCCGCCCTGCAAATCTTCATTCTCTAAAATCATCCCTTCTCGACCGCCCTAAACATCGCTTCCAGGCACTGTCTTCTAGGAGGTTGCCCCATAGCGGTGTATACCAGGGGAGGCTATCTCCTGGGAGGGTGGTATCCAGCGGGAGGATGGTATCCCGGGGGAGGGTGGTATACCGGGGGAGGAGGTCCGGCCGGAGTGTGGTATCCGGTGGGAGGATGGTATCCCGGGGGAGGGTGGTATACCGGGGGAGGAGGTCCGGTCGGAGGGTGGTATCCGGTGGGAGGGCGGTATCCCGTAGGAGGGTATTCCATGGGAGAGTATTCTGCAGGAGAGTATGCTGCAAGAGTGTATACTGTGGGATGTGGTCCCATAGGAGGTTGTCCTGTGGGAGATAGTCCCATAGGAGGGTGTCCTGTAGGAAATTGCCCCATAGGGGTGTTAACCATAAGAGGGGGTCCCATGGGAGGTTGTTCCATAGGAAGGTGTCCTGTAGGAAATTGCCCCATAGGGGTGTTAACCATAAGAGGTTGTCCTGTGGGACGCTGTCCTGTGGGATGTTGTCTTAGGGGAGGCTGTCTGATGTGTGCTGGTCCTGTAGGTGGAGACTCTGTAGGTAGATGCCCCGTGGGCTGCTGGTTTGCCTGTATAGGCACAATCCCAAAAGCTTCATATATCTTCTGATCCAAGCCAGTCGCATCGTTCCATTTCAGAGTGCTTTCGTCTGAATTGTCGCAAAGACCTGTGACAGCGTTGTTTATCTGCTCTCCCAGCTCAGAGTGCAGATCTTCGTGTTGGGGCGTCTGAGAGCTGGTGGAAGACATAGATGCGTGAGATCCCATGATGGAAGTATTGAGACCTTTGAAGTGTAGTATTAATGAGATTCTTGGTGTTTGTTTGTCGGTCCAAGTAGAAGATGTCAAGAATAGAGGATTGATTATTTTTAGCTGTGGGGGTGAGGAGAAAGAAGAAAGAGTCAAAGAAGTAGGGGTGGTGATGAAGCACTAGGTGTAGAGCCACAAGCGATTTTCGACTTCTTTTTGGGAGAAATCAGAAGCACAGATCAGTCCAGACCACTGGCCTGTTTATATATGTTGGATTTCCTTCAATTCTTCTGCTCTTTCCAGCCGCTAACCATTCCGGCGCCTGAGGCACCTACTTAAGTAGGTAGGCCACTTCAGTCCCATCTCGTAAACTTTACCCAAAGGGGACGTGCTTGAAAGGTTGTACCAGTGACTCTGGCAAAAAGTTGCACCAGTGACTTAGGCATTCAAGTGGCTTTCTGTGACAGCACTGACTGGGCTTCACCCAGACTGGCACTAGTTGTTAAGCGGAGCGAGGAGTTTTCCTAGAGCGAAGAGGAAGGGCAACAACAAGCGAAGCTTTCTCTATTACTGTGCGATCCGATAAAATGTTTCTCGTGTACAGATTGATCAGAATCTGAATCTTGAATGGGATTTGTTTAATTAATGTATCTTTGTATGTACTGTATGTACCTGTGGAGTTGTGGTGTTGAGGAAGGAGTAGCTCTCGCCTCAAGTGCTAGCTCTTTCCGCTTCACCCCCAGGACACTGCGTTTTCCTCAAGCTATTCATAGGCGCCTTGAAGAGACTTATTGGCGACTACGCCTAGGTCCAAGCAAGAGGCACACCAAGTCAGCAGTCAAAGCACTATTTTTCAATTCTTAGCTGACGGGCCAGCTCGGCTCTCACCGACCCTCCGTGTGATTCCAGACGAACGTGAGCTAGTATCCATGATCTTCAGACAGAACTCCTTGAGGAGGCCTCCAAATGATGTTGGCTTGAGTTCTGAGGGTTTCTTGGCCTCGGCTCCGGGGCCAGAGTAGATCTGATCATGCTCGTCGATGTCTTCTTGCCACTCAGGGTCCTTGGGCACTTTGACCCAGTCCTCGTCAGATTTCTTCTTTCCACTGCCGCCTTGATCTTGAGCACTTGGAGGCATCTGGTTTGAGGGTTGCCAGTCCTGGGGTAGTAGTGGCTTTGTTTTGGAGTTCAATGTCTCTTGGTTGATAAAGGAGGGCTGGGTGTTAACTGTTTGTAATAGCCAATCAAGTCTAGTTCACGTCAGACTTGGGATTTTATCTCGTATTTTTTTTGTTTGTATCTAGTTACTTTGGCCCTGGTACATGAATTGAGGGTGAAGGTGAATTGCCACATTGTCACATTGTCACATGGGACAATAAGTCAGGGTGATTAGCTATGTGAGAAGGGGTGAGTGCTGGCACTTTAGATTGAATAGATGCCTGAGGATGCTGGGCCGGTCTGAATAGTGTATTGTTTGGTATGAAGTCTAAAAATAGTCAGATAGTCATGTTGTGGCCTGGTGTCTTTAAATGATGATGCTATAGATGAATCGGTTTGTATAGTGTGGTGTCGGCTCCTGACTAGGTACTTAGTACCTAAGTAGTCGTCCCCAGACCCGCTTAGTCTTCCCCAGGTTTCACAGGGCTGCAGTGGGTGGAGCACGAGCCGAATCGTACTTAGGTACCGAGTTTGATGAGCTCCAGTACAGTACCCATTACTGTACTCCATCGTGAATTCTGGGCCCACTGTAAGCAGATTTTGTTGCTGTTACTCCATAGTGCCAGCCCTAGTAGCCCACATGCCCACAGCAAACGCATGGCTGCCATTTGTGACTCACCCACAGAAATTTCTTCGTCTCAACCCACACACTTAAATGAGCAACAATGTGTTTTTCCAACAGCTACATAGCTCAGGGGAAGAGTGAGTTCATTCGTATCCATCCAAAATCAGCAATGTGTACTAACAAAATCAGGCGCCGGGCTCATAACCCGGAGGTCGCTGGATCGAAACCAGTTGTAGCTATCTGATTTCTCTTTTTGCTTTTTTCTGATCTTGTTCTGCCACCTCTTTTTGGTCACCTACTAACACACCAACCCACACTATGTGAACCTCAATTCCGTTTACACTTGATGAAGCCAGTGGAGCTCGGAGAAAGATTCATTTTATTATGTCCCTGGGTGTGAATTCTTGAGACTCTGTGGCAGGCATACGAAACGGTGATGCCCGTGATGTGGTCCGCGATGCCGCCTTTTTGATATGTCGCACCGCAGGAGACGCACCCGTTTCAATCCAGCAACCTCCAGGATATGAGCCCATCCTACAGACAGAGATGTTATCACCGGAAAGCAAACAATCTTGACTCCCCTCCAATGCCCAGTCGCCCCAGCTGGCAGCCTGTGCTCCTCAAGTCTGCAATGACGGCACATGCATTACAAGACTCAGTTTCGGGATTCAGCCAGCTGACTGTTGCTGATTCTGCTGATTCTTCGGAAGGGATCGGTCAGAAAAACCAACATTCCTGCATACCTAGGTACCAAGATACGTTGCTTACACGGTACAGCTGCAGGGACGACGGAGGATGTAGTCAGGATTTCAGCCTCAGAAATGGCTTAGACGCTGCGGAGACAGGGACCCCCCTTGCTCAAAATAGATCTGCAAGGCGACCTGCCACCCTCGGCCCACTGTCTCGGAAAAACGAGAGGGCCCCCCCCTGCAAAATGCCCCCTGTTCAAAAGTTAAACACTCCCTTTTAAAAGTAATTTCCTTTTAATAACTTTCTTAATACTTAACTTAAAAATGTATAAAAAATATATTTATAATCCTTATAAAAGTCTTTATAAGCTTAAATTTTTAAAATAATTTTTATTTAACGTTTATATATTACTAGGGTTGTAGGCTAAACTACTTAATAAGTTTATACACTTACTTATTTTATCAGCCTAGTAACCTCTATACTTTATATAAAAAAGATTTAATAATAAATACTTAAAAAATATTACTATATAGAAGTTTTAATAAGGAATATATATATATATTTTATATATTTTTAAGTTAAGTATTAATAGAGTTATTAAAAGAAGACTACTTTTTAATAAACCTTTAAAATTTTTGATAGGGGTAATAAAACAGGGGGGGGGCCAACTCTCGTTTTTCCGAGACAGCAGCCAAGAACTGCAGAGGGTCGTACTTGACAGGGGAGCTCGACTACTGAACTACTGCACGAGGCTTAAAGCATTGCAACTTCTTATCGATACCAAAATTTCCAGTCCTCCCCAAACACAACATCTGCGAACCACAAGCAAAATGGCAAAACAAAAGAGCAAAGGTATGTAGTTTCCTCATAGACACAGCAGAGCATGCCGTCTCCCAAAGTCACCGGCAAATTCCCACCCAAAAAAACTGACACCCCCCCACAGCGCCCTCCATCCACTCCCGCGCAGCGCGCCGGGCGACATCGCCCAGCATAAACACAGACAAGTCCCTGAAGGACGCCCGGCCGCCGCCCGAGTCGGCCGACGCGCGCCCCTCGGTCCTGGGGCTGCACCAGGCCGCGGGCGTGAGCAAGAAGACCAAGCGGGGCCGCAAGGCGGTGCTGAGCACGCGGGCGCGCAAGCGGCACGAGCGCGGGCTCGAGAGGGCCGAGGAGATCGTCGACCGCACCTCCAACAAGGTCCTCAAGAGCAAGAAGTCCGCCGCCAAGATCGCAGGCCGCAGCAGGGGGTGGGACGAGATCAACGCCCAGGCCGGCGCCGCGGGCGCGCGCGTCGGGGCGCTGGGGTCCAACAAGTTCGCGGGGCTGGCGGACGGCGGCGATGATGGTGATGAGGATGAGGATGTCGAGGAGCTGGACGACGAGATGTGGGAGGCGGACAAGGGCGGGCCTGTGGTGGCTCACCCGCCGCCCAAGTCCATGGCCGGGTCTAGGCATGCGCCTCCCGCGCCGCCGGCGCCCGAGGACGGCGATGAAGAGATCCTATGAGCATCCGCAGCATTTTGTCTTTGGGGTTTACGACAACAGGCGTTGGGGGGCTGATACCAGATGCAATACGATATCATCTTGTTTCTTTCATGGAATCCATACCAGGAACTGATCGTTTCAATCTCTCATACCGTTACTGTTCCTGGTGACTCGAAGCCGTGAAGACTGCCACCAGCCTGGCGAGGCTGATGGTCTTGGATGCATCGCACATCGCGTGTTGAACGACTACTTCAGCCAGCAAAGAATGGCCTGCCCTCTTCCCTCCCAAGACATCCATCCAACTAACAACTCTCAGACCGTCCCGGCGGCCCCTGCCCTTCGCGGCGGACCCGCCTTCCCATGACAACACCCACGGCGCCAGCATCCCCCACGCTCACACGATTGCGCCATCCCGCCTCATCCAAGGCCACACTCGAGGCTGACCCCGGCCGCAGACAGACCAATTCCGACGCCACGCTCGACGAGGGCGAGGTGTCCCACGACCCACTCGAGCCCGATGTAGCCGAGACCGCCGCCACCGTGTCCGAAGGCAGTGCCTGCGCCTGCGCCTGCGCCTGCGGATGTTGGTACTGGTATAGACCACCACCAGCACCACCACCATCACCAGAGTAATACCCACTATCACCCGAGTCCCGCACCCGCACCCACCGCACCGACCCCCTCAGGCTCCGGCGCCTCTCCAGCCCCCCGCCGGCGCCGCGGTGCACCACCCGGACAGCCTTATTACAGCGCAGATCCCGCACGACCACCACCTCAGCAGCAGCAGCATCCTCCTCGCCGCCACAGAGCCCCCACGGAGACCGCCGCCGCTGGCTGAGGACGTCGTCGGCCGACATGCGCCGCAGCCGCTTGACACCACCACCACCACCACCACCACCACCAGACAGGAGGACCCGCGCCACGACGCCCCAGATATCAAGCCCGCCGCCGCCGAGGAGCGCAAGCCGCGCCTGCACCGCGGGGCCCCGGATCTGCGGCGGCTTGGCGTTGGTGGTGGTGCTGCTGAAGGCGGCCGAGATCCCGTGGGACAGCTCCTCGGTGGTCGCGTCACGGGGCCGGTAGTCGGGCACGGCGGGCCTTGGTGGTCTCTGCCCTCCTTGTTGTTGGTGGTGGTGTGGCGTGGGGCTCCTCACGGCCGTGTCCCGTGAGGGCGGCGGCGGTGGTTCACCGGGTCCCAGACCGCGGGGTGGTTCAGGCTGGACTGTTGGTTCTTGGGTTTGTTGTGGCCGGGTAAGTTGCAGAGGGGCGACGACTGCTGAGCTATGGCGCATACTACCGTCCCTCCAAGTTTGATCCAAGGCTGATGGTGTCGCAGGCCGGTCCTGGTCCTGGCTCTGGCGCTGGCTCACCCTACCCCCTGTCGTGAACTGGGACTGTGGCCGATATGCGGTGAACCGTTGTCCCGTTACTTGGCTGAGCGGCGATGGGGTATACCGCGCCGCGGAGAAGCGGCCCGGAACATAGCTGCTGGCCCGAATGCTTGGAGGAGCCTGGCTCTGTCGGCGTCGCTCGTCCGGCCGAGGGCTGGGGGTATCTATCTCCTCACGCCCCGCCTGGGTTCCGGCATTGCGTCTTGCCGGTAAGAAGTCCGGTGGGACACTTGCATCATCGTTATCCTTGCCACCGCTGGCCCTCTCGGCATCCATGTCATGCTTGATCCGGGTGCAGTACATCATGAGGTGGCACGCGAGGAAGACGACCACGAGCAGGCCGGCGAGCACGCCAAAGGTGACTACTATGCCGCGGGGTGGGCGGCCGCCGGTGCTCAGCAGCGTCGTCGAGATGACGACGGTCAGGACGACGAAGAGGAATGGGATCCATCTGTACGTCACATCGCGTATGAGCCTGCGGGACCGTATGAGCTGGTCCATGTGGAACATGTTTGGACGAACCGGTTTAAGAGCGAGAGATAGGCATCAACAGGATTACGGCTTGTTGAACAGCGAGTTCGGATACCAAGCCTTCTTTTTCCGGGGCTGCCTTCCCGTTATGCCTTTTTATCATCAGTGTGAGGCTCATCTACAGTGGTCTTTTCTTTCATGTCGGTGTCAGACGGCCAGGCTCGCTGGGGGGAAGCCAGAAAGCCGTTGTAGGTCTGATTCTCGAGGGAAGTTTGAAACAGCTTTTGTTGTCGTTACAGGACAAACAACGCCGAGATCAACAATAATGCATGTTTGAGATCTCAGTCACTTGAACAATGATTAGATTATTATTGGTTTGTGTCCTGAGACCTCGTTAAAAATACATAGGCCCTCTTTCATGCTGTTCAGGCTGTTCAGGCTGAGGCAGCCATCTTGAGTCCGAGTGTAGCTCATATGCCATTGGCGGGCTCATCGAATCCCGAGGGTAGGGTCTATGAGCTCTGTTCGGAGGCTGCACACCATCCCACTGGTTATTCCAGTTGCTGAAAGACACCGGAGTCGCCGGGAGTTCGACTGGTGTCGACTTGTTGACGAATGAAGGCGCCCAGCTTCGTATCAGGGACGTCCGCTTCTTTTTCGGGGTCGGGGTCGGGTAAGGGAATTCTTTGGGGGGTAGTGGCGGAGGGGTGTCGGATGTCCTCTGCGCGATGGGCTGTTTGTTTTGTTTCCTGGTTTCCTTGATGCGTTTCCTTCTGACCCACGCGAATACCACTATTGCTGCGACAGTAGCAACGCCGCCAACCGCGGATCCTGTCGCGATGCCTATGGTCTTGGGCCTGTCCGAGGAGGAGCCTTCCCTATCGGAGGGAGGTACATAGGTCGGCAGGATCACTGTGTAAGTTGACTCGGGCGTCGACGAGGTGACTGTAGCGCCATCAGAATCCGTCACGGCCGGTCCTGAGGTTGCGGTCGATAGTGTTCCTGTCGAGACAGGAGTCTCGGTCTGCGTCAAGATACAGATTGACCTCTCATTGCAAGAGTACCCGAAGGGACAGCAGGTGTTCGACCCGGAGCTATCACGCCCGCACACGGCGAGTGTTCCATCGAGATTTGTCGAGTGGACGGAGCTGGTCGGATAGGCCGTGGCATTCTGCACGGCGACGGAGCAGGTGATGGGCTGGATCGAGGAGCATGTGCCGCCATCAGGACAGCACAGTACTGCCGTGTTCTTTGCGAGAGGGATGCAGGCGTCGGTGGACCTGCAGCAGAACTCGCTTGGAAGATCGTTGCCGCACTGGTTGAAGTTGGACGGGCAAGAGCCGTCACTCGCACTCTGTCGCTGTCTCAGGGCCTTGAGGACCTCGCGGCGGCGGAAGGCAGGCTGGGTGTCCACCAGAGGGACGACATGTGGGAAAGATATTGTTGTTTCTGCGTCGACCAATGCGTCTATGGAATATGGGTGAATAAGACAAATGAGAAGAAGAATAAGAAGGCCGGACGAATACATCGGGCCTACATGGTTTTGGGGCGGGACTGTAGGAGAGGCGTCGATCAACGTGGAAACGGGCTCGGGACGTTGAGGGCGAACTACCCAGGTGGATGGATGGACCAGGTCGCAGAGGAGGGGAGACAGGAAGCTGGAAAGAGGAAAGAGGAACAGCACCGCGTTGGTGATATACTCGGGAACGGCCCCTTCCAGCCTGACCCTTTTGGGCCACGGGCGAGGGTGGCCGGGCCGGGGCGGGATTGATATATCCTCGTTTCGAAGGCCACCTGCTTGGCAAGCCGGCGCATGGCACGCCTGTGGAGGCTCTTTCTGAGTCCCTCGAGTCCCTCGAGTCCCTCGAGCCCCCCGAGGGAGGAAGGATTCCGTCAAGTGTGGAGAGGCCCTGCCTAGAACCGTCCAGGGCCCAGACGTCCCTCTCGACCTCGCCAGACTCACCAGTCCTACCTGGGACCTGGCCTGTTGGTCGTGGCGGCAATCTGATCGACCATGCCTGTATCTACCGCCAAAGGAGGCCAAAAGTGGTAGGAGTTGGCGGACGACCTTGGAAAGGGCAAGGGCTGGTGTGGGTACACGCCGCAGTAGTTGGGATCCATGGGGCAAGTCAGGGCAATCCGCGCCAGTGTTGTGCCGCGGAGGCGCGTCTGATGCGGCGCGCTTATTCGCCGCCATCGAGCTTCCTTCACAGCCCCCAGGCCACCAGGGCCTCCCAAACGGGCCATGGCATCTTCTAAATTAAGATGAGCTGTTGGGGGTCTCGTGGTTTCAGGCCGGCAAAGCCCGTGGCAAACATCGATAAACCGGTTGTGGGCATGAGGAAGCGGGGTGGTTTGTGGCGTGCTTCGAAGGAGGAAGATAGCACAGCAATTGTGTAGTGTGTAGTGTGTAGTGTGTACAACAAATGCACACACACACACACACACAACCTCTTGCTGTGATGAGGCGACGATTTTGCAGAGGTGGCTGTGGGAAGCTGACAGGCTTGGCTTCCCTTTCCGCTGGTGCTGGTGCTGATGCGAAGGGTCGACAGGAGGGAACATCAAGCAGTATGGGAGTGGATTCAACTTGACCCAGCACCCTCTCGGCACCTCATGTGCTATTCGAGGCAGCAATTGATGCTGTGCTGCAAGACTGCTATCAGAGAGACGAAAGTGGTGAGTAACACAGTTTGATCCAACCTGTAGGATGCACCGGATGCAAGGGCTGCAAGGGCTGCAAGGGCTGCAAGGGCTGCAGGTCAGGGCTGGCAGTACCTGCCCAGGAGAGTGCTTGCATATGCCCGCAATAGGAAACCAGCTCCCACTGCACCACGGCAGATGCCCAGGTTGTCAGGTTGTCAGGTTGTCAGGCTGCACAGTAGATAGGACATGCACGCAGGATGCCGATCAGCAGAGACCATCGCCGTCCTAAGCCGGGAACGTCCATGTCCTGCTCCCGCGACGGCCGCAGCAGCAAGCAACGGATCAAACGCCAACAATTCCTCCCAGAGTCCTACCGATCTGAACAGTTTCGGAGCCGGTCATCGACTCCCACCAACCATCTATTTCCACGCCGCTGGGGCAAATTTGTGCTTTATCTACTTGTGCATCCCAAAGGCCTCTCCAAGATAATTTGTAATTGTGATTTATTCAGGTTGTACGTACTTGGTTTGGCCCTGCCGTAGCATCGCAGGATAAGGTCCCTCCCTCTGTTGGCCCGAGGTGCAGGAGTAAGCAGGTCCCAGGAAGGATTCTTGGCTCGGTCAAGCCCTCCAGGCCCGACCTGACAGAAACTTCTCTCCCTCCTCCTCCATCCACTACTGACTGAATACTGCTGCGGTCCAGTCACTCTCAGGGAGGGCTGATGGCCTCCAAACCACCGCAACTGCCGCGGCTGGGAGAGCGGCTGATATATACTTGCAGAAGCAGCTGTGCTCGTATTCGTAAGCCGCTGATGAGGGCGCAAATCCTATCTCGCAAAAATACCACCTCAGATATTGAGGCTGGACCGCGTTCTATGGGGGCCTTTGATAGTAAGACGGCCTGTCCTTACAACTAAAGGTCATGTTTTGCAGTCCTAGGTGCCGCTGTCCAGGAAAAACAAAGTTGCGCCCACCCTCCTATTTTATTACCCCTATAAAGAATTACACACTTACTTCACTATATATACTCATATAATATAAATAAGAGCTTTAATTATTAAAAAAGAATTTTTTTTAAAAAACTTTAAAAAAAGTTTATTTAAATATATTTATAAATAAACTTTTTTAAAAAACATTAATTAAATATATATAAGTTAGAAAAGTAAAAGTTCTTTCAAAAAATTTATAAAACTTTAAAGAAGCTTAACTTATTATATAAATATATATAATAAAGTAACATCAGTAACGCCAACCGATTCTTTTCTGTCTAACCCTGGTAACTCATCACCCGTCTACATTTGTCAAATCTCTCGCCTCACCATGCCATTCCGTGATTGTTGGCCCAAGATGCCTGATGGCCGCGACTTTGATGGCCGGCATCTACTCACCCTGGTCCGTAGTGGTAACAATCCATTCCATGACACATGGGATGTAAACCTACTCATTCAGGAAATCGAGGAGAACCTCTGTGCCCAGGTGATTGACATTCCATGCGTTTCCAACGGCTCCAACAACTATGTAAGTTGTGGCCGAGCACCATTCATCCCATCACACACTCGATGCTTACATGAGGCTGGATGGTAAAAGGGAATTCACCTCAAGTTGTCCAATGGAATGGACGTTGTAGCACGCTTAGCACGCGGCGATGTCAACATGCCTGATTATGAGGGTTTCCCGATTCATGTGCAAGTTCCCGAGGTCAAGTTTGAGACTGAGGTGTATGAGCTCCTGCAGTCAGAGCCGGATATCTTGGCTTCTCGTCTGCTTTATCATCGCGTCCCCGTGCAGCATGAGGGCCCTAAGCTTGATAGTCCTAAAGATATCGCAGGCCGGCGCTTGCTTGTGTTCCAAAGAGCTGAGGGAGAGAGTAACGTGTGGCGTGCCCTCAACCCAGCTCAGAAGGTACGGGCGTATACCAATCCTGCCATTTGCTTCATATGCTGACTTCTCTTCTAGTCTTGCCTTCTTTCTCAGGCAGCTCACATCCGCGCATCGCTGTACAACTTCCAAGTCCCGCCCGAGTTCGCTTCTGCCTGGCTCCGCGAACGCCTTTTTGAGCAAAAGCCGGAATCGTTTCCCATTCCCGTTGCTCCCACTCGCGAGTTCTGCGTTACCCTCTTTACCTCCAAGATCGAAGCAACCATCAAGAGCATTGGTGACATGATTGGGTGGGAGGATGACCATAACACGGTCGGTCCAGTTGCTGCAGCAGCCAAGCAGTCACTTCTTCGCCTCATCCCACACATAATGCCTGCGGGCGACGACGAGAACCTTTTATACCGCTTCGTCATTGACCACGGCGACTTTGGCGTTCACAACATGTCGATTGCAATGGATGAGAACAGCCAACCTCTTGCGACGTCCTTGTTCGACTGGGAGACCGGATGCATTGTGCCAGCCATCCTGTCCGACCCGTTGATGGCGGTGACCGTCGATTTGGTGGCTGATGAAGATGCGGCGCCCGCCGTGACCCGCTTGCCTCGCACCGTAACCGCGGACGAGCTGGAGCGAATCGGGACATGGCCAAGGCTATACCTTGAGGTTCGTTCTTCGTTTAAATAGTTCCCGTGCTCAATGCATTATAAAGTGTGATTAAACAAATATTTATAGGCCCTCTTTCTCGATGCACCGGACTACAAGCGCACTATCCAGGCGGGCAAGGACGCGCGCCACCTCTGGTTCGCACTGCGAGACTGGCGCGGCGACGATCCCGAGGACTATTTTGGCGATTTGGGAGCCTGGGCTGAGAGAAGGATAAATGAGCTTGGTGTGAATCAAGAAGTCAACTAATGCGGTGGAGATCGCAGTCGTGAACAACCCTCTCAGGGGCAATCAACAAGCCATCTCTGGAGACCGGCTTGAGCTTTGTTAATAGATCAAACCTGCCCTGAGGTCGACCAAAATGGGTTTGCTAACGTCTTCCTGATGTACGGCGGTCGTCAAGGTCAAGGGACAAAGCCGGGGCCCGTGCACCAGGTTCTGATTGGCGGAGCAAGGGGCCGGCTTCAGAAATCGGAAGCCTCGACAGCAACACACGTCTTCCAAATCTGAGATCTTGGGGCTGACTGCCCACCACCAAGGCTCAAGGCTGCAAACAATCCGCGAGCTAGGCGAACAGTCCTCATCCGAGAGAAATCAGAGGACTGACGCGATACGTGTAAATGAAATGTATAGCGGGCTGCCTTCTTGCCGCTGGCTGCGCTCAGAATCAGTAGTCTCGGATGCCGCCATCACGATGTGAGCGTCTTTCAAGTGCAGGCAAGGGAAGGAGACGGAATGACTTTTTTCTCTATTCCGTACGGGTTTCAAGCCGGATTTCCACACATATCGTCTCACAACCCCCCACCCCCCCGGAGAGCCCTTACTGGATCACCCTCGACCCAATCACCGGGCCCTTGTCCCTCGTGCCGTTGATCACGATGCTGCTGACCAGGTCGCTCCTGTGCATCTTGATGATCTCCCTCAGCGCGCTGCGCTCCATCACTATGCGCCCGCCCTCGAGCAGGTTCTTGACGTCGACGTCCCGCATCTCCATGGCCCTGCCGTGCTCCCCGGCGACCTCGAGGCTGGTGAACAGGTTGGGCCGCGGGTCCGTCGTCACAAAGGTCGTGCGGCCGTGGCCCTTGCCCCACCGCAGCCCGCCCATGACGTCCCCCAGGTACCGCGCCACGAAGCTGTCCTCGAGCTCGCGCGTCAGCCTGCCCTGCTGCGCGAGGGCCAGGAAGTCCGCCGGCAGCGGCAGCTCCAGCCCGTCCTCGCACACGACGAGCTCCCCGCGCCGGTAGCGGTACGACAGCGCCGTGCGCCACGCCAGGTCGTACACCTTGCGGTTGAGGCTGGTGCCGAAGTCGCGCGGGTGCGGGCCGAACGTCTTTCCGCCGCCCTTGCGGAGGGGCGACTGCTTGGTTCCCACACGCGCCCTGCCCGTGCCCTTCTGCCGGAACAGTTTGCGGTGCGAGCCGTGGACCTCGTAACGTGTCTTGGAGCTGGCCGTTCCCTGGCGGGTGTTGTCGCCCTCGTACGTCACGGCCAGGTGGAGTATGTCACGCCTTAGGGGCAGGTAGAGGTGCTTTGTGGAGTAGTTCTCGAGGGCGCGGGGCTCGAGGCTGGGGAAGTTGTAGACGGTGACGGGTACTGTGGAGAGAGGTTGGAAGGGCACGTAGGTGGTGGTGGAGGAGTCGGCCGATGGAACCGCCAGGCCGGATGGCGTCGTTGTGGTCGCCATTGTGCGCGATGCCATAGATGATAGTGCTGCCTGTATGCGCCGTCAGCCCCACGGACTCCAATGCGAACGGGACGTGTACTTTGGGGGGGGGGGGGGTGGGCAACCGGTTGAACGCACCGTGACTGGCCTTGCGTTTCTGCAGGGTTGTGAGGCCAGGCTCAGAGCGCGCATGGCCTCATTGAGGCCCCTGAAGCCCTTTCCAGACATGTTTGGTTACTGGCGCCGGGCTGAAGAGAGACCTGTGGGTGGTGCAGCCAGGCTACAACGTCGTGCGTGCAGCATTCGTTGCCGTCGGCCGAGGTGAAGCTGTCGATCCAAAAAAGATCCAAGATGGGAGGGGTGCACGGACCCGGCCGCGCGAGAGACGCTGCAGCGGCAGGCCGGTAGCCCGCCCGAGACTCGTCGAGGGCAGGGCGGGAGCGCCAGCGGCAGCGTGCCAGGGGTCCGAAATTTCTGAGGAGCCGCCCAAGCTCGACCTTGAGCTTCAACGCCGCGTGCCAGACCGACGGAACGCGCACCCAGCACGCCGCACGCCGCACGCCCAATGGTCCTCTGCTCCACAACAACAAAGATGTCGAGGTGCCAACAGGTGGCGCTGCCGCTGGCCCGCTGCCTGCGACAGGGCCTCGCAACACAGCCCGCCGCGCCCTCAATACACGCCGCGGCTGCACGGTCGTTTTCGAGCTCGGCGAGCCGGCGAGATGTCGAGACGAGCAACCCCTCCTCGTCCACACCTGCCGCGGATGCGCAATCGGCACAGGACCTTGCCGGCACGACCAAGGCGTCGGCTCAGTTAAAAGAGCAATGGCTCGACCCAAATACCACGACGCTGCTGTGGGCGGAGAGGAGGCTGTTGAAGCAGGGCAGAGAACCGATAGGGTCGCGGAGACGGAGAGCGGCAGTACGGCAGTCGCCAAACATCCCCTTCGAACAATTACCCTACCACTGCTTCCAGGAGGCCCGGAAAATCCTGGCAGAGGACCGCGCGGAGAAGCTGCAGCAGCTGGAGCGGACATCCACCGAGATCGCAAAGCTGGAGCAGAGGTCAGGGGATGTGTACAGGGCTGGGGAGCAGCACAAGGAGAAGAAGCTGAGGTCATTGCGCGACCACCTCGAGTATCTCAAGATCCAGGCCGACATCAATGACCCGGCCGTGAAGAGGAAGTGGGAGGACGGTCTAGGTAAGCAATTTCAGCCCGGGGCCAGTGAGTCTCGTGGGCGAGGCGAGAGACTAACATGAGCACACGCCCCCAGCGGACCTGAGCAAACCAATCTACCGCCACTTTGCGCACGAGAAGTGGCTCAGCATGTCTTACAAGATCCTCGCCCAGCGGGTGAAGCAATTCAACATCGTCCCGGACGTCCTGGCAGAGTTCGACCCCAAGATGGACGTACAGCTCTCCTTCCACGGCTACAAGGTCAGCCCGGGCGAGATGGTCGACTCGCTGGTCTCGGAGGCGCCCCCGAACCTGCGCGTGCAGGTCTTTGACAGCAAGGAGCGGCTCGTGAGCATCGTGGTGCTGGACAGCGACGTGCCCTACCCGGAGAAGGACGCCTTCGGGCCCCGCCTCCACTTCATGGCCGCCAACGTGCCCCTCAGCTACGCCACCAAGAACATCTCCCTGGGCCGCCTCTCCAGGGCCGCCGGCGCCGGCAAGGAGGGCGAGGAGGGCGAGGAGGAGCACCTCGCCGTCCCCTGGCTCCCGCCGACCAGCCAGGAGGGCGCCCCCTACCACCGGCTGTCGGTGTGGATCCTGGAGCAGAAGGACGGCCAGAGGCTGGACGTCGCCAGGCTGAGGGAGGCCTACTCGGGGCGCGACGGCTTCAACCTGCGGGCCTTCCGCGGCGACCACAAGGCCTCGCCGTTCGGGTTCAACATGTTCCGGACCGAGTGGGACGAGGGCACGGCCAAGGTCATGGAGAGGCACGGCATCCCCGGCGCCGAGGTCGTCTTCAGGCGCAAGAGGGTGCACAGCCTCAAGCCCCCCAAGAAGGCGAGGGGCTGGGAGGCCAAGCGGCAGGGCCCCAAGTACAGGCAGCTCTGGAAGTACACCAAGAGGATCGGCCGCATGTCTGGAGGCACGTAGGGTGGTTCTGGCGCGCTGCAGGGGGCCTTGTACCATATTGTCAAATTCAAAGTTGCCACGTGCGAGACCATTTGCACGTGGGCCTCGATTGCCGTGGTGGCTTCTCCGTTCCCTGTGCTGTCACTAGACTACGCGGCTTCTCTTTGCGGGAAGCTGGGCCAAGCTCTGTGATCATCTCATGACGACTGCTTGTAGGCGCTCATGACATGTTGACTGCCCGCACTCGCCTGAATTCGTGATATGTGTCGATTCTGGGTTTTGTCTTGCTGCAGCATTTTTGTCACAGCGATCACGTCGGCTTCACCCTCGAGACGATCATTGTGTCTATCTACAGGCTAACTACTTTGGACGTCTGATGGATCAGTGATGCCCACCAGATCGGTTCAGAGCCTGAGTTGAGCTCTGCACGGGTGTCTGCTACGCGTCCACGGCATCTACACAAGGCCGCGAGTGTCCACTGCGTGACCTCCGGTAGAATAGCCTCATACAAGGCAACTACATACAGGGTGACCCCTGTTTGGGATAAACTACTAAAAGATGTTCTCCCAAGGGAAGCCTCACATGGAATTAAAGATTACTGATAGTCGGGAGAGTGTAAAACAGGCCATATGGGGCCCCACAAAAGTGTCTTCAAACTCTTGGAGCATGTGGCTGTGTCACTGTTATGATGTGCATGGCGATCAAGAGGTAGACATTGCCGCTGGCTACGTATACAGAAGGCCTTTGCTGCTGTATGAATATGAACCCGCCCAGATGCCCATAGAAGAGCAGGATCCCAAGTACATACACACATGTGGACAAGCGGACGCAAGTAGGCTGTAATCTTGCGAAGTAAAGCACACCGTACATAAGAGACGCAGGTCAGGCTAGAGGGAAGAAACCAAAACACAAAGACATTTGGAACACCCTGCCCTAAAAATGCCAGGTACAGCTGTAGTTCTGCAGTGTAAAGTCACAGAGTACGGTCATTCGTCACAAACCTCGTCCGTCCACGGCCTCCTCAGCCCCGCCCATCAAAAGCAACCCGCAGCCCTGATATGTATCTAACAATGCAGCATATGATGTAGTCGACACGACAAGGCCCGGGCCCCCCTCCCATGCCCTGACCCCCCGGCGCCGACTCACTCGGCCGAGACCGCGCATTCTCCGGTGGGAGGAACAACCAAGTCCCACACCCAAGACAGCTGGGCTGGGCCGAGTGGCTCACAGTCCACCAGCTCCACCGCAGCAGGCGGCACGCAGAGGACAAAAAGAGGTGATGTGCGCGGCGACGACATGGTGCATCTACATGCCGTACCGCTTGCCGTGTACACTACCCAAAACAGTAGGTGGTGTGCACGTCAGATTCGTGCGCATTGGACCGCCCACCCACCACTGACACCACAGCAGGATGGGCTTGGGCTTGGGCAGGGGTCATGGTGTGTTGGCCCATCTGCAGCCTTGCAGGGCAACATACGTCATATCCAATTCGGGCCATGGCAGCCAGCTATTAGTCCTCGAGATGCCACTCGGATGAACCTCTGCAGTGTTGTGAATCGTGACCCCTCTCCCGAGCTTCGAGTTGGAAAATCTCTTTTCTTTCTGGGTTTTGAGTTGTACAGTTTTACTATATCTACGTACACTGCAGTAATTCTTCCTCAAAGAGTCTTTGAACACTCGTCGCGAAGCCAGCCGCAACAAGGGCCCTGGACCCTCCGTTAGACCTCATCATGACGAAGTGAAGGCTTCAGGATGTTGCCCTAGCCAAGCCCAACCCCGTCAACAAGTAACCACAAGACGCAGATGACGACATGTTTTGGTCAGGTTTCTGATACTAGAGCATTAAGTTGGCTCAAATCTGCGATGCCTCGCCCCAAAAACCTACAGGACGCCACGATCCCTTCCTGCCACTTCGTCACTCATAAAATTTCTGTTCTCCTTACAAAACAATCCCGGTGCTGCCTGCATTCATCCTGTGTCCGTCCGACTCCATATCATGACTGACCGAGAACGCCAAAGCTATTATGCAGTCCACACCGTTCCCGTGCAAGCCAACGGGCTGACGCCGTTCTCGAAAGACTTGCATAAAAGGTAAAAGCCAGGAGCCAAATCCGCTCCCAAGACGCATGGATTTTCTCTCGCACCATTTTGAGCTGCGAGCTCCATTTTTCTGCATTGAACGACAATGACAGCCACCCATATGCCTTCCTGTGGTCCCAATGCTAGGTGATAGGCACGTCTCAGTACCTGTCCCAGCTTTTTCCCAACGTTGTTTACCTTAACAATGGCCAATGGGATTCCAGGTGGCGTCGGAGCTCCAATGAAAAGGCTAATCTGCTGCTAGAGATGGAGCAGTATCCTCAAAAGAATTACTAAAATGCAATCAAATCGACCAGCGGACGTGCTGATCTCCGGCCGTTCCATGGCCAACCGGGAACGCTGCGACTTTTAGGTTTCCAGTACGTCAGATTGGCAGAGTCATCGACCTGGCAGCCTGTCTTGTCGGGTCTCCATAATCATTCGTTTATCCAGCGCATGTGGTCGAGGTTGCCGATGGATTCCTCCTTGACTCGTGGCGATACGGATGACATCGGTAACGCAGGGTCAATCGGTGGTGTCGTGTCCATTGAGGAACGGCCTATTTTGCATCAGGACACGAGCCGGACTCCTACCTCACCCCAGCATTGGATACTCACCCTGCGAATAGGATATACTGGCCCGGCGCGACGATGGGTCAAGATCTACCATGGAGCCTCCAGACACGATGCTGCTGTTCCGAGGTTGGCCCTGGGGTGGGTACGTCGAAAGTGGGTTCGGTATCGAGAAAAGGCTGGAACCGGTGCTCTGTACAATCCTTCGTGCTTGGTGGTTCAGCCACTCGGTGATGTTGGGATCGTTGCAGTCCGCGTGGCTCATCAGCATACTCTTCGTCTGGTTGAGCTCGCTGATCAACCCGCGGTGCTCCAAGCGGAGCTCCATGTTCAGCCGCTCCAGTTGGGATTTGTTATACTCCAAGTCGTGCACCCATTTCTTTTTCTTCTCCCGACACTTGCTCGCGGCGATTCGGTTCTTCTCGAGGAATTTTTTTCGCTTCTCCGTGGACTCGTCTTCTTCTTGGTCATCATCTTCTGATTCCTGCTTGGCAGGTTTGAGCTGCCTCTGACGAGCCTTTTTCTTCGGAGGCTCCAAGTTCTCACGTTGATTGTTGTGTGTCGAAGGCATGGTAGGATCCTTCAGTGAAGGAATGGAAGTGGAGCTCGACTTGGTGCTGATTGAAGCTCGGTCCCCGAAAGAGGCTGGTGTCAGTGGCTCCGAAATCTTGCTTTGTGTCGGCGCAGGCGGCTTGTGGGCCAAGAGACTCGGGTCGAAAGCCTGGTCAGGGTATGTTATGTCCTGGAAGGCCATGACTGGAGATTGACCCAAAGAAGAGCGCGGGCTCGGGATTAGGGAAGGGTCCATTGATGAGTAGGGTTGTTGTGACGTTGACAGGAGCTCTGTGGAGGCCACAATAACCTCGTCTTCAAGTGTTTCTCGATATGGGTCGAAGTCGACAAGGTCGCTGGTGTTGAAGTGGGAGGGGTCTTCCATGCTGCGCGTGGGGCTTCGCCAGCCAGCTTCTCGACCAGGGCAATCACGAAAGTCTGCTCGTCTCCCGAGAGACTATGGAATCCGAAGGTCTTCTGTGTTTCCTCTGGGCAAAGGACAAGGGAAGAAGTTGGACTGCTAGCACTGGAGTTTAGTGATGCCGAATGGGTACGTTGAAGCCCTGAAAGGTGTCACCCATTCAACCACGAGCGGTCGCGGAGGACTTGTCGCGGAAATTACCGAGCGAAGCACGGCGAGCCGATCTGAGCGGCGGCAGAATGACGTTGGTATGAGTGAACAGCAGTCTGCTCTGCCAGGGATATACCACAACGTGGAAGTGGAGAAATGGTGCCGTGAGGAAGCCAGTCGCACACTCTTCGGATCCTCGAGCGAAGACAACTGGCTCAAGAGCAGGAGGGGCACGAGGAAGGTGAAAGCAGCCTTTGCAGAGTGGATGGAAGCACCGTAGCCAGAGATGGCCGTCGTGCACCAGCGTCGGTAATGCGGCCTACGATCGGAAAGGAAGCTCAGGCTCCTCGGCAGGGTGTTGCGAGAAGGGATATGGCCTAACAGGAAGCTGGGGCCTCAATCGGAAACGGAATCGCGGTGGACGATGTGTTGAACCTGGCAGGGAGAGAACCAACGCTAATTCCGCGTAGATCGTCAGAGGCACCTGTGTGGTGGCGCGTGCCGCTTTGCAAGACTGGATCTGAAGCTGTCCGGGATTCGTTGTACGAGGTGCAGTTGCAGGTGTACCGCGGGGGTGCTTTGCGTGCGGCCCAGGGCAGTCGCGGGCCGAGGGTCAGGACTAAAAGCTCCGGAGGTGGCCTGGAGATCAGTGCCTGGTGGCGAAGAAAGCCGAATGGCTGGAGAAGCCTGCCGTCTCGCAATTGCTCTTTCAGATGGGTGGTCCAAAGGACGGAGAAGGAAGGAGAGCTCCAGGTAGGTGGTTGGTGGTGGTTGATTGATGTTGATGTTGTTTTTGTCGCGTTGCGTGGGGAGAGAGAGGGGTGAAGGTGCAAGCAAACTCGGTACGAGAAGCGTTGGGTTGCTTAGCCGGTGGTTTTCCCTCACAACAGCTTGGTTGCCGATGACAAGGGAGTAGGTGGGCAGGTACGTTTTGGCAAAAACGGAGGATGTGGGGGAGGAGAACAAGAACAGTAGAAAGTCTGTCGAGGAATGCGCGAGCTTGCGATTCACAAGTACTGGAGGCAGGTGAAGTATGTTGCAAGATGGCAGCTCAATAATCCGAGTATCGAAACCAAGAGGCTCGGTGGAGTGAAGGGGGTGTGGGCAGTGGGCAGTGGACAGTATGGATATCGAGATGTGACCATGTACCTCAGTGTCATGTATGTACCAAGCAGTATGCTATGACGCGGACGGTGTCAAGGTGTGTTGGGAGGAGGGGGGGATAACAAGTGGGATCTTTGTACTAAGTCAGAGGTATCCCGAGGGTATGTATGGGCGTGTGTGGTGTGGTGGGTATGTATCGATTGCTCAGGCAGGCTGCAAGCTCCTCCTCGTCCAGACAAGCATCCCAGATGAACGATGAGGGTAGATCTGCTAGTCACAGGGTGCAGGATCTTGGGATCCATCCACAGCCGGGCCAGAATTGATGGGGATGCCGTGCCCTATGACAGTGGCCGCGCATCCGAAGTTGCAGGGACTGACTGAGTGGCAGAAGAAGGCAAAAGTGGACCAACAAGGCGGGTTTATGAAGCTGAAGCTGGTTGTTGTCCCCTAAGCAGCCAGCAGCTCGCAGCTCGCAGCAAGACACTGGCAGTCTTTCAATCTCCCACGCGCAATGATTTGCAAGCCGGCCTGGCCCTCTCTACCATTTTGTCCTCCCTCGCCCGCCCGTTCTCCCTCCCTCTCCCTCTCTCCGTCTCTCGAAGCTACCACGGGTCCCACTCGGCCCACAGGCGGGGTTCCAGAGCTGCTCAAAGCTTAGAGAGCTTTCTTCCCCTTGAGGTGCGTTCCACATCCGTGCTCTAACACTCACTCGCACCTGCCAAGGCGTACGGGCTTGTGGTACCTCTGGAGTACATGGCCTGCCCGGCCAGGCACATGCACATAACTGGTTCCCTCCTAGGTACCACAGCACTAAGGCTTCGCCCCCTGCCGCCCACCCATCTAGCTAGCCGGAACAGGCAGGGAGGCAAAGAAGTGCCTTTGTCAGTAGGCAAATCAGGAGCCCAAGCGCACCTCCACAATGGACAGCGGATGCTCACGGACAAGCTTACGGCCTAACAAGCCAGGCGGGCCTAATTGTAGTGCAGGCATGACACCGAGCAGAGCAGAAGTCTGGCAGTTCAGTAGTAAACAAACCCGGCCATTCTTGGGAATGTGGTATTGGCGGAAGAGACATGGCTGATCGGATCGCCTGGGGCGTGTCGCTGGTGGGCCTTGGGAGCGTCCCGATCTGGTTGCGCACCTTCCTCCATCCTGCCCAGTCGCCAAGTCGTCTTCCAACTTTTTGGACAAGCTACCGGACCAAAAGCTCCTCGTTGTGCAGCCAACTCCCTCCTGCCCCCAGACAGACACCAGTTTTGCGCAGGGATGCGCAGGTACGTACCTGGTAACGCAAACCTGTCCGTGTTGGGCCAGTCGCTCATCGGTCTTGGGAGGCAACACATTGATCGAGATCGCGGACGGAAATTTGTCTCTTCTCCGTACACATGTCACTTGAACCCACTCCAGCGTCAGACGCTGGCCCCGGTGGCCTCAGCAACCCAGGGCAAGCAGGCAAGCAGCTGAAAAGTAGGGGTTCTGGCTGAGGGTTCTGAGGGATCTGGGTGCCAGGCTCGCGGGTAGCCAGCCCATCTGGCATTGGATGGCGGGTCGGGACAGAGCGTCAAGCGAAAGTATAATTGCTGAAAGCTCCCCGCCCCAGCACACCCCTACCAGCGGCAAACAGGCAGGACAGGATGGGAATTCAGAGATTCCCATGATTTTGCCATCTGGCTAGGACAGCTTTTTGTCGCCTCTCTCTCCAGTCGCCGCAGATCCTGGCAGCGTGGCAGCCACACTTTCCCATCATCCCAGCGAGACTCTCTGTCTAGCGTGTCAGCTATCGTTCCATCCACAGTAGCTCTGCGACTGCTAGACATGGATAAAATCAGAGTGTGGCGACAATGGGAGAATAAACGCCCAAACGCCTTGGTCAGCGCATGTGGGCCGGCAGTATCACCCCGTTGCTACTGTAGTCCCGTTGTCCCGCTATCCACACATGACGGAAGCACTGGTTGAAAATTGGGGCGGTGATGCCACCATCGGATTTTCAACTGCTGCATCGGTACTTGCTGATATGATGCACAGCGAGTACACGGGACACTCCGTACGTTGTGGATTTCCACAACCGGCCAGCCTACCCGGGCCGCTGGGACTGCCAGGCTGCCAATCACCAGCCTAACAGCATAACCACACAGCCTTCTACTGCGTAGACATCGGCATGACCTGGGGGTGGCCAAGACGACGGAATCCGTACTTGCGACACATTTCCAATTAGGATTTTCACTCTCCCTTTCTCTCTCTCTCTTCTCTTTCCAGTAGTCAGTTGTGCCGTACTGACAATTCATGAGTCGTCAGGACCAGAAAATGACGTAACAGCTGGCCAAGAGCGGTTCTTTGCATGATGACGCTCCAGCAGACAATCTTGGCTGAACAGACTGGCAAATTCCGTCCATCAGTATACTGAGCTGTGCTGTGCTGTAGGGTACCCGTGTACCTGGGTACGTGCTGTCACAGATTAGGTAAGCTCGTAGCTTGGCGGGAAGAGGTATGGGAGGGGCAAGTCTCTTATTAGTAGCCTCCTAATTGTTATCAGGAACAGGTAGCTTACCCCTCCCCTCCAAGCCTTAGATCTTCATGTGGGTAACACAGCACGGGTAACATCGGCCGCGCTATCATTATGGGGCGGACTGTTCCCGGGTGGCAAAGTTCTTGTCGAAGCCCGCTGGCAGCTTTAACCAAAAATGAAGAAAAATACTAAACTTGTCCCAACATCTAGGCAGGCAGCTGGACTGTGGGTCCAGAGCCTCAGAATATTCTGACATCTGAAATCCGACTCCCAGATGCGACTGAATGTTGGTGGGTAATCAATCGCATCCTGACGGTACAGTGATGAATGTCATGCTTCAGAGAGGATCTACATTCAGAGCCTGGGAGCCTGAGCTGGGAAACAGGACAGGATCCTGGGCTGTCAAAATTTCCAGAAGGGCTACGATGTAGATTATTGGTCTACGACACTGTCATGTATTTTTCATATTGCATGATCATTCATGGCATCGCAATAGCAGGTCGGTTCTTGGCAGGCCGGTTCTTGGCAGGTCGGTTCTTGGCAGGCCACCCGGCAAAAGCTCCCTTGCTCCCGTACCGCACACGTACCCGTTGATTACCCGTGGGCCTCGGCTTCTACTTACCCACTCCTGGCGGAGTGGGTGCCAAAAACCCGCAACGGCCAAAACCTCGCAACACCCACACCCACCTATTTTCACTACTTTTCTCTATAAAAGTCTACTTTTTAATTAAGTATATTTTCTTTATTAAATTTTATATTATAAAAAAATAAATATCCTTAAAATCCTTATTTTATAAAAATTAATAATAAAATATTTTTAAATTTATAGGGTTAGAGTTTAAGATTTTAGTTTTTTTAATTAAAGGTTTTTTAAAATTAATATATCTATTTAAATAAATTATATTATAAAAAAATAAAAATATAAAAATATTTATAAAATTATTAACTTTATATAAATATTATTTTTAAAAATCTTTTAATTAAGGTTATTATAATCTATTTCTTTATAATATTTTTAATATTATAAATTTCTTTTAAAACTTTAATTCTTTATCTTTTTATAATTAAGTTTTAATTTTAAAAATATTATTTATATAAAGTAAATAATTCTATAAAAATTCTACTATTTTTATTTTTTAATAATATAATTTATTTAAGTAGATATACTAATTTAAAAAAACCTTTAATTAAAAAAACTAAAATCTTAAACTCTAACCCTTAAAATTTAAAAATATTTTATTATTAATCTTTATAAAATAAGGATTTTAAAAGTATTTATTTTATAGTTATATAACCTTTATTTAAGAAGATATATATAATTAAAAAGTAACTTTTTATAGGTAAAAATAGTAGAAATAGTTAGGGTATGGGTGTTATAAGGTTTTGGCCGTTGCGGGTTTTTGGCACCCATTCTGCCAGGAGTGGGTAAGTGGAAGCCGAGGCCCACGGGTAGGTCATTGCCCCACTATAGGCTCCCAAAACGCGCTCATCAGTGGGGGATGGACGCGTCTCAGTTCTCAGTCAAAGCATCCTCTCAGTCACGTCCCCATCATAAAGGAATCATATCCTGCAGACAGATCAGCCCGATCTGACAGACACAGAAAACACGGCCGAGAACAATCAGGTTTGCCCCCCATCGAGGACCCACGAAGCCCCATCCCCATCCTGTCAACCCACGTGTATCGAGCACTGGTACTGGTAAGTACACTGCTGTTTATCTATGTACACCACCACTGCTCCGGTGCGAGGAGCCCTGGCGGCTGAAGCAATTATCGAGCAGGCATCTCCACAACCCCGGCCAAAATCTCAACCACAAACCCCCAACAAGCCAGCTGCAATATGGAGGCCCAGACCACACCCCGTATCACTGCGCCCTACCTCGACTCGTTCCAGGGCCGCAATGTCATGATCGTCGGCCGCGTCGTCCAGCTTCGAGGAGAGACCGCAGTCATCGACGCTGACGGTAACATCACCGCCCACCTGCATCGCGTACGTGACCATCTCTTCCAAGTTTTTGTGCCATCCCAATCCCATCCCCTCCCCCTACCTCTCGGTCCCGTATTCCAGCCATGCGAGTTTCACACCTCTTTTCTTTTTCATGCTTGGGCCCAGTCTCGACCGTGACTGACATCGGGGGACATCCCCCGCCGCGTACAGGAAGCCCACCTTTCCAACGGAAATGCGGTCCAGATCATCGGCAAGGTCAACCCAGACCTGTCTGTCAAGGTTTTAAGCTCACTAGACATGGGCACTGGTGTCGGTACGTGTGCCCCCCCGTCCCCGTCCCCTCTCATGGGACGGCAGGCCCCCCGGATGGCGTGGGGTCCTCACTCCCCTTCCCCCCCATCAGGGAACCCATGCACCAACACATGCAGCATTGGGATGCCGCCAGGTCATCACGTGATGCCCTTCATCATGATCAAGTGGCACTGACGTCAAGCCATACACAGACTTCAACATCTACCATCACGTCGTGGAGGCCACCCAGAAGCACCCGCAGCTCTTTGGCTCCCACTGACGTCCCACCACCACCGTCAGCAGTAGCAGCAACAGCAGCAGTCAAGGGCTCGTCTCGCTCGGGCCCTCCGATTCCGTGTCCCAATGTCAGCGTCACCAGCCCCGGGGCTGGAGCGGGGGGGTGATCAACGACGAGTATGGTGGAGCCACCAGCCTGGAGCACGGCCTGAGCAGGCTTGATCTCGGCCGAGACGCGGAGGACCCGCTGCCACTGCCCACATTGCCACATGAAATAATAGCCCGTTCCGGGCCAGACGATGATATGTTTTCAACCACCGGGGACCGGCCTCGCAGGAACCCCATTAGCACCAAGCGGATACCAACGACAAGGGAGCCCGCACCACCGGCAGGAGTCAGCACCAGGCTTACTGGGACGTGGTAACTGGGCCGTCAGCGGAGCTCCTGGGGTCCATCTTGGGCGGCGTTGCGAGGCAGACCGGCGGCGGGAGGACATACGCCCTCCTGGTCATGGACAGCTCTGGGCGCTGGCGTGTTGCTCGTACTGCGGACGCGGACGAGATTCTCCCCGGTGATGAGAGATAGTGCCGTGGCTTTTCAGCAAGACATTTCTGTTGCCCTGTGAGCTGTTGGCCTTGTTTGGAATGGCATAGTGTGTTTGTAAAACAAAAGTGGTTACTCTTACACGGCGCGTCTGAAGCCTCCCTCCCCAACAAGCCCAAAGCCGCCCCGTCACGTATATGTGGCCAGTAAAGCCAGCCCCTATCAGACCCAAAAGTCTCGGGGTGGTAGAATGACGGCATTAAGAACAACTTGCTCGTCCGCTGCATCCTCTCAATCGGTTTTAAGATGTTCCCTCGTTCTCTCTCTAACTGGGGTTGAGATGGTTATCGCTTTTCGGTAGTCTTGAGGTCGCACGGGATCTTTGCCCAACAGAGGACCCCGTGCAGACTGAAGATCTAGATCAGGAGCCAGGGTGATCATAAAATTGACAAGCTCCCAGTTACCGTCTTTTGCAACGACGGGAGTCGACATCGACGGCAGCAGATATTATTACTCGTGCCCTCCCTTCCCCTCAAGAAGAATAGTACTAGTAAGACGTGTTTATCTCTACCTCTTCTGAGTAAAAATCAAAACGCTCAAACTTACAATCACAGCAAAGACACAGAAATCCTGAAAACTCTTGACAATGTGTATGTAGTTTGAGTGAGGTCTAATGCCTCTTCACTAAGATCTACGTCGGTCGACGTGCTGTTTGTTACTGCTGCGTTACGAAGCAACCGTCCTCGTTGCCAAAGTGCTAAAACAACCAAGTGCTAAAAAGCCTGGACAATCAATACCCTATTCGCTCCCAATCACCCCTGGGCTGAAGATCTTCCTTTTCAAAGAAAGAACAAGCCGTACTGCCAACGCCAAATGCAAAACCACACGCCCCGCCAATGATGGGCTTAAACAAACACAGTGTACGTAAAAAAAAAAAAATGTTGCCCAGCACACACAGAGAGAGGATTGAACACCGTCGGTTCTCACCTGGTCATGCGCCTCCCTCATTCGCCGTCCCCGCCGTCCGCCATCATTACCTCGCCGAAGTTCTCCCACGAGACGCCCTCGCCCTCGACGCCCGTCTGGGAAGCCGCCCCAAAGGACACGTGCGCCCCTCCACCGTTCTTGCTGATCAGCGGTGGCGAGCTAGGCATCACCGCGTCGGTCGTCAGGAAGTGACCAAAATCAAGGCCCTCCAGGTGCCCCGACAGGACGGCGTCGCTGTCCAGGTTCGGCAGGCTCGCGAGGTCCAGGTCGCCCAGGCCGTGTGCCGAGGAACCCGTGGTGAAGTCGTGCGCCTCGGACAGGAGCTGGTTCAGTGTCGACGAGAAGGGCGAGTCGAGATGGCCGGTGGCTGCTGATAGATCATGCGCTTCGCTGAACATCGCCAAGTCACTGTCGAGGGAGAAGGGCGCGTGAAAATGATTGGTTGAGTTAAAATCGTACCGCTGCGCATTGTGCCTCATGGCACTCGATACTCGTGGTGTCTTGGTTGGCGTTTGCTGCAGAGCGTGTAGAGCATGTCCTGGTGACTTGGCGACCGAGCGCACCGATCGTATCGACTTCGAGACACTTCTAGTTATCGGGCGATGGCTCGGGGTTGGTCGCGTAGGCGTCTTGAAATGACCTATGCTCTTCTCCTTGGGAGGTGGCGTTGACGGGCGCGGGGGCGTGCCGAATAAGTCCGCCATATCATCGTCAACGAGAGCGCCTCTGTGAGCAGACTTTGGTTCACCAAGGAGCTTCAGGTCCCCTTCGATATCCAAGTGCATGTTCTCCTGCTCCATCACCACCTTTTTGGATCTCTCATAGGACGGCGATGTCTTCACAACATTAATCGCTACTTCACCGAGCACCTTGGGCTGGCCATCTTTCTTGGGTGAAGGAAACAGGAGTCGACGAGTCCGCCCTAAGTCTTCATCCTCCGGATCGGCCGGGCCCTGAGTCTTGCCGTTGTCGCGTGACTTGGACGAATCCCGACCGTCGGCATCACCGAAGGAATCCCCTGGACCAGTTGACTGTGACTTGGAGCCACGCTCACGGCTGGGTGGTTCAGTCGTCGGTAAAAGCATCACCTCGTCACCATTTTCCGGCGATGAACCGTCATCACCTGGACCGATCGGGTCCGTGGTGAAATAAGCCTCGGAAGTCAGATTGGCTGATCCCTTGTTTTGCGCCTTGGTCTTCCTGGGACGAGATTTGCCATTGCCCTTCTTTCGCGGTCTACAAATCTGAGCCGGATCATTCTCCCACCTGTCCTCAGGTCGGTGAGACTTGAACTTGCTGAGCCAAATACCGCAAGCTATTAATCGTCAGTCAATTGTACCTGGGCAAGGCCGTCAAAAAACACCCACAGTTACAGAGCATATCTTCATTCCATTTGGCTTTGTCCTCAGTTGGTCCAAGGGCTTTTTTGATGACCTGATACTCCAGTGGCTTCTCATTCTCGTCTCGTTTTGTGATTATGATAGCTGTAATGCAACCGGGCTTATCAGAGAACACGGGGAACTCGGGGCTTCCCTCGCAGCGTTGCGAAAACACTTTGCGCCAGGTCGGCGTGCTGATGGCGCCGCAATTCGAGCAGAAAGTAGGCATTTGACCCGCCTCAATTGCTCTCTCCAGCTTTGCTTTGATCGACTGTTTTCGGGAGAAGTTCTTGCTCGGCGGGTTTTGTTCTTCCTCTTCCTCATAAGCAAAGTAGGGGAGGTTGGTGGGCTCGGGCAATCCCGGCTCACTCGCCTCAACTGAAGGCTTAGGTGTTGGGACAGCGACTTCTGTGGTCGATTGCGGAGGAGGAGAGGGTATTCGTGGCGGTTCTGACAGGGCCGGCAGGGCCGGCAGGGCCGGCAGCTCATGCGCATCATCCGCTTCGTCTGGCATGGATAAGCCATCAGCGAGAGGCTGATCCAACAGGCGCAATAGACCATCCTCAGTGTCTTCAATCGATGGAAGAGCCGCAGGTTCAGGTCCCTTTGGGTTGCTTGCTGCCTCATCCGTTGGTTTGTGCACTGGCTCTTGCACAGGCTCTACCACCGCAGCCATCTGTGATCCAACTTTTTCGATGGTCTCGAGCTCCGAGGGCAGTTGTGGTACTGACGGCGGGCCAGTCGGCTCAACGGGCGTTTCCTGTCGTTGAAGATTTGGCTCAGTATTTGCTCTCTTCAACGGATACGCTACTGCCTTCGTACCGGTTCCTCGAGACTTTTTATTGAGTCCTTGGGAGCTGGATTTTGGCCTATAGATGCTCTTCTTGGGGAGCAACTCTGGAGGCCCGGGGCACACCTGTTCGATGATCATGGTCCCCGGCTTCGCTGCTGTCTTCGCTCTCTTTGCTGGCGCGGGTCTTGCGGCTTCTAAAACCCCTGGCTCCTCCGACCTTGGAGGGAGCGAATTTGCCATAGGCAAATCGTCATAGTCGGCAATGGAGTCAAATCCTCCGCTCATGAAGCCAGAATCCGGCTGAGGCATCGGCATCGGTGGCAGAACAGGACTGGAAAGCGGCGGACTAGACCGCATGGATTGAGCTGACCTCGGCACCGGAGGACTAGAACCGATGTCCGCGGGGCTCTCCTCTGGCGTGTATGCCTGGTGTGGTGACTGCGCGACGGACTCGGATGGTGACCGGGCGTCTTGGCCAGGTGGTCCGGGTATACCACCGTCAAAGACTTGATATCTGGTAGCTCCATCATACCCCAGAACGGACGGTCTCCTAGACGGTCCCTGGGACATGGACTTTGAGAGCGGGCGAGGAGGAGCTTGACCAGGTACAGGTGTCGGTGCACGAGGGACTTCCTGGAGGTGACTTCCTCCAACCCCACCGCCGCCGGACGCTGCAGGCCTCATAGTACGAAGAGAACCCGACGTACTGGCGGCGACCCGCAGAGATCCAGGAGCGGAGTCCAATGGAGCCCCCTTCGGCCAGTCCGCCTTGGTAGTCTTCGCCCTCTTCTTTTTCGAAGGCTCGTCTCCATCTGTCGCGTCTTCAATGGCAGACGTGTCGCCTCCGTCCTGTCGTGGATGCTTGGGAGGTCTGCCTCTAGGGTTTCCTGTTTTCTTCTTATTGGGCGCTTTGGACGAAGAGCGCTTAGGCTTCTTCGTTGGTGCAGGTGCCCCAGACCCACTGCCTTTTGACGTGGTTGATGTGGTTTCAGGAGCCATGCCAAACGTGGACATTGGTGCTGTTGGCTGAGACCCTGCCATGCTGGAGGGAGGCGGCGTAGGTGCTACAGGCACTGGTGCAAAATGGTCTGGACGCGCATCTGGAGCCGGGCTGCCCATCTGGACCGGTGTACCGAATCTTGCGGGAGCGAGGTTTGGACTGGGTGCCGAAGGTCCACTCACTGGGCGACCGAAGCCCGGGTTCGACTGGATGAAGTTTGTCCATTCACTGGCCGTGTCGGTCGGCGTAGGCGTTGGAGCATTGCTTCCGTATCCTCGTTGGACCTCGGCATTGTGTGAAGTTTGCGGACGCTGCATCCTGGGGACAGAGTTCAGCTTCAGCTTGACCTCCAGTGTCTCCTTCACGCCGTTACCAAAGATGGCAAGCATGTTCTTGGTGACGCGCCCGGTAACTAGTTTCTGCTCAGGACTGGCTACCGTCTGGTCGAGCCCCCACGACAGCATTCCCTGTCCGACCAGTGGGACGTCCTCTTCGGAGTAGTCCAAGGCGTAGACGGCGTAATCTTTGTCGGACTGGTTGATAATCTCGGGGCTGCACTGGGCAATAGCCTGCAGGCATATTCTCAAGTCGACAACGCCGATCGTGGTCCTCTCGTCGATGGGTGCTGTTTGTATTTGCAGGACGTGGGGCCAGCGGGCTAGACAATTTTGTTGGTCCCTCTCGAAGGTGTAATTGACTTTGACTGTAGAATAAACGGTGAGCCTACTACGGCGACGAGGTCAAGTAAAGCACGGTCATGAGCTTACGTCCCATGGGCCGCATCTGCGTGCCCTCGGCGTCTTGGGGAGGTTGTGCTGGCGGCGGAAGGCCATGAGAATGGTACTGCGGCTGCGGCGCCCAGGAGCCGCCGCCCTGGGAGCCCATGGCGTTGGAGAACGACATTCAGTCGTTCAATGGCCGCGCATGCATGCAAAATAGGCCCTCTGGCACGGTGACGACGAGGAGCAGGCCGAGAGGAGCGGTGGAACTGGGTGTTGTTGTATGTGGTGGAAGGAGGACAGGAAGACGAGGACAAAGAGAGGAAGTTGGTGGGTGGACGGCGATGGTGTGGTGTCGGCCGGACGCGTTAGGTAACAAGAGTTGGAAGGAAAGGTGAACAATAAATAAATGGGTCTGGTGGGTTCGAACGCAGTTGTGGAAAGGGAAAAGCAATTAAAGGCTGGTAAGTGGTTTGGGAGCTTGGTCTGGTTTTGCTGCCACGAAGGTCGCGTCTCGTCTCGCTCTCACGCGTCCTCTGGCTGTGGAGTGGATCTTTTGCAGTGCGCCAGGGTGCAGGTCGTGGCGGTGGCCGGCTGATCGCGGTAGATGGATCGGGTCCAATTGAGCCAACAACGACGCGAATAGTTCGAAATCCTCCTTGGATGTGTTGTGCACTGGCTGCGGTCCCTCATGAAATTGACTGCACGCACGAAAAAGACGTTGCAGTAGATGTTGACAGACTCGAGCCGGAGGGAACAGGAAGTAATAACTGGTGGGAAACGCTCAAGGTGGGATGGGAGGTATCGCGACACGCCCGCTGTGCGGGACTGGTACAAACAAATTGACGCGACGAGAAGGGAGCTGACCGAAGTGGCAGGGGTAGCTCTTAGGAGACTGCACAATCAGCCGCACTGAGACGGGACGCAGGTACCTCGACCAGGCAGGGCCCAGACAACGGGTCCCCACACGGTAGGTGATAAGGGGGGCGATAAGAGGAATGACGTTTCCTGGGGTGCTAGAATTGGTTGCACCCAACTGATGTCCCGGTCGATCGGACTTAGGCACTTGGACTTTCAGGACAGCTCCGGCGTCTCAGAAGGCAGCCATCCCACCCATCAAATGCTGATGCAAATCAAGCAGAAGAAGCAGAGGAAATCCGAATATCAATCATTCGAAGGGGCCGGAGGTCCTTTTTATACCCCGGAGCAGCACGGGCGCTAATACCCAATGACTCAAGTACTATACACCATCTCGCCGCCGCCGCCGTCTTATGCGGTGGACTGCCGCGTTCTTGTTGCAGGTGTGTTGAAGCTTTGCAGTCGTGAGCTTTCCATCAACATGGCCTGTTCTATTCGGTATTTCCATCACCCCGCATCTCCCCAACTCTACCACAGTAGCCACACTCTCGAATAGCAGGGCCTAGTCCACTAGCGCCTTTGCATCGCGTTGCAAATTGAGGTCATCGTCAACATACACAAACACAGCACTTGTATTTATTTTTGGAGTCTTACACAACATGCACCCCCGCCAAATATTTACCACTCATGCATGCTATCTATCGAGGCCCAGTCTCTCTTCCACACTATAGCTGAGGATCGGTCTTCTCCTCAATATCGTTCTTCTCCTCAACATCGGCCTTCTCCTCAACAACAGCCGCCGGAGCCTCCTCTAGCTCCTCTTTGTCTACCCATTGTGCAATGTTGCCCGGCATCACCTTTGTTTTCCTCGCAACAATCTCGCTCACAATCTCACGCACGCCCTGCTTGCCAATCATCCGCGCAGAGAAGGCGTTCACGATCTGTTTCTGTGTGTAGTGCTTGGACTTGGCGAAGCGCCTCACGTCGTCCTCGGATACGATGCCGAATTTCCGCCATGGGTATTCGGCGTAGTCGTCATCTGTCAGCAGCTGCAGCGGCGCCACGTCGCGCGAGATCTGGAAGAACGGCTGCGCGATGCTGTCCTCGTCCTGGATGTCACCCAGGCTTGCAGGCTTCCACTTGGGATCCTTGGTCTTGTCGAGGAGCAGTGCCCTTACGCCCTCGGTGAAGTCGTTGTGCCGCATGAACTTGGCGGCGATCTGGTGCTCCCGCTTGAACGTGTCGGCGATGCTCCACGCCCGGCCCTGCTGCATCTGCTTCAGTGTCACATGGATGGATGTCGGTGACCTCGCCAGCAACGTCGCGATGGTCTTGTTCGCCCAGTCCTTCAGCGGTCCCTCTGGCTGCTCCTCCAAGGCGCTCATGATCTCGCTGACCGTGGGCTTCGAGAAGCAACGGTCGATAGCCTTGCGCAGCTCACCCCCCAGCAATATGGGTTGGTCATGTGGCAATCCGGTAGAATACTCGTCGATGGCTTCATTGATGAGCGAGAGCCGCTTCTCCAGGCTGTCGAAATCCCTAAACCTGAGCTCCGCGAGCCGCTGCTCGAGCATCGGAAGCGTCGTCGAGTGCATGTAGTGCGTGGCGACACCCGCGTAGAACGCATTCGCGCCCCTGAGCTGCTCGCTCGTCAGCGCGAGGTAGGTGCCCACTGCACCAGGCATCCGTGGCAGGAAGAATGAGGCGCCGACATCGGGGAAGAAGCCGATCGTGGTCTCAGGCATCGCGAAGACGGTGCGCTCCGTCGCTATCCTGAACGGCGCGTGAATGCTCAGGCCAACGCCACCACCCATGGTGACACCGTCCATGAAAGAAATGTATGGCTTCTTGTAGGTCGCTATGAGGTGGTCCAGCTTGTATTCGAGCGCAAAATATTCATCCGATGACCTCTGGCCCTCTTCTCCCGTCATGTTTGCTCGTGCCAGAGCCGCCACGTCCCCTCCAGCGCACAAGGCGTTGCCTGCGCCCTTCATGACGACAACATTGGCCATGTCTGATTTTTGCCATTCTATGAGCCGAGGTCCTATTTTGCGAATCATGGATCCGTTGAGGGAGTTGAGTTTCTTCGGCCGGTTCAGCTCGATCGTCCGGAGGCCGTATATGCTGTTGAAGACGACATCTTCGGGCTCGTCGCCTGGCTGCGGTTGCCAAATCGGTGCGGACGAGGATAACGAGGACTTCATAAAAGTGTCAGCTGGGGTGGATTGGCCAAAGAATTGGTCTTGGTTGGGCATACAAGTGATCTTGGGCCCGGCTGTTGGTCCATGATCTTTGCTCTGAGAGGAGACATGACGGTGGCTCTGCAGGGCCGGCAACACGCTGATGCTGTTAAGCCAGCTCGCGCCGAGAGCGCTCTTGCGAACATTTACAAAAAGTGGTGACCCTCAGCCTGGCTATTTCCTGCGACGGCGCATGCAAAGTTGACTGATCAGTCTGGATCAAGTCAAACCGAGAGAGGGGGAGGAGCGCTCGGAATGCTAAGGTTTAGTTGCCGAACCGTCTTCCAAATGATGCTACAAATTTGCTAGCAGGGACCTCCAACCCCGGAGCATTGGAAGCTTGGGGCGTCACCCATGCTCGGGCTGGCAGAGGGACCCCACCTCCCGCCGGCCTCACCCAATCACACCCCAGCCGGCCTTAAGAGCTCCTAATTTTCCAGGCGACATCTCTATGCGCTTGTTGCTGCGTCCGACGTGAAAGCCGCGGCCTTGTCTCTCGTCCGCAACTCAACTCACGCATACCGCAAACCTCTCTCTACACAGACACCATGGCCGACCCCAAGATCCAGTAAGCAGCCCTCCCTGGCCTGCTCACATTCATATCCCAAATGCTAACATTACGACAGGGAGCTGCTCACCAAGCCTCGCAACGAACTGACGTGCGTCCCGCCCGCCTTCTTCTGTCGCGTCCCACCAGGCCCAGACTGACTTGAGAACAGCGAATACGAGATATCCCAATTGGAAGAGCGTACGTGCACACCCATCTGGCCGCTCTCGCCTTGACGCGTTCGCAACGCGCCGCCGCCGGCGACAGCATGCCCGGACGCCCCCCCCCCCCCGGGAGGAGAGCAGTTGCACGCTATATCAGGCACCCATCAACAGAGTCGCTAACGTGGGACCAACAGATGAGTTCTCCGCGGGGCCCCTCTCGATCCTCCAGACCGCCGTCCGAAGCCACACCCAGGTCCTGATCTCGATACGGAACAACAGGAAGCTGCTGGCGCGGGTCAAGGCGTTCGACCGGCACTGCAACATGGTCCTCGAGAACGTCAAAGAGATGTGGACCGAGACGCCCAAGCTTGCTAGCGGCAAGAAGGGCCGGCCGGTCAACAAGGACAGGTTCATCAGCAAGATGTGGGTTACCAAATCACCCCTTGAGGAAGCATGGGAGGCTTGTGGGGGGGGGGGGGTTGTCGCCCGCGCCGCTCCTTCTCCCGCCGCCCCGTGCTATTGCAATTTCGGAGACTAATGTTGGTACGCGCAGGTTCTTGCGAGGAGACTCCGTCATCCTGGTTCTGTTGAGCTGAACGGGGGGGATGTGTTGTATTTTAAACGTTTCACGATACCCCTAGGAGGACTTACCGTCCGGGTCGTCAGGGTGTGTTCTGCTTGCTTTTTCCAAAAAGGGTCAAGATCATTCACATATGGACAATAGGCGTTGAGAAATTGAGTCGACTTTTTCTTGGGATTCAAAAAAGAACAAATACTGCTACTTTCGCATGCATGAGACTTCGATCACCATGCATGCCGTGTGCTACTTGACATGGGAATCATAAAGATTAGGTATTACAGTCCGGACGCCCTCGGTATAACAGAAGCCCAAACCTCCCGGCTCACAACTCCGCGCAGACCAAGCACTTTGGCTGAGTAGGGGTGGGTGGGATTACCCGCCGGCACATTACACCTTCTCCCAGCCCTCCTCGTTCGTCTTGGGCGGTTTCAGCCCCGCGACGCCGAGGAAGAAATATGCCAGGCCCCAAGCACCGGGGTCGGGCACGTGCTTGAAGCCAGAGCCGCCGACGTAGACGGAGCGGCCCAGGCTCGCCACCATGCCCTGAGTCGCCTCGGCGGCAGCTATCGAGGCCTGCGCCGCCTTTTGGACGTCGCCGGACTCGGCCAGCGTGTCGACGAAGGGGTATAGCGCGTCAACCAGGGTGCGGTCGCCGGGCCTTGCGGGCGTGTACCTTGAGAGCGCCTCGCAGGACTGCTTCAGGGCCTCGGCCCAGACCTTTGGCGACGCGTCTCCCGGTGCCAGGGTGCTGAGGGCGTGCACGAGTGCGTTCAGGAAGATGGCGTAGAGCGCGCCACTGGTGCCGTCCATTGCCATCTCGACGACAGAGACGATATTTGCGATGTCTATCACGGCGTCCCCGGTCAGGGGGTTGGCCTTGAGGTGCTCGATGATCGCTGGTGATGTGTCAGTGGGACGAGCCGAGAGTCGCTTATGGGATGATGATTGCTTGCTTACCCTCTGCGCCTCTCTTCAGGCCGATGCCACAGTCGCCGTCCCCGACCACCGAGTCGTATCGGGTGACGTCTGGCTCTATTGCAATGACGTACTCGAGCCCCGACTGCAGAGCCTTGGAGGCGACGCTGGCATCGTACTTCAGCCCACTGGGCTTGACCTCGCCGCCTGCGGATGAGGTGTCCTCCCGCGTGGCCTCGTTCTTCTCCTCCCATGTCTCCTTGGAGATGGGGGCAGCCCAGCCAGTCGCCTCGCTAGGGTAGTCCAACAATTGGACCATGCTCGGGCCGCCGACCTCAGTGTTGACAACATTGAGAAGGGTAATGCTGAAGCCCAGGCCGTTCAGACTCGTCATGTACGTGCCGCTCAGTATCCTGACAGGTCGGATGTTGTAATCCTTCTGCAGCTGTGTGACAACCTCGGCGGTGATACCCCCCAGCTCGAGGACGCTCACTCCGCCCAGGTTGTTCACCAACAAGACAATCTCGTTAGAGTTGACATTGAGGAACGCCCGGTCCTTGTCCTCCTGGTCCAGCAGCTGCTTCAGCATCCTGGCTACAAGCTGAGGAAGCTCGATCTCTTCCCTGCCGCTTCCGGCCTCGTTGTGGATGCCCATGCCGATCTCAACTTCCTTTGCGCCCAGGGCTTCCGGGTCGTCTGCCTTTGGCGGCGCGCGGCCGGGCACGTGGACGTGCTCCAGACTGGCACCGACACTGACGAGGTTGGAAGCAGTGAGCCTGGCAACCTTGGCGACATCCTTGAGGCTGTACCCCTGGGCGGCCAGGGCGCCGGAGATCTTGTGGACGAGAACCGTGCCGGCGATGCCCCTGCGGCCGACCTTGCCGGCCTTGGCCCTGCCGACACCGACGTCGTCGCCGACGACGACCATTTCCGCGTCGACACCGCCGGCGCGGGCCTTCTCGACGGCCATGCCGAAGTTGAGGACATCACCGGTGTAGTTCATGACGGTGACGAGCACGCCCTTGTCATGGCTGACACGGGTCTGGATACCAGCGCGAATCTGCTCGGCAGACGGGGAAGCAAAGATGGTTCCAGAGACAGCGGCAGTCAACAGGCCCTTGCCGACCATGCTGGAGAAGGAGGGCTCGTGGCCGGCGCCACCACCGGAGACGATGCTCACGGTTGGGTTTGAGGAGTCATTGGGGGTGGGGCGGCGGTAGACGACCTTGTTGTGCCTGTCGAGGGCCAGGGAGGGGTTTGTGAAGGTGATGGCCTCAAGGGCCGAGTTGACCAGGTGTGTTGGGTCGTTGACAAAGTGTTTGGCAGACATGATGGCGGCGGATATCTGAATTCAGTTCTGAACCGTCGAGATCCTGTCAACCTGGCTGCAGCATATGCGATTGTCTACGGTACAGCAGATGGAGGGTATGAGGCCGGCGCAAGACAGCGAGGGTTTATAAAGACCCACTGGGTGGTCGAGATGGAGGATGGAAAATTGCCTGATTGACGGAAGAATTGAGGGGAGAGGAGCTGAGAGGAGCTGGGGCGAGGGAGCTCTCACATCACGATACCTGTCTGGGGCGTGGCCCTCGCCGCCATCTAATAGTCGAGCAGTCGGCGGGCGCAATCGGCCCATTCGGGGCAGCCAGGCCACCCAGACCGAGCAGCTCTACTGCTGGGTGCTCGGCGCGGGACATGGTTGGCATGGGCTGGTTGGCTGGGTCGTGGTTTGCTGCTTGCTCCTGCGCTACTGGGCAGGTGTCACGGTTGACAGCCAGGGTGAACTTGTCCGGGCGGAGGCGTCTAGAATGTCGGCTGTGGAGCGCAGTGGGATGAGCCTGTCACGCGCGGGGGCCGCTGCGGGGGAACGGATGGGGTGATGGCAACCTGCGTCGCCATCCGACCTGCCAGGCCCTGCCAGGCCCTGCCAGACCCGTCCCCTGGGGTTCGCCGGGCAGCCTGGGCAGCTGGGGCAGCTTGGGGGCTCCCGCCCGAATGGTTTCCCCGCCTAAGCGAAAAGTCTCGTCTGCGAGAAGTCGTGTCCGGTTCTCAACGTTCGTTCCGCGCCCCCCAAGCTGTCCCCTCAGCGACCCCTCACTGAACCCTGCTCAGCCCCTTCTGCCCCTCCGATTCTAGTCCTTCCATCCCTACGTTTCAACGTCTCCTCCACATGTGCCACCCCATCCGCTGCCGCATCGCATCGCGTCGCATCGCATCGCATCCGTTCGGTCCCAGCTCAGTGGGCCGGATGCCTTTTCCGACAATCTTTTTCCGGGGCCGTGGTTTTTTTTTTCACCGGGCCATTCACGGTGCACCTTTCCGTGTGGGAGTGTGTGTGCACTTGCAAGAGTGTGTACGACTTTGTTCATCTATCATTTTAACTCGTTCATCATTTATAGTATATGCATATTGGCTGTTGATTTCCATCTTTGATCTGCACGGGTATAACCTCATCCATCCACCCATCAGTCAGTCAGTCAGTCATTCATGCAGTTGTCTACTGTGTAAGTATGCACCCCCACACCCTCCCCGCCTCACGTCGGCTTGCCACTCGTCGTCGGTCCCGGCGAGTGCTCGCAACTGGCGCCCAACCGGAGATGCTGTGATGCTCTGCATCCATTCATCCAACCCACCCCAGGCCTGCATGTTTGGGTCTAATTATAAGACCACGGCCCAATCCTGCTCGACTTGCTTGAACCCGGGGAGCGGAGGTAGGCGAGATTTGCTGACCCAGAACCCAGGATTTCGTGACAGAATTGCGCCGCAGATCGTCGGACGGCCCGGAGTCAACCCCCGAGGACGCCTATCATGTCGTGTCATGTTATTCGTAGGACAAATAAAAGCCACCAGGGGCTTTGTCGACTCATTTCATAATAAAAACGGAACCCCCGATGACGCTCAGCGCGATGGCGCTCGTCATGAACCCGGCTGCCACCCTCTCGCCCATCGTGATCGGCGCCAGCACGGGCAGCTTGTCGTCGTTCTCGATGCCGGCGTTGGGGTTGCCCTGCGACGTGCCGCCCGTGTCGGCCGTGACGGGTGCCGTGGAAGAGCCGCCGTCAGAACCGCCGCCGCCGCCGCCGCCGCCCGCGTCCACCCTCCTGGTGAGCGAGTACGTGACGGCCGACAGCGCGCTCATCTGCTGGCCCACGCCCACCAGCCCGTCGAAGCCGCCCGTCGTCCACTTGAACCCGCACGCCGTGCCGGGCTTGCCGTTGAACCCCTCGGCCGGCGACCCGGAGCACGCCTTGGCCGCGGCCTCGGCCGTCGACTGCAGCAGCGGGAAGATGGTGTCGTACGTGTAGGGCGCCACCTGCGTCGTGCCCGACATCCACCGCAGCAGGTAGCCCTTGAAGCTCTGCTGGTCCGTGTCGCACAGCTCGACGTTCTCGCAGGCCTGCTCCATGACGACGCTGTTGTTGAAGAAGACCGCCTGCGTCTCGTTCAGGATCCCGTCCAGCCGCTTCTTCCACTCGGCCTGCTCGGCGCCCGACGTGATGTTGTACATGATGGCCGACCCGTGCATGTAGATGCCCGCGTTGTACGTCCACTGGATCACGTCCGGCTTGGTGCAGTTGGCCCCGTTGTCCACCCCGGCCCCGTCGTAGATGCGGAAGTCGGGCGTGATGAGGTTGACGCCCTGCTCCCACTCAAACACCCGCTGCGCCCAGTTCGCGTACGTCTGGTTGCCCGTGAACCGCGCCAGCCTCGCCGCGAGGTTGAAGAAGCACCCGTTCGAGATCGAGTTCTTGTAGTTGAAGCCGTTGTTGAACGTGAAGATCTGCCACCGCAGCCCGCCGTTGCACGTCTGCTCGTCCCACCGCGTCGTGTACTCGTTGAACACGGCCTGCGCGAGCGCCAGCCACTGCGGCTGGTCCGGCGGCGGGTCTGGGAATCGGTTCTCTGCCGCCGACATGGCCGCCATCGCCCAGAACCCTTGGTCGTCGTTGCCCTCCGTCCGCGTCTGGTTCGCCGGCATGAAGTCCTTGTCATCGCCAGCCTGGTGCAGCATCGCCTGTGTGATGACGGCTGTGTAGCTCTCGTCCCTGGTAAATAGCCAGTAGTCGATCATGGTTCCCATCATCGCCCCCGCCTCCCACCAAAAGTATGGCGATGGTAAGTTGCCCGGAACATCGCCTGTGTTGTTGCCGGTATAGTACTTCATCAAACCGAATGCTATCGTGCCCGCCGCATCTTTTACTGATTCTGATAGGTTCGGTCAGCCAGGTTACAATTTGTAGGGGTACATGTAGACGAGAACACTTACGGACGTCGGATACTTTGAGCTCGACGGCGAGAGTATTTTGACAAAGCAGGCCCAATACCCCTGCTGCACTGAGTACTCCCTTCATCGTGAAGATTATGAAATGGAAGCCAGCCTGTCTGGTCCTTGATATGACCAACAATAAAGAGAATCAAGTGTGTACTGTGTAATAACAAGCCGCTCTACGGTCTCCACAGCATCACACTCAGGAAGGAAAGATACCAATCCACGGAATATCCAATACCTCGGCCTGGAGGCTCGATCACAAGATCGCAAGAAGAGAAGGTGCCGTTGCTTGGCCTGGAATAATGGCAGAAACCAATGAGTATCGAATTAATGAATGTATACACCACCAGGGCTGGGCAGCGATAGAGACTGCGAATAAAGTTGCTCCCAAGCAACTGAACAACAACGAGAGAAAGAGAAAGGAAGCTTGAACCACGGGTCCAACAAACAATGTTGGATGTGCCACCCTCTTCACCAAAACGGCAAGGGGCCAGCAGAATACAACGCCCCCATGCCGTCACAGGCCAAGGGACAACAAACCTCGTCAGCGGGCGGTCTAATTCATCGGATGTTCGACGTGCCACGAGGCTGTGCACTATCACCCGGGGGGCCAGTCGGAGGGCTAGTGAAACGGCCCAAGTTCGAGGTCTGGGTTGTCCAGTCTCAAGACGGCCGGCCGTCGGGACCCCTGCTCCACCCCCTCAAAACCAGGCGTGGCTGGCCCGTCACAGTCTTGACAGCGGTCACACCTGCAGCGGGCAGTGCTCAACCACAGTTGTACTCTGGACCAGGAAATTTGGAGGGGACGGTCAATGGCAATCTGCAGATCTGGAGCTTATTTTTCGCGGATCCTTTGGGCTTCTGGTTCGTGGGGCTGTTTCGAGGGCAGCACGCTGGGCCTCAGGACACCCGCAGAAATAGTGGGTATCTCCGACTGCAACTCTTGTTTTGGGACTTCTGTGCGAGTATGATTTTATGCCTCGCTCCCAGGTACCTCCTCTCCTGAGGTGGATATCCTCGCAGAGACGTGTGATTAAGGTGAAATGGCTGCCGGCCTGGCGCCCAGAATCACAAGCAGCTTGTAACAGAGAATGTGAACCAGCGATTGGTGTAAGCGACCAGCGCCTTTCCCGAAACAAGAGCTGTGGTCCAGCCTCAGACGCCCAGACGCCTCGCGACTCATTACCGGCTTTACCATGGGCCCGCCATTGCCGTTGCATCTCATATTTATTCGTCTGAACCACTGGTCCAAAGCGCTCAATTCGAAGGTCATGCAAGCGGCCTGCCTTCTTCTGGCCCCGCGCGCCTGCTGAGAGGTGGCCGTTCTAGTGTACTTCGGACCGTCTTTGGGTGATCTTCAGGCCAACCGTCTATTATTAGCATCTGTGCGCTCTACTGTGGGACACTCCTGTCGACCAAAACCACGACCACGATGCTGTTGTTGCTCTACTGCTGCTGCCCTGCTTTTGTTGCTCATGTCTTGCGTCTTTTGGCAGGCGGTTCCTCCTCTGAAACCTCGTCTTCCTCCTTGTTGTCGTCGTCCGCCTCAGACTCAAAGTCATCGTCGCTGACTTCGTCCTGTTCCTGTGCCTGGGCTGGGGAGTAATGAGCAACAAGTTCTTCCGGGGGTGCATCCCTATACTTACTGAAGTATTTGATGGCGTTTGGCCACAGGTCTTCTGAGATGTGAATCGCGAGACTGTCTCCCTCTGGGAAGATCTCCAGGTCGTCTTCGTCGTCTTCATCCGCGTCGTCACCCTCGTCCTCCTCTTCGCCCTCGGCATTCTGGTCTTTGCCCTCCTGCTTGGCGATGCGTTCTTTCTGTGCCTTGTCCGAGGCCTCTTGGCTCTCCTCCGCGGATACATTCCGGCCAACGTAGCCGAACCATGCGAAGAAGCTCACCCCACCGAGCCCGGTGTTTTCGATCTTCTTCTTGAGCGACTTCTCATCTGGGGATAATTCCTGTGTCTTGGCGTCGCCTCCCTTGGCCCTGGACTGCTGAGCGTCCCAGACCCTCTTGGCCATTCCCAGTAGTCCTCCCGTCAAGTCCTTGCCCTTCTTCCAGTGGATCTCGACGGGCTCGCTCACAAGACCGCTCCAACCATTCTTGGCGTGTCTCTGCCAGAACTTCTTCTCGATGACCTTGTCTTCGAAGTGGTCGTTGTCGCTGAACTCAAACCTGAATAACAGGCTTCTAGGGTCACCATTGTTGCCATCTTCGATCTCAAACCGAGTCACGGACAGGGAAGTCAGCGAGCTCAGGAGCAAGGAAGAATCTGAAGGTTGTATGAACTCGTCGATGTCTGGCGGTGCTTGCTCAAAGACCAGTGGCCAGAAGTTTGGAATCTGCGAGACGAGCTTATGTCGCTTCTCATAGAGAGGCCGCTTCACCACGGCCTCTTGACGGGCTACGACGAATGTCAGCAAGTTGCTGATGGTTTGGATGACAATTATGATAAATTCCAGTGGTACACGGTTGCAGGGTGGAAGGGCAGTTCTTACTGATCTCAAGATCCGCATCATCAAATTCGGCACTCAGGTCGTTGAGCTCCTCATACGAGACGGAGGACTCCTCGGTTTGTGGAGGTGCAGCGGCCATTGTCAGCGGGGAGACCGAGGGGGTGTTTCCTGGCCGTCGACCAGGCCGTGTTTCAGCCGCAGTTGGCGACCGGATGGGCAGGGCGAAGATGTCCTCTTCACCTGGGTGACCTTGCCGACAAATTTTGAAGGCTTAGTCGCAGTTTCCTGCGAGATCCTTGGGGAAAGGAGCCGGTGAGCTGAGACTGCTGGTTTTGGAAGCTGGTGTTTGTTCTCCAACTGCAGCTGAAAACCCTGAGTTAACCCTGGTCCCAAGTACCCAAAAGGGGCAATGGGGGTGCTGTTGTTGACGGATCACGGGGAAAACTGCATACAGCTCACAACTCTTTTCCAACTGAAGGAGGGGGGAAGCACTGAGGCTAACATTAAATGGGCATGATATTTGCCATTCATTCGATGTCGAGTCCCACTTGGTCCAGTCATGCCTCCCTGCCGTAAGTTGCAACGCTGCCCCGTGCCCTACTTGGCTTACCCCGTACAGCACAAGGTCTGCAGCCCCAGGTCAAAAGGCTCTGGCTCCTTCCGTGCTCTCCATCCACCACAGCCCCAAAACCTGATCTCGCGCCGACTTAGGTTTGACGATCGGCCAGGCGCACAGGAAGGGAATGGATCCTCAGGACGTAATGATATGGTCGATGGCACGCTGGCATGATCCCGCACGGCCGGCCACTTGCCCAGTACTACATACTTAGTAGTCAAGAGAGCAGAGTAGTATGCGATCCGCCCCGGGCGTCAATCGATCTGCAACATGGCCATGTCGACGAACCGACTGCTCGTTTCTTGAATATGTGGCTCCCCACACTTCCTTCCACTTGGGTCGCAAGTCGCTCAGAGGCCACTCCTACCCAAGACCCATCCAGACCCACTCGCTGCGGTCTTGCGGAGTCGCACGAGAACGCAAGCATGCCGGCCTCAGAGGTTCAGAACCCATCCTAGGAGCAATGCAATGTGGCATTACACAGTAGACGCCGCGCGCCTGTGTTCCCACCGAACCTGCATGGTCAAGCCCCCTTTCGACTCGCGGGCGACGAACTCAGCGAGTGCACTCAAATATCCACTTTGGGGTTCTGGCCAGACCTCGTCGGCCTCAGCGGATAGGATTCCTATTAGCCGGCAGTGGGGCCGTCTAGGGCGACCATCGGCCATGTCGAAGCCTCGCAGCTTCTATGTTATGGTGTCGACCAAAGTAGATGCCAACCCCATTTGGGTGACTTATACACATACGAGTCTTCAGCTGTCCTGGACGATGTTAGAGGTTGTCCTTCGGCAAGGCTCCGCTGTAAATTCCTCATAGACACAAGATCATGGTCGAGAAAGCCTTCTGCTATCTCTCTAGAAAGACCTTGATATGTCCGTACTGTTCTGATGACTGGTATCATCGCATTTCCGTGATGACTTCAGCTCGAGGCTTGAAAATGGCCCACCAGAGATTACGGATGGATTCGGTAGTCACTGTATGCAAAATAAATGAAGATCATTGTAAGAGCCGCAGCAGGTGACATGCATCCCATACGGGTGACCTATGAGCCTGGGTGCCCCATTTTTCTTGTTTCTCGACCTCTGAAGATCACTCGGAAGTAGCTTGTCCCTCTCCTCAGAGGTAAGAGAAGGAAAGTTAGTATCAGTTGAGCTTTCTTGGACCAGCCTGAGGCTCGTCAATAGTGGAATGACGAGCGAGGACCTGGTCTGCCGGTATAATCAAAATACCAAAGCAAGACCTGGCAATGGACCAATAACGTGGGCTGTCCAGGATGGCAATAGAATAGTAACGTGTGGTATCAATGCAGTGGTCCGAGGAATCATGGCCGTCCTCCGCGCCGGTGCCCGGAGATTAGTTTGGGTGGCCACGGGATGTGAGAGGGCTTAGGTACCTAGGTACTTCTGAGTTCTGACACCACCATCGGGTACCTGGGTACGGCTAGTCAGACGTAGTCGGCTGGCAACATGCTAGTGACCGGCCGGGTGACTGACTGGTCCAGACCCCAAGGCGCAGACCGGGCTTCGGCCGAGGCTGCTGGGCGCAGACAGGCGGATATGCCGTCGATGATTGTTTCAACAGGAAGGAGGTCATATTTTTGAAATCCTCCGCGGCGTTGCGACATAGGGACGGGAAGCGGTGATCAAAGGGTGACATAGCAACCGGGAACCAGCAACAAGGCCAGGGCTTTTGTGCTCCGTGTCGTGTGCCCGGGACGCCTGCGTGCCAGAGCGACGTTGCACCCCTGACCCTTTCAGCTGACGGGGCGCGCCGAGGCCCAGGCCAGCCGGCTGGCCATTCACAAGCGGCAGCAGCTGGGGCGGCACTACACAGTCCTCAGACGCTGGGGCCCGCTTCCTCGTCCACTTCCAGGCAGGCCCGCCGCCATCAATCATTTCACCAAGCCTCCACTCACCTAACCCAACCCAACCTTCTCTTCGTCCTCCCGCATCCGACACCGACCTACGCCCACCGCCTCCACCACCACCACGGCCGACGACGTGCCTCAGATACGGTCGACCTACTCGAAATCAATCGTCCTGCCCAGGCGACATTCATTCACCCCATCCACGACCACCCTGCGACGCTGTGGTGCATGTCAAGCGGCCCGACTGCTGCCGACCGTCGCCGGTGACGCGACAGACCTCCCTGTCCCCCCAGACACCCACCCACTCCTTATCCCGACTGAAAATCAATCGCGCCTATCGAGGACGGCCATCCGGTGCCATTCCGCGACTCCAGCCCTCTGTGGCTCCCCGCCGTCTGGACCTTTTGACGCCTTGCCGGTCGCATCGCTGAGATTTCACCACCGGCAGAGCAAAGCCTTTGCCACCATCAGCCGTCAACCCCACCCGCCTCGCCTCGCGACCCACGGCAAGCCATCATGTCATTTAATCCCCAGACGCCGCAGAGCCCGTCGCATTTGTCACCTAGCAATTCCGACGCCGTTTCGGGTGTGCAGAGCACCATGACCTCATTCACCACGGCCCTGCCCACTCCCGCACATTCCATCAACGGGACTGCCCTACCTTCCGACTCGACCGCTGACGTCAGTATGGGTGCTGAGTCCCCCCACAAGCGAAAGCGCGTCCAGGAGGACATCGGAGAGCACGGCCAGAACCAGAAGAGGGTGCATATGGACGATGGCCTGCCGGCCCTCAAGGATATGCACGAGGATGTGGGGGAGAAGTACCTGGTCATGCAGAAGGCATGGCAGCCAGCCAAGCCTCTGCTCTCAGAGGACATCTTTGAGATGTACGACTTGACAGGCCTCGCCGGGGAGGTGGCTCGCGTGTTGCCCGATGGGACTAAGAACGCCATGCGCAAGACCTACAAGGGCCAGATTAAGAAGCTCGGCCTCATGGGACACTTCGACCCGGTGAAGAAGGAGCCAAACGACCCCGAAGGAATCCTGAGCCTGCTTTCCGTACCACCCGAGGAGTTCACGGTGCACTTTGTGCGCGGGAAAGAGATCGAGGACGGGTTCCGCCCGGAGGTCCAGAAAGTCCTCAAGCAAGCCACCACGATGGCTCGCGGCACCATCCCCACCAAGAAGTGGGATCAGGGGGTTCTCGGCGACTTCGCCGGAGCATCAAAGGGCTCAGGCTCGGCAAAGGCAACAGCTCCTGGCACGCCCATGCATCCTGCAGCCGGCGGCATCCCTCGGACCAAGGCTCAGGCGGTCGCGGCTCAGGAGGCCGCCAGGCCGCGGAGGGCCGGCAAGAAGAGGAGCTACGGTGACAGCAGCTTCGAGGGCTATGGTGACGCGTATGACGACGAGACCGGGGCAGAGACGGGATACTCGACGGGCGAGGGCGAGGGCACCAAGCGCAGAAAGAAGGTGCTTAGAGCCTTTGCCTCTGTTCACGTTTCAGGACGTTTGCTGACACCTTGCAGAATGCCAAATCCTTCCAACAAATTGGAACACCCCGTCAGTCCTATGGACCTGGCATGGTTGGTGTCTAAATTGTGCGACCGAATCCGAGTCAACAGCTGTGCTCTCCCGAGCCGCACCAGTTCCTCGCTATTCAAGTCGTCCAAGCCAGTGTATGCAGATCGAACGCCCACGTTCCTTCTCGCGGCTTAACGGAAGGATGAAGCATTCCAACAAGTCTGCCACGGAGTCGCAGAAGCGATCGCGTTTGCGGACATTAGCAGCGCCCCACTGCCGAATCGCGCAGAGTCGGGCATTTCGCCGAACGTGTTGCCGGTGTGGATGTTATGGTGCTCATGGTTTATCGCCGCCTCTTTTCACCAGACATGATATGTCAGGGAGCGAGGCAGAGAGATATTTGGCACAGGAGAGTGATTGTTACAAAAGGTGGTCATTGGCACGCCTAACATCAAAAAGGGGGTAGGGGGACAGGGAGGTCCCAGCAGTTTGCGTGCGTCTAGCAGCAGGCGGAATTTATTAATGACCGACAGGACCGAGTTCATCACTTCTACGACACGACCGGACTGGAGGCTTTCCTGACAGGGACGAGTTTAGAGGCCGTCCCTTTCACTGTTGCATATTCTGAAATTGAAATCAAGCATGGCGTTGGGGATTACTGCTTTTGAAGGTCAGGGGCGCTCTTACGACCCGGGCCACACACCAAATGACCACAAGTATTCGGGGTCAAAGAAAAAAAAATCGAGATACCATGGCGCAAAGCAGCTTGCCTGCCCCCTGTTCGGGATCATGGCTGGGATCTCGCTTACTGATTTTGCGTGGTCACTTTGCGGGTTTGCGCAAAGCTCTTATACGGGGTTCTGCAGCCGTGGCCTACATAGAGGAATACAACAGCGGAAACTATTGTCTATTTCTTGTGAGACCGGTTTTGTGTTTTTCCAGTGGTGTGCTCGTCGCTTGGGAGATGAGCAGAGCAATGATGACTGGCTGCTGGATGAATTTGGGAATATGGCCTTGTCAATATGTATTTTGTGAATACCTAAATCCATGTGAGGCCATCCGGAGGAGCGCCATGTGACGCTTTCCACTTGTCCATCGTGAGTAGGCCTTTGTCCAGCAGTCTCCGGCCAGGACCCTCGGGGAGTCTCATGAATATGAGTACAAGTCGCGACACGTCTACATGTACCTTGTACTACTTGGTCATGGGGTTACTAAGGGCGTACATAAAGTTCAGCCGCATCATGTCAAAGCAATGTTACCTTGCCAATGGCGCAAGCTCGCCGTGGCGTGATACCGGCCAAAGTGTATGTAGTTTGACTGTCAACGTACTTGGACACACGGAAGACTACCTCCTTGAAAGGGGAATCACAAAACCCAGCGAAGCATGAGGGGGAGAGAGAGAGAGACCCGGCCTCCCCATCCGTCCTCTCAAGCCCAACCCCTCAGACCAGAAAACAGAGCACACCCTCAACACCAGATACATGGAAGAGCCAAAAGGACCGGAACCCCAAGAAAATGGCATTTTATTTGGGGGGGGGGGCAATGTGCTCACTAGGGGTACAATAAAGCTCGTCAGGGGTACAGGAACTGGCTAGGGGTACAAATCCGAATAAGGATTTATAAACTGGCATGCCATATCTGGCACATCCAGAATTAAAAATAAAACTTTAGGTCTTTAAATTTCAAAGGGGCTGGGAGGGTAAAGGTGGCAAGCTCCAAAGCATAGCAAAGGTCCTCTAGTTTCTTTAAAAAGAAATCATGATGTGGCGTTCTAGTATTCTACTTAAGGTAGTGGACTAGGTAGGGTATGCTAGACTAGGTGTGGCCAATTAAGACAGATCTTGCTCGAGTTTGTACCCCTAGCCAGTTCTTGTTCTCCTGGCGAGCTTTATTGTACCCCTAGTGAGCTTTACCCCCAGAAAATGCCAACGTAGAGAGAACCTCTACGACCTCCCCGCCTTCTCCGTGGGGCCGCGCACTCCTGACAGGGCACTTTCGGGAGTCTGTCTACGTGGGCGGCGGGGGGAGGTGAAGTGTTGATCGGCTTGGGCTGTGTGGCTCTCGCGTCTTGGAATACTTGCATCTCATGTGCGGTCGGTCGTTGTAGCGAGCGTTTGCTTACAAGTCACAGTCAACGGGTAGGCATATGAGGAAGATTTTGAGTGAACAACAGCAAAGATAAAGTGAAACCTTCTACATATCATGTTTGCTTGTGGGTATCTCCGCGGGCAAGCGAGCTTCAAAAAGAATTGTTCCCGTGTGTGAGTGCAACTAGGGCAAAGACTCCTCGATCATCCCCTCTCCCAACGCCAACATCATCAAAGCCGCCTGTATCAGTCTCCTCTCCCTCTCACAGCAGTGTGCCTATCTATCCCACTCGGAAATCCCCTCACGGCTCAGCGGCTTGCTTGTCTACGCCGTGCCACGCCGGGCCGCCGTCGGAAGCGCGGGACTCCTAGTTCATCGCCAGGATAGCCCTCGTCGACGCGTCCTCCCGGACCCAGTCGACGATCCTCGACCCGACGTCACCGATGAGGATCTCGTAGTGGGGGCCCGAGAAGAACAGCCCGCAGTGCGCGCCGACCTCGTCCACGTCCTTCATGTAGACCTCCACCCACGCCCTGTCCCTGGCGCCGCCGACCTTCTGCGGCATCATGCAGAACTTGCGGAGCTTCTTCTTGCCCCTCTGGCCGGCCGCGGCGCCGAGGCTCGCCTTGCCCTCTTCGTCGGCCGCGCCGCCGTCGTTCTGGTCGTCCTGAGGTGGTGGCGAGGAGGCCTCCCCGCGCTCGCGGAACGCGAGGTCCGTCAGCTGCCGCTCGAGGATCTGGGCCTGTGCCGGCGTCACGACCTGGGCCTCGGACGGGCGCGAGGGGTCCGCGGCCGAGCCCACCTCTTCGTCTTCTGGTGGTGGCGGTGGCGGGCCGGTGTTGGTCTGCTTCGCCTGCGCCTGCTGCTCCTTGGCCAGCCGCTTTGCCTCCTCCTTCTGGCGCTTGTCGGCCTCCTTCTGGGCCTTCTTCTGGCGCTTCTCGACGAGCTTCTGGCGCTCTTTTATGGCCTTGTCGCGGTTCTTGACGGCCTGTTCGTAGCCCTTCTGCGTCCGTTTGAACTCCTTCTCTGCCTGTTTTCTTGCCTCCTTGTCGCTGTACTTTGTAAAGTCGGGAACTTGTGGCGGCTCCGGGGGGTCTGGTATCGCTGGTAAATCATGGTCTATAGCCGGGGTCTCATCTTTATCGGGATCTGTCTGTGTTGAGGATGCATTTGTGGGATCTTGCTCTCCAGCCGCGGCGGAAGACGCGTGCTGGACCTCTGTCTGTGTGTCCAGGTTGCTGCTGCCACCACCATCCGATGGTTCTGGTATTCTGGGCTCTCCATTTTCCAGGTGTTTGTTGGGCGCGTCATCCTTCCTTTGATGATCCGCATCCTCGTCATCAGACACTGGCAAGGGTTCGAGCACGTGCAGGGTCTGAGGCTCTTCAGTATCGCTGTAGTCCTCAATCGAGATCCTGGGAGTCGACGCCCCGGAGGCGCCTGCGCCGTCCTGTTGCGAGTCTGGAGCAACCGGGCGCAAATGCGTGTCAGCACGTTTCGGCATCGGAGGCTCCTTTGGGATGCCGGTGGAAACGGTGTAGTAGTTGACGAAGCGAACCCTCGGTTCGCCACGTGAGCCTTGGGGCCTGTTCAACACATCCACGTCCTCTAGCCGGCGGATCTTGTTGTACCTGTTTTTAAGGGAGGAGTAGTCCGCAAGGCAGCTGCCGAATTCCAGGTGCGAGAGCAGATGATGGTATGTCGAGCTGACGAGCCCTTCTGAATAGTGTTTCTTGGCGAAGTGAGCGACATTCTTCCAAAAGCCCCTGTCGACGAAAGGGATGTCATTGTAGAAGGTCGGGTTAAAGTTTGGGTCAGGCTGTGAGTCAACCGAGATGCTAGACGACAATGTTGACAGGGGCACAGGAGACATGGTGCCTGACGATGGGCCAGCATCCGAGGATAGGCTTGGTGTCTGTTGTAGGCTCAGCATGGAACCGGAGGCGTTCTGAGAGGCCAGACCCTGTGAGAGTTCCTGCTCCCTGCCTGGGGGATCTGGGGCTTTCCGAAAGAGACTGGCAATGCCCGACGTGATGATTCCAGGGTGGAGACCCAGCAGTGGCGCATCCAGGGAGATGGTGCCTAGTATGCGATGCTTGAAGGGGCTGCCATAGACGGGATTCGGAGAGGGCTGGAGACATGTTAACGGGGTCATAAACCAAGACCACAGGGCGTAAGTAGGTGTAAATACAATGAGGGCCACATCGGCGGCAAGCAGTCCACCCATAGAATGTCCAACCAGGACGACATCTGTCTTGTCCCCTTCATGGGGCTCGAGCCAGGCGCTGAACTTGTCCCTGGCGACCTCGATGGCCTTGTAGGTCTTGTATCTGGGATATATCTTGGAGTGAACGACGTGGGACTCGCTCAGCTGTTCCCGCAAGAAGTAATGAACGTGAGCGGGGAAGGAGCGGAAGGATGTGTTATCGCCCATGAAGCCATGGATGTACACGACCAGTAACGTCCTCCTGTCCTCATTCTCGTTGAGGGAGGGCACCAGGGACTGGGTGCTGGAGGAGCGGGGGTCTCTTGTGTGCCAGGCATGCTCAGGGCCCAGCATGACGGAGCTCCTCCCGGCAGGAGACTGGCAGGGCTGCTCGTATGGTGAGCCCAGGCCGGGGGAGTCGTACGGCGGCGGCGGCGTTGAGGATGATGAGGCCGGGCGAGAGGCCGGGGCCGGGGCCGGAACTCTACCTGGCGATGGAACGCTGTGGCCGGGACCTGGAGACCAGGCCATGACGTCACGTACGGCGTCCTTCAGCGGGAGGTGGTGGATGGGATGGGTTAGCTGACACGGACGCACGCTTTGAAGAGGAAAAGGATGATTCAGTGAAACCGAGGGCCGAGAGTCGTGGGATTCTGGTTTCACCTGCCCTCACAAGAGCAAGCACCTGGCACCTTCAAGCAAACACACATGCAGACATGGCGCTAGTACAAGAAACAGGCTCAGCCCCGCAGATTTCTCCGCGAGTCGTCAACTGTGGATAACTGCAAACCACGATGCAGATTGGCTGCCCAGCTGCCCAGCTGCCCAGCTAGGCCAGTGTCGCAGTCGGCCATTGGCTTGTTGTTATTATCCTCTTGATTGTCCACGAGAGAGGTATAATGCACTGCACGTACTAGCTAGGAAGCTGCCACCAAGCAAGCCCCTGGCACTGCCAATGCGTACAAGCAGCCAGCGTGTTCGAGTTCCACGTACTGCAGTGTGGCGCGGCCCCTCGCAGCCACCGAGACTCCTGGCGATGAGACAGCCTATTCATCGCGTACCACGTCTACCACCAGGCCTGCTACGATATCTTGTGGGCCACCGTTGAAAACGTTGAATACGCACGGGCATATCTGCGACTCGGGAAGGCTGCATGGTGCCAGTTGGCTGGCCAGTTGGCTGGTCGGTCAACAAGTCAAGTCAAGGCGTCCCAAGGTTGTCAGGTTGTCAGGTTGCCAGGTTGCCAGGCTGCCCACAGCGCGTGTCTGTGTTCCAAGGAGGGCCCGCTGCCGACGCGGCAGTGCGGGTGGGAATAATCCCCTGGGTGGAGAGGAGGGGCTGATGGGGGGTTCCCAAGGGCACGGGCACCCGGGAGCAGGGACTAGTTCGGAGCAGCCCTCCCAGGACGGTGTTCCCGGCTGCCCAGGCTGCCCAGGGTGTCCCGTGGGAACCAGCCAACCCGTCTTTTCTGCTTGAAACGTTCTCGGACGGTCCTGGCGGGCCAGGCGGGCCAGACGGTCCAGACGGTCCAGACGGTCCAGACGATCCGTGTGGGTAACGGCCATCCAGCCATCCTATCCATCGCCCGGCTCGGAATGACCATCATTCAGACGGAGTATACACACTGGCAGTACCTAGGTACCTACTTAAGTAGGTACTCATATACATAGACATGTACTTCATTTCCGTCTTGTGCTCGGCTGAACCACAGTTTTGATTGAGCTGGGTTTGGATATGGATTTGGATTTGGATTTGGATTTCTGGATATTGGAGACTCTGGTCTATTTGCGGTCGGTCCATTGCGTGATTAGCAGGCCAGTGCTTGCTTGCTGGGCGAAACATTCATGACCGCATTCCTGACGATCGGGGGCCAAGGAATGCGAGAGAGAGATTGCACCGGCACCACTCGCACACCACACACACCCTGACACCCAGGACACCAGCCCAACAGCCCAGGCTACTGCGGTCTGGACGCCGGGTACCTTCTAGAAAGGGGAAAACCAGTGTCTGAATCAACTGCAGCCCAGTGCACGCCCGTGCCGTCCACGAGTTCTCTCCAGATGCTACCGCGCCACGCAGCAAATAGCGCCGCCCTGAATACGAAAATGGGCCAGCCTACCGCCTGCCGACATGCACCTCAGCGGCCAGGTACCCGAGCTACTAATGCGAACGCCCTTGATGCTTGTACGAAGGGGCCAGTCTTGCAGTAATGACAGCCTCTGCCAGTCACATACTCAATCGCCCATATCAGTTGGTGCCCCCAAACCCAGCCAGACAGCCCAGGCCAGCCCCCAGCCAGTTGAGTTTTGCAGGCGCGGTCGAGCGTCATCTGATGTCAAGGTTGAGTTCGATAATCCAATGTGCCAGTGACAGGGGGGACCAAGATTCCCAGAGGATAGGCCCCATCGTGAACGGCAACATGGGACCACCCGGCCAATCACAGCCCTCCCGCCCGTCCACCGTGTGGGAGGAGGGTGCGCGAGCCGAAATTTGATGGAGCCGATGCATCTCCTTTGGTCTCCTCTCGGTCTCCTCTGCCCTGGTGATTGCACGCTCTTTCGCGCCCGCCTGGCCCTCCTGGGCTGTCGTAATCGCAATCCCAATCCCACGCATGCGCCCGCGGGAAAATAGCCCTTCTCTCCATAGCGGCCGCCTGCACTGACTCTGGGACGAGACCTTACCTTGCCTATCCCAGCCTCGTCCCGGTGCTCTGTTGCTTGCTCGCTGGCTCGCTTGCTTGCTCACACACACACTCTCGTCGTTCCCTTCCCTCTCCCGTCCCTGGACAATCTCGTTCCGTCCAATCCCTTGACTTCCTTTTTTTCCCTTTCCTCTTTTCCTCCCCTCCCCCACCATCTTCCCTAGTGATCTCGAGGCACGTTGCGCGCGTGGTTGTCCTCATCACTCTAGTCGACAAGGAGCGGTCGTGTCGTGCAGGAGAAAAGACAAGAAAGAAGCAGAAAGCACAAAGGGCTACGGAGAGCCGTGCCATTTCGCTCGCACGCAATTTCGGGTTCCATTGGCCGGCTCGGAGAGAACAATGAGGTGAACGGGTCCGCGGCCCCCCCATATCCAACCAAGAAAACGCCCCAATACTTGCGAGACGAGACCCGAACAAAGGCACAACGCCAGCACCGACCGTGTCGTCGACGACCGAAATATTGGATGCGATAGTCTGCCTGCCCATCTGACTGTCCATCCGTCCGATCTTTTTTCTCAGGTGCCCTCATCAACACGACGGATTCGTGCTTGCAAACGCTGCGTCAGCAATGGTTCTGCGCCAGCCAGTCACTCCTTTGCCAATCCACCAAAGCCAAGCTTTCGACAAGCCATCACCGTGCTCCCCATTCGCCGGCCAAGTCACCATCGCAACAGCCGTCCCCGTCGCTGTCGCTGTCGCCGTCGCCGTCACTGACACGGCTGTCCCCAGCTGCTGCATGCTGCTCGCTGCTGGCAACTGCGCCTCGCCTCGCATCGCGTCGCCTTGCCTCGCCTTGCATGCGTAGCGTCCCCAGGCACTCTGCCCGTCGGTCGCCATTGTCCAACCGAATCGCACCCGCAGGAACCGGAACCCGGTCCGCCTCCAGCAATACGGGAAGCCCGTGCTGATCGACAACACACACCCCCCAAACCTAAATCCAAAGGGGGGCCTTTTTCGGGCCACTCCATCCCACGCTCGTTTATTCAGTACACTAGAGACAGAGACCACCGCTCGCTATTCTTGTCGTACGCCCCTCTTTAAGAGGCATTGCCGCCCCCCCGGCGCGATGACTAACCACTTCTACGGGTCTTCACTCTTTCAGGCCCCAAAGACTGACCACGTCCACCACCGACACTCTCATTATCTGCATGGACGCAGTCTCAACAACCACCTTCGCTCGCATGCCCACTTCCACCGGCGCCAGGAGGAGAACGAAACCGCAGACCTGGATCAAGGCGACACCATCATCACCGAGGTTGTGCAGACCATCTCGGTCGTCCAGGTCATCGATGGCTCAGGCGCAATCATCGAGACGCAGACTCTTGCCTCGGAACCCCAGACAAACCTCATAGACGCTGAGACGGGGTCCACCATCGACCCAAAGGTCAAGGCCGTGTCACCCACCCCCGACTCACCCGGTGCTGCCACAGCCTTGTCCCCCGCGACCGAGACCTCCATCTCGGCTGAGGACCCCGTCTCACCTACTCCCGAGACCCCTCCGCCAGCCGCCAGTCCCTCCGATGCTTCCCTGACTGCCACCACCATCACCTCCGTCCCTCCAGGGGAGACTACCGACGCCACCACAATCGTTCCGACTTTATCTCTGCCTCCGAATTTGTCATCTTCCTCGTCCTTTCCTTCTCTCAGCTCCACCTTCAACTCCACCACCTGTGAGTAGCACCTCGCCCGCAACGCAATATCTCACCCAGCAGCACGGCTAACACGTCCACACAGCTTCTCTTACTTCCTCATCGTCATCTCTGTTGTCAAGTTCCTCTTCTCGTTCAAATTCCACAATCACCAGCTCTACCTCGTCAGGTAGCTCAACTGCGTCTCAGTCGCTCTCATCGCTGGTCACGTCCCTCTCATCTTCATTCGCGGCAGACTCGATAAGCGGCACAGCCTCAAGCTCGTTTTCAAGCTCCACTTCCGGCTCGAGTAGCGTCACAACTTCATCATCGGGGGCGTTTTCGACATCTTCCGACTCGGATTCGCTCTCACCCTCGCCATCACCCACATTCGGCATAGGAGGTGGTGATGGCTCCGCGGGAACCTCCATTCTTGCCACGCCCTCTTCCTCGTCCACGTCACTATCCCCAGGCGCCTCTAGCGATGACGGACCTCCACCCACTGGCACGGTCGTCGGGGGTGTTGTTGGTGGTGTGGCCGGACTTGCGCTTTTGGTCGCGTTCGCTTTCATGCTCCTCAGGCTGAGGAAGCGCGGCTGGTGTCACCTGCCCCTGGGCGGTGACGACAAATCCATCACCCCAGCCACCAGGGCTGTGGGTCCTGGCCCCTCCGGAGACGGTAGTGGCGGCGGCGGCGGCAGTGGCGCGTACGGAACCATGCAGCAGCAGCGGTCGTCAGCGCCCTACTCGGTCGCCTCGTCGCTCGCGGCCCTGGCGGGGAAGCGGTCGTCCCGGGAGCGGTCCAACACGGGGTCAGAAATGGCCGAGCGGGGCTTCGTCCGGGTGTCCGGGAAGAAGCTCCCGCCCGTGCTCCAGTACGGGGGCGACGGCTACTCGGACCCCCGCGACCGGAGCAGCCAGAACAGCGACGCCACGGTGTACCGCGACTCGATGGCCATCTTCAACCAGGTCTCCACCCCGCAGCGCCTCGCCCTCGGCTCCCCCATGCGGCCCGAGAGCGGCGTCATGGTCTTCAACCCGGGGCCGGCCAAGACGCCCGTCACGGGCGAGGTGCCCAAGACGCTCGACTCGCCGACCCTGCCGCGGAACTCGATGCTGCCCCCCGGCGCCGACGACGTCGGGAGGACGCTCGCGGCCCAGGACCACTCCCGCGACGGCGCGGCCTCCCGCACCTCGCGGGGGTCGGCACGGTTCACCGAGAACCTGTCGTGACAAGGGCTTCGGGCGACGTCACTTTTCCTCCAAGCGCTGCCGACACGTCAACTCACCTCCTCTCTCGTGCTACATAACGTTCCAACCCTGCGCCGGGCCTTATTCTCACCCACAACCCGGTAGCTGTGTATGACCTACCTACCATACCTCAACCATACTTCTAATGTTTTGAAACTTAGTGCTATCTTGCCTTGCTTTCGGGGGAGGCGAAAACTCTTTTTTATGTTTTTGTTTTGCCCAAACCACGGCGGCGGCGGCGGCTGATGATGTGCCTACGACAGCGCAAATACTGGAATTCTTTTGGCGTTTCGTGTCCTTTCTCGTCATTTTTTTGTCCTGTCTTTTGTCTTTTTTGTTTTATATCTTGGATACCACTTCTTCAGAAGACAAGCGGACATTTTCAAAATTTCGCATTTTTTTGATGGACACAGTAAGGAGGGGTTTTTTGGGGCGGAGGAAAAAGAGAAGAAGAAAAGGGTTTCGCTCCTCGGCCGAGTCGAGCAAACCCGGGTCTGGGAGCCTTGGCTGGTCATCGGGACGGTTTGGTGATCTTTTTTTTTAAACTTGATGTTTTTCCCCATCCCAATTTCTCTTCTTCTTTTTCATCTTTCATTTCTTATTGGGCTGGGCAGCAGTAGAAAAGAGACAGACAGACATGAGGATGACCGGCCGGGCTCTCCTAGGAGAAGCGCATTACTGTCCGAGGCAATGTGCAGTTGCCTTTGTACATAATAGCTGGAGACAAATATAACTCTTGATGAACAGGGAGAGGGATGGTGGAATTGGGGGAAGGGGCCCGGTCGTGGTCTCCCCCCCCCTGTCCCCCGTCCCCTCTCCCTCCTTGGAAAAGAATCAGTTGCCTTGGCAACTTTCGGTGTGCCCTTCTTCTTCGCCGTGATCGCCTCAGCCAGCGGAGCTCGCAGATCACTCAATGCCGCTCTGGCCGTGAACCATGAATGGGCTGGCTGGCTGGCTGGCTGGCTGGCTGGCTTGGCTGGCTTGGCTGGACCCGGGTCTCGCGGGCGTGATTATTACCACCTGCTCCGTCCGGGCGGCGGTGTCACTGCTGCGGGGGCGAGGTGCGAACGGAGAAAGGTGCTGCTGCCCTGGTGTGGTGTTTTATTTACTCACTTACAGAGACCCGGCCGTCTCGCACGCACGCAAGCCGGCGGTGGGACACCCCGGACCCGGCCCAGCCCAGCCGCCTCGTCCTTTCTGCCCACGGGGGCCCCCCCGGCGCCGCCCGACGGGTTCGTTCGTCTCCCTGCGTGGCTGGCTGGCTGGCTCGCTGGCTGGTGGGCTACCTCCGGGGGGGTCGGCTGGGCTGGAGGGCTGGGACCCCGGTGTCGATCTTTCCGGATGCCGGGGCACGCGGATGCGTTCACCAAGGGGACAGGACAGGACAGGCGGGCAGGGGCAGGGGGTCGTTTGTCGGTCGCCGGGCGCATGGCGCATGGATCCGGCGCGGTCTCCTGCGTACGTCAGCGTTTTGCAGGGGAGCTGGCTGTCCCGGGGACGATGTCCAAGGCATTGTGCGGGATTGGGGTTCTGTGGAGGGGCAAGGCTGGTGGGGAGCCTGTTGGAAGGCATGGGAGGCCGGTTTTGTTTATTTTTTCCCCCCTTTACCGCCTCTCGATTCTTTCTTGTCTGCCGTCCTCGCATTCTGTATTGTCTTGATATGCCGTGGTGGGTTTTTGGGGGCCAGGCTCAAGTACTGGGTGGGATCGTTCCCGTCGTCCCATGATTTTCATTTACACGGAGGAGAAGAGGAATAGAGAGACGAAGCAGGGCCCCCAGCTGCGGGTCCCACTAATTCGTCCGGTCGCCTCCCCGTGGTACATACAATACCTGCCAGCCATACTGAGTCTCGCAGGGTTACATAGGTACTTATTAGACGAGGCAAGGTATGTAGGTTGCTTCGTTAGCCGGGACGGTGGTGATCCAAGCCAAGCAATCGAAAAGCACTGGGGTTTGACGTCTGTGGGCTTCGTCCGATACAGGCCAGCAGGCGAAGACACACCAGAAAAAAAATAGAGAGGGAAAAACTTTTGTTGGGGTCTTGCTCCTTCCCGTTCAGCTACCAGTCTCTAATCGGACAGTCTATCCCTCCATCACCCCGATCAGACGACGACGTTTTGAATGCGCACACAATTCCTATCTATCCGGAGGGCGACTGAGCTCGGCCCAATGAGCGGGCGCGGACGGGTTGGGCTTGGTGAAGATGTATCTTGAGACAGAAGTGAAACGGCCAGGGGGGCGTGCTTCCTCGTGCCGGGCGACAAAGGTCGGCGGGACACAGAGCAGGGCGGCGACCGCTTGGACTTCTGGGGCGGGGGAGGGGGGGGGCTGGCCGTTGAAAGGAAAAGAGAAAAGAAAAAAGTGTGCCTGCCAATGACAAATTGTGATTGTCATGTATGTATACCCTTTGCTCCACGTGGACTCGGTGTGCGGTCTCGAGACGCCGTTGGGCGGATGTTTCTGGCGGCCTCAAACCATGGGGCCATCTCGACGACAGAGCATGTGCGCGTTGTGGGTGAGGGGGAGGGTGAGGGTGTGGAGGGGCTCACCCGGAGGAGGCAGGATGAGGAGATCACGGCCGTCTTGAAACAAACCATCTCGGTGGCATCAGGCCGTGAGGAAACACGAGGCGCCCACTTGGGGATGTGTCGGCTCCTCGGTCCGGGCTGGGAAGGGTGAGGTTTTTGTGGGCGCCGACGGCGACGATGCGGTCACCGAGGGGCAGATCGACGGGTCTTTGTGCACTCTACGCGACGCGCTTCCCGTTTGGGCCGTGGGCAGAGGAGGACTGGAGGGTTGATTGCGCAATAGGCTCGTGTGCACTACTCCGTATGGTGGTACACAGTAGAGAGCAACTCCACTACTGGCACATGTCAGTCGGGACGGTGAGGGCCCCACAGGATTGACTGAATTACCCTTGTATCGGAGAATTATTTGGTCCCTTCTCTCTCTTGGATGGAACCTGCCGACAACTCCTGTCATGAGGCATAGTGTACGTAGAAGTGTACTCCGTAGGCACAGGGGAGCAGGCCTTGGGGGCCCACCTCTCACGCAGTATAAGCCACTCCGGTTCCAGACCCTCAAACCTTGGGTTTTTGCATCACCGATGGCAACAGGTACTAGGCCGTTTAGACTCGGATGCTTCGCCGTCCCCATCGCTGTCGTACGACTGTTGGGACCCGGTACCAATGCCATAATGCACAGGTTCATGCACTGCTGCATGCTCTGCGAAGCGTCGCCCGGAAGAATTATCCTGGACTGTGAATGTGATGGACTGCAGATGTCTGTATAGGCGACAGCCGCTCGTGTCGCGTATAGCGGAACGCTATGTGATCAGTCACTATACACGAGAGGTGGAGTCCCGCTCGGCATCTGTGAGCCCCAGCCCGGGGGACGGGGCCTCACAGTAGTCCAAGTTGTCCGACAGGGACACTATTGTACCTCGTGTACTTCAAAAGCGGAGCCTCGCCCGTCACCTCACACACCGCAACGCATGTCAACGTTTTCCCCGTCGAGGAGGTAACAAGGGTGGGTAGGACCACAGCCGAGATTTAAGGTTGCGTGGTACCTGCAGCTTATATCTGAGATTTCTGCGTCATCGAGGGTGTGAAGCTTGGAACAGCTGGGTTTTGAGGGTGAGGTGCTGACTATCATTGCGATATGCTGCAGACGGTTGGTTGTGCAGCCAGACTGGCAGACTGGACGGCGGGCAGCTGTGACCCAGGCCTAGTACCTGGGTAGGTAGATGCTGGATAAGGCAAATTTCCACGGTGAGGAAAACTGACGTTGGCACAGAGCACAGTCGGGGGCGCGGCAGCGGGGGCCACCGAGCGATGACAACCCTGCTCCCACTCGGGGTGTCTCCCGTGTCAGAAGAGATGTCTTGGTACGGACGGGAGACTCGGGATCGTCGTCCTTAATTATCACTCGAAAGCCCGCCGCGGTAAGCCGCTGTGGATACGGCGCGCACATGGGCAGGTCGTACGTACTATGAACGAGCCTGGCCACACGGGGGCGGCGCATCATGAATCTCCGTGTGGTTGATAGCGACAGCCCACAATTGTCTGACGAAAAAGAGATAGTCTGTCTATTTTACTCCGTAGAGCATAGGCAGGCCACGGCCGCAGCCACTCCAGGCGCGACAGTTGTCGACCGGCGCTGAGACAGTCTGGCAACTCGGCCATCATCAGACATCATGCGGCGTCATAGACGGGCCCGCGTGTAATGCAGCCAACGAATGCTGACCGGCCTATGCCTCCTGGAGGCAGGGTGAGCCACATGGCAGGCAGCTAACCACTGCTTGGGTGTTCGAGGTGACATGTGCGCAAATGCCAGTTCATGCAGGCCAGAAGCTAGAAGCCCTGCCGTTGCTATCTCGTGGGTGGCAGGAGGCAAGCGTGGAATCACAAATCCTTCATGACTGTGAAGATGCGGCAAGTTGGGATTCAGATACAGCAAGCAATGCTGTTGTAGGCTGGACCGACGTCTGTGTGTTGTGACGGGCTTCATATCACGCCCCACCCCTTCTGGTCTTTTTTTCTTTTCTATTTTTTTTGTTTGCGCGCAGAGGGTTTCGGGATGGCAGCGAGAATGTGACCAGTTGCGTCTGACGATTGCGCGCGCCGGGCTCACAGGCCAAGCTGCGGTGACATGTCCTGTGACACCTCATGCCCGAGGGACCAAGGGCAGGCAGCCTAACTTGCTTGGGGGAACGGCGTGTCGACATCGAGGGCACTAGGCGGGTGTTCGACCTGGCGTCGAGTAGCATTTGCTTCTACCGCACGTTATCTTTTCCAACATGGTCGACGTGTGGTTGCCGCGAGCTAAAAAACCTAAAACCCCAAGCTAAAGAGCCAGCCCTGGGGCGTTGCCGTCTGGCGTTGGCATCAATGATGACGGGCATCAACCGCCAGGACGCAGGGATGCCACATTGTGCACATTGTGGCAGACCCGAGAGCGACGGTTTCCGCTGTGCCTCCGCCACAAAGTCAACTGCTGGGGAATTGTCAGCATGGGAAGCTTCAGGGTGACAACAGCAAGGTTGACAGCAGCGAATGCACGGTAGCGGTAGATCATGGCAAGGACCTGAGGAGGTCGGCATTGATGGCGACTAGGCCCAGTTCAAGACCGAATGCCGGCTCTCCCAATTCGTCGGAACACACCTCGTGTGTGTGCGCGTGCAACCAGTCTGCCAGTCCATCCATGGGCTGTCTCTTTTTTTTCCAGACATCTTTTTTTGGGCGAGAGGGGGTGGTATGTGTGATGTGGTGAGCATCACTTGAGACGGCCGCCCTGGCGTGTGAGAAGGGCACAGCCAGGCCCGTACCCTTGACCCCTGCATCTTGCTGGGTACCTAGGTAGTGTACCTTTGCGTCTACACGATCCTTCTGTGCCTTTCTGTGCCTCCTCTCTCTCCCTCCCCGGGCTGAAAGGGCTGCCGCCGGTCAAACTTCTGACTTGGCCTGGCTTGGCTTGACTCGACTAGCAGCAGACAAGCAACCGTCGGAAGGAGGTTGGCAGGAGGCTGGTTTGGTTTGTAATGTATCTCATGAGCAGGCTGTATTGCGCCGGCGCACAGGCTCGACTCCCAAGGATCAGCGCTTCCCTGCAACCTGCGACCCTTCCCTTGAGCCCCTGCGTAGCACTGTGGGTACACCCAGACACCCAGACAGCCCGGTCCAAGTCAGGTAGTGCGGTAGGTGTGAGGTAGACTACGCTAGGTACCTGGGTATAGGTAGGAAGCTGGCTGGCAGGTCTCGGTAGGTGGACTAGGCATGTACCTCCTGCTGATGAGGCAGAACAGGAAACCCCTGGTACCCCAGCAGCTCTGGAGGGGATCCCCAAGGTCGCTGCGACTGGTGGGCTTGGCGAGACCTGCAACAAGTCTAAGTACCCACTGCCCCGCCGTCTTACGTTCTTTAAGCCCGCTGGGGAGCTGCCACTTACACCCAAGCCCACTGCACCCACCAGCAGCAGCGGTCCGGACCATCCATCATTGACTGATCACCACCACCACCACCACCCCAACCTGCCAGACGGTAGCTCTCTTCTCTTTCCCACCACCTCGACTGACTGTACGCCCAACACCGTGGTTGCGTGCACCACATCTCGAACACGACGGCTCAACACCTTCAGTCCTCACATAACCCACGAGACCCACGCCACCCTCTCGACCTCAACCAGTGCGCAAAAGCCACGCCTCGTTCGCGGTCCCGGTCCCAATCCCAGAGCCACAGTTTCAATCACAGCCGCAGTCCCGGCCTGTCCACCAGCATATAAGAAATTCTAAGGCATTGAACGTCGCCATGGATCACCATATGGGTGGCTTCCAAATGCCGGCCATGGCGCACCCGCCGCTCATGAACCAACCTCCTCAGATCTTTGGTGCCCACGCCTATGACGGTATGCCAATGCAGCACCTGCCGCCAGAGCTCACAGCCCAGATGTTCGGAGACCCCAATGGTCTGCTCGACGATGCAAATGAGGCAAAGAGAAGGAGAATCGCACGGGTGAGTCCTGCTCGCGGTGGCGACAACAGCGCGCAATGGTTACAGGCCACCGCCCAGGTCAGGCTAATTAATACCTTGTCCCCAGGCTTGCGACATGTGCCGGAAGAAAAAGATCAAGTGCGACGGGAAGCTGCCAGCATGCACACATTGCATCAACTACAAGACAGAATGCGTCTTCACCCAGGTCGAGAAGAAGCGGAATCCGCCAAAAGGGTGAGTGCTCGTCCTCCAGCGATGAGCGGTCTGTGCCAACTATCGCCACCGGCACCGGCAGCTAACAATTCGGCAGTGCCAAGTATATTGAGGGCCTTGAGAACCGCCTTGGGCGCATGGAAAGCCTGCTGCGTCTGTCAGGTATGCCTGCTTTCCCCGTCGCTCTCAGACTGCCTCACCGCGGCATCCGGAAGTTCCGGCCGCTGCCGGCAGGCTCTGCCAGACATGTGCAGTCGCGCACTGACCATCCCGAACAGGTCTCCTTGGTGAGGACGATGGCGCTACAGATCTAGGAACACTTGAGAAGAAGCTTGCCGAGAAGAGACAAGAGTCGAGGCAGGCTTCTCAGGCAGCTCCCTCTAACCCGACCTCACCGTCGCAGGCCACTTCTGTGCAGGATACTGGCGCATCGACGCCCCGGAGCGCACTCACCTCACCCGAGCCTCAGAAGGATGATGAGAAGCGCAAATCGATCGATGCCAGCAAGCAGCAGCACCACCCTCATCACCAGGGCCAGGAGCAGCAAGGCCAAGAAGAGGAGGTCGAGGCTCTATCGGAGATGATGTGCTCTCTTGTCACTAACACGTCTGGCGAGACCAGATACATTGGTAGGCCAAAGAGCTCGTTGCCCTGATCACGCCAGTCCTTGTTCTGATTTTTTTGATATAGGCTCCTCATCTGGATTCTCCATCTTCTCTCCCAAGGGTATTCAGTGGGTCAACGAGAAGACTGGAGACAAATCCTTCCAGACGATGATTTCTCATGTCTCCATGGATGACCACAAGTGGAACAACTGGAAGCCCGAGATCTTCGGCGATCTGTTTCAGCGACCTGTCTTCCTTCCGCTTCCGCAAAAGCACGAGTGTGTCTCGCTATTGCAGGACTACTTTGACAACTTCAACTGCATGTTCCCGTTGTTTCACAGGCCCACGTTCATGCACCTGGTAGAGAGGCAGTACTCAAAGGACCCGTACTCCGGATCTGGTTGGTGGGCCAGTCTCAACGTTGCACTCGCCATTGCTCACCGCTTGCGAGTAATGAGCAACCTGGTGCCTCACGAGGAGGACGCGAAAGCATGGGGTTATATGAAGAATGCAATGGCGTGCTTCTCAGAGTTGGTGATGCGCAACACCGACTTGTTGAGCGTCCAGGCCCTCCTTGGTATGGCACTATTTATGCAAGGGACGCCTAATCCCCAGCCCTCGTCACTTCTCATCGGTACCGCCATACGGCTCTCTCACAACATTGGTCTGCACAAGCGCGGCACAGGCTTCAACCTGAACCCCATCGAAATCGAGCAGAGGAAGAGAGTGTTCTGGATCGCATACATGCTGGATAAGGATCTTTGCATCCGGTCTGGCCGGCCTTTTGCCCAGGATGACGACGACATGAACGTGGAACTCCCGGATACAGATCCTGAAGACAACATTGGCAACATTCCTCTGGCCGATGGCAAGGGCAAGATGAACCTCTTCCGGGTGATGTGCGAGTTGGCCCTCATCGAAAGCAAGGTGTACAAGAGACTCTACGCTACCAAGGCGACCAAGCAGACGGACGGCGAACTTTTGCAGACCATTGGAGAGCTGGACCAGGAGCTGGAAGACTGGAAGGACAGGATGCCTATCGAGTATCGGCCCGAGCACGAGATTCAAGCATCACACACGCCTCTCATTCTGCACGTTGTCATGCTCCATTTCACCTACTACAACTGCCTCACAACGATACATCGGATGTCGATACACCGTGGTTATTGGACAAGTCGTCTGTCGAACTATGCCATACAGGGGCTCAACGCCAAACCTCTGAACCCGAGGGTCTTCAACTCAGCTGCGCTGTGTACTTCCGCGGCGAGAGCATCAATTTCCCTCCTCAAATATGTTCCTCAGGGAGACTCGTCTGTAGTCTGGTGAGCACTAGAAACCCCAAAACCCACCCGGTCCGAAAGGCTAACATACTTTAGGATGGTATTGTACTTCCCTGTCACTGCACTTGTCACACTCTTCGGGAACATTCTGCAAAATCCCCTCGATCCCCGAGCGAGATCAGATACACGGCTTTTGAACATGGTTGTCACCTTCCTGTCCGCGCTGGGTCAGGAGATTGAGACGGGCGGAGTTCACCGCACTATTGGTATTTGCTCCGAGTTTGAGCGCATCAGCAAGGTCATGATTGAGAAGGCCGAAAAGGAAAATGCCGGTCGCAGGAAACGCAAGAATGCCGAGTCGTCGCAGGCCAGTAAACCTGTGCCCACCGCCAACGCGAACCCCATCCGACGCCCTTCGACTTCAAACCAAGGGACTTCATCATCCGCACACACGCCTAGGCCGCCGACGGCGAGCGCGAATACGCCCACGCCACGCCAACACAACGAGACCTTGTCACCGCCGGCGCGCTCTGAGGGACAGCAGGCTTTTAGCCCCATGACAACCTCAAGTCACAGCCCGTCGCCGGGCCACCCACCGCCTGGGTGGACGCCCGACTTTTCTGGGGGGGATCCCATGGAATTTACGTCCTTTGCTGAGCTGACTGGGTTCGGACAACTTCACAACGGGCCTCCGCCACCAATTCAGTCACCACCAGCGCAAGGGGCCGGGTTCCAACAACCGCTGATACCGCAAGACCTCTATGCTCTGCCCATGAGTTTCGACTGGGACTGGGCAGAAATGAGCGGAGGCGCATATCCGAGTGTGGAGAATGGAAACTTTGGGGGTCCGCAATAAACACTGGCGGACCGAAACTCGGCTCTGCGAGCTAGCATTTTGTCATGGCCCTGTGGCGTCGAACTTTGAAAAGGGTGGAGATTTGGCGCTTTGAGACTGAAGGGATCTGTCATCGAAGGTGTACATGTGTCACGGAAATCGGCTTGATGTCTGTTGTGTATTATTCCTAATGCCTCTCTTTGTATAAGAGGGGGTCTTGGGCGAGCATTTCTTTTCATTTAATTCACCATAGGGTTGCGGTTTGCGCGTGCTGGCGATCTAGACAACAACATCACGAGACCAAGAACGTTGGGAAAATATTAAGATGCAATTTTTACTTACTGGCGATGCTCTAGCTTAATGGCACGAATGACACTGTATCATGGTCTTTATTACATGAAGTACAGAATACACTACCTGCTCTACACAGTCACGCACGATGAATCATCCAGGCTAATCGAAGCAGGCCGTTTGTTAATATGTGCTAGGCGCAGAAAGAGATATGTGGAGTAGAGGCAGCGGAGGGTTAAACCCTGGGTTGCCCCTGCGGACGGACCCTGAGCATCTTAGCATCATTGAGCCAGCCAGCCGGAAGGCCAGGCGCAAAACGTGACGACTGCACGTAATACCACCAGCTGCGAAGGACCCTCCCGACCTTGCCGGACCACCACGACACCAATACCGGCTGGCGCTGAGCTACTGGAGGACGACTCGGCGGCGTCAATTCGTTTGGCAACCGCATTTTGGGTAGCAAGGCATCCGTGTATAACTCGACACAGTTAGTCGTCATACGACCAAGTGCGTGGGGTTCTGGCTCGACCCGACCACCCCATCGAGTCATCATCTCGTCGCCACCTCGCAACTCCTATTTCCTGCCTCCTCCCACCTACGGCCCGCCCATCGCACACATCACGGCCTCACCCAAAGCATGACTACATTATTACGGCCGGCGTCGCGCCAGGCCGCCCGCCTGGCGTTCACCTCCCTGCGCACAACTTCCACAATCAGCGTGAGGCGCGCCAGATTACCAAGGATATCGCCGTCATCCTCATCCGCAGCATACCTCCTGCCTCGCCCACGTTTCTACTCGACCGGCCCGCCACCGCCCGAGAAGCCAAAGGATGACGTCAAGGACGAGAATAAGAACGAGAACCTAAATGCCGGGGAGACCGCGCCTGGCGAGTCAAAAGAGCCTCCAAAGCTGCCTGACGGCTGGGTATGGTTGAATGAGGAAGACTTGGCGACGCTGAAAAAGATGGGCGACATGGTACCTGCGAAGCATAGGGAGACGTTCGCCGAAGTGGAAGCCGAGGTCAGGACTGGTGGAGCCCCTCAGGAGCTCAAGGATCTCTTGGCCAAGGGGCGAACAACCGGGCTTAGCATCGCAGACTCTATGAAGGTCATCAAGATAGCCCACAAACTAGCGGAAAGGATGGCTCAGAAATCCAGTGGCATCGACTCCGACGACTCGCCATTTTTCAACCAAAATGAAGGCCAACGCAGCCAGCAGAACAACCAAAATCAGCAGCAGGGTCAGGGCCAGAACCAGAACCCCAAGAACGGCAAGGGCCAACCCAAGAGCTTTGACGGAGGTGATATGCTGGCTTGGGTAGTGACAGCCGCGCTCTTCTATCCTCTCTGGAGCGTGATCTTCCCGAGCGAATCTAGAGACATCAGCTGGCAGGAGCTTCGCAAGAACTATCTGGACAAGGGGCTTGTCGAAAGGCTCGTTGTCTACAACGGCAGCAGGGTCAGGGTGGATCTGAACCAGGAGGCTACCCGGTCCATGTACCCCGACAGCGTCGCAGCGAACCCCGGCTTCCACTTCTACGTGTCAATTGGCTCCGTCGAGACGTTCGAGAGGCACCTGGACGAGGCCCAAACGGAACTCGGCATTCCAGCTCCCGAGAGGATACCCGTGACGTACGCGGCAGAAGGCCAGCTCGCCAACCTGCTGCTAGCATTCGGCCCCACACTGCTCATCGTCGGCCTGATCTATTATACCATGAGGAGAGGTCCTGGCGGTGGTGGTGGTGCTGGAGGCGGTATGTTCGGCTTCGGCAAGAGCAAGGCCAAGATGTACAACCACGAGTCGGCCGTCAAGGTCAAGTTCGCCGATATTGCCGGTATGGACGAAGCAAAGGTCGAGATCATGGAGTTCGTCTCTTTCCTGAAGAAGCCGGAGCGATTCCAGAGGCTGGGCGCAAAGATCCCTCGCGGTGCCATCTTGTCTGGTCCACCCGGAACCGGTAAGACGCTGCTCGCAAAGGCCACTGCCGGTGAATCAGGTGTGCCTTTCTTCAGCGTCAGTGGATCTGAGTTCGTGGAAATGTTTGTCGGTGTCGGTGCCTCAAGAGTGCGGGATCTGTTCGCGCAAGCGCGCAAGAACGCCCCTTGTATTGTTTTCATCGACGAGATTGACGCCATTGGCCGTTCTCGTGGCGACGGCAACCGTAACTTCGGTGGCAACGAGGAGCGAGAGGCAACCCTGAACCAGATTCTCACGGAAATGGACGGCTTCAACACACAGGAGCAGGTCGTGGTCCTCGCGGGTACGAATAGGCCGGACGTTCTCGACAAAGCCTTGATGCGACCTGGTCGTTTCGACAGGCAGATCTATATCGATAGGCCCACGATGAAGGGTCGTGCGGATATCTTCAAGGTCCACCTTGCCAACGTCGTCACCAAAGAAGATATGGAGCATCTTTCCGGAAGGCTCGCTGCTCTGACACCAGGCTTCTCTGGCGCTGACATCGCCAACGCCGTCAATGAAGCCGCCCTCGTCGGTAAGTCTACCCTGATCCGCCCGTTGTTGGCCACGCGAAATTAATCTGATCAATCTGTGCAGCCGCAAGAGCAAATGCCGAAAGCATCGAGATGACCCATTTCGAGCAGGCTATCGAGCGTACCATCGGAGGTCTGGAGCGAAAGTCACTGGTTCTCGGCCCCGAGGAGAAGAAGACAGTGGCATATCACGAAGCAGGACACGCTATCTGCGGCTGGTACTTCGAATATGCCGACCCCCTGCTTAAAGTGTCCATTATTCCCCGCGGTCAGGGTGCCCTCGGTTACGCACAATACCTGCCCACAGGAGACGCCTACCTGATGAACACCAAGCAATTAATGGACCGCATGGCTATGACCCTGGGCGGCCGCATTTCGGAGGAGCTCAACTTCACCACCGTCACGACTGGCGCGAGCGACGACTTCAAGAAGGTGACGGCGATGGCCACCAACATGGTAACGCGGTGGGGCATGTCGGATAAGCTGGGCCCGATCCATTTCGACCAGGACCAGAACCAGTTCAACAAGCCATTCGCGGAGAACACGGCGCAGCAGATCGACGCCGAGGTCAAGCGCATCGTGGACGCCGCGTACAAGCAGTGCAAGGACCTGCTGACGGAGAAGAAGAAGGAGGTCGGCATCGTGGCGGAGGAGCTGCTGAAGCGCGAGATGCTCACCCGTGACGACATGGTGAGGCTGCTGGGACCCCGCCCCTTCAAGGACAAGGAGGAGTTCACCAAGTACTTTGACGGGACCAAGAGCGCGCCACCACCACCGCCGTCCGAGGGTGGCGTCGGAACCCTAGACGACCCACCAACCCCGTCACCCGCCTTCCAGCGTTGGCAATGAGTGCTTTCTTTTTCTTCTCCTGGGAGCGAAAGGGACTACTATTGTCAATCACTCACCACTCTACTCTACTCTTTTAAGACACGGCCCGAGCGTCCTCCCGGGCCACAAAAGCGCCTCCGGAATGTGTCATGGGATGGATAATAGCACCTGGGTTGCTTGGATTTGTACAAATAACGGGATATATTTCAAGGGGGAGGGGTGACCAGGCCGCGCGGGAAGTTGGTCCAGCGTGGAAATATATTTAGATGCATGATGTCCTGTACCAGTTAGATGTTCAGGCTCATAAAAGCGATTCAAGACACGAGGAATGTGCCTCCTGCATTTCCTGGGAGTGAGGCTCGGCCAGAGCGCATGTGTCTGAAGAAGGATGCTGAGGGTAGGTTTAGGTATCACTTCACCCTCTCCTCAAACTCCCTACACAAAAAGATTCCCGAAGCACCTTTGAGACAGTCTAACAGTGAACATGTTGTATAATTCGCTGCTGCCAAGTTGCAAGCTATGCTAGTTAGTGCCCATGGGGGCGGGTCTAATTTTCAAGACGATAACAACATGAGAATAGGGATTTCGACAGAGCCATTTCGACCAGATTTGCCCGACCCGACTCGAGCTCCTCCGCCACTAAAAAAGAATATGATGAAGACAGTTGGAATCAATAAAGAAGCTCGTGTTGCAGCGATGAAAATGGCTGGCCAAGAAATACTCAAAATCCGACAGCGCCTTGTATCAACCCCGAATGCATATGGACTCTGATATATCACAGACGCCTACCTGAGGGTCTCCTACAGCGCATGGTACGCGATCTCATTCTCCCGCGGCCTAACGATCAACCAATCAGTAATCTTGCGGCTCAGACGGACACTCGTCTCATCCACCCCCCTCCAGAACAGGTCCGAGGCCAGGAGGCACACGACGGCCGTGAGGACCCACGTGAGCGCAAAGGCGGAGCTGATGTCCCACCCGCACGAGGCGGTCAGGAAGACGAGGGCGTGGGCGCTCAGGATGTTGAGCAGGCCGTAGTGCAGCAGGTAGAAGGAGAAGCTGATCTCGCCGAAGTAGCGGAAGGGCGTGGTGCTCAGCAGCCACTGGGCGGGGGGCAGGGCCTCGAGCGAGGCGAGCACCATGAGGGCGCCGACGCTCGCGTACAGGAAGTCGATGTCGGTGCCGACGTAGTGCGAGGGGGTGAAGACGGCGTGGATGGTGGCGTAGGGCTGCATGGTCCCCTCCTCGGCGCCGTCGGGCCAGGCGCACACGACGACGGACGGGACGAGGGCCAGGAAGGCGAGCAGGTGCTTGCGGGGCACGGCCCGGGCGAGCCTGGCCCAGGGCCGGCGCGGCGGCGCGTCGGCGTCGGGCTCCGCTGCCGCCGTGTCGGCGGTGGAGATGGGGAGCCGTTCCTGCTGCCGGCCCGGGGCCGGCCGCGGCGACGAGGAGAAGGCCACGGACAGCGGGAGCAGCGGCTGGAAGCGCAGCTCGGCGAGGAACATGCCGGCCGTGAAGCAGAAGACGTCCCAGCGGATCCAGTGCAGGGCCCACAGGGCAAAGGCGACGAGGACGAGCTTGCGGCAGCGCGGGCTGAGGCGGGAGCAGGCGAGGCACAGCAGGAAGACGACGAAGGAGCCGCGGTACTCGAAGGGCAGGGTCCAGCAGTGCTCGAGGGTGGGCAGCTGCATGATGTTCCAGGTGAAGGGGTCCAGCAGGTACGAGACGTTGGTGGCGTAGGCGACGACGTGGTTCCAGAAGCCGCCGAGCGTCGCGTCGTCGGCCCAGGGGGAGCCGCTCTTGGGCCCGTAGAGGCCCGTGAAGAAGGTGATGAGGGCGAGCATGGTGGCGAGGGCGAAGAGCGGCGAGAAGAGGCGGAGGCCGCGGCGGATGACGGCCGACCACAGCGCGGTGAGGACGGCCGAGTCGGCGGCGTCCGGGGACGAGATCTTGGACAGCGGCGAGTAGGACAGCACGAAGCCCGAGAGCACGAAGAAGACCATGGTCGCGCCGTGGCCGGCCACGGTGACGTTGGCGAAGAGCGTCGCGCCCAGCTGGCTCTTGAGCGCGGCGTCGAACGAGATCATGACGTGGTAGTTGAACACGATCAGGCACGCCACGCCGCGCAGGCCGTTCAGGTACGACGTCGACGTCACCTTGGGCAGCTTGCGCTCCGTCTTGCCCAGCGGCGCCGCGATGACCCACGGCACCAGGCTCCACGCCACCCGGGACCACTGGATGCCCTTCGCCGCCGGCTTGTCGTCGCTGTGGAGCTTCTCCGTGTGCCACTCGTCCTCCGGCGCCCCGAGCAGGGGGCCCTGCTCGCTGTCGACCTGAGACCCGCCCATGTTGGTATGAGCGATGCGGACGGGAGGTGGTGCTGCGGGCGGTGGGCTGTGGTCGGTTTTCAGACGGGCGGTGGTCTCTGGGTGGTCCTCCGGGTAGAGAGTGGTAGTCCACGGGCACCAGGTGGCCCGGGAGAGACATATAAGAAAGGGCGTCGACGGGCCTTGATGTCGGTTGGCCACGGCAAGCTAGAGACAACCCTCCCTAGATGCCGAGCCTCGCCCCACGCGTGTCTCCCAAAAAGCCGACCTGGAGCATTTGGACAAGATGATGATCAGAATCTGTACTGTTTCTCATGGCGGGCCAGCATTGCCTAGTTGAGGCTGTGATCTTGGTGAGAGCCAGGTGGACGGGCTTTCAGTTGCTATGGGAGGGGCTGGCCCGCCACATACCACGGATACACCGGCACAGCCATCTCATGCTATGATGATTCATGAAAGACATGAGGAATCCAGAGAGTTAATTATTGATGAGATGCTGTGGCCTCATTGGTCAGACGCGTCTCGCGTCTGGTAGGTTTATATATCATGAAATCGCATTTATTAACCGCACGTGGCTACCCATAACAGAAATTCCCTTTCAAACGTTTTGCTCTCCCTCTATGTTATTGTTCAATCCAAAGGATCAACTGATCATGTTTTCGTCCCTTTCAAGCAATCAAACTGAATCATTCATTGTTTAAATATGTAGTGGCCGAATGTGGAAACTTGGTATACGGTCGCATGAGAGGAAAGAGAATCATGTGTACTGATGATGCCCCAAATGTGATATCGTCGGCTCCAAAAAGATCCAACCGTTGAGAAGCGGTAACGCGGGAAAGGCGAAGACATTTCTCTAGCAGAGTGGCGGTAGCCTCCGCTCCATCCAGCAAGCATGTCTCACCCCATCGGTGCTTCTTACCGCCCCGGAAGGGAGAGTTATGCATAAAAAGGGAGATATAGGCATGCTGTCCCGCAATGTCAACCGTTGTGGAATTCCAGAGCCCTTCAGCCTGTCGTAGATATTCATTCTAAACCTTATGCTCCATGGAGCCATGATGGCTGGGCAGTCTGAGAGTGGAATTCACCGATACTAGTTGGCGCCCGACGTCTAAGCCCTTCGGCCATGCCGTGTGGCAGCCTAGCTAGAGGGACCAGAGGAGTGGGCGGGTCACCTAAAGCTGGATGCGAGGTTGTATCTGGCGGATACTTGTCAAGCGTGACCAATGGGTGTGGATGCTAATCCCCATCCAAGGCAGTTGTGCCTGCTGACGTGTTCATGATTTTCAACAATGTGCTCGAGTCGACCTCAAGTGGGATCTGCCTCCGCACGCAGGCTGGGATGGATGGCATCATGCCCCATTGCCCGTTGTGTGTCTCATGAGGGTGAGACCTGAATCAGGGAAAAGATGGCTGGCCCATCCCACTTGGGCACGCTCTCAAGAAGAGCGGGATATAAGTGTGAGTTCGGGGGCAAAGGTCCTATCCTATCAATGATCCGGATTTTTATTCTTCAGCGCGAAGTTTGTGACACTGGCATGGGCCTGAATAACCACGCGCCTGTTTCGCGACGGATCTTCATGGGGGCCATGTCCCACGAACACGTGTAGTCGTTGGACCGTAAGAATAAGAATAGTAAAAAGAAAAAGGGCAAGCGAGCAAATTTTCATCCTGTCGCTCTACCCACGGTGGATTCTCCTTTGCTTGGGAGACCATTAGAGTAATTTTCTCAACCAATTCTTTCGCCTTTATCTTCCAAGGTTCATACAGCATCGCAGTTTATTTGATTCCTTGTCATGTAGTAAGTGTCATTTTTCACCAGTCCGTGGCAGTAATGACCTACCTGACAATGAATGAGACGCAGATACGAAACGCCGAGAAAGTCGCCAGAATTCTAGAACATAACATCGAACCTTTCTCCATCTTTAGCGATATCGACCAGGCCCTCTGCTTCGAAGGACTTGACTCGTGTATGATATGAGAAGGTCTTGTGCACCTAGGCCGTGTCATTCATATTTCCCACTTGGGATCTCTGTACAGGGGCCGTGTTCATACGCAAGCAAGGGTGAAGGAGAGATACACACGAACAAAGTTTGAGCTACCAGATCTCCGACATAGCTTGTCCATCATAACCCTGTATGATTCTGTATGGGAAATGACATATGGCGGATCGGAAAGTTGAGATGCTCCGCCGCTGGATGACAGGACAATCTCTTCAAGAATATCACCAATCGGAGAGGAGGAATCGTGACAGGGCTCGAAGCGAGACAGGCCCTGAAGCGCGCCGTCCCAAGTGGTTGAGTCAGATTGCAAGCAGCCCGAGCTCGTGTCCCAAGTATCATTGATTCGCTTCGCACGAGGGAAGCAGGTGCAAGCATCGACAACAAGGATTGGCCAGAGACGGACTGCGTGCTAGGATCGCACTCTCCCTCAAACCTTCTGTTGAACAGATGCCACTCCTTCCCAGGTGGCAAGACCTGATGACTCAAACCATCGGCCGTCGGCCATCGGGCATCGATGGTTGGTTATTGATCATTGACTACACTGGGCCGTGTGCCGAGGAGGAACGTGCCCTGGGCATCGGAGGCTTTCTTTGACACTGACACCAATCACGACAAGAGAAGCCATCCAGTCGGACGGAGGAGGAGAAAAAAGTGCGGTCAGCAGCATGTAAGTTGCCGGATCGACGCAGCGGTGTTGTACATGTGTACTTGAGTATTCCAAGGCTCCAGCTGGGAAACAATAGCGGCGATCAGGCGACAAAGCTTGACAACCTCACTTACAAGCGAGCTCCACTTTGGTAGAGTCAGTAGCTCAAGGGCTGCACAGGTGGCTGATGGGGGCATTCTTGCGGTGGTGTCAGGGACAAGAGTCAATTGTGTCAATTGTGTGATTTGCAAGTGTGTCTTCTGAATAGACAAAATAGTACTAGCGACACTAGTTGAAGCAGCTTTTAGCTTTGCAGGTTTGGCATGTTCTGCCTGGGCAGAACCCAAAACGCAGGAAGGGACAAGGCTGGATGAAGCAGGCACCATTCTGTACTAGTCTAGTGTGGCAAAAAGCCTCGCCTCGCCTCGCCCAGCGGCTAAAGATCGGCATCGACACGCCGGCTGTGCAGTAGTGTAGTGCACTCCGTCTGTCCGTATGGTCTGACGGTGCGGGAGCTTGCAAGGCATGCCAACGGCTGCACGGAAGGTGGGGTGGGTTGGGGCGATGGAGCCGCACACGGACTGACGGAGACTGTGGTTCAACGGGTGGTAGGGGCCCGGCAGAGATCCACCCGCACCGTCCTGGGTCCTTGGAAGGTACGGCCATTGTTGGGGACTGCCCACACAGCAGTCGACTCGGCTCGTAGTTTTGCGCTCTTTTACTCAGGATCTGGACGCCGCGACGGTACTAACCTAATCTAGGTACCTACCTATTCTCGACCACAACAAACAGATGGTATCTGAACACAACTCGCCTCGCTTGGCGGTGATATTACACAGTACTTTATTACTTGCTGCCCCTCAGGTATATGAATCATCGGTCGACTGAGAGAGAAGTTGAAGCTGCTCACACCGCATGCCTCTCCTTGCCAACCGGCCAGCCAGGACTCGGACCAAGAAACCACGCGTGTGGTCCCAAGGTACTTCAAGTCCGCGGCGATCTCCGTACTAGTCCCCTCCTCCTCCTCCTGCTGCAAAAGAACTACCCTCTGCTCTTAAGCGGCTAACTACCGCTAACTCCTTTGAGATGCCGTCATCCCCAAGTTTTTCTCTAGAACCCTGGTCCCTCTAGCTGAATGTTTTCTTATAAGTCGCCTCTTTAGTCCTTTTCGCAAAGCCAAAGGCTTCGACCGGGTACTACCCGCGGCCAACTCCCGACAGGCGAAGCTACTTTTTTTTCTCCAGGGGCCAAGTTGTGAGGAGGCCATTGTTCGACATGTCACTGTTATTAACGAACCTGTTCATCCTCCCCTGAGTTTATCCATCCCGTTATCATATCGTTGCATTGTCCTCAGCCACAATGGCCCGAGGCAGCCCCTCCGACCTCCGGGACAAGTCACCTTCCGATCCCCGGTCAGGAGCCGAACCCGGGGCCGTGGCTTCGCCGGACCACACCGGCTCTGGGTCCAACATGCCGCCCACCTCCCTTCAGAAGACTGCATCACGAGCCTCGGCGGCACGGTCACACTCTGGCTCAACTGCCCGCACTCCAAAATGGTGGAAGATCCGCCTGTTCAAGGGCATGGTCGGCGACCTGCGCCGCCGCGCCCCCTACTACTGGAGTGACTGGAAGGACGCCTGGGACTACCGTGTTGTTCCTGCCACTGTCTATATGTATTTTGCAAAGTATGACGCGGCTTTTCTCTTACGCAGACGCCCAATTGCACCTGAACGATGCTGATCCAGACACCCAACAGCATCCTCCCAGCCCTGGCCTTCTCCCTGGACATGTTCACCCGCACCCACTCGCAGTACGGGGTCAATGAGGTACTGCTGGCCTCGGTCCTCGGCTCCGTCGTCTTCTCCGTCCTCGCCTGCCAGCCGCTCGTCATCGTGGGCGTGACGGGGCCCATCACCGTCTTCAATTACACCGTGTACGACATCATGGTGCCCACCGGGGTCAACTACCTGGCCTTCATGTGCTGGATCGGTCTGTGGGCCCTCGTCATGCACTGGATCCTCGCCGTCACCAACTCGTGCAACTGGCTGCGCTACGTCACCCGCTTCCCATGCGACATCTTCGGCTTCTACGTCGCCTTCATCTACCTCCAGAAGGGCGTCCAGATCCTCACCCTGCTCGGCGACCGCGAGCCCTTCTACCTGAGCGTCATGGCCGCCATGCTGGTCTTCTTCATCGCCTACGCCTGCGGCCAGCTGGGCGCCAGCTCGCTCTTTAACCACTACGTCAGGGTCTTTCTCAAGGACTACGGGACCCCGCTGACCGTCGTCTTTTTCACCGGTTTCGTGCACATCGGCAGGATGAAGCAGGTGGACCTCGACAGCCTCCCCACGAGCGCCGCCTTCTTTCCCACCCAAGATAGGGGCTGGCTCGTCCACTTCTGGGACATCAGGGTGGCCGACGTGTTTCTCGCCATACCCTTTGCGTTGCTGCTGACCATCCTGTTCTGGTTCGATCACAATGGTAGGCTTGCCTCAACATAGACTTGGCGGATGCTGACTGGGGCACTTCGTGGCTGACCTGCTTTCATTCACACAGTATCATCCCTCATCGCCCAGGGCACCGAGTTCCCACTCAGAAAACCACCCGGCTTCCACTGGGACATCTTCCTACTGGGCCTGACCACCGGCGTCGCCGGTCTTCTCGGCATCCCCTTCCCCAACGGCCTCATCCCGCAGGCGCCCTTCCACACGGAGTCCCTGTGCGTCACCAAGGTCGTCCACAGCGACAGCGGCGAGAACTCGGCCGGCGCCGGCGCCGACGACGAGGGCGGCGACAGGAAGGGCCACTGGGAGCTGCGGCGCACGCACGTGGTGGAGCAGCGCGTGTCGAACCTGGCGCAGGGCCTGCTGACGCTGGGCACCATGACGGGCCCGCTGCTGGTGGTGCTGCACCTGATCCCGCAGGGCGTGCTGGCGGGGCTCTTCTTCATCATGGGGTACCAGGCCCTCGAGGGCAACGGCGTCACGGCCAAGATCCTGTTCCTCCTGCGCGACTCGGAGCTGACGCCGTCCGCCAGCCCGCTGCGCCGCGTCCGCCGCCGCTCGCGCGTCTGGCTCTTCGTCGGGCTCGCGCTGCTGGGCTTCGGCGCCACCTTCGCCATCACGCAGACCGTCGCCGCCGTCGGGTTCCCCGTCTTCATCATCGCGCTCATCCCCGCGCGCGCGCTGCTGCTGCCGCGCCTGTTCACGCCGCAGGAGCTCGCGGTCCTCGACGCGCCGACCGCCAGCCCGTTCACCATGGAGAGCGTGGGCGGCACGTACGGCGGGGACACCCCCGACGTGGACGACGAGGGCGACGATGCGGCGTCGTTTGCCGCTGCGGACGACGACGGGCAGAATGGGAGCAGCGGTGCCTTGTTCGGGGGCCGGGATGGGGGTGCTGAGGGTGGCGGCTTGGGACGGAGGAAGAGCGAGGCCGAGCTTGCTGAGCTGGGGGAGAGCATGCGGATGAGGAGGAGGAACAGTGGTGTTTTTGAAGGAGAGAAATGAGATGGTGCGTCTGTTGAGAAGGCGATGTAATGGGCATAAATGAAATGGGTCAAGCTGGGGGGGGGGTTCTAAATGGGCTTCGGTAAAGGCATTTGCCATTGGGCAACAGCACATGTTCGGGGTTATATATAATGCATAGATGAACATAAATTGTAATGTCAAGTCACGCAGGCATGAACACGCGATTGATTCACTTTTATTCGCTATGAATTTGTTCTCACTCAAAGATATGTATGTGATGCCCAACTAGATTATCCAACCCTGCACTGTCAGCAGCAGTGAGCCGCAAACTCCAAAACTCCCACGCATGGTGCTACCCTAATCCTACCAATTACTCCTCATCACTGCTGTCCATCGCGAAGCCACCCCTGACCCTCGGGCGCCTCTTGCTGACCACAGGAACGTCGTCATCCTCCCCATCGTCCGACTCTTGGTTTGCCAGGGTGTTAGCTGTCTTCTCCTTGAGCGGGGACCGCCGTTGGTTAGTCGCCTCCTCCTTGGGGTTGGACGACAACGGCGTATCATCCGTTTCCATGTGATCGCTGTCTGAGTCGTGGTCCTCCTGCGCGCCGGCGGCACTGGCCGCGCCGGCAGGCGACGATGGATCCGCGTCGTCCATGTCCTCGTCCTCGTCGCTGCTATCGGCCAGGAAACCTCCCCTCGTCTTCTTGGGCTTGGCGACGCGTCTCCTCGAGGCCGGCGGGCTGGTTTCGTCGTCGTCGTCCCCCAGGGCGTCAGACTTCCTCTTTCTCGAGCCCGAGCTGCCCTGCGACGCACGCGGCGAGCCAGCCGTGTCACTCTCGCCATCCTCGGCATCACTGTCGCCCATCAGCCTCTTGATGGTGTCCGCGATCCCCTGCGGCGTCACCTCCGGCTCCTGGAGCTGCGCCGCATCCGTCGGTGCGAACTGGAGGGCCTTCTTGACGCGCTGCCGGATCGCCTCCTCGCGCGCAAAGAAGTCCGCGTCCGCCTCGGCATCCGACTCGTCATCGTCGGGGTTGACGTAGAGCGCAGACTTGATCTTGCGCTGTTTCTCGAGGTCGCGCTTGCGCCGCTTCTTCGCCCTCTCGGCGCGCTCCTCGTCCTCTTCGTCCGTCGGCAGGCCGCCGTCCTCCCCGCCGTCGGCCTTGCGGCGGAGGCGGCGCTTCTTGGCCGGTTTCTCGTTCCCTGGGCCGACGAGCTTGCTGGGTTTGAGGTTGGCTGGGAAGAGCGCCTCGTCCCCGTCGTCGAGGAGATCGTCGATGTCGTCATTCTCATCGTCGTACACGGCTTTCTTTCGCGGAGCGGTCTTGCGTCGGACCTGGTCCTCGGCGGTCTCACCGTCGTCGAATGCTGGGGGGTCGAATTCGGCCTTGTCGATCAGTGCCTTGTACTCCGCCAGGTCCTCTGCGAAGTGCCGCGAAGATATGATCCAGGCTGACCCGATCTCCTCATCTAGCGCCGAGGACAAACGCTCAAAACCAAGAACCTGCATGAGCAGGCGCAAACGAGGATTCTTGAAAATTGCCGTTTTTCGAGCATCGTTGTCGGCTCGGAGGGCTGGTCAAAATGTTAGCATTGATGGAAAGTCCGGTGATGAGAAGGGTATCGACTTACTGAAGAATTCAGGTTCTGCCATGGCGCTCTTCCAATCTTCCCTCAGGGTCATTGTGCCATCAGGCTCCTCCACCATGAGCTTAGCTTTCTCGCCTGCTTCCCAGACAGAACGCACGACCTCGCAGGCTGCCAGCTGGTTCTTGACCCATTCGATTTGGTCGCTCTCATTCTTGTCTAGCAGCAGGCCAACAGCAGTTGCTACCTGCTCTGCCAAGGTAAGGTCTGGACGACGGAACTCAAGGGCGGCGGCCGGCTTTGGTGTGGAACTGCTCAGCACCTGCTTGTCGTAACCATACTCAAGGTAGTATGCTGTCGAGTTAATCTTGGAGAACAGCATTTCAATGATCAATGCTGGTCGCTCCTCAATCTTCTTCACACAACGTCGCAGGATCTGCTTCACAAGTTCTTCCCAGTCCTTGTACATCCCTGAGGATTTATCGAGAGGCTCAGGGCCCTTGACCATGTTGTAGAGCAGATGTATGATGTCGACACGGAAGAGCATGACGCTCATGTCCTGCTTGAAAGCTAACCGGTAGAAGTATCGATGGGCCCTCTTCAACTGCGACTCGTCGAGATCGCGGTAGTACTTTGTGAATTTGACAAATGTGTCCACGACGCCTTGAGGGACGAATCGATTGGCGAACTTCTTGAAATCGAACTTGCGCTCTTGGGCCGTCCTCTCGGCAGCTGCTTGTTCATCGGCAGAGCCTGCGTCTTCCTCATCGCTGCCATTGGCCTCACCGTCCTGCGAAGCTGCGACGGCGGCCTTCTTCTTCTTTCGTGTTCTCCTCTTGGACCGGACCTGCATGTCTACGTTCTCCTTGGAGTATGCCTCCAAGACGCGCATGTACGTGTGAACGAGTTCTGTGCACGCATCCAAATAGTCAAATCCTTGGTCTTTGTATGCGCGCACAATATTGACGATCGTGTCGTGGGTAACCTCTTCATAGAACAGACGGCTCAGTGCGTTCTCTGCGATCTCTTGGTCCTCCTCATTCTCTGATGCGAACATTTCCTGAATCGTGAGAAGAATCTGCGTGAAGCATCGCATAACGGCGTTCAGCTCGCGCCAGTCGCCATCGGTGAATGATTTGTGTAGATTCCGCTTCAGGGCGATGAACATCTCTTGGTTCAGCACGCCTGCGACCAGCTGAAAACTGCTCACTTGATCGTCGGCCGAAGAAGTCTTGCCCTTCTTGGATTGTTGTCTCGCTCTTTCGGCCTCCAGGAACCAGGCAACAGTGTAGAAGAATTGTTGACCATGGTACTGCATTACTTCTGTGCCTTCTCTCTCTAGGGTCTTGCGCACCTGTGAAAACAGCGGGTTGAAGCCGGAATCCAGGAATTCCTCCACGAATCCGCACAGTTGGTTATTCGCTCGCGCGTTTAATATGACCTGAGGACCAAGGTCCTTGGGCTCCATGCTTTCCTTTGCTGCTCGTCGTGGGGGTCGGAATGTTTTGGTCTCATCCAATTTCCGCTCTCGACTGGACACATCTGCAAGCGCACTTTGACCCGACAGTGAGGACACTTTGCCGTCTGATTTCTGGATCCACAACATGGTGCCAAAACGACTGTGTCTTGTTGGAGCCTTGCGGCTGTATGATCGTAACATGGATGCTTCCTTCTTCATCGCACCAGCCAGCTCGTCCGTCTTGGCCTTCATGAGTTCCTGCTCGTTGAGGAAGAGCTTTTTGACGTCAACCCTTTTGATGAGATGGAAAATGATCTCCATAACGATGACGTCCTCAGTCTTGAACTCTTCGCCCATATTCGATGCTAGAGTCAGGAGAGTGAGGAAGATGTCCTGGTACGAGAAGGCGTCGATGAGGGCCGACCGGGAGATCTGAGTCTCATCTCCATCGAAACTGAGCCCAGGAGGAGGCGTGATCATGGCGACATTCCGCAAGAAGTAGAGAACAAGCTTAATGATCCCGACATCCCTTTGCGACCTGTCGCCGATGGGCATCGCCATAGAGGGCAGGGCAACACGCACTGCTGTATGCAGAATCTGTGCCCCGTCGAAGTTGAGAATATCGCGCTTGTATTTCAGCTGTGCCAGCTCGAGTACCGGGACATGCCTGTGGTGGTTGACGGTCATGGTCTCCTTGTTCTTTTCGATGGGCCAGGTCAAGGGAGCCAAGAGTTCGTAACAGGCGAGAGCTAAGCGGGACTTGTATCTCTCGTCCTTGCAATTCTCTTTCCAAAGGGCTAGGATGTGCATCAGGTCTCCGCTGACCAGGTTTGCGTCGGATATACATCGCGCAACGTCCATGCGGTTGTGCCTTTCGTCGTAAAATCGGATCCATTTCTTGATGTCGCGCAGGACGTCGAGAGCGTCGTCTCCTAGCCTGTAATGTGCCCCATCGTCTTCGTCGGCAAATCCTCCAAGCTGTTGCGTAGACACCCCAAGGTCAGCCTAGAATTCCACTCTACAAAGGGCAGTTAGGCGGATCGCCACTTACAGCCGAGACGAGACTGTTGATATGTGCCCGAACTTCGGGATGCACCACATCTTCTCTGTCAATCGAAGACTCCATGGTCGCTGTCCGTGGGTCTGACCCCGAGCCACAGTAGTGACCAATATCAGAACCCTTCGGAGACAGTATGTGGTGGTGTTGACTTTGGAGGGCCGGATCTAAGATTTGGAGCGCGTAAATGGGAAACGCCTGGGAGACGCGCCGCGGCAAAAGAAGACGCGTCCGTCGCTTAGACGGATGCCACCCCCCTTCCCCACCAAACCCTCCACCCCCAGCATGTGGACCCGAACCCTTGGAACGCTTCAACAAAGCCCGAAGGTAGCCGCAGGGGTCTCGGCTATGATGCCGAGGCGTTCGTTGGATTAAGCGACATCATACCGAGGACGTCTGTCCGCAACCAGTCTATCATTCTTTCACCACATAATTCATCTGGCAAAATGGCATTCTCAGCTTCAAGAACGCGTGTTTTTCAAAGAGTATTACCTCAATTGAGGCAGTACAGCTCCTCATCAACGCCTGTCAAGAGATTGGGCGTTGTGGGCGCCGGACAGATGGTGAGCACTCCAGACATGTGATAGCCTCAAATGAGTTCCCAACTGACCTTGATATCAGGGCCTCGGAATAGCTCTGGTCGCCGCACAAAGAGCCCAAGTCCCCGTCACTCTGGTGGATACCTCTCAAGCATCTCTCGACAAAGGCCTCAAGTTCGCAGGTGTGTTGCTCTTAGGGATCATCTCGTACGCGGGCGAGCGAGCCATATACTGACCTGACCATGCAGACAAGCTCCTTGCCAAAGATGTCTCCAAGGAACGCATCACCCAGGAGCAGGCCGACCTGGCCCGCTCAAACCTGACACCTTCAACGTCCATGGACCCTTTGTCCGAGGTCGATTTTGTGATCGAGGCCGTGCCAGAGATCCCCAGCCTCAAGTTTGACATATTCTCAAAACTGGCCGAGGTGTGCCCACCACACGCCATCCTGGCCACAAACACATCATCCATCTCCATCACCCGCATCGCTGCCGCCACGACCAAGGACCCCAAGGACCTCTCGGCCAGCTCGCGCGTCGTCTCGACACATTTCATGAACCCCGTGCCAGTGCAGAAGGGCGTCGAGATCATCAGCGGCCTGCAGACCAGCCAGGAGACGGTCGACCGCGCCATCGCCTTTTGCAAGGCCATGGGAAAGATCCCGTCCGTGTCAGCCGACTCGCCCGGCTTCCTGGCAAACCGTATCCTCATGCCCTACATCAACGAGGCTGTCATTTGCCTAGAGACAGGCGTTGGCGACCGCGACTCGATAGATGCCATCATGAAGAACGGCACCAACGTGCCAATGGGCCCGTTGCAGTTGGCTGACTTCATCGGGTTGGACACATGTCTGGCCATCATGAAGGTTTTGCACGGGGAGACGGGCGACAGCAAGTATCGACCCAGCGTGCTCTTGGGTAAGATGGTGGATGCCGGTTGGCTGGGCAAGAAGAGCGGCAAGGGCTTCTACGACTACTGAGTGGTCATAGTGATGCCGTGATCTAATTCACGTGTAGTTCTAGACCTCTAAGGTAGCATTGAAGTTTGAAATAGGACTTCAAGTGCTCAATTTTCATACGTGAGAGCTTCCATCGCTCTCTCATTTATCCAGCGAGAGCCCTTTAAACGCGGAGTCACAACGCATTGTCTACACACACACACACACACACTGCTAACTGCCGCGGCTCCACGTGGTATGTCCTTGTTACTTTTCTGCTTATCTGGGTACTCGCTCACAAGGCACCACTCAGACGGAGCTCATCAGAGTCCAAAATCAGGATGCTCAGGATATACTCCACCGCAGGCACAGCGTCTTCCCCAGCTGGAATAGGCCCGGTACATTTGATTGTCAGCCCACCCACAGATTGACACTGTAATTTACGAGTCGACATTATCCGTCGTTTCCAATGGGGAAGTCCCCTATCTACCACCCGAAGACCGCCCGAAGGAATAAATGATCACCCCACATTTCAACCTCGACAGAGGAGATATACGTGCTACGAGTTCACTCCACTTCCCCACAGGACGCCATCATGTATCGAAGAGACTGGGCAAAGGGCAAGTGCCGTGACGAGGCTCACACGCCCCACAAGACGTGCCTCCGGCTGCAACGGAGCCAAGTCCCGCTGCAGCCGGTAGAATGAACAAGGCTTAGTCCACGCCCCCGCAGGCGTCGCCCGGATGCTGTCGTTTTCGGATCCGCATTAGCTGGGGCCCATATCGTGGCCCAAGAGGTTCTAGGCGGTCAAGGTCGGTCACCACCTCTTCTCTGTTTTTGTTTTTTGCGAGACATTTGCTTCTCCGGCTATGTGATCAGTCAAGCCCCGGTTGAAGCGAGGCGAGACGATGTCGGGCGCCACACTTTTTTGCTTTTTTTCCCCCCACCTGCCTTGCTGCTCGATGTGCCGATTTCAGGAATATCATCCGGGGTCTACCATATTGACGTGGGCGAGATAGGCGAATCCTTTCGTCTCTTTACTCCCTTGACTCCACGGGACATCACAGCCTTGTAGCTGCAGGGTGAGAAGCACAAGGCACCTTCCGGGCGCCGGTGCTGCAGCCCGATAGGTCATATCTGGGAAACGTGGTCGCGCTGAGTGCGGCCCGCGTCAAGTGGGATGGATAGCAATGCACATACATCGCCACTTTCACAAAGGGAGTGGGGGCCAAGAATGGCGAGAACTTTCCCCTCCCCCCAACCCCCCCTTGGTATCAATATAGATCTCAGCCCAATCCTTCGACCGGGAAAATCAGCAGATACCGGGTTTCGTCGTGAGACTCGAGTATCCATGGCCTACTTGCTTGTACACAGTAGACCGGGACCGGCCGCCTAGCTGATGACCGCCCCCGTTGAGCCCCAACCACCTCCTCGCTGTCTCATTGAAGTCGGGGGCGGGGAGGGCAAACCCGCAAGTATCCCCGCGTAAGCAAGCATGGCGGCGTGGCCCAGGCATCAACAGCCGCCTTCTCATTTCAACAAAACCCGCCAGATGCTGGGGTCGCGCGGCCCAGACGCCGGCCAGCTGGCCGTCGCCTTCTCCCCCCATGACTCGAAGGCGAGAGATCTGGGAAAGGGATGGTGGTCGCGAGATCGCACAAGCAAGTCTCGGGACATGCAAGCCTCGCTGCTGATACCCGTCCTCGCATAGCCTCTCCCGCGCCAGCTTCCCTGGCCGGCTCGGCAAGGCGTGCTCTCTGGATGGGGCCACATGCGCGTGCTCGTCGCGCACAAGGCCATACCGCGCCCTCGAGCGCCCGGGCTCGCACCCTAGGGGTTCACGATAACCGAGCTGCGAGATCCCATGGGCTGAATCGGGGAGGATCACAAGATTCCGCACTCGAGGGCATGCGCCTCCCATCACTGGGTGCGTTTCTCGCAGCTCCACGCCACAGAGGTCGCGAGAGCCTGTCTCTGTTTGCGGGGTGCTACGGCATGACCTAGGTAGGACAGTATGTGAGACATCAGAGTGATATCTGGGGCCATGAGGCACCCAAAAAAATGATAGTCAACGTGAATAAGGCTCTCTCTTCATGTATTTCAACACACCGGTCGGCGACCCATGGCTTTCTATTTTACCAGGGTCCATCCCTCTCGTTGAGAAGGGTAAGACATATCAGAATGCGCAGGCTGTGCATGCATGTAGCTTCTACCAGATGATAGTGGCCCTTGTACTCAGCATCTTCAGCTCGAGCTCCTCGTTGTCGCCGCTTCGACGCCAGTTTAGAGGTGTGAGAATATCATGGTACAATATTGTGGTGTTTGAACGTTGCTGTGGCGTTCTGAGGCTTAAAATATCAGGCCTACCAGGCATTTCTAGCATGGGATGAGTCGTCGCAAGTAAGTCCAGAATTTTCTTCGGGCTTGGAAGTCATCTCGTGTCCATCAGCAAGGAGCCACAACATGACATACCCGATGTACGTGGCGGCTGGCTTCACATTGCGCCAAAGCTTCGTTCTACATAGGCAGGAACGCGAGAAAAGACTGCTTTAAGGGTTAGGGAGGTTTAGGATTGGAGACACGCGGCATGTAGGAAACGAAACCGAGGATAACATGCTGGTCTAGAGCGTTTATATCTAACCGGGGAATCTTCAAAGCTATGGAAACGAGTAACGGCCCGGTAAGGGAAGGCAGATGCGAAGAGACCAATTCCAGGCGCCCATGCTGTCCTCACAGTGTTTGTTTTCCACATAATGTTTACAACCTCTGTGGGGCCTGGGGGTCGCCGCTCGTTTCTCCAGTGATATAGTCGTTCGGCTTCGCGCGAGAAACCCTAACCTGCCCAAGCGTTCCCAGAACCGCTCGCATCTGTTTGCTGGTTCGAGATGGTCTAGGGCGCTCAGACGCCACTAGTGCTCATCCTCCAAGCAGTATTCCCACTCAGGTTCTCCCGCCTCAAGCAATGCCTTTGTTGTTTATGCACATCGCAACGACATTCCGCGTGGGCTGTAGATACACTGACATCGCCTGTTCCGAGGATTCATGGACAGAAGTCAAGAGAGAAAAGTGCTCAGGGTGTCCTTAGCGGCTCAAAGTCCCAGTGAAACAAACGGCCCAGCCACTACCGCCAAGTCTGGCAGCAGTTCCCCCCAAGCACTGACGCCATGGCCCACACGCTGGGCAATCGCTGTTTGACAGCAGGTTCAACAGATCAGAGATGAATCACACGGAGCTCAAGCCAGGGGTCCGGTCCCAGTGCATGCCGCACGTCCAGCGTCTCCTGGGAGGGCCAGTGCCCGCCGTGCCTGTCAAGTCCCTCCCAGCCTCACCGGGGCATTGGCTTTGCTTTCAGGCAGAAGACCAAGAGGAGGAAGTAGCAGTGACATTGCGCGTGTCGATTGCGCGATACGGAAATGATGTTTCTGAGCTCATGCCACATTGCCCAGCGTGTCACAATCAGGTTGATCGGATGGCACCGGGGCGGGCCTCCCGCGTCCTCAACGCTGATCACGAGATTGTAGGCTGTGCAGCGGATGGTAAACCTGCCGGCTTAGACCGCGAGGACTGGGTGATAAGATGGCAGAGCGCAAGGCAAATTCCCAGTTCGGTGTCCCTCTCCAGCGAGTGAGCACCTCCACCACACATCGGTTGACCTCGTGCCCTGGGACCCGGTGACCGGGACAGGCGCTGATATGAGTGCAAACAGACACGGTCCACACGTTCGAGCAGACTTCTGCACCTCACGCCCCGTAGGATCGTCTACAGCAGCTGAAGGTATGCGGGGAGAGTTGGCGACAACGTCAACGCTCGCAATGGACCGAGACTTTTACCCGTCGGTCAAAGCTGAGATGGGGCGAAACAAAAGAGAGCCGGGTACCTGCTGACCCGCCCAGCCATGATCGTAGGCACTGACCTGACCAGAGCAGGCTACGCACCAGTGACACATGTCAGCTAGACTTCATCCCGGAGGAGGCTGCGTTTCTCCTCGTTCCATAAACGTGTTCTGTTTTATTTGCCGTCCCACTGGGCCGTAAGCGTTCCTGACGGATAGCATCCGATCGACGTATAAACCAAGAACCAAGCACAAGCATATTCTGTTCTGTTTGCCGTCCCGCTGGGCCGAAGGCGTTCTTGATGGACAGCATCCGATTGACGTATAAACCAAGCGCAAGCATGTCGGCCTGGCAGCCTGGCGGCCTTGGAGCGTGGCTATGTCTGAATGTGCGCGAGCATGAGCCACAGATTTGCACGAGCCTCCTGCCCGCTTCCAACCGGATCAGAAAAACAAAAGAATAAGAATAAGACAGGGGTTGGAATATCCCCTGAAGTCTCCAGGCACCCGGGAAGCCATGAAAGTGTCCCCTCGAGGCCCTTTTGCTCCAGGTTGATTGCCCGTAGGTCATCGGTGACGGAAGAGCCTCAAGTCATTGGACGACGAGGACGGGATACTGCGTCCTTGGCCAAACGCCACTCGCGCAAGATGCCCGCCCCGTTTCTGCCGGCCCTTGGAGGAGCGCGTGGCCGCCGGCATAGACTTCACACTGAGGGGCTTAAGCGAGGGAGTACAGGCTGCACGTTGCCGTCGTCGCGCAGACGCTTGTCTTGCAGCGCAGTGGATACAAGCCGGACCCCGGTACTACCAAGACGCCCTTGGGCTGTGGGTCTGTTCTATCAGATGATGTTAGCGACCCATTTGGCGGCGAATACAGGACGCTCACCTGGTTGGTACTGGATTTTGTGTGAGAAGGAGGGATAGCTGGGTCAGGTGTGATCTCGGCGTCACTTCTTCGGACGTTGCATGCTGGGCGAAGGACGGTTACCATGAGTTACTCCTGAAAGCAGCAGCTCTACAGGCGCACTAGTTTGTGGCCGGCCCCCTTTGTGTGGTGCGGCTTTTCCGTGGAGCAGAGTTTGGCTATTCAATCCAGGAATTACGAGGTAAAAAGACACATGTACCTATATGTGACCGTGTAGCGATTCGTGGAACTCTCGCGCATGAATGTGCCTGGTTAGAGACGTACGGAGCCCATGGGTGCCCCTTGCGCCGGACGACGGCCGTTGTGCAGATCCTCCCGTGCGGCGCAATGAAGAGACTTGACCTACGGCAAGAGAGCCCAACAGACTGCCCTATGGGCAGTGGGTGGGCGATTCGACCGGCAGATGCCGAAGACGTTGCAGAGGTGACTGGCGATAATGAGCGATCTTAACCACGCCCTTTTTGTGATCAGTTGGTTTATCCCCTTTTCTCTTCCCCGCAAACCAAGACCCGACGCGTCTCAGATGGCTTCCGCGCACCTCTATGACCACCGCGGGCTGAATAAGAGAGTAAGGGCCGGAAAGTCTAACCCATTGGGCGTATTGCCTGATCGACTATGACGAGACCCCGTGCTGCCTGACGGTGTCACCAGGTGTCGCATTTCGGAAAGACCCTTCTGATGGGAGCAAGAGGCCCCGTCACCGGCTGGGCCGTAGAGCCTCACATCACGTCTTGCATCATGCGGC